GTGCTGTTGGCGATACCTGTTCAAACCTCTGGGGCGGCTACTATGTCTGCATTGGCAACAAGGGGTCCGTCCCGTCTGCCACTACCACCACCTCATCTGTGACCTTAACCGGCTCTCCAGGCCCTTCACCCACTCAACCCGGCATAATAAACACCTGCACGAATTTCTACCAAGCTGCGTCTGGTGATAACTGTGATACTATTGTCAATCAAAAATTCAAAACTTTCACCCTCAATGATTTCATTGCCTGGAACCCAGCCGTCAAGTCAGACTGCTCTAGCCTTTGGAGAGGGTATTACTACTGCATCAGGGTACCAGGAACACCCACTCAGGTCGTTACAACAAGCACTCCAAAGCCAACATTCGATCCAACGAACCCCAAGCCCCAACAGCCAGGAAGGGCTAAAAACTGCAACAAGTTCTATCTCGTTAAGAGTGGTGACAATTGCTACGGCATCGAGCAACAATATTCCATCTCACATAGCCTGATGTGAATGATGACTGCTCATCCTCTAGCAGGGATATCATATGTGTGTTGGTGTGCTGAGCCAACCAACTAAAACTACTTCATCCCCCGTACCGCAGCCGACGGCGCATGAGCCCCTATACCCCGGTATCATCAGCAAATGCAAGCAGTACCGCCTAATACAAAAAGGAGATACGTGCTGGTCGCTTCAGCGGGATTATAAGCTCGATGAAAACAAATTCGAAGAGTTGAATCCAGTTTTGGCATCGGATTGCTCGAAGTCATGGGTGGGGTATTATATGTGTGCTAGGATGAACAGTTCCCAGTCAGTGTAGGCATGGTTATAGATAAAAACCCAAAGTGGCGTATATTCCTAGTTATCATCATCATTCTACTCATTTCGCTCTATATTATGCCACTCCTGACAGTGCCCATTGGAAATTAGGTATATTTTCTTCTCTGTGGCCCATACGGTTTCTGATAATTAGTTACTTGGTTGGTTATAGGTATCCACCGTCCTGCATAGTCTTTCTCATCCTCGTCCAGCACAGCGTCACCCTTAATTAGAATTATAGAGCAGGACCAAGCTGATGGACCATAAGTGGGCACAACCCAATACTACGATGAGTCATAGCAAGCAGGTGACTATTTTACCAGCCGAGTTCCGTTAGCGAGTCTGACAGCATCCTCCTTTGAATAAACACCTTCGCCTTTTACCATAAGAGCCGCAAGATGGCAATGGCATATACTGTTGAAAGTAGACTTCCTATAGAGCTCTGGGTCAAAATATTCGAAGAGGTACGTATTTAATACTTGCTTGGAAGTGGTAAAAGCTAAGTAAAATGTTTCAAGGTTACTCAGCTCGATGAAGACGCCGTGGAATGGCAAGAGGAGAACGTCCCCTATATGGGTTTGAAATCCGCCAGTCGATGCTGTCGTTTCTTTTATGGCTTAGCTGCCCCAATCATCCACCGTACTGTTACCTTGGATTACTGGACTGGTTGTGGTAAAGGGCTGCTAAGGCTCCTGACAAAATATGAGAACAGCGCCGTGGCGCGATATATTAGGAAAATAGTTGTGCCATCTAACAATGTGTATCCATATCTCGATGAAGTACAGGCGGTAGACATTCTGGAGTGCTTGAAAGGAAAGGCAGATCTGAGAGAGTTCAGGTACGTTATTCGAGTCATCTTAGCTTCTGTTTATATTGGGAGCTAATTCTCATGATATAGCTGGGGGTTGGGTTATTATGACAACATGAGCGACCTGCTTCCCCAACGTCTCCTTCAATACTGGCCATCTTGTCGACTATCTGTCGAGGTAAATTCACCTGATATGCTGCCAGATAACCAGGAAACGGACGGAGCTCTTCCGATGTATGGTCTGCCTTTTCTGGTCTCTTTTGATTACACCTGGGATGCCTCCCCTTATAGCGACAGTGATGATGACGAAGATAATTATGATGATCCTACCCTTGGCAAAATATTCATAGGATCTTTTCCAAATATAGAGGCCTTAAAGTTGACTCAACGGATGATAAGGGGAAGCCGCCATAAGTATATGGAAACATTTATGTTGGGTCCAAGCAATAGGCTCCCTGCCTTAAAAAGACTAGAACTGCAATTTGTCTACCTCCCTTCTGGTCAAGGCCTCATTTGGTCTAAGTGTGCAAACTGGGGGAGACTTACGAACCTCGTCCTGGCTATCGATAGCCCTCAAGAGTTCATAAAACACTTTACTGGTCTTGTGCCTAATCTCTCCTCCTTTGAAATACGAATCCGGAGCCCGATTGACGAAGATGATATTGCAGAACCTTTAATATCTTTCTTAAAAGGTATTGATAGGCTTAAGGAATTCATATGCTTTAATATTCCTAAATCGGTTTTGCCTACTCTATATACCTACCATGGGAATTTTTTGCAAACCCTGAAGTTTAGAGTACTAGTGGTCACTTCTCTCCGGTATCAAAGTATTGAGAGCGATTCGAGGAATCCATTTCTGGAGCAAAAGAGGACATATACGGAAAATTCAACTTTGAATTACTTTCCTATTCCTCTACAAAACTTTGTGTTTCATCTATGTGCAAGGAAACCTTACGTTTGTTCCCTTTTCTATCTAGTTTCCTATAACTATATATTATTACTAGCATATTAACAAGTGCTTCACCTCTAGGCTCCTGCAGAAATAGACCGACATCTACATGTTGAGGATATGGAGAATATTCGACAGTGGTTTCCTAATATACACGACTTTGCATTTGATTTAGATCTACGTGGGTGTCTAGTAGGTCGCTTATATTGTTTTTTTCTTTATACTCTAAGCTATAATGCGAAAGTCTTTCTACACTTGACTAACCTTGTAGTTCATTTAATAGACCTACGAATTGCTTACATCCATCTCGCGGTATCAAAACATCGAGCATCTACAAATCCATCTTCCCTACAACCTTGAGCTAGAAAAATATCCTAAGGTAAAAACTGTCCAGAAATGGATTGAGTGCATATTCAGCCATATAGATAGCCAGAGACGTGACTTAGAAAGAAACCCCCCCTTCTGGCTACAGGGGAAAGTCTTAGAGCTCAGATCGCTGGCTATCGCGCTGAGGAATTGGGACAAATTCGATCTACCTTACGGAGATAACGTGACCAATGGGTGCATGTATCGTTGCCGAAGGATGCCAAATGGCCAAATAGGCAAGGCAATGAACTACCCACTACGTCGATACCGCAAACCCATGTCGTGCGGTTCCCGCAATCAAGCGAGGGGGGATGACGTGGTAAGCTCGGTCTCAAATCAAGACTCTGACGAGGAATCAGATGAAGAGGAGTCGGATGAAGAGGAGTCGGATGAAGAGGAGTCGGATGAAGACTCTAGAAAGTCAAAGAAAGTCTCTAGGGAGCCGAAAGAAGACGTTGGAATACTATATAGAATTTTCTATAGTAGTAAACTAAAAAGAACTATAGGTTTAGTCTAGAATAAAAAGATCTTATAGTGATATTTTTATAAATTTTATAAATATATTCTTTTATATATTCTATTTATCTTTTAAATAATTTAAAAGTTTTTAATAGTTTAAATCTATTTTTAATAATTAAATATAAAAAGATTAATTCTATTAACTAATATTTTAATCTTTTCTTTTTTAATTTTTTCTTTTATATTTTATTTTATTTATATTTTAAACTTTTATTAAATTTTTTTTTTATTTTATACTATTAAATTATAAAATTAAAAATAAATATTTTCTTAGTTTAATTAAAGTCAAAAGTCGAAGTTTAGAAATATTGAAACACTTATATAACTTAATCAAATATTAGGAAGAAAGTTGAAACAACGCTAGACCGATAAAGTATATAGCTATTTATTACGTCATCGACGCGGCGCTATCTAATCAAAGACGTAGATTTCTTATATATGAATAGATTTATCTACTGAACTGAATAACTCTACATTACTATACCAAAGATAGAGGAACATATAATGACATATCCACTCCCCTTTGTTGCTGCGGTGGCTATAGACCTGAATAAGGAGAATATCCCTATCGTCGAGTATGGGGCTTTGTTGAATGCGCGGTTTGGGTATCCGGTTTGTATAAACGTACGTACAATGTCAATGTCAAAAGCATCTTCTATACTATATAGGTATCAGTCCCTGGCTAACAATGCCCACCTTTAGACTATTAGATGGGCAGTACCCGACTCAGAGGTATCTCGAGTATCTAGAATCCTCCTAGAGCACAATATACCGAAAGGTGGCATTATTGCACATCACGCTCGGTCATATGGCAAGTGGGAGACAGTGGGAGAGATGCAGAAACACGGGAGTACCAGAATTCAGCTCATACCTCTTTCAACCCTGCACTTGTCTCTTGAAGACTGTGAGGAAGTAACGTCGACCTTCAGCTTACAACAGAAGACGCTTATCCCAAAGCCACGGCCATATCTTATATCATTGATTCGTATTTTACAGTCTCTACCGCTTGGGCTCCCCCGAGTTCCTATAATTGCTGATACGGCGCTCTTTCTCGACTATTGTATTTTCCCGAGGCTACCGGATGATGAGGACGAAGAAAGTGAAAGCGAAGAGCATTTTCAGCAACGGGTCGAGCAAGCGTTGTCACTTGTTCGCCAGTGGGATTGGAAGCCCGAGGATGCGGAATACTTTGATCTCTCTGAGCGAATAATCCGCAACTGCCAATTACTCTATACCCTGAAGGCCTGAAATAATTATTTAATTATTAGTCATAACTGTTCACTTGCCACCAGATTTATGTCATTGGTTCTCTCTATGAGTTTCCATTCATTCTGTTTATTTACTGGAAGTGATTCACAAGCTATAAGTGATTTGTTTGTAGCTTGCCTATTTATTGTGAGCCATTAGCCTCTCTCTTTCTCCTTCTTTCTACAACCTACTTTGTCCTCCATTCCGCCTCCGCCTCCAGGTCTATCAGCTCTGCCTTCCAGTTTATCAGCTCTACCGCTGTTTATCTACGCTCCCATCTTAACCAAATTTATCCAAAGCCTGGGGAAGCATGGAGCAACAACAAGGTCTTGTACAGCGCGGGCATAGCACAAAACTGGACATGGCAGCACTTGCTGTCACCGAAGTTTTGTCCCGTAATGGGTTGAAGCACGGCTTCTTCGGTGGATACGCAGTCTCAGTCTTTGGCGGAGAACGTCTCACTCAAGTAAGTGTATCCTATATTTTATAGGTATACCAAGGGCATTACTAACAGTCTATCGCAGGATGTTGATGTTATCGTTGGCGAGGATGCTCAAGCGGCTCGCCAGCAGCTGCTAGCAGGGGATGGAAACTTCTACATGATAGTAACAAACAAGCTGAAATTCCGCCTAGTGGGTTCAAAATAAACGTGTACCACTACTACATATATATGAAGCTGACAAGACATAAATGAAAAGGAAGGCCAAGATATTGACATCGAGGTCGAACTTCTACGGGGTGGAAAAGACCAGCCAATGAAGCTGCCCGATATCAACACTGCCCTGATCATCCTGCAAACCCACACGAAGTTGAACACGACCGAGTTAATCACCAAAGTAAGTTTTCATAATGACTTTGTCCTCTTTTCGCCTATATAGATACTGACAAATGATGATAGTGCCCTTCCTGCATCCCGGGGTGTTAATTCTAACGAAATTAAACCACTAGATGTATATCTCTGACTCTAACTGTCCGGCCAGTATTGCGAGAGCCTTAAATAATATACAAGACATTAAAACCATCCTTGAATGGCTCATAAGGCATAGGCTAAAGATCAACTTCGACATATATCCCGAGAAGAACAAGGAGGAGCTTTTTCCAGGGATGAAAAAGCTTCTGGAAACGAACGATCCAGATATTGCTGGCCTATTGAAGGATGCCCTGTTTCCTGACGACTTTACTACGATTGCTTGATCTTATTCTATAAAGCTCTGGTTTCTAGACTTAGTGCTTCGTACCATATACATATTTATTAAGAAAGCGACGTAACGGCTTTTTTTTTTAGCTACTAGATATACTATTCAGATATTGAGCTTTAGCCAGCCAAACAGCAATTAGTTAACTTTACTATTTAGTATTTAAGGAATTAGCTCATTATCTTCACTCCCTTATACCGCGTGATGGAGCACGTCTCAATGATTTATACTAGAGGAAGTTCGCGGTGGTAACGACACCTGTTACTCAACCCTCAACCACTACACTACGGTGTCTAAGGAGAAATATCCAAGCCATTGACCATCACACAAACTCCCACTTGTAAATAACTAACGGATCGATAACATGTCGAAGCTAAGGTTTGTTAGAGTACTGAGGAAATAACGGACTCTACACAGCAGGACAGGGAGCAAGAAGAGAAGGAGGAAGAAGAGGAGGAGAAGATGAAGGACGAGGAAGCGCAAGAAGAGGAAGAGGCAGAGTTTTACCCTTCCATCTGCGCAAACCTATACAACCGCCTTATGCGCACCAGATTTTAGTAGCAACTAAGAGTAGAAGAGCGACTATCTTTGAATCAATTACTTTAAAGTATAGTAGACGAATCTAAAAGTTTTAAAATATTGTGAACGATTTTAGTAGCTTATAATTAAGTTTTTTAAATAGAATGAAATTATAGTAAAAAGTAATAATTTAACTTTTATTAAAATTTAAAAATATATTAATATACTATTTTTAATTAATATTTTTAATAATTGTTATTAATAATAATTATAAATTAAAAGAATTATAAAATAATAGTATTAATTAAAAAGAATTATAAAATAATAATATTAATTATATTTATTTATTTTTAAATAATTTTAGTATTTAATATTTATTTAAACTTTTTTAATTATTAAATTTTTAAAAATAATTATAAAAAATCAATATATATTATAAAACTTTTTAATTAAATAAAGTTTTATTAATTAATAAAATAATATTTTAGTTTAATTAATTTTATAATTTTATTTTTATTTTATTCTTTTATTATTTTCTAAAATATTTAAAATATCTAATTAAATTATATTATTAATATATTCAATATTTAGACAAAATATAGATAAATATTTCTATATAGATAATATTTTATATATAGATGATCAGCACCCATACAAGATGTGGTGGCGGGCACGGGTACTTTAAAAATAAATAAGAACTTTTTCAGAATTCAACTTTATAAACAAACGTGTCTCAATTATGAAGAAATTTTTCTGGAAGAGTATTCGAGGTCACCATGCGACGAGTGCTGAAGCTTTAGCTTCCTCTGCCGCAGTACCTGTAAGTCCTAGCTTTGCGTTTATTGATAACTCGCAGGGTGCCTCTGCTGCAACAGCCGAGCTATCAAAGGCTCTCGATACTGTGCTGAACCAGATCGAGCCAGATGGTACGAACGTGTTTGCTTTGGATCACTTCAGCTATTCAATAGTTTCACGGTATTGGCCTTGACGAGCTAACGCTTCCACCTCAGGGAATGTATCCGACCAGCTCCAGTCCTTGGTGCATTTACTGGATCGGGAATCATCCAAATTTGACAACTCGCAGCTGCAGCTAGGAAAGGAAAGCCGAAATGATTCTTGGACATGATAATAAGAATAGTTATAATACCTCTTCCTGCCAGAGCTCGAGCGAAACTAACTGGGCAAATCGTGTGGTTTAATTGCGGCGGACTAGCTCGATGTCGGAAGCGCATCTTGTGTCTATTGCTTGGAAGTGCGCTCTGGGCGCGTATAATGATTCTCCAGCCTCGATCTCTCAGAATGGTTGCCAGAACTATGAATTCACACGCGATTATATCGTCATGCCGTCCGCCGGTGGCACTGTCAAAGCGATGACGACCACTATCGTAGCTCCTCGAGATGGCATCGACTTGGACAACAAGTTCCTGCCAGCACTTGTTGTCGCAGTTCGAGGCAGCGAGAGTCTGATGGACCATATGGTGAACGCGAATACAAAGCCAAAAAGTGTTGCAGACTTCATCGTGGGTGGTTTCTCTATTCATTATCCAGAACTGTTCCCTGAGATAGCCATGCGAGACTATTAGCTGATAGAAATTCGCTAATGAGAACATCGGCCATATTTTCTCTAAATCTCACACTCCGGCTGTCGCTGATTGCAAAGCCCATTCCGGATTCTTGAACAGCGCCGAGGCCCTCAACGCCATATGCTCCCAGAGAATCGACGAATATATCCAGAAAGCTGGCAGCGAGCGTTGTCATATTGTCTTTACTGGACACTCTGCTGGCGGCGCAGTTGCCTCTTTACTCTACTTGCGCCATATATCTAACCAAATTCCCGGTAAGCAAGAGTGTAGGTGCTGTTCCTATTGCTAAAATGGGTCATCTGACAGGTTATATACGTTCATGCTCAGTGTCCAATTCCTCTATTCGTCTTTCTTGCATTACATTTGGGGCACTGCCTGTCGTTGATTCCTCGGTACTGGCCTTCCATCCGCAACGCGAGCAGTCAGGAGGAGTTTGTATGAATTTTGTCAACGAGTTTGACATGGTTAGTCGGGCAGATCGCCCCTATATTATATGCCTGGTCAACCTCCTCCGGTCACTTCACGGGAGGCCGCCTCTTGGCTCGGATGAAGATGAGGCAAATTTCCATGCAGTGCCTTCCCCGGAGACCTTAAACCCAGAGACAAAAGCGTCTGATTCAGCGAACTTGCTGGCGGAGAATGTTTGGCCAGTAACGCCATGCTACTACCATCATGTTGGACCTCGCATTGTCCTCCTAAAACGCCTCGAACAAGCTTTTCAATCGGAGGGATACTTGCTTGAGTTGAGAGCTATGATTGTCCCGCCGGAAGAGTTCCAGAAATTGCTATTTTGCAGATTAGCAGTGCACCGAAGAGTATGTTATGCGGAGAGAGTACAGATGATTGAAGAGGGGAAGTTCAACGGATGCAGCAGTTGGGCCTTATAGGCGGGCTGTATTACCGCATGCTATTGTTGGGATACTTTTTTCGAGATTGTTCATTCATTCAGGTAATGAGCTATGATGCGGCCTACCGTGTACTTATCGAAACTGGTCGTTATTCTTTTACAACACAAAGGTCAGACAAAAAGCAGCTACTAAAAGGAGAGGGGCCTCGCTAGCCGCCTTTCCAATTCCATCGCTCGGTAGCCCTGCACTAAGTGCACGATATCCTCAATGGACGCCTCCAAAGGCATTTTTCTGTCCGTATCACAGTCAACACGTTCCTCAATCGCTAACGCGATAGCCTCGCAATCCCAGCATTTACAGACATCGTACTCCTGACCGAACCGCACAAGGAAGAATTCCGCCGTTTTGTCTATGCCGTGGCTCAGGACCTCCTTGCTGATGGTGTCAGCATGGTTTATGAATCTCCCGGTACGCGCGACCATTGAATGCCGGTAGTGCTCCGGAGAACACAGGTGTGTATGCCATACGAGGTCGATATCCAGCGTAGGAACGAGAGTTGTGAGCGGATAATGCTTGAACAGCCACAGGAATTTTTCGTATCGGTCGACAGCGCGGCGAAGAGTGCCCTCAACCGCTGGGCTGCGAATCCAGAGCTGCGCATGCATTTTGTCGACAAATGAGGCTTGCCGTTCGACGTTTTCACGGAGCGTCCTACAGTCTAGTCGCCCCCTGGTCTCACTACGCAAAGTAATTATATACCCGGATTTGACCCAGGGGGGCTCGTTCCCCGAGGCAGTAACCTGGGACGGCTGAGGGCTATCCCTTGATAAAGTTGCCCTGGCTTTGTCCTCAGCCCGACCGAGTTCGACCAAATGTTGAAAGAGGTCTAAGTCTGATAAGCTGTCAGAGGGAAGCTCCAGCCTGTCGTGTTCTGCTGGCTTGTAAAGGCAATTTTCGGAGTCAATAGCCTTGTGCTATGTCAATTTTTGTGTCAGTTCGTCACCCAGTTACCGAGATTCTTCCCCACAGCAGAGACTGGCACGAAACTTACGATATCTAGCCATGGGAAAGGCAGTTTGCAAATCGAAGTCAACTTATTGTCAACGCAGTATTTTTCAAATTGCACGGGATTGAGTAGCAGTGCATGCCACACCATGAGGATATCTGTCATATTATTTCGTCAGACCAGAGTACAGCATCTCTCGCATATGCCAGCGGCTAGAAATATACAGGTTCATCATACCTAGAGGGGGGAGGAGAGGGATGCGTATGCCCTTCGACTCCATCGCCTCATCTATTTTGATCGCCCATCTTATAAATCGCAATACAGCAAGATCCAGAAAGCAATGCCATTTTGCCTTCCTCCTAGTCTCAAAGGTTTTGTCTCTTAGAACAACCGGCTCATACCTGCGGCTCGAGTAGTTTTTGCGGAATACCGTCTTCTTGTCTGGGTGGATCCCAAACGCTGCGTCCAGCTCTGTGGACTGCAGAACTCGCACCTGCAAGTAGTAAAACAACTCGAGCAACTCCAGGTGGACGGCGCATTCGCCGACGCTTGGGATCGGAACAGTGCAGTCTTTTGGCATCGACGACGTGCCCAGCCCTTGGAAGAGCCGCGAATCTGGTATCTTGACATCGTTCCGCCGCCGACAAGCACCTCTCGACGCTGAAGCTGCGATTCTCCTGATTTCACACGCTGCCGCATCATGGAGAGCGCCCAGATGAGGGCCGATCGTGTGCGCCATGAGGAGAGAGTGTGTAAAGATGGAAAGGTGCAGTTAGCTACTCCATGCAAGGCGCAGAGATAACTAACAAGCGAACAACCCATGTTATCTCCTGGGCGAGGCTGTGTGCATTTCCGTCAGCCTCATGACCCTCGATACGAGCCTCTCCCAGGGTAGGATGCCTGCATCCAATATTCCAAGGCGTATCCCGACTCAAAATGTCGTGATATATCAATCACTATCTGGATGTCTGATGGGTTCTATTTAATATTGCTTTGAATAGTCCCCCCCCCCCCCCCCCCCCCCCCCCTGAGAAACCGCGGTAGCAACTTCTGCTGTGATACTCCGTTGAGCTCGCAACTCATCGCACTCGAGCAGACAACTCGGTTCACTTAATAGATATCGCTGAAAAACCGGGTGCTCCTCGAGCGTGTTAAACAATGGCAGGCCTCCCATCTTGCATTCTCCGCTTTATCTGTCACATTCCAACCGGAGACGCCGGCTTCAACGGCAGGAAAGTCTATGATCTGATCAAGAAGGTGGACGATATTCAAGCCTTTCCGAACGGCGAAGAGTTTCTCAAAGGGCTGAACTTCGTTGCCAAAGCGGTACGTACTTGTACATGCATCTTTGTCACTGATATCTGTTGCTCACACAGGCGTTGGGGGTGTTTTTTTCCCTCTCACAGGGGCTTGCTACTTTCGGCTGGAATTTTGCCATGTTCGTGCTTTCATATCCAGCCTTTGGTCCCTTCCTCTTCATAATCGGGCTAATAGACGCGACACTTGTTATCCCTCTCATTCTCGGTCTACGAAACCAGTTCAATTATCTTCCCCTCTCGTCCGTTCCCTGTGCCCACGCGGAAAACTGGAGAAACGGAACCGATGGCCGCAATATCTTCGTTGACGCGAGTCGAAGGAATCCGGACCACTCTCCGAACGAAATTTGTTTTGAAGTGGTAACAAATATGAAATGGACTATTGCGGTCATGTAAGTGATGAAAGAGCGCTCCTCATCTTGTCTGCTACCCGCTAACCTACCGTTACCTCTACCGAAGCGCTCTGTATTTACTGTGCGCGCTGGTGAACTTGATTATTGGAACCCTGCAATGTACGTTGCGTGAACCTCGTGGCATATATTATAGACCTTTCGGCTGCCTTGACATGATGTTCCGCCCTTTCATCGCCCTCAAGCATGCCACCTCTGCAGGAGTGAGATATACTTTCAGATATCTATCAAAGTTTCTTCAGAGACCTCAAGGTCGCGATATGGGATTGAAAGCACATGTCGAATATCCATTGGAGGAGGCCGATTTTCAGGTCGAATTGGCCCAAAATAGTAACCAAAATGTTTCCCATCCGCTTCATTTCATAGATGTTGTGCAATCCAAGCTCGCACCGATTGAAGAGCGAGATGAGGGCACGTCAGTGGAAGAGCTCCGCCAGTTCACTTGCAACCAAGCGAGCAAGTCAGATTGCAAAATCTGCCGTATCCAAATATGCAGGGTAAGTTTCAAGCAGTGGCGAGATATAGGCATACCTAGACCTAGAATTGGCTAACGTTTCTCCAGTCATGTTCATCGATCACCAAAGTCGCCAGTTCGGTGGCATCCGCACATCTGAAAACATGCACTCCATACTGCACCAGATGTTTCTACGCGCACTGTTGCCGAAGCGACGGTACACGAAGGAGGAAAGAGCATTTATCCCAATGCCAACTGGCTAAAGGGGTACTGCAACCGCGTCAAGCGGAGTATATATGTCGTCGATGCGCAAGCAAGACACGAGAAGAGCGACAGGAGATGATCGAGCATCAAGATCGGCTGGAAGTCTATCGGCTTGCACAACATCCATTGGCTTGCTCTCGGTGCAAGTCAATGCTCCCGCAGAGCGGCCCCCGCTGGTGGGTGTGCTCGACCTGCGGCATAGAGTGTCCTGATAATGTCCACCCACCTTGGGCGTCCAAGCTGTGAAGAGGAAGCGTTGATTAGTTACTCAGATGTGCTGACGGCAGGAATCAATTTTCGATATATCAAGCGATGCACTCCACCATGTTGTAGGTTGGGGGAGAGTGCACCACAAGCACTCTGTTATCAAGACGCAAAGAGGCTGGTATACGAGGTTAGATATAAGAATTATACAAACCCAATCTATTTGAAACATTTCCCTCTACAGGGGGGTAAGGCGTACAGCGCCACAGTAGTCAACTATGTAATCGATGTCTCGTGTTGAGCCGCACAAGGCTCGCTCTTTGAAAAAGGGCCGAGCCCACCTTATTTAACTGTCGTAGCAATTCTACTTGAAGCTCTGAGAATACCGCTTCCGTTTTCTCTACCCTGTATGCCCGCCCCCACACGTTGTATAGAAAACTTTTGTTTACTATTCCCCTCCGCCCACATCTCGTCCCAAAATGCGGGCGCTGTTCCCCTACAGATCACACCATAGTTCTCGCCTGGACAGTATAACTCCAGCTCCGGATATCCCGTGGAGCCTGGTCGGTTCAGCAAATGAAGGCCTACAAGACCAGCTAGAGCATTTATACTGGGAAGGCATAAAAGGAGAGCTTGAGAATATCATTCGCACATTGAAAGCATGGGAACAGCCAGGGCTCACGTCTGTTACTATCGAGGACGAGCAGGATGACCACATCCACGGGTTCGACACCTTCATCAGTCAAGTTAGTCAAGAGTCTCGAGCGTTTGCCATCCGATACGGTGAGTTTTGCGGTCTTTCCCCCCATTCAAATGTCTCCCTAGGTAGAAATCTTGCTGAAACTACTATAGGAAAGAAAAGGGAAGAGTGGGAGGATGCGAGGAAGAACAAGCTACTCCCACCAAAAGCGTCCTACAAAGATACCCTCATTAATCAATATTTGGACCAAATGGCAGAGTATAATATCACCGAACTTAAGTTTGGAGTGAGACAGGCAATAGAGGGTAGGTAATTCGATACTCTCTTGTTGATTTTAGGATGCTGATCGATGTTCAGGTCTTCCTATAGAGCGAGGTACTATCCGACGAGCAAGAATGTTGCTGCAAAGTGCTGGTTGGTGTCTTCCTCGGTCGACTCGACTTTCGAGACTGCGCAAGGGCTAGTTAACGGCAGTGAAAAGGGTTTCTCGACATTGAAAAGCTGATAGAGCATCGACCGCCCCCGAGAGAGTTTTCATTCTGGAGGCGACCAGCGATCCCGCAGCGTAAGGCAATTTTATCGTTTTACCCCCTTTTTTTGTCCTTCTTTTTTTCCCCGGGCCCAAAAACCTCGCGCTGATGGTCCTGTTTAGTGAGTCTGTCGACGCTTGACAAATGCTGGATACCGAGACTGGAGCCACTATCATGCACAAAATGCAAGGGCTTCATTCGCGGCAGCATGTTTACAACTAAAGACTCGGCTTATCCAAGTGTCATCTGCGAACAGTGCTACTGGCTTCACTTTTACGGAAATGAGCGGTATGTAAAAACTTATAAACACTGCATCCTCTCTGAGGCCATCACTCCAGTTTAAGCAGGAAGATCTGCCGCTGCCGGGGCGTTCCACACTTTGATAAATCGGGGCATCCACGATGTTTGTTTCCAGTTATCAAAGGTGAGAATCACCTCAGCACTGGCGGATTTGGAAGTATCCAGTGCGGCATCTTGAAACTGGGTGAACATGTAGCTCTCGCAAAGTACAAGGGGTTGCAAACTATTGTTGGGCTAAAGGCCAACAAAAACCGCCCTGCCACAATCTCAGGAGTAAAAGCGACACCGAATGAGGATAACACGAAACCTAAGAAAATACCTGGATGGAGACCAGGCAAACTGATGACCGTCGCCGACAAAAGCCTCCACGACTCCGCAACTCGAAGTCCTTCAGAGAGTTCTACAAGTGTTGCGACAGAGGCCCAGGCAGATGGGGACATACCCCTATTTTTCAGGAAATTCACCGAGAAGTATCCTTTTGGAAATGTCCATATGGCCCTTCGAGTCGGGCCTCTGGTCATCGAAAACGGCGTCTCTCAGTGAGTTTTGCCGTCATTTTTATATTACTATCAGAGAAGGAAACATGAACGTCCGACTAACCCCCAGTTCCTCCGCAGTGCGAAACGGGGGGCCTTGGTCACTGTTAGGGAGACTCCCGTTTTCCACCAACGCTTTGATTTGGTTAACTCCTGCGACCGATGCTTCTCAGTAAGCGAAGGGAACTCTGGCAGATTACTGTGGCAGCAGAAGACCCGACCGAGGGGACTTTCCAAACGATTCAAGGCTATCATGAAACAAGTAGTCGGCGTTCCGTTTTCGGGCATCCTAGACAACGAATCTCTTGAGAGCCAGATTGTTGAGGACATTGTGGTAGCAAGCAAACTGCCGTTTGACGACCCAGGGCTTTCAGGCGCAGATCAACGTAGCCTGTTAGACTCTGCAATCGGCCCACTGCTTGCAAAACTCCAATCTTTGATGGGGTGGAGAGTGAAAGTCTATATAGAGAGTATATCTAATCGGCTCCTGGATCTCAAGACTAACATCTCCTGGAGTCTCACAGGTAATAACTGCCAAAGCTTTTGCAACGCAATTCTTGAACCAGACTTATTCGAACCTCTTCTCAACGGTCCTGAAAGGAAGAGCGGCCCATACGGCGAGCCGCTGTATCTTATGAGTTTCGTATGCCCGCAGGATGGATATCAAAAGCGCAAAGTCCGCACCAAGTTCGACGTGCCTATCGGCCTGACTGAGGAGTACCTCCTGAAGTTTCACTTCGGTCGCCACGATGAAGCGGACATCATCGATACCCTACTGGAATACTGGTATGACTGGGGCGCGTTCGCAGCGCCGCTATACAAGTACCAGGATCTCTTCCCTTGGGATTGCACGGAGGCATATGGGAAGTATCCAACAAGGTGCGGGGATTGCAACCTTGCAAAGCATGTCTGGGCATTTCCTTTCGACTCATGGTCCATGGTTGCGCTGCACTTAGCCCGAGACCAGCATTTGTACGCGCCAGACCTTTCAAAGGCAGCCGAGACAAAGCCCAAACCCGCGGCCTGGATGGAGAACCGTCTGTTAGTTCTCACTGCTTCGTACCTCCTAACGCGTGCCGCAGTAGCCATGGCAAAGACACCGAAATTCTGTTCCGCAACGTCGTGGCTACATTCGAAGAAGAGAGGTCTGCGAGCTGAGGATCCGTCGCTTTCGCGGGTAAAGCTCGGCGGCATCCATCGCGCTCAGCCATTCAGCCACTACTTCGAGGCTGGGACGTATAGTCATTACTTCATTGCCGAGTGGGCTCTCCTATCGCGAAGGGACCAAATCGAGGCATATGAACTGATGCGGGATGGCCGCATCAAACTCCTCGACGTACCTTACGCCTTCAGCTCTCGGAGCAGATTCGAGCACACAAGCGATGGCTCCTCGAATTTCTCCGGTTTTGACGGGATTGGCTCTGGGATTGACGCTGCAGGGCCGACTCACTCAGGATTAAGCAGCTTTGAAGACGGGCCGACGCATTATGACGCCGGGTTGAGTGTCTATAGTCCGTCACCGGATGCCGCTGCGTGCGGTGAAGGGGGTTATGGCCGTGATGGCGCTACTTCAAACTGTGGAGCGTCGGGATGCGGCAACAGTTCTTGCGGGGGTGCAGCTTGTGGGGGAGGTGGTGGAAGTTGTGGAGGTGGAAGTTGTGGAGGTGGAAGTTGTGGAGGTGGAAGTTGTGGAGGCGGCGGAGGTTGTGGAGGCGGAGGCGGCGGAGGCGGCGGCGGAGGCTGCGGAGGGGATTAAATCCGAAGAGAAGGATGGTGAATGATGAATAACATCGTACAATACCCCGGAAGGCTTGCAGTATATCACCTGGACTATATGGGTACTATATTAAAAAGCTCCCACCTCCCCTCTTTCAGTCTCTTCTACTCCAGGTTACTACATCGATATAAATATATATAAAGATAATAGTATGCTAAGGCCTGGCTGGAGATTTTCTCTCGGCTACAGGGTATCGCCTCTCAGTTGTTAAACTGGAGGTGGAGGACTTAGCCTTGGAGGTAGTAATGACGGGGGGGAGGCGGACAACAAGCTCTTTTCTGGGCAGTTATAATCACTGACTCGACCTTTTCTTGCTAGCATCGCTGATTCCATAGTTAGGGAGCTATTTGACCAGAAGAAATTAAGACGGCTAACATTCTTACCCGTCCTTGACGCATGTCAACCCGGGATAGTAATTGACCCTGACAAGACCAATATCTGCGGACATGCTTCCTTTCAGGGTAGTGGACAGCCCGGTGGGATGCTGGGTGGCTGAAGGGGGAAATGCAGCTGGTTTACTGGCCAACAAGACCTCAAGCAACTGGCGAAGGAGAGAGCTGGCTTCTTCGAGTTGGCGGAGACAGCGAGTTGGTTGTTGGTTCTCCACCGACAGGGCAATATTCACCACCGGAGAAAAAGATAATATCTGCGGTAGCTGTGCACGATAAGCCCGATGCCCGGCCGGAGATCACCCACGGACATGACCCGGGGATAATGACGAATATCCCCGGTGAAATCAGTCGCTCTGCTTTGCTATCGTGATTTTCCCGTGATAACAATCTCTCTTGAGACTTTGCCAAATTTGGGTGAGTGCACAGTCAGTGGAGGATAGTTAGCATTGCCTTCAAGTTCTTTTCTTCGTGTATCGTTTCTGCGTTTGTCGTTTCTTCGCCCCCTTTGGTGCTTGCCCTTGGTCCATAAATCCCCTGCGAATCCAATAATCATGCTGTCAGAGTCACTTGAGTTCTATGGAAAGGGCTCACGGGCTATGCTAAGCATATGTATAGCCCGTGTGTACCAACAGATACAAGCCATCGGGCATCGATGGTCATACCAGGCGACCCCGTCAACGAAAAATGTGGTAGTACTCGGTGGCTCCTACGCCGGCATCAACCTTGCCCAGCGACTGACAGAGACGTTGCCGACAGGCTACCGAGCGGTCTTGATTGAGAAGAACTCGCATTTCAACCATCTCTATGTGTTCCCCCGATTTGGCGTGGTTCCGGGAATGGAGCGGTCTGCTTTCATTCCATATACCGGGATTGCCAGCCGTGCACCTGATGGTATCTTTCAACGTATCCAAGACTCCGCAACGAGCGTTACACGAAATAAGGTCGAACTCGCGTCTGGCAAGAGCATTGACTATGAGTATCTTGCTATTGCAACAGGGTCATGGCAATCCCCACCCGCAAAGCTGATATCTGAAAACAAGGAGGATGGGTGTGCAGAAATGTGTGTGGCTCAGAATCAAGTTCAGAATGCCAAAAAAATTGTGGTGATAGGAGGAGGTCCTGTGGGAATTCAAGTTGCAACTGATATCAAGAGCTTCTTTCCAGCTAAGGATGTTACCCTTATTCATTCGCGGCATCAACTCTTGCCAAACTTTGGTCCGCGGTTGCATGGGCATGTTCTGCAGATTCTTAACCGGTTAAATGTTAAGACGATGTTGGGCGAACGGCCACAGAGCATTACAGAAGCGGTAGATCAGACCACTCTAAGCAACCGGGAGTCGGCGCTGCAGTTTAAGAATGGTCATAAAGAGGCGTATGATTTAGTGGTAGGTAACTCCGCGAAGCCTGGGGATTTGTCCACTGCCCTCTTCTGAATCTTATATATCCGTACCTTGGACTTTAGGGATCCATAGCTGAACCTCATATTCCAGATCCGATGCACGGGACAACGCCCAAATTCGAGCATTCTCGCTAAGCATTTTCCTTCCTCAATAAGCAAAGAAACAGGCCAGATCCTCGTGCATCCAACTCTGCAGGTCAACGACGGTACTGAACTAGAAAACAAACACATCTTTGCACTAGGAGATGTCGCCAAAACCGATGGCCCCAGGATGGGCCGGGCTTGTCAATCCCAGGCAGAAATAGTCACGTCCAATATCCTGGCACTGATCAACAAGCAGGATCAGCTTGTTGCATATCGGCCATCTATCGTTGATAGAGTTATCAAGTTAACCCTAGGCAAGGTAATGGGCCATACATGTCCCTGACCTAGTTAGACATCCCACTGTGCACGCATAGCTAACCCTCCAGTTGCTCGGTAGAACGACTACGCCTGGTACGTGAAAGACGACGGTGGCCGCGAACTGATGGTAGCGGGCAAAGGGGGAGGTGTCGACCTCAGCGTTGGCCAAGCCTGGAGCAAGCTTGGGGTCAGCCAGAAGGAAAGCACCGCGTAACAGGCCATGGATTAGGAGGAGCGTTTGGAATCGATGTCCTTGTATAAAAGATGCACCCCTGGTGAATCTCTAGTTATGGCGAAGAAATGGAAGAAAATATTTTATATCTTTTTGGCCAGAGAAAACTGTACGACCCAAGTGCTTGGCTTAGGCTGCCATAATTGCTGGTCCTTCATAATTGCCACCATATATCATATAATTGCTGGTAAAAGAAGGTCAATCAGTTCTAGCTTCACGCAATGGATCCGATTGTTGCTTGAATCGGGGGTCCCTCACGTATGAGATAGAAGTCAACACAACGCAGATAAACGCGACTTCGCGCTTGCAGGGACGGTTATATCTCAATTATATATACCTGATTAGAAATGCAAAATAGAGCAGTTATTTCCGTAAAGCTAGAGGCTAGTTAGGTTGAGTATCTTGAGTTGCTTGCTAGGTTTGAATCTTGAGATGGAGAAATTTTACTCGACTACCACTTCTCGCGATAGCCAGTAGATACGAACAGAGTACAACTGTTTCTCCACCAAGACACACTAGTTGAAAGCAAGCTGCCAGCACCATGGCATCTTAAATAGCCAATATTCCCTCCGTTGACAGAGATGGAGGCCTGACATATTGATCCTTGTTCTCTTTAAATTAGGTGTTCTCAATACTTAGTTAAGTATAAAAATAGCAACGGGGTTAATACAAGGGATGCTTGTCATTGTATCTTTAACTACTTACGAACCAGGTACGCACGAATACCCTTGGAAACTGGAAATTTTGACAAGCGCAACGTCGTTTACTACTACGAATGGAGCTGAGCAGCCAGATCTCATTACTGCACGCAAGATAGTACCTACGATGAATCACAGGCGTATATTTTTAACATCACGGAGGTATCAGATGTCCCTCCCGGAGTCAAGTACTACAAATAGAATGACTGCGGCCATGACTGAAAGCACAATCAGTGAGACTGTGCACTAGGTGAAACCAGGGGCAATCTGGAAGCACGCAGCAAGATCCTAGCGAGTATGTCCCTGGGGAGCGTGGTGTCCAACCACTTCATGTTGGTTGCTAGTTAACTAGCACCATATAGATACCCTGACCTCAACTTGTAAAAGTGATTTCTCTCCCTTCTTCTTATTTTCTGCTTCTCATCTCTCTCTGGAACACTATCCTTCTTTAACGTGATAAAAATGTCGAACATGTTACAAGTTCTGCTTATCACTGTTCTGTTGGTTTTGCCGATTAGCAGTGTTCCACATAACCCCCAAGTCCCCCTAATCTCCGAGCCTACATCAAGGAACTATATCCCCGGCGGGTCAGGCTTCTACCATTGCGATGGCCGACAGGGGGAAAGTGATCTTTTCCAGATTGACAATATTACCATTACTCCTCCGCTGAAGACGTTAGTATCACTCTTTCATTCTTACCTTTATAGCTAGATTGAGATCCATCTGATTTAGGCGCCGTATAGAGAAGCAATTGTCCTCTTCGAGATGGCCGGCTCTTTCCAGAGAGATATACCTCGGAGTTCTATAGCCAATATTACAGTCGAAGTCAACGACCGAACTACACCCGTGCCCTTCTATTTGTGTGATGCCGTGGACGATGTTGAACAGGACGGCGAAACAGCGACATGCCCACCACATCAAGGTGCAGCGGTAATTCGGTGTTATGCACTATTGAATCGCCAATTGTTCCCACCAGTAATTATACTCTTCCCTATAACTCCGTACTAATGTATATGTATTATACCTAACATAATGATTCAGGGATACTTCTATTCGTTCAAAATTAACGCGTATACTCCTGATAAAAGTATAATCGTTGATATTTGCACTGAGTTAGTGTTGGAATAGCGTTACAGACGTATGATCTCTTGGATGTTCAAGTCCACATGTGCAGGCTCCAGCTTGTCACGTCAACACTAAGATCCAAGAGGTATGTGTATATATGGCCATTAGTTACATTAAAATAATATACAGGGTCCCCAGCCGCATTCTAATTCAAGGAAGGCCACCCCAAACGCCCAAAATGTATTTACAGAAAAGATTCCCGGGTATCGCACACAGATTAACGCCTAGCCCCAAAATCCACAAGCTCATCATGCCCTCCTCAATTCTGACTGTGACGACGCATCCGTAGAATGAAAACTGGGCTTTGACACATTCCTGCTCTCTTCATACGCTATGTACTTGGATACCATCACCCCATCGTGGGGGGTTAACTGGTCGAACTCAAGATCGCAGCCGAATGTAGACGTAATCGTCGTGGTCTGGCCGCTCTCGAGCATTGCAGCCTTGCTTTCGCGCGTGTGAGAATACTGGTCGCGGTTGAGTTTGGGGTTCGAGTAACCATTTGAGAATCCGGAGACTGTGTAGCGCTGGGAGACGAGGCTGCCGAGGATGGTGGGGAGGTAGCGCGCGAAGAATGGCTTGAGAGATGCCAATGAGGCAGCGAGCTGGAAAAATAGTCATGTCAGTTTGGTACACTTGATATAGGGTAGACTAGCGGGGGCTTGAACGTACAACTCCGAGATACATCTCAAAGGTGCCAGAGATCCAGACGGGATAGGCAGCCCATGTCTTATCGTGGGAGATGTTCAACTCATAGGTAAAGTAGACTCGTACACTGCCAGCGATACAAACTGCGAACCCGGCACCAAATAACATGCAGAGCACCACACGCTGCCTGGTGGGGAGCTTGAGAGTCATGACGGTAGGGATTGGCAAGATGACAACGACAAAGTCAGTGACGGCGTTGAGTATCCCGCCAGCCAGGATATGTGCAGCTTCGTTTATACAGTTTTGTGGTTTAGTTGACAGGGTCCAATAAGCGGAAATTGGCCTAGAATCAGACATTAGCAAGAAGAAGTGTATCGAGATAGCTAGAGGCTATATATACATACCTGCAGGTGAAAACAACCACGAGGCAAAAGACAACCATCTCTAGCCCAACGATCACCATGGTAGCTATAACAGCCCATTTTAGGGAAGTCGAATTTGTACCGGCCGTGATCTTGCGTGTGAAGCAGAGTAGCGAGAGCTTGGTCAGCGAGCATCCGATGGCGAAGAGACATTCCACTACCATCGTCAGCTTTAAACCTAGGGCTAGCTGCGCAAACGGCACATCGTAAACATGTCGATTCCAACCAAATCTGATTACTGCTATGACGGTGATGATTCCACAGCAGACGGCCGGAATGGCAGCGGCAACAATCAAAATGTCATCTGCGCCGAAGCTCTTTGAGATATGGACGCGGGTGAATATGCGAACGATAATGACGCCCACTACCAGGGGCAAAAATATGCATGTTAAAATGACGATGGCGGGGCCCCGGATGTCAGTCGGATTGAGATAGTTAGGCTTGGGCCAGGTGAGTATCACCGAGGTTGGAGGGAGCTGCATGGTGTCGACCGGTCTGCAGTCTTCGAGGCTACTCTTGTCGCAGATTATCCTGACACACCCTCACAAGCCATGTAGGGGAGCCCTGTAACAACTATCGTCGCTAGCGCAGCACTAAGAACTAGGCGCTTTGAGGTTTGATGATTGTTTAGCGGACGTCGAAAGCCGGGGTTGCTCTCGCCTGGTTGATTAAGGATGTCAACCGTGCCAACCATGCCTATGTTCCCGTGAACTCTGGACGTGAGAAAGTTCAGGTTATCCATGATAGGGGCTCGCTGGAGACGTTTTTGATCCATGGTTGTGCGGGGACGAAGATCACGGTTGAATAGTTTACAAACCACTCCACAGAGTTGACAGATCAATCCGCTGGGATCGCTGCGGCGTCGACTGCGAGGCAAGCAGATATCAGAATTGCCGAAGGATCGATCTGCATTCTACACCAAGATAGAGCGGTGACCTGCTCACAAAGGCCTTCGCTTAGCGAACACTTGGTAGTTCGCAAGTTCTTCTGATGCAGCAGCATATAACGGTTAACGACAGCCGAGAAGAGGGGGTTAAGCACGATAAAGAATATTCAAAACGCCTGCAGAGATGGCACTGCGTAGATACTCCGAGTTATATAGATGCCGACATTTGTCAAGCTGAAGAGTTCTTATGGAAGCCGAAGAAATTCAGACTCTATAGCCCAACTACTTAGAGCAGACATGTCAGCCGTGTGAGAGAGACAGCGTTTCTACTTCTCTACTCCGTACACCTCCATCCCAAGCCATAGGTGATTTAACCCCGATATACATGGCGTTGGTTCTAAGCTCGATATCGCCAGGGGCATGCTTGGCTTGGATGCACCGAGCTGTTTTCGAAATAAGTCTGCTTTTGAGGCGTTTTTAGAATATCTTCCAGAAGTCCTTCACTATATTATGTGCATAGGGCTGTGGCAAACTAGCTTTCTTTTTTTAAGGCATCGGGAACCTCTTTTCACCAGAGTAAAGAAAGTACTGAACCCGAATAATTGGACGGGTAACGTCGCCATCCTCCTCGACGACGATCGTGGTGCTGATCAAATACTAGTGACTGTATAGCGGCATCCGGTGGCTTGATGGTGGCTTCATGGTGGCTTTTGGCGGTTCTTGTAAGTTTGAAATATTGGACATGGATGGCTCTGAACTGACCAGGGTAAAAATTCCCCGTCGTGAGAAACGGCCACCTTGGCTCTTGATGTAAACCATGGTAGGCTCTGCTTTGATGCGATTGATTCGCGTGCGTTCAGTGGTGAAACCCATAGTATTCAGTTCAAAACCAACAGACAAGCCATCCGGTGCAGTGAAAAAGTAAGGAACTTGGGCTAAATTCCGAGATAGGTGTTTCCTCCGAGCGAAAAGAAACCATGGTCCGAGACTATAGAATGCACGCTGCAAGTTCTAACGGTTCTCAAAGGCCACCTGGATCGTCTGCAGACTTCCCCGCCTACCACTGAAAGTATGTCTCTAGATCTTGATCTTGTGTTTTCTGGTCGAGAGGTTCGTTCGGTGGTAAACGAGAAATCGATGGCGCTTTTTCTTGCGGAGACATGGACGATCTAAGTGATGGTTGCACGTCGGTAGGGTCAACCTCAGGTGCTAGCGCTGTAGATGCCAGTTGACATGACAGCTGAGCTTGAAGGTCGGAGTCCTGGATGACTGCCCTGTTCCATGCAGCTGTATCTATCATCATAACGCCCTGGATAATGTCACAAGCCTCCTCGGTCGAATCTGCGATGAGTACCAAAGGATCACCACTATCAATCCCAGTGACGACCCAGCCTACTATTGCTCTTTTAAAAACAGCATAAGAGAGAACGAAGATAGGTACCAGGATTGCCCTTTGCAGCGCTAGTAGTTGCGCTAAGGTGAAGAATGCTGTCCCCATGACGAAAACCCCTAATACTGATAACCTCGCTAAAGGATTTCAAGCAAGAACTGACTCGCGCGGGCTTAACCCCCCCACGCATATCATGACGATAAGCGAGTTTCTCGTGGCTGTTTTCGTCTTGGAACCAATTATGTATGGAGTGCTGGTCTTGGGGGTTCCCAGTTGGCGCAGTGCTATCTCAACACTCCCCTCATAATCGCTAACTAGCCGGAACTGGCATAATGGCGCCCAAGGAAAGGAATATCGCTATAATGCCTCCAAATGGCACCACGCCAGATCTCATTTGTGGCACCAAGCAACGCGCCAATGTTTGGCAGAAGCGCGAGGACACTGGCGGCGCCAGAATATTCCGCCTTCCGGAGTTTATTCAGTCTGCTGGTAAGGGCCGAGTTCAGGTTCACATAGCATTGCCGAAATTGGCCATCAGCACGAATGCAGACGCCTCGATTTAACCAGTTGGGGATATCTTGGCCAGCGTCGCCGATGAAAGTATCAGTTGAGCCTGTACAGTTTTCAGGCTCGGGAAGAGCTGTTTGACACGGAGCCTGCGCTGCGACTGTACCCAGCAGGACAGCAATCACAGCGAAAGTCGTGAGCAGGCGGATGCATGAAACCGTCCTGTTAATGATGTTTGACGTCCCGAATCCCACGGCCGCCAAGTACAAAGAAGTGTTCGCCTGATGATATTGACAAGGTGTGCTCTTTGAACGGGAAATTCGGGCTCCCTTGGGTTTCTCTTCCTACGACATAATCATGAGCGGCTGTCTGTTCCCTAATATTGTGAAAGGTATGCATTTTAATCGGTTTAAGCTGTCCCACTGAGGTTGAGACGTAAGGCTGAGATCACGAAGAGCAGGGTTGTCTTACTTTTCATTGGCTAACTGTGAAATCGTGTGAAGAACCAATATTAATCCACAACAGAGGGGATATAATATTTAACGAGATACGTCAGTTTTGTACGGGCATCATCCTTTGCCTCGTACATTATATATTCGATTCTACCCGGCAGGAGACCATTTCTTCCATCCAGCGACGCCACTAACGTGCGATAATCTGAGGGACCGAGATGCTGATTACATGGGCTGAGGACACTCAGAAAGTCGAGCCATGTGGTATTCTAGCCGAATCTCAAACCGCGAACCATTTACGAGATCGTTTCGCATCTATACCAGACAATCCAGGCGTGAGTCCCACCCACTCAAGTCAGTAAGAATGGGCTTCAGAACTGTCGCCGTGAATATATCTACTAATCCCTTTCCTTCTCGGTCGCTGACAAGCATCTCTTGGTGTTGAACGGAGATTCGGTGTAATACTGCCTGATCGTACGAAACACGTTAGTCAACTACGCCGTTTCATTAAATATCAGTGTCAGCTCTCCATCATCGAACAAATGCTACGCCCGGCGTTTTAACGCCTGTTTCAGCTGTAGCTGGCATCTCCGCGATGGCAAGATACATGGCCGTATGAGGAACATAAATAGGAGCTCAATATCGTGTATTTAGATGATCAGTGCTTGATAGATTGAAATCTCATAGATTGCTCCAGACCCACCTGACCAATCAAATCAATCAAATATCTCGTATCTCAGACTTGGAGTTGGGGTCATTTCATGGGCATTGCTTCCAATAACCATACATATACCATCGGGCGTGCGATATAGAGCTCTATGCTTGTGCTTGGTCTTAACCCCGACTTATCTACCTCCCTATTACTGCTCGTTCATGATGTGAGACTTGAGCCTGAGTGCTTGCGAGGTCACAATAGGCAAGTAATAGTGCGAGACTGTAGGAACTCCAGTAGTTATTTTGTTCCTAATGTTCAGAATGACGGCGATTGTTGAGATTGAGAACGCCGCACAACACAATACATAAGGGCATATGGCGTCGAACTGACCGAGTTGCTCGGTATGAACATCATTGCATGCGTTTGGCGGGGACCGGAAATGTGGTGCATGCAGGAGACTGATCATAACGGCGAATGGTTATTTTTGACTCCATATTTACGATGAAATCCTACATCCAGTAGCATGGACGTAAATCTCGACTGCATTAGCTAACAGGCAAGGAACCTGCCTTCTAGATCCAATGTACCCAACTCTATAAACAAAGTCGCTGAGTACGTGCGCATTTCCCATACTCCATTATCGGTATTAACTCCAATACCAGTGGCGTCTCCGTGTAAAAACACCAAAGGAGTGGAAAGTGTACAATAACGCGGGTGGCCAAAGGAACACGTTGAAACCCCTTTGATCAGACTCAGTTGGCGTCGACGATGTACTCTTCAAGCCGATCCCGAATTTTCTTCCGTTTTGGACAACTTTGATATAACATGTTTCTCGAGGTTTCCTGCTTCCCACCACCAATATCAAAAGCTCCAAAGCGTTTTAGAAAAATGTGCAAATGTTTTGCCCCAAATCACCTCATCAGAGACCTTGCTGTGTAATTTCTCTCGGTAAGCAGCCATGACGTACTGTAATGTATTCAGCGTTCCACTTTCCTCGAAAAGCTCCTGTAACTGTCGCTGGGTGCCATTTGTGTGAGTTAATCCATGAAAATGACCAAACTCTAGATAAATTTCGCTACCTTGGTGGTGAGTTTGACCGTTCCAGTCGTCGCGACCAATCCAATATAGAAAGTTGACAGTATCGTGGGGCTTATACCGGCGCCCCGATTTGGCGCCGGACGATACCCGCTCTGAAATATCAGGCTTTCTCGGGGGTATTCAGATGGACATAGACAGATCAAATTATCTAGCAAATTCTCAATTACCTAGCTATCCCAGCAGGGATATGGGAATAAAATGCTCTGTTATAGTCACCTCCGCAAACTTTAGAGCGGCTCCACATGAGCTAGTGTAAAATAAGCTTTGCAAATGAGGCTTGTCCAGACGCACATACACATTAAATAAACTGCCAACCAAGGTCTCGCAACCATCCCGCTGAACGAAAGGGGCGGTGCTGGAGTTTGTCTATCGGTTGGTGTGGTATCTGGGGTGGTTGTGCGGACCGCCAAATGGCCCATACCAACTAGCGTACCCCCATCATCGTCTATTAGTTGATATCCACACTTGAATGCCTGGCCCAGGGCCATCTCTCTTAGACAGAACCACCATGATATTACATAGCGATAAGGCTACATCTGAGCAAACTTGGTGATGAAAACTCAAACCCAAGTCCCCCCCGCGCGCGCGGCGGGTCTACCTTCCACCACTTTTAGCCGTCTAGCCTTCTTGGCCTCAGGATCTTTTCAGTTGCAGACAGAATTCTGCAATGACTTGTGCCGCCTGCAATCCACCTCCGAGGAAGATATGCTCGTGCTTCATTGCAACCTTCGCTAGCGCGATAAGGACCCCACCTGTGCATATACGAAGCTTCCACGCCCATTCGTGCGCGCCTCATGAATTGTGAACTGCCCACAATGACAGGAACGATTGGCGTCCCAAGACCTTTGGTCAAGCAGAGCGAACCATTATCATGTTCCCAGAAATACCGCTGCAGGCTATTACTTTCGTGCGGGAGGTCAATGTTGAGTAAGGCGGTGTTTTCAGGGGCAGTCAAAGTGCCGCCTAGTTTTCCATTGTCCCCGGATTATTTGGAGAACACCTCTTCCTTTTCAGTCAAGTATACCGTGCTCTCTTTAACTTCATTTGTGATGAGATATTTCAACATTTTTAAACGGGGGAATGCGGTCTTCGAACATTACTAAAGCTACATGTTAGGAAATGAAATATCCAGGGCACAGAGGCAGACCATAACTGTACTGTCCCTCAAATTTTCGAAACACCCCTGGTGTTGGCTAGGGCTTTTACACAGTGCAGCACACACAACATCATCCCTTACCCGATGCATTACACTTGTCTTTGTTTGCCTGACTTTGGTGCCCGAATTCAGGCTGAATGACTTACGCAAAAACTAGATGTTGGATGCGACTCCAATCATGGCCCACATACCCTATGACAGCATGGACTTTTACAAATATAAGACTACATACCCCTAGTCATCGATGCAAATGCCCACGCTGTCTTGTTGCAAGCTTTACCAGCCAGATAATATAATCAACGTTTACCTCCTGTTTTGTTGGAATTCTAAATCGGTCTTTCCAACCCCCTGGAAGGAAGGGTGTCTTCAAGATGAAATTGTTGGCGGACCAAAGATAAGCTCACCAAAACATTCTAAACGACTAAGGAACATGGAAACATAGGCTATGTGACAGTCAAGACAGCTTAAACTCCGGGTTATGGCTGGTTATTGTATCCAGGCTTAGCTCCGCTCAAGACCAGTCAACAACGCCGTCCGCTGTGCATTGGCGTCCCCTGGAGCATCCTGTGCGTCATGCATGCATGCCGCCTTGACGCAACTAATCGCCGATCCCGCTGTCGATCCAATAAGCCGCGTTGTCGACGGCCAGGGATACGATAATAGGTCATGTGACATGAGTTGACAGGGGTATATCCAGCCTCGCCAAAAGGATCAGTTAGTTTCTTTTCTCGTTTCCCACTGTGTAGGTCAACAAGGCTATTTTCTAATAGAGAAGATAGATGCCAGCAGGTTGCGCCGTAAAATATCCTTGAATATTTTAAAACCCACCTTCTATACCACTTTTGGCGGAGCAAGACGAAAGTTGCATAAACAACCGGAGGGAGGTTAAACAGAAGTTCCAAACCATGACGGCATGCACGGAAAACCTCGCCTACATCGAAGATTTGGCAGCGAATGAGGAGGCCGGAGAGGATGAAGTCGATGGCGAGACAGCTGTCGCCTTCCATGTGTTGAAATGCCATCAGGGTGAGCGAGCAGGAGGAGCAATGCAACAGACAGTAAACTAACCGGGAACAATAAAAGATCGAGGATATGAGTACTCCCTAGCCCAAACTGCGATGGATTTGCCTCCACCTGCGAGTTACGACTTGATGGCGATGTGAGTAGTGAATCACTAGCCTGCCATTCACATTTTAATACTATGTTGGTGTAAATGGTAGAAATGGCTAACCCAACCCCAGCATGGCTCCGTTTGACGGTTTCGGTGAAATCCCAGATTTTCGAACCCTGGTAGACCGGTGTGAGATCCCCAGCGGATTTGTGTTGGAGAGAGCGCGATCTGTGACACATTCATTCGGCTCATCGTTAACTAAAGACGGAGTGCAATGTGAGTATATCACCCTCCACAATGTCTGGCTTTTGATTTCCATGTATAGTATTATTGATCATATGTCAGTGCACCATCTAATGTCTCTGCTATAGCGGTATGGATCCAATTCCTGTGCACAGCTTCGTCTCCAGACGTCGAAAGGTCAGAATGGCTGCGGTCCTCCGTTGTTCTAAAATGGTCCACGGCCGGTGACCGAACACCCGACGGTAGGTTCCATTGTAAGGCGCCTGTTACTCTGATGTGTTTCGGGCATGTTGCGAGTACTATTGGCAAGCGACTCATCAGGCTCGTACGAGGAGCCGATTGGGAGGATGTCCTTCAAGACCCGTATCTGCTATTAGATATGGTGTACGAGGCCTGGTACATCCATCTGGACGATAGTGGCTGGAAAACCAACGATTTTTGTCGGAATATCGAAAAGGTATGCCCTTGTCGTTGAGACTGGCCCCTGGCCCTGGATTAACGTGACAACAGGATGCTTTTCGTGGCGCAAGACACCTTGATGCCAGTTTCCAAGGTGCCCCGGTTGTTGATCTTCACCATGTTCATACCATTGCGAAAAACGCAATCTTTATGCTCGAAGGGCTCGAGGCAACCCTTCGGTCTCTCGACGCGGCAATCGCCCATCACCGCGAACTGCCCGATACACACCTGCCTATCTGGAAAGCCACGCATAGTACCCTGGTCCACCGCAGGGAGCTCTTCCAGGCGACCAAACTGAGGATTATCAGCGTTGAAAAGCGGCTGGCGAATATCATTAATCTCGTACGCTCCCCCTCCGCCGAACTAGGTTTGTAACCCGAACCCTCCGCTAACCGTGGAATCGATAGGCATTCAACATTGATGCCATGCAAAACAGCCGCATCACGCAGCGGGACAGCTATAGCTTGAAGGCGCTCTCTCTGGCTGCCACCGTCTTCCTCCCTCTCTCGACGATAGCTACAGTCTTCAGTACGCCATTCTTTGAATCCTCGGGCTCATCGCCATCTCCGCAGTCTGGCGGTGGGAAGGGAGGAGGTGAAACGCTGCTTGTCCGCCGTAACTTCTGGCTTCTATGGGCCATCTCGGTGCCCATCACAGTAGCCTTGATATGCGGCTGGTGGCTCTTGGAGAAAAAGGCTCAGCCCGGGTCCAAGGGGAGACATCGGCCGGAGATAGACGTCGAACGGGGGTAGACAGTACCCTACTCTGTATATAGATCCTCTACGTATGGTATATCCTTGAACATATGAATATACCTTGAACATGGACGAGTGGAAAGACGTACAGGGAAGATGACGTCGCATGCTTAGCGCGCGCCATGCCAAACGCCGAGAGTTCTCCGGGCGCCGATCCAGTTCCTTGCGCCAAACTCTGTTCCTCGGCTCTCGGCGATTCCTCCCAGCTTGTGCACATAGAAAGAAGCACGAAAAGGGTAGTTTCAAACGTGTTTTTGATTTATTAACTGTTTGTGCTATCTAAGGCTGTCTATCTTCAAGTTCAACAGCGGCTTCTTCTGCCGGGAGATAGGAATCTATCATCTAGGTGTAGTGTAGTGTGTGTAGTAGTGTGGTAGGTATTAAGTGCTCCGTACGCCATGCTTGTATGTTCAAATCCATCTTCTCTTCTGGAGCTGGACGAGTTGCTCCCTGATCCCCTTCAGCTCGTCCATACGGGCAGCCTCGCCGTGCAGGACCCGCAGATGTTCCTTCTTGAGCTCTGCAAAGGCGTTGTCGAGCTGCTTGTGCCACGGGTATAGGACGAACACCTGGAAGCCCAGGGCCGAGGTGGCGACGAGGAAGTTCGTCAAGGAGACGCCGCGGGTGAAGATCATGGTCGCGTGTGCTGCTGCGTGCGGTCCCGTAGTTAGTCGGTCAGGAACTCATAGCTGTTCAGACGTAGCCAGCGGACTCACCTGTAGATGCTTGTTATTGTAGGAGTATTGCTGACGTCAGAAACACAGAGTAGAGATTCATGAAAGGCCAGGAGAGGAGATGTCACCGCAGCAAGAAGTTGAAGATGAAGACGAAGTTGAAGCTGGAAGAGCAGAGAGTGCCAGTCATAAGAGCGGTAAGTGAATCAGTTGACGTGTTCCTGAAGAAACCTCGAAGGCTCTCCGGGTCTTTATGGACATCGCGAAAAAGGAACGCCGAGAGTTCTCCGGACCGGTCCGTGGGGCCTGGCCAGCCCTTGCCTTGCGGTTTTGCCCTTCACGAAAACTTCAAAACCCTCAGGCACGCCTTGCCATTCGCCCAGTTCGTTCCGTCAAGACATCGACAGCAACTCCGCCACTACAGCTCTCGGTATGCCTTGCTGCGTTCGCCTATGGCGCCTACGTCAACAGTAACTATACTCAAGGGATAGGAGTTACGTCGACAGTAACTACGTTCAAGGGATAGAGACAGGTCTCGGTTTCAACGCATCATACCAGAAACAATGTCGCGGCATCCAGACTATTATTAGGGCAAAACAGCTGGGATCTCCAAGTGACACCGCTCGAGCCCCAAAAGAGCTTGTTCACACATGATACAGCAACGTTGATCAGCTAGCGTATGCCAGCGCATCTCTATCATGGGGCTTCAGCCGAGTTGGGTACTGTCTGTTATCGTATACTGAGTGAATAACTACATCACTCCTTTGGTGAATATGTTATGAAGTCTGGCTAGCTATTTTGTTCAATCAACGCTATCTCTGTCTATATATGTCACGCACGTCCTTTCTCCAAGGCCACTGCTTACCACGACCTCGTTGCTACTCAGCACTCTATTGTGTGCATAGAGGGACTGCTTATGTCCATTTCTAGCCATGGGAATGTTTCAATCCTCGGTGTAGAATCCCGGTACTGCGCTTTGGCGAATATAACGGCCCTGAGGGGATAGTGTGACCCTGCTAGACTACGGTGCCTTGCAAATCTTATGCCACATCTCAACAGCCTAACAATGCTAGTCAGCCGCTTCGATCTATGCACGATCGTGTAGCCCCTGTGATTAGCATAGACATCTGTATAGATATATCTATGCGGGGTATGTACACGGCTGTTTTTATAGATCCAAGCCTAGGGACGCTCTTAGAAGCTCATCGTTGAGAATTTTATATTTCTTCACCAAACGATACAAAGGACCAGATGGGACGAAAGCCTATGTTTCAGCAAACCTGGGGCTCTCACCATGCTCCAGACACTGCCATCCCCGGTCTAACGGCCTCAACCTCGTCCCCGAAGCGCCTGATGCCGTCTTTAATGTCCCTCAGGGGCGGACGTTCTGATATCGCAGGAGTTAGGTTTTCCACGTGACCTTATCCCGCTGAGGAGAAAAAAAGCGACCAGGATCCCCGAAAGGGAACAGGAGAAAAAGAGGAGAAAGAGGAGGAGAGGGAGCGCGCTCTTCTTCGTTTCTCTCCTTCACCAGCCTGACCAAGGATCAGTCTCTCGTTTCCTCTTCGTCTATCTCTCGCAACCATCTCGGGACCGCTGCCTTTTTTTCAGGGGCTGAACGGGGCTACTAGTTCTCGCGCATGCTGATAATCTCCGTCGCGTTACCCCTGATCGATTAAATTGTACTCCGGACTGCCATCTTTTATTTACTTTTATTTTATTTATTTTTTTGTTTTATTCCTCCGAAACTTCATCTCCTATCGAAACTCGAGATCGTCCATTCGCTTCTTGCGCACCTCGCGCCTCAGTCGACCGTCGTTACCGCATCGCCCAGCTGTAACGGCTCCTGTCCGCACCATCGATCGCATCCTGGTCGCCGCAGCCTGAAAGCAGGCGGAAACTTCCATACGACGTCATCGTCCTATCCTGGGGCCCACGACCGCCGCAGGAATGGCCGCGTCTTCACCTCCGTCCCTCTTCCACATCCCGACTAGCCGTCTGCCTTCAGTAACGACCGGACATGGCATCACTCGCCGACGGCGGGCGTCCTCTGCGCGAAGCCAGGAGGTCACCAGCAATGGGTCATCCAACGGCCATGTCCTGCAGACCATCGATGAGCAAAGGCGCTACAAACGAAAGAACACACCCTCTGTTTTACACCGTTGTAAGCAGATCGCCAGCAGACACACCTGGACCGTTCCTCTTGCTCCGATGTTAGCCATTCTCTTCTTATACGCAATCAACCCAACGGAGTCCAACGTTTTCCATCATTTTATATTCCTTTCCTACAAAGAACAACAACCCTCGGATTCTACCAAACCCCCTCAATATGGCAAGGGACTCTGGGATATCGCGTTTGTCTCGTTCTATACCATCGTCTTGTCCGTTGCGCGCGAGTTTATCATGCAAGAGCTATTACGGCCGTTAGCAAGTTTCTGCGGCCTCAAAGCGTTGGGAAAGAAGCTACGGTTCATGGAGCAGACGTACACAGCCATATATTTTGGGATTATTGGACCCGCGGGCCTGTATGTTATGAGCCAGACACCAGTCTGGTACTTTAACACCCGCGGGATGTATGAGTTCTCTCCACACAAAACCCACGAGGCCGCCTTCAAGTTTTACTACTTGTTCCAGGCCGCGTATTGGGCGCAACAGGCCATCGTTATGCTATTGGGAATGGAGAAGAGACGTAAGGACTTCAGGGAGCTGGTGACGCATCATATCGTCACCCTCGTCCTTATTGCTCTAAGTTATCGGTTCCACTTCACCTACGTCGGGATCGCGGTTTATATAACCCACGATATCAGTGATTTTTTTCTTGCTGTAAGTTCACAAAAATTATGCATACCCCCCCTCTCGCGCTCTGGATAAGGCCCTTTAACGCAAGACCGCTTTTTATAGACATCTAAATCTCTGAATTACATCGACAGCCCTCTGGTAGGGCTCTTCGTCAGCGCCACGATTGGCATGTGGATATACTTACGCAACTACTTAAACCTGCGCATCATATTTTCACTCTTCAACGAGTTTGATAACATTGGCCCCACCGAACTCAACTGGGCAGAAGGACAGTTCAAATGCATTTACTCCAAGATGATCTTCCTCGTCCTGTTGGTTGCACTCCAGAGCCTCAACCTTTTCTGGCTCTTTTTGCTTTTGCGCATCGCGTACCGGTTCGTCGTGCATAACGTCGCCAAAGACGAGAGGTCCGACGAGGAATCGGAAGCTGAGGAGCCGAAGCTCGAGGAGACCAAGGTCTTCGAGGCACCTGCTGCGTTAGCCGGTAACGAATTTGTCAATGGTAGTACGAACGGCGTGACTAGGGCCACCGACGACCGTGCTACCGAGCCGTCTACCAGCAGAAAAACAGCTTCATAGAAGCACTTTTCCTTCTGTCCCTTTGCATTATTAGCTTCTAAACTTCGGGTGTTATCAGGTTTCTGCTATTCGCTCATCTTCATGCATTTACGGCAAGGGCGTGACGTATGGTTGATGTCAGCATACACGATCCGCCTGGGGCTCCTTGATCCTGTCGCATTTTACAGCGTAGGAGACGTGGCCGTGTTTTGGGAAACCCGCCAAGTTCAATTCACTTCTTCAATATTGATACCACATTTTATAGATAGGATAATGTTTAATATAATGGCACTAGATAGACGTTTGTTCAATGAATACATGCACATATAGAGACTTAGCAGTACGCTTATATACAATGTCATTGCTCAATACATTTTAGCAGTGCTGACCTAATCTGTCTGTGTTTGGTCACATGGGGGGAGATAACAGTGAACTTCACCTTGATCCGTAGACTAGGATATATATACACTCTACATAGAGTCCTCTGTCCTGCTCCAGAATACTCCCTCCAAGGCCTCCGAGGTGCCTCTTTGCCTTGCGCAGGTAATGCGTGAGCATCCCATTCGCTTAATTGCTTTGGTGAAGCTACATCCATCTCCCTCCGCCGCGAACTTGGAGCTATGGTCGCGACTCTCACGCGATAAATAACCCCGACCACGATCCCTCCAACGAACGCTCCCTACTGCCCGCGGACCTGTGAGGCCAACAAAACGAATACATCCCGAGAAGATACGAAGCCGTAACTGCAATGCGTATCATCAAGCCGGTTTGGCTAACGCACGGAGGTCCGGACTCGCTCTACCCTATTCAAACTCGAAACAAGAAGAAAACAGGCCTTGCTAACCCCTACTCCCTGAATGAGGGAGCTTTTGTCAAATAGGCGAACGGAAAGATTTTGAAGTATACAGCTGCGATGTTTCTCCTGATGGAAAGCGACTGGTCACTGCCGCCGGAGGTGAGCTACAATTTCCTAAACGATCCATTCCTACTCGGACTTCTTGATATGGTGGAATTTGCAGGTCATGGATTTTTGCGCATAAGGTGCTAACTGGATATGTTGCGGACGGATAGATGGATATGTTAGAATATGGTCTACCGATGCGATTTACAATGCAGGCGACCCAGCGTATGAAGATAAGCCTAAACAGCTGGCTTCCATGAGCAATCACTCTGGAACGATACATACCGTTCGATTCTCGCCAAATGGAAAATACCTAGCTTCCGGCGCGGACGACAAGATAGTTTGTGTATACACCCAGGAGGCTAATGCCAATGCTCACGCAACTGCATTCGGTACAGGATCCCCTCTTCCAAACTACCTATACCCTTTTATTCCGCTTGCTCGAGCTATTTTCATAATCTAACCCCAATATCTTCATATAGGATCGAATGAACCTCCCCCTGTGGAAAACTGGCGTACCATTCGCCGCTTGATAGGCCACGATAACGATATTCAAGACTTGGGGTGGTCTTATGACTCTTCTATACTGGTCTCAGTGGGGCTTGATTCAAAAGTTGTTGTATGGTCAGGCCATACCTTCGAGAAACTGAAGACTCTCCTGAACCATCAGAGTCATGTCAAGGGTATTACCTTTGACCCGGCAAATAAATACTTTGCTACGGCCAGTGATGACCGCACCGTTCGAATATTCCGCTTTAACTCACCTCTCCCCAACTCATCCGCCCATGATCAGACGCATAATTTCGTGTTGGAAAAGACTGTTAAAAGTCCATTTGTCAACTCCCCTCTTACAACATACTTCCGAAGGTGCTCTTGGTCACCGGATGGCAACCATATAGCTGCTGCAAACGCCGTAAATGGCCCAGTAAGCGCTGTAGCGATTATAAATCGTGGATCGTGGGAGAGCGATATCAACTTGATAGGTCATGAGGCACCTGTGGAAGTTTGTGCATTTGCACCACGACTTTATTCCACGCAACCAATCCAGAAACCTATGTTAGATAATCATGGGAATCCTATCCACAACCTCGTGACTGTTATTGCTTGCGCTGGAGGCGATAAGTCGCTAAGTATTTGGATCACAAGCAACCCACGGCCGGTAGTCATAGCACAAGACATTTCTGTCAAGGCAATCTCGGATCTAGCATGGAGTCCTGATGGAACTAGCTTGTTTGCAACCGCGCTCGACGGGGCTATAATAGCCGTTCGATTTGAGAATGCTGAATTGGGACATCCAATGCCCGTCGAGGAAAATGAGAAGTCACTGTCAAAGTTCGGAACAAACCGACGAGGTGCTGGCATGGTCGAGTCTACGGACAGTCTACTACTTGAAGAGAAGAGCAAAGCAGGCGAACTCCGCGGGGTTAAGGGCAGAATGGGCGCATTGATGGGGGATGAACATACAGACGCTGACCACCCAGTCAATGGAGATACTGAAGCCACGGCCACCGTAACCACCACCCAGAAGACGACTCAAAACGAGAAGGCAGCCCAAAGCGGAGCAGCTAACGGGACAGATTCAAGCAGTGGGAAACAGGACCCTTACGCCGTGAAATTGGACCGACTAAAGCAAAGACCAACATATACCAAGGAGGGAAAGAAGCGCATTGCACCCCTTCTAGTATCAGGGGCAGTGGGAACTCAATCTTCGCTTCCACAGACAAAGCTAGTTGCCGCATCAATGAATACCCAAGGCACATCAGACGGGCCACAGTCAGTGTTGGACTTGTCGAAACCATTCGATCGCCTACCAAAGGGCGGTCTGGCGGCCCTGTTATTTGGGAATAGACGTAAATTCTCTCAGCTAGAGGACGACGAGGAAGGGTCCGCCGAGAAAAGGGTTGCTACAGCAAGAGATAACGGTGCTATATCTATTCTATCCAATACCCCTGATGGCCTTGTCCCTGCAGTCCCTACTCCGGGTGGACCACAGGAGACTCCCAGCTTCATCAGGCCTGCAGTGGTCAACCCCTGTATGGCTATCAGCCAACTCCGTCTTGCAGTTCCTAAAATAAGAAGCCATATCCTGCAAGGGATAGATTCTCTTGGAAACCCCAAGGACGTATCCGCCAATACGGACAACTCAAAGGCAAGAGTTGACATTGTTTTCGAGGCACGCAATCCATCCGCAGCAAGTCTAACTGGACGCAGCGCCGATCGAGAACCCGTTCGGATCAGCCTTAACCGCGGCGACCAGCCACTGTGGCAAGATTTCCTGCCGAAAGCCGTTATACTTGTTACCGGCAACAAAAAGCTTTGGGCAGCGGCGTCTGAAGATGGCTCTATATATATATGGACGCCCGCAGGACGACGCCTTATCAACGCTCTTGTGCTTGAATCCCAGGCGGTAGTCCTAGAGTGTATGGAGTCGTGGGTACTATGCATCACCGCTGTAGGAATGTGTTACGTGTGGAACGTTGCGACACTTTCATCGCCTCACCCTCCCATTTCGCTTCAGCCAGTTCTGGATGCAGCTCTTCATACAATGACGGGCCACGCAACCGCCGTTCCGTCGATAGTCGCGTCACGGATTAGCTCAGAGGGCAGAATAATAATCGGTCTATCCAATGGAGACGGCTACAGCTATTCTCCGACATTATATACCTGGCAGAGGCTGTCAGAGCCCTGGTGGGCTGTGGCTAGTCAGTACTGGAATTCCACAGAAGCTCCGGTAGGCAACGTTCAGCTACGAGGTACACAAACAGAAGGCGAATCTGGAACACCTGTCTCTGCAGGAATAATTCCGTTCCTCGAGAGAAACACGACACAGGAGGTCCTTGCACGGGGCCGTGGACACTTCTTACAGCGACTTGTCAAGATTCTACTGTCTCGCGAAGGTTTTGAGAGCTTCGAAGCTTCTGCTTCCATAGCGCACCTTGAGAACCGAGTTGCTGCCACCCTATCTCTTGCTGCAAAGGAGGAGTTCCGTCCGTACCTTTCAATGTACGCCAAACGACTGGGCGCCGAGGGCGCAAAACTGAAAGCCGAAGAGCTCCTGGAAGATATACTCGGCGGTGTCTTCGAGGACAAGGTTACGGAGAAGGAGGAGGCAACCCGGACCCGTCAAGAAGGACAGCCGGAGCAGCGGTCCTGGGAGAACGAGTCAGATACGCTGTGTGGATGGCCGCGTCGAACGCTACTCAAAGACGTGATTCTAGCATTTGGTGAGTTCTGTCAATTATATACACATGTTACTGCCACGATACTGACTACTTGCAGGCAAACACCGTGACCTTCAACGGGTGACTGTACCGTATGCCCAGCTGCTTGGGATACTCGACGAGAGCCAGGACGACGACGATACCATGGTTTGATTTGGATTTATCGCTTTGCAATGGAGTTAGGGGTGTAGGAATATATACATTCAGCAGCTGGAAAGCTGGGCGGGACTGTCTTTCGCATATGTACTCTTAGTTCTCACTGAGCCTATCAATTCTTCCATCTCTCTCTTTCTCCTCTCCTTTCTCCTCTCATCTTCTCCTCTCTCCTTTCCTCTCATCTTCTCTCCTGTCTCTTATCTTATCCGTAAATATAGGGCTAGGGCAGGGCAGGGCAGGGTGTCACGTGAAAAAAGGTACTTAGAGGGCGCAGAAATTTTCGTCTTCTTCCTTGTCACTCTCGCAGTTGGCTACAACTCGCGCCCCTCAGCAGGAGTTGACCAAAGAGAAGAAAAAAGACTCTTACAAATAGCGTGACATCGCCCCGGGAGCATATGCAGCCTCTCTTCCCCCCCTCCCGCTCTCTTCTTCTTTTCTCTTCTTCTTCAACTCGCCATTTGACACATCTCGCAGCTGGTCCTGCCTTTACATCCAATTCACCCTCATTCACTTTTCTCCTCCTCAGGTCTCCTCCCTCCCTTGTAACCACACGCGGCTTCGCAAGCAGGAAAGGGAAGATGGCGCCAAAAAAGCCCGTCAAGAAGGAGAAGGTCCTTCTAGGACGACCTGGTAACAGCTTGAAGAGTGGTATTGTATGTGCGGAACCCTCTTCTTCTCATCCTGTCCTTTTTAATATCAATCGCTGGGGCCTCTACTGACTGTTGTGACGGATCTAGGTTGGCCTGGCTAACGTTGGAAAATCTACTCTCTTCCAAGCCATCACCAAATCTACATTGGGAAACCCTGCCAACTTTCCCTTTGCCACAATTGACCCTGAACAAGCCCGTGTTATTGTCCCAGATGAACGATATGACTGGCTATGCAAGCACTATAAGCCCAAGTCTGAAGTGCCGGCTAACCTGACAGTTTATGATATTGCTGGTCTTACCCGGGGAGCCTCAACAGGAGCCGGACTGGGTAACGCCTTTTTATCTCATATTCGCGCTGTCGATGCCATCTTCCAGGTTGTACGATGTTTTGATGATGCTGAGATTGTCCACGTTGAAGGTGATGTTGACCCCGTCCGGGATCTAAACATCATCAGCGAGGAACTTCGCATTAAAGATATCGAGTTCGTCGAGAAGTCTCTGGAGGCCTTGTCCAAGCTCACAAGACGAGGCGGCCAGTCTCTTGAGATGAAAAAACTCAAAGAGGAAGAAGAGATCGTTGGCAGAGTGCTTGCTTTCCTCAAAGAGGGCAATGACATCAGGAAGGGTGACTGGGGCCCCAAGGAGGTAAGACGCTCAGTTTTTGTTCCCCCTTCCCCTCCCTTCCTCATGAATGCGGTATCTCCTATGATGAACAAGAGCTATAAAGCTTGAATTTAACCCAGCTCGTCGAATGGCCTCTATATTAAACGCTGAGGTCATCGTGAGATAAAATCCAAAGCTGATTGTTGATACCGATTCTTACCCAACTACTTACTCTTGGAATTTCTTATCGTTATATAATCTAACAAGAATTTTCTTAGGTCGATGTGATTAACCCACTCTTTTTATTGACCGCCAAGCCTGTGGTTTACCTCGTCAACCTCAGCGAAAAGGATTATATCCGCCAGAAGAATAAATATATTCCCAAGGTTGCTGAATGGATTAAAACTAACTCACCGGGTGATCCAATCATCCCTCTTTCAGTTTCATTTGAGGAGCGTCTAACGCAATTCGGCGATGATGCCGCTGCTGCTGAAGAATGTACAAAATTAGGCACAAGATCCGCCTTGCCAAAGATCATTGTGACCATGCGCCAGAGTCTTAATTTGGGCAGCTTTTTCACCACAGGCACGGATGAAGTCCGACAGTGGACTATCCGTAAGGGCACAAAAGCTCCCCAGGCCGCTGGTGTTATTCACACAGGTATGCCCATGTCTATATTTCCTCCCCCCCCCCCAACGTACCTTGCATGGCAGCCGCTAACTTGGGATTCGCTGTTCAGATTTTGAAAAGACATTTATCCAGTGTCTTGTTTTTAACTTCGAAGTACTAAAAGAGTGTGGAGATGAAGCTGCCGTCAGGGCAGCTGGTAAAGTACTTACCAAGGGCAAAGATTATGTTCTCGAGGATGGAGATATCGTCCTGATTAAAGCCGGTGCGGCCAAGGCATAGAGCAGCCATAATGTCCCAGGCGATCTCACATAGCTCCTCCCTAGGCTTAGAAATTAACGTCCTCTACGACTGTAACACTAGTCAAGGGAATAAATGTGATGAATTAATATAATTAATATGACCTTATGAACATCTACCTTTTCTTCAACTCGGTAACAGTAGCTAGTATCCAACATCGAGTATTCGTATTCCGCAAATCTGTAAATCTATAAATTCTTCATCATGTGATCAACGTCATTATCAACGAGTTTACTCAACGCGGAGCTGGTTATTATTCTTCAGTTATACAATATATCACACCTCTGCGCAAATTTAGAACAATGTTTAAAAAAGAGTAAGTTACTATACACAGGATCCGGAATGCTGCTGTAAAACAGTTCCATACTGCTATCCGGCCAAGTGTACCCCGCGATGCTGATGCGCGGGGTCATTTATATTCCTATATCAAACTGGCGTTATTAGATAGCTAACGGTGCGGTTTTCCTTAGCATATCCGCGGGTGCACGATCGAAAGTAAAGTCTTCAGTACAGAGATCTTTAAGGGCCAAGTTCTTGGAGACCCATCCTGGGTTCGAGCCGTATATCGATGAAGTTCTACCAAAGAAGGCTTCACTCGAAGCCATGAAGCTGTGAGTTTATACAGGCTCCCGGCTATCTTGAATACCATAAAGCATAGTGGTTCTCTGAACCACTACGACCTTGATCACGAAGAAAAACAGACAAAGACAGCATGGTTGACCGGTTTATATTTTGCAGCCCTGATCGAGTCACCCTCTACATTGCAGATTCGAAACCAATTTTCTTCCAATCCATGGACAGCCCTCTCATCCCTCACCTTCGTGTTCTCCATGCCTTCCCTAACGCGGTGCCTACGGTTGGAATCGACAGAGGCGCAATTCGGTTTGTTCTTTCCGGTGCTACATTAATGGCACCTGGCCTTACATCGGCGGGCGGGAGACTGCCTGACCCAGAGAACGCGCTGGAAGCTGGCACTATAGTGGCCATCAGAGCAGAGGGGAAAGAAGAGATATGCATGGTTGGGGAGCTTAAGGTGGGCACCGAGGAAATTAAAAAGAAAGGCAAAGGCGTTGTTATGGATGAGGGTCATTATCTGGGCGATGGGCTCTGGAAACTCAACTTCGATTAAATATTTTATAGCCGGAAGGCGGATGGATATGTAACTCTTCCCCTTCTTTGCTTGTTTACGTACACTGCGGCATATCGCCGTTGTTACCGGTTTGGGTGCATATATGTGGCAGGTCTAGGCTCTGCCAGCTAGCTGTATAGGCTTCATCATTCTATAATACTCTTCATCTAACCCTAACTAGATTCAAGAATTCTAGAAATAGTGCAAGAGCAATGGCCTGCAATCACTGTATGGAGTTCCGCTCTTGGGTAAAGGAAAGGGGCCGTTAGGCATGAAGTTACACTTGGGAGGCGGACCAGCCGTGATAATCATGTAGGACAGCGCCTCAAGAGCGAGTTAGGGTCTATGCATGGCGCTGAGGTTTCGTTCTGTGGCGTCTAAGTAGTCACTCTTAAGTTTCATATCATGGACCTATATCCAGCATTCCAAAACGAGGGATGGGTCCTTCATCGATATCACCAGGGCTGCCCGGGGACTCTCGCCTCAAACCAACTCTCACAACTGCACGTTTCAACACCTCGCCGGATCCATCCAGAGCAATAAGGAACTGCGCAATCTCCCCACATAGCTCCCAATCACCCCGTTGTGACGCTAACCGTAGAAGTCGGACAGCAGAGTCCTCAATTTTGTCAATCCCATCTCCACTATCCTCGTCATCAACATCATCAAAGGCCTGCAATACAAGCAAGTAACCGCCGGCTGTCTTCAATGAGTTGAATTTCAATGCCTGTTCAAATAACTCGTTGGGAGGAGGCAAATATGCGAACAACGTGCGCCAAGATCGCAGTTCTGTTTTCCGGATGCATTGGACAAGTATGTCAAGATATAATTCGGGCGGATTGGCTGCCTGAAGAAACGCCAGGACTCCAGGCAATAATTGCTTCCCCTTTACCGGGCTTTGGATAAGGCCCTTTGGGCTATGGTCATCCACCGCTTCATCTAAGACGTGATGTAGCAAAATTTCTAGAGCATGAGGAAAGTATGATAAATGTGAGAAATGGTGGCAAATTGACAACGCTGATGGGGTATCAAAATACGATAAATTGTGTTGCAGCACATATGGCAAGAAGAGTTGGGTCTGATATGTTAGTAAGGAAATCAATACAAGGGAAATTGCTAACGGGTAAACTCACTCTAATAGCAAATCGCAGTAATGTAAATGTAACGTCTCGTCTTTGAGTGATCTCGGGCTCAATACCAAGTACAATGCCTTTGTTAAGAAGTATTGATACTGGGTAGAAGTCGGTTGGGATTGGTAGATTTTTTGGCCCTTCACTTGATCGACCTGTCGGGCGTAGTACATCTTGCATATCGCTCCAGACGAAAAGGTCTTTCCCACCGAAGACCCATAATGAATCTCTTAGTGAGATATCTGAAGAGGAAGTGTTAGCCGCCATTTCAGGGGCTTGTCCAGCCGAACTCGGTTCATCATTTGGAGGCGCAAAGTTAAAAGAAAGCTGGTCACGCATCAAGATGTAGTATTCGACATCATGGGCTACAACGCGCATATCGTACTTCAACGCCCCGGTTTGTGATACCGACGGTTGCAATAATACCAGCTTTCCATCGACAAGGAAAAGAACGGACGCTACTGCAACATCCTGAGATGGATCCCCGTCGCCTAAATTGATATATTAGAGGGAACTTTGAATAGTTGAGGGCGCGGGTAGACGCATGATACGTACGAAGTTGATCCTCTGGTAGGATCCAGCTAATCGCACGAACACGAGCTGGCGCTCTCACGATCCCGTGAAAAGCTATTTGTCCGACTTGAACAAGGCTTATCCTTGTTCCAACAGCGTTTATCACATAATGGTAGAGTATGTTATCGTAAGTGTATACTAACAGAGAGTCTTCGCCTGAAGGCCCGATAAACACCGCTGGTGCCGGGAGCGGTTCTGAATAGAGTACTGAAGAGTTATTAAGTGGCAATTCTCGGGAATACATCCGCAGCTATATTTAGTTAGTACCGAGCCGTATAATAAAGATAATCCCTTAGGAAGGAGTTTACCTCGTAAGAAGCATCGCACTCAACCGCAACAATAAGAATGTGTCCATACCAACACATTCCTCCCTGTATGGCAAAAGAATTCTCCACTTTGGGGTCGTCAAAGGTTTTCCATCGGTTACTGTGGACGCTATAATGGGCAAGGCCGCGCCGGCCAGCCACAGCCACATATCTACCATCTTGCGAAGCGCAGCATGTGCGAATGGGCCACTGGGAGTGAAGATAGTTTGGGGGGTATTGGGCATGGTGCCATAGCGAATCCTTTCCTGATATGGTTGTTAAATCAGGGAGATCATGGCCACGATATAAAATGATTTCCGTTCCTGTCTGGAGAAGTGCGCGAGCCAAGTTTGCGGATGAAAAACAACCAGTCAGGGCGCTGCGTGCAGCTTCCAACACCCATATTCGTTTATCTTTGGAGGATGCTAGAAGGATATCAGAGCCACCGCCAATCCACGCACCCATAGAAACTCCCGTTAGCCAAGTTTCATCATTACTCTCAGCAAGTGCTTTGTCCCCAGTGAAGCTCGTTCCGCCAGGCTTTCCGAATACACTCCATGTCGTCCACCCGTTCTCGTAACCGGCAAACAAGCAGTATCCATCGGAAGAGTAACTTAGGAAGGATATTTTCCCCATAGTGGCTGCGGAAGATGGCATTTGTAGCTTATGGGACAATGGGATGTTCCCTATATAATCTCTGGCTGCATAAATGTATATTTCACCGCTAACACAGCTTACGGCGAACAGGGAGAACCTTGCATTTACGGCAACCTGAAGGGCTCGCTGATTGTCATTTTCTGGAGTATGAAACCTATGACCGGTAAAATTGACTTTGGAGGGCGCGGAGTCCTCAGCCTCGCGATACCCATATTGTACAGCGTAAACCCGGCCGTCACTAGTTACCCATAGCAAGAGGTTCATAGCACGGTCATAAACCATTTCCACAACAAGTGACTTCTTTGAAATCCACGGAATGCGGCTTAATAACTCCGTGCTAGTCTGATTTCCACTGTTATCCGGAGTCCAGCGAATTAGCTGTATGGCGGCAGGTTTAGTTGTAGCAACCATGAGCTCGTTATCTAGCGCCACAGCTTTGCTAATCCCGGCATCAACTTTGATGGCCACCCTGAACCGTAGGCTGACTTCACGGATTGAATGGGAATCGTTAGGTGTGAAGTGTGACGACAACGTATTCCTCCGTGGCTGCGTTTGTAAAAATCGTTGTTGATAGACGTGTGAGTGTGCATCGGTTGCAATTGAATAGGTTATCAAATAGCCGTCAAGGGTTTGCACAACAATAATGCCCGAGTCAGGCCGTAGCAACAGAGCGACGTTGGGGCCGTAATTCTTGATAGACAAACGAGATCTCTTGATGGCGGCAACAACGGCTGTAGGCTGTCAAGTTCAGTTAGTGGAATTGATTTCACAACAAATATAGCCAGTTGACGGGCCTACCTTGGTCTGCCATATAGCTATAGACGTCTCTGTCATCGTAGCAAACAACGCCCCATTCTTCGAGACACATAGTCCAGCTATAGGCTCCTCGGCCCACTCGTCTTCTCCCGCATGCTGCTGCTGCTGAGGAGTACCTCGCTGTTCACCCTTCAAGAAGCCGTCATTCTGTTGCTCCCTCTCGTCCGGTGTCTCCTCGTTGCTGTCAGTTCCGTCATCCTGCACGGCCAGCTGCTGTATCTCCGGGCCGTTGACTGCATAGACTCGGGGCACCCCATTTGGCCAGTACATTGCGGTGGGTGGGCTACCTGGTATTTATGTAAAGTGGCATCGGGTCATCCTCGAGGCGACACCTCATGCCGCAATGCAGATATCGAGATGTTGCCAGTTACACCGGCCGTTGCGCTGACGTTGGACGCTCCCTGTAGCTCTTGCCCGAGGTCTGGGTCATGTGACATCCTTGGAGCTCTCTCCTATCAGTGACGGAAGATGGAGATAAATAGTTCAACATCCCCCACCACGCCGCGCAGAAGAGACGAGCACATTCGTTCTCTCATTCAAACATGGTATGTGGCTTGTCCTGGAACCTATACGTGATCGCATTAGCCCTGACTTCCCCGTAGGCTCCTTCAGATTCTCAAAAACGGCTGGCTTTGGCCATAATAGACTTTCTTAACACCAGCGTCAAGGATGGAACTCTTGCAGCCGAAGACGCAGAATCCATTGAGATCGCAACGTCTTGTCTCGGAGACACCTTTCAAGTTGACCCCACCGATGAGGCGGCCATGAAGGATGCTCTCAGTGGGCAGTCTCTGTTGAACATCTACAGTGTTTACGAAAAGGTCAAGGGCAAGAATACCTCTGCTGCCAGCGAAACAAAAAAGGAGCCTAGCAAGACTGCCCCTCAGGGTGGTGCCCCAACTCCGGAATCCGACAAGCTGAAATCAGAGGGAAACGCGGCCATGGGTCGCAAGGACTATCCCGCCGCCATTGATTGCTATTCTCGTGCGCTGGAAATTGCGCCTTCCAACCCTATTTATCTGTCGAACCGCGCTGCTGCATATTCCGCCTCTGGAGACCATACAAAGGCTGCTGCAGACGCCGAGGTGGCCGTTGCAGCCGATCCTAAATATGTCAAAGCTTGGAGCCGACTTGGATTGGCGAGGTTTGCGCTAGGTGATGCTAAGAGCGCTGCTGAAGCGTATGAAAAGGGAATCCAAGCTGAAGGCAATGGTGGCAGTGATGCAATGAAGAGAGGTCTAGAAACGGCAAAGAAGCGGATTGCAGAAATGGAGAAGGTCGAGAATGAACCCCCAGCTGAGGCCGTCGACGACGCCGCAGGTGCTTCTCGTGGAGCACCCGGTGGTATGCCAGACCTGGCCTCTCTCGCGGGGATGCTTGGGGGCGGTGGTGGAGGTGGTGGCATGCCCGATTTCAGCTCTCTCATGAACAACCCCATGTTCGCCAACATGGCTCAAAACCTCATGAGTAACCCAGACATGATGAGCAATTTAATGAACAACCCTGCTTTAAGGCAGATGGCCGATAACTTCGGCGGCGGTGGTGGCCGTGGTGGTGGTGGAGGAGGAGCCGGTGGTCTCCCAGACATGTCGGCTTTGTTGAACGACCCGAACCTCGCTGATATGTAAGTGTATTCTAGCTGACACGATTCCCTTCAACCTTCACTGCTAACGGTATTGACCCTAGGGCTAAGAACTTCATGGGAGGCAGGGGTGCTGGCCGCGGTACTGGCCCAAGCCCTTGAATCACTGCGGGGTGATTGCGACTTGGATGATGCTTTTCGGTCACTCAGGATAACGAACTGCATAAATAGCGTGCTTCGAGGCCCGAGGCCAAGTCTTGTCGTTAGAGAGTATGATTATGATAATGTCACAAATCTTATCTTGGTTCCATCGTCATCGTGTTTTAAATCTTGCCAAATTATAAAGTAGTATTCGTCATTCGGTCCATGAGCTAAAACATACTTATATATATACAGTAGGTGAGAAGAGATAGGGTGATATGCGGGACAATCGAGGTATTAAACAAGAGATAAAATGAACTTGCTCGCGGTCATCAGAAAGTGGATTTCGTGCAGCCACAAGCACGTTATTCCACCGTAAGCACATCTATTGGACTCCAAGTAGTATACAGCCAAGTTTTGAAACAGGAGGGGGAAAAAGGAAAGAAAGGGATGTTGTAACAAAATGCTATGCTAGAAGGGAAATATCGCACATGTGAATTCTTGTAGATTCAACGTTTTTTTTTTTTTTGAAAGTGTCCAATATACGCTCGCAGGTTCGAGGCCCTAGCCAGGCAGGGCATGGACAAGTCAGAAGACTTAGATATAATCTCTGCCAGATTTCTGCAGTTCGATCAATCTCCAGCCACGGGTTTCGGGGTTGTTCACGTCTTCTGGAATTCGAGTGACACCAATCGCATAGGTCACAAGTTGGACCTTGTCTTCCATGCCGGCTGCAAGTTCGCCAGTTTTGGCCTTCCGGTAAACGTGGACTTCCTGTGTCCTACAGGTGATAATAAACACGGGAATGTCACCGGGTTCCAGCATGCGTGCATGGGAAATATCAACATGTCGAATATCGAGGATGCGGCCGTCGGACTTGAGGCCTGCTGTCTGGTATTGTTTCGTGAGGGCGGCATAAACATGGAACTGGGCATCAGACAGCCATAATTTAAGGGTTTCAACATCTCCCTTTACATATGCGTCTAGGACTTCTGGCAAGATATATTCTCGCATCTCACGCAAGAATGGCTCGATTTGGAAAGTTGGGTCCATTTGCCGGAAAGTTTTGATAACCATTGCCGTCTCATTCTCGGCAAAGAATCCGGCTACTCGGTCCGATATGCTTCGTGCAGTACTTATAAGCGGGTTCTCGGATTCCTCGTATGTATTTTTCAGGGTGAATAGTCGTTGCATCATTGGACTGGTGTCCTTAAATTCGCGCCAAGATTCCTTCCAGGCCGCGTCTTTATGAAGGGTGACATTGGTACCGGCACTGAGAAATTGAAGGTTAGCGTGGGGTATTGGATATGTCTGGAGATAGGGTTGTTAAAGCACATACTTTGGATCTTCCTCCATGCGTTCAATCTTTCCTGTCTTGCCTTCTTTCAGCTCACGCTCCTCCCTTCGCTTCCTCCTCTCTTCTTTTTCGATCCATCCTCCATATCGAGAGCTGCTTCCATCATCTATGACATCTTTCACGCCTCCGACGGCGGTTTTGTAGACTTTCGTATCGCGGACTGGCCTGGTAACCTGTTCAATTCCCTTTCCAGTTGCGGCAACACCGCTCCTTATTCCCTTAACAGCGGTAGTATCCCAGGTCCAGGCCGCACCTTTTCCAATAACGGTTCCGGTCTTCTTCAATGCCGAGGATGTCGTTGAAGAGGCAGTGCTCGTTGCGGCTTCGTAGGCAGATCTGGCCTTTCTTACGGACTCGCTCTCTGTGAACTGATGGGCAGAGGAGGCAAGCGCTTTGGTTGACTCGTTCCATTCTTTCGAGGCCTTAAATTCGGATCTCAGAGTCTCGGTGAAGACTTGCCATGGCGTTTTATCACCGTGAGGCGGAGGTGGAGGGGCTTCCTCTTTCTTTCCATCCTCCTTCTTCGCGCCATCCTTGGCACCATCTTCCTTGCTAGAGCCAGCAGATTCCTGTTCACCCTGCTGTTTTGAGCCCTCACTCGAATTTTGATCCTTTGCCGAACCCTCGCGGGAAGAGTCTGTTGGGTTTTGTTGTTTCTGCTGCTGTTGCTGCTGTAGAGCGCTTGGGGAGTGGAACGCCCTTCTGGTAGCAAGGATCACCCACAGGGGGTCACTGGCTTGCCCTGACAGGCGAGATAGCCCAGCGGCTGGTCGAAGAGGTGAGCTAGTATTTAAATGAACGGATTTCGGGGAGCTAAAGTGTCGAAGAGCGGTTGGGGTAATTATCCGGCGTCCAGCGAGCTGGCCTCGAGAGGTTAAGGGAGAGCATCCGCGCAGCACTAACCGCGCAGCGGTAGGCTGAGATAGTGCTCCCGTGCCAATCATGCTCTGTATTCCTCTGGATAGCGAACAAAAGGTCGATTTAAATCGCAAAGGGCTCGGAGGAATGGGGAATGGGGAATGGTGAAATGGGGGATTGGCCGATTTTCGTTGACACCACCGAGTCTCCAAAAAGGGTCAAAGGTAGCAGTTAAATGAACGCAGAGCACTCTCTGCAGAACCCAACAACAAGTCTGTTTGCAGACGGAGGACAGGCGGCGTTCGTCGTGAGATGCGAGTGTGTAGATGTGATAGAAAGTCGAGATGGATGGAGAAAAATATTCGACTTTGGAGCTTCTTTTTGCCTTTTTTCGGTTTTTGCGGCAAGCGCCAAGACAGGGAAAAATCTCGACCACCGAAAAAGATGCTCGCGACTTGTCAACGACTTTCTACATCCCATCACGAAATACAAGCTTGACGCGCTCTCTGCACACGGATTCTACCTGGTGGCAGGAGGTGCTTGCGTCTCCCTCTGCTCCCGATAGCTCCATTGGCCCCGGCCGCCGCAATTGGACCTCCTACCGACCACTGCATGAACTCGTCTCGACCTCACCTCTCGACATCAGCATTATCGCCATGAGCGGAAGAATACCACTTGCATCGGCATTCCGGTCGTTGACTCTTCGCGGAGAAGCCCAGAGTTGTTCCAGCAGCGTCCTGCTCCGAAGGCCGTTCTCGTCAACATCACGATGCCAGGCAATCTCAAAGGACGGGCAAGCGAACTATGACCGCGAGCTCGAGAGCCGGCTACTAGGCGGCCAACCCAAGACTACAGCCGCCCCTTCTCGACTGGCAGCGCTATCTCAGACTACCAGGTCACAGGCGGCCACCTCGAAAAACGCCCAGACAACAGAAGAGGTCCTCTCGAGAGTGTCGAACCTGATCAAGAACCCATATCGGCCAGCAGAACCTCCACACCACATACACGTCTTCAGCCATAGACGCAACACACATGTGACCCTAACACGGCCTAATTGCGAGCCCATCCTCTCCCTAAGCGCGGGCAACATCGGTTTCCGCAAAGGGCACCGCGGAGGCTACGAGGCAGCCCATCAATTGTCCGTCTATGTCATGGACAAGATCCAGGAGAGAGGCCTCCTTATGCAAATAAACCGCTTAGAGGTGGTCTTCCAGGGATTCGGCCAGGGGCGCGAGGCCTTCACCAAAGTCCTGCTCGGCAAGGAAGGCAGGATGCTTCGGGATCGGGTCATTCGAGTGTCAGACTCGACTAAACTGAAATTCGGCGGCACACGAAGCCCCCGAGCAAGGCGTCTGGGTTGAGAGCTGTCTCTCTTACAGTGGCAGCTCGTGCGAATATTCGAGCCGCGGCCGTCTGCAGGAATTGCACATCATATGTATACTACACCAGTGTTAAATACTCTGTTATCGATTTAGCCACCTCTTTCTTCAATACCTAGATATATCTGGTCTTCGCATGCCTGTTCCTGCATCTCGCCTGTCTCATCTAGCACCCTTAAGCTATCAGATAAATCTACATGGTTAAGTATATTGGTATATGTATAGTTAATATATGGCTCACTATTCACATCTACCTTACCTCTACCTTATACCTCTACCTTCTTCTATGTCATATCTTCTGCGTATATCTTATATCTTCTGTTATATCTTCTACTTGTATTTGTGTTGGTCACGTGCAGCTCTTATCAGACAGGCTTCTCTATATCTCGCGGCTTCACAAGCTTGAAGATAAGAAGCTCATAGACAAATTCCTCTCTCCCTGTCCACACACTGACAAACTGACAAACTGACAAACTGACAAACTGACAAACAGCACATATTCTACGCGATCTTCCTCCAAAGATACACTGGCCCGGACCTGTGAAGCTTCATCTCGTCGCGGCATCTCCTCCTACGCCTCAGTTCACGCCTTTGTTCGAGCTAGTCACCCACCTTTGGTCCTCAGCTCCAACACCCCCAGGGATATCTACCACTGCCGTTGCGTGAACCCTTGACGGGGGGCGGGAGTCGTCCGCCAGGTCGTCCAATGTCGTGTGGATGCACCCTTTAAACCCTTTCCTCCGTGCTTTCTTCCGGAGTGCGCTGCCGTCGCAATGTGTTCCCGTAGAGAACCATGTAGGCCTTACCTTCAATCTACAAAATATCTGGCCAATGATATATATCTTTCAAGGAGCTAGCTAACATGTATTAGATCCTCCTGGTTCCCCTGACCGAGTCTCTTGTTAATTCGCAGGATCGGGAATCAAACGCGCATTATGTTGACCTCGTCACCTCCGAGGAGTTTCTCGCCAGCCATGTGCTACGCATTCCAGGACTGCCCGGCTCATCTGCAGTCAAAGAGGTTTCCACCTTACGAGACCATAAGGGGAAAGCGTGGCAGATTGCAACGGCCAACGGACGAACCGTTGTGATCAAAGAATCGGTGGTCTATAGCAATAAGGGGTTCAAAACAGTGAACCATTCGCAGCTGCTTTGCGACGTCCTCTACTCCTCACCAAACGATAGCTCCCAGCAGTGGCTCATCTACTACATTTCACGGCCGTTGCTAGGTTCTTACGAACCCGGACAGATAATTCAGGCTATAGTGCCTGGCTCCTTGGACAAGGTATCATTAGCACGCCATGGCCCTGGACCCGAACATACCAACTACCACTCTAGCTACCCCCGCAATGAGATCTCCTCGTTTGGCGATCTGCTCTCGAAGTTCCCTATGATCGCGAAGCAAATGAAACCTGGCTTGGATCGTCTCTTCCGTGAATTTGGCAAGGAGCTAGGCAAACCCCTTCCGCCGCCACCCTCGGATTCTCCCACCTCACAGTTTAATCGTTCAGTAGATGGAGACGAAGCTTACTCTCATCAAAGCTCCAGCCACTCACTGCCGTTCAGCACTTCCGACCAGTTTGAGGATGAAGATGCAATGAGACATGCTCTAGACACGGCCGTTACGGCAGCTATCGACATCTTTCGTCTCGTTGACAAACAACAACTCTCCCTTCTCGGAGCCACAACCGACTTGACTGGTCCGATGGTTGAACGCCTAATCGAGCGCTACGTGCTGGAGCAGGTTCACGATAATCTTCTTTTCCCGCGCCTCCGCGAGTGCCGCCAATCAGATGACCTAGATCTGGATCTACGTGTTCGCCAGATGGAGAACATCGATATATCGCAAGTGGGAATTCCGATAGAAGGAGGTTACAAGGGAAAAGAAGAACTTAGACGTCGCATTGGGACAGCTGTCGAGGAGTTCAGGAAAATATCTGACGCAAAGTGCCCGCAGGACATGCTCACTATTTTGCTTAAGACTGTGAAGATCGTCACTATAGATCAGGCTTCGACCCCGTCAGAAAACGAAACTGAAAAACCTTCAGTTCTCACTATCAATGCCGATGTACTGGTGTCATTGCTACTCTTAGTTGTGATAGGGTCCCAAGTCCGACATCTCTATGCCAGGCTCTTGTATATGCAGCGATTCATATTTGTGGATGATGTCGAATCTGGTGAGGCTGGGTACGCATTAAGCACGTTCGAAGGAGTTTTGGTCTACCTTCAAAACGACTCCGCTGGGCTCAGAAGGGCTAGCTCCAGGAATAAACGGCTTTGGAAAGCAGCCAAGTTGGGAAATATCACGGAAATGACGGCAATACTACAACCTGGTCTCCAAACTTCAAGCCCCATCACTGACGAGAATGATTGCGATAATGGGCAAGCAAGCAACCCTGGCAGCCGAAATGGCAACGAGCACACATGGACGACGTCTAACGGGGCTCCTAAGAACGGCACCATCTCATCAAATTTTTCAATTTCTAATTCTGCTATTCAAGATGACGCTCCAGAAACACCAAGACTCGCTCACGTTTTCCCGTTTCAAACATGGAACCAGCCCACCACGACTATAGACCAGCCTAAAGCGCGGAAAAAGGTGTCTATGGATACTAGGAGCATGTCGGAGTCGTCGACTATGTCGTTTCTTTCGCGCTCCACGACGTTTGGATCAATCGCGGGTGGTCTTGAAGGCGATACGTCGATAGAGAGCCTAACGATGACCAAAGACCCGTCCGGGCACTCTGTTCCCATGATGGCCGTGGAAGCATGCCAGCCAGAGGCTTTGAGCTACTTGCTAAGTTTGAACGAATATTACTCCCGAGAAACCATACTTCAGGATGTAAACAGTGAGGGGACCACTCTACTGAGCGCCGCCGTCCAACTTGCGCACACGGAAATTATAAATATAATTATCGAATTCATCCTCCAAGGGAACGAAGTCGATGTGGCCGCATATCTTATAAAGGCTGATCACAGAGGCCGCACAGTTGGACACTACCTCTTCAACTCTCCTGCTTTACTTACTCGCCTGGGCAGTTCCTTGCCTTGGACTCAGAGAGACAAGAATGGACAAACACCCCTTTTTGCACTCTGCAGATCGTACGACCACCCAGATTACAATCCCATGGTCAATGAAGCTTTGACGTTAGCGAAAGAAGCCCAGGGTGATGGAAAACCGCTTAGGTTGGACGACCATGTTGACGGGAAAGGAAACACCCTCCTTCACATCGTTAGCGACCCGCAGATACTACTCCGAATACTCAGACAGTGTGATTGCGACCCAAACTATACAAATGACAAAAGATTTACACCGTTAATGGTGGCAAGCAAATATGGCCGTGTTGACCTTGTTCGAACTCTCTTCGCCGATCCTCGTGTTGACGTCCACCTTCGAGAATCTCGTGGCCTTACGGCAGTGGAACTTGCTAAAGATGATGAAGTAAGGAACCGAATAGATGATCTGGTCTTATGTTCCAATCCTCCCTCGTCTCCGTACGATGCGACCCGCCGCACCACGAGTGTGGTTAGGTCGTTGTTCGTTGAGGATTTTGGAATCAGGTTCATCATCAAATCTGGGGCCCCGGCCTCCGTTAGCCCACCACCACCAGGTTCAAGTGCAGCACATACGACTACCTACACTGTTACTACTTGTCGACGTAGTATTAGTGACTTTGAAAACCTCCTCCGTTTCCTACGAATAGAGCATCCTGCATCATATCTCCCCGAGATGCCTTTTTTCCGGTCACCCTTCCAAATCCCTTCAAAACCCTCAAGAGCAGTACTTCATGATATTCAGGAACGGCTAGATCGATTACTGAAAGTCTTGCTAGCCCATCCAACATTCTCGACCCACGAGTTGCTTTGGGAGTTCTTCCTTGTCCCTGAAATCCAAACGGAAATGATTGATCAGCGATCAACGCGCAAAGCTACGGTGCTAGCTGAATCAATAATGGACGACTACGAGCCAGCCTCGACAGAAGTAATACGTGATGCTCAACAGATTCTATCCCATGCAGAGGATGCAGTCCAGTCCGTTAGTGAAGGCACTCGTAACTTGATTTGTTGCGGATATCTTCTACAACACGCGTCAACCGACCTTGCAGATGCTCTTTTCCTCTGTAGCTCCATGCTTTCTTCCCTCCAGCCACCAGCCAACGCTCTCCCTCATCGACATGTCCGGGCCTTTCACCGCTTCGTATCATCCTACAGTCTTTCATCAACCGATTCCTCGCCGCTGATCCAATTTTTGACAGCACTCATCTCGTCCCAGAGTACTACCACAGCAATGCTCTCTTCCCTCTCTCGCCCCAATAATCTCATATTAACGCTCAATTCTTCGCAACGAGCCCTTTCACGTGCTCGCACTGCAGTCGCCTCCTCGTCACTTCCGCGCAAATTCAACTTTTCTGTACTCGAAGAATCTCGTCAGCGCTCTATTCGTGAGCAAGAGAATAAGATATCCATGCTGACGGCTGAGATTGACGAAGTGAGGAAAGAGATCTCATGGAATAAGGATGTTGTCGTTGGTGAGCTGGCTGGCTGGAGCTCTTGGAGGGAAGAGACTGGTAGACAAGCCATTCGCAACTTTGTCAAGACGACTCTCGTTAGAGAAAAAGAGCGCGGTAAACGGATGGAACGGTGTTTGCGCGTCATTCAAGGTTGAGTTCTTGCTTATTGCACCCATACAGAATACATCTCCTGCGTTTTGTTTTCTGGCTGTCTTCGCCTGACATACCTTCTCCGATGTTAGAGTCAAGCTCTTTTGCAATTCTTGAGTATATCGTGCATACCTTGTAACTCAGATTTGTCAACCGCGATTTCCTTTTTCTTTTCTTTTTCATTTTTTCTTCCTTTAAAGGCGGTTAATTCTAAAGCGTTATTTGCCATTTGTTTTCACCATTGTATGACTATGTACATTTTGTTTCAAGTGTTGGTAGTATAATCAAGTTTTCTCTGCTGGCGTTACGTCCACGGGCGAGAAGCTGGTGGATAATTTCATACAAGAAGCAAGGTTAATTCCATTTATTATTTAATTTAACCCATTACTTCGTTTACCTGTATAGTTTACTTTCTTCCTTGCAACTGTTAGGCTCGGAAGAACGGAGAATATATTCAAGCATATGTCATAACAATAACAATTCTTCATTCGTCTATCAAATCTCTATCTAAGGTATAGAGATATGGCTATCACCAGAATCTGACCAGTGAGAAAACAACAATAACCCAAGCAATATATCGAAGCATGCGCCACCACCTCCTCCCAAGAGCGAGAGTACACAAACTCAACTAACGGAATAATTGGTAGCAAGGTACGCTGGGCAACGATCGGTATGTTCCAAGAAGTCTAGAATCTGTAAACCAAAAGGCCCGAAAAACAAAACATAAAGGAATAAAGAAGGAAAGAATAGAAAGAAGAAAAAGAACCCGGGCGAGGGTGTGATTAGTTTCAAAACAAAAATGTGAGAGTTTAAATGCAAAAGCACAGAAATACGTCATAATACAAAGAGATCATAAGAGGGGATCGAGGATCTATGTGTAAAAGATCACTGCTTTAAGCATGGAGTTAAAAGCGTGATGGAATAAAAAACCTGTCCCTTGGGGGATATAAAAGATCGAATATGAAAAGAGTGGAGGGCGACAGCTAATGAAAGTCTCCTCAGGTATGCAAAGTCTGGGTATTTTGATGAAATGGTATGGTAAAAACAGCTATCCTGGAGCCGTAAGTGAAAAATGCCGTAGGTTATTATGAACTTCCGGGGTACACAGTACTGTTCCGGTTTGTTACTTGCCGAAGGCTGTTTCGTGCAGCTTGATGCGAATTGACGGCACTATATCTCTTTGGAATGGGACGCCGGTAATTGTCTGACGGATTGTGTAGATTTTCCTGCGAGGATTCCGGCAATGCCACAAGACCGGGTGCTCCGACTGCATGATACGCAGCCTTTTCATCGTCCATGTAGCTTGGAGAGTAGGCATGATATTGGTGCTGGTGCTCGCCTGAAGCAAGGAGTGACGTGGATTGCATGTTATTGCCCATATTGCCCTGAGGGAAATGTAGTTCAGCTTGGGAAGATTGGTTTAAAGATGCCTGATAGGTGGCATCTTGGTGTGAAGGGTATGAAGGATAGTGGAGGCCCTTCTCCTCGATGTTTTGGGGATATGCGTCCCCTTGTTGTGGGCTTGACAAGACCCCAAATGGGTTCATATTATGGTCGTATCCCACAGAGTCATTGTGGTCGACAATTCCAGCTTGGGTATGTTGGACATCGCCCATGGGCGGGGTGGGAGGGAACGGGGATAGACGTCTGCTGGATTGCCCGTCATTCTGGTTCTCTCTGGCATGTTTCCATCTCTTGTAATATACGAATGTGAGGAAAACCAGGGAGATAACGACGAATCCGCCGAAGACAGCGCCTGCAGCAACGCCACCTTTGCTAAGGCCGCTACCTTTCGATTTAGCAGCGCCTGGGGTAGTGGTGGAAGAAGCCGAAGCAGCTGACGATGATGCTGAAGCGGTTAATGAGGGACTGGAGGATTCAGCTGGTAGCCCTGCAGGTGGTGAAGTTTGCTCCGGCGCCTTAGGTGATTCTGATGACCCTGATGGCTCTGGGGATGATGAGTTCTGGGAAGAAGGTGACTTGGGATCGTTGGTGGGAGTAGAGGGCTCAGTTGGCTTTGGGGTATTGCCTGAATCTGACGATGCAGGCTGCGACGTGGGAGGGTCTGTGTTGGTCGGCTGGGGGGTTCCTTGCTCAGGCGGGCGCGTTGCGGGCTCGCCTTCCTTTGGGGTCTCCCGCGGGGGAGAAGATGTCGGGTCAGGGCCCCTTGAAGGCACAGGTTCATCTTGCGTAGGAGGCCGCGTTGGAGGAGGGTCCTGTTGCGGATCTGGTCGCTGTGTTGGATCTGATGGAGGAGGATCATTCTGTGGAGGCCTGGGAGGACGGTTATCTCCGTCGTTTGGCTTGTGGTCTTTGTCTTTGTCTTTGTCTTTGTCTTTATCGTCTTTGCCGCCTTTATTGTCTTTGTCGCCTTTATTGCCGTCGCGGTCATCGTTGTCTGGGTTAGGTGGCCGACCAGGCGGGCGATTGCGGTCACTGTCACTGTTGTCTTTCTTTCCATCTCCGTCATTGTTTTTGCCTCCTTTCTGAGGAGGGCCGCCATTAGGGGGACCACCTGGAGGCTTTCCTTTCTCTCGATTTCCTCCTGGACCACCTCCTGGATTACCATTCGGATTACCTCCTGAATTGCCTCCTGGATTGCCTCCTGGATTTCCTCCTGGACCACCACCTGGGTTACCTCCTGGATTACCTCCTGGATTACCTCCTGGACCACCTCCCGGACCACCTCCTCCTTTGCCTCCTCCTCCTCCTCCTCCACCACCACCGTCACCAGCTCTCTTCCATCTTAAAACTTCTCCCCATATCCCAAGATGGTTTGGTCTGTGCGATAGTTGCGAGTCTTCATGGCCTAGACAGTCGTGGAGTTGTCCGGAACACGCGCCGGAGCGAGAGGATAGAGAATGTGTGGGAGGCTCGGTCGCGAGAGCAGCAGCGCATGACTGCAGGAGCAAAAGCCGAACGATATTCGGCGGTAGCATGATTGAAACGTCGGGCAACCGCCAATTCCTCCGGCGGTACGGTTAAGACACAACGCGCCTGTCGATAGGGATGTGCATAAATGAACGAGCGATGAATAAATGAACGGACGAGCGGGCGAAGGACGACGGCGACTGCACGCTCAGATGTAGGTAGAATTTTCCGACGACTAGCATCCAGTCTTGTCGGTCAGTGAATGATGGATTTGTGATGTCCGGTGTGTCCTGGTTTCAGCAGTTCACAGGCTAGAGAATGTCACAAAAGGATCTGCACGGCCGGACGAGCGATGAACAGCGGGCGAGCATGGTCGAGCGAAAGGGCCGTCGAGACTTAAAGGACTGTGTGCGTAAGCCCAGCGAGCATGCCGGGGATGAAAAATGACCGTGGTTTTCTCTCGAGAGATGTATGATCCCGATGGCGTTTGGGGATTTGTTAACGGTTTCTCTTTCTTCGGCCTGGTGGTCACTCAGGAAAAACGAACGAAAAAACGCTAATCCTCGACTTTACGATGCGCCTATCTGCAGCTGGATGGAGAAATATTGCTCCCTAAACCTGCACCTTTGCGCGTCCCTTATGTACAGAAGGGTTTTCGGTAACGGCTTGTATCGATAGTACGCCGACCCCTTGACCCGGCACCAGCCTGGGAAGATTTAACTGGCCCTGAAACAGCGTTATTCAGGCCCTGCAGCGGCCTGGAGCCTCTTGACAAACGCGAGCAAGAGTTCCCCCCGCTGTCCGCCAGCGAGCGACCGGGGATGTGCCTGGAGAGATCGTACTCTGGTAACCAACAACGGCCGCCCAGCTGTAAATCCGTAACAAGGGGTCACCCTTATCCGCAACTAGTCTGCTGTAGCGTTCTTGTAGCGTCTTGTAGTGTCATGTAGCGTCTTGTAGTGTCATGTAGCGTCTTGTAGCGTGCCTGTATACGCCTTTTCGGTGAATCAGCGCGCGGCGGAAGGATTTGCGCTGCGTCTGTTAGTAAGGTGGCTGAAGAAAATGGACGTGTAGAGTACCTGCAAGGATCTGTAGAGACCTGGTAGACCTGGCCCTGGTCGAGGCAGTGATATACCTGGTAGATAGACCTAGTAGTGAAGACTTGGTGGTGGGATGTTGATATGACGTTGCCAGCAGTGAATCCTGATGCCTGCTGAGGTCGCATCCAACTCGCCACAAGTTGATGGCAGTATAAATATCCGGCTGCGGGGTTCTCGTCACCACCATCATACACACTGTATATCTGTTTACCGTGATAGATCTTTGAAACGGCGCATCTTAAGAAACTGTTTGTCAGGCTCAAGTCTACAGCGATGCCTCTCGTCGTGCCAAACGTGTCGGAGAGCGACAAGACTGCCTGGGCGGCCAAGCTGATGGGCAAGAAGATCACAGACAACGAGACCAATGAGACAGTGAGCATCAGACAAAGAAGAGATATCGATGCAGGCCGGTTACGTGGTAGAAGCTGACCGCTGCGCCGTTTCATAGTGTTTTGCAAAGAAAGATCTCCCTGAGCAGCACCGCGTCCTCAAGCCCGGCGACATGAGCACGATGGACTTCAACCCCGACAGGCATGTATTTGCTCTATCTATCTAGCTATCTAGCTAACCACGGCTCCATAGACTGAACATCCACGTCGACAAGGATGGCACCGTCATGGACGTCAAGCACGGCTGATCGTGCATGTTATACCAACTGCATACATCGCAGTAACGATAATGGCGGAGTGGGACACGGCTCGGGCTGATACTTGTAATTCCTCCCTGTATCTATAAATATAAGATACTTCAACCATATGTTTCCTTGTAGCTTGAGCTCGGCTTGATCTCGGCTTGCTTCTTCAATGCGTAGAAGGGTGTCATCTAGTGGCTCAGCGCTGGTTCAGCCTTGATGAATAACGGCCATGGTCGACAGCGTTATGCGTCGTGCTGATTCACTCGTGCTGGTTCACTCGTGGAGAATCATGTATAGAAGGCACGGTGCATGCTGCGAGACTTACAAAGATTCATGCAATGCATCCTGTCAGCCGTCAATCGTCGTCGTCTTCGTCAGAGCTGTATACACCCAGCCCGAGGCTTAGTGCAGGTGCTTTCTTGATCTCTTTCGTCACCGTTGCGGCTGAGGGTGTGCTCGACTGAGCCTCCTTTGCAGCCGGAGGTTGACCATCCTCATCGCCCTTTGCATCCGCCTTTATATCGGCCAAGGCCTTATCCGTAGATGACTTGCGCCGCTTGAGCCCCAGCAGACCTCCGTCCTTCTCCTTCACACGTCGCCGTTTCCTTCCAGAGATAGCCCAGTTATCTCCCTCGTCGGCCGGTCCGACGAGCTCGGCCGTACTCCCGCCCTCCGCATCCAAAAGAGCTTTCTCAGCCTCTTCGCGCTGGCGGTGGAACAGCTCCAGTTTCTCGCTCGTTTCCTTCTGCAATGCCTCCTCCTTGGCTCGCGTAGACTCGAGTATCGAATCGAGGAACTCGACCTCGTCTTCATCCAGAGTTCGAAACTGGTTCTTTAGCCGTATGGACTCCTCGAACGCCTCTTGTTTGGCAGCTATACATCCGAGTCAGCTCCGGCTACACATAACCGTAGACACAAGTATGGTGCCGGGTGATATACCCTTATTCTGCTGGAGGACCTCGTAGAGACTCTTTCCACCTTCCTGCTGCCCTTCCGTAGCTTTTCTCTGGCGGCTGGCATCGAGCTCCTGCTTGACCCTCATCCACTCGTCGCTAGGTTTCCCGCCCTCATAGTCGTCTCCCTCCACGCCCGCGGATACAAACCCCGACGACATCTTTGTCAATGGAATAAACCCCGTCAATATCGTCTTTCTCTTCTATTCTCTCTTCTCTTCTGGTTTATTCTCGTCTTTCTCTTGTTACTTCTTAGTCAGCATATGGAAGAATGTTTATCCGCGTACTCCGCCTCCCGCCGAACTCCGGAACAACTTTCCGCTTATGACGACAGAAGTTGCCTTCTTCTTCTTCTCTTCTTCTTCTTCCTACTCTTCATACGCCGTCGTTCTTTTGACAGCATCATCATGGCGCCGTCAAGCGGGCACCAGCTTATCCCAAAGGTCTGGCGAGTCGCCAGGTAAGTCTCCCACTCGCTCTTGTCCGGGTACAGCATCTAACAGGCAGCTAGATTCGCCTTTGAGAAGACTGCTCGAGCAATCAGGAACAGACTCCCTGATGCTCGTGAACCTCGCTCTCTACAGCTACAGCCGGCATTCGTTCGTCCGGCAGCTCGAACGCCCGCAAACCGGATTGCGGCCCTCAGATCGCAAACTCGCTCTTTCACGACTGGCCGCGCACCAGTCCGCGCCGCCGCCAGGGCCGCTCAGTCTTTAAAGATCGCCACACACGTTAGCCGCTTGACCACCAGGACACCCTTAGCCTCGGCGTTGCGTCCAAATCTTACGGGAGGTGCGCTCTGTCGGACTGCTGGAGGCTATGCCATCGGCGCAGGCAGGATTGGTGGTGCGAGATATTTCTCCAGCTCACCTACGTCCCCCGCTCAAGTCGTCCAGAACGTATCCGTGGCAATGCGCTCCTTCTGGCTCTCGGGTCAGAGAGCCCGGTTCGATGGAATAGACAAGCGCACAGGCGCTAAAAAGTACAAAGTTGTAACTGTGCTGCAGCAGGAGGCAGGCCGCAAGATGGATGCCATCCCCGCCACCGCTTCCGGCTCCTACGTCGACTTCAAGGTGTCTCCAACCATCACAGCCCTCGGATGCTTCAAGTCGATGCAGAAAGAATCCTCGATTGCAGCTGACGAGCAGGCAACTCTAAACTCCGCTGGCCTCTTGGATCTCCTGTCCGGAGATTTTGCCCGTGTGCTCATGGAACTTGCCGCAGTTCTGAACGATTTGAAGAAACTCGCCACTCTAGGCGATCTTCCTATATCGTTACAAGACCAGTCGACCATCCGTGTTCGATTCCCCGGATGTGACGCCGTGACGGTAGAGCATCTCTGTATTGAAGCCGGAGTGCAGCGAGGCGTGGTCGGCCAGGATGAGGACTTTGAGAGCAGAAACGGAGCCGACATGGCACTCCTTTTCCCTTTTGCTCCCAGCTATCAGCACTCTGAATCAGGGTCTAATCTACATGACAGCGCCCTGATGCGAACACCAGAGTACGTCAACTGGCAGGAGATGATGTTCTCGAACGAGTCCATCTCGCCCTTTGGCACGCCAGAAAAGGACTTCTCCCTCATGAACTTGTCAGAGGAGAATCCGTGGGCCCGCCAGCCTTCCGCGTTTTCCAGCGTGGGCATCAGCGAGCTTGGAGACCGCGAGTTCTTCCCTGATATACGCTACCCGACCCCTACTGCATCGGAATACGGAGGCATCGAGGGCGTATGCAAGTTCATAGAGGAATGCAACCGAGCTAGTCGTTGAGCCTCTCCTGCTTCTTTGCCTCCTGGGCCCCTTTTTTCGTTACGAATTTCCTATTTAAATCTTTCTTATATCCCCCATGTATATATTTGTTGCCCTCGTCTAGCTGTGGCGTTTCCGTTCTTTTCGCCGCTGGCCCAACTGCCCGGCGTAGTGTATTTCTCGTTTCTTTTGTTTGACGCAGATACTCTCCGCTATTCTATAGGTCGAATGAAGAAACAGATCGCAATCCAATCTCCCAGTATATGTATCTGTTAAATATCGTGGCTTGGATGACTTCACAGGACATCACGTGGAAGCTCCGCCACGAGGAGCTCTCTTGGGCGCAAAAAAAAACACAACCAAAACCAGTTGAAGTTCTAGTCCAAGAGTGTTGACGGCAGAGACAATCTGCTTGCTCAATATTGTCTTGGCCCTTTCGCGCTCGTCTACCAGGCTGCGGAAGACATCTACTCTGCATCTTCACCGTTATCGATAGTTAAAGTCACCCTCGTCCGCAAAGTGGGGTGGGTTCTTCGCTACTCCAAACCCCCCATCCACCAACGCTCGCCTGATCAGCTCGTCCTCGTTTCGCCAGAGGGCTTTGAGCAGCGCAGAGACCTGTAGAGGATCATGGATGAGTTTAACAATACAGACACGGACAGTGATTATACCTCCTTCTGGAGAGATTGGGTGAGTGGCTGGTTCTTAAACCTGCGATTGAGAGAGCCCTTTCTGACTTGACGGTGACATTGTGAGAACAGTTTATATCCTCCCGCGGCAATGAATACTTCTGCGAAATAGACGAGGAGTACCTCACAGATCGCTTCAACTTGACCGGCCTAAACACCGAAGTCCAGTACTATCAGTATGCCTTGGATTTGGTGACGGATCTCTTCGACCTGGATGCAGATGACGACCTACGGGAACAAATCGAGAAATCAGCTCGACACCTCTATGGCTTAGTCCATGCGAGATACATTGTCACCACGCGTGGATTGGCAAAGATGGTACATTCTACCCAAACCGCGAGAATCCGGTTTTTTACAAACAAAAAACATACACATAAATACTGACTCTCTACGTTTGTCCAGCTTGAAAAGTATAAACGTGCAGACTTTGGCAAATGCCCTCGAGTCATGTGTGATCAACACCCTCTTCTACCTATGGGCCAATCCGACCTTCCAGGCCTGAAACCCGTGAAGCTCTACTGCGCAAAATGCGAAGACATATACAACCCCAAATCATCCCGCCACGCCGCCGTCGATGGAGCCTATTTCGGCTCGTCCTTCCACAACATCCTCTTCCAGGTCTACCCTGATCTAATACCAGACAAATCGCGAGAACGATACGAACCCCGTGTTTTCGGATTCAAGGTCCACGCTTGCGCAGCTCTTGCTCGATGGCAAGATCGAAAACAGGACGAACTGATCGGCCGGCTGCACATGTTAGATATGGAAAGCCCGTTTATCGAAGATAGGGAAACAGAGGAAGAGGAGGAGGAAGAGGAAGAGGAAGAAGACGAGGAGGACGAAGCGGGAGATGCTGTGATGAAGGATGAGGGAGCTCGGGAACCGTTGCCCGTTCCTTCTTAAAGATGACCAGGATAAATAACAATAATAATGGATACGACGGGTGTATACAGGCGTATATCGGTTTCGGAAGTTCAATTAAAAAAAAAAAAACAAATACTGGGCTCGAGAATCGGCACCCGGCAGGACTTTGCATGACAGTAGCGCCGAAGAAACGAACTCGGGTCTCTTGTCTCTTCATTTTGATGGCTGGTGGGCATGGTTATCTAAGGAAGGCGCTTCGGTCCCTGTGATCTTTTAATTGAATTCAATTACTCTATATTTCCTTCCCCTTCATCCCCATATCATATCATGCTCGAACTTGAGAATGGGGGAGCTGATTACGCGGATTAAATCGATGGGCAACGAGCTACATTGACCATTTCATTTCAAAGAACGTCATATTAGCATCATTAATTTTGTCTATTCCAGTTTTACCCTTGTCTTTCTCTAACTACTTAGCAGTTGGGTTTATTTGTGATTATGAGGTTTCCAGGTGCTGGAAAAGGGTCACGGTGGCATACTCTATAGATTGCAATAGGAATACTTTCATCCAACCGTACAATTCGTATATTACCATAAGCTTTCTCATATGATATTGTCTATTTTTCTGCGCATGAGGTAGATATTCAACATTACATATTCCTGGCCAATGAATCGGAAGCTATCGAGGCTTAACTAGAACAAGTATTTACTGAGTAATTACGTGGAGCAGATGCGTGAAGCGGTATCAACATGTTCTGAGCTACGAAGGCGAGAAGCAACATTAGGAACCAGTATACAAGTAAACTTCCGGTAGGGACAGAGGGCTGATATTAATATTGACTTGGACAAGGATTCTAACTATCAAAAGGAGATTCCGACTCCTTCTGTGGCTTGACTGTAGGTAGCTAGGTAACTTCACATATTTGAATCAAGATCCTCCATGCATTCTGGTAGGCACTTAGTTGGCAAAGGAGCGTCTGGTCCAGAACATGCTAAGGGCAGCAAGAATAACTGGCAAAACGCTGACAATCTCGCCCAAGCCAGCATACGCCGGGGGAATACGCACATAGACGAATGCACCAGCAGCAAGAAGGATGGCAAAGACGTTATACAGGCCAGACCAGATGAAGTTGAATGCAATTCGTCTGAATGACGCCTTGGACACATCGAGGAGAAGAACGAGTCCCTCCAAACCACTGAGAAGAACCACGTCGGCCGTGGCCCTGCTGACGTCGGAGGAAGAACCAATTTGAACGCCCACGTCTGCCTGGGTGATTGCAACGGCGTCGTTGGTGCCGTCTCCACAGAAGAGAACGACCTTCTTGGATTCCATGAGACCGCGGACGTAGGCTTGTTTGTCGCCTGGGCTCTGACGGCCAGCTACGTATTCGCGAGGGATGCCTACAAAGGCGGCTATTTCCTCTGCAGCCTTGACTTCATCTCCGCTGACGACATGGACGGTGATCCCACGCTTCTGGAGCTTTTTGATAACGGATACAGCTTCGGGGCGGGGGTTGTTCTTTAAGCCGAATACAGCGAGTAGTTCGGAGTCCTTAGTGATGCAGAGGGTGGTCATCCCGTTGTCAATGATACGGGAGACTTCTGGGTGGGTTTGAACCTGTAGCCATCGAGCGTTACCAGCGCGGAAAGTAGAACCGTCAACAACGCATTCAACACCTGCTCCTGGGATGATACGGATGTTTTCGAGGCGTCGGTAGGGTTGGGCTTCAAGGTGTTTTGCAACAGCCACCGAGACAGGGTGCTTGTTATCACGGACTAAAGCGCTGGTAATCGCGAGAGTCTCTTCCTCTGACGCCGATAGGATTTTGGTTTCCACGACTTCGAGTTCGGCAGTTGTAATGGTCCCTGTCTTGTCTAGAACGACATCGCTCACGCGGTATGCGCGTTCGGTAGACTCGGCAGACTTAATAATCACTCCACCGCGGGCAGCGATGCCGCCAGCAACTACTAGGACCATCGGAACGGCTAAGCCAACAGCACATGGACACGAGACGGCAAAGACAGCAATGGTGTAGGTAATGGAAGTTCCCACTGCACCACCGGCAGTTTGGTGGCGGACCAGAAGACAGATAAGTAGCCAGGCGATCAAGACAATCAAGGCCGCAGCAGTCACAACAGGCACGAACCATCCGGCGACCCTATCTGCCAAATCCTGCACCTTTGGCTTACGGCTCGATGCCTCCTCAACCAAGTTAGAGATCTCGGCGACGGTATTTTTCCCAGGCAGGCGAGTCAAGAGAACAGTCAAAGTTCCCGAGCCATTAATGGTACCGGCAATGACCTGGGAACCTTTTTCCTTGAGAACTGGCAGACTCTCTCCGGTGAGCATGGATTCGTCAACTTCACTGGTTCCTTCGACAACCTTCCCATCAGTAGGCACGTTAGAGTGAGGCATGACGATAAATCTATCACCAAACTGCAAAAGTCTGGCATCAATCTCTGTAGTCTGAGCCCCCTCTAGGAGCATCGCAGTAACAGGTTGCAACGATCGAGTAGATACAGCCTCCACAGCCCGAATACGGACATAAGCAGCAACCAATCTACCGAACAAGACAAGAGTGATGAGGAGAGTGCTAGTTTCGAAAAACTCGGCTGTCTGGAGCGGCTTTCTTGCCATTGTGAACCCAAAGGCGACGACAGAGTAGACATATGCAGCCGTGATACTGATAACGACCAACATATCCATTTCAATGACACCGCTGTAGATCAGGGAAGAAATGGCGGGCTTGTAAAATTCCGGGATAGCTAAGATTTGAACCCCCGTTGCCAGAACAAGGGAGACGATGGCCTTGGTACGCATGTCAGTTAGGGTATGGCCCCAGGCAAGCACTAGGACGGGGATAGTAAGGACGGCAGCGTATGTAGTTTTGAACAACATGGAGTACAGCCGTTTACGTCCCGCAGTGGCTGACGGGTCTTTGTGGTTGATGGGAGTAATTCCAGTAGTGCGATCCCCCATGGCACGTATGAGGTCTCTTGGCCCAATAACCAAGGGATCATACGAAACTCGAGCGGTCTTCGCATCAACGACGTCAACCTGAGTCACACCCTCAGGCAGGCTTTCGGCAGTCAAGCTGGAGGAGCCCGCAGGAATGACAAGGTCGATATGTTGGTCGTCATTACTGGACTTGGTGCAGCGGAAGCCGGTAACTCGATCAACCTTCTCAATCAAGGCGTCGACTCCAAGCTCCTTGGTGTTGAGATCAAACTCGGCATTTCCTAGGACGAAGTTGACTCGCACGTTAAAAACGGCGGGCATCTCCTGGAGGGTCTTGGATAGCTTATTCCCACAGCCGGAACAAGTCATGCCGGTGACGGAGAGGAGGACGTGTTCATGTCCGGCGGATTTTTCCAGGTCGACGACGTTACCTTTGATGACAGCTGCTTCTTTGGCGACATGTCCGTGATCATGGCCGTCGGAACAGCAGCTTGAATCGTCAGTTGAGTGCAGGCCATTTTTCTCATCAGAAGCATGTCCATGTCCATGGTCGTGAGAATGGGCGTGAGTGTGTGGCTCCTTCTCGGCTACCGAAGCAGTATTGCAGCGATTTGGTTTATTCTCGGCTGCCGAAGTAGTAGTGCCGCATTTTGGCTTGTTCTCAGCCTGTTTGGTAGTGGCAACCTGTCCGGCGCAGCAAGGCGTAAGATGGTGATTGGCAATGACACTACGGCAGATGCACTGAGCAGTCTCTAGATACGAGCTGAAGCGGTCAAATGCCAAGCGTAGATGGCTGCTGCACGCCACGGAAGCGTGTTTGCCATCGTCGTCGTGCTCATGGACGTGTTCGTCGTGTTCTTGGACTTGAAGGTTAGAACAGCACTGTTTCAACCATAAGATGGAAGCATACCGGCAGTTCCCAGAGTACTGTCACACGCCTTTTGACACTCATACGCCGCAAGGGACTGGATGCACGTTTCTACACCACGCCATTAGCCGGTTTCCTTGCCATGTTCTGTGTTACAAGCAGACGCCACCAACCATCACAGCGTTCTTCGCCTTCAGGATCACAACAGGCAACGGGCTTGGCGGTCGGTGAGACATCAGGTTCAGCCTCAGTTTTACAGCAAGATGCTGCTGGTTCAGGCTTCATGGCCTCGCTGGCATTCTTGGGAGAGCCGGAGCAGCATCCACGGTCCTTGTTGCTTCCACAGGCCATCGTGGCAGGTTTGGAAGCGTAGAATTTTTCTGGAAGGTTCGAGGAGATAGGAAAACGGCAAAGGAATCTTGAAGACTTCTTCTGGAAACGAAAGAATGAATAGTGTGTGCAACAGGATTCCCGAGAGAGAGAGAGCAAGGAGGATGAGAGAAAGTGTTTTTAGTGAAAGAAAAGCTAAGCGGGTGATCGCTTGTCTTAGTTATATAATTCTCCAGTTATGCGCTGTGGCCTGCGTAACTTTTTTGCCTGTGAGTCCGCACCACGGGAGGATCCGGCGGCCGTGGCTAGCAAAGGGAACATGAAAAAAAGGGAACTAAAAGGCCCAGCTGAAGGAGATCGCATTTCGTCTCTTCTCTTTGATGTGAGCCCTAGCCAGCAGCCCCCGAGCTCGTACCACGGCATCCAGCGGCTGCAACGTCTCGCTTCCTGTCCTGGCCGACGGGACGTGTGCAAACCCTGCACCAGTGATGTCCGTCCGCATGTGGCGAGCTGAGCATCTTGTCGGTGTACCTGTCGCCATCAACTAGCAGTCCGCCGTCGATGGAGAGGGACAGGTTCCAAATGCAAGATGGAGATCATGAAGGAGATCGCGAAGAAGAGCAAAAAGAAAAGATGCGAAGGCCGTAGACTTTTATATCCAGCATCCCGAGTACCTTGCGCGCCTTTTAGTCATCCTCTACTTTCGCACTCTCTATTTATGCTTATTCTTACTCTATTCTACTTTATTCTACTTTATATCTACTCTTACGGCTCTGCTTGTACTCTAGATAAACTACGGAGTAGCTGGTGTTGCAGGTGTGAAGGCTGAAGATCTATATCGAAGTACCCGTACGACCTGGCACCACCGAGAGGCGAACCCGCCATAACGCCACGAACCTAGCCCGTTTATTATAGTGATGGGTTTCGCTCAGCGACGATAACCAACGGAAACTAACCAGGTCGGCGAACATCGGACGACAGTTTCTGGCTCTCGTCGCGGAGCCACGCGATGCCGCAGGTTTTAGCAAACATATTTCCATGGATGTCTAAATGTTGGCCAATCGTTAACTAGTTATGCTGGAAGATCTAAGCAGTATGGCTACCGTTTATCCTTGAAAGACTTCTGGTATATCCTCATGTTCACCGATCCGGGCCGGTGTACGAGTGTTGGTTTAAAGGAAGGTTTGAAAGTACGGTGAATATACTGCGTGCACTCAAATCCTCTTACATAGCACACTGATAGTATCCATGGCCAGTAATAAGTATTTGATGTACTCGGTAGAACGACTGGAACTGTTACAGACTATCTACAGCACGCGAGGTGTGATATTAGACAATACTTCGGATTCTATGTCAGACTTAAAGGTGACATGCAAAGTCGTGTGCCCTGCCTCGATATCTATACGAGTCGAGCTGAGCCAAGGACCTAGACATAGCCACGAATATTACCTGATCGACGCTCCAAACGACAACCCTGCCTCGCCCTGCAGGAGTTCTAAATATACCGAACTACTTATATCTAGTTGCCGCGAGTTCGGTGCATTGCATTGTCCAGGTAGCTTAATAATTCCCCTTCCAGCCGACGATGGCAGGGATACCGTCACTATCAAAGTCACAGTCGCCATCGCCATCACCACAACCATCACAGCCTAAGTTACAATGCCATACCTGCCGGAAGAGACGAGTCCGCTGTGATTCGGCCTTACCGTCATGCCAGAAATGCCGTGATAGAGGCATCGAGTGTCTTGGATACGGCAAGCAAAGGCCGTTGGTTTGGTTGGAAGGCGGCGGCAACCAGAACCAGTACCTCAAGGAGGCCTGCTTGCCCGTCAGGGAGAGGAGAGGCAGGAAGAAAGGCAGGCCGAAGTTGATAGTGGCCAAGGACTCGAATGATGCGGCTGCTTCTTCCCCTCTACCAGATACTGCGTCGGACACGCTTGATGATAGCGTCGACGGCAAGGAGAATGCCCTGGTGCAAACCAGTCGATCGAGAGCCAACCGTATTCCCGAGACCATGATGTTTTCATATCCATCTGAGATCCAGAAGATCATAAGAGCAATGTGGTACTGTGAGTGCCATCTCATGTCAAAGAATGATTCATTCATTCATTCGTCGCTACTAACCGGCGCATACACCATAAGACGAATATCAGCTAGTCCCCGATCTAGATCCTATAAACCACTTACCACGTACCGAATCAGAGGATCCCACGTCCTGGCACGATGATCTGGCTTCGATCCTCTGGAACATCCTGATCTGTGTCGTTGATACGCACAAGGCTATCCGGATCCAGCCAGACGACCAGGTAGAGATCGGAAGATCGGTCTACAAGTCCAAATCACAGACCTTTATGAGGCTGAATAAAAATCTGGCTGATCCGAAGACGCAGATCAGCGATGTGACATTGATAGCTGTTTTGACGCTGTTCCTAGCAGAGGTAGGATTTACCGTTCATCCTTCATGTTTTGTTGTATGCTGACCAGTCACGGAATAGACACAGCTCTCAGCTGTCGGCTCATGGAAGACTCATTTTGAAGGCGCCAGTAACATCATCAAGCTCCGTGGGGGTGTTAAAACCATCGCCTATCAGAGTACATACATGCATAACCTTCTCACATTCTACATGGTGTTAGTATCGCCTCGTCCGCTTCCATTAGAGACACAGCTAACCTTACGAGTAGAGCGGATGTGCTTAGCTACACCACAATAGCAAACGCATTGCCCATTTTAGATGCGAGGCGGCAACGAGAATACACTGAGATCATCCCAGACATATTCCAAAACGGGTCTGGAACATGCATTCCGTGTCCCAACGAACTATTCGACGCCATCATCCAGGTTAACTATCTCCGAGCCATCGCAGAAAACGCCATCGGTGAACTCGGCCATGATGACGGCAGCACCAGCCTCAAAGCCTCCGCGCATGCCCTATTGCAGACTATCCTCTCATTCCCCGTCGCTTCATGGGCGGATCAGATGGATGATCGATGCTGCCAACAGCTGGCCACCAGGCCAGATCCACAAAAGGCCTATCTCCGCCCTACTCGAGACGACTGGGTGCGGATAGCCAGCGTTTATCATGCCGCTGTCGCCTTGTACTGTGTTCGAAGCACAGCTCTCAATCTTGACGAGCTACTGCACGTCTCATTTATGTCCGATCAGCCCATACCCACTTCGTATGTATCCACATCCGACATCCTACTTGTCGCCAGGAAGATCCTCTTTGATAGATTACGGGAGATTCTCCGTGCGGTGAGGGATCCTCGGGAATCGTTCGCAAAGGTTCTCATCTGGCCTATGTTTGTTGCCGGTATTGAGGCGGCGCTGGACCCGGAGGCAGGAGAGTTTAGGGCGCTCCTTGAGTCGGGATTGCGCCGTTTGTGCCGGTCGTTGGGGACGTTGAGTATTGATGGTCTACGCACGTTCTTGATGGCGCTGTGGGATCATACCAGCCGGATAGATGGTTATGAGCAGCAGCCGCGCTGGTGGAGCGAGTTGCTTCAGTGCTCTCCTGGTCGATGCGTTTTCTTCATGTAGGTCCTCTGTGCAATATACCCAACTCATCCATAGAAACATGAGATTTTGAATTACCTCGACTGTATATAACCATACTAGTGGTCTATAGCCAAATATAGCCCGAAATATCCGAAAAGAAAAAAAAAGAGGAAGGGCACTATGCTTCCAAGTCTCGCAGTTCCTTGATAGCAACGGAAATAAGAGAGGCAAGCTCCTTTCCACCACGCCAAATCCCATCATGGGTCTCAGATAGGTCCTCAATAACCTTGACTCTCCGTGGCTTCCCACCTTCCCCACCGGCAACCCACGGGCGTAGAGCCTCCTCCATTGTTGGCAACTGAGACGCATGCATCAGCTCGTCGTTGGTTGATCTCGCGAGGACGGCCACCCGGCCATTCTTCCAGCTTTCTACAACACCTCCGGCTGTATCTGGAGCAGGCGACGCCTTACGCCAGACTTCTTCAGCACCAAAGGCGTCGGTAATAAACTCTCGATAAGCAGGGATATGACTCAAGGTCTTCACCAGGAAAGGCATATCATAGATACCCGCCACGCCTACAATCGCTAGTGGCCGCACAATATTACTTGCGGGCACAATTCGATTCATGACCGCTTGAAACGCCAGAGTAGCCCCGCAACTATGTCCAGCGAGGATATATCGTTCGCCAAACGCATATTTCTCCTGCAGCAGGGCCAGTCCCTTTTGCACATCAGAAACATGGTCTGGGTGTTTAGCATTTCTGTACTCCTGGGGATTGACAGAGACAGCATCCTGCGGGAAGTTTGGATGAGCCGTGAGTCGATACTCGATGGACGCAATGCCAGCTATGTCTGCATTGTTACTTGCTAGAAGCACATCCTGCGTGGGTTTGAATGTAGGCGCAAGGATTTCTGGATCACGCCATGCGCCGCCGTGTATATAGCTTTGTCCATGGTCAGCGTGTATCAGTGAACTGGCTTGGGATGAGGGGCATACACTATCCAGTAGCCCGACTTTGATGGAGGTTGCGGCGAGGGGATGTGCACGTAGACGTTTTGCAGGGAGTGATCCCCAAAGCTATACTTCTCGTAGCCAGCTGAAGACACTGATTGAGCCATAATTGCGGTCATCTCTTCTCGTCCTTCTTGTTGAAGTGGTAGAAGACGATGCTTTGTTCTATGCGAGGAGGGGATGGACAGGTATTTATCCACGTAAGATGCCCCTCCTCTCCATCCAAGCGCTCTTCGCCATCCCTGCCCGCCGGTTGGAACGACAATACAGTAGACAACGCTAGAATATCGCCTCTATCCTTACATTAGACTGTCGAACCGTTGATATCTACCTGTTTTATAGAGCGTTGAAGGCTTGAAGTCGCGAAGGGAGTGATTAGCTAAGACATCCGGCTAGCCGCTTTCAGCCTTAGCGACGAAATTATTTTTCGATCGCTTTTCCCGCATTCACACAAAAGGACGAGGACGACGAGGACGAGAACTGAGATACCACCGTTTGACCAGCCAGAAGTCCTGTTGACGCATATTCCCACATCCTTCATCATGGCAGAGTATGTGATCCCTGAGTTTGTCGTCTCCGGAGCTGCGCTAACATGAATTAACAGGAGAGAAGTCCCGCTCAAGACCGTCCAGGTGGACGCGCTGGTAATGCACTTCCATAACGCCGTATATATAAAGATATCCTTCTGACGATGCGCAGGTTGTTATGAAAATAATCAAGCACTGCACCCAGACATTCCCCACGACAGCAACAGGGTCCATCGTTGGCATGGATGTCAAGGGAAACCTGGAAGTCACCAACTCGTTCCCCTTCCCGATAGTCGACCTCCCGCCAGATTCGCATTTGGACACCTCGCCCTCGAACACGGCGGCGGCTGCTCCGCGGGCGAAGTCGAACGTGGCCTACCAGGCCGAGATGATCAGAATGCTGAGGGAGGTGAACATTGACGCCAACAATGTGGGGTACTATACGAGTGCGAACATGGGCAACTTTCTCAACTTGAACGTCATCGAGAACCAGTACTTTTACCAGAAGGAGATGAACGAGACTGCCGTGACGCTGGTGCACGATGTCAGCCGAAGCTCCCAGGGACCGTTGAGCATCCGGGCTTTCAGACTGTCGCCGCAATTCATGACTGCCTTTAAAGAGAACAAATTCACCGCCGACAAGTACGTACCATTCTACGTACCCATTTCTACCATGGATGTCTTTTAATTCATCCCATACTAACACCTGGTTAGCCTCCAAAAATCGAGTCTCAGACATAGCGAGATCTTTGTCGAGCTTCCAGTGCAGATCCGCAACTCCCACCTCCTAACCACCTACCTGCACCAGATCCCATCTCCCGCACCCACCGACGAACTCGACCTGCCTCCCTCCCTCGCGGCCCTGCTCGCCAGCCCCACCGCCAACCCGCCACTGCACACGCCCAACTTCGACAACCTGTCCCTCAACATCGACCCGTTCCTGGAGAAGAACTGCGACCTGCTGCTCGAGAGCATAGAAACCCACCACACCGAGAACAACAACTTCCAGTACTACCAGCGCGCCCTGGCCCGCGAACAGACCAAGATTGCAGCGTGGCAAGCCAAACGCAAGGCCGAGAACGTCAGCCGTGCCCAGCTGAAGCAGCCTCTGCTGGCCGAGGACGAGTGGCAGCGACTGTTCAAGCTTCCCCAGGAGCCCAGCAGGCTGGAGAGCATGCTCAACACCTGCCAGGCGGAGCAGTACTCGAGCCAGATCGACGGGTTCGTGGCAGCCACCACCGGCAAGATGTTTGGCGTGCGAGGCAACCTTCTCCCCAACGACGCCCAGTCCTGATCCGTCTTCCTTATATGATGTTTCCCTTAAAGACCTGCTTCTCTTCCTTCTCTCTGCATGGTTGATCATGACAAGGCGTCCTGGTGGTGGGATTTGTATTTGCTCTTACTCCATACTTACGTATTTCTTTTCCTCTCTCTCTTTCTTTTTTCTTTTTGTTCTCTCTTGATACTACTTCTGTAATGCGTAAGCAGTGAATCGAGCACCTAATACCGACCATACCCTCGCCGTCGTAGTGTATATACGAAGTGCAGCCGTCAAAGTTTTCCGCCCCCTGCTGTGCATCATGTGCTGGCCGCTGGTGACCGGGCGATCTGAATCTCTCTCCCGGGCGCCAGAAGAACCCGGACTCAACCATGCTGTCTCAGAGGAATCGTCCTGTACGCATGCCCAACCTGCGACGTTTCCGCCCTTTTATACCTGCAGCCTCCCCTTGCTTGCTTCTTCCCTCCAGAGTAGCGGTGTATCACGTGACTACGGGAGCGCCCTTGGAGGTTTAGGTAGGTTTCCATATGTTTATTTACCTTGACTACAAAACAACCGAAATCTACAACCACCCGCATTTACTCACAGCCCTGAGATAGCCCCGAACTCGACGGACGGGTCTCTCTGGCGCCGCTTGAGCGTGTATATCGAGTCGCGTACCGTTGCCGACCCGGGCGCTGCAGTTGAGCGGCCAGAGATCGCGCCCCTGCGGCCGAAGTTACAGATTACAGGTAGTCCCCCGCCTATACCCATTGATTCGCCATGCTCACGCCAATCGCAGGTTCTCTTCTCCTGGCGCCCTCTCATCGCTGCTGGCCTTTCGCTGCCATCCTCGCCATCCTCGCGACACCTGCGACGCTGCAGCCCTAACTGAAAGCTGCATCGCCCGCTGTGATTCGATGCTGGATGCCGACTGAGTCCCGCGCCTGCACCGGAGCCTACACCCTTTTCTTATTTTTTTTTTTTACCTTCAAGGTTCTGAACCTTGGGTCAACTATTTATATTATCGTCCTTCCCCGGGCCAAAACAAAAAACAGTTCTGTCCCCTTCGACTCGCCCTCGCTCTGGCTCTGCTCAGCGAGAGGTACCCTGTTTGCTCGCTCAATTCGATTCTAACCTGTTCTCTAGCCGGTCGACGTTCTGTATACCCTCTGTACCATCCTGGCGTCGAGTCACGAGGCTGCGTTGAGTGTTTTTTTTTTGGGCTCCTTGAGATAATTAATCGGATCGACTTTTTTTTTTTTGGTGGCTACTATCGTTCTGTGTATCGTTCTGTGCGATAGACTAGGGCTTTATCACTGATAAGGCTTATCGAGAACCTTGGCCGTCAACTTCATTATCGTCATCACCATCTCGACTACTTGTCCGGTACCCTGTGCGACTCATGACCGTCTCTCCATCTCCCCAGTACTCAGTTTCCAGAAAGGCTTTGAATCAGCAGCACCATGGCCTGCGCGGCCGTGGAGATGCCCGGCACCTGGAACCAGATAGGCCGTGCGGCCGGTATTGCTTTGGATGAAAGGCAGAGAGCCTCAGGTGGAGAACAACGAACCCGTTTCGCCTCCTGCGCTGTGAAACGGACTACCCGGCCACCGTTGACGGAGGGCAATATGACACGGTTTACCTGGCCGAAAGTACGCAAACTCTTTTGATTCGATTCTGCTCCCCCAATTGCTTTATGTTTATCCCCCTTGCTCTCCTGCGTTTGTCCTGCGTCCTGCGTTTATGACTTAATGACTCTACTGCGTGCGTCACGAATGAACTTTCCATCTACGTTTCTTGCTTCTCGTCTCATTACGTGTCAATTGATGCTCATACTGTCTACAGGTGGAGGCATCTTCCTTAGCTCGTAATCGTAAACATACGGGAACGTCTAGTTGCATAGAAGAGCTCAGAGCCATAATCGAAGCAGCCTTCTCGACGCCGGAGCTCAACCCTCCCCCGGCCTACGACGATGCCATCCTTGATCTACCGCCTGAATACACCACAGCCGAGTATGCTCGCGCAAAGGTGGATACAACGGCCGGCCCTGCACCAGCCAGGCAACGGTCCACGAAGAAAACAGCCTCATTACTCGAAGACCCATTTGTAAAGATATCACTTGACCTAAAAGACGATTCCAGATTCAGATCCCATGCAAAGAAGAAGAAAGCAGCTCCGAAAAAGGCAGCTCCCACACCAGCAGCAGACCCCTGGGCAGAAGATACTAAGAAAGGCGACGGAGCTGCCCAAGAGGATAATGCAGGGGGAGGCGATGGGGGAGATGCTGCTGGCGGCGCCGGTGGGGGCGGTGATGACCCTGGTGGAAACGGAGATAAAGGCGGAGGCGATGATGAGTGGGATCAGCCTGCCGCAAAGAAGAAGGATAAGAAAAAGAAGAAGGGCAAGAAAGATGAAGAGGAAGAGGAAGAGAAGAAGAAACAGGAAGAAGAGGCAGAAAAGAAGAGACTGGAGGAAGAAGAGGAGAAGAAGCGAATAGAGGAAGAGGAAGAGAAGAAACGTCTAGAGGAAGAAGAGAAAAAGGCCAAAACCGACGATTTTGGAATCAAGGCTGGTGGCGATATCTCTTGGGCGGATGATGCAAATGGGGATAACAGTTGGGGCGATTTTGGGGCCACTACCACGCCGGCAGCGGGTTCAAAGAAGAAGAAGGGTAAAAAGGGCAAGGTGGGTTGAATACAAGATGGCAGGTAAATTTATATTATCCATGGCTAACAGTATATAGGCTGTCACCGAGCTTCCACCTGCCGATCCACCACCCAGCTCATTCCAGGACGTCAGTTTAGATGACGGCGGTGCGGCGCCGCAGATTGATTTATCTTTTGCAGGAGACGACACGAAGGGGTCCGGGACCGGGTTTAGTTTTGGCGGCTGGGGAAAAGACTGGAATACTGGCGGTAAACTTGATATTGGAGCCGGTGGCGAAGGCAAAGACGACACAGGTTCAACAAATCCATGGGGTGGTGATAGTAAGAAGGGTAAGAAAAAGACAACCGCATCCGATGGGTTCGACTTTGATTTCGAGTCAACTGGTATAGACGACAAAGCTGCCGAGCCTATCGATGCCTTTGCCGCTGAGAAAGAATCCGCAGACGCCTGGGGGGTACCGGCTGCTACAACGACTGGGAAGGGTAAAAAGAAGAAGAAAGGGGCAGCTGGATTGGCTTCTTCGACTCCAGCAGAACCCGAAGAGAAAGCACCGGAACCCGATGATTGGAACGACTTCTCCACATCTACGTCGAAGAAGAGTAAGAAGAAAACTACAAGCGCCTGGGGTGATCTCGATGAGCCAGCAAACGACGGTCTGGCAGACGGCGATGACTTTTTCGCCGACCTAGGCAAAAACGACAAGGCCGCTGCTCCTGACCCTCCTGCTGACCCTGTGGTCGAGGAAAAACCCCCGGAGGACGACCCCTGGGCTGCCCCAGCTGCTCCTGCAGGGAAGAAAGAAAAGAAAAAGAAAAAGAAGAAAGGAGCAGCGGATCCTGAACCAGAGCCTGAGCCAGTAAAGGAAGAAGAACCGGTCAAGGAAGAGCTGCCACCACCGCCTCCACCGGCTCCGGTAGAGGATGAATGGGACACCTTTGGCGGCGCTACCACGACCTCATCTAAGAAGGATAAGAAAAAGAAGAAAGGAGTACTGTCGGACCCGGTCGTAGAGCCAGAACCCGAACTGCCAAAGGAAGAAAAGCCTGTCGAGGAAGTGGTAGAAGAAACCTGGGGAAGTGTCCCGGCTCCAACGAAAAAGAGCGGAAAGAAGAAAAAGGGCGCTGCAGCAGCAGAACCTGTCATTGCAGAGGTTGAACCTGAACCCGAACCAATCATAGAAGAACCTCCTGCGGAAGAAAAACCTGCGGAAGATTGGGGATCGTTCAGTGCTCCCGCTCCGACCAAGAAGGATAAAAAGAAAAAGAAAGGCGGTGCGGTAGCAGAGCCGGTTATTCCTGACCCTGAGCCTGAGCCTGTCGTGGAACCCGAACCTATCGTTGAGCCACCCCCTGTGGAAGAAAAGCCGACCGAGTCGACTGGATGGGGATTCGGTGTTCCTGCTACTTCTTCCAAGAAGAAGAAGAAGAAAGGTGCCGCTGCTGAACCTCCACCTCCGCCTCCGCCGCCTCCGGAACCTGAACCCGAGCCTGAGCCTGAGCCCGTAGTCGATGCGGCCAAGGAAGAAGAGCCGGCAGATGATTTCTGGGGATTCTCTAGCTCAAAGAAAGACAAGAAGAAGAAAAAGAAAGATGAGCCCGAGCCCGCCCCTGTCGAGGCCGAGCAGCCTTCGGATATTTTTGGAGATGAGGGCTCCTGGGGTAATGATCTAGGTAAAAAGGACAAGAAGTCAAAGACTGCAGGTATGTTGATTTATATCTAAACGGAGGCAAGAGGCTTGTTTATTTGATTTTTGATTTTTGCTAATATAAATCAAGGCACCGACCTGTTTGATGACCCGCCCAAAGCCGACGATACATGGGGTGGTCTTACTTCGAGTTCGAAAAAGGACAAGAAGAAAAAGGGTAAAACTGCGGCAGAGCCTGCAGCATCGAAAGCCTTTGACTTCGGCGACGACCCTCCCCCAGAGCCCGCAGGCGCGGTCGAGGAAGCTGACGACTGGTTCGGTCTACCCAGCAAGAAGAAATCTAGCAAAAAGGACGACCCCCTTGAAATTCCTGAATTCGTCGACGATTTCGCCGAGGACGTAGGGAAGAAGAAGGAGGAGGAGGAGAAGCCTGTGAAAGAAACCAAGTCGTCAAAGAAGAGCAAAAAGAAAGGTGGCGCATCGGTCGATCCAGCACCTCTGGATCCAGTAGTTGAAGACCTGCCCAAAGTTGACTTCTTCGAGGAAACGAAGGACGAGCCTGATCTGCTGGCTCCCCCTCCTGTTGACGCTTTTGATAGTTGGGGTACCGGGGCAACCACAACTAAAAAGAAGGATAAGAAAAAGAAGGGCGCTGCAGCTCTCCCTGACCCGGAACCAGAGCCCGCACCAATCGTTGAGAAAGCCGAGACTACTGACGTGGGTAGCGGATGGGGTTGGGGTGGTACGACAACCAAGGCAAAGAAAGGGAAAAAGGGAAGTGTCATCGAGGAGGATACGACAAGTAAGGCGCCAGAGAAAGATCCATTCGCTCTTGACAACGACTTCCTTGACCAACCAGCGGCCGACACAAAGAAAAAGAAGAAGAAGGGTGCAGCTGCTCAAAAGTCAATTATAGAAGAGCCAGAGGTACTACCGGAGCCCGAACCAGAACCAGAACCTGAACCTCAACCCGAACCCGAACCTGAACCAGAGCCAGAACCAGAGCCAGTTCAATCATCCTCATGGAGCCTCTGGGGTTCTTCCAAGACTACAAAGGATAAGAAACCCAAGACAAGTAAAGCTGCTCCAGCTGTCGTCCCCGAAGCCACGGAAGAGCCTGAGAAAGCAACCTCGAAAGGGAAGAAGGGTAAAAAGGCCACCGAAGATATTATAGATGTCCTCCCTCAGGACGACGGTGCTGCGAACGTCGGCTCCGGCGAACTGGTCCCCATCCCCAAGGCGCAGGACGAAAGTACCTGGGACATCTGGGGAACGATCACCAACAACAAGAAGAAGGGGAAGAAGGGCGCCAGCGAACTGCCGCCGCCAGCGCCTACACCCCCGGAATTCCCGCCCGAACATGGTGGTGATGACATCGTCGACACGTGGGACGATATTACTGCTCCCTGGCCCAGCGCGATAAAGAAGAGTTCCCTTTCGCGAACGACTACGTCAACGTCGAAAGCATCGCACCTCGAGGAGAGCAAACTAAGTAAGACGAAGGGCAAGGGACTGGAGGTCGTCGATGTATCTGGCGATCCCAACCTTGATACTCCGACAGAGGACGTGTCGGCTTCAAAGGCTGCCAAAGGAGGATACTGGGGCTTTGGGCTCGCTTCGGGTGGGAAGACCAGCAGCGGCAGCAAGGCCAAGGGAGTAGACACCGGTGCAGACGACCTGCTAGACCTGGTCGACGAGGAGCCCAAACCCGCTAGTAAGTCGACTAGTAAAGCCGATAAGAAGGCCTCCAAGAAGGACTCCAAGAAGGATGCTGCCAAAAAGGAGGCCAAAAAGGAGTCGCCCGCCGACAAGCTGGATGTAGACGAAGGTTGGGGCGAGCTGGAAGCGGCTAGCGCTGCGCCTGTGGCTGACAAAGCGACCAAGCGAGCGACATCGACGACGACGACGGCGACGACTTCAGCGACCAAGACTGCGGGCAAGTCGTCTGTCGCAGAACGCATCAAGCAGCTGGAGCAGAGCCGAAAGCTCGAGAAGGAGGCCGCGAAGACCAAGGAGACACCCAAGCCCAAGGAGAAGCCCAAGCCCGAGCCCGCCGCGCCTGTCGAGCCCGCTCCGGAGCCTGAAGTAGAGCCGCCAGAGGACTCGTCCACCAGGACCGTCAAGCCGTCGAAGAAGGAGTCGGCGGCTTCCAAGGCCAAGGCGACCGCTGGAGCCAAGTCGAAATCAAAATCCAAGGCAAAGACCAGCGACGTTGTTGACGTCGTCGACTTCGTTGAAGCTCCAGCACCCAAGGAGCCAACTCCACGTGATTCAGTACCAGGGAGTTTCCCAGGCGCCTTTGACGACCTCGTTGACATTGACGAACCGGAGCCTGAGCCTCCTGCGCCGGTGAAGGCGAAGGTGCTGGAGGAGGACCTCCTGTCCGAGTCAGAAGGTGACGCCAGAGGCCTGCTGTCGGAGCCTGAGCCTGCTCCTGAACCTGAGCCTGAGGCTGCCACATCTACTCGCCCGGGAACAGCAAAGCCGGACGGTGATGTAGCCGATACCATGTCAGGCTCCCCGCCAAAGAAGCCAGCCAAGAAGGAACGCGCCAGGATTGATCGTACCTCCGGAGCTGCCTCCTGGGCTCTCTGGGGGGCCGCTGGAGCATCAGGACCGGCCCCGAAGAAGTCAGCTAAAAAGGAGTCCAAGCCCAAGGATCCGGGAGAGCCGCCTGTGATGAAGAAGGAGAAGGAGAAGGAAAAGGAAAAGCCCTCCGGCCTGGGCAGGTCCAAATCTTCAGCTACTAAAAGGGAGAAAGTCTCTAGCCTGGGTGCGGAGATGGAAAAGTCTTCCAGCTCAGACAAGGACAAGCGTCCTTCTCGACCGTCCAGACACAGCCGCGGTATGAGTTTTCCCTTTATGCTTTCAGGGCCACCGCCCACTAGGTCAAAGAGCACCAAACGCGCTTCGGCGTCGAAGCCTACTTCCAGACGACACTCTATGGATATTGACGACTCCGGCCTTTTAACGCCTCGTGATAGCCCGGAAATCCCTGACAAGGCTGCTAGAATGATGGGTATGGAAGCTAAGCGCACAAAGCATAGTTCTAGCCATAAGAAGCGATCAGGTACGAACTCTCTCCTTATCTGGAATAATTCTTCAGACACTAACATATGCCCCGTTTCTTCAAGGCCCACGCGATCCATATGCACTTGACGACGACATTGATATGTTGAGTCCAGATGACGGATTGGTTTCGCCCCCTGGTCGATCCTCAAGAGACCCAGAGCACAAGCGGAAGTCAAGGAGAGAGGTCAGTTTCTACCCTCATAGAGTCCAGAACGTTTTCCCTAGCTAACAAGTTTCAATCAATAGTCCAAAAAACATAGCAGTGATCCCGCGTTGGGTTCGCCAGCCCCCGAAATAATCTCGGGTAGGGACGATATTGGTATAATGAATACTTCTCCAAAGGAGCCTACACCATTGCGTCGTTCCAACACGTCTCCCAAACGGCCCGATGGCCTGTTCGGCTTCTTATCACTTCGAAAGCCTGCACCCCGAGCCCCAGAGGTTCGTGAGCGTCCCAAGTCCCGCTCCCGCCATGAGCCCTCAAGGAGAGATACGGAAAGGGAAAAAGATGGTCCTAAACACCGAAGGAGGTCTGTAAGACCTGACACGGATGGCGAGGGTTTTACTACTGATGCTATGAGAACCGGTAACAACAGCCCAACCGAGGAAGCCGAGATTCGGAGGGCAAAGCGCAAGGCCGAAAGGGCGAAGCTACGCGAGGAAAGGGATGAGAAGGCCCGTGAGACAGATCGTGAAGGCCGTCGACACAAACGACACGCGAGAGAGATGGAGGATGCCCCCCATGAATCGAAGCGTGAAAAGAAACCGGACCGCCGGTCACGTTCAGAGAGACCACCAAAGGACCCTCTTTCGCCTACGGAGGGTCGTCGCCATCGATCTCACCGTACTGATGATGAAGGCGGAAAGACAAGGCGCCGTAGATCATCCCCGGACAACCATAAACCTCGACGTGAGAAATCATCCCGTCATGAACACGCTGTTCCATACCCAGTCATGGTAAATGGGGGCAAGGACAAAACCTCGTCATGGGTCAAATCTCAAATGTCAGATCCCCCCGAAGCGCCTCCCGTTGTCGCGACGGTTCTAGACATGCCTAATCCGGCCCGCGGACCCCAGAATGTTTCTTTGTCATCCGACGAAGAGGCACGAAGGGCAATCCACCGTCGCTCGCGAAGGAAATCTCGCCCTATCGATGGACTTGATACTGATACCGAGAAACGGCCCAGAAGGCGCGAATCTCGCCGAGAGGGCCGTGAACCGGTCCGAAGCAATGAAAGCAGTGGCGATATGGACAATCGCTACGGCGGTATGAATCCAAAGAGAACGAGCTGGTTCAAGAAACTTACCGGCGGCTTCTGAATACTCAATTTGCCAACTGATGCGATTCTATTTTATGCTCCTTTTCTTATTACGCTCATGCGTCTTGTTTTGGTGGGTTCATCAGGCGGTGCAATCAAATATCCTTGGGTGGTTTTGGATGGTACATGGCTGGAACATTGAGGAATGGGGTTTTCTTTCCGGAATTTGGTTCCCGGTATCTATTGGTGTTTTTAGTTATGATGTCTCTTTTGTATCCCTTGCGTTTCACTCTATATACCCCAGCGCAATGTTTTATACCATCTACCTGTTTTATTCCCTCGCCCTTTTTTTCCCCGTTGCCCGTCTTTGTCGACCCAATGCCATGTTGAATAATGACTCTGTATTCTAGATATAGTCGTGTAATCGTGGATCAACTTGTGTAGGTCGCCATGATCAGGATGTTCGACACTTCTTTTTTGACATGTTATTTAGCAACGAATCATGGGTTAAATCTGTTTTAAAATTAACAAATACTATATATGTAACATGATCCTGGCTAACAAAACCCCGATGCCAGGGGCAAAACTTAATTCTGATTCAGGGTTCGCTTGGGTCCCAGAGTTTGTAGGTAAACAAGCCAGTAAGGTGGACAAAAACATGTCAATATTACCTCCATATACCATTACCGAGTTAGAGTAGAATACATAGAACAGCGCAGCCCGCACAAAACACATCAAAATAATCAGGTGATAAACAAGGGTAACGATGAGTTATGAAAAATATAGGAGCCTGTCCGAGCACTAATACTAGTACAGAGGGTAAAGGGGAGAGGTACGTAAGCCGCAAGGCCTTGGAGGACCAACAGAACAAAGCATCGAACGATTTAGACAGGAAGAAGCTAATGTTTAGAAGTCCTCAGATTCACTGGCCTCCATACCTGGCTCTTCACCGTATGTCTCCCTATACTCATTGATGTATCGAGTTCGATCTTCCACTTCGAGATGCTTGTATTTCTAAAAGACTGTTAGCTCTATACAACGCCTTGTATAGGATAGATGCTACTGTACCTCTTTCTCGCTCGCTGGTTCATTCTTCCAGGTTTGAGCTATTTCTATAATACGCTCTATTGCGCCTGTATGGTCGTACTCCCCACTGCGCTGCTTCTCAAGAGAGTAAATCATGAAAGCGGTACGCGGACGTTTAACACGTCGGTCATCATGGATCGGGGAGCAGATTCTAGACCTGCTTGATAATGACAGAATGCGGCGGAGTTTGCGGCGTGCCCCGTTGGCATTCTTTATCTCAAGGGGAGAATGGGATTCAATCCATTGTTTGAGGTTATGTTGATTGGTCGAGGAATTCTTCTCAGCGATTTCTCGGAGTTCCTAAGACGACATGAGCACAAAGGGAGCACTACGTACGGGAGCATGTAGCTATCATTGATGAAAACAAACCTCCACTTCGTATCCAGGCAGCTCTTTAAATGTTTCCCTATGCCCAACAATCGAACCCTTCTTGCCGGTTGCATATACGGTAAATGGTGTTACCGGTAACAGTTTAGGAAGTGTCAGAACTGCGCTTTTGAGGGCAGCCAGGTCCTCTTTCGCCTGAGCCTTCTTTTCCTTTTCGGTCTTTCCAGGGCGGCCACGCTTGGGTGGAAGGGCAACTTTCTTGGGACCAGGTTTCTTAGCATCAGCTTTCTTAGAATCAGCCTTCTTTGGTGCAGCTTTCTTGGGTGCAGCCTTCGACTTGGTTTTTGGCGTAGCAGCATCCGTGGCATACGACTTGCTCAGGGAGAGCAGTTGGAGCACACTGGCCTTTGCAGCGTACGAATTGGCGATGGCGGCGATGGAGGTCGTATCAGGTCGTAGTCCAGAACCAGGGACATACAGCACGCGACTATTGAAGCGGCGGCACACGACCCGTCCGCATTGTGCAAGCTTGAAACCCATGGCGACAGCTCGAGAGTATAGTTGCGATCGAGACTAGAGAGCTGAGTATTGCGGCGAGCTGTCTGCGCGAAGGGGAGCAGAGACGGTCGTCTTCCAGCAGCTTTTCCCTCGAAGATATGGAAGTTCGTTTGTTTTAGAGGCAAGGGCAGCTAGCCCGTTTAGGGGCTTATGTCAGCACGTCTTATCACCTCGTTTTTTTATCGATAAACCAGCAAAGTTCGCCTTTGACGAAGCTCGCCGACGACATCTCAACATCATCTCACCGTTAACAGCATAAGGGCAGCATCGAGGTCGCTGACGGCCATGAACCTACCCCGTCCGACAGCTGGTATTCATCTGACCCGCCGTCCCTAAGAGTCGCCAGTTTGTGTCCTATTTGACAGCCGCAGACAAAAAGTTAGATTTCGGCCAGAGACCATGGCCAGGGATACTCGCTCACCATCACCTGTAGGTAGCACGTATTCTTCGTCGAAACGAAGCCGCAGAAGCGATGACAACTACGATAAAGGCAGACGCCATGAGGTGAAGGGGTATCGGAGATCCCGCAGTCCCGAGGTACGTTGTCTCTCCTTGCGTGGTTACGCAATATATATATTTATATGCAGTCTGGCTAATTGGTGTCCATCTCTCTCTTCCAGCGACGCCATCGAGATAGAGGCCGGGACCGTGATAGAGACTTGTATCGTCACCGAGACCGCTCTGTAGACACCCGGGACTCTCGCGACAATACGTCATATCGCCCTACCAGAAGAAGCCGTTCGCGCCCCAGATATCGTTCTCGCTCGCAGGATGGCAGCCGTGATTACCGCCATCGAAGCAGAAGCCGTGATAGGACGTATCGGGGAAGGCGAGATGACTCCCGTGATCAGGGTAGGAGGCGAAGGGACGGCTCCGCTGACTCCAGGCGTGCTTCTAGGCGGGACGGCAGCAGAGATCGAGACAGTAAAGACTCTGGCGGAAAGTCTCGAGAGGTGAGTTTGCCTGCCAATAATGACTGTCGTTACTACTCAGGATCAAGCTTACACATCACAGGTTCCCAAGCAGACACCTAATGTGACCCCCGCCCAAACTGATGAACAAAAGAAAGCTGGAAGACTAGCAAAATTGGAAGCGTGGAAACAGAAACAAGCCGCTGAGCGTGAACGAAAGCAGAATGAGCTTACTGCTGGCGGAGCAAGAGGCCTTTTGGATGAAATTGACAAAAAGGTTGCCTTATCGCGTGGCGTGAGCACGCCTCCTGCAAGTACACCGACTCCTCCTGTTGCAAACTCGGATTCGAATGGGATAGCAAAGGGGGCTACATCGTCTACTGCAAAACCTCTACAGCTCAAGAAGGCTGCGGTTGCTTCTGGTAGTACTAAAGTGTCTGAAGCCTCTACTCTTTTGCCAGCAAATACCGTAGCTAACAAACCTTCAGCCGGTGCCAGCTCATCATCCTGTAAGCATAACTCCTAACCTTTGGATCTTGATGCTCATGACAAGATAAAGTTCTGATGCTAACAATTCTACTACAGCTGCCGTCCCTCTCAAAACCTCAGGCAACTTGAATGGATTTGGTTTAGGGACCAAAGTCCTCGGCGACTCAAACAAACTAAGTGTGAAGAGAACCTTGAATTTTGGCGACGAGGAGTCCAAGGGAAAGAAACTTTTAAAGCTCCCCGACTCGTCCCTTGAGGCATTTCCTACGAACGGCGCCACACAAGAGGGCGACGATGAAGACGACGATACACTTATGCAGGACGGTGGCACTGAAGAGGAGAACGCTGCCGCCGCTAGAGCCGCCGCTGAAAAGCGTGAACAGAGCCGGCTACAACCCGAAACAATCTCCGAAGGAAACCAGGACGACGAAGCGCAATCAGTGGAGCCTGCAAAGGATATCGTTATGACTGATAATGCTCCCGGGAATGCTGACCTTGAAGCAGAGGAAGAGATCGACCCTCTGGATGCGTTCATGTCTGATTTGAAACAGAATACTTCGGCGCCGAAGCAGAGGGGAACGAAGTCATCGAACCCGAAGCACCAGCAGCCTGAGGCCATGTTCGGAGACGAAAATGACATCAACATAAATACGATCGAACCAGAGGCCGACGATTTCCTTGCAATGGCTAGTAAATCAAAACGTAAAAAGGATATGCCCTCCATCAATCACTCGAAAGTAAACTACGAGCCATTTCGGAAGAATTTCTATACAGAGCCCGTTGACCTTGCTGGTCTCACCGAGGCCGAGGTTGCGAATTTGCGGTTAGAACTCGATGGAATAAAGGTCCGTGGAGTTGATGTGCCAACACCAGTCCAAAAATGGTCGCAATGTGGCCTTGGAGTCCAAACATTGGATGTTATACGCAAGCTAGGCTATGAGGGGCCTACTTCAATTCAATCTCAAGCTGTCCCGGCAATTATGTCTGGTAGGGATGTAATAGGAGTTGCGAAAACCGGTTCCGGAAAGACCATCGCATTTCTCCTACCTATGTTCCGACATATCAGAGATCAGCGGCCGCTGGATAATATGGAAGGCCCAATAAGTCTTATCATGACTCCGACCAGAGAGCTTGCAACTCAAATCCACAAAGAATGCAGGCCTTTCTTGAAAGCTTTGAACCTTCGAGCCGTGTGTGCATACGGAGGGGCTCCTATTAAAGACCAGATTGCTGAACTAAAGCGCGGGGCGGAGATCATAGTTTGTACTCCTGGAAGAATGATTGATTTACTCACTGCAAATTCCGGGAGAGTTACAAACTTGCGGCGAGTGACATATGTGGTGCTTGATGAAGCAGATCGCATGTTCGATATGGGATTCGAGCCTCAAGTGATGAAAATCCTTGGGAACATTCGACCAAATCGACAAACCGTCCTGTTTTCTGCTACCTTCCCTCGAAATATGGAAGCACTCGCTCGAAAAACCTTGTCTAAACCCGTCGAAATTATCGTTGGCGGGAGAAGCGTTGTTGCACCAGAGATCACGCAGATTGTCGAAGTTCGGAATGATGATGCTAAATTCGTTCGTCTTCTAGAGTTGCTGGGAAACCTTTATTCAGACGACGAGAACGAAGATGCCCGTACGCTGGTCTTTGTTGACCGACAAGAAGCGGCCGATCGCTTGCTTCGCGACCTCATGCGAAAGGGTTACCCGTGCATGTCTATTCATGGCGGAAAGGATCAGATAGACCGAGATTCAACGATAGACGACTTCAAGGCAGGTATATTTCCCATCCTCATCGCTACCTCCGTGGCTGCGCGAGGTCTCGATGTAAAGCAACTGAAGCTAGTCGTCAATTATGATGCTCCAAATCATCTTGAGGACTACGTTCATAGAGCTGGCCGTACCGGCCGAGCAGGAAATACTGGAACAGCGGTCACCTTCCTGACAGAGGATCAAGAGCGATACTCTGTCGACATCTCGAAAGCCCTGAAACAAAGTGGTCAGCCAGTTCCTGAAGCTGTACAGAAAATGGTCACTGCCTTCCTTGATAAAGTCAAGGAGGGCAAGGAGAAGGCGAGCGGGTCTGGATTTGGAGGCAAAGGATTGGAACGCCTTGACCAAGAACGTGACGCTACTCGAAACCGAGAAAGGAAGACCTATAAGACTGGCGAAGAAGGCGAAGAGGAAGACAAGGAAGAGGAAAAGAAAGAAAAGGAGACAGATCTGTTTAGCAGGGTTGCGTCTGCTGTGCAATCGTCTACGGCCGCAACTCCGACGATTAGTACACCAGGCGGCGTTGACCTCGATGGGAAGATCACTGTTCATCGAACGCAGAAAGAACCCAGCAGCACTACGGGTAAAAACCCGCTTGATAAGGTTGGATCCGCGGTTGCGGATATCCATGCTCGTCTGAACAAGGCTGGTGTGATGAGATCTGGTGTTCCGATCGATAACAAGGGTCCCGACGCTGGGGCCTTCCATGCTACCCTTGAAATTAATGACTTTCCGCGTAAGTTTTTCTCGCCCCTTGCATTATTTGTACAGCTGCTAACTATATCACAGAGAAAGCTCGATGGGCCGTTACCAACCGGACCAATGTTGCCAAAATCCTGGAAGCAACAGGAACATCAATCACGACGAAAGGCAGCTTTTACCCTGCCGGAAAGGAGCCCCAGCCAGGCGAGAATGCTAAGCTATATATTCTTGTTGAGGGTGATACAGAGCTCGTGGTTACCAACGCTATGCGAGAGCTCATGCGACTACTGAAGGAGGGGACGATTGCTGCGGCAGATAGCGATGCCAGGGCACCGACTGGTCGCTACAACGTTGTATAACGTTTGCTTTGCCTCTTTCAATCCGATACCACCTCTCTTCAAAGCGTTGTACTAGCATCGGCCTATTCATTTGTATTCAACTATATTAATACCACGCATTTACATGGCGTGTCTGACGTTTGAGGCTGTTAACTCCTTAGTGTATACATCAGTATATATTTGTACACAACTCCTTGCCATTAACTTGGATACCGGCACCGTCCAAAAACACCAAATCTATACAAAAACGCCCAAAGTAAATAGATTCATACAGACATTCGCTCGTTAAAGCCACCCACCAAATGACCCTATTCAAGGAGACCGATATCAGGCTGGTGGGTCAAATACAGGGGGGCACGTAAATCATCGACGCCTAAGGAGAGGCTTCTGCGCATAAATTAGGCGGAGTTCAATTCCACTTCCGAGTTTCCTCAGCGCTCTGGACATCCCTCGCCGCCCTTTCATCCCGACTTATATCGTCTAGTGTCTCATTTCTACTCTTTGCCTTTTGCGCAGCGAGTTGGGAGCTCAGTTTGCCCTTTCCGGCGGCGGCCGAAAGTTTTGCTGCTCGTTCCTATACACAAATCAATGTTAGTTTCGTCTGCCAGTCCAGGTTATGAAGCGTAGGAGACAAACTTCAGCAGCCTGAGCGGCGGCAGCACGGGCATCGTTCGTCTCGCCCGCACTGCTACTGCCGCCCAGTGTTCTCCCGCCCGTCGTGCGAGACTTGGGTTCGTTCTTCCGTATCAACGGCGTGTTGGTGTTGGCCGTCGAGGCCGGCTGGGCACCCAGGACGCGCCCGGGCTGCGCGAAGGGGTCCGTCGGGTTCGATGACTTTGAGCAGATGTTCCCCATCGCAAGCTGCTCTAGTTTCTCTTATCTTCTTGTCTTCTTGTCTTTGTTTTCTTGTTTGTATCTCTTGTCGTCTTCTTGTTAATATGTCTTCTTGTCGTGAAGTCCGAAGAAAGTGATGAGTCAGCTCTTACTAACCCGCGGGGTCATATGACGAAAGCGCGCTCCCCCCAAGGTCCCCAAAGCGGAAATCGTTTTTGCGAAATTCTGGCGTCTAAGAAGAAAGAGAGAAGCGCTTTATCTCCAGCGCCCAAATTGCTTCTTCTCGCCGTCGGTCCTCAGCTCATCTCGCCTAACCCCTCAGAGACCAGACGATCAGTCTCCAGCACTGGATGGACTTACACTATTCCCTGCACTAGTTGAAGTCAGTGTAGAGCCGCCCCCGGTCGACTGGCGACTTTGGAATATCACTTTCAGCACCCCGGACCCGAGACGGCTGTATATCAGATGGCTGAACAGTTCGACGAACGCTCATTCTGCTGGGAGTGCTACTGGCCGAACCTGGACACGGAAGGCAACCCGGTACTGCCGCCCGGCTGCGAAGACTCGAGTTGCTGGAACCAGGGCGTTTTTCAAAATCAATCGTCGCTCGAGTTATGTGGTACTGGCACGGAATGCTGCGATGATGATCAGTGCTCCGCCGGCTGTCCCACCGTCTGTGACGGGTTTGTGGACTGTGACAAGTCAACGGCCTGCTCCGAGCCGCCATGTAACGAGCTACACTGTGACAGTCAGGCTACGGCATGTTTTGATATGAAATGCGTTGCCGAGGGCGAGCAGCCTGCGGACGGCACAGAGCAGAATCACTTCTTCGGCCAAGGTGTACCGTTTAACTGGGGATGTCTGGACCTGCCAAATGCCACCACCGTTAACGCGGACTCCTTGCACAACTGCAACATCGAAAGCGACAGATTCCGGCCACATTTACATTTCCACTCTGTTGGGCCGTTGAATTCGCTAGACATGAATCCCCCTTCCAAAGGGTTTAATGATGGAAGCATCGATCCCCATTGCTGCTTTACAACGCATGCTCGTCCTGTCATAGGGCCTCCGTGCTCGAACCATGCCGCGAACATATGGCCTATGAATAATGCGATCGCTGGATGCAGCAATAATATAAATAATCATAGTCACAGTCACGCTCATACTCACAATCACAATCATGTCCACAACCACAATCACAGTCAGAATTGTTACTTCAACCACTTTCCACCCCGGACCAACTTCGAGAAGTCATTCGATATTGCCCAGTGGTCTGCGAGGACTACACAACAGGATCCAGGCCAGCAGTCGGATCCCTCTCTCCATTCACGGACGAGCAACGCCAGCTTCATACACGATGGGATAGCAAATCCTTCCACCGTTTCCACACGATCTACTCCAGGATTGAGTCTAGAATCAAGTCCGGTGACCTGCATGGCAAGCCGGGAAGTCAGCATACCATCAGTGGACTATGTCTGTGACGAAGTGCATATTTGCAAATGGCTTTCAAATGGCGATTCTGGCCACATGTGTGGTATAACCTTCCCAGACGCTAAATCCCTTCAGGAACACCTTGTCCAGGAGCATGCCAGCCAATCGGAGGGCGCGAAGGGACATGGTTATTATTGTTGCTGGGAAGGTTGTCATAGGCCACATGAACCGTTTTCTCAGAAATCAAAACTTCAGGGGCACTATCTCACACATAGTAACTGTATGAATCCCTTCCCTGTTTCTATATATTATTCCTTAGTGGCACCCCTTCTAACTGGTTTTATAGACAAAAGTTTCCAATGCTTTACTTGTGGGAAATCATTCGCAAGACAAGCGACCCTAGAAAGACATGAGCGAAGTCATCGAGGAGATAAGCCGTATAAATGCAAGTTATGTGGGAAGTCGTTTACTGACAGCAGTGAGCTTAGTATGTACCCTTCTTCCCGCCACCGCTTCTAGATCTAGGAAAGACGAGTATGCTAACTACAATCAGAAACCCACAAGCGAATCCATACAGGAGAGAAGCCATTTAAATGCAAGCACCCTGGCTGCAATTTCGAAACCGGTGATGTAAGTTTCGTCTTGGAATCTTGTCAGGACTGCAGATAACTAACTTTCTTATTTAACAGTCGTCCAATATGTCAAGTCATAAGCTGAGTAAGTGGCCTCAAAGTTGATGATCACGCACCCTCTCCCGTTGTCTAACCATAATATCTCCTGTAGCACATGGAGAGAGAAGACATAAATGCCCTTTCCCAGGATGCTCCAAAAGTTTCACACGACCAGGTATGTACCATTAGCGCTGAATCGGCTATCCCAATTCATGATCACCGTACTAACTCTCAATTTACTCAGATCAATTAAAACGACATGCCAAATCCGCCCACAAAGACGACATGTTCTCGTTACAGCGGATGGCCACCCCGGTTACCTCGAACATGCCCACTCCTAACATACCAATCCTATAAATCATATAACACGTTCCGATTCCGACGCATTTCTTACAGCTGTGCCAGTGTCACAGGTTCCCTTCACCTCGTTTCCTGCCCCCACCAGCTCGAATCTAAGTCTATATAGAGTGACCATCTCAAGATGAGCAAAGTACCCCGAGAAAGAAGTCTTGCTACTTAATTCTAATCGATCCGCAGTACGGGTCCAGCAGTCAGAGTGAGCTCATATGAATTTTTTTCCCAAGAGGGATTAACCTGTCTAAAACTAATGTTCGCTTCTTTAAATTTTGTGGGTTCTCTACCCAGGACAGAAATGTATAGACCTTCGATGATGTCATGAAATTTTGTATCCGTCATCGCTTGCTGAACATGGATGATGCTATTTTACAAATAGGTAGACGTCAAGAATCAATCTAGTTCAAACGAAATAATTGAACGTTCGTTCTAAAGTTAACTCATGTCCGATTTGCAAATTATTATTTACTAGCTATAAGGCCATCCTAGTTCCCGCATTGAAACACACCGTATGAACAGCTTAAAGATTCCTCAGAGAATTCCATTTCTTATTCTCGTTCGTGAGTTCAAAGCCAGTGATATTCCTGGTTGATTCTCTAGTTTACAGGTTCTTCATATCCTCGACATCGCTTTGCCTAGAGATTAAGATAGAATCCCCCGAAACGTATCCTATCACATAGACACACCATCCTAGATTCCACAGGGATAGCACCTAGAGGATGTCGTCACTCGTGCTTAGCACTCTCCTCTAGATTATTAACGGCATTCTCTATCTCCCTAATCCTATGGCCAACTCTCCGTTTAATTTCTGCCCTGATATCAGCCGGAATATCAGTTGGGTCGTAGGCCGTGGAGCGTATCTCCGTAGCATCGATGCTACCCTCTCGATCGTTTGATTCGATATCCTGCGGGGGCGGGTTGTTATCTGCATAGGCACCATATGCATGGCGAAGATCATCAAAGGCCTCACGCATAGATATCCGGTCAGAGGCAGCATATATTGTTGCCGCCGCGGTCGACTCTGCCGCTATTTCAAGCTACATATAATTCCAGTTAGAATAAATGCTTCGGGTATCTTGGGAAGGGAAGTTCAAAGCGGTGACAAAATTGTCGATCCAAGTCGGACGTGGGGGATTTCTAAGGGCTACTCGACAAAGAGATCGATACCTCATCTTTGGCAATTGCGTATCTATATATTGTTAAAAGATGCCAGTTCTTTAGTTCTGGTTCGACTTACAAGTCTTCCAATTCTTGAATATAATCATCAACCTTGACCTTCTTGACTGATTCGCTCGTCGAATAACTTCTGCTGCCATTGGAACTGATCTTTGGTTCCAAGCCGTGGACTCCGAAGGTAGATGTGGATGTGTTCAATAGCCTTAGCTGCCCAGGGATTCTGTGTCCCAACCTATCCCCCGAGTTATGACTTGAACAGAGAATATTACTTTCACCGTTGGACGAGCATAATTGGCGTTGTTGTGGTATATTTGCAACCAACGCCTTACTCCCAACTCCGGGCTGCGGTGGAAGCCGGGGTATCCGAATAGTTCTGTTCAACCCAAATCCGTGCCGCTGAAAAGGCTGCATCATGGCGTCTCAAAGCGCCGCAGGAGCAACAGATGACAGAAATGTCAAGAATGTATTAGTTGCTCTAATTAATATAGTTAGTGTGGTAGATGAGACTGAAATTGTCATGAATGGTAGTTGGTGTTTGGAAGTACCTCGATCTTGGGTTTCGTGGTATAGTTAACTATTAGGGAGAAATCTACCCAATCTAGAGCCTAAGATTTGATCCTTGGCTGCATTCAATATTAGATATTTTCGTGGCTTGTTGCAAATGATGTTGTTGGATGTAACTAGGAAGTCTCAAGAAGTGACGTATAGATATTGTCGTCAATTCACATGACTCTTATTAATCACCTCTAGTCGAGGTCGCAGATAGTGTAACAAACAAGTAGAACTATCATTTTCTTGGCCTCTACTACTATACATGATTTTGCCTATTGGTTACATGCCAATAGTTATAGAATTGAAACAGGTGAACTTTTAGGTCCATCAAAATGAGGTCATTAAATATATCATCGTAATCATAAACACAGAACCCGACACTCCGCTCAGCCAATATCTCTTGGTTTGCAATTTAACGGTGACTGGGACAAATAAAAAATGAAAATAAACATGGAACTAGAAAATAGCGTTTAATCAGGGGGTCAGATAAATCATGGGGTCATCAATAATAAACTAGAGTCGTAACGAAAATAGCGAATGAGAAGGCGGTTTATCCATGTCCGGGGCACCTAATATCTATCGTGTCGTCTAGATCGGCGAGGTCTGTCTGAATAATCATAATCATCATCCGATGGGCTACTATATCGTGTGCGGTGCCGTCGATGATCACGGCCACTGTCACGGCCACTATCTCGGTCGCGATCTCGATTGTGATCATTGTTCAATCCAAGACTGGCAATACCCTGAGTCACATATTCTGACACACTCTTGCTTCGCTTCTTATTCGATCTCCCAGGCCGGCTAGGTCTTTCATCGTCGCTGGAGTATCCACCCCTTCCAGAATCGCGAGACTTGGCTTGATAATGTTCGTATGCCTTTTTACCTGCAGCAGCGAGTAATGCAGCAGTAGCACCAGTGCTTACTTTGCTGCGGCCTTCTGAGTGCGAACGGTGCCTTCCTGAACCAGATTTCCCCGCTAGGTGGCCCGACGCGAGGCCAGCCAAGGTGGCCTCCAGTATATGTTTTTTGCTAGATTTACCGGAGCCGCCATGGTCGAGCAATTTTTCAGTCCCACCAGCACTGGCTACAGCAGCCAGAATCCGCTTCCCTTTCTCTCCCGTCCACTCGCCAGGCTCATTGCGGGCGCGATATGCCTCTAGTACTCCTGCAGTTAAAGCGGCAGTAATGGTATTCTGTAAACTCTTATTTGACGGGTCTTTATAGTTCCGTGAACGGGAGTCGGACGAAGTGCTTCTGTGACGGCGGTGGTTACCACGGCTTGAATCTCGACGACGGTCATCATAATCGTAACGGCGGCGGTCATAATCCCTTCGGTCCCTGGGGTCATCGTCATATTCATATTCATGGCGGCGACGATGACTACGATCGTCATGTTTTCGAGTCTCATCTGCCCCCGCAGTGAAGCCAAGAGCTTCTAAGGCCTGACTTCCAATAGATTTTCGTGGGCGTAGGGGGCTGGGTGACCTAGAGGGAGGCGATACTGAGTATGCATGGCGTGACGAGTGTTTGTCTAGATACTAGTTAGCTACTATATCTGCAAACATATATGGTGGTCATGTTGAAGATAGACATGCCCCAGGGTCGAGTTAAGAGTTAAAAATTAACATACGGCGATGTTTGCGACTGTGGCGCGGCTCGTCATCTCGAGAGGAATCATATTCGCCATATCGATCCCGTCCACGATGTCTGCCTCCTCCTTCGGCTGAATGGGACCGCCTTGGTCCTGCGCGTTCGCTTCCTCTTGGTCTCGATTCACCATACGGGTCTCTCTCAGCCTGTCCGGGTTGATAATAGTCAGGCGGATGGCTGTGGCGAATGTCTTCTTCGTACAGTTCTTGCCTCGCGTGAGGCCCGTCGTGGTGTCTCGACGAGCCCCGGTTGTACGGATGGTTCTTGTAGTAGTCGGCAGCCATAACTGGGCAAACGAAAGGCTGATTATTGGATAGAGAACAACGGACGTTAGCTCATCTCGAGAGGCATCGAGCAGGCTCTTATATATGTCGCCGCCCGTGACGTAGGGCTGCGCAGTGGCCGTTATATACAAGAAAAGCAAGAAGCGCCCCGCAGCTGCGGCACAGGTCACGTTTCCCTTGGCAGATGACATCATCAGGGGTGGCCCGTGTAACCCGAACCCTAACTCAGTTCCGCGGGCCAGGTCCATGGTTCAGTGCATAGCTTAAATACTGTCCATGGCTTAAGGGAGAGACGCCAGGAGGCCAAGAAGATCATAGTTGGGCGGTCTATATATTCGCACAAAGGGGCAGAGAAAGAAGAGAAAATGAGTGGATACAAGAAGGTGGATAGAGACCATAAAAACATTCCTTTATATATTTATAGATGGAGCAAGAGACCATGTCATCTCCTTGACATATTCCTGTGGCCATAGCTTGGTTTACTCGTTGCTATGGCCAGCGAATCTAATCCCGATGAAATACTATCCGATCGGTATGCCGACGAGCGCGGCCGTCTCTCGTAATCCTGATCCAGCGGGTCGGGGAGCTCGGTATATGCATAACGAGGAGAAGCCTCATAGCTAGTGACAGAGCGACTTGAATGCCGTCGAGACTGAGTATAACGTGGATCCATCGGTGCGTCCATGTCGTATCCTGACAGTTGAGCGGTAGTAGAGCCGGGGGACCCTGAGTATGAAGCGTCTGGTAGGCTTTGATCTTGACTGTCGATATCGGTATCAGCGCCCGACTCGCGATGCGTCCTCCGATGCTGTTTCATATTATCCTTTCTGGTAAAAGCCTTATTGCACACCGGACAGTGAACTCTCTTTTCTCCAGTGTGTTTCTTTCCATGGCGTGCGGCGTGGCCTGAGGTCGTGAATGTAGCTGTGCAACCGTGTGAGGTGGCGTATGGGCAGGCATGCTTATTCTTCTTGGCCATCGGAGGGGCCGTACAGTCGGCGGAATTGCTAAAACTGGATTGTGGAGACAACTTCTCCTGTTCTCTCACTCGGCGGTCGCTTTGGATAGAATGTGCTGCAGATCGCCTTTCTGCCTGCTCGTAACCGCGTGATGGATGCTGGGGCACGCCATGGTGTGGAGGAGAGGAAGAGTAGTAAGACGGTGTCTTGTGAGAGTAAAGGTGAGACTCAGGGGACGACTCCATGTCCCTCCAGTGTAAGCGGGTATCCCCCTGACGGAGGCTGGCTGATTCTGGGGTATCCCTTCCCGAACCCGACCAGCTCTGTGGCTGTTGCGAGTACGCTGTGGGCTCTTGTCGAACTTTGTATGACTTTGAAGGTCGAACCGCAAATGAAGGGTTGTCGTCGTTGTTCAATATTGAGATCATTCTCTGTTTCTCGGGTGCCCTCGACATGTCTGCGTTGACTAGACGGAGCGAATATCAGCGCACGTTCACCGTGTGCGGTTTTGGAACAATATCGGGTTGACAGATAAATATATCAAATATATCCGTCAAGAGTTTGTTTTCTTCGGGGTTTGGAAAAACGAACAAGATAGGAAATGTTCGGCAGGTTTTTCTGATATAAGGGATTCCTTTAAGAATCCGGTAGCAAATTCTGCAAGTCAGATATCGTGGTAGTCGAGTATACGAAGGCCAGCCTTGTATAGGTATTACAAGGCGGTTATTTCCGGTGGAGGAAGCCTAGAAATCGATATGAACGAAGGATGGCGGGTGTGGGGTTGTCCGACAAGTGACAAGCTTCAGGGAAGGGTAAAGTAGGAGTTGAAGGCTATACGTAAACTCTCAACCCGAAAGCAGTGGGGGTTATCTTTGGTATAATTCGATCGGCTGTGTAGCTTTTTTCTTTTCTTTTCTGAGGGAAAGTCCGGCAATATGAGGATATATATATATATAGGAGGAAAACTATGGGATGACCGGCTGGTTGAAGACCATATGGCGTGAAGGAAGCGGAAGGATATGTATATATAGAGTTGAATGCACGGCGGGTGAAGCTTGTAGGTGGTTAAATGCAGTGTGGTGGACGAGACTTCCCAAGGCCCCAAAATAAATGCGGTATCAGCCTCGATTTCAAGAACGGTTTGATGACCGGAGGTTCCAGTTTGATAAGCCTGGGGGTTTCAAACCCATGGGGTAGAGGGAAAAGGAGATTATGTTTAGATTTTTTTTCTCTTTTATTTTTATGTTTTGCCAATTGCACATGGAAATTGCATGAGAAAATAAATAAATAATAATACGCCTTTGCATTATTATTTTCAAAAGACGGATTTAGCCTCAAGGGGTGCTTTAAGCTCCTGGCCCCCCCGCGCGGGCATCCTACTTGTTGAACCCGAATCGACATAGTGACGTTACATGTGACCACAGCCGATTCGAGTTCATATTCCCAATCTGGAGGCCTGTCCCGCATCAGGAGAGAAGACAGGAATAACTTTCCACGTTTTATTCCTGGGGCCAACATGGAATGAGAAGGGGCTAGAGCAAAACCCTGAGCCAGCCTTCCATATTTGGAAGCCTTGGGGAGTCTTCCAGGGTCCTGTTGTAACCATTTCGGACTTGGTACGAGTATCCTTGAAGCGAAGGCCAAGCGTAATGATCCTACAGCCCAGCAGAACCGGTAATAACGGGGATGATGAGGGTCCAAGAGAGCTTGTGCACCAGCCAGGTGCATGACAGATGAGTCGATCCGAGCCAGCTTCATGCATGCTGTGGCCCTGGGACGAAGGCGGTCCCGTAAACGTAAATCGCTACCAGATATAAATATTTCCGGCCCCCTTCGTAAAGGAAAAAGCAAACATAAGCTGGAAAAGCAGGACGAGTCAAGGGTGTTTGTACCTCCTTTGTCATAGTGGACCCGGCACCATCGAGGCCAGACGTCCCCCTTTCGAGCTCGCCGGACGTTCCTTTGGGTAAGATTCCTGGCAGGGAGCCGAATGAGGTTGGTGCGCGCCAGGAACCCTGTACATACTCCGTACTTACGGGAGAGATATCTGGCTTGGCTATTGAGGAGGCGCTCTGTGTAGCCAAGGGTCCTGGCATCGCGTTGCATTAGGTAGCATAACGGCGTAGCTTACGCAGTCTCGAGAACTGCAACTGCGCGTGGTTCGAGGAAGTGGTGTGGGTAGCAAAGGGCTGTTGTATGCATTGAATAACTACTCTACCCCCGTTGGTTCGTCCTCTCTTCTGCGCCATCCACGTTTCGGACACATGGCCAATCCGAGCCAACAGGTTGCACCATTGCAAGAAGTTTGTATATATATAAAAATGGCGGTTAGTGGCGTAAAGTGGCCTCCGCGGTACGATTGGAGGAAGCCGAGATTATGACAATGCAAATAAGGCTTGCCGCCAAAGGAGATGACCGCTTCGTGCTAGATGGCGATGAATGCACTGAGGGATCGTCTTCGAAGGACGGACAAGGCAACGAAATTGCTAGGCACTCGGCCCCCAACTCCAGCCAGCATAGCATGTATGGCTGACTCTGTAGCTGACGATGGAATGCCTGTCACCTAGCCGGTAGATGATTAGCTATCACTCTATCCCCAGTCTCGTAATGTGTAGTTCGGGTACGGAGTAGAGGGCCCCAATCGCTTCTTACGGGCCGAAAAGGTGGTAGAAGAGCCTGACGGTGTAAGATTTTGGTTCAGGCTGCGAGGAATGGTCAAGAGATACGGCCTATATCCAGGACACTGTGCGACAGGGAGCTGGCGAAGGGCGTACTTATTGGGCGTGTTTGCCCCCGAAGCTCGGTAAAGATATCAGATAGACGTCAGCCTTTAGCGAGACTCGCTTTCGAGTTTTCTTTTAAAGAGAGCACGAGTCGATGGTTCTTTTTCTTTGGCGAACCTTTCACCCTCCAATAAACACTATCCGATATACCCCTGATTTTAATAGTGGCCGAGATGTACCTGAGAGACAGGTGTCTTAGATCATGACCTTCACATGGACCTCGTATGGCGACTCTCCCTGTGTTTGACTTGATAGTCTCGGACAACTGATATTACCATCATGTCTAGCAAAGACACCGCATGCATGAATGGCTACAGGCATCGAGCACTCCGGACCGCGACGATCCTCGAGTCGAGACGACTGGCGGCTCGTCTTCATCTGCAGGCAAGCAGCCATTGCCCGGTTTCGTCGATTCATCCCATCTTCTCTCGAGTCCCAAAGGGGAAAATCATGCGAAACCAGCTCTGAATACCTGATTCGCGCGTAGATGCATACCCAACCGTAGCATCCGGTACTGGAAAATCCATGCAACGCGACGGAATACCACTCGACGCAGGAACCGCCAGGGTCTTTGTCTTATGCGCAAGAATCAGGGACTAACGGTCCTTGGAGGGGCCCCTTTTTACGTATATCCGCATAATGCAACGGCACGCTACGGAGTACTGCGTTTGCGGGTAAGAATTCAACCTGGAAGATGCAATCAGCGTATAAGCATAACTAAGACGGAAGATTTCTGGAAGAGATCGTGCAGATGTGGACCCCAAAGCGACTGTACGGAGTAACCGTTTGATGTCTGCATCCTGGGGTATATCCCCGTGCTATTAGCATGCAGAGCCCCGGCGTAATCTAAAATCCTTGGATGCCAGGGCCAACATCCCTTATATGGGCTCGTCGAGCGTTGCGGAGCCCCATTGTACGTACAGATAGACGTCTCTGGCCAGGTAACGGTGCTATCTGGACGGAGTGCCCGAAAGATGCTACATCGATATCACTGCTACATACGCGGCTGGTAGCATGTCTAATAACTACCAAGTACTCCGTATCCATGCTTTACATAAATTCCAAATGTATCCCAACCAACAACGGTTGGTAGCGCGCTCCGAACTCCGATAAAGGAACACACTGACTAGAGGCGGAATGTCCAACGATTTACCCCTGCCCAGAGTTGCTGCTATTTATGCGAGTGCTCGAAAGCAAGACAGGGCCTGTTCACTGCACTGTTTAGATACCTCGAACATCCCATCGCCCCGACATTCGGCCCTTCCAAGCCCGTATATATATAAAGTCACTCTGCGAGAGAACAGACGGGATCCCCGAATTTACAGAAACAGCGCCGGGCAGTCCGTCCTAAGTACGGGATGCTGGATGATGCAGTCAAAGACGTACATAGTACGCATTTTAGCCCCCAACTATGCCAAATTGAAAAATAAGACCAAGCCAGGTAACTAGCCGGTAAGCGGTTATTGTCAAAGAATAGAAAATAAAATAATAAAAAAAACAGGGACAATATTTCTAGAAAGGGAAGACGTCTTCTTTTTTCAAATTCCTCGAGCGGCGTGGACTGGTTGGATGATGGAGAACAGCGTCAACATGCATATCATGCGCAGATGCCGCTCTGACCCTTATATAGAAGGCCGTTGATTCCGTTATGTTATACGTCCCGTGTACATGTGGACGATGGCTCTATAACTGTTCGAGCGAGCGTGGTATTGCAACAGTAACAATTGGAGCCCCCTGAGCTGTTGGCCCCTGGTCCTCTTCCAACCATCCGCCTCCCCTAGTTATCCCAGGAACCCGCGCGGTGGATATCCCAGCGCCTCGTGCTTGAAATGTTTATAGGCGACTGGCACCCAGAAGGGTGGGATCCGACTAGGTTCCAAAGAGGCCGTAGCGGTGTTCCGAATAAGGCGAATTGGCGTGGACAAAGGGTTGATGCCATCCAACAAAGCTGAGATATGTGATATAACATTGCAAGGTTGTTGGCAACAGAAACGTCAAGGCATGAAAAGGAGATAGTGGATATATTACTGAGAGGTGGTCCATAAATACATACATAGGTAAAAAGAGGTAACGAAGGGACAGATGTTGCTGATATGCCAGACGAACAAACAAACAGGTATCGGTATGAGAATCGCAGAAAAAAAGTCAAGCACAAAGAGGGAATTGGTGGGCCAAATCCAACACAATTATCCAACCAACAAAACTGGTCAACAGCCATTAATCATGAGTGGAATCCTGCCTTGGAAATGGTTCAGGTTGGGTATTATTGCATGCATGCATGTTTCTATAGAACCAAAGAAATAAGAAAAGAAGAAGGGTGAATCAAAGAATGGAAGCTGCACACAACAGAAAAAAGGAAGACGGTGAAAAATAGACCAGTGAAAGCAAGCAGAGAATTAGACGGGTGAAACAGATCGCTGGACCATGTTTTGGAGAAGCAAGCCAAGGGGAAAAAAAATATACAATGAAAAAAAAAAAGGTAATCGCCGACGTAGTCCCCCCTGCCCCGGATTTGACAGGGTCGATGTCCAAAATTGGCTACCCTCGCCCCCATGGGGACACGAGGATGCGCAAAGGGTGCAAGGTGAGCTGTTCTCTGGCCCCATTCTAGGACACATCAGAAAGAAATGACGGTTTGTATTTAAACAAGTGTCCCGATTGGGGATTGGGGACAGGCAGCAAACAGGGAGCCTGCAGGACTACTGCCCCCATCTGCTGGCCCCATCCCAATCTGGTAATTGCAGGGACAAATTTGGTCGAGGGTGTGTGCGCGTCAAACAACTACCAGGGCTCAATGTCTGTTGTTCCCGATATTGAGCCAGCTGATATCCGAGCTGAGGATGCCCCTGTTCACTGAACGATTGGTACGTCCGTAAGAGGGGACTCGACTGTCATGAGGCATTGGCGCTAGGTATCGGTCCGAACTTCCAGGCAGAAGACCTGGGTTATCGAAGTATACGCTATTAGAATAATTACTACTTGCCACACGAGGCTCTTTCGACGCTCTACCCCAGCGGTCCACGTCATGGGTACTAGCTGGGATGCCGGACGAGAAAGCATCGGTTCGAGTGTCTCTTCTGTCGTCATAGTAGTCATCTGAATTAATGCTGACAGAGTCTGCGCTGGATATTTTGGCGGCCATCCCCTGGTGTTGTGAGAAAGCCCACCTGGGAGGATGTTCGGTGCTAGGGCTACCGCTTGAGACCTGTCCTAGGGGTTGCGGTCCACCCAACCGAGCGACATTCAGAGGTGGAACTTCGGCTGATACGTGCGGCCACCCGCTGCCTCGATAATCCGATTTATAGTCCGATTTGTAGTCCGATTTAGAGTCAATAGAAGAGGTATTGGATCTCGACGATTTGTTGTCCCTGTCGCCTTGGAAATATTTACTCCATCCCTCATCAGTGAGCCGCCCGTCGGTCTGGGTGTGTCTTGGGTCAACCACTGCACCAAAAACGGGTCCTTTGGAATCTGATGGATACAGCTCACTGCTTGGCCGCTCCTGGTTTACCTCCATATCTCGAAGCGGGCTAGGACCCTTTTCAGATATGGGTATGCCCCGGGTGGGCGGTCGTAGGTTCACAGATCCTCGGGAATAGTCTTCGGAGTGTCCAGCAACGAATGCCCAGGAATCGGTTGAAGGAACGGGCCCTCTTGCCATCGGTTGCACTGAACGAGTGAGTGGCTCCATGCCTGCATCCTGGAAGCTGAGCCTGTCCTTATTGTCCGAATTCATGTGCTTTTCCTTGGTATGTTGACTATACAAGCTGGTCCGACGCCTCCAAGCAAGTAGGAGTAGGATAATGATAACAATTGCCCCGATACCCAAGAGAGAGCCTAGTGTGGCACCGATAATGGTCAAGGTACGGCCATCCGGAGGGACAACGCCGCCAACTCTATCACTAGAAGTGGAGGTTACTGACTCGGAGGGAATAGAGGTCAAGGTTGGGGCCGCAGTTATAGTAGACGACATTGTACTACTAGTGGAAAGCATAGTAGATGACATGGTCGAAGAGGACGAGGTTGAAGAAGTAGTAACCGAAGAAAAGATATGAGCGACATCTAGCCACTCATTGTTTTTTTGATCGAACACGACGATGGGCTCTTCGGTGCCACCACCGGATATCACCACTCTCCCTTTCGGGTCTTCTGGGTCAAAGGCAATGGCGGCACCCGTACGGGTCCCCGTGGGAGCGAGTGTCGCGTTATAGGCGGGGTACGAGCCTGGGGAAGGGGCTCGTTTCCGTATATTGGAGTGAGAGTGGTGCCGGGAGCGATGAATCGACCGTCGATGGGGCGGGCCGCCTGCCGGCTTCAAGCTATCCATGCGAACCGAGGTCGGTGATGTCCCAAAGTTGAAAACCTGCAAAGATTTTTGTCCGTCTATATAAGGATTAATGGTAACAAGATTTGTGGCCGGATCTCCAATTGGATTTTCAAGAATGGAATCGGTGGGCTGCCACCCATTGTTAATGAATTGATAGACCTTATTGTTATCCGCGCTGCCTCCAACAACTATCGCCGTGCCATCGCTCCAGGGTAAAAGGATCGGTCTGATGGAAGGGGGAACTGGTTGGTTGTGCGACTCTATGTGGTATAATTCGGGGGACATGAGGATCGTAAACGTTTGCACCGAAGGGTTCGGGTTTCCGTCTGCAGAGCCAGCAAAAACGAGGATCGAGGGCGGAGAGCTGAGGTAGATGGCATCGTGGTTGACGCGGTTTTTTATATCCCGTCCATCCAGCTTCGGGTACCTCCATTTCTTATCCAAAAACGAGTAGCTCTGGACGCCGAGATACTCGTCCGAGCCGCCGGTGCCGCCTACCACGTAAAAGGCCGGGTTGTTCACATCTCCATCAGTGCTGCCTTTGAAGCATGAACCTCCCGTCACAGATGTGCCCATGTCCAGTTGACTCCATTTCGCACCCTCTTTGAGAGGAAGCGACATAAATCCGGCCGGCGAGTAGACGTACAACACGTCCTTGTGCAGAACGGTGCAGTGGTCCTTGAGCTCGATTGGGGGCTTCGGAACGGCCATGGTTGCGTTTATTCTATTTTTTATTATCGACGTGATCGACTAGGACGACGGCGAAGGGCAACCCGTTATATCGAAGAGCGCAGGCCAACGAGTTCCAGAAACATTCTACCTCCTGGCCTAAAACGAAAAGAAGTTAAAAGTGAGTATCCTGCCAGAGGTACCGCGTCACTTGTTCGTGACCAGTCGCTGCCCGCATTCAACGAGAGTGCGGTGCTCCCACAACCGCCGTTGCGAGCGAGAGATAAGATAACTATGTAGTTATCTGTCAAAAGGAACGGACGGTGGCTGAATTGACGATGCTCTGCACCAGGTGTTCCCCCGTCGATCGATCCCCGAGCTTGCGGTCTCAACGGTCGTGCTGCAACGAGAGGGGGCTCGAATATGATATGTACGGCGGGCTCGACAGGCAGTGTCGAACGAGCAAAAGAACAGGTCGAGGCTCACAAAGCCCAGGCGAGAAAGTAAAGGAGCGGATATTCAATAAACAGCACAGCGAGAAAAGAACGACACCTCACCGCAACACAGCACAGCTTGCAGAACGGGTTGAAGGAGGGAGATGTCGAGCGAGAAGAGAGAGCGGACGGGACCAGGGGCAGAGATGGGATGTCTCATGCCGCGACAGACGACGAGGCCGGGTTTCCTTGCCCTGAGAGTGCGCAGGACGGCCTTCCCGGTCGTCCTGAAACTGGCCCAAGCCTGCTCTTGGTTAGTTCCTGCGCGATCAGGCACCTTCTGGGGGCGTACGGGGGCGTACGGCCGATACGCAAGACGCCGGCTTGTTACCGCTCCCAGCCAACCAGCGGCCCGACACAGGGGTCCACCGGGCCGCCGGGCGGAGCTCCACCGCCCGCTGCACCAATGACAGAGCTGAGAGACCGATGTGGGCCGCCCTCTTAACCCCTGCCAAGCCACTCCCGGTAAGTTACATACAGGGTCTGTATTTTTATGCAGCTTGTTTTTTCGTGCCCTTTTTGCGCTGCTCCATCCATCGACAGACTCGTTTCTTGTATATAGGGTCGCACCAGAGTATCTAGCTGTAGGGATGTATATTGCTGCAAGTACGATGTATATTGCTGGAGCATATTGCTGGAAGTCTATTGAGGTGGATGCTAACTGTGGCCTGCTTGAGTCTGCTCCTGCTTCCACCGCCGTGCTGTCGAGAGCAGGTTCGAGAGCATCGCGGTCGACTCGTCGTCGGCAGGGAACATGTAGTCTATGTACTCCTCGAACCTGTCGTCGTCCACCTTGCGCTTCTTCTTCACCTTCCGTGGCATCTGCCTCTCTATACTGCTGATCTCTTCGGGAGAGCCGTGCGTGTGCTCGAACGCTTTCCATGCATTGAGGAGTGCGACACGCTATTACGTTTTTGTTAGTTGCAAGAGCGATAAAAATAGAGTGGTTTGCTCGAGGGCGGGTGTGAACTCTACCTCTTCTCTCAGATCCTTTTCTTTCATCACCCGGTTGGCCCGCTCAAAGACCTTCCTAGCTCGGCTCTTCGCTTCCTCAGACACTGGCTTCTCGTTTTCTTCTTCTCCCTCTTCTTCGTCGTCCGCCTCAGGTATATTGATCTCGAATCGCGCATAGTTGATCCAGACCTTGACGTGGTCCGTCTTCTTCAGGAGTCTCTCGTACAGGCTCCTAGTGCGGTCGTATTCCTCCTCATACTCCTCAAAGTCGATGTACGCTTTCCACAGAAGTTCGGGCATGTCAAGTGCCGGTTGGTTGATCCCTAGTTCGAAAATCGCCCTGGCGCGTTCCACGTCGTCGAGGCCTCTTTCTAGTTCAGCGAACTTGATCCATGACTCGCTCTGTGAGGGATTCCACTCAATCTGCTTCTCGAACAGTGTCCGGCACCGCGAAAACTCAAACAGCTTACGCTCAATGTCGATATAGCCCCTGAATAGTTTGTCCTTGGGACACATCCCGATCGCCTGGCCCAACGTCTTCCTCGCCAGAGCGAGGTCAAGCTGCCGTATCTCAAACTGTGCTTTAAGAAGCCATATCTTGGCAAACGTAAACTTCTTGTGGGGAACTAATTTCAAGCATTCGGTGTATATCTGCCGCGCGCGATCTATATCTTGATTCTCCATTTCCTCCCACACGGCGTAGAAGATCCAGAGGTATATGTAGCGTCGCCAGTGCCGTTTCTCTTGAGATGGCGGTATCTGAGCAATGGCCCGCTCGTATGTCTCTCGAATCCGGTCCACGTCTCCAGACGCCTCCTCCAGACGTGTTAGGTCAAACCAGAGATCGTAGTTCTTTGGATTTTCCTTGATTTGCTCCTCGTACTGGACTCTCCGCTTCGACAGAATCACCTCCTCAACGCCCACGCGATCGCCAAACTGTTTCTCAAACACCGTATAGGCGCCCTGTAGAGCAACAGACTTCGAACGTGGCAATCTGTCGAGAGCAAACTTATAGATCGCCCTTGCTCGTTCGTACTCCTTCAGTTTCGTCTCGTATCGCGCATAGGCAATGAAAAGCTTTTCGTCCATAAAATCCGTCCCGAGCGTTTCAACTGCAGTTCCATACACCTCCCTAACAAGGTCACTGGTGGAATTCTCTTCCTCAAACCGAGCCCATTTGATCCAGTTCTTTGTGTCAGGGTGGACTGTAATGAACCGCTGGAAAATCGCCCTGGCTCGGTCCAGCTCGTTGTATCGTTTTTCCAGCTTGATGTACGCGTTCCAAGCTCCCTCATCCGGCTCCCACGACATCCACCGCTCAAACACCTGTCGAGTCCCCGCAATATTCCCCAGCATCTCCTCCATATACACGTATTTATACCACAGCTTATCCACACGTGGTAAAATCGTCACGGCTCGGTCAAACAGGTTCCTGGCATGGTTGATATTCCGGTTCTTCATTTCCGCCTCGGCATACCGTATCCAAAGGACGATGGACGTGGAATCGACATCCAATGCACGCTCGAATATCGATCTCGCGCGGCGATATTCTTTCTGCTCCAGCTCCCATTGCGCATACCGCATCCAGTTGTTCATATTAATCCTGTTGCGGCGAACATAGTCTTCAAACTCCTTGCGTTTCCGGCCTTGGTATTCATGGAGCTCCTCGAGATCGGCAAACCGCTGTGTTGGAGCTTGCAGCGAGGGTTCCTGGCGGTCGACCGCTTCACGCAGGAGCTGCTCAGCAGAGATCTGTTGAGGCGCGGGGGCCTTGTTCTTGACCCTTGGGGGCCCGCGGGACGAATCCATGGCTGCAGAGTAAGGGAATACCCTCCAAGTCCGTAGATATTGGTAAAGAAGAGCACGCGATATGGGCTGCGTGAAGCTGTTGGAGTGTTTGGTCGTGTTGATATAAAAAGTTGAAGCTTCAAGTTCAGTTTTACATCATCGTGCCAAGACTGCATGTTTGGCTACTGCGGTCACCCGTTATATATCTTGCTTGAGCAGGAAGAAGTAATTATTATTTCCCTTCGCCACAACATCTACGGCCACTCGTCTCGCAGACATCCTGAGTTGTAAGATAACTCTACATATAGCTCAGAGACACTATGGCGACCCTAGCAGACGAACTGCTTAACGATTTCGAGGACTCTGCGACCGAAGGCGAGCTCGATGACGTCCAGCTCAAGGACGAAGACGAGCGTGATGGCGATGCCGGGCCAGCGTCTATCTTACCCGACAGCCTAGGAGAAAGCGGCAATGATGAAGAGGGACAGGAGGAGATTGATAAAGCGCGGTTCAAGGGCGTTGCTGATGTCCGAAGTGTTGCGCGCCTGATGGAGACACTCCAGCCTATCCTAGAGGTACGTATTATAATAATAAGATAGACTTCATAACAGAAACTAACTCGTTAATTAGAAAATTGCGCACTATAAGCAGCTGCCTGCTCGCGAACAAACCCGGACAGGCTCAGTTGAAGATGACGCAGAGTACCACCTCCTCACGCAGTCAAACTCCCTCTCGACATCGATCGACAATGAAATCACCCTCGTCCACAAATTCATCAGAGATCACTACTCCTCGAGGTTTCCGGAGCTAGAGACGCTGATCTCGAATCCAATCGACTATGCGAAAACTGTTGCCATTCTAAAGAACGGGCCGTTCGACGACATCAAAGCGATGGCATCGTCGACGGATAACCTAGTGGGACAAACGCTGCGAACTATCCTTGACGGCCCATCTCTCATGACCGTCGCCGTGGAGGGAACAACTACCCGAGGCACCCCACTGCCTGCGGAAGAGCTCGAATGTGTCCTGCAAGCTTGCAAGATGATGTTTTCTCTTGAAAAGGCCAAAACTGTCCTTACGGAATACGTGCAGTCAAGGATGACTATGTTCGCTCCAAACCTGACAGCTCTCGTTGGATCGTTAACTGCCGCTCAACTTCTGAATTATGCCGGCGGGCTGACAGGACTTGCTAAAACGCCTTCATGCAACATTTCACCCCTCGGCTCTAAAAAGCAGGCTCAATCTGGGTTTGCCACCAATGTCGGAATCCGACACCAGGGCTTCCTCTACCATTCCCCCATCATCCAAGACATACCTAACGATTACAAAGTCCAGGCAATGCGCATCGTATCTGCCAAGGTAGTCCTTGCTGCGCGCGTGGACAGAGTACATAGCAGCCTGGACGGGTCAACTGGAGAACAGCTAAAGCAAGCCTGTTTAGAGCGGCTTGACAAGCTCACCGAACCACCGCCGAATAAGGGTACCCGCGCTCTTCCCGCACCAGACGACAAACCATCCCGGAAACGTGGTGGCCGGCGCGCCAGAAAAGCCAAGGAGGCCACCGCTATGACCGATCTGCGCAAAGCCCAGAACCGTCTAGCATTTGGCAAAGAAGAAAAGGAAGTAGGCTACGGAACAGGAGAAGGCACCAAGGGTCTGGGCATGCTCGGACAGGAGAACCAAGGCCGTATCCGCGCGACGCAAATCGATCCACGGACAAAAGCCAAGCTCAGCAAATCGAACAAGGGCTGGGGTACGGCGACTCCAGCTCCGAGCCACGCATCCTCTCTTCGGGCATTCGGTAGCACGCCTGGGCACGCATCAATACTGAACGCCCAGGGCCTCCGTACTGCGGGCGTTGGTCCCGTCGCCGGCTCCGGTACAGCCAGTAGTATCGCCTTCACGCCATTCCAGGGCCTCGAACTGGTCGACCCCAAAGCCCAGGCAGAGCTAAAGAGGAAACGGGCGGCAGAAGAAGACCGATGGTTCAAGAGCGGAACGTTCACTCAGGTTGGAAGCCAGTCGAGCACGGCACCTGATTCTGGAGCGTTCAAGGTGCCCCGTCTCCCGTCTGGCAAGAATCCTAGCTCAGGGGGCTCTAACATGGGGCCTCCTCCTCCGAAGCCTACGCAGTGATTTCGCGTACGGTTCTCTGGTGAAACTAAGCCGTCAAACTATTGTTTGATCTTGGAGCCACCTGATTCAAGCAAGACCTCATCTATTTCTACAAATGCTAGGGCTGACGGTGGCCCAGAAAGTGGGATTCAGGGTCGTTGTTTCTCCCAAGGTGCCAGCCAGAGTACCAGCACGGCGAGTAACCGACTACCCTTTAATATTGCCTGTATTACACATCCTACTCCATACGGCAAACGGCAAACGGTGAACGGTGAACGGCGACAGAGACAGCGCCGTCGAATGCACCGACGAGCTGCTTCAAGTCGGAGGATGCGGGGAGATGTCTTCACTTTCAGCCGTGGTCTATGCAGTTACTCGGGGTCCGATTGGATACGAGCAGCCATTGACCGGTCTTCGTACTCTTCTTCCACTCTGCCATCTCTGCCATCGCCATCGATCTCGGTGTCGTTCGAGGGCGTGTGAACGGCCGGTGCACCCTTCCCTATATACAGACGCAGCTGTCTGTCCAGATGTACGATAGCATAGATAATATAAACAAACGTCGACGTTTTCTGTCGTGGATGTAAAGTTGTGCAGGCCACGGAAAATCGTCCGGCCCGCCTGTTTTTCTCCCCCACTTCGGAGACTTTGATAAATTGACCAGAAAAGGAGCATCCCGACCTCTTCTCCCTCTTCTTCCTCTTCCTCTTCTTCTTCTTCTTCTCCTTCAACCTCGCCCTTTGCCCTTAAACCACCAGTCTACTATCTCAGTCTCATCTATTTGAGCTGTTCGTCTAGCATCTTTTACTCTGCACCTTTATCACCCAGATTACCCCTCCATCCATCACCATGGCTGCCCCCGCTACCAAGTTCAAGGTCGCCGACATCGTATGGCACCCTCTCTCTATTCTCCCTCTGCTCTCTGGCAAACTACCGGTATCAGACTGGCTAATTGTGTCCTCTAGTCGCTCGCTGCCTTCGGGCGCCGCGAGATCGAGATCGCCGAGATCGAGATGCCCGGCTTGATGGCCATCCGCAAGAAGTACGCCGCAGACGCCCCATTGAAGGGTGCCAGAATTGCTGGATGTCTTCACATGAGTACGTCTAGCTATCTTCGATCCGTGCTGTATAGATGCTGACCGTTGCCGTCCCGCAGCCATCCAAACCGCTGTCCTCATCGAGACCCTCACTGCTCTCGGTGCTGAGGTTACCTGGTCCAGCTGCAACATCTTCTCTACCCAGGACCACGCCGCTGCTGCCATTGCTGCCTCCGGAACCCCAGTGTAAGTAGTGTTCTGGCCGAACTGGCTCAATTGCTCTCGCTAATAGCGCATGTCATATATAGCTTCGCCTGGAAGGGTGAGACCGAGGAAGAGTACGAATGGTGCCTCGAGCAGCAATTGATTGCCTTCAAGGACGGACAGAAGCTCAACCTCATTCTCGACGATGGTGGTGACCTGACCTCTTTGGTCCACAAGAAATACCCAGAGATGCTCAAGGACTGCTTCGGTGTCTCCGAGGAGACCACTACCGGTGTCCACCACCTCTACAAGATGATGAAGAGCGGCGAGCTCCTCGTCCCAGCCGTCAACGTCAACGACTCCGTCACCAAGTCCAAGTTCGACAACCTTTACGGCTGCCGTGAGTCCCTCATTGACGGAATCAAGCGTGCCACCGATGTCATGATCGCTGGTAAGATCGCCGTCGTTGCTGGTTTCGGTGACGTCGGTAAGGGTTGCGCTGAGGCTCTCCGCAGCATGGGTGCTGCCGTCATTGTCACTGAGGTCGACCCCATCAACGCTCTCCAGGCTGCCGTTGCCGGTTACCAGGTCCTTACCATGGAGGAGGCTGCCTCCAAGGGTCAGATCTTCGTCACCACCACTGGTTGCCGTGACATTCTCACTGGCGAGCACTTCAGCGTCATGAAGAACGACGCCATCGTCTGCAGTAAGTAACCCCCCAACATTACTATCACCCCCGTCTCCTCTAACACCAAACTAGACATCGGCCATTTCGATATCGAAATCGACGTTGCCTGGCTCAAGGCCAACGCCAAGTCCGTCCAGAACATCAAGCCACAAGTTGACCGTTACCTCATGGCTTCTGGCAACCACATCATCCTCCTCGCTGAGGGACGATTGGTCAACCTTGGCTGTGCCACCGGCCACTCCTCTTTCGTCATGTCCTGCTCTTTCTCCAACCAAGTCCTCGCTCAGATCCTCCTCTTCAAGTGCAACGACCCCGAGTTCGGCAAGAAGTACATCGAGTTCGGTGCCACCGGCAAGCGTGACATCGGCGTCTACGTCCTCCCCAAGATCCTCGACGAGCAGGTCGCTTTCCTCCACCTCGAGCACGTCAACGCTAAGCTCTCCAAGCTCACCGCCAAGCAGGCCGAATACCTCGGTCTCGACGTCGAGGGTCCTTTCAAGAGCGACATGTAAGTTCTACCTACCCCATGTTCATCCGTCTTCTTACTGACTTTCTCGTCACAGCTACCGCTATTAAGTTTTGGGAGCGTAAATATGGGAGCGTGCTTTTTGCTTGGTTTTACTGATTTTTCTCCGTTTATTCAACATCAAAATTAAGGGCAAAGGGCACTGGTATGGTATATGTCATATAGACTTACTTTCAACATTTCGAAACAAATAATATTCTTTCAAGTCAAATCATGTTCTCTCCCCCCCGAATATTATCTTCGTATCAGTGTTGGGTGCCAGAAGGGCTATTTATATTTCAATATAAATGCTAAGGTAGCTGAATACAGAATCAAAAAGTTACTTATGATCCAAACTCATCAATACCCTTCCTCCATATGGCACCTAGTACTCTCGACGGAGAGCATCTTCGGCGTGGTCCTGAGCATCACGCCGTACTCTCTCTCTGTCGATGTAGTCAAGGCCCTTGGTTTCAACGATCCGGTCCACGAATGCTCCAGCGAGACCAGCCATGATCTCCTTTGCTTTGGCATGGCTGTCAGGTTTTCCTAGACGCTGTTAGCCTGCATCCTCCCTGATATCTGAACATGTTCTTACCATTGCGCTCCACATGGTCTTCATATGCCTTTGCAGCCTCGTAGGCAGCAGCTCCGGCAATCAGCTCATGGGACAAGGCAGCTTGGTGAGGAGCATTGTTGACCTGCTCATAAGCCTCCTGGTGGTCGGAGAAACCTATCATCATCAGCTTCATCATACAGTCTCGTTTCAGGGGCTATCATACTGTCGAAGAAACCCATGTTGTCTATGGAAAAGGGGCTTTTAGGAGGAATTGTCTGTAGGGGTAGAGAAATGGTTTGATATTCAGGGCAATCCCGCCATGGAGGGGCAGAGGAGGGGCTATATATACATCTATCAATTGCACATATTGATGCCGCGTATCATATCCGAGCGGGGACCCCTATATTTCCATCTCGCCTACGTATGTATGTTTCGTCCATGGATCCCAAGCTTTCCATACACGTAGCCCACCGCCATGCCGCAGGACGTAATCTCTATACGCACTCCTCCAGAAATAGTTAGGATGCTGTATACAGAGGGGTTCGAGGGTGGCGGACATGGCGTACGTGGTAGGTGGCGCCCCGTCCCAGGGCTAAGCATCAGGCTAACCAGTGCTTAGATGCTATATCATTGCTTAGCTCTTCGTCTTGCAGCGTATTGTGGCATCGGTGAACCCAGGACGAACCTACTCAGTGCCACCCCCGCTTATTAGACGAACGAATGGAAGAAGTCGGTTTATGCGGATGGTGCTGGCCGTGGAGATGGGTGGTTTGGTCTGCAGGAGGTCATAACATCAAGCACGGAGTATACTCGGCTTTAATAGAGATCCCTAGGATCTTGTATTAGCAATTAGACGATTTATACCAGAATAGTGTAGTGTATGAGATAAATCAAGGGCAAGGTTAAGGCCAGAAGGAAATTCTTAGGGCTTATGGTTAAATCATAAGGTCTTAAGGGATAATCAAGTGGCAACTGCGAAACCCCCACCACAAGCCCTCTCCTGTCGATATACAGGGACAATGGCTTCGAGGATGGAACAGCAGCCCTAGTACGCGGACTACAGGATGCATGGGACAAGACTCGTATTGTTACAAAATTATATACTCCATATTGACACGCAGAAATGGAATTGTCATGCCTAGGTTCAACCTGGGTAACTCTATCGTCGAATATGCGTGAAAGACCAAAGGCCATACCTCATACCGTGGTAACGGCTAGTTTCTTAGTCGCGGAAACAAGAGGTCCTGTTGAGATTCTAGAAGCAGCTCTTCATCGCTCAGGCCGAAAAACTCCTTGAAAAGGGCTTCCGTCTCGTTGAAAAGATTCAACTTCTCCACGATGAAGTTCACAACCAGGGAGGGATCGTTTCCAACTCCATGCGGAAGCCAGAACCCAAAGGGCGGCGGTGTAGAGCCTGAACTCTTCTCATCAGCGGGCCACCGGGAACCATAGGATTTCTACGAATTAGTTGCATAAGCTGTAGGTCCATTGTAGGTCACTCCACGCGCTGTCTTCTGTAGACAGTTTGTCTGAGGAACACAACGTCCACATGATCACGTAAGACCAGCTCTTCCAATAGCGTCATGGATGCTTGTATCTCAGGGGATAAGTGAGAGGAATAAGTTTCGGGTGGTGGTCGACGGCCAGTGAGAGTTGGGGTTATTCGCCGCATTGCTTCCCTCATAAAATTATCATGTTGGGCGACGGTAACTGGCGGGGAGACCTGCTGAGGAAGCCAGGGCAAGTGAACTCGGGCCAATGACTGGATAAACGGCTGAGAAGATCTGAAGGTCCTTAATCTGTTGCTGACGGACCTAGCAGCAAATGGGATTCGTCCAGTCCGCATGCTGAAACGGCGTATCGCGGTATCTGATTACTGGCTCTGATCAAATCGACAAACTGCCCAGTGTAACAATGCGACCCAACCACATTTACCTGACAACCATCCGGGAATTGAGGAAGCAGATTTGCTACCGCATCCAGGCAGAAAAGGTTTGTCCCCCAAGCAAATACTTCCGTTAACAATCCCATGCGCATGAAAAAAGATGTTGACCACATCATTTTGAGCCACTGTAAGTGACTTGGATTGTATCCAAGTGACGACTTATCCAAGAATATCAGCAGGATTGACATACTCGAACCACTTGTCACTTCTTGTTGCCCATTGGGTTTTAGAGTAGGTAAACAATGGGGTCTGATCTAGCCCAAATTTGCCCCATTCAATATCTGTGACGGGCGGAGATCTCATCACCAGATGATCAAAATGATCATCAAGAGGAAAGGAGGAATAGAAGGTTCCATCGCCATCTTGCACCGCATACTGAAGGGTCATAGACACCCCCATAAAGTCGGAAAACATGGCTGCATCGGCAGGCGATTCTGCATTTTGAGAGCCACAGACCACCAGGTTGTGTATGGTCCCCTGCTTGGGAGTATGGATAGTTGGAAGGACCTTCGTTCCTGCACCTATCTGCGGTTCTGGCTTATTTCGACCTTTTGAAAGCCAGGAATGTACCAAAGTGCACCTAGAGGTAGCTGCAAAAGAAAAAAGTCCGGACAATATTTAGAACTTACCAGAGCCAGTACGTTTCAGTGATCCCACGTTTGACTGATCCATGATGGAGTCTAGCGTCTTGTGCTTGACTATGTAGTGGTTGAATGTAAAGCTGACAACGCCGCCCTTAAAACGAGATGATTCTGGGCTTCAAGTGGGCTTCGAGGCGGCTTGTAACCAGAGGTGTCAGATTCTCTGTGTGGTACGACTCGTCTCCATTGGACACTAGTCCTTTTTGTCCCAGTAATCTTTGAATTATAAGGCTGGAAGGTTGGAGGTTGGGAACAGAAACAGTAACCGAAGGGAATCAAGGGCCTTTAATAGAAGAGAAAGACATCCTGGATACCACTCGTCCACCCAGTTTTCTGGGCTTGCTTCACGGATTCCGAGTGAAGGTAGCATGCAGAGTCTATGATAGCATAGCTGGTGAATCATCCACGGTTCGTGAGTTGACTATTGGGAGACTGGTGTATGGTTCCATGGTGCCTGATCCCATGTTCCGTAAACCGCATATACAGCCTGTGTATATCAAGCTCCCTCAGTAGAAAAGAGTAACAGGTAAAATGCAGAGAGATGAAGTGGCGTATTTGTTTTCATATACTATCAAAGCAGTATATGTGTGGTAATCCTCTTTGATCTGTACATAATGCTGTCAGCTATAAACCAGTCAGGAACCCGTGTCTGCGCCATCATGCCTTTGATGACAGAGGTATAGTAAGTAGTTGTCTGCCTGAGAAAGCTATACGACCGCGTTCGCTGTACTCTGCCGTCTCATCACGGTTGCTTGCATTGAAAAACTCCTGCTGTGATGATGCAACGCCCCGCGATCTGCGACTCCTGCAAGGGACGTACGTAAGGCATTGAATACGAAAAGTTCTTCTTCAGTGTCCAACTATTGGCCGAGAATGCCTCGTTCGCATACGTCTGCTTGGTCCTTTGACGTGATTGGAAACACGATTTGATGGCGTCGATGGCGTTGAAGCTCTTGGCTTGTTTGGAGTTCGCTGCCGGGCGCATAAATTTGGTCAACTTCACATCTGATGACTACCAACAAGAGGACGATAACCACGGCGATTCCAAACACGAGAGCTATGATGTGTTCAATAACTCCGCTTACAGTGATCTATACCCCTTGCAACATGTCAGGCAACATGTCTGGCAGCCTGTCCGCAGGATGTTAGGCCAATGAGACAGAGCCATGGAGCTTCATCAGCTGTGAACTCAACGGTTCCACGAAGAAATTCCATGCAAGCTTTATAGATAGCAGTCATGGTTCTGCAAGAGATGGTCCTTGTATGGGGATGTCTATATAAGTGACACGCTGTCTCCTCAGTTATCTCATTCTTCTCCAGCGCTGTCTACCACCGCTATACTTCAACATGTCCTTCGACCCGAAGCTGCCTATGGACGCATACGTTTGCTTTGCCGCCGACCCTCAGACCGGTGAACCCCGTTGGATGCTCATGTTGATGTCTGTGGGCGCAGAGTACGGAACGTTATACCACTCAAGCGGCGGACCGGCGCACAACAAGCCATATCAAGTCACTATAGAAGCCCACAAAAGCTTCAACAGCTGCGGAATCCATGCTCGAGAATACCTGGGACCGGTCGATTTCCCCAAAAGCAACGTTAAAAGGGTTACGGGAGCGGCCTTGAGGATTCCTGCCCAGCATTCCCAGAAGTATATGGTTGGGCTGGTGGCGCACTTGGAAGAAATCGATATATTGCCAGAGGGCAGCGCAGCCTGGCTCGACAGCCATGTACAGTTGAACAAACGTGATTGGGATTATGAGCGTCGGCATCCAGTCGTTCAACGTCAAATCGGATATCCCACGCCTACTCGAGGATACCATGTAACCATATCTTCAGCACCCCCGCCGCGGCAGCCTCTCTCAACTCGCACAAATGCATCCACGGACAGAGAACTTGAACAGTCATTCGAAAACGAAAAAAAAGGTCCATGGGAGTGTAGCTGCGACCTAATCCTTGCGGTCAGCTATCAACGCTATGCACCCAGCCAAGATCCAGTGTCTCATTCCCAGCAAGCCGCCCCCGACCATGAAGCATTCCTTCCCTATCCCTCGGATATTCCTTCGTTTGGTGTCAATCGCTTTCGACGTTTTGAGCTATGCCTCTGAGCTAGTTTCCTTTCCTAGTTTGCCGTCTTTATTACTGGGCGTATAGCTGGAACCGTGCATTTTGTCAACATGAGATATCCCCAGCGTGTAATAATTAAATATGAATCAATGACATTCCTACTTTCAAGGGGCTAAGGCGTTGTGTTTATTTATAGCTTTACTTAATAGACCTCCGTCAGGTAATTCGCCTACTAAATATAGCAATAGTAAGGATATATGGATGTTGCATAAAATAATTTCACAGGCCATGCTCAAGGATATTAAGATAGTCAAATTCACGATGGATACGCCGTATACAGTGAAGAGTCTCCCCGGTTAACTTTTATACCATTGAAACACCCCCGATAAATGTTGGGCAGTGAAAATCCAAGTGATCCAGAACGAAAATGGAGTAGTGTATAGAGCGTTAATGGTACAGTTTGACAGAGTCAAAAAGAAAATCTGGAAATGGAAATATCACACAAGATACAAACAGCCATGAAACGTCGTAGCTAGATAGACCAGCGTTTATCGGTTTCGATGGCTGGCCTGGTCAAATCCCCCCAGCACGCTTGCCGCTACATCCCCTTGGCCGGTTTCAGTGGTGCCCGTTGAGGCCTGTTCTGCGTCCTCAAAGCTGGTAACTTTGCTTGTGGACGTATGCACGTTGGAAGAGGACTCCTTTGTGGTGGCTGACTCGTTGGGCTGGAGAGCCTTTGTAGCCATCGCCTTCGCCTGTCCCTCCGAGACCTTTCCGTAGACAGCCATCGCGCTCGCGATCATGCCACCCATATCGCCAACATTACCAGGCACAACAACAGCCGTACCCTCCTTTGCAAGCTTGGAGAATGCCTCTACGTATTTCTCGGCCACCGAAAGACTGATTGCTCCACGGGCGGCTTCCTGACCACCCTGAATAGAGGCAGCAACGGCATCAATCCCGCGGGCTGTAGCCTCGGCCCTCAGACGGATAGCTTCAGCTTCACCCATGGCCATGTTGATCTGTTCCGATTTCATAGCCTCTGAGGCAAGGATGACTGATTGTTTACGACCTTCTGCGATGTTGATTGCGCTTTGCCTTTGACCTTCGGAGTCGAGAATCTCAGCACGCTTCGATCGTTCTGCAGTTACTTGGCGGTGCATCGCTTCCACTACTCCCTCTGGGGCGTGGATGTCCCTGATTTCGTATCTGAGGCAGGTCACACCCCAATCCTGTGCAGCCTCGTTGATGGCTTGTGTTATATTTGTGTTTAGAACCGCACGCTCCTTAAGAACGTGGTCTAGGGTAAGTTGACCAATTTCGGATCGCATCGTCGTCTGAGCTAGCTGAGATATCGCATATTCGGCGTCTTCCACACCATAACTTGAAGTCGGGTTTCACGTTAGCCAAAATGTCGAATTATCTTCCCCCATAGTTAATTGTAATGTAAAGAGGTACCAACCTAGCTTTATAAGCGTCAAAGACCCTGGTATAGAGCACACCGTCCAGCTCCAAAGTAACGTTGTCCGCTGTAATAGCATTTTGGCTCGGAATCTCAATAGCCGCTTCCTTCAAGCTCTTCACGTATGCAATCCTATCGAGGAAAGGAACCAAAATTGCCAGCCCGGGTTCAAGGATTCGATTGAATTTCCCCATCCGCTCTACTATCCATGCAGTCTGCTGGGGCACGAATCTGATTATCGTGTTTGCCGGTAACGGCGGGCGGTGCGAGAAATATGTCGTCGGGGTGGCCATGGGCGAGGACGATCCGCCAACCCCCATTCCGAAGAAAGGAGCATGGTTAGGGTCCGCCCTGCGTGGTGTTGAGCTGAACTGCCGCCTTGTGCTCGGAAGGGTGGAAGCTGAGCACTGCCATTTTGACAGCGAGGTAAGGTAGGGAGAAGGTCGTCGCAGTAGCTGGGACTCGAGGGCGTGCCTCCGCAGTATCGATCTGGAGGCTACCTCCATGATGTCAGACGTAGACGCATTCACTGTCTATCGTATATTCGAGCTTCTCTCTTCTCTCTTCTTTTGCAGTCAAAGAAGAAACATCGTCAGAGAGCCGCGGAACAAAGATTTGCCGAGGGACCGGCTACTGCACGTGACCCTACTGTAGAAAAGTGCTCTTGTGCCCGAAAAGTCCTCCACAGAAGTCCTTAGTGGTGTAGTGGTCAACATTATCGTCTCTCACACGGTAGCCCTGGGTTCGATTCCCAGCTAAGGAGTGCGCGTTGCCTTTGCTTTTTGCCTCTGATCTTTGTCTTTTTGCCTCTGATCGTTGTCTGCCTCGTGATGGGGTTTTCATCTGGATATTTGGCGGAAAACTTGTCTAGCCTCACTTTTTACATTTTTAATATATCAACATATTAACTTACCGCCGAGCCGTGGTACCGTTTTAAATCCAAGTTTTAACTTATATCTCTTCCAAGGAACAGGGATTTCTAGTCTATATATCTGCTCCTATGACACCCACTTGCACTCAATGCTGACCATGTGCAGAATCTAATATAAGCTCCAGCATAAGCTCAAACATAAGCCCCAAATGTGATTCCAAGCCAAGATCAAAGTCAGTCGGGTACTATAGAGCTCCTAGGTCTAGCCAGCTGCCTGGCCAGCTGCCTGGCCATATAATTAATGACTCCCCCGAAACTCTGCCCTCTCATACTAACTCTAATATAAACTGTGCAGGGTTGAAGGCAAACAAAAGGCCAGGTTTCTGCAGAGTGGATCATATCAAGAGGATATTATAAGGAATACACGTTCAACAAGAAGGATATCATGAGATGTAAGTCAAAGTTGGCTTTATCATTCTGATATGGATGTTGGATGTCTGCTAGGTATTTCGGTGTCTCTCGATGTCACTGGGAACCAAATCTAAAAATCGAATTACCACACTGGCTGGATGGTGTAGTTGGTTATCACATATCGCTCACAGTGTCTTTTCACTCGCTCCGATAAGGTCCTGGGATCGAACCCCAGTCTAGTCACTTTTTTTGCTTCCTTCACGTAGAGATGTCATGTCTTTGCTTTATTTATTCTTCATTTTTTCACAACTAGACAAGCTATATACGTTAATAAGACGTTAATATTTATAATACAGCATTTGTTGACACTTTGAGTACTCTGTTAGTATCAATATCCTCTAGATTAGGCAGGGCAGGTTGATGAACTGCTGCATCACAACCGTGGAATCAAAATCAGTACAAGAACTAGAATTGCATGGTTAAAAAGGGCTTATCATGGAGGAAAAAGGAGGCGATGCACTTCAAGGCGGTTTTCAAGGGAGATGAGATGGCAATAATAGCAATCTAGCAGACACGACGACTCCATACGCTGGCGAGCCGAATGGAGGCTGAAATACCTGCAGGGATAGAATCAAAGTGGAGAACCATGGAGTAATAAAACGCACAATGAAAATGTAATAGCAAAAAATTGGGTTAGACTCGTTCATTGAAAAAAAAAAAAGAAAAAGAAGAAAAGGATAAATAATCTAAGACGGAAATACCATCGATGTTCGCTTTTAGTCGCAACCCGAACGCGAGCATGGGAACGTTTTGGCACTTTCGCGCAAGGGAAAAAAAAGGGGGGGAGGTAAATGGTATGAAGCCAAAGCCAGAACGCCACATGCAGATATTTAACTGTTCAAATGAGAACTATAGGGAAAAAAAGAGAAATTGGATTGAAGAGAAATAGGGCAAAAAGGGGTTCAGAGGTTTCGAAACAAGAATAGATGAATAGTAGCGCAAGCATTAGAAGAAGAAGAATCTCGGGAGAACGAAGTCAAAGAGACGAGAAGAAAAGAAGAAAGTTCCGAAGACTGGCCCAGCAAGGATATACAAGACTGTAAACGCGACCCTAGACGAAGTATCAAATTTTTAGTTTTCCATTTCTGGTGCAAGTAGTAAAACATGGAACAATTCGCTTTTTTTCTCTGCTGTTCTATTACACGGGAAGTGATCACCGCGTATTTGTTGTCGGCTATTGTTTTCCCCAATGGGCGTATCAGCCAGGCTAGGCAGGGTGGTATAGATGCAGACAGGCCATCACGATCGGATGGATCGAGACGATGGAAAATTAACTCGGCGAGAGACTTGATACATCCCGCTTATGCATCGGAGCAGAGCAAGGAACTCCTTTGTTGGCACCATGATATCGAAATAAAAGAACGAAATAAAACGGACAAGACGGAGAGAAATGCAGCTCGAACGGAAATGGTTGATTAATCCGCATAACAGCGGGCACGGGGAAGAGATCGTGGTAGACTTCAATCAAGATAACACTTGGAGGGTATGGAAATAATTCGGTGAATCCGACGAACATGCGGCGCGAACAAGGTCCGGAAAACATCCCGCTGTGATTTCGAGATAGCGTAAAACTTTTTTTTTTTCATTTTGAAGGGTGTTGATTTTTAAAATTTTCTGCTCTGTAGAATGGGGTAAACCTGCCCGAAAGCTGAAGGGGGAGTGTGGTAGGTGGAACATCATGCAGGTCGTTAAATAGCCGTATTTCCTCGAAGCCAGCTTTCGACGTTGGTCGAGTAGGGTCGTCGATTCAATTGATTCCTCCCATAAACAAAAACAGACAGACGTCAAGTGAACATCCGTTCATTTTTCACGTTTCGTTTTCTCGTTCCATCGCGCAAGATCCCTGACCAAATAAACCGAACCAAACCGGCACCTCGTTCACATAACGCATATAAACCCTGAGGCGAACTCGAACATGAAAATCAAATAACGTCGTGGGGAAGAGTTGGAATATCACAATTTTTTTGTCTCGAAGAAGGTAAAACATTTGTAAGAGGCAGTTGAAAAAATGGGGTGATGATGATGAAGATGATGAAGAAAGGGTCAACAACGCCAAGCTCCTGAATCTTTTCATTGTACATTGCTGGAAGTAAAGATTTGTTTGTTTTTGGAACCAAAAAGGAAAAGGGAGGGAGAGATGGCAACTGGTCGTTCGTTCGCGGCGGAAAGGCGTTTTGCCATTTGGGCGCTGCCATTTTAACAAATTGCATGACAAGACGTGTTGACGAAAAGACAGCATAAGGTGACAGACAAGGCTGGTATGAGAATGGTATTTTCTACCTGCGTCATTCTCTTATACTTGACCTTGGGTATCATATTTTTCACTTGCTGAATAAAAATGTGAAAGGGGTGCGGTGCAGAGTAATAAACAATGACTAATGGTTGTATTTATTGGCCAACTTGCTGCTTCACAATATCAGTCAATAAATGCGTGGATCAAACAAGGTAAGACAGTACCACGGTTTGGTAGTGGACAAAGAACGGGGAAGGTTATATGCGATCAACGTACCACAGCGACAAAGTTATCAACCTGACCATCGGTAAACGTGGTTGGTTCAAAGGATCCCGCTCCGTTAGATGCAAGCGGCGAAAACTCCGGCGCGGCCGAGGAAAGCTTTGCTTGACGCTTCGGTGCCTCTTCCGCTGACACCAAATCGGCAGTTGGAATGAAGCTGTTATACGTTCCGTTGCCATTCATATGTGGTGGTGCGGAAGCCATGGGGACATACTCCTCTGCAGACGCAATGAGAGGACCATCATTCTGCGCTGAACTATCGCGCATATCCATACCAAGCACCCATTGCTGCCATCCTTCGCGTTTACGCAGCCTATCCACGCCGTCATCACTAGGCCTATACTCGACATTTCTCAATTGGCGACATACGAAGCGCAGCAGCTCAATATCTTCAGTGAGCGACTTGATGCGCTTGAAGGATGCGATGACGCTAAGAAGCACGAAGCCCTGGGAGTCCATGTGTTTGCGGAGGAAAAGGTCTTTGCACAGGTTGTCGACGGAGAAGTAGTATTCGAGTTGCATGGAAATCATGCTCATGAGGGAGAAGTTCTCCATGTATGGTTGGTATGGCATGGCGGTCATGGGGCCCTGAGGGGCGGCGGTTTGCGGGTAAGGATACATGACGTTGAGATCTGTTTGAATGGCATAAGGAGCGGCTGCGAACATGCCTGGGTTGGGCATGGAGGGAGAACGCATGTTCATCCTGTTGTTGGAAGAGCTGTGCTGTGGCTGTGGTGGCTGAGAGCCGTTGGTGCTAGGCTGTAGACGATGGCGTTCGGTAAAGTTGAAGTTCTTGGTAGGAGGAAAGGGGTGCTGGGAGATAGGAGCAGAGTGGTAAGATGGGTTCTGAGTGCTGGTTGTAGCGCTGGTGTAGGTGGAATGACCGCCTCGTCCACCACGGTAACCACCGCGACCTCTCTCAGGTCGCGACTCGCGCTCTCTAGTCGAATATTCGGAACGCTGATAGTCTCTGCCATCCCTCGTAAACTCACGGTCTTTCACGAACTCCCTATCTCTAGGAGGGAAGCTGGAATCCTTGAAGAACTCTCCAGATCGAGAACCCATCTCGAATCGTCTATCATGGCTAACGCCATATCGAGCATGGCCAGCATGGGCAGCGTCGGTCGACGAGCTGACCTGTCGCGAGGCATTGGTGCCGTGCTGCTCTGCACCCTTAAACGCCGACGTATTGCTGGACTCGTGCGATTTATGATAAGACTTGGACTCCTGACGAGCACGGGTAGGGGACTGAGAGGAGGTAGGATGAGAATGCTGAGTGTTCCCTTCCGAGGTATTCGCAGCAGCAGGAGTGTTACTGCTGCTATCCTGGGTAGACTTGGCGTCCTTCTGAGCTTCCGTCGAAACAGAGTTGGTAGCAGCAGAGCTGTGCTTCTCGGTAACATCGCCATTTTTCAGGCTAGCATCAGAGGCAGCGCCCTTTTGAGTCTCTGGCACGTCGCTCTTCTCGCGGTCTCCGGCAGAAGAGGCCTTGGATCCGGAAGTAGGAGTAGTTCTGTCACCACCAGTGTGACCTGCACCCCGAGATCCTCCCTCTCTAGTGCTGCCTCGAGCACTTCGCCCACCTCTCCTGGCCGCGGGGGGCAATGGAGTGTTAAAAACAGCGGTAGGAACATATGGAACGGGCATCCACTTTTCCTTTCCGTGAGCTCGGGAGCCGGAGTGTTTCTCCTTTTCAACCTTTTCCGGCTTGTCTGTCTGTTCCTGTGATTTGCGCAAGTCCTCACCCTGCGCTATCTGAGGAGTTGGCCACGACGAAGCATCGTTGACTGGTGGGAGAGCTTCGCCAGTCTCTGCGCCACGGTTGGATCGGACACCACTTTTCCTTGAACCTGCACAACACCCGTTAGCTCGTGTAAGTTTAATGCGAGAATAGCCGCAAATTCTTACCATCACTTGACTTCTTCTTATCACGTCCGTTGGCAGATGCGTCAGTAGCATTAGCAGTGGCCTCGGAGGCCTTCTTCCTGTTACCACCCTTGCCGTAATGTTCTGACCTCACGTCACCGGAGGACTGAGGGGTAGAGCTAGGTGTAGAACCCTTCGATGTCGTAACGGGGGTCACCGCTGGCTTCAACAGCGCATTGGCCTTGGCCTTGGCCTCCTGGGCCTCCTGTCGTTGCTGCCAGATGTTGACCGGCGGTAGTGGAGCAGCCTTCAGCTCCTTTGGCGGGGGAGTAACGTTCTCCCAGCTGGCCTCAGACTTGGCCTTGTCGTCATCTCCGGCCTGGCTGGTTTTCTCCTTCTCTGCGGCGGTGGACACCTGGGACTGTTTCTCCCACTCAGACTCTGATGCGGTGCCATTGGGAGTGATGGAGATCTCGTCCTCCTTGGCTAGCGTAGAGGTAGTTGAGGGTCCCAGGCTAGGCGACGGGCGCTCGGAGACGGTGGTCTTTGCGGGGACCTGGACGTCTTCGTCGACGGACGCTGGTCCATTTTTTAATTCAGAGCTCTGCTGGGTAGACGATTGATCTGCCGCGGTAGCAGTAGCTGTGGCTGCTGTCCGGTCTGCGACGTTCTCCTCAGGAGTATTGACGCCGGTGTCTGGCTTGTTCTGTTTGGTATCAGAGGGCGAACTGGTGAGGCCCTTTGCAGCCTGTGCATACGAAAAGGCAGGCATGTCTGCAGTCGACTTTTTGGCGGAGACAGACGCTGCCATAGCAGGGTATCAAGTAAACGACAACGACGACGTCGACGATAACGATGGAACCGTCGAGGGTGCGTTGGGTTGTGGTGCGAACGAATCGAGCACTGGTGAAGTTGAGTGGACCTCCGCCACTACGGCACAAGAGTCAACCACCACCAACAATCAGCCCCGCCTACCTGGCTGTGAAGAAGTCTTAGGATCAATCAGAGGTTTGCTCGAGGTAATGAGTCGTCGTCGTGAAGCAGAAATAAAAAATAGTAAAAAAAAAAACACACAAAGAGGAAGAAAACAGCGCGGCTCGTGAAGTATCTCTTCTCAGTCGGAGACGGACATCGATTCGACCAGGGCGAAGCTCAAGTCCAAACTTGTATATCCCGAACCAGCACAGTCGTTGGTCCAGGCAGTGTGTTGCTTGCTCGATCGATTCGACGACGGCGACGTTCTTTGAGTCTGAGAGTGATGTGATGCGCAACGAGTCGAAGGGGATGCGAGATGAAGTACCTTTTTAGTTATAATATGTCTCTACTATCGGGAACGACTTTCCACACAAGTCGCTTGCGAGAGCAGTTGTTGTTGTTCGCCCGTTGATCTCGATGTTTGATGGCGATGTCGATCTCTCTCGACGAGGACGATGAGTTTAAAGAACGACTGCGGCAGGATAACGGCGAGTAGACAGGCGTAGAGTTGGAAGGATTATCGAGTCTGATATCACGGAAGGCCACGGATTAGTTCTACTGCTGTCGACTGCTTGCAAGGCCGTCCAGCCCCTCATCCGGCAACGCAGAGCGGGCGACAAGAAGCGACCGAAGACGAATGCAGCGCCAATGCCAGCTGCCTGGGGTCTGCTTGCTTGTGTGCGTGTGCGTGTGCGAGTGTACCACGGTGAGACGTGAGGGCGAGCGCTTGAGGCGAGGACTGCGGACGAGGACTGAGGGAAGAAGATCGAGAGACAAGCGAAAGGGCCAGGGAGGGAGAAAAAAATAGGGAAACAAAAAAAAAAAGAAGAGCGTTAGTGCGGAGAGCAGCTTACCTTGCAACACGTGAGACACCTGGGATCCCGAACGACAGAGACGAACAGGAAGAAGAGGAAGAAGAAGAAGAAGAGGAGGAGGAAGAAGACGATGAGTTCGAGGATGAAGTCGAAATCTCAAAGATTCGCAGTGGTAAAAAAAAAAAGAAGAGTAAGATCTGCTATTAGTGGTCGGCCTGCTTAGTGTGCGCGAGGAAAACGAGGGCAATAAGATTTTCGCCCTCCACTACACCACTCGACACTTGTGAGATATAGAATAGAGAATAAGATAGAGAATAAGATATAGAATGAGGTATAGATGATACGGAGTAGAAGATTATGTTCTATGTCGGTTAAATTACAAGTGGTGAGTACAGGGATGAGCGGACGAACTGCTGATCGTCTATTCCATGCTATATACAGTGCTCTCCCGGACGATATGATACTGTGCTGCCAGCGAGAGCTCTGACGGTGAAGATGCGATGCTGCTCGCCGTCTGCCACTGCTCCGTCTGCTCCGTCGGTGTGTTCAGCGCTGTAAAGTGTCTGTTCGGTGTCCAGATACTCCGTATACATGGCTCAGCTGGCGTTGTGTTGCACAGTCTCAGTCCAGTACAACCTCCAGCCAGCCGGAATCCTCCATCCTCCACCTTATTCCTCCACCTATTCCTCCTCCTACCCCTATGCTCCTATCCCTCTGCTCCGTCTTCGTCTTCTTCCTCTTCTTCTGTCTCTCATGAATATGGGAGCAAGGCCCACGTGACAACCCGAGGTGTTTTCTTGCCGGTTAGCACCGCGAGTTGTCCCGGCACATCGCTCGGATGTACCTCCTCGGCGTCTTTTCTAAGCGCAGGTACCTGGTCGCGATGCAAGCCCGAAATACGAGGACCATGTCGATGCCAGACACCGTCAGTCGGCATATCAAGCATATACTCGATGTAGATGTCTACTCCGTAGAGGATATCTACCAGTGCCGGACGGTAACAAGCACCTTCTCCCGTTCGTCCCAGGCGCCCTCTCCCTCCGCTGGCGTGTTCACGTCCACCATCCCCAGCACCCTCCACACCAGCCGATGGGGCAGCCCTTCCCGTACCGCGATCTTCTGCAGCGCGTCCGTGCCGTTGAAGTACTTTGTAAACACGGGCCAGTACTTGCGTAGAGCCACGTACATGTCCAGCTCCGACTCGTCCGTGTCGAAGCTCTGTCTGCCTTCGTCCACCGTCGAGGTAGAGGCGGCCATGGGCGCCGACGGGTCAGGGAACCGGGTCAGGATGTAGTCTAGCCAGCGAGACTCGACCGGTGATGCGCGGTGTGGTCGCAAGATGAGAGAGGAGGTTGTTCTTCCTGCTCGAAGGGCTCGAAGCCGGCCAGGGACAGGCGTTGCGTCGCCGCTCATCTCGCTATCCAACGACGACGAGGACGACGAGCCATATCCATCTTCATCTTCGTCCTCATCTCCGTCTCCGTCTTTCTCCTTGTCGCCTTCCCCGTTGTAGTTCTCCTCGACTGCCGCCATGGCACGCACGGCCGAGAAGGACGGACGGCGCTTATCCATCGACATCGACTTCCTCCTCTCTTCTCTCATCATCGCCTCCCTCACAGCACTCTTCACCTCGGGGCTGACCTTCACCCATCCAAACGTTCTCAGCTGCGTCACCCATCCACCCCTAACCAGCCACGCCAGGATTTCATAGTACGCCTCCTTATGGTCCCGACTCGGTATATAGCTGAAATAGGGTCGTGGGCTACCGCTCAGTGCAGCTAACATCTTCGGCAGACTAGGCAAAGTAGGAAACATAGATTCGTACGCTGTGGTCGCAATAGCCAGCTTGCTCATGTCCGCGTTGGGGGAGACGATGTATGTATCTTTCTTGTTAAGCGGTGGTATTGCACGCGCTCGTCTCCAGTATACCAAATGGCTCGCTAGCACCTGTATATCGCTGAGCGGTATGCGTGAGCGAGCTGATATCTGAGCAAACGATTTGGTTGGCTTGGATGAGCGTATGTAGTGCGCCAGTGGTGGGCCGATGGTACTCTTGGACGCCTCGATGTCTTTTAATATCGTATTTTCATCATTTAGGAGTAGCAAAGCAAAATGTTTGGCTAACACCTGGCTTTGGCCGGACGTTGCCATGACCGACGCCTCGTCCGTGGCAGATATGCTGTCTGCAGTCGTGAGCCAGAGACCAGGATACCCGGGTTCATTGGGTGATGGGAGATGCGGTGTCGATGTCATCGGCAGTATCTGCATAGACATGCTTGTCTGTGGTCCCAGTGAGACAGATGCAATCTTCGACGCCGCGATGTTGGTATATAGCGTCTCAATCGCCTGTGCAAGACTGGATTTGGCAAACAGCTGCGAGTACACTGCCGATACCGAGCATCCTATCATTGTGTTAGCATGAGACATGCAAACGGATCATAAGCTGTAGGGTCAAATACGTACTTTCTTCACGGCACTTCTCCTTGATGCGCAAAATACTCTGTGCCTCTTTCCAGACATAATTCGCCCTCGCCTGCTCGGACTTCAACGCCTTGCCAAACTTCTTAATCACATTATCATACATCTCCCTGATGCGCACGTTATATTCCAGCGTAGGCGGATTCAGCACAAACACAACGTTGAACATCGTCATGCCATCCTTGGTCATCGACAGCTCTTCCTCTGATTGATCGTCGGATTCATCATTCGCCGCAGTAGTATCGCCTTCATCATCATCGTCTGTATCGGGTATAGAGACAACAGGCACATTCACAGACAATTCTCCAGCACTGATGCCAGATCCAATACCAGAGCTTGAACCGTTTTCGCCATTTGTTTTCTTCTCCTCGTTCCGCTTCTCTTTCCCCTTCTTCTTTTTCTTCTTCTTCCTCTTCCTCCAAGTCCCATCCTTCCTCACAAAAACAGGCCATCCCACGAATGTAAGGTCATTAACTCCCACCTCGAACCGCCGCTTATGCCATGCCGGCGACGGACTCAACAGCTTCTCCCAAATATCACATTTCAACCCCAGGAACGAATCGCCCTGTAGCAATACATTCTCGAGGTCCGCCTTCTTCTCTTCACGAATACTCTCAGACCCATCACCGTCCGGAGCCCCCTGTATAGCCACCTTCTTCTTCACCACATGGCTACGGGACGGAGACCTGCGGTCCTTATCAGCGGCACCAACACCCCTCTCCCGATCTCTATCTCGATCTCGGTCTCTATCCCCTAAAACACTTGCGTCATCCTCGTCTTCAGATGTAAGTCCTTCCTCATCCACTGACGCGCCAGAGTCTGTAGCTTTCGTTTCCTGGTCTTGGTCTTCTCGGCTCAGCGAGTCGTATTTGTTCGGTGATGTGGAGGGGGATTCCGTTATGGATGGGTTCGGGGGATAATGGTAAACGAATCGTGGGCCAGCACGGGAACGAACGACGAGGGCAATGGCAATCAGACATGGGTCTGGGGGACGTATCACGGACGACATTGATGCGTCTACATTGTTGATTGTTGATGGTGGGTTGTAGACCCGCCGGTGGTGGCACCCCATAGCTGCTGGGATAGAGAGCTTGGGGTATGGCTTGGCCGGATACATGAACGTTTCTTCCGTACGAAGTACGAGTTCACCTTAAGTTACTGGCATGTAGACAGGACAGCAAAGCAGGTAGAAGTGGATGGTTCTATATTTTATTATCCCATCAGTTCCTAGGTACACTCCGAACGCCTAACTAAACAATGGCTTGCCAGCTGCAATGCAAATAATACAGATAGCTATCCAGTCATATCACATCAATCTCAGCCAATGGCTGCTAGCCATTCCACTCCCTAGTTACACCTCACCACCTCAACAATCATTTATTTGATGGCGGTTTGTCCAGGGGAGGTTTTGCGGTCATGTTCGCAGTCGGTTCGCCCGTCTTCTCGTCACCGTCAAATACCAGTCCTAGATTCTTAAACTCGTCTGGTGCCATCAGGTTCCTACAACATATCAGTATCCACGGAGCTACCCGTGTTCGCAGGAACCAGTCAGGAAGAAAGCGCACTTATCCATTCGACAGGCCAGGTAGCTCTTCGCGAGCTTCCGGCATGCTTCATCGTTCACACCACTTGCTGACTTCAAGCATTTCAGGTACCCTGATATTATAGATTTGCATTCTCCTGGTACCACGGACGGTTTAGCGACTGTTCTCGAGACAAACGTCAGGTCAGATAGGTACACCCACCATCATGATCAAGCGGAAAACTCCCGCGCTCTGGTCTGGAATTCAGATGGCAACCGTTAGTCCCAGGTCTCGGTCATATCAAAGGAAGAAGCGGGTGTGACATACGGAGTAGGTTTAATGTTAAGGGCGCGACCGCCGGGACTGCCGAAGCTCATTCTCGCGGTTATAGTTTCGGTTTCTCGTTAACGGTCAAGTATCCTCGAGTCGGCTCGTCTTTAATCGATTTTATCCTCCTTTGCCTATGGAAAGAAGAGCAAACTGCAAGGTGCAAACTAGACAAACATAGTGCTGCAAACAGTGCAAATTTAGCATCCATTGCAAACAAGCCAAACATGACGAACAAGGCAAGATGACGTTGGTGAGCAAACATCGCGGACGGCGAGATGGAAACACAGCATGAGACCATACATTGATAGAGAGTCATATACGGTGTAGATATCCTTATTTCCGAAGTGGTTAACTCATAATATAAAAGAGCGAACGAACCCCCGAGTAACCAGCGAGTTTGTCCCTCCAACATCAGCTCATAGATCTACCTCTATAAATCAGACGAATAATATACAACAAGACTCGGGATGCCTATGTTCGTTTCACTGTTATCCCCTAATAGTTAAATCATATCTAGCCCTCTTTGCTAATTGACGGCGACAGGAAGCTTGAAGGAAGCTGCCAATGCGGCGGGGTCGAGTTCACTCTCGAGTCTCACACGCCTGTCCCATACCAGCTCTGTGCCTGCAGCATCTGCCGCAAAGTAGGCGGATACATGGGCAGCATCAACTTAGGCGGCGTCAACAAGTCCCTAAACATCACCAAGGGAAAGAATCTAATCAAGTACGCCCGCCATCCACCCCATGTCAAAAGACAAATACTTACGAGGTACAGGCAATATAATGCTATTAAAGACCGCGGAAAGCCTACGGAAGAGAAGTGTGGCTCTGAACGCAACTTCTGCTCAAACTGCAGTACCATGTTATGGCTATGGGATAAACAGTGGCCAGAACTGATTCATCCGTTTGCATCGGCCATTGATACAGAGCTACCTGAACCTGATGAGTTGACTTGTATACTCGAAGACTCGAAGCCGAAGTGGGCTCGGTGGCCGGAGGGGAAGAAGGTGGTGCATAAGGGTTATGGAGAAGATAGCATCGAGGGATGGCATAAGAAGCATGATAAATATGTCGAATAGGTCCAGCCTAAGATGGCTACCAGGTTAAAATCTGCATGTAAATGAAAAGGCATTTCCAGTACCTATTCTTATAATCCTTCGATATACTACTACAGAATATGGCAACGGCCATATCAAGTCTTCTTCCGATGCCAATGATAGTTCCTATACCTATATCGGATGAGTGGCTTCAAGGAATTTGCCCCTGTTGTCAGAAATGGAGAAATCGAAATGAAGCAAGTACCTTATTAAATTAATACGAGTGGCATAAGGTAATTTACGATAGCAATTTCTATCCGAACACACTGACACATACATTCCCCAGCAAATTGGAGGCATGTTGCCTTATCCTTGGCTGCATTATGGTCCAACGTTCCAACGCGGAGCTTCCACTGACTACGGCGTACGATGCATATAGATGGAAACTCCTTGCGACCCCTCCTCCACGTTCTAGGATCCTTTGTGGCTGAAACACCAACATGCTAATAAACTTCCTAGATGATCTTCGTCCGCTTGGCCATGCTCCTTGTGTACGCCATTCCTACTATCGCTATAGACCTTAATGGAGATCAAGAAGGGTGATTAAATGATAAAGAATAAATATATCAATAATTGTTAACTATGGACTATCTAGCTCAGTGTTCCAACAAGAGTCGAATATCTAGCATGTCCAGTTAGCATTGGTACCCAAAAGGCATCAAGTAATGGCTGAACATGATATTGTACAAGGGATCAGGTCTCCAAGGTGATGATGTGTATCGTCAAAGTAAGACTCGGTAAGAACACAGCGAAATCATTGTCTCATCAGGCGGTAGCGGGGGTGGGAGGGTTTAAGAATAAAAGTCAAGACTAACCTGAACGTCCATAGTATACAGCTACGCGGGGTTAACAATACCTATTCCACGAGGAGAGTCAGTAACCATTGACGGAATCAATTATAAAAATGTCTGCCATCGCAAAAAACCAGGGTAATCATCTATCATCAGGCTTCCCGCCTATCCGTTAGCATCACTGCAAAACCCAAGGTAGGATACTCAGGACAAACATACCTCATTAAATCAGAATTTTCAGTGTAAGTAAGTTTCATATCTGACACAGAGTGCACAGATCAAACAGTGTGAATAGTGTTCATCATAGAAGAGATGATTCCCGTATATGAAAGAAACAGAAAAAATGCAACAAAATGGATATATACCTGCACAGATGACATGTTAGTAGTTGATTCAAGGCAAAGCGATGACCCGCCACGGTAACAATCACGGTACGAGATGGCAATGTAGTCAGGTGACGAAATCTCAACAAGCAATCCAACGATCAACTACCCACAGGGTTGTACGTCCTGTTTGAATGGATAGCAATAGAAGGACGCAATCTGTCCGCCCGTTCGTTCAAATATTCCTCATGCAAAGTTGCTATGTACTCGGTGCGTGGGACAGCAGATGGTGGGAATTTATTTCACCGTACCTATTCAAGACAAGACTGTTGATCAGCAATTGAGTCACGAGGTAAACAGGCCGAAGCAGTGGTCAAGAAGAAGTGAAGTTGGGTGCAGTAAAATCAGACAAGGCTGAAACTTAAGAGCTGACAAAATTCCACATAATTGGTTAAGCTTGAGGAATGCCTTTCGCATGTCATATAGTCATCATAAAAGAGGGAGAATGTGGGTGATAGGTGTGATATGAAGAAGACGAGCTGAATACACACCTTTTAATTTAAGTTATCGAGTAGCATGATACTTCAAGAGAAAGAGACGACGATGGAGAAAGCTCTAAAAGACGAGATGTCAGTAACCAGGTACATGGACAGTATATGCAAGCACATATCCCATGACAGCTTTATCAGAGGAATTTTATAATAAAAATGTCGTCTCCGTCATGAAGTGTCGGATTTGGATTGTTCATTTGAATTTCGTTCATCACAGTAGATGCATGGAAACGCGATGCAGAAGGAGACGGGGAGAAGAGCTTACCCATCATCAGCCCGGAAGCCATTGGCTTTGAACGTGAGAAAAGGAGATGATGAAGATTGTTGGTGGAAGCGAAGGAAGGAAAAACTCGAACTTCGCGTTTGTTTTTATTTGTGCGGAAAGTATGATCACGTGACTAGCCCCTGAAATTTTGGCTTGGCGATGATATAACAAAAGAGACGATATAGATGGTTGAAGACGAGACATAGATGCATTGAAAGGTGGTATATTTATATTAGACGACTCATTGGACGCAGAGGGGTATTCATGTGCCCTCTCGACTTGAATAATGTCAAGAGTTTATACTACAGCAGCTGGACGGGAAACTTGGTCCCGAAAAGAAAAGAAAAGAAAACATCCCAAAAATATGAAAAAAATCAAGGCCCCCTACAAGGCAATGGCCAATCCAAGGATACCGGCGGCACCAGCAATGCTGGCCGCAAGAGCAGTGGCGCGGGGAGCAGCATTGGGGCTGTGAGTCTGCTGGGAGCTGCCAGCAGTGCCGGTTGCGCCGGGAGCGGTGGTCTGCGAGGCCGTGGGGAAGTGCTCGCCGATTTCACCAGTGATTTTGGCAGCGGCACTGCTGACGGCGCTCTGGGCGGAGGCGGGCAGGTTAGAGAACCAAGCTGGAGCGTGGTGGTCGTGGATGGCGCTGTTGAGAGAAGAGCCGAAGGACTTGATCTGGGAAGCGTCTGTGAGACTGCTCCAGACGGAGACGGGGACGGCGGTGATGGAGGGGAAGAAAGCAGTGAAGCTCTTTCCGATGTTGCCGATGTCAGTTGCGATGTCGCCAATGTCAGAGCCAATTCCTCCGATGCCAGAGGTGCTAGAAAGTGTTAGAGCAAAAATGTTCACGGGGTACATGGCAGTACTTACACATTGTCGATGATGTCGCGCTTCTGCTCTGCCTCTGGGGCGGCCATGACGGCGGTGGCCGAGAGGAGGAGGACGGAGAGGGTCTTGAACTGCATCTTGACTGAGTATAGATCGAGTACGGAGTAGATTGAGTATAGATAAGTGGCAAATTGATAGATGTGATAGCGAGAAAAGGGCGGGATATGTCCCAACTTATATATCAGCCGCGATTAGGGGCTGCTACCCGAAATACCTCAAATGGGATTAAGGACCTCGCTCTTTAGCTTTGTTAGGGCCAGCGCGGTGTGGAGAGCGACATGGAAGAGACTGGGAAGACGGCCCAAGAAAAGATGCGACACGGCTGCTTCAGCCACCGGGCCATGACGCTGGACGCTAGATGGCATGTTTTACGAGCTGCTCAGCCTCCTTTTCGCTATTGTATCACTATTGTAATCTGCGCATGCTGGCTCTTTGTAAGGGAATTCGCTGACGTGTAGTGGCAGGGCACACTCGCAGCTCGAGTCGACTTATAATTAGTATATGCAGCATGTATCTACGTGTCTGCCAGGCGTTTGTCGCCTGCGATGCATGGCCCGTTTAGGCTATTTCGACGCCGAGCAGAGAGCTAGAGGATGAGACGAGTCTTGTAGTTAGACTATGCGTTTCAGCTGGGGTTGGGAAATGGGGAATATCGCATCCATGCTCATATGTGGCTCATACGCCACTCTCGAGCTATCTACCTGATCCAACAGCAACAAGAACAACAACAGCAACATCAACGGCAGTAGCAACAACTACAACAACAACGACAACAACATCAACAACAACAACAAACATTGACAGGATGGGATGGGGTCTTAGTAACAAGCACGATAGAAGTTGGCGAGGATGACATTACCTATCTGACGTTATTAACCAGGTTGATATGAACCTTAGACGTGGGGTGTTAAATAGCTGCTCCGGGCTCGATGGAAGGCGTTGCAAGCATCTTCTATAGTCAATTATCGCTGTAAAGATCCTTAACTACCGCAGTAAAGATCAATCAACCCACCATGCCGCCTCGAGATACCAAGTTCAAGCTGAACACGGGCGCAGAGATCCCAGCCATCGGTTTCGGGACCTGGCAGGACGAAGAAGCCCAGGAGAAGGCTGTCGAGGTCGCACTGCAGGCGGGATACCGTCACATAGACACAGCTGCCATGTGCGTAACCCCTGAATCCTGTCCCCGGAAGACAAGACGGGAAGAGTAAAGACGATAACCGTTCAAATAGCTACGGCACAGAAGTAGCGGTGGGCAAGGCGATCAAGAAGTCTGGCGTCCCCCGCAAGGAGATCTTCATCACTAGCAAGCTGTGGAACAACAAGCATAAGCCCGAGGACGTCGAGGGGGCGATCGATGCCACCCTCAAGAACCTGGGGGTCGACCATCTCGATCTATATCTCATGCACTGGCCCGTTGCCTTTGCGCCTGGAGACGACCCTTTCCCCAAGGATGATGCCGGCAAGATGAAGAAAGCCGACATCGACTATGTAGACGTATGCCAGGCCTAATACCCTTAGATGGAACAGGCTAACACCACACAGACGTACAAGGCGATGGAGAAGCTCATCGACGCCGGCAAGACCAAGGCCATCGGCATCTCCAACTTCTCCAAGGGTGAGACGGAGCGTCTGCTGAAGAACACCACCGTCGTGCCGGCCGTCCACCAGCTCGAGCTTCACCCGTGGCTCCAGCAGCCGGCCTTCATCGCCTTTCTGAAGTCCAAGGGCATCCATGTCACCCAGTACTCGTCTCTCGGCAACCAGAACGAGATGTACGAGCAGGCCGGCAAGATGCTGGACTCGCCTGTCCTCACGGCCGTCGCGAAGAAGTACAACAAGACCGCCCCCCAGGCCGCCCTAGGTATGTCCTCCTCTCGCCGTCTCAACGTATACTGACAGGTATAGCATGGGGAATCAACGAGGGCCACTCGGTGCTGGTCAAGTCGAAGACGGAAGCGCGCATCAAGCAGAACTTCGAGTCCGACTTTGAGCTGATGCCGGAAGACCTGCAGCTTGTGCATGAGATGAACAAGAACAGGCGCTTCAACGACATGAGCGAGGCCTTTGGCTACAACTGCTTCAGCGACCTCGACAAGTAGCTCAGCTGTACTATATCTGTAATTCGTATCTTACTCTACATATATGTAGCTCTATATAATACTAGTCTATGCATCTACTTTTAGGCCAAATGCTTACGTATGCGTTGGCGTATCACTTCCCGATTCGTACTAAGCGCATCTTCAACTTTTCTTCAACTTCAACTTCAACTTCAACTTCTCTTCTTCTTCCTCTTCCTCTTCCTCTTCTTCTTCTCCTCTCTCTGGCAAGGCGTAGTGCTGGTCAGTCCAGCTGCCATATTGTCACATCTACTGCATACGTCATATACTATTGTTACGTTAGATATAGCTATCCCTGCCATAGCTAGTGCTTGATTCTCTAGCCTGCCAATGCGCCCCCTGCTAAGCGGATTCCAAGCCTTGATGGGCGGTTCTTCCAATGGCGCCTCTGCAGCAGGCCGCATCTCGAAGCTCGTCGTCTTCTCCTACCTCGTCGACTGGGTTGTCATTCTGTACGTTTTCCGCTCTTCACCCCGTGGCAAAGCTATACTGACATGCGCGCGTCCCAGATTGATGGCTGCGCTGGGTCGCATCTTCGCCGTCGCACAGCCCAACAGACACACGTTTAGCCTCCGCGATCCTAACATATCGTACCCCTTTGCGACCAAGGAGACCGTGTCCGTTACCGTCCTCATACTTGTCAGCTTGGTTGCGCCAGTCGCCCTGATTGCGCTGCTCAGTCTCCTTTTCATTCCAGGTCGATCGGCGGCTGCGGGTGCGCCGAGCTCGTTGGTATGGCGGCGCAAGCTGTGGGAGTGGAATGCGGGATGGATGGGGCTCGGAGTGGCGTATGCTTGCACCTATGCGGCCACGGAGGGGATGAAGGTGTTGTTTGGGAAGCCGAGGCCGGATATGCTGAGTAGATGCGATCCAGACCTGTCTGATATCGCCAGTCACGTCGTCAGTGGGCTCGGACAGAAGCTCGCCGGGGCGCCAGAGCTGGTTTCTTGGACGATATGTCGCAGTACGACTGAGACGACGCTGCGAGATGGCTTTGTTAGCTTCCCCAGTGGGCATGCATCCAGTAAGTCGTTCATTCTACGTTATGGTTGGCATCTTTTAGTAACACTGTGTCAGGCTCCTTCGCCGGTCTGGTCTACCTGACTCTCTGGGTGTGCTCAAAGATGTTCATTGCCTTCCCAAACCTCTCCCCTACCCTCTTCACTCGACACGTCCCGGCCGCATCATTCCACACGCGTCCGGAAGATGACGAGACGAGCAACGACTCCCCTCTGTCTGACGCAGTCCCACTGCGCGAACAGGGTGCTGCGCCACCAACATACCTCCTTCTCATCGCCGCCGTACCCATCTGTACAGCCGTATTCATCGCTAGCAGCCGGTGGGTAGACAACCGTCATTTCGGCTTTGATATCCTGTTTGGCGCCGTGATGGGCACATTATTCGCTTGGATTGGCTTCCATCTCTATCATCTCCCCCTTGCATCGGGTGGCGGTTGGGCTTGGGGTCCAAGGAGCCGACATCTCGCCTTCTTTGCGGGCGTTGGACACCCGACCTACGGATGCGCCATGGACGAGCACGAACACAGGAGAAGACAGGCACAGCAAGCCCTTCCTCGATGATCATGATACACTAATATCTAATTTCATATACGGGAGATACCATGCAGCGTTTGAAGGAGTACAGATAAGATTTTTTTACAGTTGATATATACGTTATCTATATTTTTTTGGGCAACTTTAGTCTAATTCACGATTAATGAATAAATACGTCTATATAGTAAATCAAATGTTACCTCCAGCCACCAACTCTCCCTTCATCCCATCTCGCCCGTGCTTCCCTTCTGGCTTCCAGCTTCCCTGCTTCGGCCCTAACCCTCTTAACCCACTCTGCAACCTCCCTCTCCCCAGCCATCCCGCCACCACGCTGCCCTTCTTCCAAGAAACTCTCTTCGACGGCCCTGCATACTGCTTCCTGCTCGGCGACCGCACCGACAAGACGCTGATACAGCGCCTTGGGTGACCACGGATCCAGCGCGGCGTCCATCTCGCTCTGTTTCTTGCGCCATGAAACTTCAAGAGACTGATGCTGTAAAAGTAACGATTCAGTCGACGTTCGGATCGCGGATAGATGAGATTGTAGTTCTAGTAGATGCGTCGCCAGGGATTTGTTGCTCGCCAGTAGCTTCTCAAGGTTGGCGGATGTATATGTCGCGGAAGGGTGGGAGTTTGCCAACGCCGAGAGAAGGGGTGGGTTAGTCAATAAGGCATGTAAGTCCGTTGTCCTGTGATAAGCCGTTAGACACCACCTCCGCCGCCGCCGTTGAAGTACAAGCAGGGGGGGGGGATAGTACGATTTATCCTGTAATATCTCTGGGATCCATCTCTCTTCCAACCCCGGCGCCTGGGGCTGCATCTGTTCAAATAATGGCTGACTTGGAGGAGCAGATGACCTGCCTGACCCCGTGCCTGTGGCTTCTACCATGTCATTACCTGATTGCGAGCGTAGGGATTCCTTCGGAGGTGTCGATGGTGGGTGGGCTGGTTGGAGCGTTTCATGGCTTCGTTGTGGTTGTTTGGGGGGTGGAGGCGGGGGTGTGCTCGGGTTCTGGAGCGGCGTTTGAGATGGGCTGTTTTGAAATGGAGAGGAGGTCGGCGGGAATGACATTCTGGCTGTTTAAGCGTATCTTCAAAAGAAATATCCGTGATGCGATCGATATATTGGAAACCGCCCTTCGAGCTTATGATGTCACCTGATTGGGGTACAGGGATTCGCAATCTTATGTAATCAGAACAGCTGAGTAAGCGGGCTTGTCAGTCACATGATATTTAATGGAATACATCTGGGTCAGCTGATTTGATTTCATGACTAATCATATAAATTTCCTAATTAAGTAATTTACCACTGACTAAGCTAGATGACTCAGCATATACACAATATAACAAAATATACCAGTCTCAACCAATAGAATAACGATATATAATACACATCGGTACCAGGGTAAATCTGCTTTCAAAGTAGGCGACAGCGCCAAAAAGTACGGAAAACAGCATTGCTTGTCAAGTTGAATTGGTACATTTGATCGTCTATTATACACTAATTCTCTTCATTCGATTCAGTGTGACACTTTTGAATATATTAACGTTTGATAGGATGGAAGGTTTGGTTATTTACTTTGAGCATCAAGGTTGAGGCTGAGATTCTAGTCTTTACAGAAACCTAGAGCTAATTATTTTCTTCGGTCTATGAAAGTCTTTACCAAAGTCCCTAACGGCTGGACGTTTATCAATAAACGCCGTGTTAATCTCATTCACTTTAAGCTTACCCTCAGACTTATACGGAGTACATTTAAAATGGAATAGAATGAGGACTCTTGGTGGGAATCTCAGTACTAGAATGCCAATATTATATTTGATTTGTTATGCCTTATGCTGATATCCAACCAAGGTGCACATTTAGCGCTTCAAGAAATGCTCAATTAGAGCCAGATAACTCCGGCAGAGGAGAGATGGATGGACAACGGCAGGCACAGCTTAGAGAGGCGCTGAAGGAGATGACAATATCCCTAGAGGCCCAGAACCAACATATACAGAAACAAATTCAACATCTAAACACCATCACATCCCTCCTCTGTCCTGAACTTGGAGTGCCTTCTTTGCGGACAGGAGGTAGTTCCAGTGAATTATCAAAACTCATCGATGCGACACATGAAGCGGAACAGGTTGGCGAAGATATTAACCAAAAAAAGGACAAGGAAGTCAATCCGAAAGATGGACAGAAGATCGTAGTCCCGGTCAGCCGCCGGCGTGTCTCCAACCATTTTGACCGTTCGTATGATGTTTCAACTGCTTTCTATCTCTCTGAGAGAAAAAGCCGATTACCAATCTGGCATAAGGATGACAGTACAGCTGGCCTGAATCTTCCTAGCCGACCCGATGCTGCCGTTTGCACTACTGATTGGAAATACTGTACGTTTAATCACTAGCCGACTGTTGATGGCCGCTCTGACATATACAAGGGCGCCCTAGGGTAGAATGGGGGTATTATACAACGGGTAGAGGGCGACCAAATTACGTCCCACAATGGGAGTTGATACAATGGGAAGACGGACGGTGGTATCACATCGACGACCCTACACATACGAAGCCTCTCTTTGCCGGGCCACTGAATTTATCGCGCAGGAGTTTTTTTATACCCTACGCACTCTCGCCGCCTAGACGAGACGAAGAGTACTCATTCGCTAGCCTCCATGGCATGAAGGAACAAATCAGATCGTCCCTCGGACAGCTTTTCGCAATCCCTCCTGATGCGAGAGTTACTCTCCGGTTTGAAAAAAATCAACTACGACAGGCCTGTGAAGATGGCACGCTCAACTCATATTTGACAGAGATGAAGGGATTCTTCGCAGCATTACACGATGCCGGAGGTTTCTTCCGAATCACAGACCTTGACGACTTCATGAACTTTGCTATTTACAATACTTGTCATTGGATAGAGAATATACCTGAGAGTGATTGGGATGACTTCCCTGCTGGACCAGCACTTGCGGCTGAAGAGTTTGAGCTGAACATTCGCCCTGGTTCGTATCATCCTGTCGACCGTCAAAGACAAGTCGTAGATGAACGCATATTCCCAGCTAGGGAATGGCACCGAGTGATCCACTGCCATGGACTGGCACATATACCCATGTCTAAACTCCCGTACCACTACGTACATCACGTACGGGAGGAATATTCGAAATTCTGGAAGCTTCTATTTTCCCAAAATGTCATTGCTACACCTGGCTTTGATCTTGTCAACGAGGCGCTCGATGATATGTTCACCTTTCATGTCAACTGTGGCCGCCGACAGCAGTCATATAATCCATACCAGCATGATTGGAAGGCCTTTCATATAACCTGGTATCGAATCACTGCCTCTGGCGAACCTGAAGAATCTCTCTGGAAGTCCGGCACACTTTATCAGACCAACCAAAGACTGCAACAGTCAGCCTTTACGGCTGGACTGTTCCCTAATAAGATGAATGGGGAGGATAAGTATGTTAGGCATATAAGCAATCATTTCTATTTCACATTGCTCCTTCTAACACCTCTCCACATGGACAAACTCGGTTTTGACGAAACATGGGTTAACGCATCTAAAGAAAAGAATGTATCCTCACCTCAAACCCTTATCCTACATTTTATTTCAGGGGCTTTCCGTGATGCAGCAGATTCTTGGGAAGAAGTTGCCCGTCATATCACTAAGATATTAGCCGACGACGAAGATGCCGCTCTTGATGCAGACAAACATGACCGACTCTTGTTCGATGACAACACCTTCTCTAGATCTAGACTATATTTCTGGGCGGTCGATATCTTAGAAACATTTCAAGAATGCATTCAAGACTCCCTTCTTCAGTGGGACCATTGGTGGAGTGCCTGGGAGGAGACTCTTCGTGATTTCGAGAAATATCAGATTAAGCGTTGCGCGACTCGTCGCCGTACAGATTTGAGTGGCTTCCCACTACTTTCGTCTACGATACCAACTATCAATACGCTACCAACTATCGATGGCATGTTGGCCCCCAGCGAATCTGAAATTCGTCGCCTGAACCAGCTGGATGCTAAGTTCAAGGGGCTATTAGACAGAACTCAAAAACTTAGAGATGGAGTAAGTATATCTCTTCAGAATGTTAACAGCCTGTAACGGCCGTGCTGATATAGAATAGCTTTTTAGTGCAAGTAGCGTTATTGAGAGTCGTGCCGCTACAGATCTCGGCCAGAATGTCAAACTCCTCACCTACGTCAGCATATTCTATATGCCGATAGCTGTCTCTGCTGCCATATGGAGTATTAATTCGGACTATAGCAAGAAGGTCTTTGGCATAGTAACTGTGCTTATCGCCATGGCCACATATATTCTTGTTGCCAATCTCAATAACACGGCCCAAGCTATGCAGGGCGCGTATAGAGTGATTGAGAATTGGCTGGTTAAGGATATGGCTAAACGGCCAGAGAGTGAGTATTGGGCCGCCAAATCTCAGGACTTCAAGCAGTTTCGGCCTGATCGAGCGAATATTATGCCATCCAAGTGGTTGATTCTTTGGTATTTTGTGATCAAGATTCTCAGATTCGACTTTCTTAGAGTGGCAATAAAGAATACAACGGGCAGAAAAGACGTTGAAGTCGGCTCTATCGGATCAAATAGTGAGGAAGCGGAGAGAGGTGATTAGGCCATGGGATATATCTTTTACACTAAATCTCGTAGATACTTGTATAGATCAACTTCGAATAAGGAAAAAGAAATTATAGCTGAGATCTTGTACTTGCGTCATCCCGTTCGCCCAGACCAATATATGAGCCCGGAGAACGAGATGAACACTCACCATGGGGTTCAGATGAGATACATACTGAATTGGAGATAGCGGGCTCGGACGAGAGCTGGAGTGACATATATTCTATCTATCCAGTTGATGACGGAAGACGTTGCTGTTATGTGCGTAGGATATATAGATTGGAACAGCTGACGAATTCGTATTTATATCATGGTGCGATTACCGAGTAGATGCACCGTTTGGCAGCGGCTTCTATTGCCATTGATGGACCTCCGTAGCTAGTCTATTAACGAGACGAAGTTGTCTAGCTCCATGAATCTAGACATTGCTTATACCATGCATGGCACTGGTATACATCGCTCACGGCACGCGTGAATCCATAATCAATGCAGCCATATATACCACAGCAGCACCGTCGTAGAGACGGACTGTATCATTTTGATTCATAAATGCAGAAGCTCAACCAAGCCGCCGCTTGGTATCCCGTTGCTGTGAATCTGGGTTGGATTCTCGAAGCGCATCCGCCACAAGTCCGCGTAACTCCTGCTGTCCCTCCTCGCTATGGAAATTCTCTCTCGCCGCAAGCTCCTCTATCCTCTGTCTAAACGCAGGATCGATAGCCACCTCCTGATCGCCCTGTTCGGTCGTGCCAAACGAGACCTTCACGTTCGACGGAAGAGCTCCTCCCGTGCCATCCAGCTTCACATCTGCGCTGATGATATCATTCAGGTACGCAGCAACGAGCGGGAACGAGCCATCGTTCGTGATTGACTCTGCGGCCGTGAGTCCCTCGTCGTTCTTCTTCGCCTTGTCTATCCCGCACTCCTCGACCAGATAGCGGGCTACCTCGACCGCCTCCACGACGAACAGGCAGGTCTCCCCGTCCTCGTCTGTCAGGTTAACGTCGACCTTGAACTCGTCGACCAGGGTGCGCAGGAGGTCGAGATGGCTGTAGGATGCGGCGGCGTGGAGGAGGGAGTAGCCGTGCTCGTCCTGTCCCGCGGCGAGCGCAGGGTTTGCGCGCAGGAGGGGCAGCAGCGCGGGCGAGTTGTCGGACGCGAGGATGTAGGGATTCGCCATGATCCTGTGAGTCAGTCAATGACTCTTGTGGCGTTATTATGGGATTGTAACTCGTAGAAGCTGAAGCTGAAGTTTCAAGATGGAGTTGGTTTGTCGTTGACTGGTTGGTTATTTAAATGGTTAGTTTGGTTGTGTAGAAATACTTGAGATCAACACTTGACTCACCAAGTAGATACCTTGCCGCGATAACTACTTAATGCGTATCCTGGGCTCAAGCAGAGGTCTCTGGCAAAGGAAGAATAGCTACGCTTCCCTCAGCCTGTCCATTGATCTCTACTGCGCCCGCCGCCCGTTTTCCAGCTCTCCGCTTGCCCTCAGTATGGCGCAGCAAGATCCCCATGAAGTCCTCCAGCTCGTCCAGAGACTCGAGGCCGCACAGAAGAAACAGGTCAAGCGAGCGTTTAGCTGCAAGAAGACTACATTCCCAGTCGCCGGCTCTGATATCACCGTCGACTCCTGGCGGTTCCAGGACTGGGACTACAAGAAGGGCGGTCTCCCCACGTACGCGCGAGGACTGTTCACGACGACCAACAGGGCCGGAAAGCCAGAGATTGCCATCAGAGGATACGATAAGTTCTTCAATATCGAGGAAGTCAACTCGACCAGGTGGAGGAATATCGAAAATAATACCCGTGGACCCTACGAGTTGAGTGTCAAGGAGAATGGATGCATCATCTTCATCTCCGGCCTGGAGGATGGCACCTTGCTTGTCTGCAGCAAGCATTCTACGGGTGCGCGTCAGGATATGGACATGAGCCATGCAGAGGTTGGCCGTGCATGGGTTAGAAGGCACGTCGAGTCTGTTGGAAGGACAGAGCAGGATCTCGCCAGGGAGCTACGGAGTATGAATGCCACCGCGGTGGGCGAGCTCTGTGACGACAGCTTCGAAGAGCACGTACTCGCATACTCTGAGGAGGAATCTGGCATATACCTACACGGTATCAACTACAATCTGCCTGAATTTGCAACCACCAGGGGTCCGGATGTGCATCACTTCGCAGACGCATGGGGCTTCAAGAAGGCACAGTTCCTGGTAAAAGACGACTTTGCCTCTGTCAAATCGTTCCTTGAAGGGTGTGCAGAGACTGGCTCCTGGGACGGAAGAGATACCGAAGGGTTTGTGATCCGGTGTCAGATGCGCGAGTCCAACGCCCTACCATACCAAGATTGGTTCTTCAAATATAAGTTCGAAGAGCCATATCTGATGTACCGCCAATGGCGAGAAGCTACCAAGAAGCTGATCTACGGCAAGGTTCCTACGTTCAGGAAACACGTCAAGATAACAGAGGAGTATCTAAAATATGCCAGAAAACAACTTCAAAAGGATCCAAAGCTAGGCAAGCTATATAACCAAAACCACGGCATCATCGCCATGCGTGACGGCTTCCTACGCGAGCGAGGGCTCAAGGGATCAGAAATTATCGCCATGGAAGCAGCTGAAGGAGGAGAAATCGTTGCTCCACAGGATAAAGACTTTGTACTTGTCCCTATCGCCTCGATCGGCTGCGGCAAGACCACTGTAGCCGTTGCTCTCGTCAAGCTGTTTGGATGGGGCCATTTCCAAAACGACAACGTTGAAGGAAAAGGTAACCGACCCAAACGGTTCGTGCAGGGATTGGTTGGCGAGCTATCGAACCACAACTGTGTGATTGCCGACCGCAACAATCACCAGAAGCGCGAACGAGAGCAGTTATTCAGTGACATGCAGGGTCTAGTGCCTGACGCCCACTTCATTGCCCTCCACTGGGTACATGAGCCGAAGAGATCGATGCTAGATGATATCCGACGGGTGACGCAGCAACGAGTGTTGGATCGTGGAGATAACCACCAGACAATCCGAGCGGGAAGTAAGAGCGAGAGCGAGATATTGCAGATTATGGAAGGATTCCTACGCCGATTCGAAGCCGCTGATACTCGACATGAACCAGACAGCCATTTCGAAGGTGTAATTGATCTAGACGTCACGGCGTCCTCGAGAGAGAATCTAGAAACCATCGTGGACTATTTTTATGCCAATCACCCGAAGCTCATGAAGAGGGAGAAGCCAGATGCCGCAGAGCTTGATGCAGCTATCACAGAGGCCATGAAGAATTATACCGTTGACATTAAACACGATCTCAGCTTTCAGGGGAAGGGCAAACCTCAGCAGCAGCAGCATAGCCAACAGCAACAGCAGCAACAGCAGAGCCAGAAAGTGCAGACACCCGAGCAACTCGCCAAAAAGGTAGAATACTATAACATCTCCGTTCCTGCCGCCACCATCAAGTCAACCCTCGCATCCATATTCGACTCATCACCTTCATCCGAATTCTCCCACCTCTACCACCTGCTCACAAACTCCCGACGCATCCAACCTTCATTCCACGTAACTCTTATCCACCGCGCGTCCACCACCGACCACCCTGCCATCTGGTCCACATACACAGACCTATACAAAGAAGCCGTTCGTCAGACATCTGCGTCATCCGGCTTCTCGGGCTCAGCCACAGTTACAGGAACTCCCACGCCAAGTCTAGGAACAGCTTCCGTCCGCCTCGAGACTCTTGTATGGGATAAGCGGATAATGACCATTGTTGCACGTATCTTGCCTGGCCCGATGGCCACGGGGGTGGCGGGGGCGACGACAGGGGCAGGGGACGGAGATGAAGAGCTATCAACGTGGCCTTGTGCGAATGAGGTGCCGCACATTACGGTCGGCACTGCAAATGCAGGAGTGAAGCCGAAGGAGAGTAATGATCTGTTGAAGAGGTGGTTGGAGCTGGGTGCAGGTGAGGAGAGTGGGATTTGGGAGGCGAAGATTCCATCCGTCAAGGTTGTTGAGGGGGTCGTGGGGGTTGTTATGCGTAGGTAGATCATTGTCTTTGATATGTATGTGGATGTATCTGGAGAAGTAGATACTGGAGATTTGCTAAACTCGCCGCTCGATCAGGCTAAAAATAAGAATAAAAGATAAAACTACATTGGTTCAAATAACTCGCTATAATACTACAAAATATAAAGTAGAGATGTATCGTTCATGCATGCATAGATACCAAGGGAAAGGAGATAAAATAAAAAGGGTATATATAAAGAAACAGGGCACTAATCGCTCATCCACGCTGCTACTCTACCTGTGCCTACACGGGCTACCATACGCAAACCCGTGCTTCCCATGGGGAAATAGCTGACGAGGTACCAAACGAGAGCCACCAGCTGGCAGATGGACGATACGAGCGTCAGCGTAGTCGAATGTAGCTATATCGAATATGAGTCAGTGACGTTATACCGTTTCGCGTCCTTACGGAGAAAATATGTGAAACCAAAACATGTTGGTCCGTAAATAGGGGTGGGAGGGTAAACAAATGTGTGTGAGGAATGATGTCATAGTGCGCGCACGCGCAAGGGCATGGTAGCTCCAAGAGGTGTGGTATAGCTCAGGGGGTAGGGATATAGGTGTGTGTTGAAGGCTGCGGAAAGGCGGAAGAGGGAAGAGCGACGACAAGGACCAGGATCTGATACTCACACCAATAGCAAAATAGAGCGTTAGCGCAATAGATGTGAAATACGCAGCTGTAAAGGGCAGCCGGGCGCCTGAAGCCAGATGCTTCGCGTACGGTACTGGGCCCATGAGAACGGCCCAGGAGGCTAGGAAGAGAGCTGAGCCAGACGACCATCTAGCAGACAGGCAGACACACGGCCGGATTAGTGATGGGTTCGTGACGTGCGCGGAGACGCAAATAGCAACATCAAATGAGTTAAGGTACTAGCGCTGCAACAGTGGACGACGATGGACGATGATATGGACGATGTAGGAGGAGGGTGTGGCTTGAGAAATGGTAGATGTGGATGGACTGGGTCATGCAGAGCTCCCGCGCCCGCCCGCGAGCCTTGCCTTGTGATCCCCACCCGGCAAGAGAGTGAAAAGCTGACCAACAATGACGCTATGCTAGCAAGGCTGGCCGGGGAAAGTGAAAAATAAACATATAAAAGGAAAAAAAAAAAGGAAGAATAGAGGTGGAAGAAGTAAAGAAGGAAAAGCTTACAGGATAGCAAACTTGCGCGGTTTCAGCATCAACGGCATGATGAGGATGAAGCAGATGGCAAAGCAGATGAGAGCTCCGACATTGCAGGCCGCGAAGATCAGCATTCGGTCCCAGCGGGATACTACAAGGGCATGTCCATGGTTAGCACAAGGGTCTTCTTAGTACGATTTAGGGTACCAGAGGTGTGGTGCAGTTCAGCAGGAGAATAGGGTCGTTCGAGCACAGCCCAACGTTCAAGCGAGGATGGAAAAAGAAAACACAACGGGCATGTGAAAAGGGCAGGTAGCAGTAAGGTATATCACGAGACGGCTCTCTTTATTGACTGTAAAGTGGGCAGACCTAGATGTGCGTGCGTGTGTGTGTGTGTGGGAGACATAGGTGAGTGGAACTGGAGTGTGGTATACTCACGAGCAAACCAGGCCTCCTCCTCCTCCCTCCTGGACGGCGCAGGCAGAGGCGCCGACGAGGCAGCAGTCTCCGGCGAGAGCTGCACGTATCCACCGCGCCCGCTACCGAGCGGGTTCCATGACTGTATCTTGGAGAAGAAAGGCGTGTTTGACTGCGCGGGGGCATGCGCTGCCGTCTCACCACGCCTCGACCAGCCAAGCGAGTTGAGCGAGTCGTGGAAGGAGGCTGATGCCATACCGGATAGGTGGTAGATGGAGATGTTATCTGATCAGAAGCGTGGGGTAGGAATTCTAGAAGCCCGGTGCTGGCAGCAACGGAGCAACGTATAGCAGCAGACAGGCTGTGATAAACCGGATCGGACGGGGACTATCGAAGCGGTGCAACGCGGATCGCTGCAGCGGGAGTGAAAAGCAAGATGCAGTAGTTCCCTCCTGTATGCACTATGCACGGGTATGCAGCCTTTCCTGCAGTCTTTCCTGCTGCTTCTCCGGGCGGTCCTGGTCTGAGGTCCTGGTCTGCGGTCTGGTATAGGCTGGGGGGGATGGCTGGAGGGATGGAGGCCAAATCAGATGACGCGTGGCACAGGCAGCGATCTGCCCGATCCAAGGCCGCAGGCAGAACCGTAACTGGGACCGTACACCTCGAGCAGAACTGTAACCAGCGCAACCGGGAGAGAGATGGCGGCTGGATGGCGGATATGGGATGGAGAGCGGGTGGGAGGGGCCCGATAGGACGTCGAGCTGCTGGTCCTGGAAGAGCGGTCTCGAGATGCGAGCAGGGATTCTTTATCCTCAGTGGAGAGAGCTGGCAGAGAAGGTTAGTTAGCGCGAGTCATAAAGAGATCGAGTTCGACGGTCAGATGATGCACTGACTGTACGATTCCGAGTATATAGAGAGACGGTAGAGTAGATGGTAGAGGATAGTAGATAGTAGAGGACAGTAGAAGACGGTAGAGTAGAGGATAGAGAAGACGGTAGAGGAGTGAGTAGAGAGAGGATAGAGGATAGAAAGAGGATAGAGTAGAGAGTGAAGATAGAGATAGATAGAAGATAGCGAAATGTCGAAGTTGCAGGAGTTGAGATGCTGACTCAGCACTTCACCGACTTCCCACATACACATACACATAGACATACTTCCATAGATATACGCATACACTTACACTTACACATACATATACATACAGCATAGATACGCATATACAGTATACACATATACGCATAGATGCATATAGGTCGCACGATGCTGCTAGTGGTTCGGCTAACCCGTGATGCCGCGTGGGAACCATGGCTCTCCAGAGGCTTCAGGATAGACAGTTTCGAGAAGACGGCGGAGATAGAGTAGAGATAGAGTATCACGGAAGCGGATCCGACGCTCCCTGCATGCCTCCCAGTCCTCCATCATGCCTCCATGCTCGATCGGAACCCAGCCGACCAGCAACCGCCCTCCCTCGAGCCAGTGGCTGATCCCATGCGCCTGGCACGCTGATATCCCCCGTCAGTGGCGAGTCGCAGCGGTACTGGACTGTCTCAACCTTATCCCCGTCACGTATATCTCCATGTACGGAGGCAGAGTACATCCTCGTAGTGTATGTAGTGTATGTAGCGTAGTGTAGGTGGTGGTAGAGCGTAGAGATCACCGCGCTGCATGACCTCGTCCATCCCCCCCCTACGCCGTCTGCATCACCACCATCACGAATGAGAGCTGCAGCTGGCCGTCCATAAAGGCCCCGTCCCCCTTCTCCCGCTCCGTCCTGCTTCTGCTTCTGCGTCTTCGCTTCTCCCTCTGCTTCACTGCTGCTTCACCGCGTATATTCCTTTTGTCGGTAGCAGGTATATGCCTGCAGATAGGTTGGATTGCGATCCGTCCTGCCTGGCTCTTTGACTCTTGACCGTCCTTGACTTGCCCCAGTGCCGCGGCTAGTCCGTTTCGCTAAACAGGCCAATCCGCCATTCCATTCTGGTGCGCCGTCGCCGTGTCGTTGTCGTCGTATCGCCGTCCTCGTTTTGTGGCTCTAATCGCCTGCCGGCCATCTGCCACTGTGCGACACCAGCCTCACCGATACAAGATACAAGAATAAGAATAAGAATAACCTGATAACTGGATAACTGGATACCAAGAATAACTGGACTGGATCTGATAACTGGATAACTGCCGAGTAGAGGTAGTCGTTATAAGGCGACCGCAGGTTGGTGTTCTCTCGTCTATAAATAACCTTCTCGGTGTTCTCCACAGCCTCCTCTACACTGAGACTGACTGACACTGAGACTGACAGAGACAGAGAGACAGAGAGAGAGAGACAGAAGACAGAGAGACAGAGAGAGACGGACAGAGAGAGAGAGAGAGAGAAGAGATAGACAGTGAGACAGACTGGAGACTGGAGACAGGGACAAGAGACTGACGAGAGATAGACCGCTATTCCCGGACTTCACCATCAGACAGACAGACACACAACATCATTCATGCCACGACAGTCGTCGGCTCATCTTTGGTTCAACGAGATATACCGCTGGAGGACCGCGAGGACCGCATACTCCGACTCTGCGCACCGGTGGCTTGTCGAACACACCGATAAGGGAACATAGCCACCTCACCCTCTTCCCCCCGACTTCACCAACCCCCATCACCACGACCACGACCACAGACACCCATGGGTGACATCTCTGCTACCATGATCAAGAGCGAACCCGACGAGCCCAATAACCCACATCAGTTCATGATGTCGCCCTCCGCCTACGGCATCCCGACCCCCTCCTACGGGAACCAGTTCGGCGGCTCAGGCACGGGCACTGGAGCGAACGGAAGCGAGGGCATCGACCCTTCTGAGCTCACGATGCAGCAGAACGGCTTCGTCTCGCATCACCATCCCTTTGGATCCCAGAACCTGTCGTCCAGCTTCACCCTGGGCAACGCGGGGATCGACACGGACGAGCTGCTCGATCTCGAGATCAACGGCCAGAACCTCTCGAGGGACGACGGCATGGACCAGCGTCAGCCAACGGCCATATCCATGAGCCACCAGGGCCAGATGTCGCATATCTACTCCAACACTCCGGACGGTGCTCCCATCCAGAGCCCCTTCTTACGCTCCTCTTTCAACTACGACCAGTTCCGCCAGGTTCAGCACACTCCGCAGGCTACCTCGCCGCACATGAACGCCATGAACGTCCACTTTGACCAGAATTACTCTGTTGCGGGAAAGGCCCGTAACTCGTTCCAGGGCGATGCCAGGAGTCCAGTCACCCCCAAGACGCCTGGTATCGGAATCGGCGGCCTCAATATCAACACTCCCGATTCGGGAAGCTATTCCTCTCAACCCATCCGGGCCGTCAGCTTACAGTCCCAGCACCAAAAGACAATGTCTGGTCAGTGGAACGGCACCCCAGGTTCGGCTCAGTCACTCATGGAGTCGCCCATCTCTTCACCGGGCGGCCACGGCCACGCCTCCCACCACGCCAACATCCACGAAATGCTCAAGTCTGCCAAACACGCCTCCCTACCGGCCAAGGTAGACTCCATCCACGGCCACCACCATTCAACATCCTCCCAGTCCCTGGAATCACAAGAAGCCAAACGCCGTCGTCGTCGAGCATCACATAACATGGTCGAGCGCAGACGACGTGATAACATCAACGAACGAATCCAAGACCTCTCCCACCTAGTCCCGCAGCATCGTCTTGAAGATGAAAAAGTGCGAAAACAACTAGTCAACAATTCTGCCCTCTCGACCTCTGCCGGTGCCAACGCCTCCTCTCCACCAAACCATAACCCTGCCACCTCTCTGCTCGCTGGTCCTTCAGCCCGGCGCGCAACGGCAGGAAACATAACCATGGGACTACCCATAGAGGAGAAAGAAAAGGGTCCTAATAAAGGCGACATCCTCAACGGTGCCGTTGGCTGGACCCGCGATCTCATGTGGGCTCTGCACAGGAAACTGGAACAAGAAGATCAACTTGCTGAATACATTGCTTCGTTGGGCGGTCAGTGGCCCTTTGAACAGACCGAGGAAGACCGACGGATGAGAACCGAGGTGTTTGACGCCATGGACCTCAACGATGGCAGTAACTTTTCATACTCCCGCGGCGTCGGCAGTGGGCTCCGTGTACCGAAACATACCAACATTTCAGGCGAGTCCATCACCCAGGGCAGCCCTTCGCAGGACCAACAGGGCCAGTCCCAGAGCCAAAGCCAGGGAGCGGGATCAGGCAACAGCCCCGGCTTCAACGGGTCACAGTTCTGGAATAGTTCAGGACATATTGGTTTGAGCGTTAAGGAAGAAGACGAATATGCCATGGAGATATAATCTCTCAAGCCCTATCTCTATTTCCGATACCTTCAAATCTCTTCCGTGTCGTATCTGGGTTGGTCCGCGTTTGCATATATGGTTGGTGGCGTTATCCTCGTCTCTACAGCTTGTGGTGAGATGGGTTGGTCGGCTGGCGAGTTGGCTTGGGCGAAGAGTTGGCTTTCTTTTTTCTTTTCCCTTTTTCCTTTTCCTTTTCTCTACTTCCTTACATTTCGGGCTCTCTCTGTTCTCGTTTCTATCCCGGTTTGGCTTTCTTCTTTTCCTTGCCTTCCATATATTTCGTTTCATCGTCTTATGTTCGTCACAGCACGCATTGGCATGGCATGGCATGGCATGGCATCGTATCGCACCACGTCTACCCTATCCCAGCCTGGTTTCTTTTCTTTCCTTATATATCTTTTTCATCAATATATCTTTTCGTCTCCTGTTTGATCCCATGAAGTCATGATCCCGCCCTCCTGCCCTTCCCTTGATACACTATACCGTCTGTCCTTACTCGTCATCTCGGCTCTCGGGCTGCCTCATCTTGTCCTTCTATACAACTACAACACTGGGTGTACGGGAGACATGCTCATTTCCCTTCCCTTCCCTTCTCTTTCCTTTCGGCGGTTGGTTCCCTGCGTTGTGCCCCGTTTCCTATCCATGACGGCGGATGGTTATTGACTGACGACTTTGCTTTTCATATACCTTCGCATGCATACCCCCTTTTCTATCTCTTTTGTGTCGTGCTGCGCTCTGCTGTCATGCCACCTACATACTTGCCTGCTACTTAGTTGACTTGGTTTTTTCCTTTTTGCCTGTTTCTCTGAATAGTACAGTTTTTCTCTTTCCTCTTGGCCTTTGTATTTATCTAATATCCCATCCTTAATTACCACCATGAACGAACCTCTACTCAATTACTCCGCTCCTATCTGGTAATGTTGATATTGTAAAGATCTCAAATCTATATCTAATATGCCAATGTCTATTTCGTGACTAGAGTAACAGCGAAGAAATATTGGTATCATGATGTACGGCTGTCCATGTCTCGTCGGAATGGACGGGAGAACTCTGAGCGGTATGCCAGATGTAGTAAAGAGGTCTCGATCGCGGTCTAGAGGGACGGTCCCCCGTCTGCTTCATCTCGTAGCTGAGCCGGAAATCTATAACATCCCCAACGATATCTAATCACTCCTTTCTAATCGTGCGGAAGAAATCCGTAACGGCAGTAAACACCACCAACAAGATACCTCCACCAGGACCCAGTCGCAGCACCTTGGGCAGGAATCCCTTATACAGTGCTCCGAACCCTTCCTCTTTCATCACAGTTCCCAACGCGGGCCAGGCCCAGTTATACTTGGGGATTGAACCTGCGATCTTCGGACTATTCTGGATGCGCGACTTGACCACGTCCATGGGCGTGTTGATCACCGTACCCAAGGTTCCTCCCACGGTACCGGCAATGATATCATTTCTCATCTGCTGGCTCTGGTTCCCCTTCTCGGCGGGCGGTAGCTGTGCGCGGATCTGGAAAATACTTCCAAAGTAGCCGGCGTTCCACAATATGTGACGCCAGAGAGTAGCTTCGAGGCCGTTATATAGCGCAAGGGGACCTTCCTGCTTGACGATCTTGCGAACACAGTCGAGCATGCCGTTATATTTACCTGCGGACTCACGGTCTTGGAGACGGATCTTGACCAGTTCAAAGGGCACGACGACGAAGGACTCTGTGGCTCCGGCCGTGGCACCGGTAAGGATAGCGAGGGGCTGGTTGGTCTTCTCCATGCCGAAGATGTTACGGTAGAAGGAACCCCAGCTGTCGTTTGCAGCGAACTTGGTGGCTCGCTTGGGTGCTTCCATTAGAATTGGGGCGTTGATACCGCGGTATAGACGGGAGAATCTGCATTCCTCATGTTAGCCGCCCAGTAGTTGCGGTGTGGGATGTCACTGTCGGCGTAGACGAACCCTTCATTCTTAACGATCTTGCGGAAACAGTCGAACATGCCATTGTATCCCTCCGCGCCCGTTGCGGCACCGGTCTGAAGTTGTCTACACCCACAATGTCAGCAGCTGCTATACCGAGGCCAATTGACCGATATCACGGCAGTTCTTACACTCTCGTCTTGACGACATCCAGCGGGTACCTATCATCGACCACGAGTTAGCGAGCGCCCGGAATCGACATCCAAGACCGACAATAGGGCCATCGTACATCACCAGAATCTACCAGCACACAAGACTCCGTTAGCATGCAATTGACCGAGGAACGATGGACATGACCAACCTCAGAAACACCGGCCACCGCTCCGGCGGCGAACTGGTAGGCGAACGGCAACGGGGGCTTCTCCTGCGACATCCTGACGTATTATCCAGCGGTGTATTAGTATATTCAAGAAGAAGTGTTCTATCGTGAGAAGAGAAGAGGAAGTCCAAAGAAGCGAGATCGAGATTATCGGCGGGCAAGGCGAACTTCTAGCGCGGGCGGGAAAAACCTTGCCCCATGCGGCATTTCGGTTCGAGTTTCAGCCATCGCGAGATCAAGCACACGACAGCGATGTTGATGTGCAGATATTGGGATCTGGGCTGCGTTGACCTGCTGGGCCGGTATCTTATCTCTGAAGCCACAGTGGCTGTCTGCCAGTATCCTTCATCAACCTGCAGTGAGTATACCAGCGGGTAAGAGCTGACCGCCATTGAGGTTCGAGATAATAGCTAATTGCTTTTATATGGCTGGAAGAAGAAAAGAGAAGAAACAAGCTCTAGAAACCAGAGCAGCATCTCCATGACAAGCATAAGGCAGGGGATGACATAGTAATTATACATGCTAGATTACAATGGATTCCCCATGCCGGCTGCCAGACACCAGAGATGTACTCCAGAATACCAGGCTCGAAGCACTGCTCGGCTTCGCTTTGTCTCCTTGCTGTCTTGAGGATTTGCCGGGGACACGACGTTTTCTATGTTCCGGACTGCTAACGTATTCCACCAGTCAACGATCATCACCACTTAATGAACACACCCCAAAAACTCTGCATCCACCAAAACAACCACCTTCCAACAGCCACAAAATGGTCAATGAGGCAGCAATTGCTGCTGCGATTGAAGATTTAAAATCGCAAAAGACTCCTAATTACTCACAAACCGCTAAAAAGTTCAAAATTAACCGAATAACGCTGGCGCGGCGGTATCAAGGTGCTGCAGTCTCAAGAGCTGAAGCAACATCTATCCATCGCAAAAAGTTGACAAATGCACAAGAAGAAGTGCTCCTACAGCATATAAATCGATTATCAGAGAGAGGCCTATCACCTACGCCCCAGGTACTGCGAAATCTCGTATACGAGCTCACTAAACAGGCTGTTGGCATCAACTGGGTGGCTCGGTTCTGTAGCCGGCACAAGGATCGCATTAAGAGTCTCTATCTCCGCACCATTGATCAATCCAGGCATGTTGCTGCTAATTCCAAGCATTTTGAACACTTTTATGAGCTTGCAAGTACTTGTTTATTAGTAGTTAGCTATTAAATATTGATATTAACCTCTTCTTTAGCTTAGGGAAGCAATAAATAAGTATAATATTACTCCAGATAATATTTACAACTTTGATGAGAAAGGCTTCCTTATTGGCCTAGGACATGCTGTTAAACGGGTGGTTCCTGTTCATGCGCTTAAAAATAGAAGGATAATAGCTATACAAGATGGAAGTCGCGAGTTTATCTCTCTACTCGCTGCTGTCTCTGCAGATGGAGAATGGATTCCTCCTACACTTATTTATAAGGGAGAAGGTGATCTATAAGACACCTGGGTGGACGAATTTGACCCTCAGAGAGAAATAGCATATTTTGTAGCATCTCCGAATGGCTGGAGCAATGATAACTTTGGTAAGGAATGGCTTTAAATATTCGATAAGCATATAAAGGCAAAGGCTGGCCGGGGAAGAAGGCTTCTTATTCTAGATGGCCACTCATCTCATATCAATATGGGATTTATCGAATATGCAGATAAAAACCGTATCTTGCTAGTTATCTTACCTCCACATTCAACACACCGTCTGCAGCCATTGGATGTTGGGATATTTGGGCCATTAGCCAGTGCATATTCCCAGGAAGTTGATAATCTCTTATGTAGCGGATATGGGTATCTATTAATGTCAAAGCGAGACTTTTGGAGACTCTTCTACGCTGCATGGAAAAGAGCTCTTACACCAGCAAATATTAAGTCTGGATTTGCAAGTACAGGGATATATCCTATTATGCCTTAACGTCAAATGAAATACTTCGATAAGAGACCTCTAACACCTCTGAATATCGATATTGAGCCTCCTACCCCTATTACTGTACGGGGTCTCCGCCGCGCGGTTAAGAAAGTGCAGCTCCGGCAGTCATTAACCAGCCTTTATATATCAAAGATCATCCGCGCCAGTGAGAGGCTGGTCTTTGATAAAGAGATCTTACTACATGAAAATAAGTCTCTTATAGCTGCACTTATATAAGAGAAGAAGAAAAGGAAGCGAGGCAAGGGCTTAGGCCTATTTGAAAAGGATAAAGCAGGCCAAGCGCAGATATTCTCTCTATCTAAGGTTGAAGCAGTAAGGCAGCGAGCTATCGAGGTAGAGACTAAAAAATAAGATAAGATAGCTTAGGCAGAGGAAATAAAGCTTTAGTGATCAATTTACCGCGATAATAAGACTCAAGAGGCTGTAGAGAAGAAGGCTCAAAGGCTTGCAGATCAACAGCAACGTAAGGAGGCTCTTAAGAAGGCCCGCGAGGAGACTGTAGCACGGCGCGCAGAGGCAGCGATTGAACGGAAGTGTAAAGCTGGTGAATTGGAAGCTGAGCGAATGGCTAAGAAGGCCAAAAAGGCTCAAAACAACGTCTTAAGCCCTATCTCACCTTCCCGATTAGGAAAGAAGAAGACTTCACCTTCTAAGGTTGCTCCTATCGATCCTATTACTCTAATACCTAATTTCCTATCCCAACCGCGGGGAACCCGTTCCGGGCGAGTTATCAAGCCCAACACTCGTTTCTTTTCTTAATCTATCTAATTTGTATGTAAACTAGAACCCTACTATCGTTATTTAATAGTCAATTTTATTTGTTATTTACGTTGTGTTGAGATATCTCGATATTTACACGCATGTTTGGACGTAAGGAGCATTTGGAGGTGGTGATCGTTGACTGGTGAGATACGTTATATGTCTGCATACGTGCTGAACAGTCGAGGTTGACCTCGGGGTACGAGCCAGAAGGACGTCTTTATATGATGCCTCTGGAGCCCAGTCTTCAAGGTCGAATGCACAGATAAAGCTCACATTGTTAGGAATAACGGCTAAAGCCAAAGTTGACGGCCTGCTATAAATATGAAGTTGTTTTCTCACCAGAACACCATGACTGGAATCTGTGTATGCGATACATATAGAACGAATGGAAGATAGAAGACACGATGTAGCTTGACCGGAGACTGCTGTTTGCAGCCAACATCCAAGGGCGTAGAATGTTGTATAGATTTGTTGCGGCATTACATCTTGAACATTATTGTATATACATCGTCTCTCATGGGCATATATATGCCCGTCTATATAGATTGGTCACTGGAAAGAATGACATCTCAAAGCCGCGAGACTTCCCTCTTGGCCGTCGCATTCATCGACGCCCGGGATCTCAAGTTCAACCTCTTCCACATCGCCTTGCGGCGTTCATGGCCATCCAGAAACGCCCTCACCCACTCGCGGCGGAACTTGGGCAGCTTGCGCCCTTTACCCTGCTCCCCTTCGCCGGCCAGACGTCGTATCGTCTCAAAGTAGTCCTCAAAGTCCGGGAAGATGAGCGTAAACTTCACGCCGTCACCGCGGGCCTTGATACGTTCTGCTTCCCATGCCTGCATGTCCTCGACGGGCGGTAGAGTCGCTCGTCCAGCAAGCAGCCGAGCAGCCAACACCGACTGCCACTCGAAGACCTTGAACGTCAGACCAGCCGCGACGGCGCCGATAAACAGCAGGGTCGGGTCCCTTTGCCAGACGACATGCTGGTACAGGTCAGGGACACGGTTGTTGCGCACTGGAACGTCTGGTAAGAACGGCAGCGTCCAGCTGTAGCCTGTGCCGAAGACGATGTAGTCGACGTCCGCGATGGAGGTGCCGTTGGCCAGGTATACAGTCCTGTTTGACACCCGCTCTATGGACGGATGGTTCTGTATCTGTGGATGCTTGAAGGCCTCGTCGCCAAAGTAGCCATTGGCTTTATGTCCGATCGTAATTGCATGGACTGGGGTCTTTGCCGTTTCCACCAGATCGAACGCGATGTCCGCTGCTGAAACAGATGCGCCCACGACCACGACTCGCTGAGACCGTTAGCATGTTCATTACTGATAGACAGGATGTACGTACCTTGTCGGCGAAGGCTTCTCTGCCCCTGAAGTGTTTGCTGTGGATTACGCTGCCCGGCCTGGCCTTCTCGAAGCTCTCGAGACCCTCGACCGGGGGGATATATGGCACCCAGAAGTGTCCGCTGGCCACGACGACAGCATCAAACCATTCAGTCCACCAGTAGTCGCTCTTCTCTCCGTCTCTTCGCAGGGTGACTTTCCACTCTGCGCCAACCTTCTCGACCCGCTCGACGGTGGTGTTATAAGAGATAAAGTCGCTGTATCCCCGGCGCTCTACAAGACTCCTGATGTATCGCTGGACGACGTCCCACTTGCGGAATGGGGTCTCAGGGCCGTGTTGTGATATGGAGAGCTCGCTGCGTTCTTCGGGGAAGGGTTCCTGGTTGAACTGCATGGGCAGGAAGTCGATATTCGTCTCCAGGTAAGGATACACTGACGACTCCGAGAAACGAGGCTGGTCGCACTTTGGAGCCTGCGCTGGCAGTCTCTCAGGGATAGCTATGGGGGCATCGGCTGTTCTCTTCGCCAGCGATGCAAAGTCGCTGAGCGTTGGAGGCGGGCATGAGTCGCCAATCCTACGTCGACGTCAGCTACAATGGCCGTTTATACTTATATATATATAACGAACCAGCAGCCTCCTGGACCTTCACGGCGCTCAAACACACGGATGATGTCGAATGCTTGTTCTTGCGCCAGGGCATCTATCGCGATGGCCCCCGCAGGCCCAGCACCGATGACCGCTACTCGTTTAACAGGCACGCCTACCATGGTGAAAGACGAAAGACGAAAGAAAATGAGAATCCAATTGCTCAATGGAGAACTACTCAGATGCATACTATATATAGAGTAAAGCAATATATATGCCGCCCAAATCCCGATACTGATCTGCAGTCACGCAATTGGACTATGGCTGCACTGCATGCATCCCCGGCCACTTACAACGCCTGCGTGCACTTCTCGACGCTCTCGAATCCAGCTGGAAGGAGATAGACCGAACCGATGGCGTGCAGCCGTGAATGACAGCCGTGGTGTGCTGTGCAGCCGTGAAGTACAGCCGGAGAGTTACATCCTAGCGAGCACAGGACCGGCGTCGTTCAAGATAAGGGCGATTCCAAGGCACGCCATACATATCAAAAATCATCCTGGCGTTAGCTTGGGCCGGTTACTTAGCGGGGGCGAGAGCACCTACTACAGAGCGGCAGAGTACGCGATGCAGGAAGATCAGCGCACGGAATAAACATATATCCAGCAGGCTCAGCCGTCTCTCTGCCGTTGGTTGGGGGGGAATCAAGAAGCTCTCCTCGAATACCAGCCTGAGGGAAGCAAGATACCATGGATATCGAAAAGGATTTGAAGCTCGAGGGCAATTCCACTGAGACTCATGCCTCGTCGCTGTCCGAATTGCCCCAATGGGACCCCAGCCAGGAGAAGAGTGCTCGCAGAAAGTAGGGACACCTTCACGGACGATGGCAAGATCCAAAGCATCGGCTGACATTCATTCTTCCCCTCAAGGATCGATATCGTCGTGTTGCCTCTGCTTTTTCTCGGCCTTCTTGTCTTCCAGCTAGACCGCATGAACATTGCGAGTGCATTGACTGGGGGCTTTGCCAGTGATATCAAAGTTTCACAGGCGACAATCAACCTAGGCAACCAGCTCATGTTCATGGGCATCGTGGCCTTTGAGATACCATGTAACATGGCCTTGCAACGAGTACGTAGTAACTCTCTTGCTCGGAAGGGGCTCCCTCTGATCCTAACATGGGGACTTTTCCACAGATTGGTCCTCGAGTGTGGATTTCGGCCCAGGTCTTTGTCTTTGGCCTGCTTGCCGTCATGCAGGTATTCATTCGGAATCGAGGAGCATTTTTGGCCCTTCGTTTGCTTCTAGGGTTTGCCGAGGCAGGGTATATTCCTGGGGCAGTCTACACCCTATCGGCATGGTATACGAGAAGAGAATTGGGCAAGAGAGTGGCCATTTTCTTCTTTGGGCTATTCGGTGGCAACGCCCTCAGCCCGATACTGGCGTCGGGCACTCTGATTCTCGATGGTCGATGCGGTATCCGAGGATGGAAGTGGCTTTTCTTAAGTATGTCCAGTTTATGAAACTCAATTCGGTCATTCCGCTAACACATCCTTGCAGTTGAGGGACTATTCACAATCTTCGTCTCACTGCTCCTGGCAATGTTCCTGCCTGGATCACCCTACATTACCAGGCCACTACTCAGCCCAGGTCTTATCAAGTTCTCCGACTCCGAGAAGGAGATTCTTCAAAGGCGACTTGAGAAGGAAAATGGCGGAAACAACGGCGCTTATGGCGCGTATATTCCGCTTAAAGTTGTCTTTCGTACTGTGTCTTACTACCGTCGCTGGCCGCACTTTGTTTCTACATTTGTTGTCTTTTCGACATGGAGTCCCCTGACTACTTACTCACCGTCCATCATCATGTAAGTCTAGCCGTTGACATCTCTCAATCACAACTTGAGGCGTGGATTTCGTGGTCAACTAACTTTTTATAGGTCGCTCGGCTTCGGCAGGACAGAATCAAACGCCCTGGCAGCAGTCGGCGCATCCCTATCACTTGTCGTGGTGTTATTTTTCGCCTACATGAGTGACCGGATCAACCGCCGAGGTGCTACTGTGATCGTTGCTCACGTCTGCTACCTCATTACCCTAGTAGTGGCTCTCACGGTCCAGCCCCATGTCGGCAAATGGTCTCGCTGGGGGCTTTGGACTGCTGTGAACAGTTTCGCAGTGGGATATCACCCGATCCAGAACTTCTGGGTTCAGATCAACTGTCGAGATCAGGCAGAGCGAAGTATCAGCATCGCGTAAGTTTCATTTTTGTTCTTCTGTTTTGACCTCGACCAGAGCTGATCGGACTGCAGCATGTGGGTTATGTCTGCAATAAGCGGTTTAATGGTTGGGACGCAGTATTACACAGCGAAGGACAAACCATTGTAAGTTGAATTTATCCCCCCAAAGTTTGCAAGACGGGCTTCTAACAGTGTCCAGTTATTCGGCCGGCCTGCGTACTATGATCATCATGGTATGTGTAGGAATTGTGAGCGCTTATGCGCAGATTGTGGTTTACATCGTTCACAATAAGCACGTTGCTCAAGGCAAACATAAGTCCAAGGACGGATTGGCACCCATGGTTCATCTCCTTTGATTGCACCGGACTTGCATATATACAATATATAGATGGGAATGCCGAAGTAACGCTAGACGGTACTTCATCCAAAATTAAAAGACTGATCGATGTTGATGACTTGTTTGGCCGCTTTGTAACCCGTATTAAGAGCATCATTTGTGGTATCTTATAGCAAGATCTTCAAGGGCTAGATATTGTTTGGACTCTCTGTGACGAGCCATCTGGCATGAGAAAAGAGAAAGTATTTCATAAAGAGAGAGAGGAAAAGGAATAACAAAAGAAAGAGAAGAAGTCTGAGTTTCCTAAAGGGGAAGTCACGGGCCGAGGATAAGTAACACGTGACCAACGCGATTTGACGCGTCGCGCTTTTTGCACTGAAAACAATTAAACGAGAAGACGAAAAGGTTTTGGAGCATCAACAGCATTCGACATTCTTTTACTCCGTGTAGGAGCATTATAACACTCGCTTGGAATGCAGGATCCCTTCGTATGTTCCAATTCGAGGGCCAAGTTAGATGCCTTCCGATACGCGGCATCTAACGACAACGCTGGCCACGAAATGGACGCTTCGAGTAAGGAAACCCAGCAGCAGCCCTTGACCACAGACGACGAACCGGAACGTCCTACTCAAGAGGCAGACACGGGAATTCGACCTACGGGGCCATGTCCAGAAACTCCCGCGCACAAGATACCGCTGGCCGACCTTATAAGCAACACGGAGGATGCATTCAACAATGCGCCTGGGAAGACCATGACGCCGGACGACCATGTCTTTTGGGACCATGGAGGGTCTTTTTCACGCAGCAGGATGACACCCACGAATTCCAGGAGAAAGAAACGTAACCGGAGCCTCTCGCCCGCGAGCTCGCCATCTCACATCACCAAGAACGGCTCATTCACGACCCTGACTGCAGAAAGGATGATGAAAACCCCCCAACACGACGTGGGGGCGGACTTGTGGACCAAATATGTTAGTAGAGGGGATGGGCTGCCAGAAAGTGATGTGCCAAAGCTACGGTTATCACAACTTGTGCCATCTTCACCCCGCACGCCTGCATTTACAGGTAGCGCAAAGAGGAACTCGTCGAGTCTACGGAGAGCAAACAGCTGCGCTATAGACTGGCCCAAGTCTGCTACCAAGGGGAGACGGTCTGGCGATGATTCTGGCTCATACAAGCTTCGAGATGGCTTCTACCGCACTCGACCAAATACAGACTCGGGTGGGTTGAGCTCTTCGAAGATTGGCCTTCTGGTTGATCGAATACAAGAGACGTTCTTGAAACACCCTACCGAAGAAACCGCGCCTTCTAGTTCCTCACCACTCCCGGATAGATCAGATGGTTTCCAGGATGATTGCCCTTCATTACAGCCGTCCAAACGGATCAAATTGAGTGAGCCAATCGAAACTCCATCAAAACCCGCTACCACACGTCAAGGCCAGATAAAGATACCCCAACAACAACCAAAAACGGATCCTGAGTCGTCGGATTATGGCGACGATGACCAGGATGACGAATTCTTCGAGATCGCAGCTGCGTCTACAAATGAAGTATTCTCAACCACACAAAACTGCAACAACATACATTCTCACCCCAGTCTGCCTTCGGCTGACTTTTCTACTTTACGACCCGATAAAGACCATGATACCTTCTCACAGTTGGCTAAGGACATGAGTGATGATTCTGACGATTTCGATAATGATGATTATGATGGCATGGATGAGATAATAGCTTCATATAACATAAACAATACCACAACAACAAAAACAGCAGCAGCCAGGCCACCCGCCACCCCCCAGAAAGACCGCGTGTCGAATGCTCATGTTTCTGAGGATGATCTTGAAGGCTTTATGGAATTGGATGCATTTGATTCCCAGGCGGATGGCCTTGATGACAACGTTGGTCGCTCCCTGTATGAATAAATATATTTTTACTAGATGATATGCTAAACGTTTACAAGCCAAGTCAAACCCCACAAGCTATTAAGCGCTATCTTGTCATCGATATAGCGGAGAATACCTATACCAATATCAAGGGCCGTACTCAATGGGAGAAAGTATGCTTCTATTTTCTTATATCTCCTTCATTTCAAACCCTTTACTAGAAGCCACGGACCCAAGCTAACTCACTCGGTAGGTACTGGTCGTCCGCGAAGACAAGAAGAAGAAAACCCGCGCCATCACCCTACGCGACTCGTGGTTTGACTCTGCCGTCTCTAAGGATTCATATCTTCACCTAATAGGTAATTTCGACCGCAGCGGTCAATGCATCGTAGACGATTCTTCCAACTACGCCATTATTCTCGATCCAGACCACCTCATCTCCGCCACGACGGTGGCCGACTCATTCACATGCGCCCGCCGCTCAGTGCTACAGGACCGCGTTAAGGCTACTAGTGATGCTAATAAGCCGCAGGTCTACGGCCATATCCTACACGAGATCTTCCAGGAGGCAATGAAGGCGAATAAATGGAGTCTACCTTGGTTGAAGAGCCTGATTGATACCACATTGCCGAAGTACCTCGAGAGCCTGTTTGAAATCAACGTTAGTATCCAAGATGCTACAAGTTACCTCGAGACCAAGATGCACGCGCTGAGGGATTGGGCAAAATTATTTATCCACCCACGTCCAACTGTAAGCCCCCTAAACCTGCGTCCCCCTTTCCTCCAACCATCTAACATTACGCGCTAGGCTGGCTCAATGATGGATGATAGAAACGGTGCCGTTGCTAAAATATGCATTAACAAACTTCTTGAAGTTGAAGAGCACGTCTGGTCTCCGATGTATGGCCTAAAAGGCAATATCGATGCCACGGTTCAGATAGTTTTGGAGGAAGAAGGAGAGCAAAAAACTCTCACCGTCCCGTTGGAAGTCAAGACAGGAAAGAATAATACAAACCAGTCACATAGGGCGCAAACAGCATTATATTCATTACTGCTTTCCGACCGTTACGGTATACCAACCCCTCAAGTGAACCTGTCATTTACATGAGCTAACGTGAAGGTAGATATAAATGTGACCTTTGGAATATTATATTACTTGGAAATCTCAAAAGCTCTTCGCGTCCGCGCCGTACAGGGCGAAATCCGCCAAATGATCCAACAACGAAACCTACTTGCTGGCTACCTTCGACAGCGGTTCGAACTTCCGCCAATGCTCAAGGAATCCCGAATTTGCAGCCCATGTTATGCAAAGACTGCATGTTTCTTATACCACAAACTTGTGGACGACGGTACCGAGGAAACCAGCGGCGTAGGAAAGCTCTTTCAAGAAACCGCCGGCCATCTCACAGCACCTCATCAAACGTTCTTTAAGAAATGGGACGATCTATTAACATTAGAAGAGAAAGAAATGTCAAAGTTCCGACGTGAGCTATGGACTATGGTCAGCACTGAACGTGAGAGCGTGGGACGGTGTTTCAGCAATGTTGTCATTGAGAGCGGATCTGCATCTGAGAACTCTGACGGCCAAAGAATCAACCGCTTCCAGTATACATTTATCAAGCCTAAGGCAGGTTCGGGCTTTTCATTCACGGAGTCACAGATAAATGTCGGTGAGCCTATTGTTATTTCCGATGAACAGGGCCATTTTGCTCTCTCAAACGGGTATGTGATTCAAATCAGCCCTAGGAGAATCACGGTGGCCGTTGATAGACGGCTCCATAATGCTCGAAACAAGGAGCCTGGATTTAATGCTATCAACAATCAAGCTTTCCAGGGGATCATGGATATATCATCTGGAGGCAAAGCCGCTTCAAATACCACGGACTACGATACGGAGAACCCAATGCTCTACCGACTGGACAAGGATGAATTCAGCAGCGGTCTGGCCATTGTTAGAAACAACCTTATCTCCATGATGGCAAAGGATGTGTTTCGATCCACTCGGCTTCGGGAACTGATAGTTGAAGGTGCTGCGCCTGTATTCAAACCAGGCCCACCCATATCCCTCCTCCCAGAAGCCGTAGGGCCGAATCTAAACATGGACCAGAAAATGGCCATTGGGAAAGTTCTAAGTGCTAGTGACTATGCTCTAGTGCTTGGTATGCCAGGAACTGGAAAAACTACAACGATTGCCCAAATTATCCGTGCTTTAGTATCTCAGGGGAAAAGCGTCTTGCTCACCTCCTACACCCATACAGCCGTTGACAACATCCTACTCAAAATTCGGGATGATAAATTCAGAATTCTCCGCCTTGGGACACCATCAAAGATACATCCGGAAGTTAAACAGTTTGCCGATTTAGCAGCCACGCATAAGAACACAATTGAGGAGCTTGAGGATTCATATGGGAATTCAAATGTAGTGGCTACGACATGTCTAGGTATCAACCACCGGATTTTCAATACTCGGACTTTCGATTACTGCATCGTTGATGAAGCCTCGCAGATCACATTGCCTGTTTGCCTTGGGCCAATTCGCATGGCTAAAACATTTATCCTTGTGGGAGACCACTACCAGCTCCCACCTCTTGTCCAAAGCAAGCAAGCCATAGAGGGTGGCCTTGACCTTAGTTTGTTCAAATTACTCTGTGACATGCATCCGTCGTCAGTGGTCAATTTAGAGCATCAGTATCGCATGTGCGAAGAAATCATGCTCCTTTCTAATACCCTTATATACTCCAACCTTCTCAAGTGCGGAACACCGGCAATTTCAGCTCGCTCCCTTGTTATTCCAAACATAAATGGCCTAAAAAGGATACATCCAACCTCTCTGTCGACTTCCACCCAGTCTCTCTGTCTAGGTCCAAGTCACGGCCAATGCTGGCTTCGCGATCTCGTCGATCCCTGCGCAAAGGCCCGGTTTGTCAATACCGACTCCCTCTGCCCCCAGGCCCTAGACACCGCCAACGGCTCCCGAATCATCAACGAGGTTGAAGCTACCCTTTGCGCTCAGCTTGTTGAGGCATTCATCTCCGTCGGTATTCCAGCACAGGATATCGGCGTTGTTACGCTCTACCGAAGCCAACTTTCCCTTTTGAAACAGAAACTCCGTCGTCACGGATCTGATCTCGAAATGCATACGGCAGATCGCTTCCAGGGGCGCGACAAAGAGGTGATCATTATGAGTTGCGTGCGCAGCAACTCAGATCGAAACGTGGGTGACTTGCTGCGCGACTGGCGCCGAGTCAATGTTGCCTTTACCCGCGCCAGGACCAAAATGCTCATTGTCGGCAGTAAAGCTACTCTCAGCGAAGGAAACGAGCTGCTAGGGAAATTCACCAAACTCATGGACGAGCATCAGTGGCGCTACGATCTGCCACCTAGCGCCGTGAGCCAGCATAGTTTCGAAGAGCACGATTCCATGTTCACCCAGGCGTTGAGTGGCATGAGCCCCAAGATAGGCAGATTTGCAAATTCCCTTTCTTCTAGCCCTACGAAGAAGCAACAGAGCAGTCCTATTAAGAAACAGCCTCGACTCCCACTTAGCCCTGTGACGAACAAAGCAAATATCTTCCCCAATACCACCCGCACCATGAAGAAACCCCAGAAAGTCGGCGGGAAACCGCTTGACGGAGCAAAAATTATAAGAAAGAGGCCAGTCCTCACGGATGTTCTGAATGATATGCTTGGATGATGCGTGTACATCGCATTTCTCTCTATAGTACATTTTTATTTTTATCGTCTTGGATCTGTATTGGAGCCTATTGACTTTCCGTGGAACTCGCCATAGGCGTCTTGGGGCTATTTGTTGGAGCACAGAATTATGTCTACTCATCCTTAGTGTATCATATAGGTAGGATTCGTGAATTAGATAGGTCATTATAAGCATAAACGAATATTTTATTTGACAGCCTTTTTAGAGGATGTAAATAGCGCCTCCTATAATAATACATGCAGTATCGGGTCCATGTAAAGTGAGGTTGGTCCCTTATGCCTACAGGTTCAAAAGCTCGCAACATTACCACCAACATATTCCCAGCAAACGAACTGCCGTCGTGGTGACAGTTCTGTGCCTTCCGGGTCGCTTTCCTTCTCCAATTTTGAATCGATAATGGGCAAAGCTAGGACCGAGTAGCCGCCTTTTCCCTCCACCGCGTCCTTTCCCATCGCTGAGACAAGAAGCCCAAACCAATGGTGAGATGCTGCAGTCTGAGAGCCACATTTTCGCCTGAAACAACTAAGGGGTTAGAAATACAGTTAAATTGAAAATTAGGGGGGAAGGGAAACTTACAATATCAATATAAGCAAATCCATGACCCAGCGGGATGGTATCAAGCCTTTCCATGTGATTTTGACTAGGTCCGAAGACCTGCACTCATTTTTAAGAGGAACTTCATAACGACTAAGATACGGATCGATGGAGTCATCTGCCAAAATCCGTTCTGACCCCAGAGATGCCAGAGCTAGCCATTCTTGCAACTCCTCACACGAGTCACGTAGAGCGTCCCTGTCGGCTATCAGAAGCAACCCGTCTGAGCTGAAGGGCGGTGTGAGAACTTTCTCCATCACAGATTCAACTGGCGAGCAAGTGATAATCTGTGGATAGTATTTTTTAATAGGGGCATCTATGTTCCCTCGTTAGACCCAAAATCAATCATAATATGGGAAAGTAAAAGGGAAACAGATCATACCTTCGTCGTCAAGGCTGGAGGATTTAGATAAGTCACAGAACAGCCAGGTCACTGAACTGTTTAAAACATTCTTGAAAGCCCATACAATCCGTTCAAACCCCTTCTTACCATGTAACATGGAAGGAGGGCGAAGGTTTATTTCTACCACTTCATTTTAAAAGTTCAGTTAGTACGGATAGGCTTGCTCCTCGGTAAGAAACTCACTATATCTTGACTTAACGTGCTTTCTGCCTCCTGCTTGAATAGATTTCCCAACGAGGCCTGCACTTTCATATGTAGCTTTGTCTAGTTCCAGCGTAAGAACCCCTATATATTTCCAGAATCTATTAACACTTGATAGCCTTGAAAAAGGGCAAGATTTTGGCTGACCATCTTTGAGAGTATAGACGTTGTCTACACCTCGTCTTCCCTCTGATATCATGAGTACGTTCCCTAAGAAGACATATTAGCATTTTCTCGCTTAAATAAGACTGAGATATAATACCGACCAATCTTTATATACTTGGTGAAAAATTCTCCTTCGAGTAGAGCTGATAGAGGAAAGATAACCCGCGCATACTGATGCGGCTCAATCGCCTCTGAAATTGAGCTCCAGGCTGTCTGGTGAATTTCTTGTGGAATGATCAACTCTAGCTATCTATTGTGTAAGCTGATGTCACATCCAGCAGATCAGTCTATGTGTATTGGGTGAATATTTGTATATACCTTGTGGTTAAATGCGTGGGCCAGTATAGCAGAGAATGGAGCTTTCTTCTGCGGCGGCTGCGTAGGATCGATGAACGGAGGCAAAGTTCCAACAGAAATGAAACATTTCTCTTGATCCATTGACGGATCTTCGAAGTCGAACATGATGCTTGAAAGCTCGTTGCTCGTTGTTCTTCTATAAAAGACAGGATATCACTTGGTATCGAGGATATGTATAAATTTGGAGACGTCAGATCAACGACAATGAAAGACCTCCGCCATTCTCTAAGCAGATGCTGCTAGATATCTTAGAATCTGGTTAATATCTCTGTCCACTGTCCCTTTATTGTTCTTCCGTTGCTAAATATTTCTTGACTTCGTTGACATCACGAAATCTAATCTCCAACCGCCAAGCCGCCCGTTTTCTCCGCCAGAAAAGCACCAAGAAGACGAAGAAGAACAACTATCCCACCAGGCGCTTCTATCGAGCGGCAAGGGCTGATCTAGAAGCTCTTATCATGCCGCCTGCTTCTTCCCACCTTGTGCCTAAAGATCGATTTGCTCAATTGTTCGGCGGCTTGCGGACGCAGAGCTATCCAGACCCCAGCGCGCGAGGCCCAGGATCCCATAGGTATGAAGATACATCGCAATAAGATACTCCTCTACAATGATATAGGTTCCGATTATCTAGCTAGATGCGATGCTAACTACTGCTATATAGTATCCGCACACTAGCATGGAACCCAACAGGGACCTTGATCGCAACCGGATCCGTTGATCGAACGCTTCGCATCTGGAACCCCGAACGACCTGATGTGAGGTACTCGACCGAATTGCGCGGCCATTCCTCTGGGATTGAGCAGGTAGCATTCAACCCAGTTAAGGAATCGGAGCTCGCCAGTTGCTCGAAAGATGGAACGGTTCGTTTCTGGGATGTGCGCGCAAAGAACTGCGTTGGCCGGGTCGATGTGGGAGGGGAGGCCTTTACTCTTGCATGGTCCCCGGATGGAACTGTCCTGCTGGCTGGACGAATGGTAATGCTCTTCTGTTGCTTATGTTCTCTTAGACAGGCGGTACTGACCTGTTTCTCCATGTTAGGACGACACGTTAGTTCCTATATCTGTTGAATCACTCGCCAGTCCAACCAGCACCGCTCCCAATGCACCAAAAGCGCCATCAACTTATAAGGCAATGCCATACCATAAGCAACCCGTTCGTACCAACGGGATTGCGTTTTCACACTCTTTCGATGCTGATCTTTTCCTTACCACTGGCGACGGAACCGTCAAAATCGAATCATATCCATCGTTCACGCCTCTCCATACGCTTAATGCCCACACTGCAGCTTGTCTTTGCGTTTCACTTGCTCCTACCGCGAGATACCTAGCCATCGGCGGAGGAGACTCCTTAATTTCCCTTTGGGATACGACAAACTGGGTGTGCCAGCGCACTGTCTCGAGCAGTGGCGGCGGAGCTGTGCGTGGTGTCAGCTGGAGTTGGGACGGCCGATTCCTTGTTAGCGCCTGTGATGAAGTTGACTGCGGAGGTACTGGCCTGGAAATCTTCCACGCTGAGACCGGGGATAGCGTTTACACTATTCCTACCGGAAATTCCAACGTTGGTGTCCCTGCAGTAGCCTGGCACCCGTCCCGGTACTGTCTTGCGTATTCCCTTTATGCGGAGGGCATTGGAAGTGGTAACAACGGATTACGTATTGTGGGTGGTGGTGCAGGCGATTTTTGAAGGCCCTTGACGAAGCGGATATGGACCAGCAGCTTCTACGCCGACGGTAATTAAGTATGGCTCTACAGTGGCCTGATGACTACCCAACTCGCGCCTTTAAATCGGCCATTGTGGGCTGAAGACCCTCGCGTTAGAAATTGACGCCGAAACAACCGATGAAATAGCCAAACATTGGACAAGCAACTAAAGCCAAGCCAGTAGACCTTCCTTCGCCGATATAGAACGTGCTTTAACGAGGATAAGAGTTGAAAGTGAGGTGGGGAAGAGTTGAATCGTTCATAGAGAAACGGATGATGCGCAGTGATCTCATCTATTGTTGTAACTATGATGTTGGCCTAGTTCTAAGATAATCGCTAGGATTTAATGCGTTAGTTTACGTATTTTCATTGTCTATCAACTAGGTATAAAGCGGACGGGAGTAATGATTTCCTCACCAACATATATATACACGTAAGAGGAGATAGGCGCATCCACATTATCCAATTCCCTAAAGCTCTGATGGAAAATCACCCAGCTCCATATCTAGACCTCCAAACCTAAGACACCTATCTGAAAGCATTGCGTGGTGAAAGTATCAAACAAAACAGGCCTAGAACTCGGCAGATATTCATCAGAGCGGTTAAATATGCATATGAACGTGAGAAAGGAGAGAGTGTCTAACACAAGCGAAGGTATGTTTCGTAGGAGGGGAGAGGCAAGAGGGAAGCCGAAAAATTGTTTGTAGATGGTGGACCGTTTGCGGGAAGAGTAGGGAGGGTTAATGTTGATTAAATCATGGTAGAGAAGACGGAAACGTTCAAAAGTGGTATATAGCAGTTAATAATTCAAGGGTTGGTAGATTGATTACCGATTCCATGCGCTGGAATTGAAAGCGTTAGGAGATTGTGCCCATGGAACCTCCTCAAGCGAGGATATTATTGCCTCCATGGTAGACGAAGATGGGGTAGGAGGTATTAAATCTGACTCGGTCTGCCTAGATGGCTGTTGCATAAAATCCCATCCATCTGGTAAGGTAAAGAGTTCTTGGTGCGGTAACTGAGACCCAGAAGAGGTGACTGGAAAGTCTCTTGAAAAGGGTAAAGTATTAGATTTATCGTGATTGCGTATATCAGCTCCAAAATTAGCGCCGGATTTGTTGGCTGTGTATGATATTGAAGACGGAAAATGTTGTGGTAGCGGCTGTTGGTTGTGTAGGCTTTGTTTAGGAGAAGGTTGATCTAGATGGGCTGGGGAGAATGAGCTGTTTGAGGACTTGTTTGTATTTGGGCTAGGGTTGTCGGAACAGGAAAGATGTCGTTCGCTTCCAGCACTAGTTCCGCCTGCTGAGACATCCATATCGAAATCCATGAATCTGAACTGGTCGTCTTGTGTGGGAGGCATCCTTAGATCAGGTATTGTTGCTGGCATATCTAGTCCATATGTTTGGGATTGTGGGTGATGAGGCTGTTTTGTAGATGGTTTCGGCCGGCTTGAATGAGGTCCGCCTTGTGGATCAGATGGTGAACTGTTCTCTGGAGATTCTGAAGACCCGTTCCGGACATGATCAGGTTTATCCAAACGGGCAATATCAATGATACCAATAGCACACTTTTCAAACTGGGAGCGAACGGCCTATAGGGTAAAGTTCGAGGTTAGCTCATGGGAAGTAAGCGGCAGAGCCCGGTGGAAGAAATACATACTCGAAGGGCACTTTTCCGTGCGTCATCCTCTGGGCTTCTTTGCATTGCGCTATAAGAGAACCTCGACACACCCTCCTCAGTAACCAGGCCGCTTCCCTCAAGATCGACGTCTAACTGTACAAGGAAAGATTCAGCTAGTGGGATGTTTCTCTTGAGGGCGTTCATAGCTGAAAGCAGGAACTGTAGGGACGACCGAATGGCTTGGTCTTGCGGTCTGGACTTGAGGTATTGAACAAAAACCCTGGCGGCAACATATAGACAGAATACAAGGAAGGGATTAAGCTATGTAAATTTACAGGTTAGTAATGCATAGGCTTCAATATTTTATCGTTTATTTGACTTACGGTTGTTAGGTCAACATGAGACACCAGTTTCATGATATTGGTTATTTGATCTGCAGCAATTATGCATCGCCGCTTACTCTCAGTAGAGATCGTGGCAGGCATATCGTGCTTCTCGGCTTTGTGGATTGCCGCTTGGTGAAGGCATATTGTCGAGGTGTGGATACACATATTGCAGAATATAATTTCGGGATCGTGAATCCCATCTGGTAGACGAAGGTGGTTGGGGAGGGAGAGCGATGTATGAAGTAGAATGTTGTCAAGAGCACGATGTCGTTTCCAGAATTCACCGTGTAGATCATGGTCCTTATCATTGGCAGTCACACGGTGAAGGTGATGGAGGTTTCGTCCGAACATGCACGCTAGCAATATAGTGGCGGCATATGGTGATAGGGACCCGGTTTCTTGACCAGATATAACCTCTGCGAGGGATGGGGTCGGTTGCTCCCTGCAGTTGACGAACGCCTCTTCGGTTGAAGGTAGGTTGGTCAAGATCTACAGAAACAAAAGGTAAGTATTTTGAAAGCGTAGAGAGATTAGGAATGATGAACAGGCAATACTCACATCTCTCTCGTCGACAATCATGGGCCAACCAGTACCGGCAGACGCATATCGATCTTGACAGAATGCTCCCCAAAACGTTCGTCTTCTCTCTTCGCGCTCTGTCCAGTCCCTGGCTGGTGGCAAGCATTGTTTAACATCCAGACCGTAACCGTCCTGCCTATTCAGACCCATCATCAAGCATAACCTCATTGCGGCACCTGTGCTCATCCACGCTCTTGGGAAAAACATCATCTTGAACTCATAGCATCCAACCAATAATAAGCATTGGGCATGGGCGACTGAAATTATGTTTTCACCTAGGCCTTTCATTTGGTCCAGCTCATAGTATTTGCGAGCTCGATTGTAGAAATGGATATGAACGTCCATGTATTTATCCGTGGCAGCAGCTGCATGGGCCCACATTGCGTACCGTAGACATACCGGAGGTCGCATTGAAGGTGCAAGATTCATTGCAGCGTAATATCGTGGTTTATGTATCATTGGAACTGTTCGGTGTATTTTCTGGAAATATATTTCATCCCTACAATTGGTGATTAGCCGGATAGTTCACTGACCACGCGCAGAAATGGATAGAGAGGTATACAGTTCATCTATCACCTCCTGGCTCGGCAGAGGCTCTTCTAGTCCCAGACCGATCATTTCCCATGAGAAGTCGGATGGAGGAGCGGTGTTAGATCCAGGGAAGACAGGTGGCGGCGGCAGGATATCCCCGATATCTCCAAACATATCCATGCCATCGAGAGATAGGTTTGGATCAGCTTCCACCGATTTTGGGATACCAGGAATGTTAGGTAGTCGGGACTGTGGTAGCGCTTGCGGTGCTGCATTATGACCATCAAACGATCTCGTCGGAGGAGACGCTCGACTGGTTTCAGCAGAGTCAACGCCCTTTAAGAGAGTCTCAACCTGGGCTATCAATTTGACAGATTAGCAAAGGGCTATATGCTCAAACTGATATCAGTATAGCAGCTGTTCACATACCCAGTCGTGCCTCCAGATGCTTGACATATCCTCTCTTCGGCCCGCTCTTCTTCCTCACTTCATTGTAAGCACACTCATGACCCAGTCTCGAACAGTTTCCACAGCTCGGTTTCGTCCCATCGCATCGAAGTTTTCTCTTCCTGCAGACTACGCATGCGATGCGCTTCGGTCTCGGTATATACCCTGGGTTCCCTTCCTGCGCACCCGGCGACTCAGCACGCCCGCCTGAGCCAGGGGCCGCGCCTGCAGTGGCCGCTGCACCGGTCTGCTCATTATTGCCCGGCATGGCTGCGTTGGACATGAGAGTAGTCCTCTCTCCTCCTCGGTGGCTAATTGAGCGGGGGGCGGGAGGCGGAGCGGAGTCGGAAAGCCACTTGGCTACAGCGGATGTGACGGAGGCTGGCGGGGGATTGCAGGGAGCGGAGATCAAGTAGACGCGACTGTCGCTTGTTGCCGAGCGCAGACGGAGAGTTGTGGCGGCATGAGGTGCTGGAGATGGCCGTTATCTGATCGATTTCATGTTCGCTTTTGAGGCTACGAAAAACTGCTGCCTGCGGTGTGGATATACGATCCTAGTCGAACTCTGAAGATATTCCGTTATGCTATTAATAATCAGCACCACAGAAATTATAGGGTAAATGATAGAAGAAGCAGAAGTAATAGTAATATCAGATTGTCTTTTAATAGAAGTACATTGAATAATATGGTACACGCTCCCCAAAGAACCGTTGCTAAAGGAGCTCTATCGTTCATCAAACTGCCCAGCATGCATAGGGAAAATCAGGAGTATCGTGTCATGTCGACGATCAGTTATATCCTCTACGGCGTTTTCCTTGGTTACGGACTCTGGGGGTAGTGACATCCCTGTTGATGTTCGCTTTAATTCTCGTCTTGTAACCGGATTTGGCCTATATTCAACATTAGCATTGCAGCGTGGGAAAGTAGAACACAAGTGATAAGACGTACCGGTAGACCCCAGGGACTCTTGGGATGGACACCACCCTTGGACTTTCCTCTACCACCTCCGTGAGGATGGTCCTTTGCGTTCATGGCAACACCACGAACGGTTGGACGGATGTTCAACCAACGCTTTCGACCGGCCTTACCGAGCTGAGCGTACTTCTTGTTGACGTTACTGGCAATTCCAATGGTGGCAGGGCAATCCTTGTGGATAAGTCGGACTTCACCACTCTGTAGACGGACGTTGACGTGTGTAGAGAGTTTCTGCAGTCTCTTCCATTCTACCTCCGTGAGGGGCGTTTCCTCGCTGACCTCCTCCTCGTGGCTGGCTTCTTCGGCTTCAGCTTCAGCTTCAGCTGCGGCTGCGGATGAGGCTTTAGTCTCAGCTTCCTTGGCCTCTCCACCCTCGACCACTTGTTCCTTCGATTCCTCCTTCGCAAGTTTGGGCTTGACTTCCTCCCACGGAGGTGGCGCTTTTCCAGGCTTCGATACCAAGATGCCGTATGTTCCGGCACCACGGCAGAGCTGGGCACCTTTCCCCTCATGCAGACCGATGTTGAAGATAAATGTGCCAACGGGGATCATGTTCAAGGGCAAGCAGTTCCCTCGCCGTACTGTTTTGGCCGCCAACACGCCGGGATCGATGGTATTACCCATACTCTCCCATAGCTCATCCGGAATACCTGGACGATAACTCTCGACGACATCTCCCGCTCTCATCCCCTCCGGTGCAAGAATATAGGTCAATTTCTTCGTAAACTTGGATTTCACAAGAGCAATATGCGCTGTCCGGCCGGGATCGTGCTCAACTCTCTCCACGACATGAGGACCAGGCTCGTTCCGGTGGAAGTCGACCATGCGTATTCTTCGCTTGTGACCACCTCCTCGGTGACGAACGGTGACTCGTCCAGTGCTGTTTCGCCCACCCTTTCCTTGACCCTTTTTCGGGAAGGTCAACTCCTGGAGCGGTCTTCCTTTCCACAAATGGTCATTTATCGGTCGCCGCAGATGTCTGAGACCTGGTGTACGCGGAGTATATGTTCGTAGTTTGATGGCTCCCTTCTCGCGGATTGGAGGTGGTGCGAGCGACAGGTCATCGAACATGGAGTCTGTTGCAGACTCTTGCTTCGGAGCAGAGGTGGTATACGGTCGGTAGGCAAGCGTTGCGAGGCATTTGCAGGACCGCTGGAGACCAGCAACCGGCACACGAGCCTGCAGCATGATGGAGTGTGTCTTCTTGCTCGCCGATCAGAAAGGAGGATGTTCGGGCTGTTCGAGGTTTCCTATTGTGCCATCAAGACGAGGAAACCGTTCAATTGCGTCTTTTCAATTGTGTATCCACAAAGCCGTAGACCTTCTGCCTGACAGTGCGGATGCGCAGCCCTGTTCGAGTCGACTGGCTTCGCTGGTCGTTGGAAGCTGTTCTTCGCTCTCCAGCTTTCGGCCTGGAAAAGTTTTGGCAAATTTCATAGTCACGTGATATCAACTTCTACAAATGCAAGATGCAGGCGATCAATGCAATTGAAGGAAGAAACCTGGACCAGAAGCAAACGACGGCAGCAACGGCAGCATCTACAGATCGGAAGCACGGAGTAGATATCAACGGGCAAGCACAGCGATCTTTCAGTTCCCTGATATGCCCTCTGCCTTACACGATGCGTTATACAGACGGATAACCGCAACGTTTCCCCATGATCCAGCCGCGCCGTACAACAGATGTAAGACAGCCTCTTACTCCAACTATATGCATGTTTATCATGCATTCAACGTATATTTGTGTCTATAAACATGGATATAGAGAAAAAGATGGTAAGGTCGCGTGGTATCGAGCGTATCGTGTCTGTAAGCGTAATACCAAAATGACAAGACGAAAAAGGCGGTTTCCCCGGCAACGGCCTTTGTTTGGGCGTCCTCGGCGCGGGTCTTGGCGCCGTCCCGTCACGCTGATACGCCAACATCGCGGGCGCCAGCTCAGGCACCGGGCCAAAACTGCGTATGGCGTCGGTATCGCGTATGGTATCGATACACGATCTTCCCGGCGAGAAAGAAAGAAAAATAACCATCGATTCTTCCCACTTCCTCTTCTTTATATCAAAACCAGACCTCCCATCCTCTTCCTCTCCCTCTGCACCCCCGTAACCCGCGACGATATCGCCCTTCCAGCCATAGCTTTACGTCTTCTCATCCCTTACAGACACGGCTTATGACCTGCTTACCCTCTGCGTCCTCTTTCTGCCCGTCGAGTTATATATCTTGACGCGATATCGCCAGGTTCTCGTGGGGCGTCATTGGTCGACCTCGTCCATCTCGACTTCATAGCTGAATCGACTCTCAGCCGGCGATACTGCATTTCTAGAGGGTAAGTCGGCTTCATTAATCTCTCCATGGCTCGTCTCGTCGTCGTGTGTATGTGGCGGTGTAGCAACGCGAACTTTTCCCTGGGATGAGGCTTATTTACACGGTCTACCACGCTTTGTCAACAACATGTTATCCCCCTTTGATATTCCACCACAACGCCTGAGTCTGCTGCTCATATCTTCATTCTTACCTTGCTTCGTCCTTGTTATCGCTGCTAGCCTAGAGTGAATTCGCGAATTTGCTCCAAGTGAGACCAAACTGACCGTTGCCAACAGGGTAACACACCTCAGCAGGATTATCATCGCCAGCATTTATCCAGATATCCGTTTCTGTGAACCCGGTCTCGGCGTCCCTGATCTACTCATATCACGCAGGCTTTGCATGCTAAATCACATCAATCATGCCACCCGTCAGTCATCTATCCCTTCTATCCCTGACCCCATTGCCAGGGGTTCGCGTAGCTAACTCCATTGTAGACACGAAGCCTACGACAGCGCACTGCTACTAATGAAAATGACGAGAATGCAACTGCTGCATCGACACGACTTACGCGAGCCAAGGCTGCCGCGTTGTCTGTGCCGGAATCCCAGGCCGCTGGAGTCAAGAAGGCCCTAGGCGCGAAGAACACAGCCAACACATCGACTGCCGCTGTGCAACGGAAGAGAGCTGCACTTGGTGATGTTAGCAACGTGACGAAACAGGAGAACGGCGATGGCAAACAGCTCAAAAAACCCGCAACGTCTCGCGTCACACTCACATCCAAGACCTCAACGCAGACCGGAGGTGTCCAGAAAGTCACCCGCACCAACACGACGCGAGCTGCCTTGGGAGTCAAGGACTCGAATAAGCGGGAAGCCACTACAGAGATCAAACGCCCTGGAAGCGGATCCGGTGTGATGGGCGGTCTACAGACAAAACGTCACAGCCAGAAGCCAGCCAGAGCAGAGAGTGTCGTCAGCGAGGAGCCACCACGCAAGAAGCTTGATAGCGGAAAGGAGACTATAAAGACAGAAGAAAAGGCGGAAGCAAAGACAGAAGAGAAGCCAGAAGAAAAACCAAAAGAGGAAGTGGTGGAGTCTCAGGAGTCAGCATTGGATGAAGTCAAGGAGGAGCGAGATGCTGATGCCATATTAGACCTGGACGCCGAGGACCTCTACGACCCCATGATGGCCACCGAGTACGTCGTTGACATCTTCGAATACCTCAAGGAACTTGAGCCTCTTACCATGCCCAACCCTGACTACATGGACCACCAAGACGAATTAGAATGGAAGATGCGAGGTATCTTGGTCGACTGGCTTATCGAGGTCCACACTCGCTTCCGCCTGCTCCCAGAAACCCTCTTCCTCACAGTCAACATCATTGATCGATTCCTCTCCGCCGAGGTCGTTGCTCTCAATAGACTGCAGCTCGTTGGTGTTACCGCCATGTTCATCGCGTCCAAATATGAAGAAGTCCTCTCGCCACACGTTGCCAACTTTAGCCATGTCGCCGATGATTCATTCTCAGATAAGGAGATCCTCGATGCCGAGAGACATATCCTCGCCACTCTCAACTATGACCTGAGCTACCCAAACCCCATGAACTTCCTCCGCAGAATATCCAAGCCAGATAACTATGATGTTCGAACAAGAACGCTCGCAAAGTATCTTATGGAAATTAGCTTGGTCGACCATAGATTCATGGAGTACCGCCAATCACACATTGCCGCTGCATCCATCTTCCTTGCACGTGTCGTCTTTGACCGTGGACCATGGGTAAGTTCGCGTTCAATGCCTTTCCCTCCTAACATGTTATCTAACGGTACGGTTTATAGGATGCAACCATCGCTTATTACTCAGGTTATACGAAAGAAGAAATCATGCCCGTTTATGAATTGCTTATTGATTACCTCTGCCGGCCGCCCGTTCATGAGGCATTCTTCAAGAAATACGCTAGCAAGAGATTCCTCAAAGGTATTGTTTCACCGCCATTCTCGCTTTGTGACGCGTTTCATTATACTAACCGTGCCATATAGCCTCCATAATGACTCGCCAATGGGCAAAGCAATATCACGCCGTGTACCTGAAGGGGAAGAACGGTTCCTCGCGCGAACAAGACCCCAAGCCCAAGTCAAAAACCGCGTCATAGCCACATCACGATACCGGGCTAAATGAGAACACGCTCTCCTAGTTAAACAACCTCCTCTTTACGACCGCACCTGTTAATAGTCTTTTACATTTAACCTCGCCCTGCTGGCTGCTACCACGTATTGTACCTATCACTGCACTATCCTGCATGTGTATACATACATAAGTCGCCGTCTACCCTTATTCCCATCCTCATCCAGCACCTTTTCATTTTGGAGTTTCTTTTCGAGCCTGCTTTGCTTTTGTTTTTTTGGGATGTATTGCGTTGCGGGTGGCGTTCTGCATTTGGAAAGCATACTCGATTTGTTGTTCTACTTCCCTAACTTTCTTCCCCTTTCCCATTCAACCTTCGGCTTCTCTTCTTTCTTCCATTCTACCTTTCTCCGTCTGAGTCTCCTGGGCGAGTTCAGGCGTTAGGCGACCAGATAAGATCGGATCCCTTATTGTTTGCTTACTTAAAACTTACCTTTATCTCTGCCGTCCATCCATCCAATCCATCCATGCATTACCGTTACCTGAAACCGCCTACCTACATTTCTACATCACAAATCTCTTGTTCTCTGAGTGTTCGTTGACAATTTATTAAAGCTTGTTTGAATTATTTTCTCTATGAAGGACGACAGACGAGGGGGATGGGAGAAATGGTGTCTCCTTGCCTTGACTTGTCTAGCTTGCGTCTTAGTTTTTACAAAACGGGGGTTTGAAGCGTTTATTAATGAAAATATGTGAGATTATAATTACTCCATCCCTGCTGCTTCTGGGTAAATGCGTAGCAACGCTTAGGTATTCCCGTGTGTTTACCTCTATCGCATCGGCATATCCAATTATGCATACAGGGGACCGCGTTGTTATTTGTTGATATTCGTCCCATTATGGTTATATTGGAATGCTGAATAATCGATGTCTAACCTCGGTACATCTCCAGCGCGTGAACTACTACAGAGGCAAGTTAATTGCTCTTCCTTTTATGCTACGATCCAGTTCGAACAACGACATAATGTAATACCCCGGTTGCCAATACCTTCTATCCCTACTAGAAGATGTCCTCACCATGCCCATTCTGCGCAATAGCCTCTAAATCAGCACCATTTTCACCCTCCTCGCCACCTACCAATGGCCAAAACGGTGATCAAGATGTCTTGCCGGACTCATCAAGGGCTTTCCCCATCTTATCGACAAAGCATGTTCTTGCATTTCTAGACATTATGCCTCTAACTAGGGGGCATATACTCGTCATTCCTAGAAGACATTATCGTAATATGGGAGATGTTGGGATACATGATGCTAGACAAGTTAGTACCCCTTTAATACTACGTTATCGTTTGTATATATATTTTTGAACACGTTGAAAAGTGATGTATTGATTTGTGGCATGAGAAATAACTAATAGGTTGACTTGTAGCTTGGCCAATGGCTACCCATTCTATCCCGAGTTATTGTTCGAACGGTCCTCGGCGAAGGTGCAGATGGACGAGGAGATGATCGTGGAAATTGGAACGTTATACAAAACAACGGCATATTCCCCTCTATCCCATTATCTAGCTCAACCTTCGTGCCATGATATGTTTCCTCGCGTTGTCTGATAAGCTACCTAACACGATGGTCAGGAGTACGAGCTTCGCAAACTGTTCCTCATGTACATTTCCACATCATCCCCAGACCCGCTTTAGATACCAGAACACCCACTAAGGGAGGCTGGATAATGTTTGGGCGTGGACAGAGGGATGAACTTATGGATGATGAAGCAGAGGAATTAGCAACGCTATTGAGAAATGAGTTAGCGAAAGAGGTCAGGAGAGTCAAGGAGGAAGAAGGTATTGATTTAGAAGTAGATGTCTCACACATACCACGCTCAACGAAGCTGTAGACTTTGATACACATACACACATATTCTATTGTTATACTTAATACATAAAGGGCCCATCTACGATTCATTTTTTTGCTTTGCGGGGGTTTCTTGTGTAGGTAGTGTTTCAAAGTACTATCAGATAAATTAGTCAATGTATTAACATAAGGGCTACACAGTTAACGTCACTAACCTTTCTTCGGAACGGGTTCAAATCGTCAGCATTAAGCCCCTTGGGTACCTCCTTTCTCTCTTTGGGCGCTGCTGAAGATACTTCGCTATCAGGCAGTCGTCTATAGATAAGGAGTCTCCGCGACCCTAAAATAATCAGGTTAGCTATGTTGCATCTGTGTTCCTAACGAAAAATATACTAACATTTGTTGAATGGTTGCACGCAAGAATCGAGGTGCTCAAGGCAGGGGTTACTTGGAATCTCAAATTCGACTTCGTCTTCGTTCGCTGTCGGCATCCAGAGAGATAATCTGCCATTAACAACTAGTGTGTGGGCGGCGAATTCAAGGATATCGTCAAGCATAGCTTCGAAGCCATATGGCCGTTTCGGGTGAATATAATCATCCCGCCTGTCGACATCAACGGTTAGATCCTAATCCATGACACTCATTATAGAAAGGCTTCTCCTTACTTATACGATGGAACACCCTCATACATCATGATCTCCCCCTTTCTCTTATCATCCTTGTGACCAAGGACTCTCAGGCCCTCTCTCACACCATACGGTGGGTCACATATTATCCCATCAAAAATACGCGTTTTCCGAAGAGGCGTGTTCGTTAAATCAGAAATAAATGTGTCCAAAAACTTGGACTGCAACCCATATTGCTTGAAATTGGCGGTGACTCCTGTATTAACACCCGGTGCTGCCTCTTTTCCACGGAAGCTTCGCCCGTCAATATCAGAGCCACAGGTGATTGCTCCAAAGTGAGCAGCAGCAACGAGAAAACTACCAGTACCGACAAATGGATCATAGAATAGCTTTCCGGGCGCCGCATGTGTCATGTTTGCAGATATCAAACTCAATTCGGCATCCATAGACGTAGTGCTGATATAATTGCGTTTCTTCAAGTCATATCTGTTGATCTCCGTCCGACCTCCCTCCGTAATCCATCTACCAAGATAGACGCGATTCAGCTCTGGTTTGGTATGAGTTTTAGGGTTCCCAGTAACAGCCAATTTATGAGAAAATTCTTCAAAGATGCAGAATGTCTCCTCGGCATCAACCATCTTTATCGGACCCTCAAATGCCAGGAACGCAAATGAGTCTATTATCTCATTTCTCTCCTTTGCAGTTCTTGTCGATGCATAAGTGTCCAAGCTAAATTTAAAAGAGATGGTCTTGAAATCAGGCCATCTCGACTCAGTGCGGCGCCGTACGTCTGCTCTCAACTGGTCATATATGTCCCCCCGCCCCCATAGCTCATATATATTTTTAGCCAGGATACTGCGGCGCATAAGTGCGCGAGCTGCATCTTCATTTTCAAGTGTCACTACACAATACGGTGTCTATAGACTGAGATTAGAACAATGTTGGGTTTAACGAGATTAACAGGCCGAATTATTTACTTATGCGGGGGCACACATACATTATCGTGATAAACTAGAAATTCTATATCAACCCCCACCAAACTGGCTAGAGCATCAATTTCTGCTTTGCGGAATGATTCATGGCTCTGCGCGAAGCGAATCAAATATTCCACCATATTGGAACACAGGAATAGTCAGTTATTGCCAACTACCTTTGGGTATCATTCGGGAATGCCTTTGCTGATTGCGAAATGAACATTTTTCTTTCGTTGTTTCTTAGCGAATCGACTTTTGCCTTCGCTGACTAATCAGTGTCATAGAAAAGTTTTGTTAGACTTGGCAAATATCACGCTAGTAGTTAGCGCTAAACCTTATTTAACCTTATAAATAAAGATCTTACATAAGATGGAATGAGCGGCTTAACACACCACAACAACCACTCTGCGCTTAGCTCTAGTTCAGCCAGATAAATAGATTCATCTTCAGACATCTGGTAAACAATACTATCTACCTAATATCACAGCTTTAGCCCCAAATCGTTCAGTTCCAGGTAAGTGTTGAGCTTCGGATGACTACTACATGAAACGTACCGCCTTCGGTTTAGCGTCACTTAGTCATGGAGTCAAGACCTCGGTCCGTTTCTCCTGAGACAGGTTCGTCGAGCGAGGATGAGGCAGACGACTGGAGCAGCCCGAAAAATATCGAAGCTGCTAAGGAATACAATCCACGGGGATTATCAGCCATAGAATTTGGCATGGCACGTTCCAAATTCTATTACAAATATGGTCTTGTGGCCGGATACCTTAAGAACTGCTGCGATACTCAAGAGTTACGCCGGATAGTCGATTCGCTCAGTGACCTTTTCAAGCAGTATGATGATATCAGACAGGCCAGTTGGAAGTCAACCATTAGCTGTCGTGACCTTTTCAAATTTCTTAGAACGTGTGAGGGGAGTCCACGGCTGTGTGCTGCAATTAATTCAGAGGAGATACCATCAATCGAGGCCTATACGTCGGATGAATTTGATTGCCTTGTTACCTGCAACATACTCGTGAAGGTTATCAACCGTGTCCCTGAACATTTCGCCGAGGTCTATGAATACTCCCCTATGCAAAAACAATTTCTACCACTGTTTGAAGATATCCATAGAGCCTATGCGCTGCTTCGTACATGGTACAAGCTTAATGAAAAGCGCACAACAGGCCTATGGGGTCCTAGAAAACCACAAAATAAGCCAGCAATAGCTATCCACTACTTCGATGAACTAGACGATGCGTCGATAAATAACGTTAGAGCCATTGATACGATGCTCAGTCGTGCGAGTATGCCGCTTCTTCCGCTGCAACAGGCTGCGACAATGCTAAAGGTCGACGTCTATAATCCAACTATCTTCGCTGATGAGCCTTCTGGGTTAGCTCTACTACGCCCTCAGCTGATAGGGGTTGCGACGATGTTACACCAGGAACGAATTTCGTGGGATAGACGCTCCAACGGGCAACCGACACGCCAGGCTTGCATCCTTGCTGATCAGAAAGGAATCGGTGAGGGAGTTGAAGTGTACTCGCTTGTTTGGCTATCATATACCCTTGGAATTCAATCAGAGGGCGATGTCACACGCCCAATAAAGCCAACGTTAATATGCATCGAACCAGACGCGGTTCTGCGCTGGAGAGGCGATTATATCCAATATTTTCAATCCCACCTACGCGTCTTTTTCGTTAGCCCATTCGTTAAAAAAGGAAATGATCCCTTCTCCCCAATGGTCAGTATTGGGTTTGAAGAATTTTATTTGGCCATGACAGATCCTGAAAAGTCTCCCCTATTTCCTTCTCTCAGCGATCGTGGGCGAACCGCCTTCATTATTACCCACAAGGCGCTGGAGGTATATATATATGAATCAAGGATCGAACATGAGAAACTTGAGAAAAGCAACCTCCATAACGACGATGGTATCTTGTCTACCCAGGTCACAGACACTGATGGGGTCGCGACAGAGGCTGAAGATGCGGAACTACAGGCTGAGACGGCTAAATTCGATACATTCTTCACCAAGTATCATTCCCCTTATGCGGGAAGTTTTTACCGGATAGTGGTCGATGGAGCTCATGTATTAAGACTCCCGAAGTCCCGTGTTTCACGCGCTATAAAACTCCTGGATCCGGATTTTACATGGTTAATGACTGCAACACCCCTACCAGATGGGGCGAGAGATTTTTATGGCTATAGCCTTCTTCTCTACAATAAAGAGTGGGTTCTTGATCTGCCAAAAGACTTCATGGACGCAGATACAATACGAAAGTTTGAGTATGCCAAAAGTTACGAAGAGCGACTTGAATTGTTTAACCCACTATATATTCATCGCCTATCCGTTAATGGCCAGATTGACGCTTCAGATGCTGCAAGCCCAATACCAGTCTTACTTAAGGAATGTATGATTCGGAGAACCTGCGATTCCGAACCCGACGTAGGGGAAAGAGGCCGATCCAAGAAACGATCCAAGAAACAATCCAAGAGACGACCCAAGAAACAAAAGCGGGAGTACGATATGCGTGAAATATTGCTCATCAAAGGAGAATGACTTGAGAATAGGCTTCATATTGTTGCTGAACAATATGAGGAAACTCCACCAAGTTGACTATGGTCTAGGCGTCAATAACCTATACCAGAACTTTTTTTCCCGTTGTTATATGGAAGGCATAGTAGTCGAACTACTATGCCCATTCCCTTCTTTTTCTCCGTTCAAATATAATTTAGGATATCCATCATAGCTATACTAGCTCTGCACATTATATAGATATAATAGATATATTCCGTATAAATCCTTTTCATGTAACATCTCGCAACCAGCTTAAAATACTGTGCGTTGCATTTTCCGACCCAGACTCCTCCCCATGGTTAAGGGCTTCATAATTAACGGCAATGGTTGGTTTAATTGGGCATGTCGGTGGTGGAGATGGTATAGTAGCTGGGCTACACCTTTGATGAATTACTCTATTGTTTCTATAAACACACTTCAAACCAGCATATTCAAGGTCAGTATATTGAAGCACTGTTACCCTAGGCGTAAGATAAACCCAACGCCCCGAAAGACAAAACGAGACGTGTTGGAGTATTAATGAAACTGGAGTCTCAAGGGACTGTTCAAAGAGAGGCAGCTCGCAGGCTTATATCGATATCGTGGTCACTGGGAGGCGATTGAAAGCCATTCTCATACACTGTCTGGTGCTCCTCGGTGCTCGAGCGAACAAGATCGGTGTCGTCCATAACAAAAGAAATTCTCATGAGAATACGGGGTGAAAATAAATGATGATATGATGTCATGATTGTCAGTTATTCATCAAAAAGCCGCTAACGTCATGTTTGGTACTTCGCATCTAGCTTTGGCGTGGCAACTTTGATATATATGAACCTATGGATTCTGTCCCTGAGACCTTTTTTTCACATTCTTTAACTGCGGATGGATTCGATAGAGAGGCTACCTGGCCCTGATGCACCACGGACGTCAGAACCGAGCCCGTCGCGGTCGCTGGTGGCGCGAAGTCGTCCTCAAAACCTCCGCAGACCCAGCATTCGGATATTCCAATCCACGTCGTCCTTAGTCGGAGAGCCCATCGCGCAGACTGCCAGCCATAACCTGGAGCCTATCCAGCGTTCCGAAGACGATGTGGTCGGCTCCAGGCGAAGGAGTAGCTCGGAGCCACAGCGTCCTCAGAATGTGGGCGTGCTAGCAGTTGGCAACGATGGGACTGCTGAATATACGCCCATGGCAACTGTAGCGGAAGAATCGCCAGCCAGATACGCTCCAATTGGGACAGGCCGTGGTAGATGGAGGTCTGCGAGCGCATCCGCAAAGTCGTCGCTGCGTCTGGCGAGAACTGGCCAGGAGCTGGGAAGAAGTCCGTACGGAGCCAATGAATATGACTCCAGGGTTGTCAATCTACTGGATGTTGTCGGTATGTGCTACCTCCTACACTGTATATCTTCGAGCTATGCATTGAAACTAACTTAGTCAAATGCTAGACCCCGAAGTATCGACGCTTACTACGCTCACAAACGTCCAGAACTCCCTGTTCGTGCCAGATTTGGGACGATTTGTAAACCGCCAACCTACATACAACCTTACGCGGCCTCGGACAGATTCTACAGAGTCGATCGCCTCTTCGACATCGGAGGAAGAACCAAAACCTCCAACCACGGACACAGAGCCAACCCCGGTCAAACGGACAGAAACAATAAAGTCAACTCTCAGTGAATCGCGGTTCGCTGTCTTACCAGAAGGCATCACACTGGAAGGCTGGGATCCGTCTGATAAGTGGGAGATTAATGACCATGTGAGACACATGCTGCACTCGCGAAGATCGAAGTTCAAGCGTGGAATGAAGGGCTTTTGGCAGTACGTTCAGAAACGTAAGTGAATCCTCCAACTGTTCATATTTGGGTTGTGAAACTGACAGTTATGCCCTTGAATAGCACTTGGATTCCTTGTTACGTTATATGCCACATTAATTACACTCTTTGGTCTCGCATGGGTCTTATTTTTAATCGGTAAGCGACCCTACTGTGTGTGTTTAAACTGCAGCTAATTGTGCGCCATTAAAGGTTGGATCTATGTTGGTGATCGCCAGCTATACGTCATCAACGTTATAGACAATGTGCTTGTTGCGCTGTTCGCCATCGTTGGTGACGGGCTGGCCCCATTCCGTGCTGTTGATACATACCATATGATTTACATCGCCTACTATCACCGTCTAACTTGGCGACTACGCCAGAAGGCGGCCCTTCCAGACCTCAAAAACCCGAACGACCTCCCAGAAACCCCGGTGGCAGATGTCATCAAAGCAGAAGCAAGCAATAAGGACATCGATATCGAAAAGGCTGCTAAAGATGTCATCACCAACGACGAGGAAGCTGAGTTTTCGGTCCTCAGCGCTGAGCAACAAAAGAAATTAACACATCATTCAACCAAATTCTCCAAATCTCATACATTCTACAAACCCCATGAGACAACAACTCATCACGCCTTCCCTGTCCGCCTCCTCATCGCCGTCGTTGTATTACTCGACTGCCACTCTCTCTTCCAAATCACACTTGGCGCGTGTACATGGGGAATTGACTATCGTGTTCGTCCAGCTGCCCTTACGACCACCATACTCTGTTTATCGATATCCTGCAACATTGCTTCTGGAATCGTCATTATGGTCGGAGATCGAATGACAAGGAAGAGAGACGTGATTGAGAAAATGTTGAGGCAGCAATTAACGAAGGAAGCAATCGATAAAGTAGAGAAGAAAAAGAAAAAAAAGCAGGAGAAGGAGAAGCAGAGGCTGGAGGCTGAGGAAAATTGCATACATGAATTAGACGAACGGGAAGACGAAACGGAAACACCTGCGGAAGTTGGGAAAGATAAACCGCAGACGGAATGATGCCTTTTAACATATACCGATTTACTATTTTTTGGCATGTTTATTTAATTTGGAGGTGGGCGTTGATAGCCCTTGCAGCTTCAGTACATATGTTTAATAGATACATAGCACCATTAACGATACCATGACGATTTCTCTGTATAGCGTATTTGATTAGCTCGGAGGAATAAGTACAGCGCATATCAAAGTGCTCTATGAGTCCATGCATTAAAACCGAACACCTCCCTGTGAAAAAAACAGTCTCCTCCGTAAAGCCAACCGTGATCTCCATATAAAACTGACAAATGATTCTAGACACGACGACGCCCTCTGAAAACCTCATAAACAAGTAGAAAACAGTCTAGTGTGTATCAATAACCTGGCTGGCTCCGAACCGATCCTAACGCCGTATGAAAATTAGTTGTGTTAGAGACAAGTGCCGTGGGCGTAATTTCGAGACACAAATGGTCATCTAGTCCTATACACCAGTCGCTGTAAATGTATACCTCGACTCGAACCCTTCTGCTTGCTCAACATGGATCTGTTGACCGCTAGGAATCATTTCGTGTTGCAAATCCCAGCCTGCTCGGCGACAGAGCTCGGAAACGACAACATCGCAGTCTCCTAGCATGTCAACGTCAAATTCGATATGGGAGACAGGCTGGTTCAAAAGTCTGTTAGAATATGAAGTTCGTGGAAAATTGAATGAAAAGGGGAAGAGTACGAACAGTGCGCGAGATATACACTTGTGGCACCTTGGAAGGGAGGACGCCAGGAACCTCGGCCACCGGTGCGACTTTGAGCGATGTTCCAATGACGATGACGAGATCAGCGCGTTCTCTATCATGTTCTAATAGCCGCTTCTTGAATATATCAGGGAGGTCTTCCCCGAAAAATGTAATATCGGGCTAAACTGGATTAGCCCGCGGTAGTTAAAGTGCCTGGCATAAAGAAGCTAAAACACCTACCTTCATCACCCCTGTTGTGGGAGTAGAATAACCTCCGCCGTCCGAATCGTCGTCATAGCCGGAGCGAGACCGAGACCGACGCATCTTGCCATTGGAGCTACGCTTACGTTTTAAACCTCGAGGTCTGGCCTGCGATTTTTCCTCACAGGGCACGCATTTGGGGATTTCGCCCCGTCGGATAGTGTCAAAGAGCTGGTCGCCTGGAACTTGATGTTTACAATCCATGCAAGAGGCAGTGGCAAAGGATCCATGGCACTGGATCATTTTCTCAGGCAATATCCCAGCAGCGCCCTCTATATTATCAATATTTTGGGTAAAGTTTGTGAGCAGCTTTCCTTTGTCCTGTAGCAGGCGTATGAAAGCATGAGTAGGAGAGAACCTCTTCTCGGTTGGCAGAATGTCCTTAGCAATGGAGTAAAATATACTGGGATCTTCACGGAAAACCTCAATATCGAAAACCTCCTGAGGGTCACTCAGACCAAGGTGTTCTAGTTTTGAATAGAGACCAATATCCTTTGACCGGAAATCGGGAATTCCGAGACTTGTAGATATCTGGCATAATGCAATTTGTCAGTACAATGTGTAACCGTCTTGGTCCTTGAGGAGGGCTATAGTTCCTTACTCCTGCGCCGGTAATGACAATAATATTCTTAGCCTTCTTCATTAGCTGAACAACATCATCAATGGTATTGTATTCTGGTAACTTCAGACGCTTTGAGCTCTCTCGGGACATGCCCATGAACAAAAGTGGGTGATATGCCTTATCCGGGGCGCCTTCAAGAAACGGCGGAGGCATGATTCCAAAGGCAGTACACAGCTTCTTCGCACTGATGGTGCCTCGGCCAAGTGTCTCTGCAAGAAATGCAGCTTGTCCTATCGCATGAATCCGTCTACGATATGTGACCGCCTCTTGAAGCGTGCATGCTCCGGGGACTGGTTTAACCGTCAGCGAGGCATGAAGAATGCGCGCGGGATACAGAGACAAGCCTACCACCATCGCGCAGCTGCTCGTCGCCAACGAACTGTAGCGCATCTTCATAAAGAGAAGTAGTCTCCCATTCGTCACCAGATTCTTCTTCATCACTATCTTCTGGCAAATGCGACGCGTCTTCTATGAGCTCGGCTGCAGGCTCGGCTTCACTGGCGCCAACGATCACCTCGCCGGCAACATCGATAGCATCGGCGATGGAGGCATTTGGAACCCTCTCCTCGCCTGCTGGAGTCGCCACGACGTCCATATTTACCGGTTAAGACGAGCCACCGCTCAATGACGTGCAGACCATCTACGCTTGGTGGTTGATCGCGCGCTGGGATATGCGCTGGCCCTTAAAGCCGCCGGAGATTAGGATTATCCGGCGATACGAGATGAGGCTCAATATCAGAATTAAGAATAGGGGTATGGTATATATCTCTGGATCATATCACGCTGGATATAGTGTCATCTATGAACATACAGCTGATATGGCAGCCATGAGACAGTATTTTCTCTTGTGGTGATATACAGGTGAGAGACCGAGTTTACAGATGACAATTTATCATTGACTGACAATCCGAGCAATTGATCAATACTTGCCCACCCACTCCCATGTCTCCTTGCAAACTATAACCTGTCGAACATAGTAGGAGGGACCACAAAATTCTGCCTCTTCTACGGCCAGGTCCCCAGGAAAGTCTTTGTCTTTAACGCCCAGTAAGAGTAAAAACTCAACTAGCCGTGGAGCGCAAACTTTTGCAGCATATATTGGATCGTCCTTACGCTCCAGACCGACATTATCGAAGGGAACACCGGCCTCGAATAACATGGAAATGATGGCTGGGTTGTTGGAATATATCGCTCCAAGGAGCGTCTCTAACCCAACCTCAATCCCTCCAGGGATCCTCTCGTAGTTGAGATCTACCCCTTTCTGGAGGAGGCATCTTACTAGATGAACCTCCCATTTTGCGCAGCGTAGGGCAAAGCGATCTCAAGCTTCTGACCGTACTCGGCCAGTGTCAGCACGGCTTCTTCATGTCCCCCATAAGCGGCAAGTTCCATGGGTATGCGGCTCCGACAATATGGATTATCGAGTTCTGCCCCACGATCTAAGAGAGCACGAACTAATCGATCGTATCCTAGGTGTGCGGCCAGATGGAGTACAGTTCCATCACCGTACGGGTCCCTGTTAATATCGGCGCCATGGTCAAGGAGCGTTTGCACCATCGATTCGAGATTGTGACACACGGCCTCCCAGAGCATTAAATCTCGGAATTTGCCTAAGCTGCCGAGAGAATGCCCAGCTGCTTGGAGAAGAAGGTCAATAAGATCCATACGATCTATTCGGACTCCGCACAAAATGGCTCTAAAGTACTCTGCGGTTGAGGGAGGGAGCCGGAACTTCGGCTGCAAAAGTAGAAAGACAATTTCCCAATGACCGCCTAGTGTTGCAGCTGCTAAGGCACTTCCTTTGGGATCTCGGTACTCATGTATCGCTACCCCAATTCCCATTATTTGTATACCTGGCCTATTATGGTCCCATGACCCGGCGGCGACATATGGATCGGCACCATGGTCGAGAAGATACTGAACAATTTCAAGATGGCCCCAAACAGCAGCAAGAGGTAAGGGCTTGCCAAAAAAGTCATTAAACGAATTGATGTCCACCGAGGCGGCCATTGACTTAACAATAGAGATATTTCCAATCACGATTGCTCCGCACAAGATATTATACGTTGGATCTACTTCATCGAAGTTCTGGAGCTCCTCCTCGGCCTGAATTTCTCCACGGCGACAGTTGGCAGCTACAGCCTCGGCGACCATTCGATGCTGCTCCAACCGGCGCTGGCCCGTCGATCCAGTCAATTCGTCCAAAGCTTGGTTGACACTGGCAATTACACTAATTGGTACAATTCTGGTAGCTTCTTTGCGACGAGATTTGGCCAAAAGGATTCTCCCGAGAAGAGGCGAGGTCAGAACAAAAAGTAGCCAAAATTGTCCATCCAAGAGGTCGAGAACTTGGCGATCACAGGTAATAAACAAGATACCAGAGTTAAAACGCCCTAAGATACTTGCATTAGAGAAAAGATTTTTCGTTATCCTTATGCAATAATATTCCTGCCTGTTAGTTCAAGGAGAGCAGGAGACATACTATTGATTGGTCTGAGTCGAAACGACTTTGCAAGTCCAATGGACAGTACCAAGTGTTCAATAATTAGAGTAAAAATCTCCTCGGGAAGTTGTTCGAAATCCATCATGAGCCGCCGTGCTCTCTCGCTACAGGAATAGACTTGAACTACAGTGTAGTTAAACAAGTCATAACATATTTATGATATTAGAAGGATTTTATGATATTATAAAATCGATTGACCAACATCGCAGTTCCATGTCGTTGTCTTATGTTTATCAGCCTCATATCACATGACATCGAAGTGGACTCGCTTGAACAGTAGAGATAGCTTCCACCTCTTATATCTTATTCATACTCACTATTAGACCAAGAGTGATAGTGAAGAGATGCTGGATGTTGTATGTTGTATTGTATAGAAGAGGCAAGTCCAGTCATAACAGACGTTCGAGGCCGGGATTCTACCGAGGCACCGTGGCAGAGTGGTTAATGCGTAGGTCTTGAATCCATTGAGAACCTATCCCTTAGGGGTCGCGCGTTCGAATCGCGTCGGTGTCGACTTCGAACTTTTTTTTCCATATCACGTGATATGCAAACCATCCGCAGACCTCGAGAATAATACAACATGGAGTGTGATGTTACGGGTAATATTATCAAAATTCCGCTTGAATTGCAGTAACGTGAACCTATTTTTGTATTATTACTATAATTAAATCCTCCACGATTCCCGTTTGGTCCACCTGTCCATGGGGACAGGGACAATCATTCCGTTGTATCTGGCGTATAGCCTCCTCCGATATATTTCTCAAGGCCGGATATTGGCCTATTCCTAGGATCTAGGAATAAATACCTTCGTTTTGTGCGCGCGATTTCTTCCACTGGTATTCCTTCCAGCTTGTCGATCCAACTATTGATCTTATAAGCAATCATAGTACCAGCTGACCACAGATATTCAACGACAGTCTCCCCACCTTCAGTGATGCCTGTCGCTTTTATAGCTAGTCGTCGAGCTTTATCATCGTGCTTTGTTGTTAAACAATACGCATTTTCGTGATGCTCCCCTGGCTCCTTCAGCTCAATATGAATGGTTGCTTTGTGATGAAGCAAGAAATGAGGGTGGTAAAGGCAAATATTTGCGAACATAAGATAGATACGCAGGGAGTTATGATAGATATTTCCACCATACTGCCTTCCAGTCGTGAGAAGGCTCTGGTTTATATCCATCGTTTGCTGAGCCCAGTACTCCATGTTGTTGCGCATCAAGGTTTTCGTGATAGGTACTCCAATGTCCGCTCGATATATTCCATCTTTCTCTTTCTCTAGTTTAACAAAGTTTTCTAAGTCACCCTCTTCATCATTGATGATTTCCTCGAGTTCTTCCAAATTCGGGATATCTTCGAAGTCTTCCATGACTTCGTTCGGGTGATTACTATATCCGGCTGTATTGTCAAAGTGTGCCAGGCCTCGTTGGTCTCCAATGGTCCACCTCTGTCCACTCCGGGAAAACTGCGAATTATGGCGATCGACTATCTCCTTGCATAAAACTTTGACTCTTTCGAAACGTTGGGAATCAAAGTGCCCTCTGGACTTTGCTCTTTTCTGAGGCGGCCTAGGGTGAGCTCCAGTTGCAGCCCCTTCAGCCACCTTGTTTGACTGAAGGACATGGGTAAGCATGAGTAGGCCAGCTGATATCGAGCCTGCCGCTTTTGCTAACGCAAGAACATCACTTTCTTTTTCGAACCCCTTACAAGATAACCATGCCGAGATTTCTGGGTCTAGCGCCTGTATGGAAATTTCGGCAGATATGGCACTGTTTCGCTCACGTTCTGCGTATCTCAGTATGCTCCCTATCGCAAGACATGACCGGAAGACAGATGGATGGATGCCTGGAGATTTTGTTACAAATTGAGCAAATCTTATGAGCTCCGCTTGTCGATTTGCATCCCGCCATTCGTTAGAGCCAATATTGACGATATAATCTGGCGACTTAATATAGATTCGAACGATCTTGGTCGAGTCTGATTCTGCAAAGATATCGAACCTTAACTTGCAAAGTTGGATGCTGAGTGGCCCAATGATTGATTTGTTTCCATCAAGGAATCGATATGTATTGGGCCCACAAAGGAAGATAACGCGAAGACTACTAGCCTGAATAATATCCCGAGTAAGCTGGTTAAAAACGTCAGTTTTCTTTGGACTGATTCTCCTCGCTGGGGAACTTAAATCGAAACAGAGCTGCTGTTGATGATTGAATGTCATTACAAGACTATTAGTCGTTGTAAATCCACATTGGCTCAATCCCCATGGTATCTTAGTAACGATTCCCTCCGACTCGTCGGCGTCCTTTGGATCCACATTGATGCTCATATAGCTATAATCAAGAATAAACCCAATTCGTGCTTCAAGTGTACCAAAGGGCACTGCTAATTGACCTTCAATCTCTGTAGGACCTATTTTCTCGGCATATCGGTCCAAGCAAGACTGGATATTGAATGACGGGGATAATGGTAAATGCTTAGTTAGATCAAGTACTAGCTTGGCTAAACCAGCTTTATCTAAACCAACCCTTAGTGAATTCCAGTAGTCTGTGGTCTGGGAATAAACCGGATTGACGAAGCCTGTTTTGACACCTTGCTGCCGTCGTATCTCTGGCCACCGTTGAATATCTGGGTCTGGTGAATTACCAAGGCGGAGGGTAAAGCTATGCCGAAGTGACGGGGAAATATACAAACCCTGAAGTAGTGGTGAAACAATATTAAGCCCTAGATTCTGCCACTGCGCCTGGCCATCAGGGAGGGTAAAGTGTTCATCAAGAGCTAAGCCCGGAAGGGATTGGAAAACTCGACATAATGCCATCTCTAGAATATTATGAAGAATATTCTGCCTTCCGCTCAAGGTTGTTTCTGAAAGGTCCTCCACTTTCCAAAGTCGTATAAAATAGGCAGAACGGAACTCTGAGCTTGAAGATAAAATAAAGTAATGCAAGGTGTTCTGAGCTCTACCCTGGATTGCTTTAATGTGCTCACCTAAGCGCCTTCGTAGATTATTGGATTGTCCAACATATGGACGCCAGTAAGCAGGATTTCTGTTATCAGTGACGTAGCTAAGGTACCCACTGTGCGGTGGCCAGTTTGAGCCTATCTGTGATTTCTGGATTTTATCTAGCCTATAATAATAGTTCGTCAGACAAAAGCTATAAGAGTCAAATGCGACTGTAAGAGCTAGGTACTTACAAAGCTCTTGTGATTATTTTTCCTTGTAAATCCAGGATCCCCGGCTCAATACATTTCAAAGCATTGCTGATGATCTTATCCTGACCTCCAAATACAGAAATCCATTGGCGGTAGGGAATTCCTTGTAGGCCCTTCGGCTTATCCTTCATTAGGCTCTGGATGAGCTCAGAGAGAATAGTTGTCAGATTGGGACCGACAACTTTAGGCTGGATGAGATGCGAGCCCTAGAATATATTTAGCTTGGCCAAGTAAATACGTAAAGTTCTGTACATGACTCACATTGTCTTCCTGCTTCACTGACACCTCGACAATTGCATCATCATCACTCTCCTGATCTGTAGCATTGGATGAGATATTCCCTAATAAATTCGCTTTTGGGACCGAGATTGTCGGGGGCCGATTTGCAAGCATCTTTCTACTGTTTCCATTACTCCATTGAGCTGGAGCGTATCGTTTCTTATTCGGGCATCGGGCCGACTGATGCCCCTTCTTATTGCATTGCTCACATGGGCGGGCGGTCGGGTAACTGGTGACAATGTGCCCGGAGAGCTTGCAGTATGCGCAAGGGGCGTCTGGACATTCGCTCGTCGGGTGCTGGCCCTCTGCACCACATTGCTTGCAACACTTAGGTGGGTAAAGTGGCATGATAACAGCTATCTATCAATATGTGGATGGCAGAGCTGCTGACAATGCTAGTTTTGTTAGATGGTGGATGGAACGTGTATTTATCGAATGTTTGTGCTGGTTGGAGACTCGCTTAGAGGTTTTCTCTCAAATTCGAGAACACAAGGTGAGTGAGATTTCTAAAACCAGAGGGGTAACGTTTTAGGTGCCTTCCGCGCCTAGTTAGGTAGAGTCACTTTCTTTGATTAGCAATAACACTTATTTATGTGTCGCCAGAATTAGAGTGAAGACTGCCATAAAGGCACAACACCACGGCATTAGCGCAGGTTATTATGGCCCACAGCCATAATTGCCAATGCCAGATCCGCGAAGGGACATATGTTTGCTTGTAAGGGGTAAGGGAGTAAACAGTTAAGTCATTGACATGAAAGGCAAACGGTAAGACTGGGGGTATAACATCCTCGGGACTCGCCGCCGCTAGCACCGAGTATGGTATTCGGGCAGCGACTGCAGCTGGAACTCCATTCATCTCTTCTCTCCTTTTTTGGCTTTATATTTCATAGCAAAGGTATCTAGTAGCCTCTTAGCATCAATCAGGTCAAGCGTGTTACTGGCTCGCCCTCAAACCAGCCTGCGGATACTGGTGCTTAATGGTACTGGAGCAGCGTTGTGTGTGTGTGTGTGTGTGGTGGTGATGTGTCGATTATGGTATGGGACCCTGGGGTGTCGCTCTCTACCACGTGACTTAACTAGATTTGGAACTATCTAGTTATTAGGTAATGAGCTTGGAACTGGACAGGACAAGATTGTCATATTATTTGTCCTTTGGACCACATTGAATTCTAGAGTTTCTAATATTAGGCATATAAACACAAGGTGTCATCTCTCCAAAATCAACATCTAATAGGCAATGACACTACTAACTCGATATGTCCTACCCGAGAGCCAGTTATTGTAGCCGAATCGATACGGTAAACCTCCTTCACCATATCTTATTAGAGAACAATTTACTATCCGCTCCCATAAACCTCTGGCTCCCACGAAACGGAGTTACGGCTACAGACCTAGTACTATATTCGGGAGAAACGAAAAAGCCCTCTTGGGCGCTGCCTTATACGTCCTCCTTATCCAGGGCCTAATGGAGACTACCTAGGTTGTTCACTTTAAAATATTCAACGAGGCTCGATTTGGGGAAAGTCACGGCTCACGGTTGGGGTTGGTAGATGTTTTGGATGTGACACCAATCAATTCCCGAGGGCCACGCAAGAACACAACTCCGCTTGTGAAAGTCTACGGTCCCCTCCACTGTGATCATTATGGTGTAGGCCCACTTCTCCTGGTTGGTTTTTCCTACTCGCAAAAATGTGCAGCGTATGTAGTTCTGGAGAGACTACAAGGAAGCATTATACCAAAATAATATTGGTCGTTTACACTGGAGATTCCTGCTCCGGGGCGTAAGACAAATCTTCTTGTCAGAATGATTCTTTTGGTGGTGCTTAGCTAGCCCGTAACTAGTTACCTAACTGAACCGAGCGGGGTTTACCCAGCAACACCGCCAAATAAGTATGAAAGATAGAAGTGTTCCAAATCCCGATCTTTTCTGTTTACCTTTTTAATTTTTGGTTAAGGCTAATATATCAATTTTTGTGGCCCGAAGGGTTTTCCGTGCATCCGACCCCATCGGTCCACTGTTGTGTCGTACAACAACAAGAAAGCTTGCGAGTTCCATTTCACTTTAGACAGACGACTTCGAATATTATATTCAATCTACGGAGTACACACCTGCCAAAGTATCTATAATAAAGTAGAAATGGTGATAGATGTGGTGGCGGACCTCCGGACTTGTTCTAACTCCAATTCTCGGGGACGAGAATGAGCACAAGGCACTGTGGCGGAGTGGTTAACGCGTTTGATTCGAACCTTATATCTGACCACTTGGTTGATTTAATGATTATCAAATCCCTTCGGGGGCGGGAGTTCGAATCTCCCCGGTGTCGACTCTTGTTTTTTTTATTCTTTTTATTCGTTTTGTCTTTTGTGTTTTTGAAAGGACGGATACCCAGATGTAGTTGCCGTTATCACTATAATATAAACAAGTTAAAGTGTAGATGAACACTAGTTACCATGCATTTCATATATTAGCAGTTTGGTGCATTTGTTGAGGTTATAAAATTCCAAGGGTTTAAGAGTCTGCCATGTCATGATCATTATCCGAATCAGAATCATCCGTCTCGTCCTCCCAGACATCATCTTCGCCAGCTTCGTCTTCACCAGAAACTCCCAGCTCGTTCTCAAGTTCCTGGACCAGTTCGAGAGCATGTTCTTTCAGCTTTTCATCCTCATAACCGACAGTCTCACACAACTTCAAGGCATGTTTTAGCCATTTCCGACTTGTGAAAAAAGTTGCACCCTGTTGCTCTTTTGTCTCTGCGTCAACCTCGCCCTGGGCTTGCTTGTGGTCCTTTTTGCCTATTAGATACAGGCACCATCCTCCCAGGTACCATGTCTCGATACTCTGGTCGTCTTCAAACACCATTCGCTCTAGCACCTGGAGTGCCTCGTTTTCCATCTCGACCTCCATCAGCAGTCGAGAAAGGCTTATTCGAGATGGGAAATCTGGTATCAGGGTGCTCTCTGGCGGTTCATCTTTCCATATATCTAGGCTTCGTGATAGTGCCGCTTTGGCGTCATCTAATCGGAGCTGTGATATTCTGACGGATGCCAGGGTCTGAAGACATTCTGAAGAGTCAGGGGCTACTAGTAGGGCCTCTGTAATTAATGCCTCACACCTGCTTTCTGCATCTTCTTCCCATCTAATGATCAATTAGCGCGTATTTCAACATGTAGAGGCGAGACGGAGGACCAAGACTCACGATAGATCTGTCATGTATATTTCCACCACACCACAGAGCGCATGCGCAAGTCTCTTTTTAAACCCTTCCCGTATCTCTTCCGCGGTCTCATCGCTTTTCCCTTCTAGAGATTGCAAGTTTCTCTTCAATGCCCCTACCCCTCTCTCAAACCATCGCACACTATCCTTCCCACCTTCTTCACTCAATTGAGCAAGCCATAGAAACTTTTCCGCGGCCCCATCAATCGTCTCGTCTATTTCACCTTCCGGATCTAGTTCCACGGCTCGTAGGAATTTCTCTCGCGCCAAATCGACCTCGCCTAGTTCAACGTATATCTCTCCGATCAAATTCAGTCCAATCAAGTATTTTGGCGAGTCTGAGGAAATATTGTTTAGTGCTCGTTCAACAAGCGGCAATGCTTCGTCTGGCTGTCCGGTTTGAAGTAGAATTGTGGCTCGTTCGAACAGGACTTGCGGGTCCTCCTTCGGTCTTGACGACATGCCTTTGGTGCCGTGGAGGACCGACTTGGACTTCTTCTTCGATTGTTTCTTCGAGGGTCTGGTTTTGGCCATTAGATCAATGCCACCTCGTTCGCTTGGGACGGTTTGAGCGTCTTCAACCTGGGTAGTAAAATGGAGATACCTTTCTAAGGAAAGAAAAGAGAATGCTGATATATAAAAAATCTGATTATTTCTTTAAAGCAGGCTTTAATTGTCGTTTTGTAAACTTCTTCTAACATCTTCGACTTGCCCAAAAAATTATAAACTTGCCGCATGTTTGTCCTGTTTGCAGCATGAGATAACGCAGATCAAGAAGTCGATAACAAGAAGAAGAAAAGACAAGAAAGACAGGCCGTCGACAAGGAACATATCTATCTGAAGTTGGATACTGCTAGGCTTGCGCAAGCCCATATGTAAGATGGGTCGCGAAGAACAGGCGGAAGAGAAGGAGACCTTACAATCTATATTCCCCGACGAGTTGACAGGTATTGTCTTAGAGACACAATATTTCAAGATTTACCACTGACAGCTGTGCAGATGTCTCTGAGAACACATACCGCATCTCTATACTTCTCGATGTCACCTCTCACGATGACGAGGATTTCGAGCCTCCAACACTCATCCTACAGGTGACTTATCCAGAAGACTATCCGGACGTAGCGCCTCGACTCGAACTATCCGCCCCTCCCAATGCGCCCAAACACCCCCACCTCGATATCCAAGAAGATAGGGAACGGCTATTAGAGTCCCTGGAGCCTACGATTGAAGAGAACTTGGGGATAGCCATGGTGTTCTCGCTGGTGGACACTCTAAAAGAAGGAGCAGAACTCCTCATATCAGAACGCCAGGCGGCTGTTCAGGCCCTAAAGGACATTGAAGCAGCAAAGGCAGACGAGGAGGAGAACCGGAAGTTCCAGGGTACGCGAGTGACGCGGGAGACATTCCTTGAGTGGAGGGAGAAATTCCGTGCCGAGATGAAGGAGATCGAGGACAGGCGGCAGGAAGAAAGGGAGGCCGAAGAGAAGAAAAAGAAGGGTTCGAGTAAAGAGCCGAAGAAGTTTACGGGGAGACAGCTGTGGGAGAAGGGAATGGCCGGAAAGGGAGACTATGAGGATGATATGGAAGATTCGATACCCGAAAAGCTGGAGAAGGTCGAGTTGACAGCATGATCTAACAATAACATCTACGGGTTTCCTGTCTGACACTATTTCTCCTGACTCGTCTATGGCATATATACTATCCAATCGGCGATCGAGCAGCGGTTCAGCCACGGATAAAGGATAAAGGAGCCGCCATATCTAGCGCCTGAGCTGTATACTCTAAGTGCTCGTCAATGTTGAACATCCCCAGAGCAACAGCTGCTGAAACATGACATCCTGGTCCATCGTGTATATAGATCCGGGCATCTCGGCTATTACGAGATCCCTACGCCCTACATCTATCACGTAAAACCCGTTCCCCTCGTAAAGAGTTGCATATATAGAGACGCACGGAGGAGAAGGAGACAGCCAGAGATAGACATCCACGATGGTGCAGTACTTCCCTTCCATCTCGCCCGACCACCAGGAATGGCTCCTCAGCCAGCCTGTCTACTTCGTGGCCTCTGCCCCCAACCGCGGGAAACACATCAACATCTCGCCCAAGGGCCTGCCGGCGACGTCTCTCGCCATCCTCGGTCCTAACCAGGTGGCCTATCTCGACGCTACAGGCTCCGGCAACGAGACCATTAGCCATGTCCGGGAGAACGGGCGGGTGACGGTCATGTTCTGCTCCTTTGGCGCCTCGCCGCGCATCATGAGGCTGTTCTGCACCGGGAGCATCGTGGAGTATACCGATCCCGCGTTCAGAGGCTGGCTGAGCAGGATGAACCTGGCAAAGGACTATATCCGCGGCGTCAGGGCCGTCATCGCCTTGGACGTCTTCCTCGTACGTATTCTCCCTTGTAACCTTTACAGTGGCTGTTGCTTATACGTCTAGGTGCAAACGTCCTGCGGCTACGGAGTCCCTCGTCTCGCTCTGCAGACGGACGCTGCTACAGGCGCAGTGAAGCCCTATCTGCAGGACCGCGAGACGCTGGTCGCCTGGGGAGAGAAGAAGGACGGTACAAAGGAGCTGCTCGAAGCCCAGTGCAAGTGGAATCTGGAGTCGCTCGACGGTCTTCCGGGCCTGCGCACTGCTCTGCAGGGCACCGGGAAGTCGAACATCGCCATCAGCCTGTCCATCGCCGCGAACAGGTATCGTCGGCTGCTGGAGCTCGCTGGCGCCGTCTTCGTCACGGTGTTGACTCTGTGGCTGGCAGGGTGTCTCAAGATGCCGCCCGCGCTGCTCGATCGTATGGCTTCATTATAAATCAGATCAGTATATTTTAGTCTTTGGCGCACGCCCTGCCACATGTATGTTATGTTTATACGAAGAGGTCGGTGTGATTAATAGCCCGGTCGGCCGTCCGGGGAGTAATCCTGTTCAGTTTCGCGCGGGGATGACGAGGATCTCTAGGTCTATATAAACATCTGCTCCCTGGGCCTGCCACAAAACTTCTACCACCACCACCCATTAAGCCAGACCAACCTCACCAGCATGCCTCAGTTCGCCATCTACGCTAACCCGGTCGCTACGGCGCCGGATCGCATCCTGCTCGCCCTCGCAGACGCAGGGTTCACCGATTTCGACTATGTAACCGTCGACATGCGCGGCAGGGAGCACAAGGTCTGACCCAAAATCCGATTTTACCATTGTATAGTCCATTGACGGATCTGTATAGACACCTGAATACCTTGCCCGCAATCCCTTCGGCAAAGTCCCTGCCCTCGTCACCAATGATGGCATCACAATGCATGAATCGCGCGCCATCACCCGCTTCCTCTGCACAAGACTCAACCTCCCCCTCATCCCTAACCCAGCCACTGCCTCCGCCGCCTCTCAGGCTCTCTTCGAACAAGAACTGTCCTGCGAGACATCATACTTTGAAGGTCCCGTCTCCGGCGTGATCTGGGAAACGTTCATCAAGCGTCTGATCGGCATGGAAACCGATGACGCAGCCGTGGTCGAGCATAAGAAGAAGCTAGACGATTATTTTGATATCGTCGAGGCCAAGTTCAAGGATTCGGGGAAGAAGTTCATGGCTGGCGAAGAGTATACCCTTGCAGACGTTTATTATCTTCCCTTCCTGGCGAGGTTGTTTGATCGTGGGTTCGGGGAGCTGGTTACTTCTAGGCCGCATGTGAAGGCGTGGTGGGAGCGCTGTATGGAGAGGCCGAAGACCAAGGCGTGGATTGACCAGTCGCCCAAGCTGGACCTGTTGCTAGCAAAGATGGAGGCGAAATAGGTGTATAGGCTGCTAAGATAGTATTTCTAGGTCGCTGGGTATAAAACGGTCCCCTGAACAACTGAACAAAGGGAGATGGGAAACGGGAAATTGTTACCAACAATATTTACCTAAGGTAGCATTTGATGAAAGTGAATTCCCTTGACGTATGTTCTACATCCAAGAGAATGTGGTTAACTACTCGTTGGTGACCTAGAGAGCTAGTGCTGATATCCATATTATTCTCTGTTCTATAAAGTATAGTAAGGAGAGAAGTGTCCTTGACAAAGTGGTATAAACATACCACAGTTTTATTCCAATGCATTCGTAAGGGGTAACCGCCGAGACGTGGCACCAGGCGAATGATGAATTGCATCCATGCCGTTCATTGAACCGCAGCCTTTGCACTCGTAAAGTATTGCAACCATCCTTTAACGAGCGGTTTGGGCTCTATATCCTGTTTCATCCTCTCCCTCGCTTCCTTCTCCACCAACTTTCTCTCCGCCACCACTACATCCCACATCTTCTTCGCCAGCTCTAGATCTCTAGCATCTCCCTCCTGAATATCCTCCGTAACCGTTTTGAGGCAGTCCTGCACACCCTGCTCCCAAGTGACCTCCTCCTTTTGCGAAGTAAATGCATCCCATGCATCCTCCTCCCGGGCCTGCGCAGCTTCAAACGTTAACCTCTGTTTGCGTAAAATTTTCTTCCACCGGGTGTCCAGCTTAATTTTAATAGCTAGACTCAAACGCCTCGATTGCGGCTTTTCGATTCTAAGGATTGGTACGCCGCGTGCACTGACGAATCGGGGTGCCTGACGAATACCGGACACTTTGGGGTAAGGTCGAACCAGGACTGACTCGAAGAATCTTTTAACGCTAAAGTGGCGCTTGACTTTCGGAGTGTTGGCTTGTTCCAGTTCTATCTCTTGTAGTCGACGGGCGCGTCGAGCGCATTTATCCTTGTATTTCTGAATAAAAGGTTGAGTCGAGGTGATCAGCGAGTCAACGCGTTCGATGCTCGCAGAGTCTCCGGCGGCGCATGATTTCAGTAATTTCAGAGCCTTGGAAGTAGATAATGATAAGTAAAAGCGTAAAGCTAGATATAATGAACCGGTGAGATGCGTGGGTAGCTACCTCATAGCCAGCTCTCAGGGACTTTTCAATCCGGCTCGGACTTTCTACCGGTTTATCCAGACGAAACCTAGTTTGTATAATATCCCGGATATCCGATGCCTTGGACCGTGTGAGCCACGCTTTCGAGCATTGCGAGAGTAAGGCGTGGTAAAGGGAAAGGCCTATAAATATCAGTTAACGAAAGCTCTCAATGTATGGAGACGAGCTGGACGTACAAGCTAAACGGTGAACGCCCGACTTTCTCGGATGTATATATCGCGGCATCTGGGCATTGGAGCGGTGATCCCTGGCCACCCTTCGAGTAGCCGTCGACTGCTACTCTGTGCGTACGCCTGCAATGATTGCTTCAAACTCATTCGATCCTTTCGAGGTTGAAGTTTCCGAGTTGTGAGAATATCGTGGTCACGTGGGCGCAACTAACTAGTCGACATCTTTATCTCTTATCGCGCCAGCCAAAGTTGTTCCCCCTCTATGTAAGAAACGCTTTTATCGAGAACAACTGAGATGATAATTGAATTCGTTGTTATCCTAGCTGGAATTCCACTCCGCTAAATACCCGCTTAAAATATATATGCAAATATAGAATGCAAGACATCATGATCACTAGATATGCGTCAGGTGCTTCTCCAAACGCGGGGAAGTATCAAAAATTTGTCCCTTCCTGGGGTTGGGGCAGTTTCTTGTGTTGCGGCAGGGCCATGTATCTGAGGATTGCAAAGGGCATAGTTAGCAATAGTTACAATCCGCTAAACTTGCTTGTATGTATCCTACCTTCGAAGTTCAAGGAGCACTGTCTCCATGGTAAATTCACGTTTCCACTGAGCGAGGCAGGGGAGCTTGGAAGGATCGACCTATATACAAGATACCAGTTAGAAATTATAACTGTTAAATCAGTGTGTATTTTCATACCTTGCCGGTCTTCGCGTCAACACAGGGTATGTTTACCCTTGAGACAAACTGGATCGTTGGGGGCAAGTCTGGGTACTGGTCACCGCAGTGGATATTGACGCTGTATATCCGATTCTCGTGTACACTCTATTTATCGTAACGGTTAGAAAGTCGGAAAATCAGTTCAACCACCACAAAAGCTGGCTGGTATAAGACTGAACAAAGCGTTAAGTACGAACGTGTGGTGGGCCGAGGATTGTGCCGTTCCAGTTCGTCATCATCAGGTCATCTCCATCGGCCAAACCGTACGAACAGGCCTCTGGTTTTAACGGCTAGCGTTAGTAAGGCATCCCTAATACGTGGTATAGACAGCCTTGAGTTACATACCAGGGCCCATTCCCTTCTCTCCTTTCTCTAGCTCCTCTAGAAGGCGAAAGTTCCTAGGGACCTTGGCTGTCATTGTCGCAAATGAATGTAGCGTCAAATAGGGACAGAGAGTGTGTTCCTGCGTGGGCTCGTAGCAAAGGCACAAATTTGAAACTGCCCTCGGTGATCTCTTATCCTCTTGACTTGCACTTTTATCAACTCGAACGTAAGTGTGCTCTTCTCAAGCAGTTCTTCAGGCTGGCGGTCCTGGAGATGTGTATGATGACTAATGTAACTGTCCACGTGACCCGATCGTCGAGCTGTTTTCGAGATCGCAAAGTAAACGCGAACTCATAACTACAAGCTAAACAACATCCTATCTGGCAATCTGTTAGACTTGTTCCAACCTGCTATAGCTCCAGGGAGCCGTCTTGCCGGGGATTCTTAGAGGAATGGATTAAGCCTATACCAAATTATTTGTCTGCTCTGCGTTCCTGCCATACACATCCTTGCTTGATAGAAACGCCACGTACATTATGCCCAAATTCCGTATCTGACATGACGACCAACACTTTGCAGGCAGAGCTGTCAAACCTGATACAGGAGTCTAAAAGGAAACACTCTGATCTAAAAAATGTGTGTTCAGGATCAAATTCGTTTCTTTCTAATTAGAGATGTCATGTAGATGTTTGAATTGACGTATACGAACAGGCAGCCGAACAATCACTTTCAGAGCTTAAAGCTTTACCATCCACATCCGAATCACAGCTAGCAGCAGGTTTGTTTGCTTAAACCCCGATATCAGCTTTCAGTCCCTATGCTGACCTACCAAGAGACTTGGCGAGAAAACCCCAGTTTGTCAGGCCTTTTGTCCTAGCATGTCAAACCCGGCATACACGCCTGGCTGCTATCGGAGTAGCGAATCTCCAGAGGCTAGTGACCATCGGTGCATTGCCTCATGATCGCTTGAAAGATGTTCTTCAAGGGTTACATGAAACCGCAAACCAAAGTTCGTTCACTCTTCCTAGCATCCTCAATCTTATGGCTGAACATGAACTTACAATCTACATACTAGGCCTTGAGATACAGCTTAAAATCTTGCAGACACTACCGTCTCTATTTCGGTTTTATTCAGATGACCTGACTGGCGTTCTTCTCGCCAGCACGTTAGAAATATGTGCCACGCTACAGAATAGTAAGACTGCCGCGGTATCGAACACAGCGGCTGCTACTCTTCAACAACTCGTGGTAGCTGTTTTTGAGAAAGTCACTCGTGAAGACGGTTCGTTTGAGTCTTTTTCCTACGTTGAATACTTGTAATAGTTTCGAACAAGCTAACCTTAATCATTTTAGATAAAAATGATGACAATGTAACGTTCACTACCATTTCGGTAGAGGGTCAAAAGATTGATGTTTCAACATTCAGCTATGATGCTTTTCGGGTAATAATATCCTTAAACGATTGGTGCTAGTTAGCATGGCGGCTAATATGTGTACAATAGATCCTTGATGATTTATGTCGTCTGCTCGAAGGCGAACAACTGACATACTTGAACATCAAATCACTTTCCAAGATCTTTATACTGGAGTTGATTGAAAGTATTTTGGTGAATAATGTTCATGTTTTTGCTCAGCACCCCGAACATACTCAAGTCCTTCGGCACAGGTTGATGCCCTTGGCGGTTAGGTATCTATCTGAACGCCATTCGTTTTCATTGACCGTCCGTGTTGCGAGGATAGTGCTGCACATCTTCAAAGCTCATCTAGCGCTATTGACTCTTGAATGTGAAGTGGTGCTTTCGCTTCTCATCCATTTGATTGATACCGAAACGTCCCTACCTTGGAAGCGAGTACTTTGCATGGAGATTTTTAGGTCCCTATATACTGAGCCGGGTATTATCCGACTCATGTATACTCTATTTGACAAAGACGAGGGCCGCAAAGCTGTCCTACGGGACCATATGTCATGTCTAGTCAGGCTTGCATCAGAAAAGTCCTCATTGATTGGCCTAGGCCATCAATCTACTGTACCTACAGCGCCTCAAACTAACAAAGACACAATGGAGGACCAAGTTGCTCTTGAGTCCGTTGGCGTGAGTGGCATCATTGGGAGTCCCTCGAATCGACCTGAAATGTGTGGTATTAGTACCCAATGGAGTCTGTTGCGAGTACCATACATCGAAACGCTTGATAAAGTTGATTCGCCTTCGCCGCCGGAAACATATATCTACAGTTTAGTACTTAACTGTATTGCGGCATTCTCTGAGAGCATGGCCAAATTTATCATTCCGTTAGCTGTCGCCGAATCCAAGAGTAAACGGAAACGCAATACCTCAGCTGCAGATAAGGACAGAGGATCGGCTCATCAGGATGCAGACCGCACAGAGTCAACTGGGAATGGAGGGAGGTCGTCGGTTCCATTGAACCCTTTAGATCTAAAATCTCACCCACAAATCGCCAATATCCAGGCGACTGCTGGGATAATCGAGGTGTGCTGGCCAGCTATACTTGCCACCTCGTCAACGTTCTTATACGCAGCATTGGACGGAGAATTTTATCACACGTTGGTCCGGGCGTTTCAAAAATTAGCCCATGTTGCAGGTCTTTTAAGATTATCTACTCCACGAGACGCATTCCTCACAACCCTTGGAAAGGCCGCAGTCCCTACCGATTTCCCGGGGTCCAACCCTGGTGCTACTACAGCTCCAGATGGAAGCACATACCATTCTCCAGTTATGGACCATGCGTCCCAACGTTCAACAAGCGTTGCTGAGGTTGCGAACTCACCTATCGATAGCCCTATCAACATGCTAAATACGAGAAACTTGCTCTGTTTACGGGCACTCCTAAATTTGGGTATTGCTCTTGGGCCCACTTTGGATCGTGATGCTTGGTCAATTGTCCTTGAAACTCTTCAAAACGCCGAATTAGTTATCAACGTTACGAGTTCTACCTTCGTCTCGATGCCGACAGATCAAAATGCAGAGGTTGGAGGCATGGCTTCCGACGTACCCAAATCCAACCTTGGGCCTGAAATCATGGCTGTTCATGCTGTCACTAGTAAACTTTGTGAAAGCACTGGTGATTACCCAAATTCTGCTTTCAAAACGTTTCTTACGACTCTCTTAAGTTTACCAGAGAGCTTTACCAAAAGTACGGTTCCTCCATCGGCCCAGAAACAGGCGTCATCGCCTCTTCTCACTCAGGGGCAACAAGGAGGCCGGATTCACCAGAACAAACGTAGTGTGTCGATTGCTCTAGGCCGTAACAGGGTACGGGAGGACGAATTGAAATTCGTTCTTGAGAAAGCACACAGTGTGGCCAATGCAAATATTGAACGACTTGCTCTCCCACAAGATGACGGTATCTGGGAAATTTTGGTAAACAACCTTATTAGGATGATCCAGAATGATCAGGTCAGCTCTGCACTGCGTCTCAAGGCCAGTGACGTGATCAATACAGTTATCTCAAAAACCATCAAACTGACCGAGTCCGCCGAGGAGGAATCGAGGAACGACGTGCAACTACGGGGATTACTCGCTTTGAAATCCCAATCATCGATGCCAAGCCAGGGTCGACGCCCTAGTTCCTCGCCTCGTGCAGCCGACTTGGAAGTACATGAGCTCGCGCTTGAGACTTTGAAATCTATCCTGGAGGGTTCTGGCCAATCGGTGGTTGCGGGCTGGAACTTGGTCTTCGAACTGATTTCGAGCGCCTTCGATAAACAAGTACCAGCTCTAGCGGAGAAAGACGAAGCTCAACGATCACCCTTGCCGGCTCTTGGTGACTCGAGGAAAGTTAGCGTGAAGTCTCAGAAGCTCCTGAGGACAGCGTTCGACTCATTACAGCTTGTGACCTCGGACTTTTTGTCGTTACTCCCTGCTTCTTGCCTGCTCGAGCTTGTCGAATGTTTCTATAGCTTTGCATCGCAAAAGGAAGATTTCAACATTTCACTAACAGCCACTACATCGTTTTGGAATATCTCAGACTTTCTTCGGGTTCAAATCGACCAATTTTCTTGCGAAGACGAAATCACAGTTTCAACGACCGAGGCATCCATCGTGGAGATTGCCAAAAACCCCGAAAACACTTCGTCGACTAGTGCACTGTGGTTACTTTTGCTCTTGAAGATCGTCGATCTTACCGTTGATAGTCGTACCGAAGTTCGCAACAGCGCAATTCAGACAATGCTTCGAATATTGGATCACTCGAGTGGACAACTGCCTCCGGGAATATGGCATTTATGCTTGAACAAGGTCCTTTTTGTGATGGCGGAGGCGGTCCAAGTCAAAACTGTTCAAATAATGGAGTCTCCGAAGGCGAGCGCGGAACACCAAAAGTCATGGGCGGATACAGCAGTGCTATTGAGCAAAGGACTGTCAAACCTCATTGCCACATACTTTGCTATGATCATTCGGCACAATAATTTTAGTCAGTCCTGGACGCGACTACTTCGGTTCTATGAGCCACTTCTCAAATTAAATTCCTGGGAGCTGAAGGAAGCTATTTTTTCGAGTTTCTCTCAAATTTTGTCTTGCTTACAGGCACCTGAGGATATTGGTACGAACTTGGTTCAACAAGCCTGGGCTCTCTGGGTCAACGGTAACCCGATTTCCGAGGAGGAGAAGCAAGACTACGAGAATTCAAACCAGAAGGGCCTCCTGGCTTATTTCCAAGCATACGAGCAGCTCTACAGGCTCCTTAAAAATCATCTGGGGGAAAGGCAAGTTCTCGAAGCACTACAAAATGCGCAGGTAGCCATAAAGCAATCTGTTCATTCAAAGTACTCTCCAGACACTGAAACTCCCTCGGAGTTGCAGGCGAGAGTCATGGACTGTCTCAAAACCCTCTGCATTGATAAGCCACTTTCGCAATCAGCAATTATGGATAGTCTTTCCAAATATTTCCAATTGCCTTTGATAAATTGGTCACCACAGGCTGACCGAGCGAAACCGAGTTTTGTTGCACTTTCCAAAGCCACAATGCGCCTTTTAAGCTGGTACATTACGGATCATGGAATGAGAACCAACATATTGCTAGATGGAACGCTAAGCAGCACACTTGAGCGGCTGACATCCCCAATCCTTAGCAAATACAACTGGCCAGGAAAGGACGGTAGTCCAACTCTATGGCAGACGGCAACGACAGCTTCTTTAGACCTAATGCAGGTCGCAATTCCATACGTTGAGAGTCAATATCAAACCTGTGAGCGTGCCGTTACAGAACGATTCTGGAAATCCGTAGTAGGTGTTGTAAGGGGGATAGTGTCGTGTGGAGAGTATACTAATCTAAAGTTAACACCGTCCGCTGTGTTATCTGACGAGCAGTTCGATATCGCCGCCTTTGAACGTTTACGTGGTATGATCATCCCGGCTCTCGGCTCGTCTTTCATCTTTCAAAAAATACGGCGCGATTTTGCATTTGTGATATTCGATTCTTCACATATCTACCCGCCTCAACGTCTAGATCTCGCGGGCGACTCTGCACAAAATGAACCACTCCGCGATCTATACAAAGTCAGGCGAGGCCGCACGCATGGCCCCCAGCCAACCATTCGGACTAAATTATCATATGTTTTAATTGACACACTATTCGACCTAGCATCTGTTCGCAACCCGACTGCAGGGGGCCAAGCTCCATCACCAAAGAGCGTGGCACCGTATATCTCCCTTGCAAAGTCTGTGTCACCGTACCTTATCTTACGCTGTGCCTTACCCTTGAAGTCCTATATTGCCGACCAACCACTTCTGGGTCTTATGCCACAACCCATAATCTCACGCAAAGAGCTAATGTACCTTCTGACCCGATTGGTTGACTTGAGGAGCGAACCTACCGCTATCCCGGCCGCCGGTCCCGCCGTTCCTATAGGGGGGTCCGATGATGCCCTGGATGATGAGGACGATGAAGAAGAAGAAGAAGGGGGGGAGGGGACGAATGGCGACCAAACAGGGGCAAGGTTCAAGAGACATCTCGGGTGGATGCATCCCCTTGTTATTCGTGCAATAACGGTTGCTAGCAAGGAGACGAAGGATCGTCAAGTTCTAGATGTGCTGACAAAGATATTAGAAGGTGCACAGGGATAAGGACCCAGTTTGGTAAGTAGAGTAGCGGTGTCCCTTTTCTGATAGTTTATGGTGTTGGGTACATAGACGTTCTTGTTCTTTGTTTGAATCAACCTTGATCGACGTATGTTATAATACCAATTTAGCTTGCTATATGACGCTTCATAAAGGTAACGCCTCACTTAAAGTCTAGACCTCAATATTGTTGATATATCAAGTACGTAACGTGGGGGTTCCGTGTACTGAAGAGCTGCATGGCGTCTACCAAGAAGACTCCTTACGACGAAATTTAATATAAAAATATTACATATTTCCAAATAAAGGAATAAATAAACAAGCTCATGGGAACTCCGAACGCCAACACATCACTTTATGTGTACTTGCATAAAGAGGAAAAGGGAGGAGCCCAAGTGGGACGCTATACCGGTGGCGCAGGTTCGGGTGCAGGCTCAGGCGCAAGTTGGGATTGAGGCGATGCTAAATGTGGGCTTTGCAGCACGTCACCCTCTCCATCATCAGGATGACGTATAGCTTGCTTGCGTTCTGGTGGCGGAACTGCATGCTGGCCATCGTGGGGTTGGTTTTCGAGTTGGGCAGCAGCAGCCATCTCGGGGGATTGGCGGAATAGAACGATTTCCGACTGTTTGAAATATCGACGGGCATCTACTCATGCGAGAGGTGTTAGTTACCGAATGTCTGAGTATAGGACGTGGCATGTTCAAGATATGGATATGTAGGGTGAAGGACGGGGGGGACGCTTACCTTCGTCAATTAAAACTAGACTGAGATAGTATCTCGTTGAGTACTTCTTGTTCACGTCTCGGAAGGTAGGGGTCAGGTCAAAGCCGCCCAGGAATAACCTGATGGGTATAGTTTCGCCTAATCGGGAGGCACAAGTAAGCGGATGTGGAAAAAAAGCAAGCTTGGGGTATTCTTTAATGTACCTCTCGACGGGGAGCCATCCATAATCTATACCAGACAGCTGTTAATATAACCTCGTATAATTAATAAAGAACCAATTCACGTACCTCGAATCTGACCAACGTCTCACTCTCGTTATATTGATTTGGTGGTGATCCCGTAGTCTCCCGTCGAATAATCGAAAGCTCCATATGCTTGATCTTCAGTCGAACAAGCAAAAAGTATATCCTACCCACGATAACATCTTTCAAATGGTATTTTGACTTTGAATACTCAAATTCGATATGCAAGCAGTCCTCAATACCCACGTCCATTTTAATTGGGTTATTCGACTCTGGTGGCAACCGGTACGAGTATACCCATATATCCTTTTCGCGCACCACGTCTGCAATGCGACGGGAGACAGTGACCCGTACAAAGTACCGTAGTTTGACATTGATACCGTTGTAGGACTCGTATTGTTTCTCGACGTTTTTGAAATTGAATGGGAATGTCTGGGGGTGCTGGAGTTCACCGGGGGCAGCAAGTTCTTGGCCCAGGGAGAGGAATTCGTAGTGGTTACCGCGATCATAGAACATTTCTGCGCGCACAAAGCAGGGAAGATGAGTATATTTTGTTCTTTTTAATTATAGCGGGCATGATTGGGATGGGTTGACCGGAACTGTATACGTACCAATCATGCCAATGAATTGCACCTTGATACCCGTGTGCTCTAGCCGTTTGCCATCCTTCGGCCTGACTGTAACTGCGCCCTTGACAGATTCTCCGTCAAGATACAACGGCGCCTTCTCGCGTCGGTTCTTCTCGAGCTTGATGTCGACCGTTTCCCGCTCATCGCTATCCTCCAGCACGATGTCGATATCGACGGGTGTGGAGAAAAAGAACGACGACATGCTGGTCGCCAAACGCCAGGCCCGGGCTAATCGAGAGACTATACAGCCAATGCGAAGGGTAGTTGCGCTGTTCCGAGCTGTTCTGCTGTCCTAGAGCCTCATGATGTTGCCTTGGACGGCCTTTTGGCTCCAAGATTGATGTATGATGCTGGGATTATGTAAGCATCCCTCTTCCTCCTCTCTTTACTTCTACTTCTACTTCCACCTTCAACGACAACACGACCAGGACGAGATGGAACAGCTGGATGCTGGCCCAGCAGGATCACCAATGACTGAGAGGGTACCTGAGGCAGCGGTATTACGACATTGTACTTTGCCTCCCGTCGTGCGAGCACCCACCGGCGTTCTACCAAAGTGATAGTTCGGCGGTGCTAATCACCAACGCTAAACGATCATTTGGCACCATCGGATGCAGGACGAGGCGATCCAAGGTGATAGTTCATGCTACTATCCCTATCCGCTTCCGTTTCCGCATCCACTCACTGAAGGAATCCGGGGGGGCGCGCGATCGGGAATTGAACGTTGACCATGCAATCACCCCTCATTCGATATACTTATACTCCGTACATAAGGACAGGGGGCATTCTGGTCGCATCCAAGTGGGTGAAAAGAGGCTGAGCGAACGATGGCGAAGGGGTTGTTCGGCACCCTTGGTCAAAACGGAATAGCTGGAACCTGAAACCGGCCTTTGAAGCGGTGTATGTGTATACGTCAAGGTCAGCTCCGGTGATGAAAGTGATACGAGGCGCTAGGAGGGAGGTAATCTAAGTAAGCGAGCAGACTTTTAGGCATTCCCATGTCGTTGAACCGTATATACTCTCAATCCTGGCGTCGGGTATGAATGAGAGCATCCATGCTAACGTCTCCTCGCAGGTAATAAATAATATCCTTCCGGGACTCGGGCTATTATCCGTTTATGAGCAAATAACTAATAATAGACCCAATCCCCATCATCCTGCGTGAAACGCACGAGGCCTATATAGGATATAGGGCATCGAACTAGCCCAGTATGCAACCCCGTTGTCGTAGGCGTGAACGCAACTTGCTGCCTGGCAACGTCAACGGCAAGGTCGAGAGCGAAGACCCCTGTATGTATGCATGCTTATGAAATGTAATCGACGTGAAAAAGCAAATCTCCGACTTGTTTCCATCAATGGGATCGTTTCGTTTTCACAGCCGCGAATGGAAAACAGGGGGAAGGGCATGCTAAGCAACCCCCGCGCCCAGCAGGTACTTGTATAGGGTATTCGGGCTGCGGCCCTTTTTGGTGGCAATCGTGCAGCAAGGGAACGTGGCAGACAGGATCAATTAACCAGATTGGACCTTGTCGCCGTTCGATCATGTTCTGAGGCGGCTGAAATTGGGATCTCAACGGGGCGTTTTCGTGTCCAGCGTCTCGCGAAGAGGCAGTTCCAACAGCATCCTGCAACGTACCAGCCTTACACTCTGGCGTACGAAGCCCCATAGCACAGTACATATAGTATGGCCGACTAGTGATGTGATCGTGACTCGTATCACCACCAAGAGCTTCCTGTGCGCCGCGCTTCTCTCTTAGCTCGGGGCAAGCTGCAGGTGCATGGGATAGAATGCGAGTTTATACTTACTTACATCCGGGCCACCAATGCAGCCGCAATACTGACCTCATCACGCATGGAGCCAACGACCGGTGTTCTGACCTCGGCTCCACGCAAACCGACTTTATTTTGATTTTTTCCCTGATGGCGATAACGATAGTACGAGCCGCTCACCGTCTTTCAGGTTTGCGCCAACTATCGACGGATTTAGTTGAATGCTTTGTAGGCGAGATGTTCGAGACCTCAGACTGGCTGCTCGCCATGCCATGCTAGGAAAGGGGCCACAGATTACAGGGACATCCCAGCAAAACGACCGCCGCCGGCTCCCATCCACAATCTCCATCTCCATCATCCCCGTAGCTTGATAAAAGAGAGAAGGTACATTCGTACACTCTGTGGCTAGCGGCCGCGGCGCCAGCTCCATCGGCCATCCCGCGGCCCTTCGCATGCCATCTGCTGGCTCTTGATGATCAGGGTTGCTCCGTCCTGTTCCCGTCAATTAACAAAGGCCAAATGCTGACCAACCCCGTCCCAGTCTCACCTACTTCGTACTCCATACATGCGCTGTACTCAATGCGTTAATGCGCCGGCCTTGCATCCCTGGCGATCGGGTCAGCTCCGGCCCAGAACCGTGACCGTGGGTTAGCCCTGCTTCTGCTTGTTTGGCCATCCCGTTCTCTCCTCCTCTCCCTCTATCCCCGGCTTTTGCGTTCCCCCCACTGGCATCCACCGCGGCCACTGTCCACCATTACCGATGGCTTCTGATTGGGCTGGGGGCCAATTAAGATTTGCAATAAGACAGTGAGCAGAAGCTCTGGATGGATTGTCTCATTGAGTTGGGTTGGGCCTTGTCGGGCGTGGGCGTGGGATGACTCGAGAAGAGATCCAGAGCTTAAAGCCAACCGTTCGCCCGCATCAATTTTTCTTCTTTTCTTCATTTTCGGAGGACTTTCTTTTTCGCCACTGCATTTTTCTTGGTTTCGATTTAGATATCAACCTGATCTGGCTCCTGTGCTCTTGCTATATCCGTTGACGAAGCCATCCGCACGGCGTGCTACGATATATATATTTGTTTGTCCGGCACAAACATCCCCCCAGCGGCTTCCATAACCATCACAACTTTCACCGGCACTTACAGCAAACGAAGGAAGCAAGCTGCTTTTCCAGATAAAATTTAAGCATCATGCTATCCACGGAACAGGCTTCCAGCAGCCCTTATATGGCAACTACCAGACCGCCGCTGTCTCTACAAAACGGCAGCCGCAACAGCCTCTCCCGCCGGTACTCTTCGGCCACAGTCCCACCACCGTCCTCATCCTCAAGTACCGCATCTACGCCCAATTCGCATCACAATCCTAATGCCATGCAACACATCTGGATAGTCACCGGGCCGGCAGGCTGCGGGAAGACTACCGTCGCCCAGGGCCTGGCAAAGGAGCTTCATCTACCGTACATAGAAGGAGATGATGTATGTCCCCAGCTCTATCAGAAACCGGAAACTCCTTTATTCTAACAGTTTATATAGTACCACTCCAAGTCCAACAGAGAGAAAATGTCCAACAGCATCCCTCTCACCGATGCAGATAGATGGGACTGGCTAATTCAACTCCGTGAGGCCGCCATCAGTGCGTTAACAACTCCCTCATCGTCATCAACCAATTCTCCCCGGCCTGTTCCACCGGGCGTCGTTGCAACCTGTTCTGCCCTCAAGCATAAGTACCGCGATGTCATCAGAGTCGCTGCCTATGATCATCCTAGCGTTAAAATCCACTTCATCTACTTGCGGGCTCCGGAAGAAGTACTCCTGCAACGCGTCAGGCAGCGCAAGGGTCACTACATGAAGTCCACCATGGTCCATTCGCAGTTCGAAATGCTCGAAGAGCCAGACTCTGAATGGGACGCGCTATCTATCGATTGTGCCGCCTCTCCTGCCGAAGTACAGAGGCGGGTCAACTTTATCGTCCGGCAGAAATTGGACGAGTATAAATAACGCCCTAGTCCAAACCAGAACTATCCAGAACAATTACTACCACTAGACGTCACGCCACACGGCACCATGCAGTTAGGACCGTTAATTTTCTTCCTTTTTCCTTCCTTTTATTTGCTTTTTCTCCACATCCGATGCAAGCGATCTCATCGAACCTATCGATTTTAATCCTCCCGCTTTTTCCCGCTTCCCCCCCTTTTTTTTCTTCGTTTTCTTATCCTGATCTCAAATTTTAAGCGATCGGCGCACCGGCTCGAAGGCGGAATTATTCCCTACCGATGATAGTCACCGAACAATCACTGGCCTCGAGGAATTTTTGGTATTTTTTGTCTCCTTTCTTTTTCATTATGTTTCCTCCAAAAGATATCCCCTTGTTAGTGAAACTTGTTTCAATCTCTTGTTCTAGACGGCCCTATATGATTTCTGGTCCTTTTTTGGTCGCCTGCATGACAACCTTAAGCACGCGTAATCAAGAAATATTTGATAAATTTGCGGAGTACCCTGTATGGGGTAACAATACCTTGGTTTGACTCCATTCCATCCCTCAGACCCCCGCCTATCATCCTCGCTCTGGCCGTCGACTCTATGACCTTCCCGCTACGGCCTTTATCCAATGTGGTTTCGGGCCTCAGCCGAAGCAAATACCCCTCTTCCCCCACGCGCACGTTAAGTCTCTGAAACGTAGATGGGGGTTCCCGTTCGATGGTCAGGTGGAGGAACCCGGTGGCAACTGTTGCAATGCCGTCTTAGCGCAATATCTTCAAATTATCTGGCTACTATAGGCGTCCTGGGCAGGCCCTACCCATGGCTTTAAAGGATCTCTTAATGTTAAATATAGAAAGGGATTGTCTGCACCGCATCCGCCCTGCCAATGAACGGAGAGACGAAAATTCTACCCCTTCATTATTCGGCAACCGGATCCCGTTGGCTTTGGCTGAGGGCATTCTAACCACTACTACTTCCCCTAGTTTACGAAACCTCTATCTAACTAGATAATGCACCATTACTATTAAGGCTGAAATAAGCAGATAAGAAATGATAAAGGGTAAAGTGGATATCCGGATAGCTGTAAGCCATGCTCCCGTTGGCTACCCTCAATGATGTCCCGCTACTGGCGAATCTAAACGGCGACGTTGTCACGCCTTGTACACCCGGGATTTAATGAGCGATGCCATGCCTGTTCGGCGCGCGAAGGAAGAAACCTAATACGGAGTACTCCGTAAAGTACTTCGAAATGTTCCCCTGTTATTGGCATTTCCAAAGGAGTAGACTCCTCTGGAGACGAACAGTCTTCGCCATCTTAATTACCTCCGCTAAGATCATTGAAGAGCGTCCCGCCCTAGTCGTAAAAGCAACATCAGAAACGTCGTTTACTTTGCTGGCTGAGCAAGTCCAAGAACATTTCCAACGGCACTCTCTTGGCTGGGCTTTCCACAGACTGGCAAAGGGTCGCATATCAATTAGTTCCGGTGGCTGCGTGGTTGACGCTCAGCGAAGTGTCAGGTGGAAGTGTTCACGGGTCGAAGAACTGCTATATGACTGGGTACACCAAGTACATTTTTGCAGCCCGGAGACATCTGCCTCTGTTTCCAGGGAATGTGTGCTTTTGTCAACGCACACGGGCCCTTGAGGGGGTTATGTGGGAGGCCTGAGGAGCATTTTCTTGCATACTGGTTCAAAAGGGTGTTTCTGAACCCATGAGGGGGAAGGGCCGTAGATAATATCCGCATGACCTGTGGATATACGGAACGCCTGATAGCTGCTAGGCTGGAGAAGACGGGACATCATGTAGTTTCTTCTAAACCTCTCGTGAATGCTTTGCTGTGAGCTCTGCTGTGAGCTTTGCTGTTAGCTCTGCTGTGAGCACTGCAGTGGAACGGGGATATATACCCCCGTACGTCTCGAGTGAATGCCTATCATGAAAAGGTTTCTACCGCATGGCTTAGTGGATATATATAGTGATAAAGCTTCATTCATCTCCTGGACAGTCTAACAGTTGGATAAATTCCATCCAGGCGACATCGAAGTAGCTCTCGCTTAGTCATCGATATAAAATTGGCGCGTTAGCCGGGGCGGAAAAATTTAAGCGCCGCTAGAACAAAATCCGCGCTTATTCCCCCTATACAGAGACATTTGCTGATGTACACATCCTCAAGGCTTCATGATTCAACTTTCATCCATAAGGATATCTAAGAACAAGTCCAGGGATATGTCTAAGGGCCTGTGTTAAGCCAAAGGCCTTGTTTGCTCCTCGCCACCTAACAAATGCATGCCAAAAATCGAGATACTATCGCGCTCTCGCCATCTGCCACCGACCAAAACGGCCTTCCCCTTCCACTCATACACTCCCCTCTTTACCATCCCAGTCTTCTCCATCACCCGCGCGCTCGCCCCATTCTCTCCGTTCACAATCGCGCGGACGTAAACCTTCGAAAAGGGCGCCCAGAAGGATTGCGCTCTCCGGCAGCACTCGAACATCGCCTTTACCGACTCGGTTGCGTACCCTTTACCCCATCCAGCGGGTAGGAATGAATATGCGATTTCAACGGTCAGTATCGTGGCGGCTGCAGCAGCAGGCAGCGTGAGTTCTTCAGGCAAAGGAAGGCAATTCGCATCCAACGACCGTAGCGTCACAAGTCCGATGAATTCTGTGGGGGTTTCCGTTGAGTCGAGGATCCTGTGGACAGCATAGGCAATCCTGTAGAGACCGTCTTCTTTGTTCGTGGGCAGATAGCAGGTCATGTTCATCTCTGCGTCCTCCATGGACCTCGCCCGGCCACCAACGCTTTGCGAGAGTCAGTATCGGTAGAGAATGCAGAGAGGGAGCATGGCTTGCCTCCAGAACATCGACTTTTCATTGCTGTGCAGTTCATGGAGCCACTTGAATTCTGGACTTCCTCGCTCTGCCTTCGTGAGCAGCGTTAGTTTCAGCCGTGGCGTAACGATAAGAGGGTCCATCTTCGATGCTTGTGAGTCTCCAGAGAGTGGGGGAACAGCAGCATTATGTACTTCCGGGGAGGATTAGTTCTCAGTGATTGGCCGAGGTTAATGGCCTTAACTGAAGCTCTCGCGCCCTTGTATTGACAGGCATAAGTTTAAGATCGGATGTATACTTCCGTGAGGCTCTATTATATCTGCCTCCAACTAAATCGCATATCTTTAACTTCATAGACTGAAGGCAGGTAGAATATCCAATGTGTCGCTTTTCAGGCTCAGCCTTGTACACCTCTGGTTTGTCGCTGGTCCGCTTCTGAGAACACCCTCTAAGATGCGACCAAAATCTATGCTTACCCAGCCTCAAACAGTAGGAAGAAGAAGTTTATCTGCACAAATCCTATCTTTCCCCAGATAAACGTCATCGCAAGCCCTTAGGTAATCATCATAGGATATTTAGATGACAGCCATCGACTTTAACTATATTATAATAATAACTTTGCTCTTATTAAATATGTTCTTTTTCTCAGACGACAGTGAGAACGCCCCGTATAATGCGGCTAAGCCGCCTCTTCCTTATTTCCCTGGACAGGAGTTTACTGTCCGCTCTCATATTCCTCCGCCTCCCACATCTATAGATTGTTTGCCAGGTCCTGAAAGCCACGAGGAGTGGCAAAAGAAAAGCCCACTTGAGCGCTGTTTTACCAATCCACCTTCACCAGGCGCCGACGGAGATCAGCTTGTCAGTCTCATAGTATCCAAGGAAATACGGTTGGAGGATAACCATAACTCACAGCTCGTGATCGTTGATGTCTTGGATGTCACTCCGTCTATCGCACAGGGACCACAGAAGGCTACAACTGTCCTTGCTAAATTCTATGACCCTCTCTATCAGGACCATAGACAAGACGACGAAGATCCCTTTCTCGCTGTTGAGCATGATTACACGCACGAAGCTGCGGCATACACTGCCCTTTCGGAATTACAGGGAACCGTTATTCCAAAATATTACGGCTCGTTTACTCTCGAGTTACCTATTGATAACTACGAGACTAAGCGTCTCGTGAGGTTAATCCTCCTTGAGCTGGTTGAAGGTGTTCCCATGCGTAACCTCGATCCCAAGAAGGTGTCTCAGCAACAACGAAAAGAGATGATGAAAGGGGTTATCGACGCAGAAACAGCAATTTATTCATGTTACATCCTGCATTGTGACACCCACCCACGAAATGTCATTATCAATAGTGACCCAGAGTCTAATCGGAAGGTGACTCTTATTGACTTTGACCGTGCTAGAAAATATCCGGACGCTTGCATCCGGCCTGAATTCGTAAAACTCGTTTGTCTTCCTGGCCCAGCTAGCCCGCTACTCCGCTGGCATCGGCTTCGGTGGCCAGGCGTACAGTCTGAATTCGATGGCTGGATTGATTGGGACTGGCAAACTTGGCTTGAAGAAAATTATTCTGATCCTCAGGGCACCCTTACACGTGAAATGAAAGAGTTCTGGATGCCGGATGACCCAGGGAGTGTTTTAAGGCTTCCGGGACTGAAGATTTGGTAGAGGCCGCGTGCTATGCATATATCTGGAGGTTGGAATAGAGTCAATAATACCGGCATAACCATCATTTGTATAACTAGTTGAGACTTAATATATGACTCTTATTAGCCGTTAAGTACCTCATGAAAAGCTCAGCTTACCACTTGAAATAATTCACCTCTAAAGCGGAAGTGATAAGGATAAGTCCAAGGCTAGGCTAAGGGTATAAGATAGGACTAAGCTAGAGGTTACCTTTAACCTCGGTCCTGTCTATGATAAGCCGGAGATACGGCTAAGACGGATCCTTCTATCTCCTCGGGCTTGTCCTTCTATCTTTATGTCTTATGTCTGTATATTTTTATATGACGGAAGGGCCAGACACGCTGACTAAGATGACGTAACTGCTCCACCCGGCTATCCGGCGGCGCGGAATGCTTGGCATGCTTGGCACTCTTGGCGCGAGTCACGGGACCCACGGAAAGCGGGACATCGCGAGGGAGCAGCAAAAGGAAGAACAAGATGCGCCGGCGGGAGTTCGCGATGAGATGGATACAGGGATGCAGGGATCGATGAATATATATGGGTACGCTGGAGACAGGGGCTGGCCGCTCGCCAATAGGGCCGCGCCGGGAGTTCAGGGCTGAAGGAGCGGCTCCTCGGCCAGCCCTACGACCATGTCACGGGACCACACGGCTCTTCGTCGTATAAACAGCCAGCCTCAACCCCCGCTGACTCGCCTGAAAATCGCAAAATTATCGCACGCCTGAGCAGGCCAGAGACGTACCTCCGAGAAGACTGAGACGAGGCGAGAGAGCTCACTCATGTCCTACTGGCAGAACAGTACTCCCTACAACGGGGGTGCGGGGGCTTACTATCCACCGCAGCCTCCCCCTCAGCCGCAATATCAACCACCGTATCAACAGCCATACCAGCAACCACCATACCAGCAACCACCGTATCAGCAAGCTCCTTACCAGCAACCGCCCTATCAGCAGAACCTGTCACCGCAGCCGCAGCAACCATATCCGTAAGACACCCTGAAACCTGGCTATTCGTCGCGTATAAGTCACTAGCTAACTGCTTCCAGTGCACCCTCGCCTACGCCCAGCTACCACCAACCACCACCGCCGTCACCACGGCCTCCATCCCAGCAACAGCAGCCATACTACTCACAAGAGCCTCCACGAGCACCTCCTTCTCCTTACCGTCCCAATAATGGCGGCCAGCACCGTCCTACGCCCCCTCCACCACCACAGAGCAGCCAGAGCTTCGGCCACGGTGCGCCGTCCTCGTACCGCTTCAAATACTCGACTTGCTCCGGCCGTCGCCGCGCCCTGCTCGTAGGGATCAACTACTTTGGCCAAGGAAGACCGCTAAAGGGCTGTATCAACGATGTAGCTCGCATGTCGACATTTTTGCACGAGTCATATGGCTATCGGCGCGAGGACATGGTGATCCTGACAGATGACCAGGCGAACCCCATGAGTCACCCGACAAAAGCGAACATGATTCGCGCCATGCAGTGGCTGGTTTCCGGTGCAAGACCGAATGATTCGCTGTTTTTTCACTTTTCAGGTACCAACCCAGCCTTTTATTCGGTTCCCGTTCCTGGCTCGGAACCATGCTGATGGATAAACTTTAGGCCATGGCGGACGTACGCGGGATTTGGATGGAGATGAAGATGATGGTTAGTAGACGTCTTGACTTTTATGCTTTGGATAGCTACTGACTATTTGTAGGGTACGACGAAGTGATATACCCCGTCGACTATCAGACAGCTGGCCATATCGTCGACGACGAGATGCATTCTATCATGTTAGTTTAATACCTACTATCCTACCTGGCCTTAACTAACCGCTTACTAGGGTTCGACCTCTCTTGCCTGGCGTCCGACTAACTGCCATCTTCGACTCCTGCCACTCCGGAACCGCTCTTGATCTCCCGTTCGCCTACTCCACACAGGTATGTCTCTTTATCCCCCACCACATCCAAAAGAAAGTCCTAATTCGTGAATAGGGCGTTCTAAAGGAACCCAACCTCGCCAAGGAAGCAGCACAGGACCTCTTCAGTGCTCTCAAAAGTTATGAGAGCGGCGACATCCGCGGCGTAGCCAACACGACCATCGGCCTATTCAAGAAATTTACCATCGGTGATTCGGCGCGTCAGAAGACGCTCAGGACAAAGACTTCGCCGGCAGATGTTATCATGTTATCTGGCTCAAAGGATACCCAGACCTCGTAAGTCTCCCTTTTTACTTTCTAATGTGACCTTGAAGTTTCTAGACTAACGAATGCTATAGTGCGGACACTGTTGAAGGTGGCTCAGCGCAGGGTGCTATGAGTTGGGCGTTCCAGGAAGCGTTGAAGAAGAACCCTAAACCAAGCTATATACAGCTTCTGAATAATATCCGAGCAGAGCTGAGTGGCAAATATTCGCAGAAACCGCAGTTGAGCTGTAGTCATCCGTTAGGTATGGCCTCCTCCTATCCTAACCCTTGAATGGTGGCCGGGTACTAACATGTTGCAGATACGAATTTACTTTTTGTGATGTAATGAGATTGAATCCTGGGAAGCAGATCTGAACATGGATAAGATAAGATAAGATGCATGCACGGGCCGTTGATTTTGAATATTGACGACGGTACGATATACACGATATGAGACGATATGACATGACCATGATGGGGAGTTATTACATTACGTCCAGGTGACTATTTATTATATATACACAAGCACACACACGACTAGTTCGGCTATATTGTTTATTCCTATTTCTTATTCTTATTCTTAACCTTGCGTCTTCTGCCCGTCTGTATCTGTAGATCGGTATAATATAAGTCTATGTACAATTTCTTTTCGCCAAACAAACAAACAAAAAAAAAATACACCACTTTATCCATTCACAGGGTATATATGGTGCATTCGCAAGATATATATGGTGATCATCGCATGTTAAGCATCATCCCCTCTGGCGACTCGACCATACGGCTTACCAACGCCGCCATCCTAGCCATGGTAGCTCCATCGATAACCCTGTGGTCCGCACTCCAGCTGAAGTTCATCATCTCACCAGCAACAACGCTTCCCTCGGCATCGAAGATGGGGGTCCTTCTCAACTTGCCAATACCCAATATCGCCACCTCGGTAGGCACAAGCACTGGAGCAACGACCGTTCCGCCGATGGTACCGATGTTAGAGACCGTGATAGTTCCGCCTGAGAGGTCTGCAGGAGTAAGTTTTCCTGCTCTGGCTACCTCGCCTAACCGAGCGAGTTCGGTAGCTATATCGAGGATGGAGCGGGCCTGGACGTTCTTGATGTTAGGAACTAGAAGGCCAGTGGGGGTATCCATTGCAACGCCGATGTTGTGGTTAGCGCGCATGATGAGAGCCGGCTTTGCTGGGTTTGAAGTCGTGTCTACTTTTGCGTTGAGAATGGGGAATTGGTTCAAGGCCAGAGAGACTGCTTTGATGATGAAGGGGAGGTAAGAGAGTTTAGGTTGTGAGCCGTCCTTGGGGGCTGTGCGGTTGAGCTGGGAGCGCATGCGAGATAGGGCGGCAATGTTTAGCTCGTCCGAGTAGAGGAAGTGAGGAATTGTGAGGGACTTGGTCATCGTCTTGAACATCTGGGACTGGATGGGGGTTAGGGGTTGGCTGGTCTCGACCTGTGGGGTGGTGAGGCCGGGAGTAGAAGCTGGTAGGGCGGTGGTGGCAGGTGTAGTAGTGGCGGTAGGGCCCTCGAGGTACTTCTGGACGTCTTCCTTGAGAACTCTCCCGTGGGCACCGGTGCCATTGATGAGCGAGATGTCGATGTTATGCTGTTTGAGCAGGCCGCGGACAGCTGGGGTGGCGAACGTAGCGTATTTGCCCTTTGGCACGGCCTCTTCTACCACCGTCTCTGCGGCCACCGGTGCAGCCTCTGTGACCTGTGCTGCCGACGACTCTGCCGCCACATCTGCTGCCGCCTCTGGAGTTGGGACTGGAGCGGGTGCGGAGTCAGGGTATTTGGCCTCGTCGACCTCGATATCACACAGCGCCATGCCCGTGGGCACGGTGTCGTCTGGCTGGAAGTGCAGCTTCTTGATGACACCCTCATACCGCGACGTTATCTACACCAATCATCAGCTTTGTCCTCCGACCACTCTTTTTGAACAGGCGTACGTACATCGTCAATGGCCTTGTCTGACTGGTACTGGCAGAGAGGCTTCCACTCCTCGATACGGGCTCCCTCCTCGACGTACCACTGGATGACCTGGACCTCCGTGATTCCTGCAGCCGTTAGCCCAGCTCGCTCACACAGCACAGAGAAAGGGGAGCCTACCCTCGCCGACGTCCTTGAGAATCTGCGATCTGATGCCCCAGGGGACGGGGGAGCTGTGAAACCGCCTCCGGAAGCGGGAGGTGTATGCGGCGGGTAAACAGACGGGCGCAGAGTGGGAGAGCAGTCCCCGCGCCAGGGAGGCCCTATGAACCAGCGATCTCATGGCAGACATGCTCGCCCTAGTCAATTGCGCAGGACAGTGGTATAGCAGCGTCTATCAGGGTGTATATCAGGGGTTGCGAGGTCGAGGTGAGGCGGGAGGAGGAAGAGAAACTGGTTGATGGCAGAAAGCAGAAGCAGGCGGAGGGCGGAGAGGAGGCCGAGGATAGCCGCGGGAAGAGGGGTCACGGGGCATGGAGAAGCCCTAGCTCCTCGGGCGGCGGCTGCGACGGCCGGCGCTAACCCGAAGCAGCTACCTGCCCTACCCTATTTTATAACCCTAGCCCTATCCTATTCAGACACTAGCCCTAATCCTAGGTATCTTGATTAGGCTTCCCTCCTTATCCCTACACCTACCTATCCCTACAACTTCCAACTTATCACCAACCCCCTACCATGTTGCTACTGTTCCAGAGTGACCTACTCCGTGTTCCTGCATAGACCTTATTATGGTTATGGTTATGCTTATCTGACAGCATAAGTCCAGACCATGTATGGGTGGATACATCTACGCTAAGATGTATGAGCTCTGCATGACTACCTATAGTTGCTGAGTATCTGTAGTTGCTGAGTAGGACTATAGGTATGAATGGATTATACTGAGTGCTTGGACAGAGTGACAGAGTTGAGTGAGCTACGTGAATGCTGAGTTCGATGCTGATACCATAAGTGGCGGACAATTACCGATCATCCTGGCAGCCACTCTCACTACCCTATCACTACCCTATCACTGCCATGCCATGCCATGCCATGCCACTATCATGGTGGATAGCTGATCTTGTTTGAGGTTGAACGATCTTGATGCCTCAGGCAGATCTTTATATCAGTAAAACAGCGGCCAGGCTAGCCCGATCAGGCGACTATGATGCAACCCAGTCGATCCCCTTGTCCTGCCCCTCGTCCGCTTCTTCTGCTCTGTTTATACCCGTCGTCCTTCACTCGCTAACAGCAGTCTTGCAGTCTTCTTCATAACGATACCCACGCGAGCAATTGAAGAAGCAGACACGATGGTCGCCGAACACCTCACCGTCCGTAACCTGACCTCGAAGCCGGTCATCCTCAAGCATGTCGAGCGCTTCAACCCGCCAGACGGGCCCAAGACCATCTCCGGCCATTTCACCACCATGATGAGCAACATCACCGGCACCCCAGCTGAAATAGCCCCCATCCAGGACGGGACCGAGTCCTTTGCTCGTCAGGACGTCGACGTCCGTGTCGAGCCGTTCATGGAGGTGACCAGCAACGATGTCCGGGCCTTTGACAAGTCAGACAAGGAACGCATGCGTCTTACCTTTGAGATAGAAGGGGAGAAGTACCAGATCCAGGTGCCCGTTCCCACCAAGGAGACGATAACCATGAAGGCTCTCTCGCCCAACCCTCGCTTCCATCTCACGGGCATCCATATACCAGAACACTCCCACCTGGCCATCTTCTCATCTGCAAACCTCGACGGCTGGATGCGTGAGCTCAAGGATGATACGCTGACATCCGCCTTATCTATCCCGGGCACTCACAACTCGCCAGCATGCCACATTGCCCCTCCCTCCGTGCGTTGTCAGGCCGTCAGCCCACGCGAACAGCTCGATAACGGAGTCCGCTTCTTCGACGTACGCTGCCACCCCCAATGGCCAAACGATCCAGCCAAGGACGGCCTAATTCTCGCCCACAGCGTCTTCCCCGTCTCTCTCACCGGCCAAAAGACATTCAGGGGCCTCCTCGATGAGATCGAGAGCTTCCTTGACCGCAACCCGTCAGAAACACTCATCATGTCCGTCAAGCGTGAAGGGCCGGGGGAGCATAACGACGACCAGCTCGCCAACATCCTAAAGACACACTATGCCAACGCAAAGCCATCACGCTGGTATACAGATACCAAGGTACCCACCCTCGGCGAAGTAAGAGGGAAAATCGTCCTTGTCCGCCGCTTCAGCATCCCCGAACACCTCACAAAGGAACATGACGGCCGCGGCTGGGGTCTCGACGCTTCAATCTGGGCTGATAATTGCGACTACCACGCCTGTCCCAGCGGCACGATTTGCATCCAAGACTTCTACGAAGTACAAGAGACAGAAAACATAGAGAAGAAGATCGACCTCGTCAATGCTCAGCTCTGCCGATCAGCTGAATGCTGCTACCCTGTTGGCGTCCTAAAGGTAGATGGCGGAGATAGATGCCCGTTCTTCGTCAACTTTCTTAGTGGGAGTAACTTCTGGAAAGTACAGACTTGGCCTGAGAAGGTTGCTGCAAAGCTCAACCCGGCTACGGTAGACTATATCTGTCGAAGACACAAGGGCAACAAGGGCGACTGGTCGACTGGTATCATTGTCTGTGATTGGGTAGGTAAGGACGGTGACTGGGATTTGGTCAGGTGCATTGTTGGGATGAATACAAAGCTAGCGATGAAGCAGCATTAGAAGTGTTTTTTTTTCTCGTCTTATTTTATCTATCGAATGGTTGTACGTCTAGATGAGAACGAGAGAGGGAAATAGGTATTTAAACATCTGTTACATATACTGTCACATATTATACAAATCTACCCACCCGCACAGCAGTTCACTCCGGCTTCTGTTCTGCCTGCTCCTCTTTCTTGCCACCATTCTGCTCCTCCTCCATAACAGTCCTCCTACTCTCAAGGGTAAGGTAGAGATTATTTCCTGCGCTCTCCAACGTCCTGGCCAACCCGGCACTGGCACCTTGCAGCATACCAACCAACCTAGCTCTCAATCCACCCATTCCACCCTCAATACCACCCACCCATCTCGTCTCATCTGCATCAAACACCTTTCCTTCCACACGGGCACCCAGAAGCATCAACTTCTGCAATCCTGGCTGGGTCACGAGGTCATACAGACCTGGGTTCGCCTTACGTGAAGGCGCAGGGAACATACCGCTCTTGGCAGTTGGTGCCAAAATAGTGAACGCAGCACGTAGATGGTCCGGCGAGACGGAAGGGAATGAGAGCGTAGCAATCGGTCCAACGAGAAGGTTGGAAAAGTCATGTTTTCCACGTTTCGAGAGCACGGCTTTGTATGCTGCGTGCGATAAGTCGTGAGTCAATCGGGGATCCTCCTTGTTAAATATCGGTCCCGATGCACCAATCGAAGCAGTTTCAGGACGATAGAAGTCTACCACTCTCATAGAAGCTTCGTATATCGAAGTTTGAATAATCTGTAACTTGATAGTATCTGCGATAGCTGGCTCGGAGCTACCCATAGCAGCATTCTGTGCATCGACCTTACGCAGCACCTTGATCAGCTCGCGACGTATGTTGGCCCACTCCATAGATTGCAAATTATTATGCTGAAAGTAGATGATCAATGGCATCGTGCGTAGGATCGAAGCGTATTGTCGGTGAAGTTGGGATTTGCGGAATTCAGGTCTTCTGTGTGAAGGTGGTTGGAGGTTTGCTGCAGACATCGACGTCGCGGAGGCGGATGGTGCGACGGATGCCATCGACCTGGTCCTTGATAGGTAAGGTAGAGAAGCTGTGATGGGTTGTAGCTCATGTTGGAGGAGAGCATGCGGTGTTCTCGCTCTCCGGGCTAGAGACTGGAGGTGTATTCGTGGAGGCATTGTGGCGGATTAGGACTGCGAAGTTGGCTAAAAATGAGTCCAATCTGTGATATAGTGTCTGGTATAGCCCGCCCACGCTCGAGAATAGGCGTCGGGGGTCGCTGGCGCAGCTTGGTGAGTTCGATAAGTTCTTGCACCTCGCTGAAGTTTGAAGTTAAACTTGCCAAATCTGTAAATCTTTATACGGCACGGGCTTACTATTTTCCATTACTTAGTCATCACACGCTTAGTCATTGAGCCATTTTGACTGTTATTTCGGCAAGAAGCAAGGGCAAGTTTAGTATATTCATTCTATCCCCATCAGATGATCTATAGCCGTTGATGTAGTGGTAGAGCTTCATGCTCACATTACATATCGATATAGTCGCTCTCTAGTTCTTCCCTGCGCTTGCGCTTATTAGGCTTAACCACTTCAGATATCGCACCCAAGTTACTAAGTCCTCGGTAGAGTTCCTGTTCGGCCAGTCAGTCATGATGTCTCTTAACATAACGAATTACGGACATACCACGCTGGTATAAAGCCCTGTTGGTGTAGCCCCAGGCGCCACCGGTAGCGGCTCTAATATAAATTCGGCCGTTGAGCTTGGAGGTTTGAAAAGCGCCGACCTCCCGGAATTGGTTGTGATCTATAAGTCAGCAATAAGGTGCAAGGTTAGCACCGTCACCCTTCAATGTTATAGATTGTACGGAAACATAGTGAGTGCTTTTATCCAATCTCCGGACAAAACCGACAAGCCAGGGGCACTTAGGGACTCAATGCTAGTTAGGGGCCTCCGTGTTGTACTAACCTCGAAAGCAGTCATATATTCAGACTTCTTCAACTTGCCATCAATCCTGGCGCCAGTACTGGCCGAAATGGTATCAATACATTCCCCAGCACGGCCGTTTATCTGAAAACGCGTAATACGCGAAACTTCCGTAATCTTGTGACGGCCTAGTTTGCGTACTTCTGTTGGTACATCAGCGTCGGCTTCGTACTCAAATTCAATGCAGGATATCATCCCAGTCCAAGTAACACAGATTGCTGTTAAATATTGGAGATATATGCCTCCAGGGCCTCCAAAATGAATCCAAATTAGTGGCCAGTAGCCAGAGCCCAACAGACGTTTCGCTGTGAAGGTCTCTTCGTTTAGATGCAACCCCCAGTTAGGTACCGTAGGATACCACAAGCCTACAGTACGTAGCGAGCTATCACAAATCTTTCGTCGAGGCCCGGCTGCCGCAATACTGACTACTTTGTATCCCTGTATTAATCAGCAAAGTGGCTGAATACTTACGGAGGATTGAAAAAAAGGATGGGAAATTCTTACGTCGACACCGACTTCCAAAGCAGTGATGGCTTGAAAGCCCGTCAAGCGCTCCGTTATTGGAGTATCATTTGGATTGCCAATCCACCTTGACGTACGTCCAGTACGGTCGATAACCCGGATAGCATGGACGCCCCGGGACCCAATTGCGAGGATAAACCCACATACCACCGTTACCTCAAGAACGAGCTGATCTTCCTCTTTTACATATCCCAGACAGATATCTTCATGGTTATCGGCTATCAAACGCAATCCAGTGATGGTGTTGGCTGTGATTGAGAAGGCAATTCGCAAAAGTCCGGATGGTATCATGGCGCGCTGTTTGTGGAACAGATCGCAGCCTTTCATAAAGGCTGTACGACGATGCGAAGTAATATCTGGTAGAATATCTGCAGTTGCTTCACGCCATTCATCACGAGTACCTAATTCCAAGACGGAAAATTCCTGAGAGGGATCAAGGCGCACACTCAGCGACTCGGCGAATAGGCGAATCAAATCCCATATTCTCTTCCGATTCTTTAGCCCGTCTGGCAATAAAGAGCGGCTTGTAAGCTGATACAGCTTAATCCAGTCTCTGGGCTCCTGCCAGTTTCGTCCCTCAAAAATAAAATCCCATTCGTTACCTGGCTTAAATCTGGATGCCCAAAATATCTGGCTGGTTAGGATAGGACGGAATGCACTTGAAGCTTGGACTAGGCTCAATATATCCTGCACTCGTAAGTTGATGCATATAACCTCAGTAATTTCCCATGGAAATTTCGAAAAACAGTCCGTTCGTTCTGCCATTGGCATAGTTTCCGTGGTTGACGACGTTCGGGAGGGCTCAGAGGAGAGCAAAAGCAAACCAGATATCTCTGCCACATTGTATGGGTCCTTCTTAGCATATTTTTTGGAGACATCGTACCCGCTTAAAGTTATGTCTTCCCATGGGTAGCGGGTCTTGGTATCAAGAAACGTTAGTCCCCCGTAGTCGTGTCCCCAACAAGCACTCTCTGCGCGCATGGGAAACGGTAAGGATCGACAGATGCTGAAAAGTCGCTCCGGCGGAACTTCGTCATCGAGGAACTTCTGTAAAAGACGCCAGCAAGAGTCGTGCAGTATATATCCATCGTCAATGGTTACGCTCACATTGGAGCGTCTTTTAACCGAGGTCGCATCAGAGCGCGAATAGTCTGGATCATCCCAACGCTTATCATAATCCAAGGGTGCATTCCATCTATGCTTAGGATAGAGGCCAACCCCGGTGATGAAGGCACCTTCGGCGCTGGAGTAAACTGGTACACTTAGATTTGAACTAGTGCTTTAATTAGAGGTTTGGGTAGTAACATACGAGTACGAAACTCTCCTAGCCATTTCCCATCGTCCTCGATTTCGTAGCCGCAAATCACACAGCCAGTAGTTTCGGGCATTGTTCTTGTTGATGCAGAGTCTGCTGCCTGTTGCCTGCTACCTGTTGCCTGCTGCCTGCTGCCTGCTGCCTGCTGCCTGCTCCCTGCTCCCTGCTGAGATACATAGATTGATGCCTGCCCAGATGGACTAGCCGCCGCTTAGGTAAGCTGATATTCGAGTCACATGATATCGGAACGGGTATAATTTTCTCCATAGGTAGTCATCATTTAGTCATCACGCTTATTCATCTCTGAGTCATCGCCGTATCTGGAGGGGCAGCGGAAGCTTTGTCCAAGCGGGAACAGACTAAATTATGAGTTGAAGAGCTGCATGCGGTGTATTTATAGGCAGCAAAGCCTCAGCTGAGATGCGCCGCCAGTCCAGCATCCTTCTACTCCTCTAATCACGCCGGTAGCAGCAGCAGACAGCAGCCCAACAATGGACACATCACAGCCCGAGACGGTCTCGATATCGCCGTTGCTCAAGAGTCTGGCGTATCCGAATACCTCGCAGATCAAGGCCTCCGCAGGGGATATCGCTGCCGCTTTCGCACTCATATTCGAGGACAAGCTGTCTGTTATCCAGACTGCGGCGTTGCTCACGCTCCTACATTCGACAGGACTAGATAAGAACCCCGATGTCATCGCTCAATGCTCCCATCGAATGAGAGAAGCTGCCACGAAGACGGAAAAGGGCCCATTGCTGGATGTCCTCCAGAGACGGGGACGAAAGGAAGGATCCTACAATGGTGGACTGGTATGTCAATGGAACCCGTAAAGGAACAAATCAATTGGTATGGGCTAACACAGGGTACTGATCAGTGTGATATCGTCGGCACGGGCGGCGACCACCACTCCACGTTCAACATCTCCACGACCTCCTCCATCGTCGCCTCGCCGTTTCTCATGACTGCTAAACACGGGAACCGGGCTCAAACCTCCTTCTCTGGATCCGCGGACGTCCTCATGCACATCGCTCCCACCCCACCAAAGATCGCAGCCGTCAACTCGGAGAACCTTGCCAAGGTCCTCGAACAGACCAATTATGCCTTCCTGTTCGCGCCCGTCTTCCATCCTGGTATGATGTACGCCAACCCCGTCAGGAAAGGGCTGGGTTTGAGAACCATATTCAACCTTATGGGACCCCTGGCCAACCCGGTAGACTGGGCCATTGAAGCTCGAATCGTGGGAGTCGCGTACCAGGCTCTTGGACCCGTGTTCGCCGATGCCCTCCGCCTAAGCGGCGTGACCAAGGCGATGGTGGTGTGCGGTGAAGAAGATCTAGATGAAATAAGTTGCGCCGGCAAGACGAATATTTGGAGAATCTTGGAGTGCGATGAGTCCGAAGCCACTCCCGTGACATTAACCCAGGCATATGACGAGGAAGGAAACGAACGTAAATTGAAGCCAACCAAGATCGAGAAGTTCTCGGTCGAAGCTGCGGACTTTGGTCTGCCTGCTCACCCACTGTCGGAAGTCGGAGGTGGTAAGGGCCCGCGTGAGAATGCCCTGAAGTTGATCAGCATCCTACGCAATGAGTTGCCTCGCGATGACCCAGTCTTGCACTTTGTGTTGATGAATGTTGCGGGACTGCTGGTCATTTCTGGTCTCTGCGATGCTGACACTAGCAATATGGGCCCTGGAGATGACGGCAAGGTGATCACCGAGCGTGGACCTGGCGGGCTTAGATGGAAAGAAGGTCTGAGGCGTGCTCGCTGGGCCATCGAGAGCGGAGAGGCATATAAATGTCTCGAGGCATTCATCAAAGTATCCAACACGTTCTAGGAGGGGAACAATTTGACCAACGGGTATGTTTTTGGGATTTAATCATGCACATATTGATTTTCGGCTTTTTTTTTCTTTTGCTCTTTCTTTAATTTCCTGCTTTTTGGTATATATCCCTTTTCCTTGCTTCTTTTTTGGAAGGGAAAGGGGAAGGTTTCATTCTACCACTCTGGTAGTCAAATCACAGCGTCAGTCACTGAATGAAGCGATAATATGAGATTCGAGAATGATTAGAACGATTTAGATAGGAATAAGTCTAGCGTTTCTGCGGGAAAACTTTTGACCTCCATCGATGACTCCGTCCGCTTTCCCAAGTAATTAATAACACAGATAAAACCGGCCTGGACACCTATATCCCCGCACGCCTGTTCTGAAAGGAAGTAGCTGTAGTAATCGTCGCAACTCAGTCTATCGAGCTTGGAACTGCACCATTCTAAAATACAGAAGAACACGTTAGTTTAGCAACTAAAAGCCTTTGCGCAGATGAAAAATAGAAGGACCTACCTCTTCGTCCGCTCCTTATACAAAACTCGGTGTCCGCACTCCTTGCATCGGATCTGATCGTTTCTCTTCATTGATACGCGAGAGCTGCAGTCTCCGCAGATATAGACAACTGAGAGCATCTCGTTGCCAGTGGCTGCGGCAGTTGTGCTCCCGGCAGCTGGACCCTGCTGGCCGAGCGAAGGAACTTGGTATGCTTCACGAGACATGGTGTAAGGCGGATAGAGGTGTATAACGAGTGTCCTTTGATCTAGATGGTATGGCTGAGGATATCTTTTCTCTTCTGAGGTTCTGCAGATGTTTTGCCGTGGAGTGAAGGAAGAAATTCATGGAAGTCGAAATAACGTAAGCATATATCACGTGATATACTCGTTTTATACATCTCGATGAGGCAGGCAGTTATCAATTCACAACATGGGCTTCTATTACATTTTAAACAAGCTTATACTTCATTTTTTATATGTATATATAGTCATATTCAAGTTTAAATTCCAGAAATTGAGGACAAGAAGTGGTTACGTTCCACATGGAAGCATTCCCAAGGTTCTTGCTAGGTTTTCTCAGCCGAGGAGCGGTCAGCTCATCGCTAGATAAATGCACTGTACTTAATTGTACTTACACAGGTTCAATAGATGGGCCATCAATATATAATGCATCTATGCATTGGGGACCGCTGTTATAGTCGGCATGCATCCAGCGGCAGTTTCATCGGACCACTACTGCACTTCATGCCACCAGAGGAGTACACTTTACCAAAGCAAGGAGTCAGGCACTTCCTCCCACACTTCCCACTAGTGCAGGTAAATTCTGGGCACACGAGGTTCCTGTAGTGCAACTCAGGCTCGGTCGGCACAGTTCTGGGATTTGGAGGACGATAACACCTGGTATCATCGGCACAATTGCCGTCATGATATTCTTCTCAAGTAAAACACTAGCTGTCATGACAGTTGTCTTCAAGACAGCTATCCCAGCCGGCGCAGGAATCCTCCTTACACCCACTATTGCTACAGTCGGTGCCGTCGCAGACATGGACCCAGCAGTCTGGACAGCTACATTCGCCTGTGCTGTCGATACTAATACATCCATCTCCATTGCATTGATGATCGCCTCCACAGTCAGGGTTGGCACAGCCCAGGGCTATGCAGCCATTACCACGGAGGATTTCCCAATAGCGTTCCTCCTGGCAGTCGCTGCCATTGTGAAAGGGTGTGCTAGTATCAGCAGACTCGGGTGCACGCATGGTCACCGGGCTTTCGCCACTTAAATTTGCATCGCCCTCTAGGTGATGAGGGAGATTGGGATTTGTTCCAGGCTGGGAACAAGAGTTGGCTGGTGTTTCATCAGGGTCAGATGGCCGTGGGCCAAGCACAGGTTGGCACTTAGCGGACTCATCATTACCATTGAAGGCGCTGATACACCACTCAAAGTTCCAGACACCCGGCATAAGGAAATACTGGTCACTGCAAAGTCTTGTTTCAGGGCCATTGACCTCTTGGAGCTCACTTCCGGCTGCGTTCACATTGCGGAACCAGAGTCTATAACCAGCTGCAATGGGAGAACCAGTCCAAGAAAGGTGGGCTGTAGTGGCATCTTTGGCAATAATTTTCAGGTCCGTAGGGGTTGGAGGAGTGCCTTTACCGATGGTAACACTGTTTACTATCTTAGGGAATCCTCCGCCAGCGGCGTTCCAGGAGACGACCGCAACGTGGTAGTGGTGTCCGGGGGTAAGCTTGCCGACGTGAGCTGGTGACTCCTTGAAGCCTGCACTGGTTATAAACGCGAAATCGCTATCTTGGTCCCAGTACAGAACCTCATATTCAGTGACATAGGAGCCACCAGCAGGAGGGTCCCATAAGATATCGAATCCGGTAGGTGTGGCGTGAACGACCACATTCTCGGGACCGGGAGGTGTTTGGGGAGTTGATTTAGCCGACTGTATGGCTGTCCACTCGCCTTTTAGGGCATTGCCAGCACTAGCACGAACTTGAACTTCGTAGACCCAACCTTTCTGGGTCCAGTGGGCATCCCACCGGTTAGACGAGACACTACCAGTCTGAAACGCTGTGATTCCAGCTATCCTAGACCTGACATCGTAACTACACGCACCGTATACTAAGATTCAGTTAGTCGGCAGTCTGGAGACCGGCATGAAGGTACATACCAGCATCCCAAGTAGCAGTGACACCTCCGGGGCTAGAGACGACTTTGAAATTTCCCGGGAGCGGCAACTGTCGAGCAGGGATATCATCAGGAACCACCAGCGGCGAAGAGCCGATCTTGAAGTCGTTGACGAGGGTAAGTGAGAACGCGCGTGCAATTTGGTACTCGCCCATGGCATTAGGATGGAGGCCATCGTAACCCGCGGGACACTCGTCGGGCCCGCAGCCGTAGTTCCCACATAGCTCGACAAGGTGAATGGGCGAGCTGGGCGTACTCCATCCAGGTATAGTTTTTTGTAGTAGATTATTGTATATCTTCGTATTGAGAGGCAAGTCTTCGCGGCCACCAATAAACTCACGCTGAGGGACGTTGGCAATGGCAAATTTGAGACGAGGATTAACGCTACGCGCGTTGAAGACCAGCGTTTTGATGCTGCGAAGGGTCCCTGGGGCGTCACTGCGGCACCAACCCATATCGTTAAAGCCGAGCATCAGCAGCATCAGATCAGCCGGGTAGGAGGTCAGGACGTCCTTGATCAGGCCCTTGTCAGTGGCAGCGGTTCGTCCCCAAGCAGCGAAGTGGTGACTATCAAAGTCCGACGAGACGCCATATGCATAACCGCCATCTTCTTTGACTCCATGGGTGGGCTTCGGGGAGCCGTACAGAGGAGGCGGTGCTGGTGGTTTGGGGGCATCAGGCTGGACAGTGCCTGTATAGGGCCCGACGAAGGTGACGGCGACTTTCTGGTCGCGAAACCACTGCCAGATGCGATATCGCCAGGTCCAGTCACCCTCATGGCCCTGGGACATGGAATCACCCACGATCATGACTCTAATACCGGCGTTGGGCGAGTCCGGGATGGAAGTTTTCGTTGAAGCTGGCATCTTCGCGGTGTCGCTGGCCGCAGCTTGTCTTGTCCGCAAAGGAGGCATCATGTCGGCCATATGGACGAGGGTATCATAGTAGTCGCTGGTAAGCAGTCCAGCAGCATATCAGACAACCGGGTATCTGGGAGTTTGTCTTGACCATGTTAAGATCCATGGACGGCGGAAGATGAGGGAAAAGAGAAAACCCGAAGGTTAGTTATGCTTCTACTGAACCGTAACTTGATGAGCTTTATGAACTTGATATCGCATCTTGGGCACGAGCGAGAAGCTTATAGACGATATCGAACGTTGGAAGTCGAGCCATGAAGTGCATATACTTGATATGCGGTGCTGTATAGACATGGATGATGAAGATGCTAACAAAGTGCAGGCTTGAGCTCACAAGTCGGTCGACGTCAACTTCGCTTCTCGACATCAAGATACACAATATCAACTTCAACATCGACAACATCGAGACAGTTGAGCCAACGATGTTCGGATGCGTCCTTCTTCGCCTGTTGAAGCCATGGATTGGACCTGCAGAAACTATGAGATACCCCGAACAGCCCCTTCCTCTCGCTATGAGGATACGCTCTGTTCTTATGGCCGTCTTGGATTCGCGTCTCCTCGTCGACAAGGAGTAGGATATACGCTATTCTCGGCCTGTTGCTGTTCTATTTTATCACCAGACGTTGAAGGGAGACATTCTCTATCCATAGGCCCCTGTTGCTCTGTGCCTTTATATCATTTATAGCTGTCACTCTTTCTGGTGCTGCTGCAGACTCCACGATGAACTACGGACAGCCGAGTCCGCCCTACTCTACACCCCAGAGACTTCAAGGCGGCGGCCATTTCAACCCAGGCTACGGTCAACCGCTGTTTTTCCCAAGGAGCTGGCATGGCCCGCCACGGGGAGGCTGGGGCCGCACGCCTCCTCGCTATCATAGATACAATCGTCTATACAATCGTCCGCAGACGTTCTCTCAGCCTGTTCCGCCATACCCAAACCCCCCTCGACTGCCTTACTACAATTGGCAGAGCGGCAACTGGGCACGCTGGAAAGAAACCCCGTCGCCAACACTATGTTCTTCACCGTTCCGAAACCGTGCCTCCAAGGGGAACAGCCTTTCAGCCCCTCAGGGAAGGGTTTCACGGATGGTTTCAGATGATACACAGGAGAACGCGTTCAGCGAGATCATGAATGGAGAATTTGACTTGAAGAAATCCCCGTTGTCTCTGGGTCGAAAGTTGGCGAACGTCAATACAAATTCGGCTGCGAATTGGCTACTCAATCAACCCAACCCATTCGGCACCCCGACGCAGCCAGGGAAACGAGCAGCGTCTTCTCAGCTGACACCACCCCCTGAGACGTACAAGAAGTCTAACTCTTCGTCCTCTGGTCAGAGCAACTACCCTCCTGGCCCCAGCAAGGACGAAACTATCACGGTTGGTCTCGGATATAGACAAGATGCTCGAAACCAGGTGTCATGGGAGCTATCCCATCTAGCTCAATTAATCCAGCAGAATACGGAGCAGTCAACGGAGCTGGGGCAGATTCTCTCCATGTACCTGAACCAGAGACGACAGGAAATAGGAAGTCAACGAGGCACAGATCGCGGCTCTGATCAGAACCCAGAACGGCCAGAGGATGGAGATGGCATGCTCAGCCCAGGTCCGCATGTTGCAAATGGAGGCGGTGATAGTCCAGATCCCCCCCATGATGATAAGAACACTTTCCGAGGACATATGATAGACTGCGTTGAGATGAACTCAGAGCCGAATTCGGGATCTAGCTCTGATGCCGGAACTGGCTCTACCAAGGCAACTTCCATCCGTCCCGAGCCACTAGGTATGTATAATAACGAATCCCTTGGTTAAATAATCAGCAGCTGCTTACACATGTCCTTAAAGAGCCAGAAGAAAAAGCTCTCATCAGCGCGCTAGATACGCTTCGATGTCCATCCAGCCATACCAATTCAGCAGATCCAGAGGATGATGAGAAGCGATGCAACCGCTTTGAGCGTATCCCCGAGCGCGGAGGACTTAGCCGGAGGGCGCCATCTCCAAACGGCAGTCCACCCGGAAAGCAGATTGAATTTGATTTTGTGAGTACAGATGGTATCATACCCCCCGATATTTTTCTTTTCAAGCTAACAACAAGATTATAGTTCCCGAGATCTCCATTAACAAGGAGTCCATCTGATTCTTCTACCCCGGAAGTGAGCCATCTGCAGCCCATCCTTAGCCCAGTTTCTGGGAATCGACCTAGAAATGATTCATTAGTCTCAAGCAACGGTTCATCTCCCATGGTCGAGGCCTCGTCTATTGGTCCTTGCGTTTCCTCAGAGTTCGTGCTACCTTATTACTCCTCCGCTCGCCATCTAAGAGAGGATTCCCATCAGTCCTGGGGAAGTAGCCCACAGTCACCGTAATTCTCACATACCTTTCGAGGGTCCCAAACCTGCAACCGTACCAGGATAAAAGCAAGAACACAGCTCGTCACTCTTTCCAGTCCATTCGCATGTTTAGTATTCTTATGTCACTGCCTGCTATACGTTCTGGTTATGCAGTGAGCTTACATTCCTTTCGACTTTTGTTTGTACCACAAAAGAGGATTTCCACTTTGTTAGAGATTATAGAATAAGCAACGCATTCGTTCATTGTATGTTCTGTCTAATCCATATTTATCCAAGTGTAGAAACAGAAATGCGATAGAGATATTATCAGATGCCACGCTTAAATGATAAAATCTAGGTGTTAGATGATGGTTGTTACATAAAAATGGCCCATGAGAGATACCCATCTACCATCCACCGCCAGCCTTACCAGCTAGCTCAGCAACTCGAGCCGTGTCCATGCCTCCAGCCGGACCCTTCTTCTTCCCTACATCGCTCTCCACTTTGCGGTAGGTGGTATAAACGAGGTCCTCGAGAGACACGCCCGTCAGATCAGACCAATACTTCAGCATGGAATGTATCTCGTCTGATGATGATACGTTTCCCCGCGTAGTAGACTGATTACCATCAACACCATCCTCTGAGGAATCAGAATAATACGCTTCATCGACACGAGCAAGCCAGGCTCTCTGATCCTGAGGCGTCGACTTTTGGCCCTGCCATACGCCTTCCTCACCAGATAATGACGAATTGACCTCTCTAGCGTCCTCAATCCGAATCTGGCCTCCGCCATTGGTACAGCCGCCAGGACAAGCCATGACTTCAACATATGCGAATTCTGACGGCGGTGCAGGAGTTCCAGGCTGAGCGGTTCTAGGATTTCCGCTTCCGGCCCTCCCGTTTCCCAGGGGGGATGGCCGTGCTCTTGTTCCGTTGGCGTTTGCAGCTATAGTTCGCGAACCAGGGAGCCTGGATGCTCGAGCTGGCTTTAATTTTCGCACTAGATTCTGAATATTTCTGAATCCATAGTACCGAGCTGCCTTGATAATTGGATCGCCTGATTCTGAGACGAGGGTATATTCGACCACATCCGCGTTACGGCCTCGTTGGGCTTGAATGTGGCTGTTCGGATGACGAGATTGATATGTTGTTAGGAGGTGATGGAGGTATCCGCCTGATGGGCCAGCGGCAGACGGTTGTATTGAGTGGAGGCTGTTTTCAGAAAGAAACTGGGCGATCCTCTGGTCTGGGAAAGGGGACAGGTGAGCTGGTAGTGGCTCGAGTGGGAGAGATGGAAGGCTGATGTTTCGGGAAGATGCGAGCATGAGTAATTCCTTGGAGGTTATGACGCAGTCAACATCTCTGACGGGTGAGCTAGGTTCGCCTATGCTGTTCGATTCGCCTTTCCATGAAACGTCCGTCAGTTCCTGTCGACTTGCCTCGAGCTTCTTATCGAAGCAAGGCATTATGGCGAGATGCCATATCCTCGATGGTGATATATTCAGTTTCTTGCTTATTATAGTTTTTAGGAACGTTCCAGTCAACGCTTGTGGTGATTTTAGGCGTGATAGGTGAGGTAGGACGTGTGGATGGGTTTTTTCCGCGTAGCAAATCCATCCGGGACACGACGACGAGAGAATAGGCCGGTTGGGAATCGTATATTTGTTTTCAGGGTCTTGAGTTGTAGAAGTCGACGCAGCTAGTGATTCCGTAACCTCGGCCGTGCTGAGTTCCAAAACCACCTGGCGCATGATATTGGTGTCGACCACCCATGTAAATCCGCTTCCGTGTTGGCCTCCAGCTCTCAACCCGTGTGGTCCACTGAGGAACTGCTCAATCATGTATCCCGCCTTCCTCTCTGAAATTCCATATGTTGCAGCCAAGCTAGCCCGGACCTGCGGGCTAACACTGGCGACAAATATCTTCCCATCTCCAGCGTCCTCGCCACCAAGCCGAATCTCGGGGTTGGCGTCAAGCGTGTTCAAAACTTCTGCATGCGACTGGAGCGAAACTAATACGGCCTCGGCGGAAGTAACACATCCTGAGCAAGCTAGGCAATCCGTGAGAGAAATCTGCGCGGGCGGTGGATTCTGTTCTTCAAGCTTATCTTCTGTCGTAACTTCATACGGGTTCTATTGAATGCATCATTAGTGAGGTAACATAAATTATTGGGGTCTGATAGTTACCTCCTCCTGCTTCTTTGGAAGCGTTTCAACCGGCTTTATACATGCGACGCCAGGTGAAATGAAATCGTTCAAATCATCCGCAGAAAGAATTGCGCTCATGTTGACTCATTTGCTGGGACAACCGCCACCCGGCTATTTTTCAGGTAACCAACCCTTCTAAAAAGTAATATTCTGGCAGAAACGTATGATATAGCAGGTTTAAGGAAAAGAAAGACGCTGGTGTCGAAGAACTCGGGGTGATATGGAGGTGGGATGGTTAATCAGGCCATTGCAGGGTTTCCTTATCTGATGGCGTTATCGGAGAAAAATAACCTTAGTAAGCTTGAGCTAAGCACGGCCAATCACAAGCCGCAGATAGTAAGCGCGTTACTAAGCATGAAGTGAATAAGCGCGCTAGAGCCGCAGGGCGACAAGTATATAGGATAAACAGGATGAGTAGTTTAAGGCTGTGAGGGGGGTAATAATGACTGAATTGGCATTTCATTGGGTTCTATTGGTATACACTAGTAAACATGTAATAATAGTAGGATTTCAGAGGAAAACACCCCTGGCGTCTTGACGTATAGGAAAGAGTGGGATGCGGGGAGGATATAGATGTATCAGTGCAAGGTGTATAGGAAGAGGGTACCCATTGGTATCGAAATTCTCTTGACCATATCTCGTGAAAATATTAGCTCCGACTTGAAAGGTCAACCCGTTGTGTCTACTAATTTAGAAAGTCCATCTAAAATCCCATCCCCTGTGAAGATAGTATACAGTTTTAATGTCCCAGATAGTCACGCCTAGAATCACTAATAGACAGTAAAACCGAGTGAAACTAGGACGAAAGGATGGTGCCACTGAATGGGCAAAAAGGAGAATCTGCGAGGTAGCGGCAGCTCCAACAGCACATATGCTAACGTCAGACCACGGGTCCGCCAACGCCGCAACGAAGAGGCTAGAGAAGGAATAAGTATTTGGTAAGAGAAACGAATTGCATGGACTTACAAGCTGATCACCGAAAAGGCCGTGGTAAGTCTTTCTCCAAGTACCGTGGCTACTGTCCGTTGGTTTGCGGCAGCATCTGCCTCTAGATCCAAAGCAGCAAACTGGCTATGAAAAGCAAGACCAGCAAAGAAAATAAACAACCCGTTTCGAAGGATGTCGCTAGCGTGATGTGCTAGGTCTTTGTTACCAGCAGCGGTATAGCCGCATGCCCATATCAAGAAGCAAATCACACCGTTAGATAACGAATCCATAATTGGCCGTTCTTTCAACCGGAGCGGCGGCGCCGAGTACGTCCAAGCAATGAAAAGGGATAATATCATATATCCCAACACCTGGGGGGATTGAATCGAGGCGGGTATTGCGAGAAGAAGGACAAGGACGGTAGACACTTTGGCTGCAAAGAGTATGAGTTTTTGGTCCGCCTTTTGCAAATGCGTACCATCCACCCATGATTCCTCCTTGCGCGGGTTTAGTATATCTGTATCATGATCATATGCATCATTTACGCCGAAGAGGACTACATTCAATTAGTTACCATAACAAATATCAACAGGAATATCAGGAGCGGATAACATGCTTACTTAGAGAGAAAGGAAACAGGAGCCCGATAGCAAGTAGAGCTGCCGGGATAGCTTGTGGATATGTGCCGGAAGACGTGATGCCCAGGAAGTACGTGGAAGGCACCAGCATCGAATACATCGGCCGGGTAGCCAGGATGAGCAGCCGGAGCCGATCGAGGACCGCCATCGAAGCCGTTTCCCTGAAGATGAAGAGGTGAAGTCGATAGTGGTATATATTAATGAGTGCAGTTGATGTTTGGTCTGACAAAGGAACAGAGGAGGAAGTAGACACCCCACGAGCTACAAGAAAAAGGCAGGGATGCGACTGTTCAGCAGAGCTTTAGGAAATGTGAAAGGATCAGGACATCATTAGGTATATAACCCTGCCGCCGTGGTATTCCTTCAGCCGCTCCTCCAGCGCCAAACCGAGCAAGATAACGTACCCTTGACCCAACTCAAAATGTGAAAGCTGTACTCGGCCCCAAGGCTGCCCTGTCCTTTATACCTCCATGTTTATTTTGATGCTGACTGCGCTAGGAGGCTTGGCCCCGGATGCGCGTGGATAGCAAGCCACAATGCTTGACGTTTGTGACATGGGCATTCGCAGTGACCATTCTCTCCTGTCTCCGCGATCATCTTAGGCCTCGATATTCAGGGTATGGATGCAGCTTACTCCATATATATTAATAGAACAGGTTACTAGTAAGCTGAGCTAGTCCATGTTGGGTGACCAACTAAACACCCTGCTGCTCCGTTCCCCGGCGGCTAAAATGAAAAGAGGAGAAAAGAAAAAGGAATATAAGAAGAGAAGAACAAAAAAAGAAAAAAAGAAAGAAGAGTGACCAAACTGAGGCTCGATCTCAGGACCTTGTCGGTACAAATAAATGTTAACGACACGTGATAACCAACTACACCATTCGGCCTTTCTTGATGTGTGGATAGAGGCCTCGCTTATTCTTATGCGTCTTCTCCCCCAGTTACTCTGTACTTCTGCCTAACACTACGATAGAACTTCGGACAGCCTCTCTACAAAGTACTCTGCGACACTGGAGAACGGAGTACTGAGATGGCTACGCCCAAGCCAAAGATGGTCCAGATGACGCTGAACTTTGGCTCCTCTCGCACGCTGAATGAAGATACACCAAAGGAGCCTCAGCTCATCAGACGGGACCCTGGAGATACCCTTGACCATGGCGATGATGCCAGTGGCATGGACTATGAGATGGATCATGGAAGCAAGCTAGACAGCCAGAGCAGTATTACGTCTTCAGACTGGCCTGCCTCTCAGTCAACAGCACCGGTATCAGATGGAATACAACGACGAAGGATCCTTCGCTGCATCGCGGGAGAGACAAGCACCTTCTTGCCCGCCATTTTAGAGACTACTCCATGGGCACCGCCAAAGGGATACCTATATTCTCCCCGTAACATTTCAGAGCTACACCCAAAATACTGTCCTAGTTTCAGCAAGACTGCCATCCGCGTACTCAATGCGGACACTCTAGATACGGCTATCGGGCTAGCGAACTGTGCACAGTACGTTACTGTCCGCGATAAGAAGCCCGTATGTGTCTTGAACATGGCCAACGCATACCAGGCAGGAGGGGGCTGGAAGAACGGAGCCCTCGCCCAGGAGGAAACGCTATGCTATCGAACCAGTCTTAGTTTCACGTTAAAGTTAAGATACTACCCGCTCGACGACACACAGGCGATATATTCACCAACCGTCCTCGTAATACGCAAGAGTATAGATGACGGACATGGTCTTCTATCACTCAACAAGCCGGAGAAGTTACCCGTTGTAAGCGTCGTTAGCGTTGCAGCGCTGTGTGAGCCCAAGCTATCAGTGCAGAGAGTACCTGTTCCAAACTCATCTACTACCCGAGCAAAGGAGATATTCAGTAATCCCGACGACCGCGATATGACCAAGGACAAGATACGGATGGTCCTCCGGGCTGCTGCGTTCAACGGTCACCGAAGACTGGTGCTAGGAGCGTTAGGCTGCGGTGCATTCCTCAACCCCCGCGAAGAAGTAGCAGACTGTTTTGCAGAAGTCTTCCGCGAACGAGAATTCAGCGGTGGGTGGTGGGAGAGCGTGATTTTTGCTGTCATGGATGATCTGGGGGAGGGCGAGAATGGTGATGGAAACTATGGCGTCTTTTACAGAAAGCTTCATGGCATGATGATATAATGACATACCCCTTGGATATACGGAGTACTATATTTCTCCTTTTTCAGGTTATTTAGCGATGCGATGATTCTAGCATAACGACGACTGATTTACAAAATAGAAGACTGGTATCATAAAGCCTTTCCGGTGAAGACTGGGGCCGCTGCGTGGTGGTTTAGGCCTATGCTACCGCCCAAAACTCCCAACTTGCCAAAAGAAAAGCATAAAAACAAAGTAATTTAAGAGATCTCACTTCTTAGCTGCAGATCGCCCCCTTCTCAGCGGTACTTGTGGCTCTTCCGGATCAGCTTTCACGGTCGTAGCCTTGGACTTCTTCGAGGCAGGCGTAGCTTCGGTGCCGTCTTCTTCCTTGATGGCCTTTGCGGCTGGCTGCTTGCGTTTACGGCTAGGCGTTGCTGGTCCATCCGATTCATTGACCTCTGCCTTTAATTTCGTCTGGGAGGCTGTCTTCGGTGCGGCTTTCGCTTTGACGGCGGCCTTCTTAGGCTTGGTATCTACTTCTTTATCTAGCTCGTCACCGCCAGCAACCTCGCCATTCTTCTTCTGCACGGAAGGAACAACGGCACTTGTTCGACCGCCCACCGTAACGAAGACGATCGCCTCTCCGCTTGGGAGTTTCCCAGTAGCGCCTTTCTTCCCTTTATTCCATCGATGATGGAATAGCCAGTCAGTAGGGAAGTCGGAAGATTCTCCTTTCAGGTCAACGGATACCGAGCAGACATAATTTATGGCAGAGTGAAGCTCCGTGATCTGATTGTCCCTAAGCGTATCGCTATATTGTTCAGGGTGAATGCGAGCATGATAGAGAATCTCATCTCTGATAACAGTTAGCAGTGTTCCATGCATGTACCCGCTTGGTAGAAGAAGAAAAAAGAACTTACCCCATCCAATTCCCTAGTCCACTAATATTGGCCTGATCTAGTAGCAAGGCTTTGATGGGAACCTTCTTCCTCCGCACAAGAGTCTTCAACCACTCCTCCGTCACAATTGACTTGTCAATAACCGGATCCGGCCCATTCTCCTTAAGTGGTGTATAACTCCTGATCTTGTCCCCCGGACAATCCACAAGCCTCACACGACCTAACCGCCGCGCATCCACAAACGCAGCCTCAGTCTTGGGCTCATGATCCGTCTCAAGAATAAACTTCCAAAACTTCGGAGGCCAGACTTCTGCTTCAAGCTTCTCGTCTTTCCCATTACTCCGATAATAGGTATTCTCACTCCTAATCTTCAGCCATCCGGTCATTCCAAAATGCATAACGGGATGCGGGGGAGAGGACATGATCATCCAGAAATATTTCCCCTGCTGGCCTGCATCTATCACTTTCTTGCCGAGCATGTGTTTCTTGAATTCATCTGCGCTGGTACCAACTTTGCCGAAAAGAAGGTCGTCATGGTTGGCTAGCACTTTTGAAATCGTGTGGCCCACCAGATGCTTATGGATGTAATTCACCACTCGTGCAACTTCTGCTAGTTCAGGCATGGTGATGGAAGTGAGCTGAAGGAGAGCGACTGAAACACGTAAGAAATGAGGTGAAAAGTGTAGCTGTTAACTAGTTGACTCGAGGGCTGGGCCGAGTCAATTTTCGTTAATCCACGGGACCGATAGACAGAGAATTGATCCGGCTACGTTTTGAATCCAGATGTAATTGGCAGCTCAACCGGTGTTGCTGGGATGACAAGTGACGGTAAAAACGCCGATGGTGCAGTTACAGCTCAGCACACTAAGACCGAGAAAGTAAATGGATATTGATAAATAGCCCGGAGCAATCACATTCACTGTCTCCTATTCATATCTTGGACAAAATAGGTACAAGGACAGAGACATGCCAGCGACTTTTTGAGCGTCCTCGAGCTTCGTGTTTCCTTCGCGTGGATATCACCAACCAGCGAGCTGCGATTCCCTGCCACCTTGGCGTCCATCTAGTGCAGTGACTAAGCCCGTAGAGCAGGATAGGCAGAGCTCCATGGCGCCGCAGAGATCGATGATAGACAGAGCTACCCAGTGCATCGATAACATCTGAGAGATCCATCTTCTTGCATCTTTTCCCTGAGCTCGAGGAAGCAAAAACCAGGTTTGAGAGCTGGAAAAGCTATAGGTCATATGACGTCCTTCTATATCGCATAAACCAGCAGCAAATCTACAACTTTGACAGTTAAACACTTCATACACACTTACAGGACTTATCTCACACTATATACCTACTATTTATAGTCTGGCACTAGTTGTGCCGGTGACTGATCTCCAGGCTGGATTTGTTTTGGGCTCGATCGTCGTCAACCGCAGCGCCGGTTGCCTCTGGAGGCAGCAAGATGTCAAAGGCCTCGACACAGCCGACGCTGTCGCCACAGTTTTGCTTCAATGAGCGGGCGTTAAGAGGTGGGTTGGCACGCTTACCTCTATCAAGGAGATATTGACTCTATATGGCCACAAAGGACATCAGCTAATTACCCTGGCCGGAGTGATAGATTTCCTCCGAATCTCACGATCGACGATAGATGATTCTATATCCCAGAACTTGAACGCACTGGTTACCCCGGCCCGATCTGGGTTTGACCCATCGTCGACGACCGCCAGACAGACGGAGCTTCCACACAAGGGCCAGGTTGACGCAGAGAGCTGCCAGATCTTCAAAGACGAGCTCTTGTTTCCGTCCTGGCAGGCTAGATCCGACGTCCTGACATATTGTACCGGTGTTGCTACGAGTCCCGACCCCGACGACCCCGACCTGCTACTCCGGCAAGAAGAATCATCAAGGGACCGGGAGAGGGTCGTAGACGAACGTCTAGACCCTTACTCGGCGAGATTCTTCCCCAGGGAACCCCGGACAGAGTCTCTTGCCATGTTACTACGGAACGAGCGTGGTGTGGAGAGGATAGTGAGGTCTCGCACCTGGAACATCGTGGGCGAGCGTTGTGGAAACTCGTTCGAGGGCTGGGAAGATGCGCTCAATCGGTGGCGGTCAAAACGTGAACAAGGTCATTGATCTTTCCATCTCCACCCGACGAATAATGAACTATCTCATTTAGACGGCGAGAATGTTTACTCTACGCCTGCTACCTGCCATTACATATAGGCCAGGCCGTGACCTGTACGATAAGAGTGAATGACTGTAAATATACATCTCAATATAATACCATCAGCTTAGCTCTCTTTGTATATCTTCAACTTGACCACGAACCCAAACCATGGACCATGGACCGCCGTCGACCACCATGGACCATGTACCACCAGGCTATAGTCACCACGCTAACAGCTATTATTCTTCTGCTCTGCGTATTGTTCTTCGTCTTCAATGAAACCGCAAGCAGAGACCGAGGTCACCTGACCATGTCTATCGGATAAACTATTTTTTTGGCTTTTCCCTGCACAAACAACTTGCTGATACATGGCCCGAAAGACAACGAATTGGTGACGAGCTCCGACGATATCTACGACTATACGACGCTATACAAGCACTAAGAGCTCTTGTCTGCGTGCGGGAAACGTGTCGAAGGCCTGCGTTTTGACTTCTGTCCCGCCTTCCAGCCCACCAATTCACAGTCCTCCCGCCGGTGTCCCTCCTCCATTGATCGAATCTCCCATTCTTCCGTGTGATAGACCAGGCTAGGCGCCCCGGACTGTAGAATAGGGCGGCCACCATGCCTCAGCCATTGAGCTCGAAAGACAGCTCTTTGTTCCGTCAAGTAGTCCGGCATTGCGAGAATAAGCAGTATAAAAAAGGTGCGAGCTAGCCCGCCATTGAAGGGCCGTCTCTCGAAATTCTGTATTGTTCCATTGCCCTGACTATATTACTTATAATTATAGGACTCAAGGCCGCCGAACAGATCCTTAAAAAGAACCCAAACCATGGAGACACACAGGCAATGAAGGGTCTCATGTTGAGCTACCAGGGTCAACAAGAGGAGGCATTTGCTCTTGCGAAGATGGCCCTCAAGAACGATATGAAGTCACATATCTGCTGGCACGTTTACGGCCTGCTGTACCGCGCTGAGAAGAACTACGATGAAGCTATCAAGGCGTACCGGTTTGCGCTTAAGCTCGAGCCAGAGTCCCAGCCCATACAGCGAGATTTGGCCTATCTACAAGCCCAGATACGAGACTTCCAGGGATACATTCAGAGCAGGGCGACAATGCTGCAACAACGACCTGGGTTCCGCCAAAACTGGACAGCTCTCGCGATCGCCTACCACCTCTCGGGCAACCTCTCGGAGGCCGAGAACGTGCTGACGACATATGAAGAAACATTAAAGACACCCCCACCACGATCCGACATGGAGCACTCCGAGGCCATTTTATATAAGAACATGATTATTGCGGAATCCGGCGACCTGGAGAAGGCCCTTGAACACCTTGATGCCGTCGGCAAGCAATGTTTCGATGTCCTTGCCGTCATGGAAATGCGCGCAGACTACCTCCAGCGACTAGGTCGAACCTCGGAAGCTGTTGCTGCTTATGAAGCTCTGTTGGAGAGAAACCCGGAAAACTCGCAGTATTATGACTGTCTAATTAAGGCCAAGGGTATCCCCAAGGATGACCACAAAGCATTGAAAGCTGTTTATGATTATTGGGTTGAGCAAAACCCTCGAGGAGACTCGCCTCGGCGCATCCCACTAGAGTTCCTGGAAGGAGATGATTTTAAAGAGGCTGCCGATTTATACCTTCAACGAATGCTGCGCAAGGGTATCCCCTCCACGTTCGCCAATATTAAGACCCTCTACACCAACCCTAAGAAGCTCGCTGTCATTCAAGAGCTAGTGGAAGGTTACGCCGCCGGGGGGCTAAAAGAGCAACCCAATGGATCTGCCGATAAGCAATCAAACGGAGAGGAATCGCGGTTCGAGAGCTCTGTTCTCTACTTCCTTGCTCAACATTACAGCTACCACCTCAGCCGTGACCTTGAAAAGGCAATGTCATATGTGGAGAAGGCCATTGAGCTCTCTCCAAAGTCTGTAGAATGCTGGATGACCAAGGCTAGGATATGGAAACACTACGGAAATCTCACCAAGGCTGCAGAAACCATGGAGGCTGCTCGACTACTAGACGACAAGGACCGGTACATCAACTCAAAGGCTGTCAAGTACCAACTCCGACACGACGAAAACGACAAGGCACTTGATAACATGAGCAAATTCACCCGAAATGAAACCGTAGGAGGACCACTCGGCGATCTACACGAGATGCAATGTGTTTGGTTCTTAACTGAAGATGGCGAGTCATACCTACGCCAACGGAAGCTAGGTCTTGCCCTCAAGCGATTCCATGCAATTAGCAATATCTTCGATCTATGGCAAGAAGATCAGTTTGATTTCCACAACTTCTCGCTCCGCAAGGGCATGATCAGGGCCTACATCGATATGATTCGATGGGAGAACCATCTACGGGAACATCCGTACTATAGCCGAGCTGCCATTGGCGGAATTAAGTCATATATCCTTCTACACGATGAGCCAGATCTCGCCCACGGACCGATCCCCAGCGGTATGAACGGTTCCAAAGACGGCGGTGCGGATAGCGCCGAACGTAAGAAGGCTCTTAAGAAGGCCAAGAAGGAGCAGCAGCGATTGGAAAAGGCAGAGGCCGAAAAACAGAGGCTCAAGAAGGCTTCTGGCACGACTCCCAGCGGTGATGCTAAGAAGGAGGACACTGACCCATTGGGATTAAATTTGGTCCATACCACCGACCCATTGAAGGAAGCCATGAAGTTCTTGAACCCCTTACTAGAAGCTTGCCCTGACAACATTGATGCGCAATTGGTCGGGTTCGAGGTGTACATTCGAAGGAGTAAGTCTGAACCCTTCGTCCATCGACATCAAAGTCACTTTCCACTAACAGATTCATAGAAAAATACCTGCTATCCATCAAATGCCTCCTCGCAGCCCACGCCATCGACCCATCCAACCCAACTCTACACACGCAAGTCGTCAAATTCCGCCAGCTCTTCGACGAAGGCGCCGCCGGAGAACTCACTCCACCGGACATCGTCGACCTCATCAACGCAGAATTCGACATCCTGCTGCCCAAATCCACTGATCTCAAGAAATGGAACGAAGACTTCCTAGCTTCCCACGCAGAGAGCGCCCCACACGTCCAGGCAGCACTAGCAGTCCGCCAAATGCTCACCCCTGAATCAAAGGAGAAATCCGAAAAGGACCTTCTTTCATCCATCGACCTCGACACTACGTCGATCGAAGATGCGTTGGCTGGTCTCAGCTTACTTGATAACTGGGGCAGTGCACCGGAAACGAAAGCTTCGTACTCCACTAACGCCCGTCGTAGATGGAAGGAAGCTTCGGTTTTTTCACAATGAAGGGGAGGAGTGTGTGGTAGTTGATGGTGAGAAGTCTGTCTGTCCGTTCTTGACCTGTGTGTAACTAGTTATCTTGAAAGCAGTCCTGCCTCCAACTTTTGCCAAAGCTATCGCTTGCCGCTCTGGTGCTGCGCTGCTAGTAATTGCTCGAGGCAGAATATTTAGAGCAGAAAAAATGAGAAATAGCTACATAATTACCTCTTGGACTCGGTAGAAATTAAAAGGTGGGTAGAATGTTATCTTAATATTGACTTTGAGGGAGAAGTTTTTATATCTTTGCGCTATTCCACCAATAACTAAGCTTTACACGCCATCTATGCGCCGAGTCCTCTATACACATGAAATATCATACACAGGAAGTGGATATTATATAAAAATACATAGGCGGGGCCAAACAAATGCCACAAAAAATTAGATATCACATTCATACATGAGGTGGGTTGATAGAAGGTAGGAGAAGAAGAAAAAAGGGCGTCTATTCACCATCCTCGCCGTCCAAATTTCCAATAACGACCTTACTTCGAGCATTCTCCTCCTCGCCCCATCCGTACGAGTCCCAAAGGAATTTCCACATGGGGACATGCGGCGGTCGTTCCTCGCCTATAATCCATTCCTTACCCTCGGCGATACGCTGGGATCGAGCAAGGTCTTCAGGCGAGAGGGTAAACTTGCGCATCCGAGAGCTAATGCGTGGATCGAGGACTAAGGTGTCTGTCCATTCTTGTTCTTCCCTGATGTCAGCTGGATCGGTGGGCTGTTTGTGCGCCGATTTATGCCAGTCTTTCTCCTCCTCTTGGAGCACAGCTTGTTGCTCACTGGTGTTTGATGGGGCGAGTGGTTCATCTAACGTGGATGGCTCACTTGGAGTGATGGCGGCGAATTCGGATTCAGAGCTATGCTGGCCGTCTGTGTATGGTCTTATGGACGAAGCGAGGACGGCGGCCGCCACTTGCTCTCCGACGGTGTCTGCCATACGACGACGAGTAAGGAAGCGGTAGAGGCGGATGGGGGTGTTCAAGAAGCCTAGAATATGCGGGAAGGCAATAGGAGCTGAACCGTCGAACTCGTTTGGCGCAACGGGGGAGAGTTGGTGTGTAGGATAGGCGGAGGGAAGGAGGTATGAGGGCGCGGGTCCCTTTGGCTTTGGCTTCTCAGCCGGCTTCTCTGCCTCTTTCTTCTCATCCTTTGCTGACTCTTCTGCTGTTGCTGAAGGGGAGTTTTCACTGGGAGAGTCTGACATCAATGGCTCCTGAGCGGCTGTTTCTTCCACGACGGCTTCGACGGGCTTCACCAGAGTTGCAGGGTCAACTAAAGGGCCCAGCCAGCCCTCATGGATGCCACGGATGTATTCTTTCCAAGCATGTCGGCCAACAACTAGATCTCCCTTAATCTCCGGCTCATCGTGAACGCCCGTCACCTGTCTGACACGTCGAAGCCTGGTCTCGAAGTCTGCGTCGTCCATATCAGGCTCTGGCGGTGGTCCAGCCTCACCAGCCAGCTCTCTCCTCTTGCGAATCCTGCTCGCAATAGCAGCTCTAAGGTCTCCTTCTCTTCTACCTTCTATAACTTCATAATCCAACGCTCCAGAGACAAGGATGGGCTTCACATAGTCACGGAAATGGTCCCTCGCGTTCCGCAACGTGTCTCCGGGGGGAGCGGAGAGGAAGACGGTGACCTTTCTTCTGGCCTCGTTTGTCCGCAATGGCTCATTGGCAAGGTGCGCGACCACGTTTGACCATTTATCTTGTATCCGTTTCTTCTCACGACGGTCGTAGACCAGGGCGCCGATGAAGGAGCCGGTGACGGACAGGAATATCAGCCAATTCCTCGACGGAAGCTTGAGTTTGATATTTGGCAGGCCTGCAATAATAGTTAGCATCTACAATGTATTAACAACGGTATATCGTACCTAGCATGCGCAGGGCAGGATTCTGCGGCTTCGGGGCTGGAGGTTTTGGAGCAGCTTCCGGGCCCGGGTTTGGGGCAGAACCTGAAGCCGGCGTCTCCATGATGCGATGAGACGGAGCAGTCTCTTTCCAGCTGGTGTGATGGTTATGTTGTTGTGTTCTGCTATCTCATCTTCATCTTCCTCTCATGAAGCTCAAGCAGAAAAACTTGTCGGAGTTACTTTTCCCCGTGTTCTTATCCGAGCCACAAACTACATGAAGCTGAAGATGAAGCTGAAGATGAACATAACATGAACAAGAACAAGAACACGCTGATATCTTTATACAGAGTAAAGGTCATTGCAAGACTGTCTATATGAGAGTGTTCTGGCTATATACTAAATATACTCCGTATACCCCGTAGAGTAGCAAAACTACAAGATAGTAATCTGAGATAGCCCTCCTATAACCCTGACTGTAGCCGTAGAGTAAATGAATGCCCAGTATTCCTGGAAGAAGTGTCTTAGATACGTCAAGATATGTCTCGAGATACGTCCAGGATGTAGATGCCATGCCTGCTCGAGAGACGTTTCAGATCCCACCACGGGCGGCGTCTTCATCTTCCTCTCCTCCGCCTCCGCCTCCGCCCCTTTTCACCCTCTCCTCCACGAAGAACGGCTTCAAGATAGCCTCGAGATAGCTTCTACGGCCTGTTTCACCTCTCGACACTCGCAGCAGCCATGGACGGCAACCGAAACAACCCCAACGGCGCTCCTCCCAGCGGCAACCCGACCAACGGCCGGCTTCACCTAAACTTTGGCTATAACGACCAGCAGCCATATAGCAACAATCCGTCGAGCAACCGCGCGTATCCCACGACGCCGTCGACCTTCCCGCAGCCCATGTACGCCGGCCAGGGCAACCAGGAGTTTGTCGACGCCCAGCAGAATGCCTACAACCAGGGATACTTCGTGAACAACCCCTATATGGCGCCCGCCGGGCAGACGCTCCAGCAGCAGCAGCAGGCCCAGTATGCTCCAGCACCGCACGGAAACCAGCCTGCACCGCAGCAGGCGGCCTACCAGCCTCGAGCTGCCGGCGGACACCAGGGAAACGACGAGACTACGGGCCTCATACAGCAGTTCTCGAACCAGGACCTCAGCGCTTCCCCGCGCCCAGTGAGAGCCGCCCCGCAAGGCCAGCAGCGTCCTCGCACCGCGGGCTCTCCAGCCGGCCACCAGCAGGCTCAGGCTCACTTGACGCCGCCGGTGCCGGCTCGGGGGGCTAACCCGGAGGACGAGGAGCTCGTTCGGTGTCCAGAGAGATACTCGGAGAACGCCCACAAGCGTGGGAAGGCAGCCAAGGAGCTGGTCAACGTCTTCTTCCGCGAGAACATCGAGAGAGCCCGTGATAGGAATATGCGGTATACACTTTGCATTAGATTATTTCTACGGGGGATTATGAACTAATTTCGACATCTATAGTGCCGCAAGTCTGGACAAGATCTGCCAGAATGCAACCGTGTCTGATACCAAGAGGAAGCATGAAGCAGAGGCCATGGCGAAGAAGGAGGCCAACTTTCTCCGGTTTATCAGGACGAGAGAGACCCCTTCCAACTTCCAGACCATCAAGATTATCGGTAAAGGTGCATTCGGAGAGGTTAAGCTGGTGCAGCGCAAGAGTGACGGCAAGATCTACGCCTTGAAGTCACTGATTAAGACGGAGATGTTCAAGAAAGACCAGCTCGCCCACGTCCGTGCCGAGCGTGATATCCTTGCCGACTCCAAGGACAACCCATGGCTGGTCAAACTCCATGCCTCGTTCCAGGACAAGGCATATCTTTATCTCCTCATGGAGTTCTTGCCCGGTGGTGATTTGATGACCATGCTTATTAAATATGAGATATTCTCAGAGGACATCACAAGATTTTACATGGCCGAGCTGGTCATGGCGATCGAGGCCGTTCATAAACTTGGCTTCCTACATCGGTATGCACACTCTCTCCTTTTTTTACTTCCCAAAAACTAACGAGATGGCTACAGTGATATTAAACCAGACAACATTTTACTGGATCGTGGTGGACATATCAAATTAACAGATTTTGGCCTGTCTACTGGCGGCAAGAAGCAGCACGACAACTCATATTACCAGGCTCTGTTAAAAAATACATCAACATCCAAAGATAAGAATAGAAACTCGGGCTTCTTCTCGGACGCCATCAATTTGACGGTCTCCAACCGTGGCCAGATCAATACCTGGCGTCGATCACGTCGTGCCATGGCATACTCCACCGTCGGTACCCCAGATTACATTGCTCCTGAAATATTTAACGGTCAGGGATACACCTATCTCTGCGATTGGTGGTCCGTTGGAGCCATCATGTTCGAGTGTCTCGTTGGATGGCCGCCGTTCTGTGCCGAACAGCCCACCGACACCTATCGAAAGATCGTCTACTGGCGTGAACATCTTGCTTTCCCCGAAGAACTTGTTCTCTCCCGCGATTCAGAGCATCTCATCCGAAGGTTTGTTCTTACCTCCTAGAACCCCCCTCAAAAAGGAACAAGCTACTAACCAATCGACAGTTTCCTCTGTGATCCCGAAAACCGTATCGGTCAAGAAGGCGGTCAACACGGCGGTGCCACCCAAATTAAAGCCCATCCCTTCTTCCGTGGCGTCGTGTGGGAACAGCTCCGCCGAATTCGCGCTCCCTTCGAACCACGACTCACCTCTAACATTGACGTCTCCTACTTCCCCATCGACGAGATCCCCCAGGAAGACAACAGTGCTCTCCTCCGCGCCCAGGCTCGCGCCATGCCAGAGGAACAAGAGGCAGAGATGTCCCTCCCCTTTATCGGCTACACTTATAAGGCCTTTAATGCTTTCCAGAGCAGCTAAACGCAGCTTTGCATGCATCATTTAACCGACTATGAAAGAAAAGGCAGTATTTGATATCACGATCTTGCAAGCGGGGAAAACATGCGTACTCTGGGCGTTTTCTACTTTGTTCCTTTTTCGCGGATTCGCCTTTTCTTTCTCCAGTAACATGTCAAACTGATCCACCAAAAAAATTATGTGATGATGTGACCTTGTGAATTTTGACCTTATGAATACTTGATTCTTCAGTATATACCATTGGTATATCTGTTGAAAGTTTATTGTCTTGAGGATTTGAGCTGTTCTATTGCATCATCCTTGCTATGGCATAGCATAGGGACCGATAATCTAGCTAGGCTAATAATCTATGGATACGGCATGCATTCGTTTGGTCAATTTCATTAAATAGAAGAACCAGCGGACAATAGTCAATGTGGATGATCCCGGTACAACATTTGGATTATTGCAGAAATTTCCTCAAGGCTTAATAACACCGCCAGATACTATTACATATGTCCGTGAAACGCCATAACAAATTCCTTAGGCGTCTTCCAATAATAAATAATTTCCCTCTGGGACTCAGCGTCGAATCCCCGCCGGCGCCAGACCCGGAACACCACTATATCTCTCCTCTCTCTCAGTCTTAAACAATAACTGAATCCAAAATTCCTTGCTATCCTCGTCGAACCATGTCCACAGCTTCCCTTCTCTCCTATCAACCTCTCGAGCCTGTAACTTGAACCCACACGTCTGATACGGTTCCGCAGCAACGAGCAAATACTGATAATCCTTATCTGGCGGATCATCCACTTTCTGCTCAAAAGCAGACATGAACCGAATTCTCGGCGTAACTCCAGGCGTGATCTCTTGATATTGTAGCTGGAAAAGTAACCCGTGTTGTCTCGTAAGCGGATCGCGAATCTTTGTGATTTTATAACCCGGTCGACCGATCTTTACTGTGTTTCTCTTCACTTGTACCCCCATATTCCCAGCAGGCATCGCACCGCCAGCTCCATCCTGGGCTCTCCCTTCTTTCTGCTCCCGTGCTGCACGGCGGGCAAGGTTGGTCTGATGCTTTCGTCCCTGGGTATGCGCGAGGTATGACCCGTCATTTTGATGGACTGTAAGACACAGACGACATTCGAAGCTGCCGACATGGTTTTTGAAGAAGTATGGATCCTTCGCGAGGTCGATGTGTTCGAGCGCAAGCTTACGGAGTCGTTCACGTCTGTCTGCGTTCGTGGCGGAATGCGATGCGACTCCACCGCCTCCAAATTTGGAGCCTGCTCTGTTCTATATTATACGGTTAGTGTATATTCAACTCATAGAGGAATAATACATGCAAGAACTCACCTGGTAATCCATCCTTGCTGCGCTTTTCAGGGTTGTATCTAATGCTATCAATTTATCTTTCGAGTAGAAAGTTGTAGCTTTTTGCTGTGATTATGTAATCACATCTTCGACCATGATTGACCGCGATGAAGAAGTGTTTAAAGATGCCACAAACTGTCTAGAGCTCATAATTGAAAGATGTCAAGCAAGTCGGCGTCTGGACCTGATGCTAAGTATGAGCTCGGATCAAGGTTATCGTATGACGGCGCGTTATGTACGGTCCGATATATCGGGGACGTTCAGGACACCAAAGGCCAGTGGCTAGGAGTTGAATGGGACGAGCCAGCGAGGGGCAAACACTCAGGAGCACACCAGGACGTGAGATACTTTCAATGTACAGATAACAATCGTTTCTTTACGCATGTATACCTATAGTTATACCCGACTAATAACCTACAATAGGCAAAAGTAAACATCCAACGGCGGGCTCATTTGTCCGTCCGGGAAGACCATCAGACAAGCCCCTGAGCTTCCTAGAAGGAGCTCACGAGAAATATGTATCCGAGCTGCCTGCATTTTACTCTTCTTCCAAAGGAGACCGTGTGATAGAGCAGTTGATGTCCAAACCAATTGAAATCAGCGGCAAGATCGTGGAAGAGCTGGGGTTCGATGAGATTCGGAAACAGCTTGCCGCGCTAAATGAGCTTCGAATCATCATCCTTGACGGCTTGCGTATGAATGGCGTGCTATCCGGACCATCTAGTCCTGACGAAAGAGAAAAGGAGCTTGAGAAAATCAAGAAGACGTGCCCGAAGGTTGTGGAGCTTGACTTGAGTCGCAATCTTCTACGCAGATGGTGTGAAATAGCCGATATCTGCAAACAGCTACCTGAGCTGAAGTCATTGAAATTGGAGTATGATATTCCCGTGCAAATATATACAAATAACCACCAAGCTAACTGATTCGATAGTGGGAATCGTCTTGAGGACGTTGAGAGCTGCTCTGTCGATATCATTTCCTACACGGTTAACGGTGTATCCCTGGATTCAACTTTGATGTCATGGAAGGAGGTATGGTTATTGAGCCTATCCATCTCCAATTCAGTGCCACTAACAATCTTCTCAGATTGCCTTACTATCTCACAAATTACCTTCTCTCACCAGCATATCCTTGTCGACAAATGAACTATTATCCACGACAGCTACGCTCTCTACCACAATACAAGAGCTATCTATGGAATTCAACGGATTTGAATCTTTAGACAGTCTACGCCATCTCACCACACTACCCAGCCTTCGCCGTCTCTGTCTTCGGTCCAACAAGATCAGCAAGGTTTATTCATCCTCACCCTCAGAGTTGGTCTTCTCTCCAACTCTAGATTTCGTAGATATATCACGAAATCAAATACCATCATGGGATTTTGTAGACGCCCTACAAACGGTATTTCCTGGCCTCACAGGTCTACGTATCTCAGACAACCCATTATACAATCAACCGCCAGCCCCAACAAAGGTTACTGGTTTGCAAGAACAGCCGATGACAGTGGACGAAGCCTTCATGTTGACGCTCTCGCGCCTCTCTAACCTGAAGATTTTGAATTATGGAAAGGTCACGCCTCTTGATCGCCTGAACGGGGAGCTTTATTACCTTTCCTTAATTCGAAAGGAGCTACTTGCGCACCCAGTCAGTATGGAGCAGGATATCCTCAAGACACACCCGCGCTACAAGGAACTCTGCAAAGTATATGAGACGCCCGAAATCCAACGGACGGCCAAGGATAATCATCCTAACGCCGTAGACCCTCGGTCGTTGGCGGCACAGCTAATAAACTTCAAATTCCACCTCAACAAGGCAAAACAGGAGGATGACACCGCGGTCTCTGATGAGTTTGAGAAAGAGATACCAAAATCATTCGATGTGTATCGCATCAAGGCTATTGTAGCTCGACACTTCTCTCTGCCGCCTCTTCGGTTTAAATTGATTTGGGAAACGGACGAATGGGACCCTGTGGAAGAAGGAACCGCGGAAGAAGATGAGTGGGATAGCGACGATGAAGGCGAATTCCAACCAGACGAGCCTAGAGACAGCAAGCTAGTACGGGAAGCCAGCGGGAAACAGTTCATCAGGCGAGAGGAGGAGCTAATAGACTCGACGAGGGAGGTTAGCCACTGGTTCCCCAGCGATACGATGGAAGTAAACGTGAGAGTAGAGCCGTTTTGATACCCGATTATAGAACATAACGTCACGAGAATATGAACTATCTACTCATCTTAGGATATAAATATATAAATGTAACTGATTCATTCCGTGAATCGCATCTATAAGACTGAAGGTTTGCATAGAGATAAGATAAGCTTTGGCTGTGCATAAATTAAATAAATGCAACTCGAGCTCAACATCTCGACACTCTCCCAAGCACATCACACTACAGAGGCTAACTATGTCGGAATATTGGAAATCAACAGTGAGTTTACATCTCAGATATGCCAGCGCAGAGCTAACTTGTCTCCTTCCAGCCCAAATACTGGTGTAAACACTGCAAGATCTTCGTTCGCGACACACCCTACGAACGGACACAACACGAGTCTACAGGAAAGCATCAAGGCAGCTTAAAGCGTTTCCTACGAGATGTGCACAGAGATCAAGAGCGCGGAGAGAAGGAAAGCCAGAGAGCGAAGAGCGAAGTTGAACGGCTAAAGGGGATAGTATCCAACTCCGGCTCTTCCTCTGGCCCAAAACGAGCCCAAAACGACCCGTCATGGAGAAAGGGGACAGGGGCAAACGCTACAGGATTAACACAGGACAGAATGAAACAGGTATCGCAATTGGCGGAGATGGGAGTTGCGGTTCCCGAAGAGTTTAGGCCCGACATGGCGCTGGCTGGAGACTGGAAGGTCGTCTCGGAGACACCTATTGACGAGACGGGTGCTGACACCACGGTCAAGAATATTGGCGTCCGAAAACGAAAGCTACGAGAAGAAGACCAGGAAGAAGCGGACATACAGCAGGAGGTGGTGAGGAAGGCATGGGGCTCAGCGATCCGCGAGTATCCTGGCAGCAGGACAGGAGGAGCTGGCGATGACGACTCTGCGGACCTTGACGCTCTATTAAACATGACTACAAATTTGAAGAAGGAGAAGAAAGTGAAGGCCGAAGTCAAGGATGAGCCTGAACCGAGTGGTAGACAAGAGCCGCCTATCAAGAGGGAAGAAGATGATGATGATGTAGGGGATACATCTGCTAAGCAGGAGGACACTCTACCTAATATTAAGGAAGAGGAAAGGCCTGACCTACCAGATGAGGCAGAGAGCGCAGCTCCAGCGGTTATGTTTAAGAAACGGAAGCCAAAGAATATAAAGCGGTAGCATTTGCATTGTATAACAGATATAATATTTCCATACATCCTCATTCTATATAAAGGCAACGATCTCATGACATATCAAGTCTACTATGCAACCAGTAGCTATTATATCAGCATATCTTCTATATCTACCCAGTATAATTAGCTGGAGACAATGCCAAAATGCCCCCTTTGTACCCGGCCTGGATTAGCATGAGAGGCAGGCCACTTTAACAGTGAGGAGAAGCCAAGCCTTAGTTAAATATCTGATATAACCTCGAAAACAAGTAGTTATATTCACATATACACGTACCCAATCGTTATTACAAAAAATAATCAGGCAGTTATGAGGAGGGTTGGATACTTCCCCAAGTTCGGCGTATTAGAAGAGTTTCCACCTGTTTGCCCCAGTCAACTGGCTCAGCGATGCGTGATCATGCAGCATTCCTGCATTCCCCCTTCTCATGAACATTACCCATCGATACAAATGCTAGCCTTGTACTATGGCCTCTATGCTCCATTTTCCTAATTAGGGATATGGCTTTAGATACCCATGTATGCACTCTGTCCGGGTTGCGAAGAACTTGCGAGGTGTATACCCTTCCTCTTAGCCATTGCAGAGGCGGTAAGATCGCGATGGGCATCTTGCTTGTAATTTGGATGCAGGGAGAAGCGGGCGATACGGAGTTGTCTCTAAGTGAGGCAACCGCCTATACCATGCTACATATGCAGGCCAATATCTGGAGGGTGTCCTGACTCGCATCTTCACTGGATGCTGCATACATACACATACCGTTCTCCCGGCTCAAGATGGAGAATCGCTTGGGAAAACGCTCAAAGACGACGCGGTCTTGCTCTGGTAGCCATTGAGATTATGCCACCTATGCCTAGCCCTTGCTCCGTGATAAAAGAAAACCTCGCTACAACGTCAGGTGGAAGAAGAGGGGAAGATGCTAGCTTCTTGGGGGCTTATAGCGAGTTGATAACCAGTGGTTACGGTTGAAATCGTTATATTGGCTCCTATCTTGCCTCTTCTTCTTTGGAGTTTAGAACATAGTTAAGTGTCTATCAACTTTCCACTTCGAGCTCACATTATAACTAATTGGAAGCTCGATCTCGATCTCAATCCTCTGGCAGACATGCCCTCCACAAGCGAGCCCAGCCCTCCTCCAGCAGGCCAGGTTACCCGATTACCGGCTCCTGACATTCGAGCCATGAAGGAGTTTATGGCTCAGCTTAAGGGGCTGATCTCAACTCCAGGTTTTAGCGCCATTTCGACAGTTTACGATAACAACACAGAGCTGCAGAGTCAGCTACAAGCCAAGGATGAGGATATTAAGAAACTAAGGGAGGAGATGGAAAAGAAGGAAAAGAATAAGGAAATAGCCATCAACGAGATGTTTGCAGCAAATGAACAGGAGAAAAATAAGTATAACAAAATAACTAAAGAGGTGAAAACCCTTCAAGACGCCGTTGGCGAAAAAGAAGAGAAGCTTGCTGAGCAGGAAAAATCGATGCATGAACTTACGAGTAATCACACGAAGCTCAAATCGGACTATGCAAGTCAAACGGAGGATCTTACACGGTCCCAAAAAGCCACCGGCGACCTAGAAGAAAGGCTTAAGGCGAAAGAATCATTGATTGACAGGATGAAATCAGCAGGGTCGGAACAGAGACAGATACTCGAGTCACATAAAAAGAAGTTCAAAGAATTGAAGGACCAGATATCCTCGTTAGAGAGCTCGCTGCAAGCCAATCAATCTCAACTAAAGAAACTGGAATCGTTTGCAGCAGGATATCAGGAAATGGATGAAGCTTCCATGTAAGTTGTGCCGGTCAATATTCAACTGTCATACTAATACAAGTCAGCGTTGATAAGTTTGACGAGCTTTGGGCCTTTGCCACAACAGAGATGCACTCATGTTTGATGGAAGACTTGTCTGGTAACGTTCTCCAGGTACATTATCCCCCGTTCCAGGAAATTATGATACCTTTTCTCTATCTTATACACTAAATCTGTCGCAGGACCGCGCAGCCTGGGACGATTTTAGGAAGTGGACTGACACTCTCCGGCACCGTGTCCCACTCCCATACTCCAACTCCAAGGCAGCAAAGGATATGCGCCTAATTCTAGTTTTGGCTGTTCTTGCGAGAGAAATTGACCGTCAGATATTCCAACCAACATATATTCTCCCTGAAGATAACCAGCTTCGAGAGATACTGGTTGATCTTGCAGCAACAGACAGGGAGAAAGAGCTATTCTGTCGGTGTTTGCTTCTTTCAGTTGATCCAGAAGCACAGGCTAAGGCTTGTCGTTCCCGGATTCAAGCAGTTGTAACGAATACATCGCCGTGTTGTTTCAAGTTGCTTTCGGAATCAAAGTATGAGGAGTTCCGTCGGTGTATAGAGAAAATTGCCCACAGAGCCGCGGATGTCTGGCACCCAATTCAACGCGCCAAGTGCAAGTATGAGCCGGACTTTGAACCAACAGAGTCCGGAGACACCGAGTGGAAACCCTTTGTCTTCCCAGGAGCCCCAGACAACGGGTCAGCGCCAGAAGAGAGTCGTTCAAGTGATGGAGCCCAAGCTGAAGAGCTCCTTACAGTGTTTCCTTGTATCTCTGCTATCGAGGATAACTTGCGCTATCCATTGAATACTGTCGTTCAGGTCTGGAAGCCACTACCGCAGTGCGCTGCCGCAGAGCTGGAGCTGGCACAAAGGCCAATTAACCCTAGCATTGGCCGAATAGCATCAAATCGTGCGCGGAGGAGGTCTATTACTTCTAGCAGAGCAAGTAACAAGAACGGGAATCACCAGAACGGGAATCACCAGAACGGGAATCACCAGAACGGGAATCACCAGAACGGGAATCACCAGAATGGGAACCACCAGAACGGGACTTTTTTAAGTCAAAAGGCTGGCGCAGCGTAATCGGTTTTGTATATGTTTTCTTTCGGCTATGATATATTCAAGGTCTCTCTCTGTTCGATTAGTTAGTTATATTGGGATATAGTGCAGTTCCTGAGGTTCAATATCATCCATCTCCCACACTCAATTATAGATATGTAAAACCAAACCCAGGACGGGCTACCAAGCTATAGTCTAAGAGTAAGGGCTTGAAGCAATATCAATAAAAAGGACGTAACAATAGCTAGGGTAAACGGTTACTGTGATAGATGGTCAAAGTATAGGAGTTTGTGGTTAGACTTGGCATCGCCACCTTCGTTTTCTTATCGACTTGAGCCTCGTTCACGCCATCAAAAAGAACGCGACATCATTGTGCAGAAACAGCCAGAACACAAGTGCAGACGGTGGCTAGAGGATCAGTGCTGTGTAGACGGCTTCTTCCCTGTTAAGCTGGTAAGTTGAGATGTCAAGCTACTTCAAGGAACCCCCTCTGTCTGCTTAATCTTCAATCACCAAGAGACACATGATATCAGCAACGGTCATCCTCCCTTGTCAAATTGCTCTCTCCCAGCATATTTCTACCTTTGAAGGCTTTGTTATGCAATGTCATCAGCATTAGCAGCATGCAATATCAAAATTGGGCCATGTTTGCAGTACCAGCAGAGGTGGAAGAGCTCCAGATCCAGCAGCGATGCGCACTATGACTTCACCGGGTTTCATCTATATAGACCTGTTGTTTGCAGTTATAGTGTATATATGCAGCTGTGAAGCATACAATGGCAGCAGGATTCAGGCTACATGGCTACCGGAGCTCGTCTACCTTGTACTGGAGGTGTTTGGCCAGCTGCTCTACTTCTGCTGGATGGCAGATGCTTCCAAAGGGCTGCTAGATATCGATATATCGGATTGCCTACCTCTTCTACACTTCACCTGTTGCTATGAATCGCAGTTTATATACCATGGTTGATTTGATCTAGAATGAAGCACCTAGATCAGAAGCGGCGTTGAGACAATCGCTAACTACGAACGTTTACAGATCGATCGCATACACTACCCGAATAGCCAACCTCGATGTCCTCGTTGCGGAACCTGTCAGAGCGCTATCGAGGGGCCCTATAACCGGATAGACGATGCGGAAAATTAAACAACTGGGCACATCTCGATAGACCCGTCACAGAAGCGGAGGCAGTTACAACGTCTGCTTCGATATATCCGGATACCGCACTGCCAACATGGCGGAAGGCGGAACAACGCCCATCCCAACATCAACCCCAGCGGCGGCCGCAGGTGCTTCGGCGCCAGTCGACAATCCGGCGCAGAGCGAGCAAGCTGCTACGAACGGCAACGGGCCCTCGAATCCTCCTCTCGAGTCGCAATATACGCCAGCCACGGATAACAACTTCATCCAACCTCCCGCCGAACCCCAACCGCAACCCCAATTGAGCCAAAATACTCAATCACAACCACCTCTACCACCCACAGCAGCCACAGACCCGGTTCACCAGCTATCAGCCGCAACGCAGTCTTTGGATGCACCTCAAGTAGGAGCCGTGGACCATGCTGCGCAGTTCCAGGCGCTGCAGCAGTTCAACAACGACCAGGGACCGTATGGGGACCCCAACGCAGCCTCAGCGCATACGCCTGCACCGGTAACCCATATCACCCAGTATTACGGCGAGCTTGCAGGGGGCGGCTTCTCAGACGGCTTCGAGCTGGTGACAGACGAGAGTGCTGCGAACCGCATGAAACGAGATGTCAAGCGAAGGACGAAAACCGGCTGTCTCACCTGCAGAAAGCGCAGAATAAAGGTAAGGGCTCTTTTTTCTTGTTAACCATCTCCTTTATAGAGATTCCTCTTAAAATCGAGCCAGTGAACTGGCGTTTGTTGTCGTGGCTGTTGTTTGTCGGTGTGCTATGTTAATGTTGAGAGATCGTTGTTGTTTTCCCCGCGCTCGCTTAGAGCTCGAGGCAAAAACTTCAAGCATCAAACTCCCCTCACCACCACCAGTCTTCCACCAGCAAGTATCAACAGAGATGCTCAGCTCTCAGTTGCGTCATCCTAGTTTCCTTTGAATAGGCGGCCTTGTTTTCTGCTTCATTCATAGTTCTCCCTTCTCGATTCGCCTTCAATCGTGTTGTTCTCGCATCTATACCCATGGCGCCTATCCCAGTCGCAATTGGCATAAACCCATACTAAGAATTGATACAGTGCGACGAACGGCATCCTGTGTGCCGGAACTGCGAGAAGAGCAAGCGAGATTGTCTTGGATACGATCCGGTATTCAGATCCCAACCTGGTCCGTCTTCGCTTCAGCCGGCGCCAACACACCCTTCGCTACAAGTCGCGCCTCAGAATCCCCATCAAGTTGCTGGAGCCAACCAGGCGCATCTTGTAGGTGCTGTAGCACATTCAGTTTCGCCGTCTCTTCACACTGCAGCGGGTTCTTCTGCATCTCCGCCGCAGGAGCAATTCGACTTTGGCACTGAGCCCGAACCTACCCCCGTAGCAGTTCAGGCCCAGGCCCAGGCTCAGGCCCAGGCTCCAGCTCAGGCAGCGCTCCCAGTTGAGCCTGCAAGGAGTGTAACCCCAAGGGCGCCCGAAACCACACCACTAATAGCTATCTCGACGAGCTTACCGGGCTCGGAGAAGATGGAAGGTAAGATTCCCGACCTCTGAATGCATAATGTCATACGTCATAACAATATGTTGTATATTTACTGTGAGATATAGCGAGACAACCAAAAATGGCCGAACTTCTAGCAATTGGCGGCTTTACGCTACCAGACATTGACACCACCCCTCTTACAGCAACCAAACTGAATGAAGTTAAAATGCTCTACAAAATCTATGCACAAGGCATGGACCGGATGCTCGAATGTAACTGGTATGATGTGAATGGACTACCACACATGCTTGCAAGCTCCCGTCTCCTGTCCCTCTACTCATCGCTCCTTGATGGCTTCACCGACCCAAACATCCATGACGCACCAGTAATTGCCCGCATGGAGTCATTCGAAAGCCACGTCATCTGGGAAAGCCTTTGCTTGTGTCGCACTGCTCGCGCCCAGGAGCAGCCTAACGGAAATGATTCGGCAACTTCCACAGACCCTCAGCTCACATATGCTGTCAAACGTCTGTCTCTCCTTGAGGCTCTACTCACAGGAACGGTCCTGGAAAACAACCCCGTTGCCCGCCACAATTACCCCGAAGACGATCCCTCCGTGTCATCCTCCGGATTGGGCAACCAGATGAAAAGTCGCCAACTACAGTTCTGGGAGTCCATGGGCGATTACCTATCCATTCCCGACAGCGACCCGGACGCGGGCGGAAAGCGCGAGAGAACTCTCTTTGCAGCCCGCGCATATCTCGACATGATCGAAAGCCGAGATGTCGTCTATTCTATTGCCGTTGTTAGGAACATCTCCAAGTTTCAACCTAAAAAGTTCAAACTCCCGGCTGCCTCTGATGAAAAGGATCCTGCTGCAAAATTATATGTGGCATGTAGGTTCTTAGAGGACGAAGTCCGTGGCAAGGCGACCAGCCAAGTTTCCAGGCGCATTTCTCAGCTGGCTGTCAGATACTGGGACGAACCTTTCAACGTCTGATTCTAAACACTATTTCTCATTATTAGATTTACATAACCCCCTCCGACCCCGCCATGCCTTTCCCCTTCATAATGATTGCCCTTTTTTTATTTTATTTTTGCACTGGTGGCGTAAGAACAGGATTATGGGGATATACCGGAGAAAACGGAACATGGCTGGAGCTTTTGTAGGATATATACTTGTCTTCTGTCCCGTTCTATTTTTCCTACACAACAACACATATTGCATCAAAACATAAACGCAGCCCAGTTACTAGCCATTAGAATAGTGCAAGACCAACTCCGCAAGACAATAAGACGATCAACCACGTCAACTTTGTATATTCTCAAGATTTATCTCACGGACAAAGATCTCGCGCGCTTGCACCTCCTTGCTTCGTCTAACCAATGCCTCCCTCTATGCTGGTCTGTCTAGTCCCCATATATTCCAGTTAATCTTCATCCGAAAAGATCCACCACGGCAGTATTTTGCTCTATAGCTGCGCCTGTTCAGGCACAGGAGACCTAAGTTTCCCCGCCTCAACCGCCTGTCTAACATTGCTGATTGCCCATTCCTCCATTCCGGTCTGGGTCTGTTGATAAATACATTAGCGCCCATCTTGCCAGATATGGGTTGCTAATCAAATAAACATCTTCAACAAAAGGTGTACTTACTTCAACGCTCCAAGTCCCCATATGCGGAACCAATATAACGTTTGGATTCCGGATCAATCCCGGGTGGATTTCAGGCTCGTTTTCAAAAACGTCGAGCCCTGCGGAAGCAACTTTTCCGCTATCGAGTGCCATAACAAGAGCTTCTTCGTCTAGGACGGGGCCACGGGCTGTATTCACAACGATGACGCCAGTTTTCATCTTGGCGAATTCCGCGTGGCTGATAATGTGCCTAGTGTTTTTCTGTAGAGCGTCAGTTATCCAAGTTTCTAAACGCCCGGGTCATATGCGGCGAGACAGGGTAAATGATAGCAAGGTCAGGGGCAGGGGGGGAAAGAGAAACATACATTCAAGGGCAAGTTCAAGGAAATAACATCGCTTTGAGCCAACAGTTCATCAAAGGACACATATTTCGCTCCACCAGCCAATTCAACACTAAGCTCCCTTCGATTATGATAAATCACAGTCATTCCAAACGCTTCAGCTTTCTTCTTTAGATTACGTCCGATCCCCCCCATTCCAAGGACGCCCAGTACCTTCCCCTGGGGATCATGTCCTAGAGCAATTGGCTGAGGGGAGCCTTTCCATTTACCTTCACGCAGATTCTGCATACCGGCGTTGAAATTGCGAAGAGCACCGATGATTAAGAACATGCTCACATCAGCCGTAGATTCGTCTACAGCGGTAGGCACATTGGAGACCCGCAGCGGTGGTGATCGAGCACTGCAGGCAGCAACATCTACTTGATCATATCCAGAGCCTGGTTAACGGCGTCAGCATTGTAGATACAGGATTTCGAGGGAAGGGAACAACGGGTTAGTCGAATGCTATCATATTCTTACCGCAGTGGGCCAGGAATTCCATAGACTTGGGCAATGCATCCACGATCTCCTGGTCAATCAAGCCGGTAATCGAGGCGGACGAGAAAGTCCGATATGCCACGCGCACCCCGTCAAGTTTGCCGTCACGGCATTCCTGAAGGAACTCTGCTCGATTCGTAGCCTTGGGGGTTACAAGTTCTCCGATATTGGAAAGACCTTGCCATGCGTCATGAGCACTTTATATATTCCATACTATACCTCTCTCCCAGGTGGGAGGAGAGAAGGCCCAAAAGTATTCTAGTTAGTGCATGGATAAATATCGGTCAACGGGGGGGAATCCCCCTCTCGGAAGTCATGGATACGTGTCCGCGATCTATTCATCCGCATATTATAATACCGGGGGCAAGGGACAATAATCCGCTGATGCATAACTCCTGCACATATAAATACGATGTACGCATATGCAGGGACGCAAGAAACGACGTTTTCGTAGTGCGTAAAACAGACATAGGCCGAGGGAGACAGTAGATTAAAAGCCTTATATATAACACTGAAATTGGAGCTGCAACGTACTGGTCGATTTCTCCCAGGAGAAGGATTTTCGGCTTCGTGGCTGATGTCATCGTTGTGTTTCGAGCTTCGTGGCTTTAGAGCCCCGGATGTCTTGGGATCAAGCGGTCGCAGCGTAAAGCTATCCTCTCTCTCTCTCTCTGAAAATCGTCCAATATACCTAAGGGTCTTAGGATACCAGGTCGACCTCAGGATCTCGAGCGGTTGCTATATATCTTTCGGCTTCGTGGGGTGGACTCCATAAAAACAGTTGATTGTGGATCAACTTAAATAATCGCAGCCAAATCAGCCAAATAAATATCTTCCTCTCAAACTCATTTCCTGACTGGTTCTTCATCGTTAAGCTCTATAACTGGCCACTCCCCAAGAATTCGGCCGAGTCAACTAAATTCCTGTAGGAAACCCAGCAGTCCTATCATGCCGGGCTTATTCCCGTATATTTTTTGATGCTCCGAGGCAACACCGACGGCGAAAGCTACCTGCAAGCATATAAGACGAGAGCTCCCTGCGCAAGGGGAGCTATCGTAACTCAACGGTTGATATTACAAGACTTGGATTTGCGTTGGGCAGGGAGTTCGTTTCTACCTGCTGGCGCCCAGAAGACTGGCTCTTGGTTGTACAACTTATGTACTTTTTGTGTATGCAACTTATATGTCCTCCGCACTGTCGGTGGCTGCGAGATAATCATAGCGTACATGCTGTGCAACTTCGGGTCTGTGGATTATTAGATTCGATAGGCTGAGACGGTACCATAACGGTCGACGATCACGGATTTAGTTAGGTACCTAGATTTGCAAACAAGACCACCAAGGAAAGATGTGGCTGTGAGACAGCGAGCAGTTCTGTGTTGATGGTTGATGGGTGATGAAGATTGACAGATGGCGAATATTATTACTCCTCCGTCAACACTCTCGTCCAGTCGAATTTCTTCCACCGTTTCCTGAATCCGTCCATCCTCCTATCAGTTCCTTGACGCCACCGCCCTTGCTTCTTAATCACTTCAGGACCCAAGTCGAGCATGCCCCCGATTATCTCACGCGCAAAGAGGTCGCCTTTCGGCCATCGATTGGTGTCTTCGACGATATGCCCTAGACCGCCGTCGAGTTCGAACCAGACATGGAAATAAGGCATCTCCTTCGACAACGTATTGCGGAACGCGAGCTTCCCGCCGCCTTGTCGTGATTTGGCAAGCGTGTCGATGACTTTCTTATGCTGAGTCCATTCTTCGTCCGCAGAGAGGATTGCTTCCTTGAAGAAAGCAGGAGCTGTTTCTCCGAGGCTGTAAGGGAGTGGCACTGCTTCCATGGCTGCGTGTCGCTTCTGGCCCGGCCTGGCTGCGTTCTCGTAGAAGATGACGTCTCGTCCCTGGTCATGATACATCCGAGTTAGACATTTCATAAAGTTACGGATCTCCTCCCATTCGTCGTCATCACATTCTAGGAGATTACTTCGATGCTGGATGGGTACGATGCATGTGCTGCCATCGCTCAGCTCGGGTTCTGTAGGGAGAGTAAGATAGACGCGAGTTGCCAGTGATACCACGGGTGCAAGAGGCGGCTTCCCTGTATCTTCGTGGTGACATAGTGGACAAGTGTCTAGGATTCGATTCATCTTCTGGAACTCGTTTATGGATGTGTTTTTAATGTTGATTTCCGATTTGTGTATTCGCTTCGCCAGCTTTGAAGCGTTTTCATCCATGTAATCAAGGTCATTCTAGATAGTCAGCATTGAAACATTGAGATGCAAAGTACGTCGTTGACTTACGTCGAATTTGGCATCTTTGGCTATGCGTTCAGCAAACCGCTGTCCCTCTCCTCCACCTCCACGGTTCCTGCGCTCTTCACGAACCATATCTTCAATGCTCATATCCTCATTCTCCTCAACCTGACTTCTCTCCCTACCTCGTTTGGTTTCTACCGCGCGAACTTCTCCTCGATTGCCGCCAGCTAGCATGCGATTATCCATGACTCCAAGCACGACGACGTCAGACTCTTTCTGGTTTGCAGCTCCCGCAACCGCTGCATTATATTGAGCTTCGAGCTCAGCTGCATCAGGGGCCCGCCTTAGCTTCGCCTTCATCATTTGAGCCTTTAGCTTGTTGAGGGAACTTGCGTCGAGTATTTTCGTTTCTCGCGGTGCTGGTTCGGTTTCCATCCGCTGTCCCTGTATGGGAGCATCGTTGCGCCCACCCGAGACCTGTCGTTGGCTATCTCCAGTGTCATCTTCACCGGTTGATTCCATATCCAGCTTCCTCTCTTTGAAAAGGTCTCCTGAAGGTTTCTCCTTTCCAACATAATCCTTGCCGTACCTGTCTCTCCGATCCAGCTCAATCTCTTCCTCCCTAGCATTATCAAACGACCGTAGATCACCATATCGTTCTATGGCCACCTCCTCGACCGTCCGGCCGGTCTCCTTCGCCTGTCTGAACACTGCCTTGAGCCTCGTCATGCGCCATTGTGCCCCGTCATCGCCAAATGTGTAGTCTACCTCCGCCGGGTCACCTTTTTGCACGGTATCAGAAGATGGAGAAGCCCCTGCATCCTTTGCAACGTCGAGAAGGTGTCGATTCAGCTCTTTCTCGTGTAGCTTTGTTCCAAAGTCAACCTGTAGCATTCGAGCTGTCGAGGGCTCCTGTGGCTTCTCCTTGGGTCGATGTATATAATCGATATCAAGGGCTGACGGCCCTTCCATCCACGTATCTCTCTGCAGCTTGGTTTCCCCATCCTGCTCTATAACGGGTTCTTTTGGTTCCTCTGCATCATCTTTCCTTTCAGCACTCCTGTCCCGATGGTGTCGCTTATGGCCGTGCTCCCTGTCTTCACCGTTACTCGTTGAATGCCGAGATCGTTTGTGTCTGCGTCTCTCGTCATCGTCATCGCGGTGCCGGTGTCTATGGGAGCGGTGCTTGTCCTCGTCGCGGTCTCTGTTTCGTTCTCTGTCGCGGTCACTGCGGTGTCGATGTCTTCGCTTCGATCGTTCGAGCTCCCTCTCTTCTCTCTCCTTCTCCTTCCTCTTATTCTCCGCCAATTCTTTTTCAAAATCTTCCAATGTCATGTTGCTGGCGTTACCTGTAGTGTATGTGTTGTGTAGGATGTGTTTGTCTCGGTATTTAACTTAAGTATTTAGCTTGCTAGCTTTGGATGACGTCGTGATCACCAAAATTTATTACTTTTGCGCTTTTGAAAGACTTGACGGTTAACAAACGACTTCTCGCTCTATAACCGCCATATCGAGAGGTTTGCTATACTGTCTACCTCGATCGCCTTATTCTACTTTCTACTGCTCTCATTTTCTTTTACTTCCTTGGACAGTGTCCCGTCGACCTGATCGCAGCGATGGCAACCCCACCAGTCGCAGTTGTCTGCGTTGGGATGGCAGGTATCAGCTTACCCTCTATTGTCTGATATTCATATTATAAAGATTTACTGATGAGTTATAAAGGATCCGGGAAAACGACGTTTATGCAGAGAATCAATTCGTACCTCTACAGCCAGAAGAAGCCGCCGTATGTCATGAACCTCGATCCAGCAGTACACTCAGTCCCGTTCGAGAGCAACATCGACATACGAGACTCGATAAACTACAAGGAAGTGATGAAGCAGTATAATCTGGGCCCCAACGGCGGCATCCTCACCTCTCTAAACCTCTTCTCTACGAAAATAGACCAGATAATGGCCATCCTCGAGAAGCGAGCTTTGCCCTCCGCAGACCAGGAGCAGCCGTCGACCTCGAAACCGATCAACCATATTCTCGTGGATACGCCGGGACAGATAGAAGTGTTTGTATGGAGTGCATCGGGCAGCATCCTGCTTGAATCGCTGGCATCTTCTTTCCCTACCGTTATCGCATATATTATCGATACGCCACGAACGAGCTCTACAAGCACATTTATGAGCAACATGCTCTATGCATGCAGTATCCTATACAAGACGAAACTACCCATGATCCTCGTCTTTAACAAGACTGACGTGAAGGATGCCGAGTTCGCGAAAGAATGGATGGCAGACTTTGAGAAATTCCAGGCCGCACTGGCTGAGGAGGAGCAGAACGGCGCGTTTGGTGGAGGGGAAGGGGGTACGGGAGGCATCGGGGGCGGTAGCGGGTACATGGGCTCGTTCCTGAACAGCATGAGCTTGATGCTCGAGGAGTTTTATCACCACCTGAGTGTCGTGGGCGTTAGTTCTATGACGGGAGACGGGGTGGAGGATTTCTTTGCTGCGGTAGAGGAGAAGCGCCAGGAGTTTGAGCGCGACTACAAACCTGAGCTGGAGAGAAAGCGAGCACAGAGAGAAAAGGAAAGACTTGAGAAGCGTGAGGTTGAGCTTGGGAAACTGCTGAAGGATATGAATGTCTCTGGTCCGTCGTCATCGTCGAAGGAGAAAGGGTATGAAGTCGAGACCGTCTCGGAGGCTGAAGACGATGACGACGAAGAAGAAGGGGAGGATGAACGACCCAGCGGAAGAGACGACGACGGCCTCTCGCAGCGATATAACAAGGCTCTGGCTGATTCTGGAGAGCAGGCAACCGAGGACAGCAGCTTTGCGCGGTATCTAAAGTCTTCCAACCTGGGGTGACTATCGACTTCACTGACTTCACTTACGACTTCACATCGACTTCACTATACGCCTCGAGTACTGTACTGAACATCCAGATAATGTCTAGGAGTAACGTCCAAGTAATGAATATATGAGAGTAAACATGACCAGGATGTGATGATGTCATACGTGGTGCTATTTAAGACAACATCAACTACAACAACCACTCAATTACTGTATACCACATTGAATAAATATGGACGTGAGTAGCTATATCTATTATACTAATAAGTCTTTATACTTACTAACAGATGCAGGGCTTCTATCCGTACTCCTACGGCACCTTCGCCTGGCTGACGCTCCAGGGCACCGCGCTCCTCTTCACGCCGAAGCTGATCATCACCACCTTGCTCGAGGAGACCAGGCAGCCTACACGTATGTCCAGTCCTTCTCTTGATATTCAGTGCTGACAGACGGTAGTGCTGGAAATCTACTTTGCGAGGAGCTGTGGAATGAGCCAGATAGCGATCGCTACGATATTCCTGATCCTCACTGGCGCGCTGCCGCTTGCATCCTCGTACTCTATCACGGCCGAAGAGTCTGATCCGAAGAAGGAGTATGCGTTCCCGGTGCTGCTGATCACGTCTGGTTTCCATGCGGCGGTCGCAGGCTACACGTACTCCTGGTATGCGGGCACTGGACAGGCCGGGTTTGCGGCTGGGATGGCTCTCTCTGGTCTTCTCGCCGCGATGGGACTGTGGTGTATGCTCTTCGCGGGCTCGGGGCGCATCAGCAAGAGAACTGGTGCAGACAAGCGGACGTCTGGCTTCCCTTTCAAGAACGTAGAGGCAGACAAGAAGAACAGGAAGAGGACTTGACTGTCTATCCTATATCTATACAAGCTATCCTCATCATCTATATCTATATATCTATCTATATCATCATAGCTTGATCTATAGCCACCAGTAACTTCTGACATCATCTACTATTTATATCATATATATCTACTGTTCATCTATCTACTATATCGTCATTATTTATTTACTCTATATCATCTATATCATCTGTATCATCATCTGTATATCATCTACTGTTTATATCATCATCTACATCATCCATGCTTGGCGTCACGCCGCTTCAACATCGCGTCGACAACTGAACAGAAGCATCGCCAGTTCGCCCACGATGGCCAGCAAGTCGCATCCAACGCCCACCGACGAGCTCGCGCAGCTTCACACCCTCAACGCCGTCTCGCCCGCCCCGTCGCTGGCCCAGGAGTCGCTGCAGCCCCGGCGCATCTCGCAGGCCTTCGCAGAGACCCTCGACGAGCCCGCTGAGCTCTCGCCCGCGCGGTCTACCGGCCACGGCCACGGCCTCGAGCAGGTCGACATCTTCCTGGCGCCGCACGATGGCCGACCGCAGCCAGAGACGGAGACGATCGCAGAACCGCCAGGCCATCAGTTTGTGCCGACGAGCGAGGTGCAGTTCGCGGCCTTCACGCAGCATGCCCTGCCGCAGAACATGATACCCCATTTCCAGGCTGCGCACGCCGACATGCAGATGGGCAGCTCGCTCGGGGACGGCCACTTCAAGAACATGAAGTCCATCCCGAACCCGCCAGATCTCGAGAAGTGGCGGGAGAAACTGTTCAACGTCGAGGACACCATCGTCCTAAGCGAAGAAGAGTACGTCCATCCCCAATTGGTAACGGGAACAGATGCTAACTGGTGCAGGTTCCAGACGTACTTCCCACACGTAGACAACGTCTACTCCCACCGCTCTACGCAGAGATATAAACGCAAGCCGTTCGTCTCTCACTACTGGGACTGCCGGCTGAAAGGTCGGCCGCCGGGCACGCCCAAGACTCACGATCCCAACAAGAAGAAACGAAAGCGAACTGCCCGGGAACGGAACCTATGTGACGTCAAGATCAAGATCACCGAATACTTCCCCGGCGCCATGAACGTCTCTCAGGATATGGCAGCGGGCTTCGAGCAGGTTTCCCCAAACACGCAGTCGTCTGACCTCCTCGTGGCACCGGGGTCGTCGAACGCACAGCTCGACGGCTCCCAGCCCTTTGGCGTGCTCACTCCCAGCGCAAGCTTGCCGCCCGGCCACCCCGGCGTGACTGGAGCACGCTACTATACCATCCAGCGTGTGAACGGGAACGGCGGGAACGGGAGATCAGACTCGGTCGAAGGCCCACACAGACACACGCTAGAGGAGAGTGACCGGATCAAGAAGAATAGCGTACAGAGGAACTTGCTGAAGGAGGAAAAGGACAAGAAGAAGTCAATTGTACGTCAACTTTTGCATTGATTTGATTATGCCCTGTTGACGTCGTGGTAAGCTGTTAACCCGGCAGCGTAGTCTCAGCAAAAGTCTTACCATAAACGCGCATCCGGCTATGCATTCGATACTGTGAAGAGGCATACAAAGGACAGTGACCTGAAGCTCTACGGCAGCTGTTTCTGGTACGTTTCTTTGGACTTTTACTCTATCAAACATGAAGTTAACTCCTCCAGCCCGTTTGTACAGCGAGTGTGGGTTGCGCTTGAAGTCAAGGGCATACCGTATCAATATATCGAGATAGACCCGTATAAGAAACCCGACTCCCTGCTCGAAGTCAACCCGCGTGGACTCGTGCCCGCCATCCGCCACGGTAACTGGGGCTGCTACGAGAGCAGTGTTCTCCTTGAATACGTACGTCAACTCTCACACTATACATGTTTCTCGTCTAACTTGAGTCTTCAGCTCGAGGATCTCGACATCGGTAAACCCCTATTACCACCCGGTGATCCACAGCTTCGTGCTCATTGTCGTCTCTGGGTAGACCATGTACGTCACACTCCATCCATCCATCGTCCCTCTCTCTAACAATACAAAGATAAACCGTCATATAATACCCTGCTTCTACCGCCTGTTACAAGAGCAAGACATCGCCAAACAAATCACCTACACTGAACAACTAAAAGACCACATCAGCAAGCTCGTCAACGCCTCACACGTCCACGGCCCTTTCTTCCTAGGCCGCAGCATCTCGTTCGTAGACATCCATTTCGCTCCTTGGATGCTACGGCTCACCCGCGTACTTAAACCGTATCGTGGCTGGCCTGATCCGGAACGAGGCAGTCGTTGGGCCGCCTGGATGGAAGCAGTAGAGCTAGACCAGCATGTCATGGCGACTACCAGTGCGGATGATCTGTACTTGGATAGCTACGAGAGATATGCAGGTGGGTGGGCAGTTTATACTCCCCATAGTTATGCAACGGACTATGCTGATAATGATGTATTAGAAAATCGCCCAAACACGTCGTTGTTGGCGAACGCTATTAACGCTGGACATGATCTACCCTAAAGTCGAACTGAACTTCAATCCAGGCCTTGATGTGTGGTGGCCTGGAAGTGGTGTTGTATTATTAAATGTTCAAGTTCATGTATATCATTCTCTAAACCCAACCCAACCCCTAAAGCAGGTGAACTGTATCTCGCGATGCATAAAATTTCATACTCGTCCTCAGTCAGCATCAAGGGTATAGTGCCTTAACTCACCAAGGCAGGCCATCCATCTTAGGCAACCGGAGCCATGATTCTCGAAGTACGTAGCTTCATCGGCATAACCTAGACCTTTTCCAGCGGCCTGCTCTTTTGCAAGGCCTTCTGATGCGAGTTACCCGCGCGTGGAATGCGTAGTTGGCCGGTTCCCTGTCCCAGTGACACGTAATGCCCTACCTAGACATGCGTCGACGTGGACTGACCTGACGCACATCTTCCATGGCTGTGCTAACATGTATATGCTACAGCCCCACGGCTGCATGCGGCCTTGTTGATACCCGATATCCTGCATTTGTGACGAAGTCCTGGGGTTGAAGCTATACGTCCCAGCCGTCAACCCAACTCCAGTCGCCGTCGCCACAACCACATGTATTTGTTCTATACGGTGGTTACCTAACCTAGCATTCAACCACCCCTTGCTCCTCGAGAAGGGAAGCCGCCGAAGCCGCCTCTCCCGCTCGGGTCGGGCCCTCTGGGACTCCGAATGGGGACCTGAGGCGCCGGAGACTGAGGTTGTAGCTGCGGTTGAGTCTGGTGTTGGGCCAGAGGACTTTGTAGCTCTTTATCCCGTTCAGACGATGTCTGCTCTTTCTCCTTTCTTTGAAGATAGCTTGAATTTGCCTTTGGTGCGTAACTGGGGTCATATAGCCGCCCCGACGCCTTTCCAGATGCATTAGAATTATCCCTTTCCCTTCTCTCTTTACCATCTCGATTTCCCCCTGTATTCGATCGGTTATTTCGCCCTTTTCTCTTCCCCTCGCTGCCTCCCTGGTGCTGTTGCTGGCCCTGGCGTGGGGGTGTGACGTTACCAGGCGACGAGTTACCTGACCCTGGCGTTGAACTGCCAAACAGCCTCTCTCGAACCTCCTCGTACTTGCGTTGCTTCTCCTCTCTCTCTTTCTGGGCTTTTGCAACTCTCTCTTCATACGTTAGCTGTCCAGGCCTCCTTTCGAAGTCGTCGTCGTCGTCATCCCCGTTATCACCGATAGATAGCCCGTGAACTCCACCTTCCAGGCCCGAGGCCGATTTATTGCCGCCGGACTGAGGTTTCCGTGCAAGCACTTTCATAGGCGCTTTGTATTCTGACTTGATAGGAACGGTCGATCGAGACTCTAGAAAGTGGAAAGTTTGCGGGGTTTCACTATGAGTATTCCTGTTAGCTCTGAACTGGGTAGAAACCAGGAACATTCTAGCTTACGCTTCAGCCCATAGCTGCCTGTTGAATTCGGCATGTTCTGCTCGACGCTGAGCTTTCGCAGCTCTCGTGGACAGCTTTTTCTCGGGTACCGGCTCAGCAGCAGACGGAGATCCCTGGCTCTGTTTCCGTACAAATTCCATCAGTTTCACATCGTCTATAGTTCACATCATTTATAGCATAATAGCCCAGATCAAGCAGATTAATGGCTCTGACATACATCTGCGACGTTCTCCCAGTCCTGGTCCCAAGCATCTGGGACTTGGTTCGATTGGCTACTCATAGTCAAGCCGCCGAATGACAATAGCTGGATAGCTGTATATAACCGGAATCCGCTTCAAGGAGACCAGCTGGTGGTGTGAATTCTCGTAGACGCCTCAGCTGCGGGGGCACGTTAACCGCCGAGGGTATCAAAGAGTCTGGCAGGATTCCTTCCTGAGCCTGCATAGAAGAGACAGCTGACGGTGTATGAAAGAGAGACGCCCTCGCAATAGCTTGAACACTCAGCCGGCTAAGTGGAATATCGTCGTATACTATGTGCTGCTTCTTGTCGACTTTTGCTCGTTCTTTCAGGCCAAAAAGGCCAAGTCATGTGACATCGATAACGATAAACTCGTTTCAATGACGACGAAGAGACAGCGAGACTGCAACAAACGAATAACTCGCACAAGAGACTCATTCGTGGCTAAGGATAGCTCTGTCTACAGGATAAAATCTCTCATCATGGCTGGTATGGCAGCATATGACATCTACACAGAGATACACGCAGAACCCTACGCGGATAGCTCGCTAACGTGAAGTCATAGCATCCTGTCTTGACGATTTCGACTCTGAGATGCTCTCCTCCACCTCATCGTCTCCTTCTGCGAAGAGTGTCCCTCAGACGCCTGCGGGAAACCGGCTCCAGGACGCATTATCTGGCGGGGCAATGGCGGAACTCTCACCACCTGGATCTCAGGGTCCCACGACACGAGAAGTAACCATGACGGGATACAATGAAAGCTCAAAGGATCCCTTGATACCGGCTGGTTTCTTGGTCAATCCCGAGTCCAACGACGAGATGGCAGAGGGTCCTGCGAGTCAGCTGCCGGCAGCGCTGCGAGATGAGCCCGGCGCAGCGTGGATGAACACGAAATCAGAGGAAGATGCGAAGAGGGCCCTTGAATACGTTGTGGACAAGGAATTTAGTCTGAGTACGATTTATTCTGCGGGGAACGAGTGAAATATCGCCGTCGTCTAGAAAGACTTGCTGACTTGTTCGTTATTTACAGAGGAGTTTGGTGATCCGTTCGACGACAGCGATATAAACCCGCGCAAGATAAAAGATTAGAGTGGCGGGTTCTCTCTTCTACGACGTAATGCGAGGCGTTTGGGATGGTTTAGTTCATAGTTCCTGGTTGAAGCACTGGATATCAGTAGCGGTGGCTTGTATGGGGGCCTGGTTGGCACGGCAACGGCCGCCGACAAGGGGGAAAAACATCATCGAAGAAACGCGCCAACTCATCTGGTCGATGACAGAATAGTTCATTCGAGGATTGAATAAAAACAACATAATAGCTGTGTCATTTTTGTTATCAACTCCACGGCTCCATCTTTCGCCTTATTGCTATTATTTGCTCTCCCTGAACCTCGTTCAACAAAACCTGGGATAAACCCCCTATACATACCAACTGCATGTACAGCGAACAGCGAACAGGAACAGCATCCTATCGAAACACCGTCATATCCCCGCCGTCCGAAAGCGATTGTTTATTCTGATTTGATTAATCGCCGCCAATATGGGGCAGGATACTATGCGATCGCCAGCACGGTATGGACTTCCAAATCTCGATTCACTTCCTTGCCTCAGGCGCAAAAGTCACCCTACACACCATCTATCTCCGGTCCCCTCAGTTATGCAAAGACACGTCGCCGACATGTGAATCTAATAATAACTAACTTCTTTACAGGAAGAGTCGCCTCTTCGATTACGAGCGCTTCAGATTTACTCCCGTAGCTAAGTCGAAGAAAGCGCACCGGCTCTGGGATCGAAAACCAACTACCCCCGTCGTTCCGCGCTCGAGATCACAGAAGATCTGGAAACGATACCTTGCATCTACGTCATTAGAAGGAGATGATATGCGCGACACGGATAGCTTCTGTACCGAAATAAACTTGGCTGCGACACTGGCGGCGCTACGTGGCGTGAAAAGGTTGCGACTTGCGCAAACTGCAGATTGGGAGCGTGGACGGTCGTTCTTGGAAACAAAGTGGGAAACTGAAACTGGGGACCGAAGACGTGAGTGGACTACCGACTTTACTATCAGGTTGTTCTATTGGAGGGTACTGATTTGTTGTCATTAGGAAAATACGTTGCGCCAGCGGAGGAGGGGGAGGATGTTGTTGATAGTGTGGGAACAGCAACAGCAACAACAACAACAACGTCAGGCGACTTATTAGTTCGGCAAGGTAGCGAATGCGATGGTCTGGGGCTCCTCGACGACGAGGTTTGTAGCAGTCCTTGCGTCGATCAGAGTGAGACTCCGCAACTTGAGGATACGAGCTCGCCGGAGGAAACAGTATCAGAGGCTGTGACGCCGCCGGAAGAGAGGATGATAAACGACGAGCTCAACCTGGAGAAGAAGACCACCTCAGATTCCTGCCCTGGAGAACGCGGGGATACTGAAGAGGAAACCTATTTTGATGCTGTAGGAGAACCGATGGCGGCTGGTCAGGGACAACGGGAAAAACCACCACACAGTACCTCACTACGGAACATCTCCATCCTCGACGGCGAGGATGCAGAGCTCATCTCGGACTTCCTCTCCCAGGCACAAGCCAAAAGGGCTGCCATCACCCCCATGAAGGGAGACGCCGCTGTTGACCGTGTTCCCGATTCCCCTACTCCCAACCCACGGCGTGCCCTTGAAGCCGTGGACAGCAACTCACCTCGCTCGCACAGACGACATGCATCTCCGGAGAAAACACAGCCTCCAAACCTCTATTTTACCAGACGTCCGTCGCGCGGAGGCTCTTCGAAGACCATCGAGATCGTGGAGAGGGAAAACGGAATGCCATTCTCTCCCGTGCTTGAGATGGCTTATGAGCATCACCGCCATGCACCCAGGATCCCAGACCAGATACCAATGCGCCGCCGTAAGGGCACAGAATTTATATTTATGCAGCGAACAGATGATCAGCAAACTGCGCTTCTCACCAAGGCCAACACGAGACTGAACAAGGGCACTAAACCTCCTTATAAACTACTACCTATACTCAACAAAGCCATAGCAGCTCTCGAGCAGAGTCCAGAGATCAACCAACCACGGCCACCGCAGGACCAATCGAAGAAGCAGGTGAAGTGGAACGACGACGCCCTGATTGAGTTCTGCGGGGAGAAAGTGCCCGAATTCGACGCGGACGTTTATCAGAACTCGCAGGCCATCGAACGCAGCTTGCGGTCCTCGTGTAGACGGAGCGCGAGCAAACCGCCGCAGCAACAGGTTGATGGCGTGGACAAGAGCAAACCGGAGGAACCCATCCCGTTCCTAGCACCGGTGTTGATACCCGCGCCAGCAACGCCGTACCGTTCCACGCCCGTACCGCGGAAGATGCGAAAGCTCGTTGGTGCCAAACACCTCGACGTCCACCCGAACGAAGGCGAGAGCCCACCAGTCACCCGCATAAATCTGACCATGAAGGCCACGACGGTGTTCCCTGGCACCCCGCTCCGACACAAGAAGACCTTCTCGCTGGCCCAGAGCGTTCCACGGACTCTCTCGCTGAAACCGTCGAAATCATCTACGTCGGCGTCGACGTCGGCATCGGCATCGGCGTCTGGACCCGGGCTGAGCTCCGGCGTTAGCTACCCAACCGTGCTACTCAGGAAACAGACGAAATCATAGATGTGCGTTGCACGACGCGCTGGGCGGAGTACGGAGAGCGAAAATTGAGTTAAAAGGGTTCTTTAATATGATCAACTGTCCTGGCTGTCTGTCTCTTGGCAGTCTTTCTTCCAGGGTATCAGGTTATCTGGTGTTACGGCAAAGCATTGGCGCGTTCTTGGGGCACATTCATCGTGTAATCATCTTCACAAATTGCAATTGACCATTTGATTATTCCAGCGCGAGCTCCTCTCTATCCCTTCGACGTCTAGCCCGCATTTGATAGATAAGCGTATTCGAGTGCGTGTAACCCAACCCCGTACCTTGTATATGATCCCTGGTGGCCATGTGTTTTGTTTTTTCCTCTCTCGAGACGGGCGGCGCCATCCCTGCCCTGCGCGTTGCCACTGCTGGCTAGGTGACACGTCAGTCTGCATGGATGACGCAGGAGGCACAGTCTACCCCTAGTATATCGGAGGAATGGTCACGCGGGTATCATGCCAGGGGTGCTAAACCTGTTCGCCTGTTCGTCTGTTCGCCGCAGGTAAACTTCATCGTCTATATACTCCGTTTCCAGGCGGCGGCTCATCACAGGCAGTGGTATATCTGTTTGCTCCCTATAGGGTGTTCATTGGCAGTAGGAACACCTGCGGCAAGCTTATAATTAAGGATGCACCTTGATTCTATTGATCTTGGCTGCAGAGAGCCAAGGTCATAGTCGAGCGATCTGTCCAAGAGCGTCCAAACAATCGCAGTCGCACTCTAACCCGCTGTAGGACTAGACTGAGATTGTCTTTATAGCTGTACTGTAGACTGTAGACTGTAGACTGTAGATGTTGTAGATGTTGTTGTATAGAGAGTTGTATAGTTTTGTATCGAGAAAGTCTTGATGTCAGGTGACTAAGCTTAATTCCGCTGTCTCAAAAGTCAATTTCCTTCAAACAAAGACCTTTTATCTCAACATTTCTATCTTCTATGTCTATCTATCTCTCTATCTCTAGCCCGTCAATGTCTATCTAGCCTGTCTATCTTCTCTATATCCTTATCTCATCTATATCTCATCTCATCTTCTCTATATCTCTGTATGTGTATGTATTATGTCATCTACGCCGGCGGAATGGACCGTCGCCCGATCTGGACTAGCGTGGGGTGCGGTTAAATAAGGTTTTCCTTACGCCAAAAATACGACCGCGTACCGGCCGGTATCATCCATACGCTGTAGAAACATCAAACAAACATGGAGACGAAGCAGATGAAGCAGACGAAGAAGAGGAGGGAAAGCAGGGGCAGGGCCAGGAGCAGGCCGCACGAGAGTTGACGCTGCGAGATACGAGCCAACGGTCCCTGCATGGCGGCGTGGTGGAGATAGTTCGGCGTTAGGGGGTACGGGCAAGGCGTCAGGTGATGCCAGAGCTCCTTCGCGCTCCTCCACTATCCGCATCTTCTTCTCTTCTTCTCTTCTTCTTCTCTTCTTCATCTTCTCTTCATCTTCTCTTCTCAACTTCATCTTCACTTCTTCTCTTCGACTTAATACTCTCAACTTATATCTTCATACGGAGTACTCTTCATACTCCTCTTCATACTCTTCTTCATTCTCTTCTGATATTCTCGATATTCTCGATATTCTCACTACCTACTAATACTCATCACTTTTACTCACGCCGACCAGGCTTATGAAAGTACGCTCCCTATCTGCTCTGATCCCTGAGACTCGCCATTGCTAGACTTTGCACAGTTATCGTCTCTACGTCTCGTCTTGTCTCCCCTCGTCTCCTCGTTTCTCCTCCTATACCTCTGCGGATAGTCAGCGCTCCGGCGTCGTTGTGTATAGATAGACAGCAGTTTGCCGTCAAGGAGACCAGGCCCAGTCGCGAATATTATAGCTTTGCTGGGAGAAACAGTGTCTGTCTCCTGCGTGCTGTGTGCCTGCTGTTGTCTCGCATAACATACATATCTGTACCTTCCTGTTGCCCTGCTCTGCGCTGTTCTGCTCTGTTCAGCCCATCCTGTTGTTATTATACTATCAAGTCAGGCCATATCTTGCCAGGTTGATATAATCCATTTAAAAGAAAGTGGACAGCAAGTAGCTGTTCTGCTCTTCATCTTGTCCTGTTCTGTTCACAAGAAGCAAAGCCACTGTTTACAACGAGAAGCCAAAGCCAAAGCAACACCAGCAGCCCATCCTATCAGCAGTCGATTCAGTCGCAGTCTACCGAGTACGGACTAACCTTTATATTCAAGCTATAGACCGGCCACCATAGTTATCTATCAGTATACTCCCCGTACATAGCATGACTCCCTCTGACCTCGCCCGCTCTGCCTGCCCCCATCCTCCTCCCTTGCCCGTCTCCGTCCCCGACCAGAGTAATGACCTTGACCTCCCCGATGCCGACGACTTGGAAGATCTCAAGATAGGCACTCACAAGAGGCAGGATTCATTCAGCTCACAGGCTCATTCTCGCTCCAGCAGCGTCGGAGGCGCCTCGTTCGGCTCCATCGAGGAAGATAACACCGGTACATACATCCACGCCTTCTTCCCTCTCGATCCGTACCAGCAGCCCCAACTAATTCGATCATCACATATGCAGGAATCGCGCAGTCCTTCGTTGACACCAAAGAGAGTAACCCGGCCAGTGACCAGACGCATACCGCTGACTGCTCGGCCGTCAAGGCACAGGAGCTCAAGGCGCAGGCTCCCGACTTCTGCTGCCCGTGTGGGACCTTTCGAGGATGGAAACAGATTCGTCTTGGAGGCAGAAAGCAGAGCAGAAGCTACAGCGACCTACGCTTTCTCGGAGGAACCCAGGCGAGAGGATGGGCGTGGGAGGAAGACGTCCCAGAGCTGGCACCGCCCAAGGTCCAGAAACAGGAGCAGCTGGCTCTTCAGAGAGTGATCAAGCGAGCCTGTCTCGAGAAACTACCCGTTGAGATACTGGATGAGATCATATCATATCTTGCTCTGGATATCCCACCAAACGGATATACTCCTCGCAATGTCGACCTGATCTCCTGTCTCCTGACATGCAGGACTCTGCACTCTGCCACCCTGGGCGTGCTATACCGGCACATCACCATCCCTCACTCGATCATCTTCTCCAAGGCTCTGAACCATATTCGCCAGTATCCATCTCTGGGCACAATCGTTCGACGGCTGGACTTCTCGCACTTTACCTCCGTCGGTCTCGGGCGCACTCAGCAGATGAACGTCGAGATCCAGAACCTCACTGCAAAGACCCTCCTTCAGTGTCTGGACCTGCTGCCAAACCTCAAGGAGCTGCTACTCCAGGAGCACGTCGAAGACGATGTAGACGGTGATGTTGTGCGCAAGATCTTCATCAGCAAGACTCTCCTCCGAGCAATCGATTTCTGCGGCTGTTCGTCTTCGAAATTCTCCTCTGGCTTCCTCAGTGCCGTCACCCAGGAGCCTAAATTCCCTATCGTCCTACCCAGTCTTCGTCGTCTATCTCTCCACGAATGTACCGGTTTACCGGACGAAGTGTTCCAGTCTCTTCTCCCACGTCTCGTCAACCTAACCCACCTCGACGTCGCTCACACCCAGATAAGCAACAGCACACTCTTCCTGATCCCGTACACCGCGCAAATCACCCACCTCAACATCTCACGATGCACAAAACTCACCGGTCCCGAGGTCGTCAAGTTCCTTACCACCCATCCAGCAGTGACACATACGCTCGTCTACCTCAACCTGATGGTCGACGCTTCTCGCCATCGTATCCTCGAGGAAGCAGATGTGCCAAACCTCCTACCACACCTCACTCCAACCCTCCGTTCTCTAAACCTCGGTGGTGCCCGCATCACATCCGCCCACATGCCGGACCTCCTCAAACTCTCCAAACACCTTGAAGAACTCGGTCTATCCTCCGCAGACCTCACAATCGATGATCTGAATTCCTTCTTCGCTCCTCCACCACAATCTGCTAACGGCACACCTGCCACCTCTACCTGGCAACCCTCTCACCTCCGCTATCTCGACCTGACCCGCAACCCGTACCTGACTCAGGCGGCCTTGTTCAACACCAAATCCTGTCTGCTCATAACCCCGCAGAGCTACCCCTTGCTGGTCATCGAGTTGAGCGAGCGAATCATTGCACCTCTACGCACTCGCAGCAAGTCTAGCAATAACCGGAACGGATGGGTAGTTCGTGAGCTCGGTAGGAGAGGTTGGTATGTTCGCGAGCCAAGTGGCGATCCTGCAATGCCTGTGGATGACGGGCAGAGAAGCTGGAAGATGGGAGCTCATTGGTGGGGGACCAGGAAGATTCCTGTCGCTATAGGTGATGTTGGTGGTATCTACGGACATTACATGTTCAAGAAGTGACCAATATCTCTCTCCTCCTACTCCATCGACCACCGCCAAACCAACCAAAAACATTCAATAACGAAAATTAATAGTCACAAAAAAAGTGTATGGGTTTTCAGTTACAGGAGCAAGCGAAATGGAGTTTGTCAGTTTATTGTGTTGTTTCCTTTCCTCGATTTTCCCCTTTATGCATGTTTTCTTGTCCAGCCCCTTTCCATTTCCCTATTATTCATTCCTCCTACGCAAGTACAGACGTGTGTATGATAGTGTGCTATAGGCTAAGTGGGTTCGGGTTCATGTTCATGATATCCCTGTAGTTATTGATTATGTCTCTACTCCGTCTATTTTCCCCCTTATGTTGCTTCTTTGTATATCTATACTTAATTCATCTTTATTATTACGGTGCTTTCTTTCCTATGTAGTTACTGAGTATAGTGAATGATCTTCAAATAATGTATTCATTTCTATCATATCGTACGTACCCTGATAACACGCTGTTACAGCGTGGAACGAGTCCACTAAGTCGGCATAGAACCTATGCATATATCAATGCATTGGATCAGTCCCCATACTGAACTGTATATTCTATATCCTTCTTAATGATCAATTTTGCTTTATCATCGTTCCATTCTGTCCCAGAACCTGATTCTGCCCCATTATGCCTTCCGGCCGTAATTGCTGTCGTGGTTGTGGTCGCAGTCGCTGCTGGCGGGTCAATAATTGCATCAGACGCAACAGGACCCATACCAGGCGCTACGCCATGAGAATCCACAGAGTCGGTCCTCCTCTTTTCGCTTTTGGATAGAAATGGAATCCGGCTGTTAGTCCGGTTATGCCCACTTATCGATTTAAGTTCGTGGTTTTCATCTGTTGACTTTAGTCGTCGATGTTGTGGTGTATGGGTAGGTTTTGAGAAGAGAGAAAAACGAGGAAGGGATATTTGAGCCGTCGACTTTGTTTCGGCCTTGCTTGATATCGATTTAGATAGTGTTGTGGAAAGCTGGCTCTTTCGTCTGGCTTTCTGTGCTGAATATTGCGGATACCCGTTGCCGCTGTAGGGTTTAGAAAGAAAAGCATGTTCTTTCGATCTGGACGTGTTCGTGCCTTGATTCTCGAGATCGCGCGAATATCCATTGTCAAGTGCACTTCCAGTAGCACTATTACTACCTCCGCTAAGATTGGTGTTGTTCTTCGAACTATGCAGCGACTGGCTGCCGGCTGTGCCGTAGTTTGTGCTAACGGCTGCTGTGAATGGTTTAAGCGCGAAGATCGTGCAGGCGATCACATTGTAGTTTATGCTTATTTGAGTCCAGACCGCTGAGTCGACTAGATCCAGGGTGAGGTTTGTTTGGTCACTGCATATGTCGATGAAATGGAGTCGGATTAAGGCGAAGGCTATTATTCTATATTTTTTTTATATTAGCATGTATTTCGGTGGTATGCTTCTTTGCACGGTATATGTAAATACTTACGGTAATCGGGCAGCGAAAGCGCTCAGCACTATAAGCTTTGTTCGAAGTCGCATCTGAAGCTCCCGGATGAGGTATACGGCAAGGAGGAAAATGACAACTTCGGATAACACATCGAACGAGACGATGACTTGCCATTTGACAACCTGGTATCAGTCAGATATACATTAGCTTTCTTCCTATAGAACTTCTAACAATATAAGTGATGAGTGTTCATACCCTGAACTTGCAATAGCTTTGGCTAAAAGCCCGAATAGTCGTTGTGTCCGTAATCCCACTCTTGATACCAACCGTGAGAAGAGAGCCGATAACCCATAGCGTACAGAAACCGAGCGTGATCAATGTTGCACGGTTATGTGTTTTTTTGGGTGTTAGTTTGAGGAAAATGCATATGACGCAACATTTTGTGAGGTAGAGGGTAAATATATAGAGGATCTCGCTCGAGAAAAAGGCCTAGTAAAGGTGGCATGTTAGAGCTGTCATCTTGTATAGATATCTCCATAAGAGGTTCAAGATAGAAAGAAATCGTTCGTTTCTCACCCGTCGCAAGCTTATCAGGTTCCCATGATCTATCAAGTCCGCCGAATTACCGAAGCCCTTAGACACGGAGACAAAGACCAAGATTGATTCGCAGAGAGCAACAAACTAGATATCACCAGTCCAAGTAAGTCAAAACCATACATATATATCAACATTCAAACATCGAAAAGTACGTACTGCCGCCCCTAGAAGGAAGAAATCATCTCGTCCGTAATGTGGGTTGATCGCGAGATGAATATACAGCCTGATGAAGAGGCCGGTCAAAGTGACAGTACCAGCGATTGCACCAGCGATAACGACCAAGGCCCCTCGATGTGTCAAATCTAGCGGCAGCAGAGGTGGAGATTGGCCTGGTAAGAGAGTCATCGCAGTAGATTGTGGAGGCTGGCGCAACCAAGTTGGCCTCAGCCAGGGAATCGCTTGCTGAACTGCTTAGACGAAGCGCGCAAGCCCATATGGGCGGATACGAAGGGAAAATCAGGACTGTCTTCCCATCCCAAAAGAGGCGTGAAAGAGGCGAGAATAGTGAGGCCGTCGAAAGCTTGAAAACCACGGTTGCTGGCCAGCCCAAACGATCCAACTGTCAGGGAGAACCGAGAGAGGGAATCAGAGTTAGGCTCCATGATCCGTATATATGTACTGAGCCTGCAACATGCACCCCGTACGCCTGGCAGTCGCCATACGTCAGGCAAGGAGCTGCGGCACCCTCTCACAAACAATGAAAAAGGGCAAAAGCGTAACGCCGGATCGCCTTCCGGGCTGATGACGATAACCAGTTATCGGTAGATATGCAAGCCGAGGTAGATCCTAGTCCCGCGACCATTCTATTTTTGCTTTTCGCCGCAGATATCAGGACCGCTTCGTCTCCCAAGACGCATCAGAAGCACCAGGGAGGACGCTGCAGTGTCGAGCGAGATATATTAGCAGCAGAGCGGGAGGGCGCTAAACCGCGAGGGCCTCGGGCGGGTCCATGGGCCCGGAAGCGGGAGGTGGACCCTTGGACAGAGCGTAGATTCGATGACTCAGCGGCATTTCGGGTGCGTTTTATCGGGGTCGCAACCTAAAGCCAACATCCTCCCTTCCTCCTGCCTATCAAACTGCGTTTCTTCACCTGCGCCGGCGTCGACATATCACACAAGCATCGCACAGCATATTCGTGAGAAAAAGCAATGAGAGCCTAGACGGTAGCTGGACGGCATGTCGGTGGCCGCAGGTTTTTCTTCTTTTCTGATGCGTTAGATTCAAGCCCCCGGACTCACCTGATCCATAGTTTTTCTTTTACCGCTTCGCTGCAGCGCGCCGGGAGTCTTATTCGCCAGCTTCTGCTCTCTCCGATAACAGGATTCTTTGTCCCACCAGCCACTCGCGAGGGGAACAAGGAGCGTGGGTGCAGGCATTCTCTCGCCCGCCTGTTGTGCGCGGCCAGGACCGTCTCCTGAAGCCCATAGCGTGTGACAGGCGCATCGAGGATTAGGCAGTCATTGGGGGGGGGAGAAGGGAGAGGGGCTTGGGATTTTCGTGGCGGTCTGCTCTGTCTAGCTAATCGCTTGATTGATCGCCATCTGGCTTGACTCCCGGTTGGATATGCCTCACTCTGGTCGAATTGTGATAAGTTTAAGAGTTTAAAGTCGAGGGAGCAAACCTTTTTTGCTCGCCGGACTTCTTTGTGTTTGGCCAGTGCACATCGCTGCGGGCGCCATGTCGCAGCCTCAAAAAGAGCTCTGATGCCGTCTAAAAAACTCTGATTGAGAGCAGCTGAACCTAACTTTCGCTCTCGTCATTTCGCATCTCCTATTTTGATCCAAGCCGGTGGCCAAATTTCGGCAGTCTGCATGTCTGGGCCTCGAGAAATAACCTTGCCTTCAACGCGTACGGACTACGGAGTCCTTGATACGTTAACCCTTCACTTGGAATCCTTGCTGCAGGAGAAGTTTATTTCTTTGCATCGGCTGGGACTCAAGGCAGAGCGGCATCTTTTATACTCCGGATTCTTTCTTTTTTCCCCATTCCCTAGCCCTGGTAACTATTCCAGCCCATGCTTATAGCATGCTTGCACAGGGTTGTACGGAGGACTTCGTAACGTTATCGGAGAGGTCAACTACATTCTGTGTGCTATTATTGAACTTACAATGATATTAATATCAGGCCATTATTTCTTCTTTTCCGGCGGCCAACGTCGCAGCTGTCCACGTTGTTAAAATTTTCCGACCCTCGCCCTCCTCCTCCTCCTCCCCCAGCTGTAATTTCATCTCGACGCAATCCCCAAATTCCAATCATCTCTCACACTCTTTTTTTTTCCCGGCCCCCCGACCCTTCTCTATCACATTATTATTAGCACCAACGGTTGAAACTCTAATCTTCCGCTGTGCTTTTTCGTCCCCGGCAACTGCGCGTAGGACGCTGCTGGACCGAAATCAGGTTGAAATTGTCTCGACTCCTTGCACTCCTTTTAGGTGCATGCAAAGATGGCTTATGACAGTAACTCAACGAGGAGACTGAAGAGCGCTGAAGGTGACGTTGGACACCCTGAAGATGCCTTCGTTTTTGACGAACATGTTCCAGCCAAATATCTCGGTACCACCGCCGATAGAGATGATATGTGCCAACTGGGAAAGGCACAAGTATTGCGGGTTAGATTGTCCATCTTTATCATCCTTGATCCTTTTGATTGATATATTTAATCGTGACTAACACTTCATGAGTATAGAGAAATTTCCGCTTCATCTCTATTCTAGGATTTGCATGTACGCTGATTGCAACATGGGAGGTGATATTAAGGTACCCTATTCTTTCCCACGGCCATGTCCCGTAACAGTTAAGGAGTCATAGGCTACTAATTTGGATAGCAATGGTATATGACTGACTGGTGTATTAGCCTTCTTGGATTTGCTTTACTAGATGGAGGGACGGCGGGCCTCATTTGGGGATTCCTTGGAGTGTCAGCCGGGTTTGCACTTGTATTTGCAAGTCTTGCTGAGATAGCGTCTATGTGAGCTTCCTAACAGCTATATATCTACGCGCTTATATCTATCATACTGACGAGAGCCATAGGTCCCCGACGGCTGGAGGACAATATCACTGGGTTTCCGAATTCGCGCCCCCTAGCTGCCAGAAATACCTCAGCTATATCACCGGTAAGGAGCCGATTAAGTCTCGTCGTTCTTATCCCATTGCTGTCGGGTCTTCATACTGAGATTATATATTAGGTTGGCTTTGTTCGACTGGATGGCAGTGTGCCATCGTTACAATCGCGTTTCTTGCTGGAACGATTATCCAGGGCCTCCTCATTTTAAACCTCCCTAATTATTTGCCGCATCGCTGGCACGGCACCATGTTGGTCATTGCCATCTCAGCATTTTCCATCATATTCAACACCTTTCTTGCAAAGAAGCTTCCTTTGGTAGAAGCTTTATTGCTTCTGCTTCACGTCATCGGTATAATTGCGATAATCGTGCCACTTGTGGTGCTGGCTCCCCGCAGCAGTGCCGAGTCCGTCTTCCTCGAATTCAACAATGGCGGGGAATGGAGCAGTGCAGGGGTTGCAGTGATGGTTGGGCTCCCTGGAGCGATTGCTTCTATGATAGGCTACGACTGTGCAGTACACATGGGTGAGTATTCTTCATGCAAGAATCCCTGCAATGCTTTATCCCTGGAACAATGCTGACATATCCCTTCTCTTCACGCTGTAGCCGAAGAAATTAAAGATGCTTCAAAGACGCTTCCGCAGGCTATGATGAGTGCCGTTGCCGTGAACTTTTGTTTAGGACTGGCCATAATTCTCACCGTATGCTTTGCTATCGGCGATATTAAAGAGGTTCTCGCTACTCCTACCGGTTTCCCATTCATCCAAATTTTCTTTAATACCACCCAAAACTATGCTGCCACGAATGCAATGACCGCGATTGTCATTATTACTTTGGTTGCAAGCACTATCACCGAAGTAGCAACCGCCTCTAGGCAGACTTGGTCGTTTGCCCGGGATAGAGGGGTTCCGTTTGCAGATTTTCTCTCACACGTAAGTAATTCCACTCGCTAGCGCTCTTCAAGAATCCTTCTACTCGATTTTTCCCTGCTAACGTGTTACGTCGATATTAGGTATCCCCGGGGTGGAACATTCCCCTAAATTCCGTCATAGTCTCCCTAGTCGTGACTATTCTACTATCCATCATCAACATTGGCTCAACTACCGCCCTGAATGCCATCACCTCCTTAACAGTCGCGTCACTAATGAGTGCGTACTTGATCTCCATCGGCTGCGTGCTACTCAAACGTGTACGCGGCGAACCACTCCCTTCCCGCCGATGGTCCCTTGGCAGATATGGAGCACTGATAAACGCGGTGGCCATGCTCTTCCTTCTCCCAATATTTATTTTTTCTTTCTTCCCGCTGGTCAAGGACGTAAATGCAACGACTATGAACTGGAGTTCGGTCATCTACGTGGGAGTGATTTCGTTTGCGACCGTTTACTACTTCGTCTATGGCAGGCACCACTACGTGCCACCAAACGCCCTTGTGAGAAGGCCTTTCAAGCCGTGACGTTTCACGATGCTAGCTGTTACACTCACCCAGTTCTGATACTTTTATTTCTTTCACTTTCTCAAATTTATACATGGTATCCCGGAATCGGCAATCCGGGACGGCGAAGGTGGTGCAATGTTCTATATTACTACTAGTTACAATTTTCCCCCCTTGTACATAAAACGGGTGTGCTTTGTTAAGTTACGGGAACTATATCCGTTGGTCTTCCGCTAATTGAACGCCCCAGTTATTATAGTTTCTGGCTAAAGTAATACGATGCTACTCCTGCACCGGAGCAAGCCGGCAAGCCAGGGCGGTTGGGATGATGCCTAGAGCTTCGATCAAGGGGGAAAGTATTTCCGCATAATCTGCAGGCTGGCGGAGCTGCCACGATGAAAATTCCCACAGAAGCTGCCATGGATCAAGATTTGGGCCTCATGGCGAAGCATGGCCAATGTTGTGTAGCCATAGGGAAGGTGTTTTTGCTCTAGATCTCCATAGGGAGTGGATGTAACATATCCATGCAGGGTAGGGCGATATGCAGTGTGAAGTATAAACCCTCTATGCTTTCAAACTCCGTTTACTTTGAGAAACATCTCCGGTCAGATGGCTTTCTATAAGTATACGTACCTTTTTATACTTTAACACGCCATGTTCCCTCGTTCTCGCGGGGTCAAACCGTGTAAATGCGATAATGTTGTTATTCCCCATATCATATGGTTGAATTCCCCTCATAGAGCCTCTTATTAGGAGTCTATACAACAGTCAGCTTATCGTCAGGGAGAAAGGACAGTGGAAGCCATGATTTACCTGTTAGCCCTTCCTGTCGTCGCCATTTGCGTCTACCGATATATCATCTACCCCCTATACTTCTCGCCACTCTCCTCGATTCCCAAGGCCCATTTTACGTCCGGATTCCTTCCAGCATGGCTCTGGTGGATACGCAACTATCGCTGCCGTGAGGTATCGACCATCTACTCCCTCCACAAGAAGTTGGGGCCCATCGTGCAGCTAGCCCCAAATGAGATCAGTGTCAACTCAGCCAACGGTCTCAAAACTATCTATCTCGGCGGATTCCCCAAGGATAAATATTATGAAGACCTGTTCGTGAATTATGGCCGTTACCCTAACCTGGCGAGCATGCTGCCCTTCAAAGCTCATTCGGAACAGAAGAGGATGGTTTCCCGTGTTTATTCAAAATCGTTCATCCTATCCTCAGAGGACCTGCGAGTGGCTTCAGAGCGGCTGATTTGGGAGAGATACTTGCCCATGTTTGAGAAGATCGCTCTGCCGTCTTCATTCCCCTCGGATCGTGAAGAGGAGAGATTGAACCTTGGCCCGGACAGAACATTGAATGTCTTCCCTCCCTTCCAGGCGTTGGGTATGGATTTTATGTCGGCCTACCTGTTCGGGATTGATAACAGTACGGATTTCCTGCGCGATACAAAATATCGTGACCATTGGCTGGAGCTGTACTCCAAGTTCAAGACCCAGCTCCCCAGTCAGAGAGCATTTGGCGAAGTCGAGAGTCTGTGCCTGAGGATGTGTGACCAGGTTGCGAGTCAGATATCTGGGAAGGAGAAGACGGAAACAGCACCGAAACCCGGCTCTACCGGACCAGTTGTCTATAGTCAGCTCTCAAATGGGATTCTCTCTCAAATAAATCAGAACAGCCCTTCCGATAGAGAGGACGCCAGACTTAGAATCGCCTCTGAGATGATGGACCATATAGTTGCTGGCCACGAGACGACGGGGATAACGTTGACTTACATTGTTTACGAAATGTCGCGAAATCCTTCACTGCAAGAAAAGCTGCGAGAGGAATTACTTACCTTATCTCCACCGATATTATACCGCAGAGACGATAATTCAGAGACCACCAAGGGCGACGGCAAAATTGGTAGCCGTCTTCCTTCTTTCTACTCTCTCGATGAGCTCCCGCTACTCAACGGAATCGTCCACGAAACCCTTCGCGTATACCCAGCTGCACCATTGCCATTGCCCAGAATTGTGCCGTCTGGTAAAGTGGCGGAGCTAGAAGGCTATAAGATACCTGCCGGAACCAGGGTGATGTCGTCTGCATACACCTTACATCGAACTCCAGATGTATTCCCGGAGCCCGAGAGCTGGAGACCTCAAAGATGGATAGACGCGAACAAGGAGGAGCTAGAAAAGATGCGAAGATTGTTCTGGGCATTTGGGAGTGGTGGAAGAATGTGCCTGGGAAGTAACTTTGCACTTCAGGGTATGTATGAGCGTTATCAGCTTCCTTTTCGACCAGTGTTCGAGACGTCAAGCTGACTTCACCGGTGTATAGATATCAAACTCGCCATTGCTGGACTGTACACGAATTATACCACCTTCATCGTGGGCAACGACAGTATGGAACAGACGGAAACATTCATAGCACAACCTGTATCAGGCAAACTGGTAATCGGGTGTAAGCATGTCTAGCTTCGACGGCGGAGCGGGAGTAGGCCATCAACGGTAGAAACATGGAAGATAAACCAGCAAACAGGTTAACTTCAGCATATGCATCAATATGAAGATTTCGTCCATGGCGCTAAGATATGAAACTCCGTAGGCGACATTCTACAGCCGTAGTTATAAACTTATATAAGCAGTCCAATGCATTGGGTATATGGGAGCAAGGCGTACAGCACATCCAACAGCACATCCAGAGGTTCATCCATACAGCCATCTATTACCAACAGACGCCTCTAATAAAGCGTGATGGGCAAGATGGATCTCTTGATGCTTCCTACCGAAATCTTGGACCGCATACTAGCTCTTCCTCCGGGCTGGAACGCTGACCGCAAACCCCATCGATGGCTCGACAGAAGGCTTGTCTGCAGTGAGTAGGGCATCAAATGGACCTATAGCAATATTCTGACGGGTACTCTTTTGCTAGGGCTGTTTGACGATATAGTTTCCCGTCAGGCAATCATCAAGCTAGACTTCCAGCATCTAGCTGCTGAGGCCATGAGATACTTGTGCGGTAATGGGAAACCAGATTTTGCACGGCAGACCCAGATCAAAAAGGAGACGGCGATTTGGATAGCGTATCAAAAAATCATGCTGGGCCGACATAGCAGAAATTCCGCTCCCAACCAACCCCCGGATGAAGTCACCCCTGATGAAGTGAGGGATGCGTGTTCACTAGCTGTGGCTCTATGTGGAACAAATAGGCTATGCCGGGAGCTAAAATCTTTATCTCCCAAGGAACTCTATCAAAAGTTCCTACAAGCTAGGCTTTCGGTAGCGGCATCTCGCAACGACGAAGAGCGAGTAGCGTCCTTGATATCCCATGGGGCTGACGTGAATTCTCCAAATACACTGTTTGGACCACCATTATACGGTGCGGTTTATGGTTCGAATATTCCTATTGTGAGGCTCTTGTTGGAGCATGGCGCAGATCCTTATGCTCTAAACCGTGGAGGATTACCACTTTGGCTAGAAACACCAGAACAAAATATGCCTTTGCAACGGATACTCGCTGGCCTTGACAAGCTTAACCCTAGTACATTTGATAGGGTCGACTACAATGCTCTTTGGTTGTCCTGTACTATCGGGGATCTGGAGACATTACGTCTTATTTTAGAGAACAGTCCTACTGATCCGGATTTTGAGGCCCGCGTTCCGCCTATCATTATCGCTGCCCGTCGGGGCCATGATGAAATTTTAGAAGTGCCGAAAAATCCGCCCAAAGGTCTACCCGCAGATTACAACTATCTAAATATGTGCCCCATCTGGCTCATGGTCCATCGTGGGCACTCTGATGCATTGCAGTTTCTTTTAGATAAGATCCATATAAGCACGAAAAATCCCGAACACGTTTTCGAGCGTCTTCTGTGCTCCTCTGCAGGGTTCGGCCACACTGATATCGTGAAAATGATACTCAAACGTAGCCCGGTCAATCTAAATTTTTTCCGCTACTCCTTTGGCCCGCCTTTAGTTAAGGCTGCCAGTAATGGACACCACGAGTTAGTCCAGGTTCTACTGCAGAAGGACCTGGACGTCAATGTACGGTCTAAGGATAATGTTACGCCGCTCTGGGTCGCTGTGTACAATGGCCACGAAGCGGTCGTGCGGGTGTTACTACGCTGTGGATCTGTTAACCCAAATATCACATGTCCGATAGGCACTGATAATGTTCCTCCACTAACACTGGCTGTCGCATACGGGAAAACACAGATGGTAGAAATGTTGCTTGAGAGGGCAGATATCAGAGTCAATGCGACTATACCAAACACCACCCGCACAATAGTCGCGGGTACGGCAGTAGCGGATGCGGCTCATCGAGGGGATGCAGAAGTTGTTCGTCTATTTTTAAGGCGTAAAGATCTCAGGCTAGATACTGTTAGTTTTTGTGGCCGGACCCCTGTGATATGGGCTGCAGAGGGTGGCCACCATGAAGTCGTGCGGCTTCTCCTCGAACACGACCTTGAAACTATAGATACCCAGGATATATGTGGCGAAACAGGTTTGATTAGAGCTGCCTGCCTAGGCCATGTATCTGTTATCCGGGTCCTACTGGAATTTGGTGCAGACACCCAGCTGGAGGATCTGGAAGGTCGTTCGGCATTGTGGTGGGTTTGTAAGCGCCAGGACCACGAAATGGAACAACTTCTATTAAGGTAACATGAGAGTCAGCGTGTATAATGGGTTAATCGAAGGATAGGCCTAGGGCGAAAGTGAACATAATGCTATGGCACCTTTTTTAACCCAACAGTTCGCTCGATATAGAGCATGAGATTCTCGATCATGTTTATCGTAAATCCATATTTTCTCATGGTAGAAGATGACGGGCCAAAAGTTCCATCCACGTACGCTCGTACGGGACACTTTTAGTTATATATTGTAATATGATCTCTGATCCTTGAGCTCAAATCTCTTGCTCTCTATGCAATAGGTATTTAGATTGAGAGCGAGTTGATATCACGTGATATAGAACTTCGACAACTTTGAGATTTTGGAACGACATCAAAGAAGATAAATGTCAGCTTTCCACAGGAACTATTTCTCTGTCCGCTCGTTTATAAACATCCAGCCTGTAACCCTCCCCTCCAGATGGGTTCAGGTAGCCTAATGAGCCGCGTACAGCACATTGGGAGCTGCCACACTAACTTATGCCTACCTTGAGCCATGGCACCCGTTCCTCCTAGCGCATCCGCGTCTTATAAAAAAAAGGATGGGACATTGGCGATATCGAGTGACCTCCAGTCTATTACTTGGACTCCTAAAGCTGGTCCAGATGGCTCGTTTACCTTACAGACAGCACCCATCACCAGTATGTGAGCTTTAGTAGTGAGACAGTCATATTACCGGGCTAACATGAATGATGGCTAGACTTGCAGCAGACCCCCGTTAACAACCCCAAGGTTATGCTGAAGATATTCATTCAAGCGCCAAACCAATCCCAAGGCCAAGAGAACGCTGCTCCGGTGCCGTATGTCTTTACTTTCACTTCGCCGTCGAATGCACGCCCCGAAGCCGACGCAATAAAGGCAGCCCTGAACACGGTTATCCAAGCTACTAAAGTAGCCCAGACACCTGCACGAGATGGCACTCCCGCTGCACTTGCGGCGGCAAAGCCGCCATGGTATGACGATGCTCGTCTAAAGGGTGATATGGCTCTGCAGCAGTCCTTATTGAATTCCAATGAGAGTCTGAAGCGAGTGTTTGCGGAGTCTCTTCGAACTAAGCCAGCTTCTGTCACACACGGACAACTTGTATCTCAGTTTTGGTCTTCTAGAATACATCTACTCAGGGCCCATGCGATTGAAAAATCCCAAGAACAGGGTGCCTATAATGTTTTGTCAACCGTCAAACCGCGGATGGAGGATAAGCGCAGACTTAACCTAAGCAAGGAACAGATCCAGCTGATTTTCAGCCAGCATCCTTTGGTTAAAAAAGTTTATGATGAGAACGTTCCAAAGGTGGCAGAGGAGGTATTCTGGTCCCAATTTTTCCAGAGTCGTCTTTTCAAGAAATTGAGAGGCGAGCGGATTACGGATACCGATCCCACCGATTCCCTGCTCGATAAGTATCTAAAATTCGACGAAAACACGGGGCGACCAGCGGCCGACGCTGAACGAATCCCTCATCTCATCGACCTGGAAGGAAACGAAGAGCATAACTCTCAGAGACAGGGTAACCGGCCGAATTTTGATATGAGACCAACCTCAGTAGACAAAGTTCCGATTATACGGACTCTGAATACCCTTAGCGAAAAGATTATGAAAAATGTGGCGCCGGCCGATCAGAACCTCACTTACGCTGAGGATGCGGACGATGAAATGTATAATGAATTACAATTACGAGATCTCCGCGAGGACGAAGAGCAGAGACGAATCATGTTGAATATTCGGGATCAAAGCCGCTTTTTCTCTGAAGGTCAAGGTAGTGAAGTTAAGGACGTTCGTGTTTTTGCCAATCAAGACCCAGCAGCCAGCCTGAATATGCTACAGTCAGAGTTTAACCATACATACATGGGTGCAGGGCAGGTTAGGCTGAGCCGACTTGTCGAGCCTGAGGACGATGACAGTAGTGACGATGACCCAAAAAAACCCAAGAAAGAACCAGTCGGCTCAAAGGCTAGCTTAGCGAGTGCGAAATCTCAGATCTTTGAAATGATCGGGCAACGAAAAGCTCAGGCGGACCCCGAATCGTCATCAAACACCTGTGGGCTTTCCCAGACCGTCTTCGATCGCCTGACCCTGACGCATGCTACCACAACCGAGTTCCTGACTCAGTTTTGGCAGGCATTTCTGTCCGGGAACCCTGATCGGGCCTCTGAGATTGCATCCATGGTTGAGTCACTCAATCGAGCAATGGATCGAATAAATGAAGTGTCAAAGACAGCCGAAGCTGAACGACAAGTTGAAGTTGACAAGCTAAGGAAGCATGCTAGGGAGGTAATGGCTTCGACGGGCAAGAGAATTCGCCCGAACGACGTTGACGGCGGAGAGAAGGTGGTTAAACAGCTGATGGGCCCTACGATTAATGCGTTAGCAAAGGCAACGGCTGAGTACCAGAAGGCTCTTGCGCAGCAGTCAGGAGAAGGACAGCCATGATTTAGCACAGTGCATTATTCTTGGGGGCGCCTAATGGGATATCGGACATTAAAAACAGGGATCTGGGGAGTCTGGAGTTTGCCTTGGGCTTGAATTGGAAGGATGTATTTTATTTTAGACAGTTTCATGATCGATATCAGTATATCAACGCCTCTTTAGATCTATATAAGATATTTTAACATAGTACTTTGGATGGTCCGTGCGCATGACGATATTTCTTTTTTTTATATCTGGCCAGTTTCAGCTTTCAAGGATGGCTTATCTTTCTCCGGCTTCCATGCACCACAGCCACGACCTGCCCGCTCACTTCCCAGGGGCAGAAATAACAGAATAACGTAGACGGCCGCTCAATTGAGCTACCAGGCTGCAGCGCCAAACGAACGAACGCCGGAGAACGCCTAGCAGGGCGAGAGAAAGTACCCGAGATGCTCAGCTCGGGGTTCACCAATGCGCCGGTGACCAAGTTCGCACTGATCTTTATAATTGCATCGTCCATTGTGGTGAGCATAGCGGACGTCAAATATCTATTTTATATTCAGGTGAATCCTCATCTATGGCAGTACCGTCAGCTATGGCGGCTTCTAATCTGGCCGGTAAGCCACTCTATACCATGTACCTTGCCGGAAGAAATGTTTAGGGAACGAGCGTGATGAACTGATGGCTGTGATGAATAGCTCTGCTATACCAATTCTACAGAGGTCCTGCAGGCAGGAATGGTTATATACAGCCTACGAGTGATTGAACGGCTATGGGGGTCAAGGAAATTTGCTGTAAGCAAGGCCAAAAGCTACAAGAACTGCTCTATACATTACAGAAAGGCTGACTTCATCGATTCATAGAGCTTTATTCTTAGTACTCTTCCATTTACGACTCTTCTTCCACCTCTCATTCTCGCGCTCGTGGTCCGCCCGCTATCTCTGAATACATTGAACCTTCTCCCCGCCGGCCCAACGGCAATCCTCTTTGCAATCCTCGCACAATACCATGCTACTATCCCTACGACATACAAATACCGTATATTGACCAGTTCGTCAGCTACCCCGGCATCCGCATCGTCGACATCTGGGTCTTCAATCACATTCAGCGATAAGTCGACGATCTATTTCCTGGCGCTCCAGCTTTCGCTATCACAGTTACCCCACACCGTACTACCTGCTTTCATCGGCTGGGTGGTTGGTTACGCATGGCGTGTTGAGCTGTTACCTAGCAAGATATCGTCGTGGAGAATTCCTGGGTGGCTATATGGGGGTGCGCCGGAACGACAGAGACGGGGTGGGCCACAGGGAAGCAGTGGTGATGCTTCTTCTTCAGGGACTGCGGGTATGGGGAATAGAGACCCCGAACGACTGGAAGGGCTACGACGAAGGCTGGAAGGGGAATCTCGAGCTGCGGCCGTGGCGGTTGCTACTACCGAGACGGAGGGAGGTAGAAGAAGCACTAGTAGTGTTGGAGGGAGAGCAGCGGGCGTTGAGGAAGCGGATCAACGAAGGCCGTTGGCCGGACAGATATTAGATCGGTTTAGGGGAGCCTTTTAAATATGTTTATGTACAAATTATGACACAATTATGACGATTCAACAGCAAAATCCATGTGACAGTGGTGCCTTTTATTTAAACAGATTGTGATAGTACAGGGTATTGAGATGGGCCATCGAGTAGGTGGCTACAGTACATATATTCTAGTCTCAGACGGAAGGCCATGCTAAATGTTTTGCATAAGAAAATACGCTTGGGATGCGAGGTAAAGTAGAGAAAGACCGCCCCTGGCCTCTGAAACGATGGCCATAAAATGTAAGAAGTAACCAACCAAGGAATACCAACTGAAAAAAAAAAAGAAAGAAAGAAAGGATATCTTCGATCAACCCCCTATTTCCCATTTCCAGTTTTAGTTTTCCTCATCCCATCCTTGCACTCATTGCAATACCATATAACTAAAGAAACGGAGAGTTAGCCAGGCTGTATGTGATATAGACCGTAGAGATAGGGAATACGCACCACTCTTGGAAGGCGGCTTCGTCAGCCCAACGCACGAAAGATGGAACCATTCACGCGGACAATTCGGATTATCGCACGCCACCATCTCTCCAAAACTGACTTCGTTACAGTAACAATATCGTGGCTCCGTCTCATCGTCTTCCTCGTCCGCACCCCGAGGTCCGTCTTCAGGTTCTTCCGCCGCGGCAGATAAAGCTATCTGCCGAGCAGTTGAAATGCTGCCCGTCTTCTTGTGGGATCGCTTTGGTCCGTCTCCTGCCCTAGACGGTCTCGATCTCTGCTGTGATTCGGCATATGTGGATGAAACGGGCGTTGAGTTTTTGGAGGACCGCTTTGTAGAGATGCCGGTGTTTATTTCCGGTAGATTCGAGTAATCTCCCTTCCCATCGTTTAGATGATTATTAGTAGCTGCCAAATTGACCATAGAGTTAGCCTCCTCGTGTTTAAGCTCAAGGGCTGTTGTCTTTGGGCTGTTTCTAATTATGTCGCCATTGGCTCTGGCTGCGTCAATTCTGGGACTAGCTGCGTCCTTTGAAGACGGGGGCCTGGCGTCCAGTAATTCTTTTTCTATTTTGGTCGTCGAGTTAGATAATGGTATGGAAGAAGGGTGGTGTTTGTTGGGTTTGGGTCCGGGTCCGGGGAACATACTCGGGTTTCGATTTGATGCAGATGAAGACGGCCTCTGGCGGGAGGAAGCCTGGGCCTGAGCCTGTTGCTGCGGCCGTGGTTGTGATCGAAGCGAAGACGTTGGCGTGGCACCGTTGGAAGTAGGATTGAGTTGTGATGGCCCCATTGTGCCAGCGAGCGATGGTGAGCTTGTTGTTGAAGTAACCGTGTTTGTTCTGTGTGATGTAAACTTGTTAGATTGATATTTTAAGCCTTGCTTGGGTTCTCCCAAACACCCTGTGCTGGTAGCTGAAAGGAAGTAAGCCCCTTTTGCGTTTTGTAAGGAGATTGCTGTGCCCGCAATGTGTACTGTAGAGGCGGCTGCCTCTATTGCGAACAAAATTTGGTGTGGGATTGTGATGTTTGGCGGGAGAGCAGAGCAATGAAATATAGAAATCATACCTCTTTCTTGCAGCTGTATTCGCATTGGGCGCCCTCGTTCTTTTCTTCACTGTATCAGGAGCAGGGCTTTCCTTCGATCCCGCTCTTCCGACAGGCACATTCGTAGCTGCGCTTGCGGATCGTTCCATGGCTGTGGCCGTCATCACTTGGGAATGTTCTACCTTTCGCCGTTTCGATCCACCAGCGGTCACAGCCCCGGTACCGCCAGCTACGGCGGCAGCAAGAGCTTGTTCGTTCAATTGGTTTTCGAGTACACGGCTTTTTGGGCCTGGCTTTCTTCGTACGGGCCCGCCCGCTCGTGCCTCGTCCGCTTCGATTTCGGCCTGGGTGCGACGCTGTCGGCGGACAGGCTCCTTTCTCGGTTCGTTGTCTGCGTCTCCATGGCCAACTCGATGGCTGTTTGCGCCGGCCGTGTCTCTTCTGGGCCGTTCGTTGACGGCACTAGCACTCGTTTTGGGAGTGGGTTTGTTGATGTACGCCCAGTGCGTTACGCTTCCGAGCCGAGCCTCTTCGCTCACTTCGCGCTGAACATAAGGGTAAACGGCATCGAGTCGACCGACGTCTCGCTGAAGAGTGGCATTCGCATTGCGCGCAACGTGATTCTTTTCATCAATGGTCCCTAGTAAATCGCCGAGAGTAGAGCGGATGTTTTGAAAAACCTGTCTCGTGGGTGTGACGTCGACCTGTACGAAAACCATCGAGTATCAATAAACCTGGACCAAGTAGGGAAAAAAAAAAGCTCAAGAGTGAAAAACAGAAGGAATGCGGTACCGTCTGCGGCTTTGGAGCGTCATAGTCTATCGAAATCAGCTTCGTCGCGGAAGTGAGCAGCTTGGACAGCTGCTCCTCTAGCGCCCACGCCTTGCCATCAACCTCATTCAACAACGAGTTATGTCTTCGGAATTCTCTAGGCAGCGCATCAATAGCATCACTGAAGTGAGTGATGCCCGGATACATCCCCGTTGGCATCGCGTTTCCCTGATGCGAGCCGCCAGCTCCGTGCCCTCCTCCAAGGCTCGAGGAGCCACCAACTTGGCTGCCGGCAAGAGACGAGCGGCCAACCGTCTTCGAGAGTCTCGAGGGGTTTGTACGGGTTTGACGGGCGGTCTGGCGCATGCTGCTGGCGTTGGTGCCAGTGGGAATGCTGTTAGACGCCATTGCCGGCTTGCGGCGAACGGAGAGCGAGACTGGGGGGCAGAGAAAGTGGGCGAGAGCAGCAGAAGAGCCGTCCTGGCGCAGAGATGGGTTCCGAGGCCGAGATCACACCCGGAGACAGCTTGACGAGAGAAAGACGGCGCAGTGAAGCCTGTAGACAGAGGTTGCGGAGGTGAAGATGAGAAACCAGAAAGAAACCCAAGATGCAAAGCCGAGAAGCGTGACGTTGGCCTGCTTATGTAAATATCAACGACAAAACCGCCAACAGCTTCGAGCATCTCTTTAAACAACATATATTATCTATTAAACGACTCTACCAGGTTATGCTCTGGAGAGTTCAAGTCAAGGAGGGCCAGGAACCCGTCCTCAAGGTCATCTTGGGCTCTTGACTACTTATACTGCTGTTGACCATGAAGCTTATACAACGCGAAACGTCAGTTCCAGTTCCAGAAGTTTTTGCGTTTAGCTCAACGTTGGATAATGATCTTGATGTTCCTTTCATTTTCATGAACTTCATCTTTGGAACATCTCTTTATGACTGTTGGTTTGACATGAAAATTTCCAAGAACGAATGTTGCGCCGTAAGAAAACTCTGGAGGATATTGCTCGAGCTATGGCAGAATTGAGCCAGTTCTCATTCTCTACCGGCGACACCCCGATATATGATACTCAGGGAACACTAACTCACTTTGGCCCAATGAGACTTGTTGACCATTAGGCAATGTTGGAGCGGCTCGGACAAAGCGATGGTGATGATATTGAACCGGTGCTATATCTTGAAGCTGCCCCTTTTACTGACCCACGAGATCTCTACCTTCTCTCACTTAACCGGGCAAAGGAGCCGGAGGACCCTCTTCATAAAGGGGTACAACAGTTTCTTCGTACCCTTCTAGGATGGATTCCGATACCAGAAGGCCCGAAATTTGTGCTAACACACCCCGACTTGAATATACAAAATGTCCTTGTATCTGAGGATGGCAGCGTGCAGGCCATTATTGACTGGGATGGTTTGGCGGCGGTTCCATGTCTTGTGGGAAACTAGAAATGTCCCTCTTGGCTCACTCGGGATTGGGATCCAGCGATGTACGCGTGGAACGCGGAGATGGAGCGGGTATCGAGCAAGATACGCTATGGGAAGACTCTCCAGAGACCCTTCGCTTGCATCGCGCAGAATACAATGGCTTTATGCAACGGTATTAATCACTGCAAGGACACTCACTCGCACCCTACTCTCCTTCACCTCGAGAATCATCAGTAACGCAAAAATCACTCTTTGTTGAGAACTTACTTATCGCAGCCGAGGACCGCTTATGCAGGTTCAGAATCATTACCAAATTTGTCCAGGAGATTATTGAATTGGCGCGAGTGAACTCTTCGGATCAAATTAGTAACGAATACAAGGGTCTAGAAATATTCGATATAACTGGTATCCTAGAAGACGATAAGATGGAAGAGGAAATGCTCAAGTTCCTGAAAGGGGGATTTGAGAGATTGATGAATCAGAATTCGGCGTAATAGCGCGCTTGCTACCCACAGTTTTACGATACAGAGTCTCAGCTCATACATCAAACCGACCGAGAGACAGATAGATGAGAACGACCCTTCATCAGTGCTGTATCAAGTGTTTACTTGACTGTTAAACATGTTAATTTTTTTACTTCACGATGACGTAGTGGTTATATAATCAAATCCAGCTTAGTAAGAATAAATTTCAGATATAGATTTACAGGAAGAGAAAAAAAGGCATCAAGAAGAAAATTACTGGGATTTATACACTATAGAAACAAAGGTGGTTGTGGTTGTGAAAGAACAAAGGAAAAGCCATCACACTCATGCATGTAAAATATTGTCTTTCGATGGGAGACACTTCAGCTCTCATCTACTTTCTCTTTCTCCCTCAGATCTACTCGCCCTTCAGCTTCTCCTGATGGACAGTGAAGGCGTCGTTCAGCAGATCTTGCTCCTCCTTGATATGGGAGGCCTTCAGACCAGTAGCCACACTGGCACTTGGGTTACGACCGGCGTACAGGACATGGCGTCTGTTGTGGTGGACAGTCTGGTTTAGAAGGGTCTCAATGCGGGGCTGCATGAAGCTCCAGCTACCAGCGTTGAGCGGTTCTTCTTGACAGAAGACAATGTCCTTGGCGTTGGGGTAGCTGTCGAGGTTGTCCTTCAGCTGTTGCCAGGGGAAGGGGTGCATTTGTTCAATACGCGTGATGGCGGTGTTCTTGATACCGTTGGCTTCACGGTGTTTGGTCAGGGCAGCCCAGACTTGACCAGTGCACATGATCACACGCTCGATGTTCTCGGGCTCATTGATCTGTTTGCCGTGCTGGTCATCAGGGATGATCCAGCGGAAGTGAGAGTCGCCGGTGAACTCCTCGATGGAGGAGCGGCAGGATGGGTGGCGGAGGAGGGATTTCGAGAAGAAGATAATCAATGCTATTAAGATAAGTTAGTGTTTGTACTTGTATGATTGGATATGAAGGGGAAGCTTACGTTTTCGGAATTGGCGGTTGATCTGTCGGCGAAGGATATGGAACAAGTTTGCGGGGGAGGTCATGTAGGCAATCTGCATGTTGCAGTCCTGGTGCTGTCTGTCTATCTTGTCGGCACTTGGGTACACGCGAGGATCTTCGTTACAGAGCTGGAGATAACGTTCAAGTCTGCCGGAAGAGTGCTCGGGACCTTGACCGTCGTATCCGTGAGGCAGAGACATAACGAGACCAGATCGCTGGACCCATTTGCTCTCACCGGAGGCAATGAACTGATCGATGATACATTGGGCGTTGTTGGCGAAGTCACCGAATTGGGCTTCCCACATGACGAGGGCATTGGGCGAGGTCAGGGAGTAGCCATATTCGAAACCAAGACTATGATATTCCGAGTTAGTTTTAGAGAAAGGGGACATACTAGGGGGTATAGTGTAACTTACGCTCCGTATTCACTGAGAGACGAGTTAGCAATGACGAAGGATCCTTGGTCAGGGCTAATGTGCTGCAGAGCAGTGTAGGTGCTCTCGTTCTCCTGGTCATGCAGAACGGCGTGACGTTGCGAGAAAGTACCACGCTCAACATCCTGACCGGATACACGAACATGGTGGCCTTCGTTACACAGAGTACCAAACGCAAGAGCCTCAGCAGTAGACCAGTCGATGTTTTCACCTTCCCTGATGGACTTCTCCCTGTTGCTCAGGATACGCTTCAGGTTGCGGTGAGGATTGAAGTTTTCAGGGGTGCTTCCAAGCTTTGCGCCAATCATCTGGAGGGTTTCAGCTTCAACACCGGTGGGGGGGTGGGCAAGGACCTCAGTAGCGAGTTCCTTGGGCGTCTTGAATCCGTTCCATGCTGAAGTGAGCCATTCTCTGCTGGTTGGAGTGTAGTCCTTGCTGCGGTCGAAGCTGTCGTTGAGCATTCCCCAAACCCACTTCTTGTGCTCATCGATATCTTCCTTGGTGAAGGTCTTTTCCTTCAAGAGTTTATCGACGTACTTGTCAATTTGGCTCTGCTGCGAAGCAATGCGCTTGTACATGAGGGGCTGGGTAAAGGCGGGCTGATCGGTTTCGTTGTGGCCTTGTTTACGGTAGCAGACGATGTCAATAACGACGTCGCTCTTAAACTGGGCACGCCAGTCAGCGGCCAATTGGCAGACGTGGTTAAGGGCTTCAACGTCGTCTCCGTTGACGTGGAAGACAGGGGCGTCGATGGCCTTGGCGATATCAGAACAGTATGGGGTAGATCGGGCGAAACGAGGATCAGTGGTGAAACCGATCTGGTTGTTGACAACGATGTGGATTGTTCCTCCGGTAGAGTAGGCAGGCAGCGCGTGGAAACCCATGGTCTCGTAAACGATACCCTGGGCAGCGAAAGCAGCATCACCGTGGAGAAGGACACCCATGGCGGTGTTGAATTCTTTCTCGTCGTTGTTGTAGTGCTGGATGGAACGTGTCTTTCCAAGCACAACGGGGTCTTCGGCTTCCAAATGGGAAGGGTTGGCAACAAGAGAAAGCTGGACACGCTTTCCGGAGGGAGTTGGACGCTCGAAGTTCATACCGAGATGGTACTTGACGTCACCGGAGCCCTCGTCGGAAGGCTCTGCGCTACCACTGAACTCGCTGAAGATGGACTCATTGGGCTTGCGAACGACGTTACTGAGGACGTTCAATCGACCACGATGAGGCATACCAATAACGATATCCTTGACTCCGTAGTCGACACTTCGGTCAATCAAGGCCTTCATACCAGGGACCAAAGTCTCACAACCTTCCAGACCGAATCGCTTGTCGTTGGGGAACTTGGTAGCCAAGAAAGACTCGAAGCTAGAACTCCAGATCAGACGGTCAAGGATGCGGCGCTTCTCGTCCACGGAGTACTTGTAGGGCTGTGGAATTTCGATACGGTCGCGGATCCAATCGCAAGGAACACGATCAGGAATGTGGATGTATTCCACACCGAAGGAGCCACAGTAGATCTTTTCGCAGGCGTCGATAATCTCGCGGAGAGTCATCTTCTTGCGCGACTCAGACTCGAAACGCGGGAGAATTCCAGGTCCAAGAGCGAACTCTTCATCCAAATCCTTCTCGGTGAAGCCATAATGCGACAGTTCGAGCTCCTTTGGTTTACTGTATCCGAAAGAATCTGCCTCGCCACGGATGCCGAGAGGGTCGATCTTTGCCTTGTGATGGCCACGGGCTTGGTATGCGCGGACAAGCAGCTGAACTTTCAGATGGTTCGAGACGTTGGTTCCGGCAGCGTTTCCGGGCATATGCTGAGGGACACCGCCGGTTGGGGTAGGAACAATCGTGGGTGGAGGCTGGAAGGCTTGCGAGATGGGCATCTTACCCTCCTCCATATTGTGGAAGTAGGTGCGCCACGAGACATGGACACTCTGGGGATCCTCCTTCCAGGCCATGTACATCTCATCGATGTAGTTGGCGGTGTTGCCCTGAAGGAATGAATCATTTGGATCCTATATATAAACGGAACCCGTTAGCTCCAGATCACCAATAGCGATGAAAAAGTCGATACTGACCACTCCTTTGCTGTTCTCGCCAGTAGCAACAGCGTAACTTCTGGCCTGCTTCCAGGATTGCCTGGTGCACGCCACGCCCAGAGGCCTCCGGCCAGCCAGATAGAGATTCGACCTTGCTGCAGAACATATCGAACGCGTACACGACGACTGTCTGAGAAGAGAAGAAGCTCCAGACGCCTTCAGCGTCACAGCTCTAGTTGTTCGAAGCATATTCACAGGTGTATTAAAATAAAAGATGTTCTAGACAGAAAGGCGCAAGTTAGCCCATCCGCCTTTAATATCAACCAGGTGCTCTTCTTTGTTTCCTCGTACCTATAATGTATTATTTTCCGACCGTCCGATCTAATGGTTTTTTTCTTATCGACGTTTCAGCTGCGTTTCAAAAGGGAAGCAAAAAAAAGTTCAAATACGACCAGCCAAAGAGGACACCAAAAATATATAATATTCTCAATGTCAAACGAGGCTGGAATTATCGACTATATCTGCCGTTCCGCCTCACACGAGCTCGAGGTCATCAGAACGTCTCCCTTTGCTGAGAGACGAGTATTTGTATAATTAAGTCTGTTTGACACGTTCTGGTTAGAGGCACGACTGAAGAGAGGAAAAAAAATTTAGAGCAGACGAGGGCAAGATGGAAGGGAAAAATGTGAGCTGCGAGGCCAAGAGAGGATCGGACGGCATCGTAGAAAAAGAAACATCCAATAGATCAACTCATGAGCTGCATATATCCTCTCTCGGACACACGACACAGCTGCGCCCAAGGGGGCTGGAACGGCTTGCAGGAAGACAGCGGAAGAGCATACGTACTGGTAAACGGGTCAATTGGTCGGACACGAAGCAAAATTAGCACGACAGATGATGGTGATGCAGAGACGGAGCTTCGAGATGGAGTGGAAAGAAAACACGGTGTTGAGGAATCGGAGGAAGGGCGAGGAAAAATAGGACAGCAAGTCGTCCCGATCGGGTAAGAACCGTGACCCAGCTGGTTACGTAAGCATACGGCAGAAAAGGGCCCGCGGATATTAATTACTTGCCGCTTTTAGCTCGGGCAGTGGCGGCACGTTACCATACGATACGCCTGGCCCTCGCAATTTTGCTGACACATCACGTCCCGCCAGCCAATCAGACAGGTAAAAATGTCAGACACAGGTGCGACGTCTGGGGCCTAGAGCGGACTAGCGTGATACGCCGTATCGGTGGTATTGTAGCCCTTCGTGCCCGATGACATAAGCAGGTGCGACTGCGTTTCTGATTGGTCGTTGCTTTCCTCAGGGCGTGGCAGTGCATGCATCTTTGCTCCCTACTCCTGCTTGGGGGGGCTGCTTTTGTTTTGCATCGTTGCAGAGTTTGTCTCACGCCCTGTTATTGGTCTTTAAAACCTCATTTTATCAGCTGGACAGCGGTATGCCTGCAGAAAGACGGCTGTGACGGAGTCACCCGTTGCCGGACATCCTCGACATGGATACCGTACCCGATCACCTGATCGGCAATATCGACTTCATCAACCTCCTATACATCATAGGACTATATACGCACAGGCAGCAAGAAGATGAGGTAGACGGTATGCCGCTGGTCTCGTGGATGCGATACTACGTGTTTATTTTCTGGTGTGATTGTAGTTGGCTGACCAGAAACCGTCTCTAAAGCGGCCCCATCGATGGACAACCCCGAGACACAACTAGAACTGGAGACACGACCAGACATGGCTTTGTAGCACCGGTACGGTGTAGAGTGCTCCATATTCCGCAGATCAATCCTCACCGGCCTTGGAATACCACCTGCAAAGTTATGTTAAGAGTCTCTCATGTGTGTGGTATATCATGCCTCTAGCCATATCTTCATTGAGTAAGTCGACTCGTGCTTAGGATGATCTTTCAGCCGTCAGATACGTAATTATCTGCTCAAACAACACCAATCACTAGGATTTGATCCTTCTTTTGCATGTCGTGCATATCATGCATACCGAGAGAGCTTCGTTTATTGCTTGTTTGGCCCCGGTTCAATGTGCCCCCACAAGCCATGGATCACCAGCTGTCTCAATGCTCCAGGGTTGTAAACAACCTCATGGCACGAAGAAAATGCCTCTATAAGTTTGGGAACTATGACGGAGGATGTGATTGTCATGGAGATCCCCAGTTAAGTTGATCTGAGGGGCGGCCGATTCAGCCGTGGAAAGCTAATGTATGCGGTGTTTTAACCGTTTCGAGCTCTAAAGCTTATCCATTCGGCTTGGATTATCAGTATCGGTAAAAGCAGACGGTAACAGGCGGGTAGGTAACCATTAATGACCCGAGTACCAACAGCTAGACAATATTTGGCCATACAATACAAGCTACCTCTAGCTTAAACGGTTTAAAGGCTGCTTGGTGACTGATGTTTTCCGAAACGAAGCGAATGCTATGATGCATGTCAAACTAATTGATTCTACTCATCAGTGCATCTATGTAAACAGCAGATTAGTAGAGTGTTAAACTGACTCGGTGAAGAGACGAGGTTAGCGTTTATTAATAGCACAATATCTATAAAAATCCCTTTGTCTTCCTAAACTTTAACCAACATAGTTCCCACCCGCTACACCTAGGTACAAAGATACCACGGCACAACGACGCCGCTGTCAAAGAGCCGGTAGTCTAATTATGGACGCCTAAGCTTTGGACGGGAAGGCGGGAGCGGCACGTTGCCGCACCCAGCACTATGGACGTAGTCTTGGCAGTGGAGGAGCCTGTGGTACGCCATCCCTTGGCCCGGCTACGCCTCATGGCTCTAGCTGCTTCTTCATAAGAGCAGTGGAACATGCCCTAGATATATATCTTTATAGTGATGCGACGAACGAGCAAATTACCTCACCAATTGACCATCGAAATGGCTAAACCTCACCCCCACCCCATACTTCGCCATATTTCGCACTTCCAAGTCGAGCGAGATCGAAATGCCTTGTATATCACAAAGAATAAAACATAATCTGGATAATAACATTAAAATTACCAATACAAGAGACGAATATAGCTAAAGAAATTTAGTGGGCATTAAAAGTAAGAAGAATGGTCTTTGGCTTATCCCTAAAGCCATCACTCGTCGCTCGTTACATCGCTCGTATTCATGCCTTCAAGAATTGCCTGCTAGCATACACTATCCCTTTGCGCTATACTTCTCATTAAATGCATTGACAGCTAGAATGCCGAGTTAGTTAATGGGCTACTGGAATTGATAGGAATGTATGAGGGGTGTAAGGCGTATGCATACCAATAGCAATTTGCTTATAAAACCAATTTCTCCCACTTTCATCTTGTACAGGGATGAATGGGCCATTGGTACCTCCTTTGAGTGTTATAGTCATGCCGGTTCGTTCCTTAGAAATCTTTTGGATGTCGGTCAATTTGATGTCCCATTCTGTGGTGAGGCGCTTTGATCGAACGAGCATGATTCGATCGTAAGTCAATAACACAAGCATATCCTTGCCGGGAAACTCAAGATGGGCGATATATTCCTCGTTGAAATATTTGCCATCATCTGTCGTCTTTAGCCAAAACTGGCCTAGAGCTTCGCGCTGGGAGTAAGGTTTCACAATCCCAGCCATGCCGATGAAACGAGTCAAACGCACTCGATCAAGACCCCCTGCATCGAATACTGTGGTAGTGTTTCGCACTCCTTCCGCAAGATCTACAACTCCTGTTAGTTGAAGGTAACAAAGGACAAATGGTTATTGGGATACCTACTAGACGCAAGATCAAAAGCACCAAGGGCTGGCTTGGTAGCAAGACCAAGGAATCCTTTTCCAACACCCTTTACGAACCCTTGGAACCCCTCCTTCTCCGCACCCTCAAGAGGATGACGTGCGAGACCACCGATTCCACTTGCCATGCTACTAGCGAAAGCACTGCCTCCTGCTGTTACTCCGTAGAGCGCATGCTTCGGCCTATTTCGAGCTCGTGACATTCTTCGCTGGTCTTGGAACTCCTTATCTAGCGTTGCAGCGGCAAGACCTTTCGAGACACTTCCAGTGAACTTTGTAAGACTGTCAGATATTCCAAATACCGATTTTTTCACGAATGAAGTAGCACCCTTGGCAATTCCTAGACCTAGCTCCTGCGGCCTGTCGGACATGACGAAACCTTGGTATGGCTCGTAGAATATGTCTGCAACACCAGAACTAACGGTGTTAAACAGGCCAACGGGGTTTCCTAGGAAGTCCGCAGATCCAATAACGACATGCACTTGGCGGAGGAATTCTTGAGTATAATGGTTTGTAATGTTCGAAACGAGCGTCGGTATAGAGACTCTTGCATTCTCGAGTAGGAGAGCGTTTAACCTGACCGGGGCGTCGTTGACGTTACCGATGGACATCGTCATAACGTTTACAAAAAACATCAGGGGGTTAGACGACTCGGTGGTATCCTCCACGTTGACTCGCTCTGTGCGGACGAAGGACAAATCGAGCTGCATCGGGTGTAAATGGAGCACCTCGAAGTATACGTCTTGCCCTTGCGCTTCGTTTTTAGGCTCTGGAATGCCAAGTTCCGCCTCGCATATCATATCTTCCCGTTCTTCAGTCCACGATGCACCAGGGACGTTCACAAATTCAAGGAGGGCAAAAATGAAGTCTTCGTCAAGTTCTAGAGTCATTTGTTGCACAAGGAGTGACGCATACTTCACATATAGCACACCATATGAATCGTCTTTGACGCGGGTGACTGTTGCAGTGAAAATTGGATGAGCCTCCATCTCCCTGCCTGTCTTCGGGACAACACTAGGGTATAGGAGTATTGGGAATATTCCACCATAGAGCTGATTGTCAACCTGTATCCATTTTATCGTAGTGTTGAGGGTTTGGTAGATCTTGGACTCGCTGAGCTTGAGATCTATCTCTCGGAAAGTGATATATACTAGCTCTTTCAAGTTTTGGTTAACCAAAGAGATACCGATTCCATTTAATCGAAGTTGGGCTTTGAAGGTGACGTCCGAGTTAATCTCTTTAACCTCAAATCCGGTGGATACACTTGTCTGAGAAGAGGCTGGCTTTTGTTGTCTGTATATACTCCTTGATGGCCGGAAATTGGATAGAACAAGCGTCTGGGTTGGCCCCTCAGCCTCAATGCGAATATCGACAATTTTTTGTGGCGAATCTTGAGTTGGTGGAAGTTTCATTGGTATTAAATTACCCATTTCCGCAAGCTTGATATATCTTTCTTTGCCTCGACAAAGAAGGACAAGAGACTTGTTCTTTGCAGCAGGATAGTCCCATGCGTAAGGCATGATACTACGAGGTGGGAGGCGGTAACGGATTGGACGCCAGCTACTGCTGCGATCATCTTCGTCCTCGTGAGCGTTGGGGTTCTATAATGCTGTTAGAATAAATTCTTGATCAGTCGAGTCAGGGGTTCATAACGTACGGCTTGAAAGAAGATGAACTCTGCATCACTTTCATTTTTCATAGAGAATGGCCAATGCACCGTCTCCATACTAATGCGTAAAAATATCGTTGCACCTTCCATGAGGACTTCGACTTTGAGTAATCTTTGACGTTGATTTGCCTTTGCCAGTTTCACATGAATTATCCCCAGATCAGCAATGTTGAATAGTGATGACCATTGATTGTTTACCCCTGGGAAGCATAAGCAGAGTTGTTTTTCGGCGCTCTGTCTGAGAAAGTGAAGAGGCACAAGGTCACCCGGTTTCAGTGTGATAACATTCGAAGAACCAGGCTCACGAGCGACAAGTTCTTCGTCTAGCCTATTGTCGATTATGAACCTGGGAGAAACGGTAACAATCTTTGTGACCTTATACTTCCCAGTGCCCTCCTCAACCGTCACTCCAGCATGATATTCTGTTCGGCCGTTGGTAGCAGGCAGGATAACCTCGAAGCTACTTCCAATTGCTTCAAAACTCTGCGGTTTGCTCCACGACGATCCATTTACCCTAAGGACGGATCTGTTCTTGCGGTCATCCGTTGGGTACGAGTACATGTATGGGATGGCGGAGCGAACTCCATTAGCTGCATCCGTTTTAATAGCTCGGCCAGCTGCAGACCTGCCACTGTGGAAAACGCCCTTGCTCTGAATGTTGAGGTCGAGACCAGTCTTGTTTAACACAAGGTAAGGACTAAACACAGAAACCTTGAAGGCACCACCGCTGTCTGGAACAGTAAAGTAATGGAGGCCCAACTTGAGTTCCTGGCCTTGGTCGTCCTGTACAGAAAGCGTCGTCTCTCTCCTAAAGTCCTCCTGAACATTTCCATTGATAATTGCAAATTCGCATTGCCGAAATACAGTGTCCTGCATATCAATGCTTAGAAGAAGAACATGCGAAAGTTCAACGACATGGACTGGGCTCACGCCTCCCTTACGGAGGAAGTTTGTCCAGTCTTTCTTCAAGCTTTTGTCATAAATTCGGTACTTAAAGTCATATGGAAGTAAATTTTGGATCTCGATAGGAGCGGACACGCGAATCCGCATGTATGGATATACCGTTAGCAGAGGGTCATTTCGGTCGAAGGATGCATTCATCTGGAAGTAGAATGGTGGGGATTGTTGTCCATTTTCGCTCTGACATTTGAGCGTTCTTGTCGGTCTTTTCAATAAATCTTTCCAGAATAGCCTCTCATTTGACCAATCATACCCGAAACCTTGATCAGGACGGACAACAAGAGAGTGCAGGTATGCAGCACCTACTGGCGCTGGACGCGAATCGCCAGGAAGGATCTTTTCAATCTTGAGAAGGTGACCTTCCTCGGGACTAAATACTCCAACTTCGACAGGAATCTGGGTCCTATTCTCCACTACGAGTGGAGAGCGGAAGGTGATGTATTTGACGTAGTCTGCACCCAGACTAACTTCCACCAGGAGCTTATGCAGCACTTTGTCTTTCTTCGGCTTTAGGTTATACAACGTTTCGCCTTCGCGAATGAGGGGAATTCGGTTGATGCTGTCAAATCCACTGCCTTCAAGTTTGATTCCTACTGTACCCGCATTTCCCTCCGGCGTAAGATTCTCTCGCATGGTGGTTGGGTCCTCGAATCGCCATGGGTACTCTTCACCATCATCCAGAGTGCATGCGTGGCCCTCCTCGCCCTTGCCGGTATCTGCCCATACTCGTAGCTCAAAGCCAGTGTAATTTCGGATTCTATAGGGGGTATCTGTGCCCCTTGGCTTAGAAAGAACATCCTCGTCGGCTGATAGGAATTGCATTGTCTTCGACGCCAAAGCAATTGTTGCAGATGTAACTGTTAGCTCCATGTTCTTATGGGAATAAGCATCAACGGAGAAAATATCCGGGCTAAGTTCTTTCGACATGTGGAACCCAAGCTGCCATGGCTCGATCAAAGGCTCCCAGGTCGACTTTGAGAAGTTGTAAACATTGATTAGGGTATCGAATGTGGTATCGGCGCTCATATTTGCGGACCAATCTCTAACATCCGCTCGGAACGCATGCACGCTCCAGTCGAGAAGCGGAAGGATATGCACGTCACCAATGAGTATAACTCTAATACCATCCATCTGAACACACATTTCTTCCTTCTTCACTATCGCCGACTGTTGGATCCTATCAGCGGCAGTCATTCGAGATTGAACAGGGGTACTTGGAGATTGAAGGTCTTGCTGTGTGGGCTTTGCCAGAAGAGCCTTCGACTCGCCTGTCGTGTTCTGGGGCGCGTTCGGTGTTGTCATTTCGGATACCCTGTTCATGATTTGTAGGGCTAAAAGGATATCTCGAGGGGATAATCGAAGTATCAATGGCTCGACATGGACATCAATCCTTGTCATGGAAAATCCTTTCCCTTTGGTCTGGGTATCCATTGACAACTCGAGAGAGAAGTCATCTAGAATACGGAGTCTGCTGGTTTCAAACTTATCCATACGGCAAAGGAACATCCCAACCTTGGTAACTTGAAGGGTTGAAGCATTCTGTTGCGAGTATACAATTTGTTTAGCTCCCAAGACGATGGCTTCAGTATTAGGTATGGTTGGGTTTGCGACTAGGATGACTTGGGAGTCCACCATATTAAATCTCAGGGAGGTTGTGAAAGAGGTCTTATTTTCCGCTGTCACGGCGCTTGAAGGGACTTGATCGGATTTAGATGGTAAACTTTCCCGAGAGGATACTGTACTCTGGGGTTCTTCGTCTGAACTCTCTGGAGTATCTGGAGTAGACTCAACAGGGAACGCCGCTGTTGCGAATGATTTAAGCGAGAATAGATAATCAACAGCAAATATAATCCGTGGGCTATCAATTGTTACCATGACGACTAGTTGTCGTTCAGTGCCGCCGGACATCGACATACTAGCCATGAATTGTTGCTGGACATCGGTGTTAACCAGGGACATGATCTTGCGGAACCGATTTGTCTCCTTAGACCTGCTATCTCGGACATTAAACGAATGAATTAACAATTCAGACTCGAGGGAGCCATCGTTCAGCATCCGCAGCTTGACATTAGTATTGCTCAAGAAAAATTTAGACAAGCTTGCGTCATCTAGGGAATGAACTGGCGCATCCTCATTCACGAGGAATAGCTCTAACCCAACAGTTTCCACTCTGAACTCCAATTCAAGCTGGATTGATTTTCCTGGTTCCGTGGGTTTCTGGGCAGAGCGATCCGTGAGCGCTGTGCTCGATTCACTAGGTTTTCCGGAGTCAGGTTCCTGACCGGTACTGGCAGACAGTTCAGGGAGAGCTTGTTGCGCCTGTCCCTCTTGAAGCTCCTGGTCTGGAGTAAATGCAGCTGGGATGGTTTTCGATAGTTCGAGGAGGAATTGGAATTGCATTTGCGATATTCGAAGGTTGGTGGGTGACATTGAACCGTCTACTCGCATGATCGGGATTAAAGAATCGATTGGGTCCTTCGTATATTTTATGTTGAAATCCATATCCACTTTCTCAATCATTTCTAGCTCTTCACAAACTTCTTCTGAAAAGTAAAAGGTTGATGTGAGGCGAATATGTCGAACTCCAGCAGAGATGACGTTAACCATATGGTTGTTGCCAGCTTTATCAGTAGGAGTGAACTGATTGCTGGCATATATCTCTCCCAGATGAGCCGTGATGAAATCTCTGGGTCCATCTTTGTCTGTTATCCGCGGGAAGACCAGGATGGGGGTCATAACAACAATATCGAAATGCATTAGGGACGCGCTTTCTTGGATTTGGGTCGCTTGGTTCGCGGCGGCCTGACGAGCCGCATTGAAGATGCTTTGCATCTTGCCAAACTTAACTAAGAAGTTGATAACTCTTCGGTATGGCTCATCGATAAAGTTTATTTTAATTGAGCCAGATCGTAATACTACCTCTGAATCGTAACCAGGGTAGTTTTTCAGCTTTGGGTTGAACGTTTGGTAGCGGAAATCTGCAAAATCTTCCCCTTCTATACTCATCAAGCGGCGGACTGTCGATGACTCGCCATTGTCGTTGATATTATCAAATAATGTCAGGCTTCCCATTCTAGACTTGATTTGCATTGTCTCATCGGCAAGGAATATTCCGACATCAGCGGTATTGAGGCTAAGAGTAGCCAAGCGGACACCGTCATCGTTTAGAATAAGAGATATCCTCTCTAGCTTTGAACTGATGCGAATCTTTCCCGTGTTGGTTGGCTTTGGACCTTCCTTTGAATCGATAGATGCAGTTTGCTCGGCTGAGCTTTGGACTTGATTTTGCGGGTTTTGATTGGTGAATGTGATTAAAACAAAATCAAGGAGTGTAAGTAAAGTCTTCCGAGTGACAATCAAATTAATCGTTGAAACTAACAGGTCGAGATTCATCTCGACGCCCTCGTATACTGAGTTGAACTCAGGAGAGTTGGGGTTAACCTTAATAAATTTGAGAGTGAACAAGTCCTTGTCTTCATTAGCATCGAAGCCCCTGGATGTGACAATTTTTTTAAATTCCGGTGCCGACGAATGCTCTTCGATATAATCTTCTATGCTTAAGGATTTCAAAACGATATCTGCGGCCATGTCATATTCTCTGAGGTTATAGTCGAGATGGAAGTGTTCGGCAACCAATTCAACCAGAAGCTTATCTTCCGTTTCATCGTTGGGGTCAGATCGATATAGAGAGCCTCTAAGGGTATCCACGGTAAATTTAAATTCGAACATGCGCTGGTGTATGTTCTTAGACCCTTTCGAGTCTTTGGGTTTCTTCTCGTCTGGACCCTCAATATCGTTGTCTGACTGTAGGACAGGGACATCTATTTGTCTGGGAAATTGAAGTGACTGCGACCTCGCTCTAGACTCTAGCGTCGTAGCTTCGGATTGTGTATCTTTTCCAGTTGAATCCGGAGCCTGATCAGGGCTAAACCGAGGAATGGCTATATCAATTAGCCTCATGAGGTTTTTATACTTCGTATCCGACATTGATGCATGGAACTCCGGGAGGTGTCCTGAGATACGCGTTCTGGTGAGTGTTGATTTAGGAGCGATGCACAACTCGAGGACAAAGTCCATATTAATCCTATCCATGATATGAAGGTTCCTTGATACCGTGTCGGAATCCAACTGGGACTTTGTTGCTTCGATACCATTCCCAATAAGCACCTGTGTCGAGTCGAGCTTTAACAGGAATTTATCGTACATCAGCGATTCAAGCTGGCTCAGATCATCATCACGGAGTTCCGAGCCTTGCTTATTCTGAACCATCTTAAGTGTCTCCTTGTCGGCTAGCTTGCTGCTGACACTAACCCTACCGGCATCAAATATAAGACACATGCTATCGTCGGTAGTTATGCTTTCCGGGATAATGATCAACGGAGCGTGAATATCAAGCTGTGCATTGATGGTCTTGTGTTCTTCCAGGGCAAATTCCAGCCCAGCCCTAGTCTGTTGACGGATTTCCGCAACAGTTGCTCCAGCAGTTTCTAAGAGCGCGCCGATTGATTCCATGTGACGTTCTGGGGGTCGGAAGAATCTGACGATTTCAACCAAGACCTTAGGGGTATATATAACTTCGAGACTCTTCAACTTCATACGAAGGGCAGAGTCCGCACTACCGTCCAACGGGTTTGATTCGAACTGTAGATAGAAGAGGCTATCGTCTCTCTCGCAATCTATCTCCTCAACATCCGGCGATTCAGGTATATCCATCTCTGTGATCTCCTCGACATCCTCGCTGGGTAAGGAATAGCAGTCTTTAACACGAACAATTTGGGGGAAGACGGTGTCTTCGGTCGTGTGGTCGAACAGTCGTAGTCCACCGAGATCAACCTGGATCAAGAAAGAATCCGGCCGCTGAAGAGCCTTTGCCTGGAAGTTTTCAAATACCAGCTTTAATATCTCGTTTGCCTTGCCTTGCGGATCCCGCTTTAGGGTGAAACTACCAGACCGAAGGCTCGAGTCCACCTGGAATTTGACAGAGTCCCTCGGCAAATCAACTGCATCAGCGATAACTTTCTTCTCATCCCAGTCAATCGCCTGGTATAATTCCTGACGTTGCTCTTCCGTCATGGTTGTGGGCTGATCTTCCTCCTTCGGGCTGGACCCCCAAACCCATTCAGACCAAGTCTGCTGCCTTATGACCTTTTTCGGAAACTGGATCCTTTCCTTTCGTAGTTGATTCCTCGCAAGAGATCGCCAGAATCGAAGGTCCTCGTATGACAGTTTCTCTTCGAGAGCCTTCATTTCCGCTGTATCCTCAGGTGACATCGGATCCTCCCTTTTCCTCATTTTGAACAACTCAATATACCGAATACGGTTATCTCGTCGTTCCTTGATGTAGCCCCAGGTCCATTTACGGTTCCGTTCGTGGATTTTGTTAAGGATGGCATGACCCGCAAATTTGAACCAAGCGCGGGGATCTTCCTTTGGCCGACATTCTGGCATCAAGCTCCTATACTCCCGATGTTGAATAAAGTAATGGAAAAGGTCAACCAACATCAGGGCATCACGGTACTGGTGGTCATCTAGGACGAATCCAAGCTCGTCAAATATAAGTTTAGCTTTGGCCCTTGGATGGTCGACATTCTGGGATGTATCGAGTTCTAGACCGGCTTTGCCGCTGACTGGTTTTAAGATGTACTGGTTGTTTTCACTCAGCACGACGCCATCTCGGAACCTATCCAGTAGGTCGTCATGGCTAAAGACCGTGGGGCCCCCATCTTCACCCTCGGCAGGGTTGGGTGCGAAGAGCTCTGCGTCTGTGTTCCAGTACACGGCTAGAGAATTTAAAACTGCAAGCTTATAGTTGCTCGTAGACGTAGATTGAATGAAGGTGGGCTTCCAGTTCGAATCCGTGCTAACAGCGCTGAGTTCCTTGATCGTCACACCGACAGCGAATGGGTGTCCCGGAGCAGCAATGCCGTCTTCATAACGGAAATGGACATTCTTGATAGTCACTTGGAGGTTGTTGACGATTGCGGTTATCAAGCTTTGCGTGAAGCTCTGGTTCTTCTGCTGTTCCTCCTGACTCATCCCTTCCGTATTCTGTTCCATTATAAGTTCGGCGCTTTCAAGTTTCTCCATCTTAACCGCATGTTCCCTCCTCTTCTCTTCCTCCGGATCATAAGTAGAATCCTCCTTGGGCGCGGCAAGCAGAAACACATCTTGAATATGCACTTTCACAGGTTTCCCACGAAGATTGGACCATGGAATAGATAGTGTGAGTTCTCCGAGATGGCCCTCGACCACGTTTAACGGTAGATGAAGCTGATCTAAAGCTTCGCGGCGGAGTTCAAGGTCTCGTAGTTTGACGTCGCCAGACCATATGCCAACGTTAAGCTGTCCCGCATCAAAGTTCTTCACATACATCCCCAGAAACCTATTCAGTAGGTTCGCAACGATTCCTTCCAACATGGCGACGTCGCGGCTGTGGCCGATTCAGGTAGGCCGACAAGCGGTTTCGACCCGGCGTTAGGTTTCCTGCACAGATGCGCGTTCGGAGATCATGGGCGTCTCAACGATAGAAGAACGGCCGCTTTCTGCTTGGGACAGCTTGGAGGTTAGCTGCCAGCGCCGTGTTGCGGGATAGTTCTGGAGCTGGAGGAACTCTACCGTCATTAAAATAAGCACCACTCTCCCCCTCGTCGACCGCAAAACCAGGCTACCTCCACTGCGTAGTGAGATCTAGCACATTCAATTGCAAGCCAGGTTAATAAACCGACTCAGTTACTGCTCGTAGACTAAACCCGGCGCCCTGTATACCGGCAAGAGTCGTCGAAGTGCAGAGTAGTGAAATAGGGTTGTTCGTGGCAGCTTGGAGGAGAAATCTTGGGTGTGAGAGTGACGTAGATATTTATCTCGATGCTCCACCACCTTCCAAGGGACAAAATCCTGCTCCGTCCGCCGTCCAGGGCAGGCTATTCGCATTACGGAATTCGCACTGGCGGAAACATTCGCTTCAACCTATATGTCGCTTGGTTTCTGAAATACTAACATTTACTCCGTACGGCTAAGTGGTTCACAGTGAGAACGCTATGAATACGTCTATGACGAGGCGTAGTTAGTGATTTGAGGTCGTATTAATAACTACGAGCAGTGTCTCGTTTAAAGACGCTACATCAATTATGTACTCCGTATATATGGATACAACCATCGGACCAACGACAGCTAAACCATTTTCAAGGCGTATTTGAAGAGCAGGACCAGGCCAAGGAGGCAGCCTCAGTTATTGGTTGAACATGCCTTTTGACGCTCGTGTTAGATAACTGCAGGGGTTTGCATGGCCGAGGCCGACAGTCAGGCCATGAATACAATGGCGCCACCGTCGGATGTTCCATAGAGGTATGTTTAGACAGGCGATTGTGATATAAAAGGAGGATGCTCTCTGAAGTTATTGTAGTATGGTACACAGCTTCGGCCTATCGACTTTTGTTCGGTCGTCCTACTTTCGAGCCTGTGCAGGTGCTTACACGGCGGCAGATATTTCAATATTCAATACCCGGTCATGTAGACCTGTGTAGGGGTCCATTGGTCTCTCGATGCCGTACTCTGAGCATGCAACTGTTGTAATGCAATAGTATAATGCAGCAGTTACAGCAGTTACATGCACCATTATCATGGAGCACAGGTAGTGACCGTCCATAACGAGGACTGCATCTCGACTGCTGTTCTCTAGCTGAATCACCAATGCCGTGTATTCAACCGACGGCTATTGTGTCATTATCTCGAGACATGAAAGCATCAGGCACCTCGCCGATTCAGCGTCACTACCCGTACAGAGTACATCCTTACTGAAGGATTGATGTTGATATGATGTTGATATGATGTTCATGTTGATGTTGGAGTGAAGTTGATGTGAAGTCGGGAACAAGTTTATCCGCTGACTCAGCAACAACAAGTTCTCGCAACATCGACTTTGGACGCATCAAACAGATAATTGTGTGATCCGAACGACTTCACAGGTCAATTGGCTCTTCCACATCGTACGGGTACGACCAGTGCACACGGCACCTCCATCTCCACTCCTCCGCCGAAGCGGTATCACTGCCATCTTCTCTCGCCGGCCGGTTTTTTCGCCCGCTCGCTGCCCATCCGCCCTCACCGGAAGCACTTCACTTCACACCCTCACCCACCATGTTGTGCCGAACAGCTGCCGCACGCTCCGTACTCCGGGCTGTGTCGAACTCGAATGCCTCAATCACCCGCAGTGCGTGGTCGAATACCGTTTTCAAGGCCCAATTGACCACCACCGCGAGACAATGGGCCGGCCCACGATCGGCCTCCATGGCTCTCTCGGCATTCCGCAAGCCAGCGACCACTGCTCTGGTCCGCTATGCCACTACCGTGAGTGACAATGTGCTGGTTGACTATGTGTGAAATAGCGGATGGGCAGACGATGGCTAATTTACTCTTTTTTTTCTCGCAGGAGGCCCAGAAGGCCGCGGAAAAGACCGTGGTTGAAGAGCATGACGTTGATATGATGGCCGGTGTCAAGAACGACGTGGTATGTTGATATATGGAAATATATACCCAGCGAGATAGATTTATTTTCTTTGAATAAAGGACTAATGAGATTGACCTGCTTAGAAAGTTATCAAGGATACCTTCAGCCTGGAAGGCGTCCCCAAGGAGGCTCTGTACTTTGGTTTGGCTGGTGTTGTCCCATACGTTGTGACCTCTCTCCAGACCGTGTACCTCTCATGGGAGATGAACAACGCTGTCACTCTTGGTTCTGGCAAGTACATCTCCGCCGAGACTGCCGAGGCCATGATGAACCTCATTGAGCCTATCCAAATCGGATATGGCGCTGTGGTAAGCACTAATCCTTCTCCGTATATGCAACTACGTCCGCTGACCCGTCCTATAGATCCTCTCCTTCCTTGGAGCCGTCCACTGGGGTATGGAGTGGGCTGGATATGGCGGAAAGCAGGGTTATCGCCGATATGCCACTGGTGTTGTCGCCCCTGCTGTAGCCTGGCCTACCCTCCTCCTCCCACTTGAGTATGCCTTGATCACCCAGTTCTTCGCCTTCACCTTCTTGTACTACAACGACACCCGTGCCGCCATCAAGGGATGGGTCCCAGCCTGGTACGGAATGTACCGTTTCGTCCTGACCTTCGTCGTTGGCGCCTCCATCGTCCTCAGCTTGATCGGTCGTGAGCAGCTTGCTTCCCACTTTACCTCTGAGCACGGTGTGGCCGACAAGATCAAGGCTCTCCAGGCCGCCAGAGAGAAGGAACAGGCCAGAATCGAGGCCGTTGCTGCCGAGGCTGAATCTTCCGAGTAAGCTTCTCACGCTGTCATCCCATCCTGTTTTCTTTTTTTTCCCTTTATATCTACCTCCCTGTTGGAAATACCGCCCGTTCATATGTGCCTTGTAAATTAACCCACAAAAAAATAATTCGAAACCTGAACACGGTCGATTTCCTTTGTTATTTAGACTAGAGCCAGTAACATCTCATTTTCCATCTGATAAAATCCCATATCCGACTTCTCTCCCGTCGTACCGTTTTGTGATATCGTCGATACAACACGAAGCCGCCGGCTAGCCAGGTATACGAGCCATAAGCTTGCCCAGCCGGGTCCCATGTGCAACCTATCTGCACAGCATCCTCTGTCCTGCATGCCGGGAGTGTCTTGCTTTGAAAATCGATAGCGTCCAGCCCTGTCCCGTCCGGTCGACAAATCAGAATGCCACCAGAGCGAGCCCGCCAGGCCGGCATCAAGGGCAGACTCCAAGGTATATCTGCAGGCGCGCCTAGGGAATCACTGTGATTCGCAGCGTAGCGCCTTCACCCTCCCCATCCCCGGAGCTCGCATCCGATCCAACCTGGTTGCATGTTGCTATTGAGGCCAGAGATGTAACACGGCAGAGCTTGATTCCACGTCGTGTCCCCGAGTGTCAGTATCCGTATTGTCTGTAGTCTCTGCTCTTGTAGTCTCTGCTCTGCAGTCCGTAGTCCGTAGTCCGTAGTCCGTAGCCCGCAGCTGTAGCTGTAGCTGTAGTCTGTATAGCTCCTATCATCATAGATTAGGGCAGTTCGCCCCGCAGCCGCTACCCAAGGAACCACAACTCCCCGCGCGAGATCGGGCAGACTCTGTTCTCGCACAACCTCCGGCTCTCGATATCCAGCCCGTCTACGCCGGCGCCAGCGCTGCTCTACTCGCCTCACCTTGCCCTTGCTACGGTGTACTCTTATAACAAATGTCCTGTGCGGGTACCTGCAGCCGCAGTGGTCGTATGTGAGCCCGTTGCGCGTCCCCTGGAACCGAGGCAGCTCTACCATCCGCCGAAACATGGCGTCCGAGTCCACCAAGAGCTCGCTTGCAGCCCTCCGAGAGAGCGCCATCGAGGTCGTGAAGAACCTGGCAGATACGTTCGATGGAGGAGTCGACACGTTTGCCGTCCGCGGTCCGGTGCTGCTCAGCCGTGAAGAGCGTCCGTCTCGGTTCATAGGAGCGATTGACCAGGGCACCACCAGCACCCGCTTCATCATATTCGACCTTGAAGGGAACATTGCTGCCTCCCATCAGACGGAGCTGGGGCGGGTACATGACCAACCTGGGTTCGCTGATCCATCCCTTTGACTCCTAACGTGCCTGAGAAGGATGTTGACCATAACTTGCTCTCTTCATATAGTTGGCATGAACAGGATCCAGCAGAGATTGTGTCCTCTGCACAAAAGTGTATAGAGCAGGCAACGAAGTCGTTCATCAACAATGGCCACTCCATCAGTGAGATTGAGGTCCTGGGAGTTACGAATCAGCGAGAGACAACGGTGGTATGGGATTGGGAGACTGGCAAGGCACTCTACAACGCCATTGCCTGGCCGGATACTCGTACCAAGTCAATAGTTAGAGAGTTCAAGGAAAAGGGGGCCGACGACCTACATGAGATATGTGGTTTGCCCCTGTCAACCTACTCCTCTTCGGCCAAGCTGGTCTGGCTGCTTCGCAACGTACTGGAGGTGAAAGAGGTCTATGAAGCTGGAAATCTGGCTTTCGGTACCGTCGACACATGGTTGTTGTATAACCTCAACGGGGGGAAGGAGAATAACGTATTCGTAACCGATGTCTCAAACGCTTCACGGACGATGTTCACTAACTTACATACCCTGAAATACGACGACAGGCTACTTAATTTCTTTGGCCTAGAACAGTCAAAGTTGAGGCTTCCCAAGATTGTTCCATCTGCTGATCCAACAGCATTCGGACAGCTGACCACAGGAGTCCTCAAGGGAATTCGAATAATGAGCTGTCTCGGTGATCAGTCTGCTGCATTGGTAGGTCACGGAGCGTTTGATCCCGGGATGGCAAAAAATACCTACGGCACTGGCTGTTTCTTGCTTTACAACGTTGGTGAAAAGCCAGTCATCTCTAACCACGGCCTTCTTGCAACAGTGGGCTACCAGCTAGGTATCGACCAGAAGCCCGTCTATGCCTTGGAGGGCAGCATAGCTGTAGCAGGAAGCGGTGTTAATTTTCTAATGAATAATTTGGGCTTCTTCCGAGACGCCAGGAGGGTTGATGACGAGGCCTCGAGCGTACCGGATAACGGTGGCTGCGTTTTCGTCACTGCGTTCAGCGGCCTCTTCGCTCCTTATTGGATCGATACCGCAAAAGGAACAATATGTATGTGTAGCTTCCTCCTTCCTAAAAAACCTGGCTCCGTTTACTAACAGTCCATTAGTTGGCATCACACAGCACACTAAGAAAGGCCATATCGCCCGAGCAACGCTCGAGGCAGTATGTTTCCAAACCAAGGCGGTCTTGGATGCAATGGAGCGCGATAGTGGGCAGAAGCTTGCTGAGCTCAGGGTGGACGGCGGCCTAAGTACTTCCAATGTCTGCATGCAAGTACGTGTATCATCTTGACTTGAGACTGTTCACTGCCGTAAGAAGCTAACGCACGAGAGCAGTCACAAGCTGATATAATTCGCATACCTGTAAAACGCCCAGCAATGCACGAAGTAACAGCTCTAGGAGCGGCAATTGCCGCCGGGATCGCCATCAAGATTTGGGATAGCCCGAAAAACCTGGAGGGCCTCAAACAATCGGATAAGACAGTCTTTGAACCCCAACTCCCGGAATCAGAGAGCAACCGGATGTACACCAAATGGTCAAAGGCCGTCGAGATGTCCCGAGGCTGGATGGACAACAGCGATTGATATGATTTGCTTGAGAATTTCTTTTGGTCACGATACCCACGAACATCTCAATCTATTATGACATTTCTGGGTGCCATTGGCTTTATTTCATCTCACCTATGACCGACCACTTTCGATCTTTCCTCCTTTCTTTTTCCTTTTCTCTGTCTCATCTTTTCTTGCCTGAACGTCTGAATGTCTGAATGTCTCCTTTCTTCCCTGCGTAGATTGGCTTATAAACATACTGCTTCCTGTTGGCCGTAATTCCCCAGCATAACGTCACCCAGCTTTGGTTTCCATTTGCCCCAGTGGATTGGGAAACGGCTTGTTACTAACATACATAGTATGCTGTGGCAATCCATCGTTCAACCACGACTGTGAGCGATTGCTGTGTCCGAACTTTCCTCTATTCCCAACGTTCGACAGTTCCTATCGATTGGTCGACACCGTCCGCCTTGAATGCGAGCTGTCTAATTTAGAAACGTCAAGCTGCCGCTGCGTCTAGCTAGTTATATCAAGGACAGGTTTTTCCTCGATAGGCTTGGCATTGCCTGTTCATAGTTGCCGAATGCAACTCGCAATCCGCGGCCTGGGGAAGGCTGATTCCGATCATGATGCAGATATGCACAAATACGTCAAGAATGGTCTCGGGGTATCCGATTCGTTCTATCGCGCATCTCCCTACCTTTGGGCCCCGTCTTGCGTAGCGCACACGACTCTTCCCGCTCAATGCGGTCTGGATTGTCGATTTCAAGACTCAACAGCCGGTCGTGGCATCTCTTTGTGGAATTGTTAATAATACAGACACCTGGCCAGCGAAATCAGAGGACAGGCATTGTGCGCCGAGCCTTGCGACATTGCCCCGAGCGGTACATCATTGGGTGCAGGGGCATATGTGGGATTAATATAAACCTTGTTCTGGTTTGCAGCAGTTTTACTAAATAATAGTGGGAAGGTCACTAACTCTCGCAAGCCGAGTCCTGCACAGTTGACGTTGCCTGGGACAAGCTAGCACCAATTCACTAACTAGGGCCCGGGAGGGTAACTAATATTACACCCCCCCCACGGGTTTTTAGAGAATGGATGTCGAAATCAGCACGTCGATCTCCTTCATGCTTCGAAGAAATATATATGGTGGATCTTTTCACCGCGGAAGCTGGGCCGTTGTGCATAAGCGGCAGGCAAAAAAATCCCCTTGAACAGACTCGACCGGAAATGGATATACTGTGCCTCAATCATCCTTGGGATATTATTCAATCAAACCACTCGCCTCCCATGTCAGGTTTTTCCTTTTTGTTTCACAGCATTTGGAGGCAGGCCAGTCATACATATGCCCTTTAAGGAACACACGTACAATATCTCGATTACACCCTACCTAGAACGCGCTTTATACGAACGTCTCAGTTTCTTTTTCACCATGCGCGCATTCGGTTCCTTGTACCCTTCGCATGGACAAGAAAAAACAAAAACGAAACTGGAAAGGCAAAAAAAAAATGCATTTACTAAAAAAAAAATAGATACAAAAAACAATTCACCCCTACCAGCTCGCGTACGAGGGTGGTGGCTACTCCTGCTACCGGCACACAGCGTTACCTGCTAGAATCTACATTAGTCCCGCTTGGTCAATGCATCTGGCAAATATTATCATACTTGCCGCCGACTGACATCCTGCGGCGCAACAAGATTAGACTATTTATATCTCCATTTTATCACTTGCCTTCTTTCCCCTTTCTATACTCTCACGCACTGGGAGTTCTTTTGTCGGACTTTATATATACGAACATGTGCGATTACGTTGAAGTCAATTATGAATGTAGCCATGTCCGGCTCCTGGTCAGGGCATGGTGTGTCGTGTATCAGAAAACACAGAAACGATGCCCTCCGAATGTTGTGGCGAGGTAGGTTTACCTTCGGTGCTCCCACATCCTACGCCAAACGCTTCAGCTTCCCCCGAAGTTACAGCAAAAGCGAGCTAACACTTAGTTTCTGGACATAGGGAGAGCCGACCTGGGGATAAGTGTGGTATATACAAGCTCCATCTCCTACATTGGCTTCTATCAATATCAGATATCATCCTGTATCCATCCATCCGGATTGCAGAGGCCGTCTATGACCAAATTCATCGTTTTGTATAATTGATACCTAATTGGCCTTGTTTAAACCAGGAGACTGCAGAAAGCAAGAAAAATCCTCTTCTTCTACATCATCTTAGCAGAGAAGTCACGACTTCAAGCGTCCCCTTCACTCGACCTCCTCCCCACCAGGAGCTGTTTCCTTTTTGAGTGCAGGACGAAACCCAGACATCCGCCGGCGCATCAGTGCTACATCCTTCCTTACAATCCTATTCTAACAACTACGGCTTATGGAAGAACATAATAATAACAACAACATCATCATCAACAACAACAGAACTTGTTACGATCTCGTGCGGTGGGTGGGGGGCGGTTTCAACTCGGGCATCCGGTTACTTTCTCGGCGTTGGATTTTGCATAATCTTTCTATGGTGGGCTGGAGAAAAGCATATACATTTACATTGACTTTTTATTACCCTTCCTTGCATGGTCTGGGCTTTGGGTTGAGAGGCACAGTCTAATCATCTCCTCTCTGAAAGACCGTCGATCGCGAGTCAGTTTGAATTGTATTTGTCAAGAGAGACCAGGACAAGCTCTTATTCTATGAGATACTAATTTGGCTTTATTTTTATTTTTCCTTTTTGGTTTCTGCATTTTGTTCATCATCCATACTATATTGCGTGTCCTCGTGAAGCTATCACGTTACCGCATCTTGACCATCTTGATAGTCCATTTTCTGAAGATCTCTTATCGATTTAGCTCTGGGGCTTGAAAACAACCGGCCTCGAGCTCCGTTCGTTTGTGCTATCCCGCCCTCTATCCTACCTACATATACGCCCTCGAAGCCTCACTGCTTCCCGAGCCACTTTTGCCTTTTTAGGCCCCACCCATCCCGCACCTGAAGCGCTGCTGAAACCTTCGCAGCGTCGTTCAGGGCGCTCGAGTCCGTGGCAGCGTACACATACGTTATGCCCATCATCTCTTGCATGGTTTGCGGCGTCGGTTCATGTCACCAATACCATGTCTTCGTGTTCAGCAGCTGGTGGGCCCTATCAGATACATCATATTGTCGAGTTTACCCTCTCGAAAAGAAAAGAGAGAGAATGGAAACAAAAAGGTTGACTGGGCGTTGGCCTGGCCGCTTTGAAGAGACCGAAAGGGAGCTACAGACACGTCGATACAGTTCTTCATTGGGCGATTCTAGTAGCAACTCTTCATATATCGATTATCAGCCTGTGCATCTATATTTTTTTGAATGCTCGAATTTGCTATCCATGCATATACATAGCTACACCGCAGCAAGTAAGTGTCACTTCTGCATGTCTCATTGAAAAAGAACCGTTCCCAGGCTTGGCATGAAAAAGATCCCCCTTCGACCCTCGATCCCCAGTGTTTATAGGATGATGTGACAGCTTACTTTCTAGGTCAATAGTAGCGGTTGCCAGAGTTCGCGTTTTCTCGGTGGGGGCGGGCTTGATGGCGCTTCTCTCCCGCTTTGAAACTTGTCAGATTCTTATTTAGTTGCGTGGGAATCAACGATGTGCCGCCAATGGCTGGTTAACTATATCGTCGATATATGATGTCGATTACATCTGGCACGCACAGGCCTAAAAAAAGAAGCGCCTGATATAAACACCGTGCATCGGCTGGCCACTCAAATGTGCACTTCGAAGCAAATTTGATTTTTTTTCCCCCCGAGACTCTACCTTCATTATCTGCATAATGCGGAGGCGGTCCGCCCCTCCCTCCCTCAGAGGCTTCTTCAGCCCACCGTCAACCCACTCGCCAATATTTCCTCCTAATGGGCTCTTCTGGGGTCCGAACCCAACCCCCCCTTTACCAACATGGTAGCTTGGTCTTCATTGGAACTTCACCCCACCGGCATGGATATACCCAGCCGGGGAGGTGTATATCTACCTCCCCAAGATGGACTTCGCCTATGCACTGCAGCTTTAGTTCGTCCTTCCCTACAGCTGCGGAGACCCTTTACCCAAACGGGACGTTGAATACGTACCTAGTTTAGCCTTTTGCATTAGGGACATATGGCCCTACTGACAAAGATATGTGCTAGCTACTGCAGTCTACGCAGGAATGCTACGGCCTATTCCGTACTGTAGAGACAGGGCAGACCGGACGTACATGGTTGTACGCAGCCTAGATTATGTACAGAGACGAAAAAGCAATGGGGGGGAGCAACAAAAGTTTAAAAAAGGAGCATGGATGCAAGGAAGATCCGGCATTTTTTCAAGCCACATCGGGCTCGGGACCAGCTGGCCATGTCACTCTGTCAATCATGTTTGTGGTCGTGTTTTCTCTTGAAGCATGGGAGAAAAAGGAACATAAATAGCCCGTGCTTAAGTCTATGTTAACAGTATGTATGACCTAATGGGTAATTGGTCCCAGACATGTCATTAGTGAATTGATCTTCTTTTTACATACAGATAGCATGCATCTACCTTGTATCACTTGTCCAGCGATATACTGTGCGCTCCAGCCCAGGTGTGTTAGCGCAAGCTGAATATTTTGGGCCTGGAAATTGAGTAAGTACCAAGTCCTATGAAGATCACAGCCGGACGTTTAGCTCCATGGAAATCTAAAAAAGAAAAGAAAAGAGTAGAAAGGCAAAAGAGGAAAGACTTGGTTGTGAGACGAACAAGTTAAACATATTGTTTCATGTCCTCGATGTAAACTGCAAGTAGAGGTGCCCGCGGGCATATTCTATAAAGGGAAGTGAAGCGGTTGGGCTTCAGCCTGCATCCTGGACCTTGAAGTGCTATCTCTCCTATTACAACGCACAGATCGATCGATCTACAACGTAGTGCAATGACTGACATACGTCCGTCCGCTATACCGTAGGGAAGCGGTGGTGAGTCCTGCGTAGCGCAGGGCAATGTAGGTGAGCCTTATCCATTGTCAGGGGTACCCCGTTATTGAAATCTCGAGTCGACCGGATAACGGAAGAAGAGGATAGATTAGAGAGAGGAAAAGGAAGGTTGAATCGCCGGGACGGGCGGGCCGTTCCTTTTATGTGTAGTTTGATGAATATTTGACCTTTTATTCCATGCCTGTTATACGCAGGTAGAGCAAGAGTACCCGGAGTGTGGAAGCCCCTTTATCCAATATCCATTTTTGATATCCTGATACTTCCCTTGTAAGTGGCCCCATTTTACTCTTACAAGAGAGAGCACATATTTCTACCTCTAGAGAAACATGCCGGTCTTCAGGATCTAGGGATATGGCTTATGGTTGAACGTTTTTGAGATTTTTTTCTATTCCAGTTATACACGAGTAGAGTAAGAGTACGCGGAGTACAGATGGAGATTCAAACCTTCTCACAAATGGGGCAGCCAACAAAAAGTAAAAAGGTAAAAAGAAACAAACGAACAGAGGAAAACGTCCGAGTGTGGCGCTTTAAGTACATACATCATGCCAGATGCAAGAGGGGGAGAGGGAAAAAGTAACGTTTGAACGTTCCAGGATGCTTGAACTGATTGGAATATGAGAGTACTGTTGAAGAATGTGGAAAGTGAAAAAAGTCACATGCGATGGACAATAAGCAATCAGTAGATGCTTGCTAACCCATACTAGTATTTCAACAAGAGTGGTGGAAGATACACATATCAAAAATGGCTTTGATACCTTGGAGGAATCCAATTTTTATTTCCTCCGGTCTCCCTCCACCGGGGCGCCATGTCTGCTCGCCCCACGCTGTATCTCTCTCACTTTGACGAGGCGGCCCCTCCAGCGACAGGTTTTATACGCACAGGCGCCAGGGCTTCTGGGAGCTTTATCGGCGCCTTGGTAGCCAATAGAAGCTTATCGAGCTTTTCACCCTTGAGCACCTTCTCCATCTCGTCTTTGGTCAGAGTTTCGTATTCGATTAGAGCCTTGGTTAGCATTTCAAGCTCTTTTCGATGTTCTGTCAAGATGTTCTTCGCACGGGTGCTAGCTTCGTCGACGAGACGGCGAACCTCCTTTTCGATTTCTTGCTTCGTTGACGCAGAGAGAGTGTTGTAGTCGGATCTAAGGTCGACGTTACCTAGCTTCTTAGAGTAGCCTAACTGTGTTACCAGTGCGAAGGCTGTCTGGGTGGCGCTTTTAATATCCTATAATAATAATTATAGAGAATTTAGTAAAAAAACGACAATCACGCGGGAAAGGGGAGCGGAGAGATGACGTACCTGTGAGATGCCACTAGAAACCCTGTCTGTGCCGTATATAAGCTCCTCGGCTGCCCTACCGCCCATAGAAACGTCGATATCGGAAATATATTCCGTATAATCCTTCGAAACGATATCCATCTCGGGCAAAAAATGCGTTGCTCCCAATGCCATCCCCCTAGGGACAATGGTTATCTTATAGAGTGGCATAGCATCAGGTGAAAAATAAGCGACAAGAGCATGTCCGGCTTCATGGTAAGCGGTCTTGAGTTTATCCTCGTCCCTGAGCATACGGTTGCGGGTCTCGGCACCCATCAGGATCTTATCCTTAGCGTAATCGAAATCTTCGGGCCCGACCTTGCCTTTCCTATTCCTGCTAGCACGGATAGCAGCCTGGTTGATGAGGTTCTCTAAATCGGCGCCGGAGAAGCCCGGGGTTCCACGGGCGATAACCGCAGTGTCGACTTCAGTGCTGACTTGGATGTTTTTCATATGGTGGTTCAAGATGTCCATCCGACCACGAACATCAGGGAGGCCAACGACAACTTTCCTGTCGAATCGGCCGGGTCGAGTTAGAGCGTTATCGAGGAGTTCCGGGAAGTTGGTCGCCGCGATGATGATCACACCACTTGACTGTGAAAAACCATCCAGTTCGGTCAGAAGTTGGTTAAGAGTTTGCTTGACGTATGCTGCATCTCGTTCGTTTCTTTTGGCGCCTATGGCATCAAGCTCGTCGATAAAGATGATAGCTGGTGCTTTGCCTCGGGCCTGGTTGAATAGTTCACGAACGCGCTTAGCTCCGACACCGACGTATATCTCATCGAACTCGGATCCAGACATGTAGAAGAACGGAACGCCTGCTTCTCCGGCAACGGCCCTGGCTAGAAGAGTTTTACCTGTTCCGGGGGGTCCGACGAGGAGGATACCTTTGGGGAGTTTACCGCCTAGCGATGAGAATCGCTCGGGATTTGACAGGAACTCGACAAGTTCTTGTAGTTCATCCTTTGCCTCATCGCAACCGTGGACGTCACTGAATCGTACTGTTTGGTGTTCAGGCTTGGCTTCGTTATTTTGCGTGCCTCTGACGTTTTTCATGATACCGGTTGTCTCAACAAAGACGGTGACCAGGAGAAGCGAGAAGTAGGTAATGAATCCAAAAACCAGGATAAATCTGACCCATCGGAAGATGGAGCTGCCCAGAGACTCATCAACAACGACATATAGCGGAGTATCCTTGGCCCCGGTACCGCTATTTTTAGCAGAAATACCGATTTGGCCACCATGGGAGCGCGCAGCTACCGCTTGGCCGATGGCTTGAAGCTGGTCCGCAGTCATATTCGGGTTGGCAGGGTTAAGTTGTTGTTGTCCATGGGCGATAGCCGCGTCGTCGCCGCCCACTTTCTGGAGTGCCTTTAGATAGATAGCTTCAGACAGGCTGTTGCCCGCAAATTTCCCACTTCGATATCGCTCGATTATGATACCTGGCATATTTGCTTTCAACAGCGCATTATAGAATGAGTTCTGGGCAGTAGCACTTCCGGGATTGGTGTTCGCGGACCTTTCCATGTGCCCGAGGACATTCTGGGAAGATCCTCCAAACATAAATCTCTGGGATTGGAGCGGGGAGAGGCCGGTTCGTTTGGATATCGCGGTTGGTCGGTTGAGTTGAGAGAGGGACAGGGTTGAGTGGTGGCGCCGGGAGCCCGCGAGTATGGAGAGCTGCGAACTCAAGCTAGCCGCACGACTACCTAGTACACCGTTAGATATCACGGAAGAGTTGTAGAATAAAAAGCACATATGCAGAGAATACCTTGTAGCAGCATAGTGACAGGTGCCGGCCGGCCCATCGACAAGTTCCGTTCGGCGGCAATCCTCAAGGTGTCTATATCAAAGCCGTCCGGTAGGGAGACACGCTGGTACAGGTTAGCCTATTCAACATAAACGATAGTATATATATAGAGAGAGAGAGAGAGACTTACCGATGGCGTTCTATCATTCCGAGCCGTCTGCTCTCTCGGTGACGTATGGTACGCACGCGAGCCAGAGGCAGCCCATGGCGCGGAGAGCACATTCGACACCGACGGCCACAGATCGGAAGTCACGGCCGCAATGTTCTGCAGGATACCGTCACCATTAGCCAAGCAGTCGTCCTGTAGAAGGGGTATATCTGGACTTACCGGCAGGCCGAGCTGCGCGTGGAATGCCATGCCGAGCGAGCGTGATTGCTCAGGCCGCGATCACTCGAAGACGGGATCCGGCGTCTAAGGCGACAAAACGGGGTTCGATGTAGTGCACTTCAAGTCAGGTTGGGGATATGTTGGCAGCCATGCCCGTCGCCTACGATTCTCGGAGGTGCTTTTGATATCTGAATTGCAGTCGAGAAAAAACGTTCGACATGGAGAATTGCCACATTAGGCATAAAGGGCGATGACTAAGCAGAACCTCCGTGGAAGAACGAAGAAGAAGAAGAGAAGAAGAAGAGAAGAAGAAGAGACAGAAGAGAAGAACAGAACAACATCAGGACTAGAATATGGGCTATAGGACTGGCGGCGTGTTCATGATGTTCTAGCATGCCCTTGAGACACATAATACTGACCGGTGCACCTGTACCTAGCTCCCTTCGCTGGGATGAAGCAGATCTCCAGCCAGCATCAGACACCCCGAGCAGACATCAGGAGACGGATGAGATACGATGGCGGAGCCTGGAGCCCGTCAGGAACACTACGATATTCACTCCTCCTGTCGACGAGGGCGGATCCTTCTTTACAGCGGGCGCAATCCAGAGATACAGCGGAGAGCCGGTCAGCGGCCTGGAGACCCTGTCTGGCTTCTACGACCACTCCTTTGCATTCCACGAAGGCATCCCGTCTACGTCCCTGGATGATACGAGGTCGTTCGGTGATGACTCGGGCCTATCCACCGGCCTCGAGGACAGTACGTCAGACGGGAACGGAGAGCGCATTCGATCGTCCGTCTCCGGCCACCTGAGCGACCTTGAAGACCTGCCGGATGCAACGTATATACAAGGTCTGGCTCCACGTATGATCACCGTCAATCTGATAGTGGCCGTTATCACGGTCGAGCAGCGTCGCCGAGTCCGCACTCGCTGGGGCCGCGCAATGGATATCATCGAGCTGCTGGTCGGCGACGAGACCAAATCCGGTTTTCGTATTAGCTGCTGGATCGCACCCCAAGGCGACAGGCCGGATCACGAAGCCAGCAGCAGCAAGACTGCGAGTCCGCTTGAACGGGCTCTCGAGGGTCTACGCCCGTGTGACGTCGTTCTCCTGCGGTCTGTCGCCTTGAGCTCCTTTCGAGACCAGGTCTACGGCCAGAGCTTGCGGAACAACGCTACCAAACTCGACCTGCTGCACCGGCGACCTGTTGATGTAACGGATTCAGAGGGAATATATCCAGGCCGGGTCCTCGCCCGCGACAGGGACTCGGACGACCCGCAAATGGCAAAGGTAGCAAGAGTAAGATCATGGACGCTCGAATTCATCGGGCCAGCCCAGCATCTACATCAACACCAAGATCATGTCGAGCGTGCTAGAGTCATTGCCCTGCCCCCAGACACTCAGTAGCAGAAGTACTACAATCTCCGTCCAGCTCCACGTCCCTCCGTAGCCACCGTAGCAAGGCAGTATACAGAAGCGAGCAAGGCTCCCTCCGACAGGTATCTACCTATCATCTCGCTGTGTTTCACTACCACCCGCCGCCACCAGCGACAGAGCCGTCGAGATTTGATGGCCCATTCGACTGATATCACGGTGATATATGGAGCCCTCGACGGTTTCAACAAGGGCCGCGACGCCTCTGGGGAGTGGCCAGGGTGGAATGAGTACTTATATGTACCTGTCGCTGCAGCGAGAAACGGGCGCGGGCAGAAGTACCTCGAGGTATCTCAGGGGGTTCACATCTCCACTTGGGTTGGAAAATTTGGCTTTGCCCATCGCGGGTTTTGCCCTATGGCGCCGTCGCCCTCGCCCAGCTGACATCGACATTCAACCATCTTCCACCCCTGAAGTTGCATCTTTGCGCAGACGGAACACGACACCAAGACGATCTCGGCGGCCTCCTTTTGACCATAATCTGTCCTTCTCCCGCTTCCTCTTCGTCCCTGACATCTCTCGACTCGCCCTCTGACTCCTGAGCCCTCGTCCCGCAGCCCGCCAAACTCGCCCTCTACACCAGCTTCCCCCCGTTTCAACGACATCAAACAACCGCCATCATGAAGGGTAAGCTTGGACTCGTCTTCTGTTTGAAGAGACGCTGACGGCTGCTGTATAGCTTTAATTCTCGTCGGCGGTTTTGGAACCCGTCTCAGACCATTGGTAGGTGGCATCTCTCGAACTGGACAGCTGGCGTCTGTAGCTGCAATTGTCCTGGAAGCTAACTACGCAACGGCAGACTCTCACTCTCCCAAAGCCATTGGTCGAGTTTGCCAACCGTCCTATGATCCTCCATCAGGTCGAGAGCTTGGCTGCTGCTGGTGTGACAGATATTGTCCTGGCAGTCAACTACCGGCCAGATGTCATGGTTGCCGCCCTCAAGAAGGTGAGATACCCCTATATTCTTTATACACTCTTACGCTTCATGATCAGGACGTAGTTGACACGTCACGCAGTATGAGGAATTGTACAATGTCAAGATCGAATTCTCCGTCGAATCTGAGCCCCTCGGCACGGCCGGCCCTCTCAAGCTCGCCGAGAAGATCCTAGGCAAGGACGACTCCCCATTCTTCGTCCTCAACTCCGACGTCATCTGCGAATACCCCTTCCAGAAGCTCGCGGACTTCCACAAATCCCACGGCGAGGAGGGCACCATCGTTGTCACCAAGGTCGAGGAGCCGTCCAAGTACGGTGTCGTCGTCCACAAGCCAAACCACCCCTCTCGCATCGACCGCTTCGTCGAGAAACCCGTCGAATTCGTCGGCAACCGCATCAACGCCGGCATCTACATCCTCAACCCCAGCGTACTCAAACGCATCGACCTCCGCCCCACTTCCATCGAACAAGAGACATTCCCCGCCATATGCAAGGATGGCCAACTCCACTCTTTCGATCTCGAGGGTTTCTGGATGGACGTCGGCCAACCCAAGGACTTCCTCAGTGGTACCTGTCTGTACCTCACCTCCCTGACCAAGCAGGGCTCCAAGCTGCTCGCATCCCCCAAAGAGCCATACGTTCACGGCGGAAACGTCCTGGTCGACCCATCCGCGAAGATTGGCAAGAACTGCCGCATTGGACCCAACGTGACCATCGGCCCTAACGTTGTCATCGGTGACGGCGTACGACTACAGAGATGTGTGCTGCTGGCAAACTCCAAGGTCAAGGACCACGCCTGGGTCAAGTCCAGCATCATCGGCTGGAACAGCTCTGTAGGTCGCTGGGCACGTCTGGAGAACGTCTCCGTCCTCGGTGACGATGTGACTATCGGTGACGAGGTGTATGTCAACGGTGGCTCTATCCTTCCTCACAAGAGCATCAAGCAGAACGTCGACAGTAAGTCTCTCCTCTTTAAACATTTATACCATAAAGCGGCTCTTACTAAATATCCCTCTCTCTAGCGCCCGCTATTATCATGTAGACTGTTCATATATGGACCAAGTCTACTCTAAAAAAACCCTTTCTAACTTCACCATTTATAAATGACAATAAAGAAATAAGGAATGTCAAATCATAATCTTCAATTGCAGGCGGTATGAGGGCAGGGGCAATGCAGCACCAATGGTATGACCATAGATCGGATGGCTGGGTGTTTTGTTCTTCTCCGGTCTTTTCTTCTTGTTCCTTGATGGCCTCTTTTTTACGCTCTTCTCTGCCTTTAATCTAATCCCTTAATCTCCTCTTCTGTTGCATCTTGCATCTCTCTCCTCTTCTCCAGCCCTTGCCTTCTTCTTCTTCTTTTTACTCTTCTCCATTCATCACGTCATTCGCCTGTATAGCGCTTCTTTTTACTCTGCTTCTTACCCCCCGCTTTACAATTTAAGCTTCCACGTCATCCTTCCATTTTTTATTTTATTTTTGACTGCTGGGCTGGGATTATTAATTTTATGCTTCTTCTGTTCTTCTTGCAGTTTTTGCACATTTCTCGCCTTCCTTCGTCAGGGACTTCTTTTCATCTCCTGTCTTTTGATTTCACTTCTAACCCCTTTTAACCCCAAAAAACGTACTGCGGCTTGTTTATGCGGCATTTATGATGAAAATACGGAAGGCGCTGCAATAGCTATGGTAGTTAGCTTCCATGCTCTAAATAGAGAGTACCTTCAGCCTTTTTTACACTTATCCTAACTCCTGTCTACTTGAGGGAAAATACACCTAGTATATCACAGAACTTCGGTATCCCTACTCGGTATTTAGAATGCGAAGCTGGCTAACTAATTGAGTGAATCTTGAATAATGTCAACGGGGAAATACTTTCAAAATAAAACAATATTCGCAAAGTAGATAGTTTAGGTGTTCAGATCCAATCTATACACACACCACGAAGTATCCTATGCTACAAAACATATTCCGCTAACATTGAGCCTTGGGATAGCAATCAGCCCCAAAGGTAGAACCATTATCAGTACACTAATTCGTCTTCGCTCCTTTCACGTACTGGACCCCACTGAAAATAGGTATGCTCATCGAACACCGTCGGTGCCCATTCTAGGTCAATTGATACCCATTCATAGTACTAAATTGTTTAAGAATGAGAATAGATAAGTGTATAGCAGATTCTAGCAACAAGGTATTTCGTTTCCTTTATCCTGGATCGTGACTTAATTTAATTAGAAATATATAAAAACTAGCCGCAAATATACTGAAACCTGTATCTAGTACAATTCCCTCGTTAGATGTAAGTATTAACCGTATAATGCAATAAACCTTCGCTAGACAGAGGTCTTCAAAGAATATCAGATATCAAGAACCACCACTCTTAGCCTCCTCCCTTGAAAGAATAACTTCCCATTTCTCCCTTAACTCCTCCATATGCCTCCAACACTCCCGGCCCAACCCTATAAACTCTTCCTTCGCCTCTACAGTAGTATCCACGGCACCACGCTTCCGTCTTCGGGACTTGTCAGCTTCCAACACAGCTGGCCCGGCAACGCCTCCATAACCCCATCCCTCAACCTCTGTAGAAGCGACACTCTCTTTCCCTAGCCTGTCACAAGAAGAACCCCACTTCGCCTTGCCACCACCTAGGCGTTTGTATTCTGCCTCTGCGTTGTCTAGAGTTGATTGAGGTGATAGACTGAGCCAGACAGCTGTGTTGGCGCCACGGTATGAGGTGATAACATGCCAGGGTGAACCAATCAGTCGTGCCGCCCAGCATACCAACATCATACTCCAGACTAATGGTAGAGCAAGGGGAACGATAGAGGTGGAACATATTCCCGGATGAGCAAGGTATATATTCGGCCTGCTTGTGCTAGTAGATGGCTTGGTACTGGCACCCATACCATCACACGATGAAGGGGCAAGATAGTTATCTACCCAAGGTGCGGAAGAAGAAAGCGGATATGTGAGCGCTAGAATATCCGTCAAGTACTTTCCTGACTGGTATGACTGTGCAACCTTCAAGCCCTGCATATCATTGACGCTGAATACGTCCTTTGCCGCCTCGAGACTTGACGTCCATATAACACGCCCAGGATACGGCGTTGACTTCTCCAGCACCGAAACTAGATAGTGTGCCAACATATAATGACCAAACACATTGGCGCAGAAAATTTTACCCATTGGCGGCTCATCGGGCTGTGTAGTCTGTTTCCTGTTCATCACCCCCGTGTCGCTATACGTATATGCGGCCGGCCATGTGAGCCCATGCACTGTGTCCGTGAGGATCGTCCATACCGCCATTGGCCAATTGAGGCCTGTGAAGCCCGCGACTCCAGCGTTGAGTATCAGAACATCGAGTTTGGGTATGGATGTCGCAATCCGTCTAGCCATAGCGCGCACGGAAAGAAGATCGCATAGGTCGACATGTTCGGGTGTGAATCTTATGCGCGACCTAGCTCTTGCTACCACTTCCGGGCTGTGTAGCTTCGCTGTGGTCGCCTCCAGGTGGCCTTTTAGCTGCACCAGGGTCTCATTGCTCTTCTTCTCGCTGCGCGTAGTGAATATTAATGTGAGAGATTGGCTATCTGGCCGGGAAGCTAGGAATTCGTCTATTAATCGGCAGCATGTCGAGAAGCCTAGGCCGCTAATTCCAGGGATATATTAGCCATTGTGCATTCTCTGCCGGACGAAAGGCCTGGTTACCTGTTTGTGCCGGTGATTAGGATATAGGTCTCTTGCTCTGCCATCTCTATCTCTATTTCGTCCTCGTTTTATCTCTTCTTCTTCTTCGTCTTCTTCTTCTCCTTTTCTATGTTGAGGCTTGGATCGCGGAAGGTCCAAGCTCAGGAAGGTCCTTGGCACGTGATATCACGTGATAATGATGGTTACATAATAAATTCTTTAAATCCATCGATAAAAACAAACTCGACGAAGAAAACGACAACAAACACCGCTGTCGATACTCCAGAGGCACAGAGCGGACTCGAAACATGCTGGAGCATGACTGCAGGTCAAAGATGGGGGGACGAATATTCACCAACACTCCCTCTTCCACCCAGGATCGACGGCAGACCGTCAAGCAGCACACCGCTGCCAACAAGACAACGCATGGCCACACATCTCAGCCAAGTTCTCAATATGTTTAAGTATAACGGTTCTTGGCTTATCACTTTATCGGCCGTATCTGAAGCAGCCGGCAAGCTCATATGATGTACGAAGTATATACGCTATGCAAGTTAGAGCAGGGAGTAGCATCCTTCAGTCTGTCAGGGATTAGGACAGTCAAGCTATCACCCGTCAACTCTTGAATCTACCAAGAGAAAGAGGGGTATCTTCAACGCCCTCACCCTCTCTCCAGTCAATCGATTCCTCTTTTCTTTTTCTCTTGATAATATCGTTTTGCTAAACAGTCATCTATTAGCAAGCACACGTGGGCGTGAAGTCGTGTTTGGCATGTTTATCCATGCACACTAATCTCGGGTGAGCGGGAAAAGGAGACGGGAACGAGGAAGCGAGGGATGCAAAATGAAGAGGTGCAACGAGCCAGATGCAGGCGATCCAGGAGTGATAGCGATAGGCTTCAACAGCAGAAGCAGCGGCAGCAAATGGAGCGGCATTGAAGAATTTACTCTTCCTTTTCGCCTTCAATCCCTGCCATAATCTGCACTCGATAGATTCTTCAACTCCTCACCGCCAAAATCCTTTCTTTTTTTCCCTTTCCCTTTCCCCTTTTCGCCTTTGTTGAATATGATATTGCCAGGGTTCTGGCTCTGAATCCGGTTTATGGCAGTCGTGGCAAATCAAAGAACACCATGGCCAGGTAAAAAAAAGGACAGGAAGATATCGTATCGTATCGTGGCGAGGACAGAAAAAAGGGGGAAGGGGTGAATGGAACATGGCCGGCTGTCTTGATACTCGAGCTGACTGGGTAAGAGTTTGTTTCAGCATGGAATATACCGTATAAGTATAATGTCGCTTCCGAAACAGCATTTGATCACGCAAGGCTTTGTTCAGCAACCTGCAACGAGCGGAGAGGCCGAAGAGAGCAGAAATGCAAAATTATACTCAATACAAAGGTAAAGATGAAGGAGGAGTTACTAGTCCGACGTGAGGTGTTAACGAGAGCAAATTAACAATCCTTGGCCTCACAATAGATCTACTTACCTACGCACACCCTGGTTCTCTTGTTGAGTATATCGACACATCGGCTTCGAAGACGACGATCGCCGGCTATGAACTCTCTCCTCCCGAGCTCTTTTGCTACCGCCCTTCCGATCAATATCTCCAGAGCATCCGTATCGGTGATCTAGTTGTCATACGGGTATGGTTTCGATTCGATTCGTCGTTGGCCTGGGGGGGCCGTACGTCTGGCCTCGTCTGGCCTCTCGTCTTGTCTCATGTTTCTGACCGCTGCATACCGTCGTAGGTTGGTCGGTCGGTCGGCTGGCTGGCTGGTCGTATGTAAGGTCACATCGCCTATCCACGATCTCCCACGAGAGCAGGCACCAGAACCAGAGCCAAACCAAAAATCAAAAAGCACCCCATCGTTCATCCCAGTCCAATGTCAAATATGTTATGCAACGATCGATCGAGTATCAAACTGAATTCAGCCTGCCAGGCAGACAGGAACAACGATATTACATAAAAGAATCCTCCTCCGCATCCACCAACGTGACCTGACTTACAGATGATGCAATGGGGTGAATCGCAGCTGCTCGAGAAAACGTACTCCGTACTGCGTACAGTAAAGACGCATACACCATGGTTGCGAATGCGTTGTTGAGCGTATGTCTACGTACGGCATCCTTGCAAGAATACAACACAACTGGAGATAATAACCGAAAGGCCAAGATACCAAGACACTAGGATTACGCTACTTGTTCATTTCGAGGTGGCCAGGTTGGATGCTTACTTGCGTGCGTAGGTAAGCCGTGCTGGGTTAAGTATCCGCACCCCATTCCATGCGTATATGTGAGTGTATGTTATGTCCAGGATGGGGAGGGTACTGGGATATATTGAAGCCAGCGATGCCGTGCAGGTGGTAAACGGCGGGAGTGGATCGGGAGACAGGGCTGCGGGAAGCAAGGCTAGCTAATCTCAACAACGACAGCAGCAGTGGAAGGGAAGCAGGGGATTCTTTCAACTGTTTGATGAGCTAGTTATTCCATCCTGCCGGTACCAACCAACAAACAACAGCGCTCCCAACATCAAGGAAAGCATGCGCGAAAAGAAGAAAAGAAAGGAAAGGGAAAAAAAAAGACAAAAGCGAAGGAGAAAGGAAAAGGAGGACGGAATATGCAAAATGGCACAGGAACATATCCTCGCCGTCGTCCCATACCTGGTCCAGAGATAGGCAATATTGGTAGCCTTCAATCTATTTCCAACATCCAAAACGAGAAGAACAAACATCCCAGTCGCCGTGCTAGCCCCCAGTCCCGTCCGCATCGCCGCCCGTCTAGTTAGTTCGCTCGATAGCGCCGTCTTTCATTTCCCTCTGACAAGTGTGGATAACATGTTGAGTGTGGAGAGCAGGTTATAAATATAGAATTCCGTTGGCCACCGAGACTTGACTAGCGACGGCTACGGCCTCAACTCCGTGGTCTCGGGATTGTCTGCGCGTACATATATGCCTAATGGCAACAATGATAATGGACGGAGTATAGCTCGTGTACTCAACTCCGTACGCCCATCCGGATACAGGTAGCGAGCATGGTCATTGTTAGCGGCGGAGTCGCCGTTAGCCCCAGCATCTTAAATGCCATGTTTTGAATAGAAGTTTGCTGATATAGCATGTGGTCTGGGACAGCACCAATGCCGCGTACTAGACTGCAATCAGTTAAAAGATGCTGGAGTTGGGCTCTAAAATAGATAAATGGGAGGGGCCAAATCAGTTCCTCGGGACGGGCCCCCTTTTTTTTTTTTTTTTCCTCTTCCTTCCTGGCTATATTGGCTTTTATGGAGACATGTGAAAGTCGCGCTTAAGGGGTCTAGTATTCGCCCTTGTAAGTACCGGTAAGGACGGTGAAACAGGCCGTTATACAAGTAACTGCGCGGACTAAAGGTAAAGACGGCGTAAGTCAGTACCGGCCGGTGGCTAGCGTGGTGGTGATGGTGGTGATGGTGGGAGTTGACTTTCTTCTTCATCCCGCGCTGACTGAACCTATGGTTCGGTTCGGCGAAGAATCTACGTTCACCACACGGAAAAGGTCGAGGGAGACTTAAATTAGACAGACTGCTTCGTGCTAGGCTAGTGGGTGAGGTGAGAGACGAGCGAGAGACAGATAGAACGGCCGGGCGAGGCTAGTTGAAGGGAGTAGATACTATGTATAGAAGTTGATCGTCAGGCGATGAACGCCGCATCATATTCAGCGTTTCGTGTCGACAACGATGGCCTATCTGGGAGTGTCTGCCGAGCCAGAACCTGAACCCGAACCAGGAACTCGAGGCTGTTTGTGGGGGATTGGCACCGGCTCATTCCTCCGATGGTTGTATATATACGGGCAAGCTCCGTAGAGAGATGGAGAGTACGGAGAGCATAAACATGTCGCGTGCACACTCTGAAAGTGCAACCAGGCCCAGACCGGGATACCGCAACGTATCGTATAGCGCTGCTGACGGTCAGCATCTGCATCCATCGTGTTTGACAGTTCGGCTGGTCCTGGAGCCGCAATCTCAATCTTCATCTCCCGCCCGTCCGCCCATCGCCCACCGCCCACAGCCGCCCAGCCTGTGGGGTAAAACGATATAAATACCAATCAATCATCAAGAAGCAATGACAGGCCGACTAAAAGTAAGCCAGACGAGTTGGTCCTGGTGCAGATTGCGTGGTGGACGCAAGTGGCAAGCCATGTCGATCCGCTCCGCACGTTGAAACAGAAGATGGCAGCTCGAAACGAGAACTGTTAGGCAGCTGTGGAGAGAAAGGAGGACGGGATCGGAGGGGGTGGAGGGGGGAAGCACTATAGATAATTGATAGCTCCCTCGCTATGCTATATGCAGTAGTAGATGGATTGCTCAGGAGTGGTGTAAAGACTATACCTTCTAACGGCGAACGACACCCGTCCGACTATCTATGGGCCGGAGAATAAAAACTAGCTCCTGGCACTTGTACTGTAGCCGAGGTCGGTTGCCCATAAATTTCCAATCCGACCGAGCCCCGAAGGGATATGTCTTTTTAGTTCCCGTTCCTTCGCCGTTTCAACCTGCTCTCGTTACTCCCGTTACTTCAGCACTGTTCTGGCCTTGATAAAAACTGGTAGGCTACTGGCTCGTCTCGACTGGCCGTCCCGGGGTATGGGTACGAACCTGGTATCAGCGCGGTGATCCTGCGCCAGCTGCTGCCCTGCCCGCCGGGGTGCCGAGTGCCAGAGAGATGAGTAAGAAGGAGGCAGCATGAGTAAGTCTATTTGTCATGGCTATCACTCCTGCGTGGCTTTAACTTTTGATTCCAAAGCAAGACAGCTGTTCGTATCGCGGATAAGCGATGCTCTGGACTGCACATCGATCGCCCTCGTCTGTCGGTTGGGCGTACGGAGTTTCTGGGTGAGAATAAGTACGGAGGGAGATAGAGTAAGGACCGGGCGGGTTCCTGGTGAGCGAGCGAGCGGGTGGTTCGTGCCATCGATCGAGATGCACGTCTACCACCAACCATGGACATGGACGGGTGTTATGCTTGATGTCGATGATGCCTGATGCCTGTCTCCCTGCTGATGCTTGTCCCCATGGATGCTGAGGCTGGCGTCTTGCGTAAGCAGGCGTCGCTCCAGGGCTCCAAGGGGCTTGCAGGGGCTAAAGGTACCTTGGTGGTAGCGGTAATTTTGAGCCCGCCAGGCGGTTCTTTTCTTCTCTTCTGTCGTCCTGTTGTGTGTTGATGTTCTGGTTGATATGGGCGGGTGGTGGATGTTGAGATGACTTGCAGCGAGACTATACACCCTTGTCCCGTCGATGCGAGGTGATAGTGTCGGCCAACTCTTCCGTCCACTCGAAAAGGACGTATCCAGTCCGCTCCTTCGTATAGAGCCTCTTATTCTTCATGGACAGGTCTACTATCGCCATCGTAACGCTTCAAGTCACGAAGCAAGGGACGAACATCGAAACATGATAACTCCGTCCGTACCGCTTAGCTGATGATTATCAAGCACCAAAGTATATCGAGTTATGGAGTACTCTATCACTAGTTCTCTCTGATGGGAGATGAGACGTCCTGGTGTGTCGACCACATGGAGTGGGAGGGAGATAAACGAGCGATCTGCTCACTAGTATCTCTGTGATGGACGAAAAAGGACGAACTCGACCGAGCAGATAGAACGAGATGGACAGCGGAGGTCGAAGTATCAGGTCAAGCCTCGCCGGGTCGTCTGTCGTCGGTCGTCTGGTGGCCGTGGTCGTGGCCGTGGTCGTGTCGCCATGGCGCTGGCACCGGCTTGCCGTCGACGGCATCGTCTCGACCACTTACTCTCTTGGTCTACTGTAGACGCCGGCGAGAGCGGACGGAGTTGAAGGAGATGAGACAGGACGGCGTTTGCTTTCGACCCACAGCGAACGCGGGAGCTAGTATGTACACTTACATGTTGCCGATGGCGAGGACCATCCATCGTATGGAGCAGCCATAACGGCGAGGACGGTGGCCAGTCTGTCGACAGGAGAACTACTGAGGACTATTTCCATTCAGGCGGCATGTTCTCTTTTTCCCCTAGGATCCCATTAAGTAATATAATTCCCTTCCGTTCCATTCTTGTTCCCGTTCGATGCCCTTCTCGGCCGCTATCGATCGACTGCTTGTACGGAGTATATATTGATTTTTCTTTCTTCCTCCCCCCCCCCCGGAGTCGACCTGTCTGCTGGCAGCTGGGCAGAGTGCGGGGAGGCGTCCATCCATCCTCGTATCCTCCCTCGCGCAGGGCACGATAGTAGTAGCTGGTAGATAAATGGCGTAGCACTAGTTCTCGTCTCCGTTCCTCCCTTGGTATCCTCGCCTGGAAGCAAGTACAGATACGGCCATTCCCAACAGGCCGGCTCGTCAGGTGGATAACAGCCCAGTAGCACGCCCAGCCAGTTGGAGTCGCGCATATGCTACGGCGTAAAGAGACGACCACCACAACGTTAGTGGATCTCTCGATATCCCGCCTGGCGCTCACGCTGGCGTCTGACTGACTACTGATGTGCACATGTATTCATGTTTCTTCCTCGCTTCTGAGCCTGTCATCCCACCGTTTGCTTCGTCCTGCCACATGGCCACATCCCCCCCCTTCTTTGTTCTGGTTTCTTTTGCATCTTGCCTCGACCGGGGCCAGTGGGGGTGTCGCCAATAGGGGTGCAGAGAGGCTGGCTGGGCGGGAGGCAATGCAGATGCGAGGCAGATGGCTGCAGGATGCATGCAGCCCGTAACGTATGCGAGATGATATGTACTTTTCCGTCGAGAAAAATGAGAGCAGAGGCAGCAAAGGGCTGTGTTGGACGAGCCAAGCACAGGGACAGGGACAGGGGCCAGGGCCAAACTCGCTCAGTGACAGATAATCAACCGTCGAATATCTCGAGAGTGATGTCGAGTCCCAGGTCTGTTCAAGTCGTTGTTACTCGTTAACTCCGCTCTCACCTACCCCTTCAAGCTCACAAACGAGCTCACAAAAAACAAAGCATGCCCGTCTCTGTCTTGTCTTTCATCTTGTTCGCATCCTCGATTGGCTCCCGCACTCACACAGTAGAAAGAGGAAACTTCAACCTCACTCCATGCCGCGTTTCCTCGTTAAGCGTAAACTGTACGTACAACTACCCACTCCCACTAGACTAGCAGCAGCAGCAACCGGCAGCAGCATCAAGCCAACGAGCCCCAGCCAGCAAGGTCCAGCCCAGCCTGCACAGGGCAACTTTCTAACCAGTCGACCGGTGCTGGTTCTCGTCGCTCGCCGTATGTAGCACCAGACACATGGGTCGGCGCCACCGTCGCATTAGACAGCGAGAACCCCATGCGCGGAGACATGCATCCCAACAATGTCAGATGGCGCTGTGTTTCCGTGACAATTATTATTGATAATCGCATCCCTGCCATCGATCGATCGATCGGGTAGCGAAGGCCTGCATGATTTAGTAGTAGGAGATAATATAGTAGCAGGAGATATGGTAGTAGCAGTATATGGTAGTAGTACGGAGTAGGCGTAGAGTAGATGATGAGTAAGCTGTATATATGTATGGTATGGCGTATGGTATGGTATGGTATGTATGTATGTATGGTATGGAGTATGTATTGGTGGGTCTGCGGGCCGCTTCGGGAATAGCCCGCCAAGAGATCGGCCGAAAGTGTTAACCTTAAACGCTTACCCAACTTAACTTAAACCTTAGTCGTTCTTAACCTTCTTTTTTGCGCTTTCTTGTCCCTTCCACCTTTTCTTGTCGACCTTCATCTCCATCGCCATCGCCATCGCCGTCGCCGTCGCCAGCGCCAGAACTCGCCATCCTCCCATCCTCCATCCTCCATCTCCTCCATATCCGCTGTCCACTTTCCGCTGTCCACTCCACGCCCGCCCACGCATCCACCACACCCACCTGCTAGTCCTCCTTTGCTTTTTCTCGCCGACTCCAGCGTCTACTTGCTCTCGGCGGTGCTTCTTCTTGAATATAGTCTCTGAACGGTGAAATCTGCGACCTGCGACCTGCGACCTGCGAACCTGCGACTTGCTTTGCTTTTTCTTTTTTCCACCGTGGTTTCACCCTCGTTTTTTCATTCTTCTTCTTTTTTTTTGCACACTCTTTTTTTCTTTTCATCTTATTTTATCTTTGCTTGAATCAAGAGTCTTTTTTGCTTTTGGCTTTGGCTTAGGCTTTGGCTTTGCTTCTCTTGCCCTGCCGCCGCTACTAACGAGGAGAGATCGCTTGCTGCCGATTGCTGCTTGCTTGCCTGCTCTCCCCTCGTCTGTTTCATGCTTCATGACTATAATATTATATTAAGATCGCTGTCCTCGTCCTCTCCTCTCTCGATCTCGTCCCCTTCCCACATATACATCCCTCGGAGACAGCGCGCGTTCGCCGGTCCGTCGCATCCATCGCACCCATTCATCCGTGCCGCCGTGCATGTCCTCGTAGAAAACCGAACAAACGACGTCCTGCTCTGCCTCTCCTGCTGCCTCACGCACGCACGGCTATCATGGCTCGCACACGTAGCTTCCCGTGTTCGTGGGTCTCATGCAAAAAGGTACGTCCGTCTTGCATTGTCTGACCGCAAGCCAGCCTCGCTATCTGCTTCTTCTTCTTCCTTCTCTTCTTCTTTGTCTGCCACGTTTCTAACACATGTACAGGTGTTCAATCGCAAGTCAGATCTCTGCAGACACTACCGGATACACACGAATGAACGGCCGTATCGCTGCAACTTTCCCAATTGTACCAAGAGCTTCATCCAGCGCTCGGCGTTGACGGTGCATTCGCGCACGCATACGGGAGAGAAACCTCACGTCTGCAACTTTGCAAACTGCAGCAAGGCCTTTTCAGATGTACCGTCCGCCTTCATTCCTCTGCTGCCTGCTTTAATATCTAACGTCTGTCTAGTCGTCGAGTCTTGCTAGACATAGACGGATACACACCGGTCGACGGCCGTACAAGTGCCTAGAGCCGACCTGCGATAGAAGGTTTGTTCAGTCTCGTCTTCATTAACCCGGGAATGCGCCGCCTAACCTGTGTATAGCTTCTGTCGCAAGACAACCTTGACCAAGCATCAGAGTCGCTCTCACCAGCCAGATGCCGTCTCTCCTTCCGCCCAGTCCTGCGAGTCGGAGCTCTACTCCCAGCCAGCACAGCACTCGATATCGATGATGTCGCAGTCGCCGCAGATGCCACCACACCACATCCAGTCGCAACCACAGCCTCATGAGCATCATCAACATCAACATCAACAACATCAGCAGCAGCAACACCTTCAGTCGCATCCGCGACAACAACATTCGCCCTACCAGCAGCAACATTCGCCCATAATACCCGTACCCGACTACTATCATCACCAATCCCAATCTCAACCTACAACAGTCCACTCCATCTCTATCACAGCGGAACAACCCATCCTCCCACCACAAGTCCACTACGTCACAGCGGGCATCCTCCCACCTCAGATCCCCCGTTACGACATCCCCATCACCACATCAACCCCAACATCCACAGATCACCTCGCATACCACCACCCCGTCTCCGTATCCATGCTACAGCAACAGCGCATACAAGCGCCGCTACCAACCCCGATACCGCACCAGACAGATGGATTCCAGGTGCTTCCCGTCATTGCCGGTGGAGCCGGCAGCCAGTACATGAAGGAGTTCGACCCCATGAAGCATAGCCAGCAGCGCATGTTTGGAACAACATATCCGGAGCACGTTAATTGGGATTTCCTGGGGTTGAGTTAGCATAGCGATACCACGATGTTCACGAGGTCTATACGCAAAACACACGAATGCGAATGAACCATTTAAAAGGCGTCCTACCATTGAACTGAGCACCTCCGCATACCCATACGGTCGATTCCCGTCCTCTTCCTTGTCCTCCACCCTCGCACCCCTTTCAAACCCGACTTTGAATGAACGGATACCCATACATCACACCCTGCTTACCTGCATTCTCTCATCGGACAGGACGGAACCGACCAAAGGCTGAAAACGCCTGTCTCTTCTTCTCTTCTTCTTTCTCACTCATCTTGAACGGTCCGGAAACTTGGAAACGGCCTGGCGTTATTTGTGCTGGATTTCTTGCATTATTCGATTTTATTTCTATCTCTATTTACCGATGAAATATATCATTGTATCTCTGTATCTACCTGGAATGGTTGGCGGTGCCTTAACCACGTCTTGCGCGGTCACTAAAAATCTCATCTCACCGCGGATATATATCCATATATCCTCTGCCCATTCTGTTTTCTTTTGATTTTTATACATCTACATACAGAGAGATTTCTTTGGTGAGCTGGCTAGGCTAGGATGGCACTGGCGCAAAGCTTTCTCCTTCCTATCTCACCTTTCAACATTTTATCTTCATCTCGATCTTTATCCCATTACTCATCCGATTATCCCCTTATTTAATAATATGGTGGAGGAAAACGAGCACGGGAAGGGGGGATGGGGATACAATACCCATTACCTGCTTCTATCGAACTCAACAAACTACTGAACCATGGTTGATGGTTGGTGGTTTACTTTATTCTTGTTCATACTTACTTATGCCTGTCTATTCGTCTACTTGTTATCTTTTCTTCTTCTTCTTCTTCTTCTTCTTCTTCTTCTTCTTCTTCTTCTTCTCTTTTCTTTTGAATGTTTATACAGAGTGAGAAAGTGAAAGAATGGGAAATTAATTGGATTCTACCGCATTCTTTGCATGAGCATTGCATGCATAGCATGGCATTGACATTCGATCACGCCTTCATCCGTGATACGTTAGACTATATATTCTTCCCTCCCACCATCTCAGCTCGATCCGGCCTGTCTCGACCTCCTCATTCGCTTCGTTAAGGTTGATAGATCGATCTCCCGCTCACGAACGCAATTACGACATTCCATGCATATGACCACTCAGAAGAGAAGGGTCCGCGCCCGTTCTTCTCTCAACCGCCTCAACGTCCTCTGTCCGTCCATCCATCCATCTATCGACGCTGAGATGTCGATATGCACCGTTTCACCATCAAGAGGCAGTGTAACGTGATAGACCAGACAACTGCGATGGTGCCAGGTAACACGCGCACATACACACCATTCTCTCTCTCTTTTCTCTTTCTCCCTCGGCTCGTCCGGGTTTCGGCGTATGGAGGTTTTATCACTGCTGAAAGGCCTATACTCGAACATCTAACATCTAACATCTACCTGCGCCGCTGCTACATGGCAGTGCTACCTTTGAACTGAACGTTACACGAATTGTACGACCCGAATCCCCTGGAGACTACAGTTACATATATACATATACATATACCCACATGCACGCCCTGGCCTCGGCCTATACTCGGCCACAACGGGTAGGAATCCTGGAGGGGACTCTATTCTTGACGGCGCCGGGCCGTTACACGCCACGCCAACTTGTCGACCTGCTAAATGGCCATCTTTATAGCTTGGACGTTGCATGTTACACTACACTAGCACTGCAGGGCGGGCAGAACAGTAACGATGCGGGGGATACAGCGGTTCAGAGCAGCTATCCCAAGCTTATGCTGAGTACCACATCGATAGAATGGTTCATACGGACGTTACACTAAATTAAACGGAATGAACGGTACGAAGAGCCAGGAATCGAAGTAACGCCGAGAAAAGGTAAACTGTTAAGGTAGGCCAGGCAAGTCGAACGCGCGAACAGGACAGGAACAAAAGCAGGAACAGGGACAATAAGAAAAAAAAATGGAAAAAGAAAAAAAGAAAAACAGAACAAGAACAAGGAAAGAAAAGGAATACAAACAATAAGAAAAGAGACAGGACGTTGTTTTGTCTTGTATTTACCAGTATGTATCCATTGTCACCAGCTAATCAGTCCTCTCTCTCGATCGAAGCCTCCTCTCAGCTGCGTATCGGGTTTTATCACCTTGCCCTTTAGCACGGTGAACTTCACAATACCTTCACAGTCTTCAGGACGGACTCTGGCAAGCCATATCCCTTGCACGGCGCCTTCGCTCTCGCCACCACGACCGCCCTCATCATCACCAAGGCCTTCCTCTCGCATCTCTTTCTTGAACCACTCAAAGTCTCTCCTCCGATAGACCATCACATTAGCGGAGTATTTGTGTCCGCCTACATGGGAGATGAAATATATACCTACTCCTCCCGGTCGTTCATCATGGAGGTCTCGATATAGACCTAGCGGGCGAAGATGACGCTCGAACTCGCGACGTAGAAGGGGAGCAGACTGTCCGCATCGTACATCGCGAGTACGTTGTGAACAGAGAAGAATCACTGCTGCATGTGGGCAGGGCCGAGAGCGAAGTGGTGTGGGTATCTCAGCCACCGCTTCGCTGTCCTCGCCATTGCTATCACCAGTTCCATCGCCGTTGGACGAAGGTTGGGTATCAGGCTCTGTGCATTGGATTGGCTCCGTATCTGCCTCTGGAGCATGAGCTGGCGATGGTGCTTGATTAAGCGGTGTAGTGGTTGTGGCCGATTTGTTGACGAAATGGTGAATAAGATCAGGCGCGAGTGCGGGTGTGACATGGTCCACTATCGTGAACGCAGGTAGAATCAATGCCGTTGTAGGCTGCTCTCCCTCGGGATGCAAGTGATATTCATCGGGCACTGGTATGTTTGAAGCCGATAGCTTGAGTGTCTGCATCATATCACTTTGTCAATATGGCCGTTACGTCCAATCATCCCACCATAGGTATAAGCACACATACCCCGTTGCTAGGCTTCACACCACACTTCTCAACGGCTTCCATAACACTACCCTTCTCATCCGCAACATCTCGAACCCAATCCGTCTTCCCCGTCGCAATAAGGACATGTGTCGCCCACCCGCCAACATTCCCGTACACCTTATCTTCCAAGTCGACGACGAATTTCGCCGGATACCGTATCGTACAGCTAGCGCAATCCCTATTACAGTCGTCTCCATCTAATTCAGGCCTAACTTTAGGGAACAGTACGTCCTCACTGGCAGTGGTAAACGTTATCGACCGCTCGGCTGCTGACCCGTCGTCAACATTGGTGTTGTCGGTTTCACCGGGAATATCATTGGTCTGGTTGTCGGTAGACGTGGTCAGGTTTGATTGGGAGGAGGACGCAGATATAGAGAGAGAGGATAGCCCCTTTTTAAAAAACGCCTGCATGGTGAGCTGTCCCCGGGATGGGTTGACGATGTTTTTTTATTACCTAGGTAGGCTGCGGTGGGGTTATCAGATCAGATCGAGGCTGCGAATTTATCTTATCTGATGGCCTAGTGCTTAGTCAGAGAAATAAGCGCGGTACATATCACGTGAAAACATTAGGTAAGTTTAAACCTTTCTTTTCCTTTTCTCCCGATCTATCAAGCGCAACATTCAAGATGCATAGTCTTCAGCTAGTGGTAAGCGTTGTGGTAAATGTTTGTGAGCCGTTGTATCGCCATCTAGGCTACTCCGTACATGCTGAGGCAAAGTCGGCTCGCTAAGGAGAGTATACCGTATATCCCTATGCGTCGCATTTCTTGGATACTTCATCGATTACGCTATGCGAGAATAAAAAATGAGAGTATAAGTGCATAGAGTGCGGCCGTATACTCTATTTAGTGATCACCCTCTAGCAAAGTAAGAGAAGCACTAAAGAATACATACGGGTCCATCCACCAAAAGTCCCCTTGTCCGGCTGATTCTACAAATGCCTTCTAGCCTGATCATTGGTATATATCGGAGCGCGCTAATGATCGGTACGATTATGGCGTCTCTACGGGACACAGCGGAACGGCAAATCAATGCCTATAAGCCCAAGATACAATAGCAAAGAGCGAAAAATAGGCCTAATATCGATGAATGATGATAATAACTAGGGAAACAGGCCATATCTGGCCTCTATATATGGGGGAAGGCGTAGCGTACGTACGAGCCGTAATCAAACAGATCTGCAGGGGGGGAGTGGCGTTGGCCTGATACTGCCAAGACGCCGTACACACGAAGATTCTGACAGTATACCATATTCCGAAGTTGATTACTAGGTTTGAGTTAAAAATGGGTTCAAGGGAACGTCATAGATACACATTTATTACATTATAGCGTCTTATGACCTTGATAATCAAAGGAATGGTAACTCACTATGGATGGAAGGAAAAAGTATGTCTGAAGATTCAAGAGACTTCTAACATCTATGAACCTACATTTTATAGCGCAATATATTTCAGGTAACATGGTGAGTCCGGCCGATATATTCCTAAACTGCGACAATCCATAGGCTTTTACTGAGCATCGTTAGATACATACCTATGCCTAATATGTCCTATATCAAACAAGAAATAATCACTTACCCGCCCAATGCACAAGTACAACCCTATTCCAATGAAGAGTTGCAGTAACAGTTGCTGAAATGTTGGTGAGAGGGTATGGTTTAATTTATAGTGACCTTTGGATCAACACTACTATAGAATGCTGAAGTGGCTGGCTGGTGTGCGGTTGTAAGTGAAACAGCAACAGGCATCCACAGCTCAGACAAGCTTAAGTTCCACTGATTGGAACCAGGCTAGAACTCCGAGGTAGAAACAGCTCTAGCAACAGGCTGTTATATTGTACGCTAGTGTACAAGCACTCTATAGCGAATGCACGCTGTCATGCCTCCTTCTCTGCCATAAATGCAGAATATTAATCGGCGTTAATTCTGGTGACAACCATGTATAACTGCAAGTCAGTAGCGAGTGATAGTGGCCGAGTAAGCACTTCAGCAGTATCTATACTTCTTTATTTCCTTGCGGCGTGATCCATAATCTTTGGGCTGTATATTTTGGTTGATGGACGCAGAAGATGAGACCGGCCTGATGTGCCGAAGGTTCTTCCGCCAGTACTTCTTTACCCCCTGTAGATCAAGAACTTCTTCAGACACCAGAAGCAGTAAGGCCGGATCTCATTTATCAGCCTTTAACACGAGATTCCTCTAGTTGGTCCAGGATACCACGAGCCAGTCACTCCGCGCTGCAGTTGGACGTTGATTGAACGACACGCTGGATGCCAGAGACTGAGACTGTCTGAAATCTCAGTCAGAAGAAAGCCGAGGGCATCGTTCATCAAGTCTCTTTTCGCACTGGCTGACTTTCCGCAGATCCGTACAGCTGGTAGCCCTCGTCGCAGCCTTCGAACGTGTCCATGTCTCGTTGAGAAATCGGGTAGTTCGACGCCTTTGACGCAAGTCAACGAACTTTCCAGGGGTAGGTATCGTTCGTCCAATCGTGAAGCGCTTTTTGAATCATAAGTCCTCACATATGGATTGATAGACATGAGCATCACTAGTAAGGGGTAGGCCATGTTTATAATGTTATCACGTTGCCCTATCTTTAAACGTCGAAGAAGCCATTGACTAACGAGAACGAAAGCTAGCTATGATGTAAGAGGAACGAAGCTGGTGTACGGCCAGGTTCCACGGCAATGGAATGGGGAAATCCATGTCGAACATACGCCTCCGAGCAGATCTGAATTATAGCAAACCTCAAAGAAAAAGAAACATGGCTACATGTTGGCCGGAGAACGAATCCTCGTTGGATGAACCAGCAACCCTTTCCGGCGAGAAGGCAATCACCTATAACCGTGTTTGGTTTAGCATGACTGCATGAATTCGGGCTTGAATTCGGGCTTGAGGAGAAGACGACGATCTGTCAAGTTTTTCACCACCGGTCTCCTCTACCTCCTATTCTACAGACCAATGATACCGGTCGTCGCGCAACGAGCATTACCCCTGGTCCATGTCCCTCAAGGCCGTGCTATATGTCGCCCCACAAGGCTATCGGAAAATTCGAAAGTGTCCAGCACTTCGCCCTACGGCCACGATTCCAAATGATATCATGCATTTGGCGTAGGGCTAACTAAGCTCCAATAGTCTGTTCGACTTGAGCGTGGTCGTGGCGTGAGTTGGAATTCTCTGGAAAATGCCCATCGAGACTAGATGGCAACGCCGGCTACCACGATCGCACGAATGGCATCGCAAACTAGTCGCCCATCGTGTAACGATTTCCAATGATTTCGCTTAATATACATTAGGTGTAGGTCTGGGGAGACGCCCTGCCTGGCACGAAATGTGCCGGACTAACGAGATCTGCAAATACGAGGACATCAAAACCTTATCCTATAGAGTAGATCGACCAGAATGGCCTTTAAACGACCTAGGGACTTTCCTAATCGCCCCGTGGAGCAAGAGAAATGAGAGCTCTGTCCTGTCAGACGCAGAGCTGCGTTAAGCCGCTTTCACTGAAGTGAAATAGCTTCTTCTCTTGCCAATGTTGCCCTTGTGCTAAAGGCCTCCCATCCGAATGGCAAATGCAAGCAGTGTGTGTGGGGAAGGGCGCAGAGGAATGCCCATCTCAATGTCCATCTTAATATGACCGTCTATAAATCTGTGACAACCCCCAGCAGGTTTCGGTGGAGATGATATGTACTCCATATGGTTGTCAATATCTTCAACTGTCCCTCGTTGTTGATCATCCTCCCGGAACCTTTGCCGGATTTGCAGTTTAAATATATTCAGCAGCCACACAGACCGGCCCTACCTGCTGCTACGCATCTCACCTATCCGTCCGGTCTCTTGAAGCGGACACCATGCCGTTAATCGCCAGGCTGCTGGAGATTGCTCTGGACCAGTTTGAAAGCAGGAATCCTGATGGCCCAGCCCTCGCTGCTCGTGCCTCACTATACAATCTGCCTCTCCATCCGATTCAAAGAAAGGCAGACCCCTTCGTGATCCTTATCGCTCTCCTATCAGCGTCCGCATCTTTTGGTTCATTACTTTTCCTTACATGGAGACTTGTGTTCTGGAGGAAGTTCTCCTCGACATATTTTGGATACAATCAATATGTTATCTTGATTTACAATCTGATTATTGCCGATCTGTTGACAGCCTCTGCAGCTCTTATAACGGCACATTGGCATCGACTGGGCGTCATACAGGGGCGTTCGAATACCTGCGTTACTCAAGGCTTCTTGTTCCAAATGGGTGATCCCTCAATCGGTATATTTGTGCTAGCAATCGCGGCACATACGTTTCACACAGTGGTCCTTGGGCGAAAATTAGAATATCGGACGTTCGTGACATGCATAGTTGGACTATGGATGTTTTGTCTACTTCTTGCTGTGATTCCATTCATGGTAGGGGGTAAACATGTCTATGTGCAAACCGGAGCTTGGGTACGATTTCTCCCCTGCATAGTTATAGCTCCCCTTTATTTGCTTGCCTCGTTGACGATCTTCCTGCTAACTTTCTATACAACAGTGTTGGATCAGTGGAAAATACGAAAACATGAGGTTTTGGACTCACTACGTGTGGGTATTTATCTCCCAACTCGGCTGTGTCGTTCTCTATTCAGCCCTCTTCATCTACTTGCGCAAAAAAGTCGCTCTGTCTGCCAGTCTTACTCAACATTCTCGCGAAAAACTCTTCCGCCTAAAGCGTGTCGTCAATCTAATGATCCTATATCCAATCGCCTACATATTCCTATCTATGCCTATAGCAGCAGGGCGCATGGCGGTCGCAACCGGCCTCAAACCCCCCTTCAAGTATTATATAGGCGCGGCAATCATAATGGCGAGCTCCGGCATTGTCCACACGATTATCTATACCATTACTCGAAAATCGTTGATCTTAAGCTCATCGCCCTCAATGCAGAACAGAAGTCAACCTGGGGCTTCTTCGGCCAAAGAGATGCCAGATCTGGACGAGGAGAGCGATGTTGGCACTCCTGTTACATGCACATTCGCTACCGGCCCACCACCACCCACTTCCAAGCCTATGGAAACATACAAGAAGATGTGCCGTCGCATAAACGGTTCCATATCACTAGGGAACGGAGGACAAAGGCTCCCGTCGAGCGGTACGGACGAAGACGTCGAGTTAAAGGAGGCTGGGGTATACCAGCAAACTACAATTTCAGTCACTCATGAGCCTGTGGCGCCGAGGACGGGTTCTTCCATGGGGCCGAGAACGGGTTCGTCGATGGGAGCTTCAATAAGTGGCCCTCGACCTACGAGTTCTCGAGCATGGCCGAGGAGGCCATAGGGCGTGACCAAACACCTTCATTTCAGTTCTTTTCCTTCTCTTCCTCCCAGCGATTTCTAGGACATTTTGGTCACGACTTCTATATACACACTTTAATATCTTCATGTACATGCCCACCATTCGATTCACATATACCCACTATTTACTTATAATATCAACGAGCACCCCTTTAGCTGGGGTAATTTTTTTCTATTTACAATCCCATATGATCGAGCCATCAGGCGGCCTGGGTGGTTCCTCAACTAGCAGTTTTCTTTACCCATATATCAGACTTTGAATTCGCGAATGTTTACCATCCGCTTAGCTAAAAGTCAAACACCGTGGATCTTCGATCGATAGCGGCAACGCTACGCTAGTCATTAAAAAGAAAAGAAAAGAAAAGAAAAGACGGCCGGTTATCCGGCTGGTCTGATCGAGTATGCCACTGTCTATCGTCTTCGTTAATATTCGCCAGTACGGAGTATAAACGAATAGTAGTTATTACTAACCTTCTAAGATATTGATGTGACTGATATAGAGTCGACTATAAACGGATGTAGATATCTGATTCAGGGGCTTCTTATGTTGCTAATCATGACTGTCCACCTCTGCTCAATGCGAGCAATTCATCACTGGCTAAGTTGAACGTTGCGAATCATAAAGCGGCCACGTAGGAGGTTATTTGGTATCATTATATCGTATTTATAGGATACGATAGAGGTAAAGGGTGAAGGGAAGTGACGGCAAGAGGTAGGGCATGAGGTAAGGATAAAATTAAAAGTGCATTATCGATATACCCCAAACCCCACACCACCACACCGCCAGCTGATCCAAACAGCTTGCTCATGCTCAATTGAGCTATATCCCCCGATCTGAATCTTACTATTTCTGCACTAAGCTCATTTGCCAGTCGGGACTGGGCCGGACCTGCATATGACGTTGAAACGTCCACATGCATATGTAAGTTGACCCATGCTTTCGGATGGGGACCGATTATGCTAGTGAATCAATAGAACTTCTAGCAGTCTGAAGCCTCCGTCATGCTGGCTTCTGCATCGTCGTATGACTCGGGGTTCAAATTTCTCTAGCGTCTGCCTTGTAATAGCGGATGCTGGTTTACAATGTAGCGTCCAGTCCATGCCTGTATTCGTTGTTCACACATGGGAAACTGTGCGTCGGATAACACTCTCTCCAGAGTTGAGAGACGGGTTAGAAGGCATTGGCCGCAGTGATCTGGTTGATGGCGTTCGGCGAGTACGCAGGCTATGCGTATCACTTGCTTCGAGGCGGAAGCTGCTCTTGTCCGAAGCTGAGTAAATCGAGGGATGATATCGTGAGCGCGCGGGCATATCACCCTTGTTCTCCGCAACAGATACAAAGGATGGATCTGAGTTTGAGAACGCAGCCCCAGCTCTATAAAATGAAGATCCACCACCGATTGAGTCGGCACTCTTGGAAGATCCAGTCTCCTGTAACTCTGAAATGATGGCTGGATCAACCGCCCTCATGCTCCTTAAGATTTCTGCAAATAACCCCATCATTTCGCGAAATTCCGCCTCTTCTAGTGGCCTTCCCGAGAACCGCGAACATTCGTATAGCCGAATAAAGTCCCGAATTAGATGAGGTGGGTCTATTAGATCTAGTCGATTTAGATGATTCAGATAGTCGCGAAGACACATATTTGGCGGTCTCTGCAATATCTCCACAACGCGTTCATCTGGCACTTCGTGTACCCCATCGTTCCCTCGAAAGCTGCTAGCAGTTTGATGATCTAGACGCGACATCGGCCGAGGATCCGTGGGTGCTAGCGAGACAGCCTTGGCCTCGATCAAATGAGGAAGTTCCCTGATGACTGCTTCAAACTCCTGATTGGGGAGATCAGGGCAGTGTGGTGCCGTCCAGCCTGCATGGGAAACCGAGCCCCATGGAGGCCTTTGACCCTTGGCGATTAAGAGAGATTGGTCGAGCTGGCTTGTATTGTCCTGAGAAATGTTCCTTGGCCTTGACTGCTGTGCAATGATAGAGCTCCTGAGCAAGCCTCCAACGACAAGCCTTCGGACGCTTTTCGATACGTCTGCCTTTTCAACGGGGATCCATGGTTTTGGGATCCCAGCAAGAACGCTACGGTTTGTGAACAGGCGACTGGCGTATATCAGTATGGCCAGGAGCAGGGTAATGATATAGACTCCGCTGATCGCAAAGATGTTTCCCAGTCTATGGTTTTGGTGCGACTGATATATTATATCGGCTGGGGACAAGAGTGTCAACGCGAAGAGGACGATGGAGAGAAAAGAGAAAAGAGTCGCGGAGACGATACGGAATATGTATCTATAAAAGGACATAGTGGATAAGAAGACTCATCTATGCAAACAGTAGAGACCCATACATAGGGTGCATCGCTGACGGGATAACGGTTTCTCAACGATGTTGCTTTTGACGGACGTTCCGATGTTTGTTTTCCCCTTAAAGTGAGGAAGTGACTGATTAGGTAAGCAGACTAAGGGATAAGGAGAATACGGACTACGAGATTGCAATATAATATGACCAACAGGTGAATCTATTATGAATATATAGTTTACTATTCGTACACATGATATACCGGTGCTAACTGGACCCAAACAATGGAAAAGATCAATTTCCTTCCGCACGAGAAACCAGTCCTGCATCCAGCCCGGTAGGCTCCCAGACGTCTCTGGCCTTCTTGTTTTGAGCCCATACTACATCCCCCTTCAGGTACACGAGAACGCCGCCCTTTCCATTGGCGCTGGCCGTAATCCTGAACATGGGAAGACCGCTCTGGAGGTGTGCTTCGCGGAGGGGGACCATGATGAGACCCTCGTCTCCACACCATTCTTCGACAATATCCTTAAAGGTGGGCTCCTCAACCTGGACTTTCTGTGGTTTCGCTGGTTTCCCGTTTGCAGGTGTCGCATGTTTATCACGATGTTTACCATGGCCGTGTTTCTGGTGCACTGGATGGGATGCTGAAGGGGCTGGAGGAGGAAGGTCTGTCTTCGCTTTATCTCCCAAATCAAGTGCAAGATTGATCGTCTCCAGGCCACGGCTCCACTCCTCTTCAACCTCAGGGACGGCGTTGATTTCATCTGGTATCTGCGACTTCCACCAGGAGAACCATTGGCCTACTTCATCATAGTTTGGATCTGAAGTGAGCCAGAGGTGCAGGATGGCATGCCACTTTGGGAAGAACTCCGCGGAAAGCAGAAGGCCGATAACGGTGGGTTTGAAAAATGGTTTCCATTTCATGACGTCTTCGAAAGCAGTCAAGTCCTGATCCTGCGGGTTGACGTCGAAATTTTCTCGCAAATGACGGGCTAGTCGGGGTAGGATATGATTTTGTAAGGCTTTATCAAACTCTGTACCGAGGACATCCTTCCACAACTCTATTCCAGGCACTAGACCGCGACTCAGATCCCATGTATCCAGAAGTACCCGGAATTTCCTTTTAGCATCAGATAGAAGGCCAGTCGGCGCCTTGGGGTCTGTATGGTGCTCGTCTAGATAACTTAGCCAATCGAATAGCCACCATGGAAAGTGCTGCGACGACCCATTGTTCTTTTTACTGCTCCTTGGCTTCCAAGCTTTTATGGCAGCGCTGAGTTTAGGAACAATGAGTTGATTTAGTACATTTGAATAAACGAATCCAGGCAGTAGGTTCTTCCACTCTTCTATGAGCGACGTTGCGGGGCCAGGGTTATGCACTTCCCACTCATTTAGCAACGTAGACCGAACCCTAGGTAGCCACAGAGAGTACATCATAGATTCGTACGGTGTTGTCGACTGGCGGTGTTTCTGTGTCTCACCGTTGGCCTTTTTCGAGTGTGACATGAATCGATGTAGACGGCGGAAATTTGATACGAGATATGTAGGATTCGAAAGGGGAGCCCAATCTTCCAGGGACTCTTTCAGCAGTGGATGAACAGCAGCAACAGCAACTTCGGGAAGCTGGCATTCGTCAATAAGGTCCTGGTAACTCGTCTCAAGCCCTTCTAACTTCTTCGTAACTGCTTCCCATCTCTGGTCAAGGCTATCGTCAGGACCTGTTATTTCCAACGCTTCGATTGCAAGTGTTAATGAAGATACTTTCTCCAACTTGGCTTGCTGTGCGTCCATCTCGTCGACAATCTGCGCCTCCTCCAGCTCGACAAACTTCTTCCTTTCGCTAAGGCCTTTCCACTCGTCCGCAAATGCTTCCAGGTCATGACGTGCGCGGCGAGCAATTTTCCAAGCTTCACCCTCGTCTGCATTGACAAATTCCATGGGAGTCATCAGACCTGCGGTTGAGGTTAGGAGCTTCTGCTCTCTGCCTGTAGCATCGACCAGCGACTTGAGCACATTAGGGACCGCCAGCCCGGCCGCATCCGCCTCGATCTCCCTTGCTGTCCTGTATTTCGGTTTTGATGGGCCTCTTGGGGTGCTCGTTCCACTCCCACCGAACCCTTCCCGCTGCCTTCTTTCTTTGCGTTTCTGGCGCTGTTTCCGTTCTTCGTCGGAGCTGGTTTCCAGAACCTCTCCTCTCCTAGCAGCCTCTCGTTTGGCTTCATCCTTTGCCTGTTGCGATTTCTCCTTTACTGCTCCCAAACCCACGCCCTGAGGTCGGAGGACTGTCTCGACGGGGTTAAGGATACCCTGTCCACTTGTACCAAGACCTTGACCCTCGACGTAGCCCATCTTCGCCATCATACGGGCTGCAAAGCTGTTGGCCACCATTGCAGGACCGGACTTGCTGCCTGCTCCAGCTCTCCCGTTGTTTGTGGAATTCTTCCATGCTGGGCGAGGTTTGGGCGCCATAGTCGCCGGAGGTGAAGGTGAACGGGTCGAGGCAGGCGCAAATCCCTGGAATCCAAACGACGGCCCTGTATCTACCTCTTCTTCCTCCTCCGAGTCCACATCACTGATCTTTCGTTTTTGCCTTGCGAAGGACGGACGGTACGACGAATCCATTGGGCCCGGGAGCGTGTGGTGGCAGTCCAGTAACTCGGTGTTTCAGTGACAGCATGCAAGATAATGCGCAGTATCAAATAGAGACTTGTAGCCCCCTCTGTCCCATCTTACAAGGGCGCCTTTGGCTCGTTACTTGGCCGTTCAGAGAAGTTGAAGCTCTCGAGATCTGATATCGGAGAAACAGAAGCTCCGTCCTCCGAAAGCGGCCGATGACATCAACAAGTAAACATTAGTAATACAAGCGAGTTTGGCATCAACTTCTCGACATAAACCTGCCCATGACATTGACATCACCACTCACTACCCACCGGCCAGCATCGAGTTTGGTGTATTAACCGCTTCAATCTCGCTTTAGTCACTTAATTGAGTCCACCGGCAACGGCTTCAAGCTGTACTCGTTAACTATGGTGACTTCTACTCTCTTCCGTCCCACCATCCGTGCCGGAGCTGCGGCAATCCGCTCAGCCAACCGAGGCGTTGCTGGCGTTGCTGGTGCCCGATTCATCTCGAAGGTCGCCCTTCCAGATCTCCCATGTAAGTCCGGACGAAAAGAACCCATCTTCTACGCCTTATTTTGCACCGGCCGCTTTTGTTTACACCTGGTGGAAGAGCCGGATGTTCAAAGAGACACTTGTTATAATCCCTGTAGTACGTGGGTTCATATTGGCTGACTTTGATGTACTCGATAGACGACTATGGTGCTCTTGAGCCTGCTATCTCCGGCAAGATCATGGAACTTCACCACAAGAAGCATCATCAGACCTACGTCAACTCCTACAACGATGCTGTCGAGAAGCTTGCCAGCGCTCAAGAAAAAGCTGATATCCCGACTCAGGTCTCTCTGCAAGCCTTGACCAACTTCCATGGTGGTGGTCACGTCAACCACTCTCTCTTCTGGGAGAACTTGGCTCCCAAGAGCGCTGGAGGTGGCGCACCTCCATCTGGTGCCCTTGCAAAGGCCATCGATGAGTCCTTCGGCGGACTTGAGGCCTTCCAGAAGACCTTCAACGGTGCTTTGGCAGGCGTCCAGGGAAGCGGCTGGGGATGGTTGGTGAAGGATAAGCAGACTGGCAAAATCCAGATCAAGACTTATGCCGTATGTTTACCATATACCCCAAAGCTGAGATCGTTACTATTGGAATACTAACATTGTCGTTACCTATCAGAACCAAGATCCTGTCACTGGCCAGTTCATTCCACTACTCGGTATCGATGCCTGGGAACACGCCTACTAGTCAGTTACCCCAATACCAACCCCATGAAAGACATAGACCTGCTAACATATACTTAGCCTTCAATACGAGAACCGTAAGGCCGAGTACTTCAGCGCCATATGGGACGTCATCAACTGGAAGACTGTTGAGAAGCGATTCGCATGAGTGTAAAATTTTCAATCGTATATGAGCGACATGTTCCCGGCTATACTCTGTCACCTTTGATGGCTACCTTACCCGCAGGGGTACCGAGGAAGCGAGGTATACATTCGGGATCTCTCAAGGCCCCCATTTCTCTGTAATATAATATATGCAAACAACCCCGGGGTTTCGATAGCACCTACCCACGTTTGACACATTTATGCCTCTATTTGAATTGGATTGCAAAAAATCAACTGAACGTATAAATGCATGATTTCTTCATCTATGCCATGAGAAAAATTAACCAGATACATCATATCCCAGTTTGGGGAGCTTTCATCTCTCGAGCAATAAGCCCGTAACGTAACATCAACCCTTCTTAAGCCATGTAAGCGGATACTTTTGTTTTCTCGTTTCCCATATTAAACGCCCGGCAAGAACAGAACCGTGTTTTGTACATTTTTATAACATGTGCAACTTTATCCGGCAAAGAAGCACGAGGATAATTCAGAATCACAAAAACAATAACCGCCGAAGATAATCATCATATAATAAACACCAGGAAGTGAGAAAAACATATGGAAACACTTGGGTATTAGGTATGAAAGGAGTGTACAGTGGGGGGCGTTTTTCAAGGTGGGCATATGTATTCACCTGCGCGTCCGTCGGACAGAGAACCGCGATCGGCGATCGGAAGTCTCATCAGCAAGGGCGGCAGACATTGGATTCACGTCTGTAGGAGAACTTGATAGTTCCGTGGTGTATGCGAGTGCGGAGCCGGGCCGGCCGACGCCTCGGGCTGCCATCCTTTGCGCCTGTGTATGTGGTTGCTGCTCTGTATGGTGTTGGTTGTATGTCGACGTAGACGTAGACGTGGCTGTAGCAGGTGGTGTTTGTGTTGGATCAGCATCTTTCATGGCGCCGGAACCTTTCATCCAGCCGAAAAATCCATGGGAACTGCGTCGTTTGTGTTCGTTTGTTTCTGACGTTTTTGGTCTGCGGACTGTGCCGCTGTTGGGAGACGTGATATGCTCGTTTGGTAGGGTGCCAGATACGGCTGGTGGGTGTCCGGCAGATGACGGCGTAGGTACTGCTATGGAGTTACTTCGAACAGGGTTGGTGGGGGAGTAAGTTGGGTTGCGATTGAAGAATGGTGGACGAAGGTTGATACGTTTACGGGGTTGGAGCTCAGATAGGACGCGCGCGCCGCGAGTCCGGAAGCCATGGTTCAGCGGCACTTGCTGTGCACCCAACTGAGGTGAACCCGGGTCTTCGTCTGCGGGATCTAATGCTTCATGTTGGTCTGCTTTGGTATCTTTGGCTCCCCTCGAAGGCTTGCTAGATGGACCATTCGATGAAGCGGGCAATGCAGCTTCCAGCCAATCTTCAGGTGTGAGGGAGAGTGTGTTTGAAACCTTTCGAACCTGGCCGGAGGAATGCTTTTCAGAGAAATGACGGTTATTATGCTTTGGGGTGATGACACCTAGCCCATTAACAGCGCCGGCATGAGCAGCAGGATCGAAATGCCTGCCGGTTGGGCGGTGGGTATAAGCAAACGATGGAAACATGCTAGCCATCTGGTAGCTCTCTTCCGTGATAAAGGCTGGTTGAGTTGAATCGCTCCAAGTTTCCAGGCCGTCAGAAAGAATGGTTTCCGCCGTACTAGGTCGTGTAGTCGCGACATCGTCGGCCGATCGACGCCGTCCCAATACCCGGTCTATAGAGAGGGAGCGGCGAGTATTCGTTGGCCTATCATATCTACTTCGTTCAGCAATGATGCTTGTGTTGGATTTGTTGCGCAGATCGGCGTATGATGTGCTCATCGTATCGGGAGTAGGAGGTAGGCGGGCTGTCGTAAACTGGGGTATGACCAGAGCGGGCGGATCAAAGTTATATGTCTTTGGAGAGCGTTTGTTCTGAAACGATGCCCCAGGCAACACAAACTGGTTGTTCGTTGGCGTCCTGAGAAGTGCATCTGCTTGATGTCTCTCGCTAGGCTTCGTTGGGCGGGGTGCTTCTGTGTTATTGGGGTGTATCCATTGTTCGATGCGCAAGAGGCTGGCAGGAGGTTTAGATCCGTTGTGCGTGAGTTCTAGCGGAGATGGAGGCTCATCCAACACTTGCTTTGCAGGGTGATTGGTATTTATCTTCAGTTTCGATACACCCGGCCCGTAGGCGTCTGAAGGACTGTGAGGTGGATCTAGATAGCTGCACTCGCTCAAGGCGCTTAGTCTTGGAGACTCTATCTCGTGCGTGCCATCGTCTGATAAAACGGTCCCGCGCCCGGAAAAGGCGCTAAATGCGGCCCGAGACTTATCGGCATCGGTCATGTATACATTGCGCAAGACGCTAGTATTGTTATCCTCGGCCTGGAGGAACGAAGGCTGGCGGCATGGCCTGCGAGAAGACGAGGTTGGAGTGTGGGCCTGAGCAGTGAAACTCCGTGATTTAGACGGACGCATGCCTCTTCGCGAAGACGTTCGTTCGGGAACATCTAGAATTATCTTATTCTTGGGCGTGAGGGCCTGTGGGGAACTTGTTGCGAAACCAGCATTGCCATCGCTTGAATATGGTCTGGCGGTTGACGGCCTTTCATCTTCCTTTTTCGCCTCGAAGGCTTCCAGCTTCGCTTCCAGTTGGCAGATTAGTTCGACTGCTTCATTTACAGCTTGGTCTCGCTTGTCTAGCTCCGATCGTAGCTCTTCGTTGGACTCCCTGAGGCGTTGGTTATCCTCCTCTGCTCCTCGAAGTTCCTGTAGTTCCTGGTCCATCATATCCATCTGTTGAACCTGTTCCTCGAGTTCTTGCATCCTTTCCAGTTTCTTCTCCAATGAAGCTACCTGCTGTGCGCGGTGGAATACCTCCAGCTTCAAGTCGAAATTGAGCTTGTTCAGCTTGGATACGTACTGCAAGGCCAGTTAGACGTCGTCACCCATTCATTCTCAGGAATCGTTACTTGCCTGGTCCATTTCCCTGATGCCCATTTCCCGTGGCTGTTTGAGACCGGCCGATAGTGCACTGTTTATCTTTCGTTGTTTCTCCGAAGAAGAGTCCTCTGACGCATTCGTGTTTGCTGTCGGGTTTGGGGTCTGGTTCGACGCTAGAGGGCTGCTCTCGACGTGGTGTTCGCAGGCTGAGCTGGCTCGCGGGCCACGAGAGGCGCGTTGCTCGTTGATTAGATTCTGTAGGAGCGCGGATGTTGGGTTGACGAAGGGAGATCCTGCCGCGCTCGAGCTTCCTATAACGCACGAGTTAGCCTCGATATTCCACGGGGTAATTGTATATTAAATAGCCCGACAGCACTCACGTTGCGCACCATCGTGGTGATTGGCCGAGGAGCCTTGCCCGTTGGCTATGTGTCGGTATTCTAGAGGAATCAGCCTGTTATTCGGGTTGTTGGTATCGCACAAAGGCATACATACCAGCAGGTATATGTACTCCATCGTTCAGCGCGTGTAGACGGGGGTTGGGCCGCGCGAATTGCGAGGACAGCTCAGAAGCCATCTGCTTGCCTGTTATCATATCAAGTTAGGGTCGAACGGCTGAAATGGACTCGATATTGACCAACCGTTCAGGCGACTCGAGGGGTCAATGGAGCGTCTCTGGTAGGATTTGCCCGGCTGCGAGGACTGGAGATCCATCACGGAGACGTTAACCGGTATATCGATATCGACTGAGCTGAGCCCGTAGTCCAAGAATCCGCGACAGTACAGAGTATACGGGGTGTCAGGCAACCATTGAGCGGAACGAGCCTGTCCAGCAGAGATCCGAACGCACTCAGGAGGAATTTGACAGCATCGACTTCGCTTCTCCTGGCAGTGGGGGCGCAGGTCTACGCTGTGTGACTCGTCGAAAAGCGTCGCAGGGATAGGGAAGTACGAAGTAGTCGCGTAGTTAGAACGGTGAAGATAAGCGTAGGGAAGTGTAGTGCAGAGAAGTGTAGAATAGTGAAGCTGTAGAGAAGTTGTGTAGTGTAGAGTAGAGAAGTGTAGTGTAGGTGGTGGCTGGTAGATCTTCCCCTGGCCTAACGCGATATCCCGCCGCAACTCGACGCTCACAACGGCAAATATTACACAGACAAGGTCGTGCGCGGGAGTTCAATATTCAATTGGACGTTACAGCGAGTTTGATATAGGAGAAGACGTGAATACTCCGTACAGACGTGAACAGTGAATACAGCCTCGCTTGCCCCTGGATTGCCCTGAATTGCCCTGGATTGCCCTGGAGCTCCTATCCCTGCCATACAAGATGAGACTCGACCTGAGATGCACGTCCGGCGCAGGGTTAAGCTGTCCAGGGCTCAAACACATCCGAGGGCCCGCGACCCCTGAGCCGTCCCACTTGGCAGGATGGAGGACGGATGAGACGTGCAAGCACTGAGTGGAACGGATGTGCGACTCTGTCTGGTCGTACCGGCGCACGAAACTATTCTCTCCAGCTTCCAGGCGTTTAAGCAGCTTGAACCATGGTCGGAGTCGATTAATCGCCGGATATCTTCCGGCAAGACCTTATTCCAGATATCGATTCCGGTCTATTTATAACTGCATTTATACCTAGATACAACCACGCACGGAGTATATCTACCTAGAGTTATGATAAGAACCACGTATAGTCACTTCTTGCCCTCGCCCGTCCAGGCACGCATGGCCTTGACGCTCTCGTGCGCCGCTCGGAATACTATACACCATCAGCATGGAACAGACACCATCAGCAGACAACTCACATTGACGCTCCGTCTCGTCCAGGCCACGAAGGAACTCCTGCCCCGAACCCATCGGCCCAGCTGGGTTGTGGGCATGGTCCGATATCTGCATCGCCCGGGTCTTGAACGTCTGGTAACCGTTAGAGACCGGAGAGCGTCTGATATATAGGCTCCCACTTACATGAGAAAGCACGTCTGCCATCTCCTCCTCTTCGAAGAGCTGCAGGATCCTCCAGCCCAGTCGGTAGAAGTGCGGAGCCAGAGATCGAAGGTCCACGGACCTGGGATCTGCCTTGAGCGCGTTCATGACCTGGTCGGAGAGCGCTTTGGGTAGATCCAGCGTCACCAGGGGGGAAGATCCTTGACGGGCACTGGACGGGTGTCAGTCAGATCCTGCTGTGTGCATATATGAAAGACGAACCCGACTGCAAGCATCTCGCCTAGCCATAGGGGGAGCTCGACTTTGGAGCCAGCTTTCATCTGTAGTCTGTATTAGTCTAGGTGCGCATATGACGGAGGACGACATACATCTCCTCCTGCGTTTCCATCGAGGAAGCCGAGTTTTGGAACATCCAGCTCAAAGGTACAGGGCACTTTCTATCGACCAGTTAGCAGATGTACGGATATACGACGGTGTACTCACCTGCGAGTCTGTAAGGATCGCGTCGACATCGTAGTAGGACATGCTGCAGGTCGCCTCGAGCACTGCTCATCTCTGCAGTACTCGATATCTCGATACTGCTTGATATTAAAAGATATAACAGATATTAAAGAGATATCTTCTTCTTCTTCTCGTCTTTTAACGCGTTTAGGTCACGTGGTTATTCTGAAGTAGATAAAGCGACGACGAAGAAACGTCAAGACAACAAGACATAAACATAGTCATTAGGATAAAGACGATTGAGAGACAGGCAGAGGCAGAGACATTGAGACGGTATGAAAGATTGAGACGGTATGAGAGATTGATACGGCATGAAAGATTGAGACGGCATGAAAGATTGACGGAAGACTGGACAGTTGCACATACAGCTGGAGTGCGACATCTCGCCCAGCTCTACAGCGTGAGTCCTTGAGTCTACGCGGTGGTACAGAGTACAGGGCAGTCTGCTCGCGGATTCGTGCTGCCCGAGGAAATTAACAGTGACAATGGATAGATACTCGCGGATGCGTTGACCCGATTGACAGACACGACGCCCCGATAGACTTACGGGCGGTCTACAGAGTCTACTATCTACAGGAGAATCAAAAGAAATAACAATAACGGACAACGATAACGAATAACGACAACGAGAATAAGAATAAGAATAACGAATAACGACGAGAATAGAATAACGGACACAGGAAGACGAATGGTAGTAGATGAAACATGCAGGCCGCAACTCGAGACCAGAAACATCTCCACCCAGTGGCAAGTTGATGCAAATCAGGCCGAGATGCCTGCACATCCAAACAGCAAACACTTCCCCGAGAAAGAATCTGTCTTGCTTGTTTTCAGGGTAGACCTTGGTCTCATCGACTTCACTTTACTTTTTCGCCCGTTCTAGTGAAGGTCTGGGAGGCGTATCATCATATAAATCCTCGAACAAAGACAGACAGGGACTCTGTTAAATAATGCACTTCTCGCGCGGACTCCTCTCATCCCACCAGCTATCTCTCTCTCTTCTCTGACCGGCCTCGCCATCAGCATCGCATCGCCATCGCCGTCAGCATCTCCGTCCAGGTCATCCTTGTCCTTCTGGCTATAGTACGGAGTAGTTAATCTGCAGGGCCTCGATAGACGGTGAACGTTCATGTCCTGTTCATGTCCTGTTCATGACCAGCTCATGACCGCGCAATAGATACGATGGCATACAATGCTCTATCACAGACGGACCAGCTCGAGGTCGCGTCCAACTCTGGATCAGATGTCTCAGACCGCTCGCCCGTCCTCGAATCGCAGTCCTTCGCTCCCCTCTCGCTCGACTTTGAAAACTTTGGCGGAACCAAACACATGGACACTGCCAGAGTGGCAGCCGCAGATAAACCCAGCTCGGTCTCCCTCCAGTCCGCCGCGGCCATAATACGATCGCGCGGAGCGTCGACGGCGACAAGCTACGAACTGCTGGAGGAAGACGAGTACAAGATGGTGGCTGAACCAGGTCCGAACGGGGATGGGGACGCTCAAGTGGGCCACCGCGATCTTCGCCAGCATCAGCAGCATCACAAGCAGCGGGACTCGACATCGACCCCAACAACGGACTTTGGTTCGCCCGGTGGTTATCGCTCGTCGGCCTACGATGCATCCAGGGACGCGGCTATGGGGACTCCTGAGCCGGTGATGCAGACGCCCCGTAGCCAGAGAAATTCTACGCCTCTACGCCATCCTACGCCCGACTTGCAGTCGATCCAGGGGGCGTATGTTGGGAACGTGGAGAGGCTAGAGAAATCCGCCGAACGAATCAGTATGGAATTGGATAATAATGGTATAGGCTTGCAGGATGCGACTATGGGCCAGCTGAAGCGTATATCCTCTCTTGGAGCTGCTTCGTCCCGATCGCGAGCTGCTTCCGCTGCCTCAATGTCGAACTCCATAGGAAAGATTGCTTCCCCGTCTTCCACGCCAGGTTACGGTACCCTCTCCAGGCAATCGTCCACGAACCGGCCTCGGTTACGATCCGGCTCCTCTTCTTCACGACTGGCCCATATCATCGAACCTGAGAACGAGAGTGCCGATGCATCGCAGGAGCAACGGCCTGTAACCAGCTCAACGATACCTCCTCCGCCGGACCACCACAGCCAGATCCAGAATCAGAACCACCTTCACCTCCACGATGCAGATGCAGCAATCTCTGCTAACCCAAACGCCCCCCAACCCAACGGCCAACATACCGCTGAATATACAACATTTGAACCCGAAATAGCTCACCATGACCCTGACCAAGAACGGCCGGCGAGCGCTGCGTCCGGAGACTCATACCAACAATCCACAAACCTGTTCAGAGACTTCGATGGCGTCCATTTCACACCCCATATCCGCGAAGTGCCTCGTTCCAGAGGTGTCTCGCTCTCCAAACCACCTCTGGCCGCGCAAGCAGAGCATTACACCGCCCCTCCTCCCGGTCAAGATATGGTCTTCTACCCTGCCCCCGTCCCGATGATGCTCAACCTCCCCCAACGGCTGTCTCGAAACCCTCCTGCGAATGCTGAACAGGAAAAACGCCGTACACAGTTGCTCAGCTCTATATCTCCAGACGCTCGCAAGTCAGCCATCTGGCTCGCAGACTCGGAACAGGGAGCTAGTTTAGCTGGGGACCGACAGAGCAAGAGAGTGTCCAACCTCCCTCCACAGCTCCGTGCAAGCGCCTTCTTCGACACCCCAAAGGCACCGCTTGAAGTTCGCATTCAGGGAGACTCTGCTGTCGCGACACTAGATAGCATTCTTGATGCTGCAGCCCATGCTCCTGTGAGCGCGTTTACGGACCATCCGATCGTTGGACATATCGGCGGGGATGTTTACAAGCAGAAACGGGCGAAGAATAAGATAAACAAGAAGCGAACTTCGCTGAAGCCTGGAGATGCTAACTCGGAACGACCGCTGTCTTCGGCCACAAAACGGGCTAGTCATATACGTGCTGGCTCGGAAGGGCAGACATTGGACCATGTGGACGAGACTACATCGTTACGCAGTACGTTTGACGACCATGCCGGCCACGAGTATGAAAATGGTGCTCCTTCGCCCATTGGAGAAGTGGAAGAGAATAGTGACGAAGAGGAAGAAGACGACGAGGAGGAGGAGGAAGGAGGAGGAGACGGCTCAGATGGAGAACCGATCTTTGGCCAGCCGACTACTCTGCTCGCGGAACTGCAGATGCGAAAACACGAGCAAAAGATGAGAACCCGAACAGCGGCCACTGCCTTCCCTAACGGCATGCACTCTACATTGCTTGAGTTAGACAGCGTTGCGCAGCGTCAACGAGACAAGCGTGACAAGGGACGAGTCCTGCTTGCATGGGAAGGGAACCAGAGTGCCGGACAAGACGAGGTCGACGACGAAGACGTTCCGCTTGGCGTCCTCTTCCCAGAAAAGAGCAAGCTCGCTGATGAAAACCGGCCGCTGGGATTGATGGAGAAGCTGCTCCTTGAAGAGAGCGAGCCGCTTAGTCGACGACGTGCCAGGATCAGAGGAGAGCCGTTGAACAATGGCCGCGCTACTCCTCGCAACCTTGCACCCAGGGATGCGAGCCCTGACAAGCGGGCCAGCGCTGCCTATACGCTTGACATTCCCGGGCTGCTAGGAAACGACGAGAGCGGCGACGAGGAGGAAGAGACGCTGGCACAGCGGAAGAGCCGACTCAGGGCCCGAGAAGAAGGAACTGGCAACAACTTCTCAGACGACCTGATCTCGAGATTCGGAGATCTGGAGGCAGACAGCGGCAAGCCCAAGGACGCACCACAGCCAGCTGCCGAAGAGCCAGAGGAAGAAACACTCGGTCAACGCCGTCGACGTCTACAGGCAGAAGCCCAAGCGCAGGCTCAAACCAACCCTGGCAACCCTGCTAACCCTGCCGCCGTTGATGCCTCCCGCTTCCAAGCCCGACGAACCATGGCGAATATCCTACAGGCCCATCCCGCACGATCCGGCGTGGTGACCGCGCACTCGGAGCTCGATCCTCGATACCAAGCTGCGATGGCGTCAAACCAGTCCCTGCAGATGCCAGGAAGCCGGGCGTCGATGCTGGCCGCCACGCCGCTGTCGATGCCCGGACAGCGTCTCTCGGGGGCGCCTTTCCTCCCATACGCCAACGGACCACCGCCAGGCACTGCGCCGGCTCTGCTGAACGGCGGCGGGCTGCTGAACAACAACGGCTTCGGCTATCCCACGACCGGGTTCGTCTATAATCCTGCCATGTATCCGCAGCCGGAGATGATCGATCCCAACCAGAGGGACATGATCGATCGATGGAGACTGAGCGTTCGACAGTAACTGGCTACTATTTCTTAATTCTATCTATGCATTTAATCTTTCTTTTCGTCTTTCTTCTAGTTGTAATATAAGCATAGCTTGGTGTTGGCCGTTAGCAGTAATCTTCATCTATCTACATCTACATCTATATCTATCTACACATCTATTCCTCTATAACTACATCTATCCATCTATCTACTACACCTTCATATGTATGTCGCTAGTGCAAGGCTGTGCTAAATAGCCGGGACTAAAGTCGCCCCTGGAAACCAGCCAACTGTTGATCGCCAACAGCTGTTGTGTCTATTTACAGTTGCGCCTGGTCGTTTCTTTACCAGTTGGCCACCAGCCTCCTTTCTACTCTCTGTTTACTCTGTTACTCTGTTTACTCTCTGTTTACTATCTATTTACTCTCTCCTTCGTATACTCCGTATATTCTCGCTTCTCGCTGACACCAATCGCATCGTCTGCAGCTAGCTCAGAGGCGCAATTCGCGAGTCTATACAGGTTTCCACCGCGACACAACTCGACCGCAGCGATGCCCACCAGCCCATGAACTCCAGCTAAGCCCTGAGAAGCAGATCGCGATGGTTACCTATGTGCGGCGCGACGGCCAGCGTCCAGCCAGCGTCTCGTTCCCCCCGCTGCCGTCGTCGTCGTCGTCGCCGTCGCCCGAGCAGTCGCAGAGACACATATCACAGCCCAGCAGCGCTGCCCAACTGCCCGCTACGTTCCACAGCTCGACGCTGACCGAGGGCATCTTCGAGTCTGGCATCTGGACGGCCGAGCCTGACCTGAACTCCGCGTTCGTGAGCGGGAAATGGTTCTCAGAGGAGAAGATATACTATCCGGGAAAAACAGTACCACCGTCGCCCGAGGAGAAAATAGTAGTGACGGAATACGAACTGAGGGACAACTGGATTGCAAACGAGGGCTACCATTCGAATGCGTCGCCCATGTATGGGAACACTCAGAGCCTGCCGGGGAGCGGTCGAGCTGAGCAGTCGGCGGAGACCACAGGCCACAGCAGCCGCTCGTCGTCGACCTGGAGATGGACGCTGGGGGGGAAAGCCTCGCCGTCAGATAGCATGAAGGGAGACGGCGGATACTCGCCTGGAGGAGGCTTTGGGAGGTCGTCCAAGGCATCGCCGGAGAGCTTTGCGGCGGCCGAGTCTCGCGGTTTCTTTCGAGACTCGAGGGCCGAGGGCAGCTCGTCCAGGAGGCAGCAGGGCCAGGAGGTGCTCGAGGTCCCTTCGTCCAAGGGGTCAAAGACGAGGCTGAATCTGCTGAATCCCATGGCCCTCCTGGCTCGTCGACGGTCTGCGCAGCCGGTCAGCCCGCGGCCGGAAGATATCAGCATCAGCAAGCTGACCGTCCCTGCTCTTCCGGACGACTACGACCCCAGGATACGTGGCAGCCTTGTCCATGACTTCTCCGTGCCGCGAGCTCGACCGAACGTTGGAGAGAAGAGTTATACTGATAGAGCTGCTCGGTCACGGCAGCCCAGGGAGCTTCCTGATAATCCCCCAAGGCCTCAGCAGCATCAACATCAACATCAGCATCAACCACAGCAGCAGCTACTTCAACTTCAAATTCAGCAGCAGCATCAACAGCAGCAGCATCAACAGCAGCAGCATCAACAGCAGCAGCATCAACAGCAGCAGCATCAACAGCAGCATCAACATCAACATCAACAGCAGCAGCAGCAACAACAGCAGCAGCAGAACAGGCTATCACAGCCACCGTATAGACAGATCAATAACAACTCTGTCGAACTACCTCACCCACACGCCTTTAACGCCCTTGAAGAAAAGCGGCATGAACGCCCGTACGAAAGACCGCCGTCCATCCCGGCGAGCCAAAGCAAATCACCGCCTTCTACCCTACGATACAAACCTCCGTCAGTGCGAGACCCCTCGTTTACCCCCCTTGGCCTTCCAAGGCATCTTACAAGCAGTGCATCCCGGTTCAGCTTCGACCTGGCTGGCGGCGCATCGTCCTCACAGGAGAGGCTCATGGAAGAAAAGCACAAGGAGAAAGAAGCTGCAAAGAGAGCTCAGGGGAGTGAAAGGAGAAGTGAATTCGATGCTGACTCTGACGAATTCGATTATGATGCAATGATGGACGACGACGGGCTGGAAGAGAGGATACCTGGCGTCAACGCTGACGCTGAATCTATCATGGACGGCTCTGATGACGGAATACCAACTGGCCTGCAGCCAACTATGCGGAATAACATGAATACATATGTTCCCACTCTCCCCACCGTGATACCTAGTCCTATAAGTCCCCATGGCGGAGAGTCACTTAATCAACAGTCTCCAGTTGTAGCCCAGCAGTCACCCGGTAGCCTTTTACCCCCTTCGACGGGTAATGGCACTCCTCTACCTTCTCAACTTGACGTACCCTCGAGACCATCGGATATTCCCACGTATAATAATAGTGACGGCCCTGTCCCCGTGGCACTGGTGAATCCAGGTCTACCGGTCTCTATGCGAACTAACCAGCATATCTCCAAGTCAAGGAATGACGATGATGACATGTATTACGACGATGGCCTATTTGGCGAGCTTCCAGCCGAGATGCAAGATTCTACATTTGATGAATCCATATTTGACGATGAGACAAGCTACTTATATGACAGGAAGAGGCTTGCGGCGCAACCGCCCAAGTCATTGTTCGAGGATATCACTCCTAACTGTGGTTTACAGACTCAAATAGCAAAGGACAACGGCCAGCCCCGGGATGACTTTATTGCTGACGAACCTCTAAGCCATGGCCATCCACGACCGGAGGATGCCAGTAGGACGATACAGACTCAGGCATCAGAGAAACCCCAGTCTCAGGGATTGACCGAGGGAAACCTGGAAGCATACCACAGTGCCCTAGCCCAGGCTGCTAATGATGCGGCTCGGAAAGGAAGATTTGAACGGAACGCAAGTCTAAGTGAAACCTCTCTGCCGGAGGGAGAGTCTCAAACTGATCCATGCTTGACAGCAGACGAGAGCAGAATGAGCCAGACAGTTGACACAGTTGGCATGGAAGAGTCATTTGACGACTTTGAATACTACGACGGAGATGCACTAGACGATGACCCGATCATCGCCGAGGCCAATGCAGATGTTTTAGAGAATGACGATGAAGGATTCTACGGCCAGGAGTTCGGATTCTATGCCCACTCGACCGAGAACGACAACACAGAGCGTGTCTACGGTGGCTACTTTGGCGTTAGAGGAGCAGAAGGCGTAATTCGAAATCACAGCGGGCGAAAGAACTTTAGAGAACCAAGTCTCACTCCCATCACCGAGCGGAGTGAATGGAGCACACGCAATTCAATCGTCTCCGTCGCTACTCATGTGGGCCATTCAAGTCAGGTCTCCAATCCCCCTCTTGCTCAGCTTGTCGGTATGGAAGGCTTGGAGGACGATATATCACTCAGTGCTTTGATGAAACTCCGCCGCGGAGCCTGGGGTGGAAGCAATGGAAGTCTACGCAGCAGTGCCGCCAGCCAGGGCACAACGTCTCCTTCTGTCACTCACCAATCGAACCTTAACCATGGAAACTTGAACTATTACGATACAGGCTCCCCAATCCAAGTGAACAGTCTATTCAATAACGGCTCTGAGCTGAATAGCCCTATCCAGCATGAAAGAGAATGCATTCCCACCGACACAAGGTTCAGGGGTGACCTAGCGTCTATCAGGAGACATTCTGACGGTATTCACTCTCCACCTTCCTGGGATTCCACCAATAGGAACTCCCTGAGGTTTACTGAAGACGACAAGTCGCAAGTTACGACGAGCAACGGAGCAGGCGAGCGCATCAGCTACGTTAGAAGCACAGACGAGTCCGGCTCGCAGTATTGGGTTCTCGAACGGCGGCGGACAGGCGACGGCGGAGAGTCTGAGCTACTTGAAAGGGAGACAATGAGGCATGGCCGAATATAAATTAAAATATATACTCTACATCTCTATGAGTCTATGAGCGATGGCGTTGGTTTGGCGTATGGATTAAGCGATTGACATTGGGACCTGGCGGTTTTTCTTCCCGAGTTCACTTTTTGTCTTTCATATTCTTTGTGAAAACTTTTGGTCCTTTGACCTTCTTACTCAAAACGCAGTAGTCCACATATATGCATAATTCTCGCTTCGAATATAGGTGGTTATTAATGATACCCTGGAAATACTACTTTGATAGCAAAATGATATAACGAATACGTAATATTTTATTTACCCTCCTTTTGATCGACTCTAGATAGCAACCATAGACAATGTTTGTTGAGGCCATACGGCAAGTAAAAGGCTTGATAATGCAGTTTCTGGACAGTCCGTCAGATACCCCGATAAGTTCGATTTAAAAGTCCTCCATTCTAAACACCCCATAAGCAGGCTCCTCGTATGGATGTGCGCTGGAAATTGTCAGAATAGTCCCATTAATATGACTCCTTGCCAGCTAAAAGGTATAAAGCAAGTAGATGGACTTACGCCTTGAGCGCCGCAACCGCTTTTCTAACAACCTCTTCTCCAACACAAAGCGTTTCGACTCTCGCTTCCTGAACCTCCTCAAGAGCACCCACGCTGCCGATATGCGGATTCGCAGACTGTCCAGGTCGGAACTGGCCAGTGCCCATGACAGTATAGCAGCACTCGGTATAGTTCCCTGCACCAGGATAGCGGCCAGCGCCAGCTGCAAAGATGGCGGACTTGCAGGCCTCGAGAGCTGGTGCGGGCACATTGAAGACAAGTGTAAAGCGGGTTGGAGTCGCCATCTGGAATGAAGAATGGGGGATTTCGAAGAGGCTTTTATACACGGATGATACTCGATATAGATAATGAGCTGGGGAAGCCGTACCGATTTGATATTGAGATGTAATTGAATGCGGGGATGCATGGAAACTATTTATTTAATCCGCCGTGAAATAGTTATTAATAAAGATATATATTATAATTACCACGCTCTTCGGAGACTGATTTCACAACTAATAAGTATATAGAGACGAACCCGTCTTCCATATTTTTATCTATATACATTAATATAAGAATGAGATTTCCGGTTCCCCTTATTCGGATTAAATACACTAATCTGGGCATAGATCTAGGGATAGTAATGAGGGCAACCTAGAATGGTAGATGCTAAGTGATAGCTAATAGTGAGATAAACCAAAGGTAAAGTGCAAACAGCCACAAAGGAGTTTGTTTCTGGTGTATATATTCTTTTGGTGGCGGGTGGCAAGATACACCAAAGCAATTTGATATTCTTGGATATCGGCATCTTCATGAAGATCTCCCGCTATTTGATGCTTCAAGTATATCTTAACCTGCTACCAGCCCGCTATAGCCCTATCTTGAAGAACGCATATTACAGTATTGATATGATACCAGCTTCAGAGTTAGAAACATGGAGTCTGGCACACAGATAGACGTCTTGAAGCTCTTTAAAGCGCCGAATAAATGGCGGCCATCATACACAACCGGGTTACATATTGAAACCCAAGAGCATACCAGTGCCGCAGCCATATTTGGTAGCACCCTACTTCCTAAGGATGATGACCCGTTGTTCGAAACGGTTGCAACGGCTTTTGCTGAGCCCTCCAGGGAGGAATTAAGTCTGCTCCGTACACCGTTCAACAACCCGTTCTGGGATACATTCAATGACATATGGCAAGCCATGCGCTGTCTAAAAAATGGATGGCCTGTTGAGGGGAAATCAGATGCTATTGCGCTTGGTTTTATTAGAGCTACTGGCGACAAATATCTGTAAGTTGTTGGCAACTATATCTACATATTACTTCAGAACTGCCAACACTAAGATCCAACAAAACCAGGGGTACAAACTATAGCTATAAGTCAATTTCATTCAAGTGTGGTCTAAAGTCAGTAGCTGTCCGTGGCAAGCTCACCGGTGTCGGCACATACCATCGAACGGCTGACAAGGGTCTGCCGTTCACTGTCTTTGTCGTAAGTGACTTCGATCCAGCTTTTCAATAAATAACAACTCCGTTGACGCGTCTCCTCTCAGGGAACGAAAGGCGCCTACCCTTTGTGCACCACAGAAGAGGTGGTGCCTTACCTCCTCCTCCAGGCCATCCTAAAATATAATCGAAACCCTACTCTAGAGACATATCATGGGTTTGTCGTGGGTGTGAAGGGGAGTACCCTCCAGTTCAACAAGGGAGCAGTATCTCGAGAGTATCTAGAAGGTTTGATAGGTGGATATGCCCCCAGTGACCCTCTAACATTCCTCAGGTCTGATCCGTACGACCTCTCCGAGCCGGACGGTCGTAGAGAATGTGCAAGAGGTTGGCTCGGGCTCATGCGGAATATACATGCTGAATTGAATATATTTGAAAGTAGAAAAGGGGGCTGAGCTGCATGAACACTTCGTCTGCAATAGGGAAAGGGAATCCCACGATGAAGATAGCTAGCCATATTCATACCTGTCCACCGAGGGATCTTCACCAGAGTAGTTGTTAAACTAACCTAACGGATCTTAGTGCAAGGTCTGCTACTCAAAGAAAGAAAACACGGAGTATTGCCTGCATCCTGACAGGTATACGAAGGAATCACCCTCTAAGCATAGTGAATGTATATGCCATCCACTCACAATATGAGGGATTCCTCGAAGGCAGCTTTGAGCGATAGACAATGAGCATATAGCCATTATAATATACAATAAACAGGGAGGATGACAATGGATCCTAAGTCCAGGTTTGGGTATAGAACACTCAACGAGTTGGATGGGGATAGGCGACCTTTTTATCCATATAGATCGACCAATACACTGTATGCCCAATATGGGGCCTAGGATAATAACCAATAACATGGTTAGCTGCCTGACCATTCTTGAAGAACTCGTAAAGTAATACAAATTGCGTAGAGCATGCTCTTGAAGATGAAGATGAAGATGAAGATGAAGCTGTTTGATGCGTAAAAGGGGGTTGGAATAGGTTACCTTATAATAATCAAGGGAGGCAGCTTAGGGCAAGTCGTACGTTATCTGAATATCTACAGCTTAGTATTGAGTAAATAGATTCTGCGTATTATTAGAAGTTCGACCTGCAGCTTGACGCCTAGGCCATTTAGTGGTGGAAATGGTTATCCCATTGCTGCAGCTATCCGACGCACACTAAAAAGAAGTAGGGTATAAGCACTTGATGCTGTCCTTAACACTAAGTCTCTCTCGCTCCTTTCTTATCTTGTTTCTAGGCAGTAAGATGCCTATACCCTAATTGCCTGCTCTTCTCGGTCAATTATGCGCATTCCAACATCCAAGACCCTGACCGGGTCAGATAGCGCCTTGAAGTCACCAAACTGGAAATGCACAAGTCGGAGAGCTCGTCTGTTTATAGGAAGTATTGTAAAAATGCTGGTCGTTAATAGTTTATTTACTCCGGTTTCGACACACATCTCTCAGATCCAATTAAAATATCGAATCAAATCCTTAGGGCCAAAATTCCCCTAACCCGTAATATACGGATATAATATATGATATGACATAAAAAAGGGAAACATGAACAAAAAAATAAACGAACGGGGGTATTGGTTTTTGGATAACATGAACAAATCAATTTTCCACCGGCTGACAAAATAACTGGATCTCTCCAACCTGGCCGGTAGCAAGTGAGCTCTGATGCTGCTCGCGCCATTCCATAAATGCAAGCTGAACAGCTTCATCACTATCGATCGTTACAAAGTCGCCGTCCTCGTCTCGATACCGTAGTCGTGCGGAGTTGCCGCCAATAGACCGATCTGTAAACCGTGCTAATTTGGCGTCAACTCGGTCTGTGAGGGAGCGGAAGAGTATGTTACTAGCAATTACGAGGGTAACGTAGTTGTCGTCGAAGTTGATTTTTGCTTTTAGTTGGCTTGGCATTTGGGAGTCTGCATCATCAAATGGAGAAGGTTGTGGGTTGGATGTCGGAGGTTGCTGAGGTCGACCGTTTGGAGCATGGGCTTCATAATTATAACCCATTGGTGGGTGGCCGTGGCGAGAGCCAGATGGTGGTTGCATGTTAGGTGATTGAGTGCCGGAGCGCATGGGGAGGATGTTTCCGGTAGGGGAGCTGCTTTGGCTCCTATTTATAGGAGCACGCATATTCGCCATGTGGGGAGGGATAGGGGGCACGGGAACGTTATCTACAGTCTGCATGGTGTGTCCACCGTTCACGTACCGACGAGAGTCTGGCAATGCACCATTATGGATATCAGGGCTGCTTGCTGATCTCATTCTTGCCTGTGACTGCGACTGTGATCCGGGCTGTCCGTTTTGATTTGAAGAAAGGGGAGGAAGTGAGGGACGTTGAGCTCCACGAGAAGCATTGTTAAAGTAAGGGCTGGACGTGGATCCATCTCTAGAACCTGACCTAGGCATGGCCGGTGCAGTGTACCGGTTCTGCTCCGCTTCGGTCCATGCATTTGACGGAGTTCCTCCACGCGAATAAGAGAAGGCGGTTGACTGAGAGCTGGATCTTGTTGAAGGAGCCTCGCCTGTTGGCGAAAAATAAGAAGCCCCATTTCGCTCTCCTGGAGATATAGCTCCTGGGGTGAACTGCGTGTGCACAGTCAGGGGAGCATTTGCAATTGGGAATTGTGGTCGACTATTCGAGTGTTGACCGGATCCTCCGCTTCCATTCGTGGCAGAGCGACCCCGTAGGCTCGAGCTAGACGCATTTCGTGAGGTAGAGAATTCTGAGAGTGAGGTGTTGGTGGGCTCTCTCGACAACTGCTCTTCTTCTGTGCTATACTCCTCTTGGTACGGATTTGGAGGTTTCGGTGTATTCCTGAGATAAGTAAATTCCGTCTCTGAGGTTCCGTTATACCTAGAGGAAGGACGTTCATCTGCTTGAAGAGCACGCTGCGTGTCGATATCTTTATACCATTTATTCATCGTGTCTTCGTCTCGGTAACGTATACCAAAATTGTCAACAACGCCAGGATCGCCTTTCCAGAAGATTTGTATTTTATATGATCCTGCGGCCAGGATATGGTTAGAATGAACACAATAGCTAATTTGTAATGAGTGGTGGGGTAGCTCAAACCTGGCTTCGAAAGAGATAGTATTTCGGTGACATTGGCCATGTATATTCTGCCTTTCAGCTGAAGTCGAGGTTTCACTTTCGGATTTGGGTTGGGTTTATCTTTTCCCATCAACTTGCTCTTCTGCTTAGCGGGGTAGATGTCTTTGCAGCAGAGAAGAATGTGTTCGAATAGGTAGATGTGATACTAGAAAAGAAGAAAGATAGGAAAGGTTAGCGATTTGTTCGATCCAATATTCCAAGGTTCAGTCATAGTCACGGTGGCCGGGATTTTCCGGGAGGAGACATTGGATGAAAGCAAACAGTACTTATGAAAGTGGATATCCAGGTAGGGTATCATTATTTTTAATATTTAAATAGTAACAAGATTCAAGTGTTAAGCAACTTGAACCGAAGTTGATGTATGTTGGGGATTGAAATGCTTGTCCGGCCCTTTGCACCACCATAAGCCATCACCCAAGTACTAATTCCGGATTTATAATTGCTTTAGATCCCTTTAACAGATGAGTGGTTGGTATATTGTTGTGATACCTTCAACGCTCGATGTCTTCAGAGTCGGCCTCATTATTGTTTTGAACAAAGGTTTTTTGGTGATGTTGGGGGATGGAAGGGGTGGCGGGGGATGCTAGTTTATTGTTTTTCGAAAGGGAGAAGATAGATGAGATGGATCGCCTTGACTTGGATGGTGACGTGTTGGAGTTCTCAAATGAAACGCATCCGGATCCAGGTGAAGGGGTATTAAATTCAAGGGTTTTTGTGCTGGTATTGTGATCAGGGGTCAAGAGCTCCAGTGGGTGGTGTGTGGGTGTGGATGGAGAAAAGGGAGGAATGGATTTAAGGTCCTTGGGTTGTTTCCAGCTCCAGTTCCGTGGACTATTTCCTGAGAGTAGATGGATGACTGAACCGGTAAAGGAACTCCGGCGATTTCCAAGTAAGGTGGATTGTGCATTGGTGTCGGAGAGAATTATACGAACCTCTCTTTCTGCATCCTTGCTGCTATCTCCTTTCAAAATAGTAAACGTCCCGTACCGCAATAAATCGCCGAATATCTCAATTTTAAGAGCCTTCCAGTCATCTACTCGCTGCGAAAGGTCCTCGACCGCAGCAGCCAGGTGCTCTTTATCGATCGCGTGATTTGCGTTGTCTAAGATTAATTGGATCATGTTAATAGCCTCACCGATGTCAGCAACGAGACCGGGGTCATCTGTCTGTTTTCGAAGCTCCTAATAGGTACGCCATGTATTAGCTGCTGAATGTATGTAGAACGAAAAAAGGGGCCAACACGTGATCATGTACCATGAGCATGAGAGGATACTTTGTAAGGCGCTGGAAAGGCTTGACAAAGAAACCGTTCAGCGTCGATAGCTGAGCGACCATTTGTTGAAGATCAGGGGACCGAGGAGCGCTGTGAATTTTATCCCATTCCTTCTGACAAATTTTATCGCAGCGCAGCTGATTTGCTATAAACGGCTCATATTGAAGGAACCCCTTCTGGTGGTTCAGGTAGAGTTCACCCCAGTTTTGAGTTTCTTCCGGAAGGGCGTTATGTTGCTCCATTCGAATGAGGAACCGCTGGGTGAAGTCGAGTAAATTGTTCAAATTGAGGAATATTTGATGGCTCGTGTCGCCAGTCAAAGCACCGGTTTCTTCGAGTTCTTTCTTCAGTGCCTGTAAGTTCTGAAGATGGTGGACGTAGTCTCGCTCGGTTTCGAGCATCTCTTTCAAGATATGCTCTCTCAGGGTAAGCTTGGCCTTCCCCCCTTCAACCGGCACAGCCGCGGACGGAGAGACTTTGTAGAGTTGGCCTTGGAGTTCGAGTATATCTATTACTCGGTTGACCATTTTGATGACCTGAAAAAGCAGTTAGACGTAATCACGGAGCGGGAATAAAGAGAATGTATACCTTCACAAAACCTGTTGTGCTGTCGCCGTAGAGATCTGTTATGAGGAAGCATTCCTGCTGTGGAAATTTCAGTTCCTGCAAACATGCCTGGAGAAACTTGAAGGTCGCAGCCTTCGGTCGATTTCTCTCCTGCAACTTGGATTCGTCGATCGAGATGGGTTCAGAGGGATGGGTGGCATTAAAGATGGTCATTAGAGGATATCCATTCCGCAGGCACTTCCAGACAGACGCAACCGGGTCGTTTTCTTCGCTGGCCTTATCCAGCTCCTGCATCTCGGCCAGATGTGGCTCGAATCCGGGTACTTCGGCGAGCCGCTTCTTCAGATTGCTACAGTTCTGGAAGAGCGACTCTCCGCCTCGACGGTTGATGATATTATCCTCCGCCATGATGTGGTGCCCGTTCATTCCAGCCTCCATCTTCGCAAGCTCGGCCAACGCCAGACACTAAAAAAGAAGGAAAGAAAGAAAAAAAAAACAGATAGCACAGCCCAAAAAAATAGCTCTAGTATTCCTCTGGCCAGGATGCCTGGTCCGTCGCGGGGACCGACAGCATGAGTCGCGGAAACGAAGCGCCGCCGCTGGCTTATGATAGTGGGGTAGCTCGAGAAACCAAATAGAGAGCTGGTGGCGCGATCAAGCTCCGCAACCGATCAGACCTTACCCAGGCAGCTGGGCGATCCTCGTAGACACAAAGCCAAGCTCTCGAGACGAGCTGGTCGAAGGTGGGAGGGCCGTATATCGAACAGCTATCCTTGATATATATTTTTTTTTCTCCCCTGACAAGGGCCGGAGTAACGGTGTGAGACGCCGCGAGCGGTTGGGGAGCCACAGACGGGCGTTCGAGAGCGTTGGAAGCCGGCTGTGCGAGGAGGACGGGCACGACGTCAGCAATATAGACGGTATGCTGGAGCACCGGGGCAGCGAGTCCTATCTGTTGTGGGTTTGATATGCGCGGGCGTTAGCGATGGGCAGCGGCGAGTTCCAGCGGCGGACGAGCGAGGATCGAGCAGAGAGCACAGCCAGAGACGATCGGAGGGCGCGAGACAGCGTCACGGCAGGGCCAAAAGGGGGAAATGGGGTTTATGAGTAGTCTGCCGGCGGTCGATACGATGCTGGGTGCAGCGGTTGTTTTATGCTGGCGATGCGGGATTAAGGAGATGGAGGTTGGGCTGTTTCAGGAGGAGCCAGGCCGTTTCGCGCTAGCCGCTTCGGGAGCTAGAGCGCCAAGCGCGCCAAGTTAAGCTTATATAATAAAGTGCTTAGTAAGGAGCTTGTTATGTAATGTAGCACATGACATCAGCCAAACATCGACGACAACAACATCGACAAACAAGATATAGATAAAGATACGTACAGATACATACAGATAAACCACACTGAGGACCTGTGGAACGTCCAGGCAGGTTCCGATATAGCACTGCATAGTGCAGCCTGCTCGTTTCACCCGATCGTCCTGCTCGTCAGTCCGAGATTCAGCAGGCGCCGACCATCTCGGCCACGACCACCTCGCGGGCAACTGTTCATACCTTGGAACTGTCATAGGTTCGTTGTCTTCCTGTGGACGCGCGCAGTCGGATATTCAATCGTCAGTCGCAGTTTACCCGTTATCGAGATTGCCGGTTCCATGGGACACGACCAGGGCGCCGCTGCCGTTGGGCTACAACCAAGGAACTACGAGGCGCTTCCTCCCAAGAGCTCCTTCAAGATCGACGAGGGTTACTCAGACGAAACGAAGAGCCTGCAGGAAAATGAGAGCGTGCAGGACACGCTGGAGCTCCCTGCATGGATTCTGTCGCGTAGCGAGGCAGATAGGGCCGGTACGGAACCTTCCCAGCTAACTTCCACTTCCACCCTTGTTATGATCATGTTGGTATGTGATTGTCGCTATTGCGGTTGCTTACTTTGGCACAGATCTAGCCTACACCTTACTCAGAACGCTGCGGACGTCGACCATCTCAACGGTCATCGATCGACTGACCCCGTTGCTCCATATGGATCCGGTTTATAAGCTCCCGCCGGAGATAACGGCGGAAATATTCTCCTACCTCGATCCCACCACCCTCCTGACGGCTTCACTCGCCTCAAAGCCATGGAGGAGTAGGATCCTAGACTCGAGGCTATGGCGAGGGCTCTACATCAAGGAGGGATGGAGACTCAACATGACCGCCATCCGGGACTTCCACACCCAGTCGAGCGAGATCGCCAAACAGCAGCAGAGCAGAAAGTCGAGGAATAGGATTTCAGACACAGACTCAGTGCAACCTCAGCTTAAGAAGCGTGCTCTCGCCTGTGACCGTGCAGGAACCTCGTCGGCTGGGGCCGTGAGCAGCACGTTCGGCGGCCCGGCCCTCCACACAGACACTGAAGGAGACCATGAGATGCGCGATGCTGCGCCGGATTCGCCAATGGACGTCTCCTCTCCAACCCGCCTGGCTGCCCGGCTGGCAGAGAAGTGTAACGTTCCCAATTCTTTGGATATGTCCGTGCGGTCGCCAGGTTTCGACTCTCTGTTCACGGACGATCGGTCTCCCCTCCCATATTCCTCGGCTGCAGTGTGGTCAAGCAATGGGCCCAGGTTAAACTGGGCTTACCTCTACAAGCAGCGTCAAAAGCTGGAAGAAAACTGGCGCAACGGCCGGTTTACTAATTTTCAGCTCCCACATCCAAACTTCCCCTGGGAGTCTCATCGAGAACGGGTGTACGTTATCCAATTTGTGGGGAAGTGGCTTGTTAGCGGTAGCAGAGATAAGTCGGTAAGAGTCTGGGATCTAGAGACGCAGAGACTGAGAGGCCAGCCCTTGATTGGACATACCAAGTCTGTCCTGTGTCTACAGTTTGACCCGAGCCCAGAAGAAGACATTATCATATCCGGGAGCAGCGACCGAAGCGTCGTCGTCTGGCGATTTTCGACCGGAGAAAAGATCCAAGAGCTTCCTAATGTACACCTTGACTCCGTGCTCAATCTTCGGTTCGATAAACGCTACCTTGTTACATGCTCCAAGGATAAAACCATCAAAATTTTCAACAGGAACGCTCTACTGCCCACCGATGATGACTATCCGAGGGTCGCCAAGGGGGCCGGTCCAAGATATCCGTCTTACATCGTGGATACTTCGGTTATCCAACCTTCAACCCTTGAAGCCCAGATGGCTAACCAACAGATAAAGTCTCTACCTCCCTTCACCCTTCTCATGACCCTTGACGGGCACCGGGCTGCGGTAAACGCAATTCAGATCGACAAGGACGAGATCGTCTCCGGATCCGGTGATCGGCTTATCAAAGTCTGGAGTATTCACAGCGGTGCATGCTTGAAGACACTTCTCGGCCACAACAAGGGAATTGCTTGCATCCAGTTCGACAACCAGCGCATCGTAAGTGGCAGCAACGATGATACAGTTCGAATATACGATCACGTATCAGGAGCAGAGGTCGCCTGTCTCCGGGGCCACTCAGATCTTGTCCGGACGGTCCAGGCTGGGTTTGGAGACCCCCCTGGCTCAGAGGAGACGATGAGATTAGAAGCAATGGCAGTGGATCATGAATATTTCGAAGCCCGACGCCGCGGTGACGTCGATGAGAACCCGATAACCACTCGCCATTCGCGTCGAAATCCAAACACTGGCTCTAGGCTACCGCAGGATGTCATGGCCTTGGGGGCTAAAATCCCGCCTGGAGGCGGTGGTAGCATCTGGGCTAGAATTGTCTCCGGCTCATACGACGAATCCATCATCGTATGGATGAGGGATAAAGAAGGTAGATGGGTTATCGGACAGCGATTAAGCCAGGTAGAAGCCGCCAAGGCCATAAGAGCTGCAGCCGCGGCCGCCCCGGCCCCTGACTCTTTCAAACCCTCTGCATTTACTTCATTTGATGCCGCCCGGTCTGCTGCCTCTGCTTCTTCTGCTGAAACCGCGCAGAGGAATGCGACATCCCAGCCACAACCTGCAGCCGCTTCAGCTTCTTCGTCTGCTTCTATCCCTACCTCCATTCCACCTCAACAGCCTGTTGATCGAGTCAACACGCCTCCGCTTCCCGTACCTGCTCAAGTTCCTCACGGGCAAATCGACCCAGCGGCACAGGCACATCCAAACCCTCAGGATGCTGCTGCTGGTGTTGCACCTGACAACCACGGCCATCAATTACCATTACCTCCAACCGCAGGAATATTCAAGGTACAGTTCGATGCGCGGAACCTTATCTGCGCAAGTCAGGATTCCCGCATTATAGGCTGGGATTTTGCCTGTGGTGACAAGAAACTTGAAGAAGCATGTCAGTTCTTTGAGGGCTTGTAGCAGAAGTGTATATGATATCTCTCATCCATTGTACCGTGTAAATATGGGCAGCTTTTCTCTCTTCCCGCTATGCTGTTTGTTTCTCATTCCTGTTACTCCGTCATGTGTGTGTGTCTCCTTTTCTTTTCTGTTGGAGTTATTGCATCTGCCTGTCTAGCAAGTACGGAGTATCTCATGTCTGCTTCTATCCTCCTTCAAACATGGTGTATGGTTTATTGTTTGTCTCCTCGTCTTCTTTCGCAATATCAGTCTTCCCCATCCTTTGTTTCGGCAAGCATAAGCGATATCAATTAGCCGTACCTTGCCAATGCAATGTAAATCAGGTCCATGAGCTTAGTATATGTCATAGTATATGACGGTAAACAAATGCATTGTGACTTGCCCCTTTGGCTTTTACTCTGTGTTTCTTTTACGTGTTTGAAACAAGTTATATACATGGGTTTCCCCGGAGAATTACCCCCTTATGGCCAGGGTGAAACGCGGAGGAGGGGAAACATTACGTATATAAGTTAGGAGATAGACCGCTTTGACCTGAACCGAGGCCTGGTCGATCGCATATAGGACATGGATATGAATAGACGAAACATGGAAGATCATCCGCTATAGTTGGATTAGCAGCGGGCGTTAATATCTATATGGCATGGGTATTAAAATGTTCTAGAAGGTGATCAGCAGAGGGGAGGCTACCCTTACACTGACTCCATCAGGAAGCTGTAAAGATATAATAATTTGCTTGAGAGAGGTTTTCATGTCCTCGTATATTTGAAACTAGAAGGTTGATTTCCCTTAAGTACAGGTGCATGCATTCATCGTATGAGGTGTAGCATCGGATCTCATTCTACAGCAGTTTCCATGATACCTCCAGGGAGGGGACCAGACACGAAGTCTTCTCCAAGAACGAACTTGATACACTACTCCCAGGGTGTATAAGCCATGTCTACTCCTCTTACCCCCGCGCCCTAGCGGTGCTGGTTGTTTGTTGCATTTCTATACCATGCTCTCTCTCGTGTTCGTCGTCATCGCCCAGTCAGCAGCACTTGGATACGTTAAATGAAACCAGATTCCAAAGCCGTAGTAAACCGCACTTGTCGTGTTTACGTTCATTTCGAGCCCCGGTTGAGGTATTTCTGGCTGTTATTGCGGCTGGTGCAGGCCGTGAATATGACATTTGTTCTCTAAGCGGCGGAGCTACGGCGCGGCCACTCGTACGAGTTAAGGACGAGTGACGAACCGGGGTTGATGGAGCGGGTAGATCCCTGTGGTCATCAAGTAGCGATCGATACCGAGGAAGTGGATTTGAACTGCTTGTCGAAGAGGGACGCGGAGAATGCCGCTGCAAGCCAAAGTCGTTGACCGCATGCGACCGACTACTTCTCGTATGCGCGGGCTGCGGTGCCTGAACATTGGCATCCTTCGTTCTCGCGGCGGGAAGATTGTTCTGGTGGAAAGGGTGATTTTCTAAGCTTGACGTAGCACCAATACCATGACCACTAGCTCGAGCGCCGAATCGTCCTCGAACAAGAGTCCCATCATCTGCTCTTGCGAGAACACCGGGTGGTAGTCGTTCAGGGGGTTGATAGGTGATATACGATGCCGTCTCGCGAAAAAGTCGCCGCCAATCAAGTCCACAGCATCCGCTTGCCTCGTTAGAGGAGTCATTTGCTGCTCCTGTCCCCGGATCTTGATTAATCTGTGGCGATGACCTGCTGCCGTTCTGATCAGTCCGCGGGGTTCCTCGAGGGAGTGATGATATGTCGTAGTTAAGTGCTTCAGGAGAACCAAATGATGGGACGCCAGGTGGAGTGCTAGGCCGATGCGGTGGAGGATGTATAGGCTGTGTAGGTGCTGCTGGAGAGACAACGTCGTTTAACCAGCTAGGCGTCTCAAAACTACCGTCTGAAGAGAGGGTGCTACATGAGTGGCGTCGTTCACTAGGGAGGGAGGAAAAGGAAAATTTAGGTTGAAACGAAGGGAGATCATGGTCGTCGAAAGAATATATTTTGGATCCGTATCGGTTCCAGCGTATGGGAGGCGTGACGGATGACGCTCGCGAGTAGGAGGATTTTGAGAGTGACGAAACACCGACGGATGCGCATGGCCTCAAGCGCGATCTGGAAGATGTAGCTCCATGAGTAGACACGCTCTGGTGTTCGAGTATAGTTTCCAGTGAAGGGACGGCCAGTCTCTCCTGGCGCCGCGTTCGTTCGACATCCCATGAACGAATTTCATGGACATGGCTACTACCAGCCGGTTCGGTGCTCTCATCTTCTTTTTTCGGACTTGGTTGCGCGGTGTTATGTTCGGATTCGTAGCTCGAAAGGAAAGCATCGTAGAGAGAGCTATGCTCGCTGGGCAGAGACTCGGACGAATCCAGATGTGGGCTGAGCGTTCTGGTCGATACAACACGTCGAAGCCCACTGGGTCGATCAACGGAGTATGCGATGTGCCGGGCGGGTGTTCGATCAAACCCATGATTGAGGCCAGAGAACGGTTCCTGTTTTCCTTTGTGTAAAGCCATGGTGGAGGGTTGGAATCAAACGATGGACTGCCCTTAGTGAATGAAAGGGGAACAATAACATATCAACGGAATATTCGAGATGCATTTGGGTATTTGGTCGTATATATAAAAGCAGCTCAGCTAAAGCATAGGAAGGAACAATGATATAACAGACAAACAAACAAAAAATAATAATCCCCTAAAAAGAGTCCAAAATGAATAGACCGGAAGCAGGAACGAGAGATGAGCAAAGTATACATAGAAAGAGATGAAAAAGTACATAATCAAACGGACTTGACCAAAAAAAGAGAAAAAGGGGGCCGGATGACAATATACTGCCCTGTTCGCCGTGATATATTTTTTTTGTCTCCAAAAGTCGACCATTAAATGCATCATGTCTAGCCTCACGCCTATCGCTGCCCAAAAAAATTCATCGACGAACGCTCAACTCCAAAATTGTGATGTAGGGGATGGGGACTCTTTCACGAGGCCATAGTACTCTGGCTGAGGTTCGACTTTTTCGCACTTTGCTCCCTCTTCATACTCCTAAGCATAGACTCGAGGCGTCGGCGCTCCTCCTGTTCCGACTAGAAATAGAATGTTTAGCAAACGCAGGAGAAAAAGGGATGCAGGGAGAAATGAAACCTACCTTCAGCGTCTTGATACTCTCCGCCCTCGTCTCTCTCATCATCTTCTTAAACTCGTTCTTTAGCACCGTGATCGACGTGTTTTCTACCGTCAAGCCGTCTCTCACTCCAAGATTCTGAATGCGTTCGTCACTCAGCTGAGTCTCCAGGGTATCACATCGGTCTCTGTAGCCATCAATCATATTCTCAAACTTATCGCGCTCCTTTTCAAATTCAATGCTCTGCTTGGTCAACTCCTCATAGTCGTCAATTGTCTCGCGCAGCTCCTTCTCAAGCATCTGGATGCGCTCGTGAGCACCTGTGCTAGCTGAGTTGGCGTTATTCATCTGCACCGATTTCAACGTCGCGATTTGACTTGTTAGATCCATGTTGCGCTCTCGTAGATCGTCGATTTCGCGCTGCACGGCCGGATTGGCTGCTGCTTCGGCGGCACGTTCTGACCTGCTTCCGTAGGCGCCGTCGAGCTCTGCTTTGGCGAAGGTGAGCTCTGTTTGGATGCGGACCATTTCGCTTTCGAGCTCGGCGAATTCAGACTGGAGTTTACTGTGGGCTTGTTCGGCCTGTTCGCGCGACTGATGGGCTTCGTGAAGCTGGATATCTGTCTGCGAACGTAGCTCTTGAAGTGTGGATTCTAGGCTGTCGATGCGCGCCTCTTTGTCTGCCAGGGTTTGTTCGGCCTTGAGGAGGGCGTCCTTTTCAGGGGATGGCTGAGGAGCCTCCCCGATGCTACGTTTCTGTTCGCGAAGCATCGAGTCCTGTCGCGAAGAGTCTAGTTGATCCATGACCATCGCAAGTTCGGTTCTGGCACCCTCAGCCTCGGCGTTAGATTTGTCGAGTTCCTTTCGTAGCTTGGCTATATCCGCAGTAAGATCTGCAATATATGAATCGCGCTCTGCGTCAGACTTGGAGTTGAGGTCCCGTTGCTGTTGTATCTGGGTACTCAGGATGGTCTTTTGCTCTATGAAGCTCTCTATCCGCTTCTCGACATCCACAACGGCGGTCTCGAGGTAGTCTAGCTGCTCCGGTAGCGTTTTTCTAATCACCGATATGTGAGGGCTGGTAGGCTGTCTGCTTGACCCTGCAGCCGCCAGAGCTTCGTCCAGCCGTCGACTGAACTCGTCCAGTTTGTCTATTGTGTTGTGTGCAGAAGGCGGAGGCTCCTGGCTATCCTGTGACGAGTAACTTCGATGCAGGGCAATCGACTCTAGGCCCTTCTCGAGATATTCAAGCTGTATGTTGACCGTAGCTAGGGGGTCCGAGGTGGCTCCGTTTGAGATTATCTGCGGGATAGGATCTACGTCCTGGTCCGGGCTCATCTGCAATATCATTTCGCGTAACCGATAGTTCATCTCCTCGAGCTTCGACTGGGTATTCTGTAGCCCGCTGAGGTCGGTGGAGGTAGATTCCACGTCAGGCTCCAGGCTAGGCACGTCTCGCGGCCCTCCTCCGCCGTGGTGATCCAGGTAATCTGCTGTACGGTATAGGCTCCGGTGGTCAAACTCATGTCCACAGCCATAAGGATCTTCCTCGTTTGTAGATGACTCGTCCGTCTTTGCGCCTTTCTTCTTCTTCAGCCCCTTGTGCGTCATCTGTAACACTCCAGCCGTATGTTCCAAGATCCTCGTTCGAATGTCACTGGCTCTCCGTTCGAGTTTCGCGATCTCCTGCGACTGCTCCTCGCACTTCCGCATCGTCATGGCAAGCCCTTCGTCCGACGTATGGCTCAACTCCGCACCCCCATTCATCCCCAGATGACCTGTCCGTTTGCGATTGCCGTTCACCATGTCTGGGCCATCGTCGTATAGCCTGTTCAGCGACTGCGCGGCCTCCTGTAGCTTCAACTCCAACGCCAGTTTCCGTTTCCCGCCCTCGATACGGGTCAGGACCAGCGACAGCTCCCTCTTGAGGTCTTCTACTTCTTCATACGACAGTACCTCGAAATGTAAACTGTCTCCAATCGCGGTCTCGGCAAGCAGATGCATTGCTACTGGATCGTTGGCGTTTAGCAGGACAGAGCCCTGGGAGAGCGACGAGGTGAGCTGCTACGATTGAAACCCAAGAGTAAGCCGATAGATCATAGCAGCAGCCAGACAAGAGACACTTACAGGGTTATATCTCGAGCCCTCGTCGTCGGTCGAGTGCATCATTCCACCGTAGCCGTCGACGAGGCCCTTGGAGTGTGGCACATTTCCAATCGAGGACGAAGAAAAGTACCGCGGGTCTCTGTACGAGTACTCGCTCGATCGGATACTGGTCGTGTTCATCGTGAGGTTGTTCTGGAGTGATCCTGCAGAGACGGTCGTTAATAGGGGTATTGGCGCGACGTCATCTCGTCATGGCAAGCTCTGTTATCGCGAACACAGAGATGAAGAGACATCCAGGTCGCAGAGATGAAACAAGGAAAGCAGACAAACGGACAGGTCGAAAAAGACGAGGAAAAAAGTACGAAGCCCAGAAAAAGGAATGATGATAATCTCCGGATGTCAGGCTCGTAAATATGCATGCGCCACTCCAGCTCTTCAGCTTCTCGCTGGCTAATCACATCTCTACAGAAACGAGCGTTCAGGAACAGACCGTTACACCTGTACATATACACAATCTATACTACAATACGACTACTAGACTGCTACGGCTGCTACGACTACTACGACTACTGCTAAGGATGGCTCTACTACGAGATGGCTCTACTACAAGATGGCTCTGCTATGAGATGGCTCTGCTACAAGACCGCTGATATACACTATACTGGCTACAGATATCTCTGCCGTGCCACTGAGGCTGCATCCAGATCGCAGTTAGATCGAGACTGCAGACTACATACTGTTACTACTGAGACGCCTCCGTATCCCCGAAATATGCAGACTTTCTTAGCATCACATGTTCAGCCACAGGTCGGGATATCCAACTTCCAGGGGTTGCCCCGGAGTCCTGCCCAGATATCATCTTCCCCTCGATCGGTGATGCTGACGGCGTGTCTGTCTGCGTTGTGACGATGGACTCTACGGACTATGCTCGGGTGCGAGGCAGGTCGCCTCCGGGGACCGCAAAGGGCGATGTCGAGACGGTCGAATTTACTACTACGACCACTGCTACCACGTCGAGTTCGGATGCGCCGCCTTTCAAGGTGTATAAGCGTCGGTTCTTCGGCCTGGCGCAGCTGGTTTTGCTCAATATCGTCGTCAGTTGGGATGTGAGTGTCGGCCCTGTGTTTTTCTAGATACATAGGACTACAGCTAACTCGCGCAGTGGCTCACCTTCTCCGCCGTGTCAAAGACAGCTTCGCAGTATTTCCGGGTCAGCGAGGGCGCCATCAACTGGATGAGCACGGCTTTCTTGTTTGCATTCTGCGTTGCCAGCCCGTGAGTGTGCTCGGCTACCTATCCCTAACCGTGGATGCTGACCATGCATTAGGATCGTGATATGGACACTCAACAAGGGCGGTCCAAGACTGTCCATCATAACAGCGTCGGTTCTGCTGCTGGCTGGAAACTGGGTTCGATATGCGGGAACTCGAGCAGGAAGCGGCAACTTTGGAGTCGTCATGTTCGGCCAGATCCTGATCGGATTCGCGCAGCCGTTCGTCCTGACTGCGCCAACTAGATACAGCGATATCTGGTTCACAGACCACGGCCGCACCAGTGCAACAGCAGTCGCCAGTCTTGCGAATCCCTTTGGCGGAGCGTTGGGGCAGCTGATCGGTCCTATGCTGGCCACCGACCCAGGCCAGATCCCAAACCTGGTTCTCTACGTCTCAATCATTGTGAGCATTCCCCGATCTATATAACATGTCAAATCACGCATGCTAACAGCCACTCCCAGTCTACCGTCGCCTGTATACCATCCTTCTTCGTTCCCTCCCGCCCTCCAACGCCTCCCAGCGCAGCTGGCAGAACCGAGAAACCCCCGCTGCTCGCCAGTCTACGCGAACTAGTTGTCCGCACTGAATTCTGGCTCATCTTCTTCCCCTTCAGCATCTACGTCGGCCTCTTCAACAGCATCTCTTCCCTCCTCAACCAAATCCTATACCCGCACGGCTTCTCAGAGACAGTAGCAGGCATCACCGGCGCTCTCCTCATTGTCGTCGGTCTCGTATCCGCCGCTGTCCTCTCGCCCATCGTCGACAGACTAAAGAACTACCTAGGAGCCATCAAAATACTCATCCCAATCCTCGCGGCAACGTACATCGGGTTCGTCTTTGCGCCAAACTCGGACGGCGTAGTTTCTCCCTACGTAGTGGCCTCGCTGCTGGGTGCAGCCAGCTTCTGCATCCTCCCAGTCACCCTCGAGTATCTAGTAGAACTCACCTATCCCATGTCACCCGAGATACCAAGCACGCTATGCTGGACCGGTGGGCAGATCTTCGGAGCGGCCTTTATCCTGATTGAAACCGCACTCAAAGCCGGACCAAACGACAGTCCGCCTTTCCATATGACGCGTGCTCTTATCTTTCAGGCTGTCATTGCGACCATCGTGGCTCCGTTGCCATTGTGTGTCGGTCTGTTTGGTGCAGACGTACGGAAACGCAGACTAGAAGCTGAGTGTCAGCGGGTTAGGACTGCCGAGGAAGCGATCCTACGTCAATCGTAGACTGCGTAACTAGAGAGGTAAAGCGAGAAACCTATCTTGGGCCAGTACATAATTCTGCTTTCGTCACCTTGTGTATATATTATTGACCATCCATGGTCTGTCATTGTTACTTAATATCCATTGAGCGTGATAAACATATTGAGTTTCTATTGGAGATTTCTATCATTTTCATCAAGTTGGGGGAAGATCTAATATCAAGAAGGAATGGAAACTAGCCATACAGGTACAAATGAAACAACGCATGAAAACATAGTATATGCAGCCACTCATACTGTCCAAGGTAAGAAATGGTCTATCTTTCTCTTCTCCACATGCATAGTCAACCGTTGGCCCTATATTCTGCAGGTATGCTTCCTCATAAGAAAGAAAAGGAGAAGATCAGAACACACAAAATAAGGGGACCTCAGAACTTGATTTGGTGGGTTGTATAGTACAAGGTATATATTTTATTGTTTTCGTTCTAAGAGAGACAACATGGACGGTGGAAGGGACATGTATATGCGTAGATGGAGAGAGAAGGGGAGAACATCAGATCTATTTCAGTTCGCGGAAGAGTTTGGGAGCGGCGCACTGGGTAGCGCAGTGTTGGAGGTGGAAGACTAATGGAGACGTTAGTTATTTATATCTGGCATGACGAATTCGATATATATCCGTCTCGTGGTGTGTGATCACTTACACTCCTCGACACAGTCCTCGTGTGGGCCCTTGAAGTCGGCATCTTCGGAGTTGCGGGTAACACGCTCAACGCAGTCATCGAAATGGTGCTTAGCAGGAGCGCAGGGCTTGGAGTTTGCGCAGTCTATCCACGGCAAATTAGTTAGTTGGTTACGTCCTTGCAATTGAACCAGGTATCCAATTGAACCAGGTATCCGTGTGCAGCGCCACCAATTGATCTCACAGCCATCAATTGGCCTAAACCAACCCCATAGACCAGATTCATAAACCCCTTTCACCGCAAAATCACCAATTGAACAAACAAATAGCCATCACCACTCACCTTCTACCAACTTGGGCATGATATCCTCTGGCTCCTCCTCTTCCTCTTCTTCTTCCTCCTCCTCGGCCTCAGCCTCTTCTTCCTCGGGCTCTTCCGACTTGTCTTCGTCAGGCGTATCCTCTGCAGAAGACGACTCCTCTACCTCCTCGGCGGGCGGAGCTTCGGCCTCGACGACCTCTCCGAAGCTCAGCGAGCTTACGAAGTCAACGAACATATCGGCGATACCCATTGTGGCGGATGGAATTGGAGGGCGATATCCAACAGTGCAGGAGTAGACGGGGAGAGGGTTCCACGCCGTGGGATAGGATCGTGGTCGTGGTCGAGGTCGCGGTGGTGGTTGATGATGTTGGCTTGATGTTTGGAGCGAAAAAAGGTCGTCGGCCTGGCTTGGTTTAGCTTCCTCGTGATTGGTCAGTCTGGGATAAGCACGTGATTGAAGATTATACAAGAAAGACAATAACACAATAAGACAATAACGAAGAGAATAAGACGAAGACGAAGAAGAAGACGAAGAAAGGTAGGAGACGAAGAAGAAGAGGAAGGAGATAGTAGACATTTATAAGACTATCTGTTTATAGCTGACATACCATCATACAAGGCTACTGATACGCATCACAGGTCGATCCAATGCAAGAAAAGTTCGCTCAACGACGCTGACGGAGCTGGTTCTCTAACTCGTTCGCGACGCTCTGCTGCTGCACCTCCTCATACCCCGGCGGTGGCTCCGTAGGCGGCTCGAACAGCGGACGTTCCGACCTGCTGCCAGCCAGACGACTCTCACCCTCTCCATGCTCCGGCGGCCTATCCAACGACTGTATCCGCGCCGACACCGCACCCGCCGGCCCTTCATACGCAGGCAACTCCTCGAGATGCACATTTGCAAAATCGACGACTCCAAACGCACCTCCATCACGACCCGTACCCACCTGCGCTCCATCACCAGACATCAGCCCGCCCTCTCTCGCCCTCTCAACAGCCTGCTGCAACCGTTCCTTGATCTGTTCATAGTTCGAGTGGAAATCAAACGCCCCTCCATCCTTGAAGGTTAGTTTTAGCTGTATCGCCGCATACGTGGCCGGTATTCCGCCGCCGGATACGGGCTGGACGACGGAGTTCCATACATTAGGGCCGAAGAAGGGCGCGGCAACGTGTGTGTCAAGCAGGTTTAGGAGTGGTGCGGAGAATGATTGGAATTCCGGCGTTGGTTGGGATGGGAGGTAGACGATCTATATAAAACGGTAAGCGAGAGCGTCATCCATGGAATGAATACTGTCTTGGTTCGGATACGGGCATACTCTCTGGTTTGTGAGGTGAACGTGGCCGGCACTGCTCTGTTTTGAAAAGGTCTGCTTATCTGGGCCGGGATGGATGGAGCGAAGTGATATGCTCGTTCGTGGAGGGGAGGAGTATATGATGCGTTCATTTGGTAACAGGACCAGTCCCTTGGTCTCATGGACCATAGCCCAACTAAGCATCCAAACTTTTAGTAATGATTTCCTATGCCGTTTCGACTCCATCTTAAGAATACGCATCACCCAGGCGGGCGGTGGGATGGGGATAGAGACAGAGGTTATCCGGCCAGAACAGAACGGACAGACATACTTTATAGACATCTCGACCCGAGGGCCGGCGGTATGGATCTGAGCACTAGAAGGAAACCTTGGAAGGTCTACTGCAGCGCACCGCGTGCTCTGTGACTGCTTGCAGCCAATATGGGAGGCAGCTCAACCCTGGAGACGAGGGAGTCTATGCCGTCTAAAACTCAAAAAGTTAGATATATATATACCGACAAGCGCGGGATGCGAAGGAAAATAGAAAAATAAAGGGAACAGCTCAACCCCATAGCGGTCGCTCGCTGGCATTTAAAGTAGTAAAAGTAGTAACAGTAATAATATCACGGCTGTAAGCTCGATCGAACATACGTACTGGATAGACGGAGTGAGATGGACGAGAGATGGTTATCCTGCGGCGATGTCTGCTCCGGCGTGTCTAGCGGGGTATATATGTTCTAACCGGCTATCCTATGCATCGAGTCAGATAGCTATCGTCCGGCAGACGCGGATGGACTTACAGCTAGAACTGGATATGATATTTATGGACGAGAACGAGCTCTGGACATCGCAAGTAGACGCAGCAAGACGTAGGCGCAGCAAGACACCTCCTGTCCTGTCCGGCGGGGTGGCGGAGGCTGATCTCCTAGAAGCCGGCGGTTCGTTGGCTACTTACCTGCCCGTGATGCGTTTCAGATGCTAGAAGATGTAGAATATGTATGGAAGATGCGAGATCGACTCTAGAGATCATGATATATGATCGAAGCAGCCGACTATTTGCATTTATATAGGAACACGTGTTCTACGGTAGACTTCAGGACTTCATCGACGTCGACATCGACATCGACATCAACACCCTGGCCATGGGGAGATTGGTTCTGGATGCCTTGCCTGAGATATCGAGACAGAGACATCGAGATATCATGCAAGGCGTCCAGCCACCGACCGTACCAGACAGATCCCCCAATCCTCGTAGGGCCATTCTCAGCACCCAATCAGCCGAGATAGTGCGCCTACGGAACACGTCTGAACTGGAGATGGACGCCGTACCCACAGACACAGACGGGAGGAACCAGAAGGAAGGCAGAAAAAGAGGAAGCCGAGCCAAGGAGGAATATACTCAGCCAGTCCTATTTTACAGCATAGGCTCATAGGCTCATAATCGCAATATCACACATGGAGTACGGACCACACGGGTAGGCTTCTGAGTTGATCCCTCCGTTTATGCATAAGGTCGGAATATTGACCATGCATCCAGTTCTCCGTCGTAATATGTCGATAGAGGCTTCGTAGTAGTGGCTTGGACAGCCCAGTTGAGAAACACATTTGAACCTACCTTGTCATGAATACCTTGTGATGAAGTAGTCTCAATGTTGATAGTTGTGTCACCGATGGCTATCCCGTATATGCATGTACTCGCCTTTTCTCACTTGCTAAAAGGCATCCCACAGATGGACAAGTAACAACTGCTACCTAGGTTCCTTCACTCTTTATTGGCTGGGCAGTGTCATAAATAGAATATCACGTGACATTGAACGGGGTGGAAGAACATAGATCCACCTATGTTTTTGCATAGTCCTTGTATCCACGTGATCAAAGCTGCATGTTGTCGCAAAAGGCCGTTTGCGTCAACTTTCTTGTTTTTATTAGGTAAGGAGGTGAACAAGCCTTGGTTAGTTGTTTACTAAGCGCTAAATGGGGCGGAAGAATATTACTCCTTGTACACACGTGACGTGGCGCAGAGACAAGTCCGTCGTGAAAACGCGGGACAAAGGAATAAAAGAGACGACAGGGGACAGTAGAGCAGCGAATCGCGTGGCTCTGAACAATAGTTAAACTCTAGCGATCTATGGGCAAAAAAGTTTATTTAGAGGTTGCGGCCCGGCTCTGCATCATCATGACCTGGGTCGGCGGCAGCTGGGATACCCCCGTGTATCACGCCGTTGACGAGATGCCTCTATCCTGGCAGCCGGTCAGGTTTGCTAACAATGGACAGATTTGATGTGATGATGGTTGGCCTGCTGAAGCAACGGGGGAGCTCATGGCCTTCCATGATGGAGTCCCCAGTTATATAAGAAGCCTCTCGTCCGCCGCGAGTAGCTGGAGAAGCAGCAGAAGAACATCTCATTGCGCAGTTGTACGTCTACCTGATCTATACACATAGCCCTTCCTACCGTCCTATCTTCTATACATCGTCCTGAAGATGCCTCACCCATCGAACACTGCGCCCACCGGCAGGGACACTGCCAACAATGGGTAAACCACTTCCCCTTATCCTTATCTAGAACCACACAGTAACACCCATTCACAGTGGCTCTGCTCCCAGCTCCGTCGACAACAACGGCGTCGTCAACGGTGGCCAGCTGCAGCAGTTCGCCAACAGCTTCTCGAGTGCTGATTGCTGGACGACGTATTCCTCAGGCACGAACAAGATGGAACACATCAACGCAGTGATAGACGATATCAAGCGGAAGTTTGGACAGTGAAGGATACCTCAGCAAGAGAGCCGTCGGGGGGGTTGGGCATTGGGATTCAGGCAGTGCGTGGTGGTGTTAGCTTGTTACCTTGAGAGTCTGTCTGGGTGAGACCCTCAGATGCTCAAAAAATCTCCCACTCTTCTGAACTCATAGGCCACCGCGCCTTCTCTGTGATGTATAGCTCGTCCTTACACTAAATGGGCGAATCAAGTCAATACAACAAGCCCGGCCTCTTCTAATTGAAGTGTGCAACATACCTTGGTCAGAACAATCCATCCCATCCTTATAAATGCCTCGACCGTGTTCCTGGCTTCAGTCACCGTCAAAGGCCGCCCGTAGCTCGCGTATAAATTTTAAACGAGCCTCCAGGCATAGGTCATTAGGCAGACGCATGCTGCCCCGAGGAACGGCTTCTGCGTAGCTGCCAGTATCAGCTTCCCCATTAGTGACTTGGTGAAATCTTTACTCTTAGAGTAAGACACATCAGTATGGCATCCTGTGAGTAGCGTCTTCGCTATCTCGTCGCCAACCCCTTCCGTTAGCGGCCTCGATATTCCTGAGAAGTTCAGACAGTACCTTTTGTCCGGCTTCTTGATATCCGAGTACGCAGCTTGTAATCAGGGCTAGCTGACTGCGAGCTTCCTCCTCGAGGAACCCCGGTGGCTCCGTCACTGGGAGAACTAGGAGGCCAGGTTAGCCATTCCGAGGGAAGCTGTTCATCGGATATATGCCAGTCCAGGCTGGGAAGATGTAGGCTGGCGTGGCTATCAGGCTCAAGTTGTTGATATCCCGGATTGTCCGAGATGTCATTTACTGGCGTTTCCACAGATGCGCTTGACGCTGGGGTTTGGACCTGGATCCTTGGGTGGGCCTCTGGAGTTGGAGCACCTTCACGAGCATGTATAAGGTATCATACTATACCTTGGTACTTTCGGCATTTCCTGGGTAGTGGTGGCCGGTGCTGTTTGATCGATCTCTGAATCCTCCCTTCGTCAATCGGGACTCCATTGCATAGTACAACGCTCTTCTTGCCCGTTCTCTTGTCCAGTTGTCTTTCAACCCAATTCCGGTCATCCTGCTTCAGGTTCCTTCGCGGAGGCATTTTAGTTGATGATCAACGTGTGGGGGATTGTGTAATATATATCTCAAAGCCAGACAGGCTCGAGTAGGTTCAGGTGGCTGACTGGGAGAGATTCTCGTCCAGTCGTCTCACCCCCGTTGGTGAGAATCTTGCTCATCATTGGACTGCTTCTAACAGCCTGCCTCTTATTGGCCATTGCCATTCTGCGGGCAACATGCAGACGTTTTGGCATCGCCCAATCACGATGTCACCTAAGAACGCCATCGGCGCCAACCTGGTTTCCCCTTTGGTGTAGAAGTGTTGACATGTCAACGAAATTCTCGATTTCTGGTTGGCGTCCGATCCTGGACTTGTTCAACGACGTGGCATGGCAACGTAAGATGAATGTGCATCGGTAGAGCAGGGCCTGATGTCGTTGGAAACGGAAAAGAAGCGATAACTCACGTACAGAGTTATACCATGATGTCTGGTTCCCGTAGCCTGATATATCTCAGAAGCATGTCGTTGTCAGTTATTTCGTGGAGTTCTGTGTCTGAAAAGAAGAAGTCCTGTGTGCCTTAGTGCAAATTCGATATTCGTGCCAAGGCAAAGATTGTGCGCATTTGTTGTAGTCAGCACATCTCAACATCAACATCGAACGCCGATCAAGCTTGCACCGGCCTGCTATCGGCTACCTACCGATCTATCCTGAAGTCTGTCCTCATGGTATCCGTATACTTGTGCTTAGAACTTGCTCTTGGGCCCGTCCTTGGGAAAGGGGTGGAATAAGAACCCGACGGACTTTTGGCAGGCCTCCGTAGACGATGGCGGTACTCCCTATGGCGGCTAGGGATCTCGTTGGCTTTCAGTATCGTATATCAGGGATCCGCTCGCTTCTCGCATCAAGATTCGTCACTCCGTATTTTTCCAATAACTCGACAAATATTGAAGGTCTAAAAATCTTCCGACTGGTGTAACCCCTTAAGTATAAAGGCAAGCATCGTCACTAGGACGCAGCCCAGGGACTAGCCAGCGGGTCTCCCAGTGCTTACCGCTGTGGACTTCGTATCTGGAGTTTGGGGCAAGAGATCTCCAGTCTCCATCTTCAACATTGGCCAGCTGGAGGCCACCGGAAATTGAACTGGTTACAAAGCCAATTATGCAACTATTCCTGTAAAATTGCATAATTTGACTCTGGCATCGTTGTCTCCCTCTCTCGTTCCCCTGACTTGACTTCTTCCAAATATATTATTGACAAGCTTGCCACCTTGAAGCAGGATACTCGGTAAGGGGCACCTCTGGCTTTATACCATAGTGCTGGCTGATGTTATAATCTCTCGAAAGTAGGGAGTAAGTGTGCACGCTTCGGATGCGGAATATAAACCCCCATCAGCAGGGATGGTGCCTTTAACCATCCTGGATGATCCCGGTTCTTATTGAAGTGCTCATATCGGTGTGTTGAGGTGCGCCAATGAGGAGGTTGGTGGCGCGGGATGAACGGCCCCAGAGAACAACTCGGGATCAAACTGTGTAGCAAGCTCAGCCTATCAAAGTGATATTGAAATACGGAGTATGTACTCTGTACTCTGTACTCTGTACCTTGTCTCCCAGACCAAACCAGTACCCGACCAGGGTTCGTCCATTAGTAGCATCACTTCGTGAACACAGCTCTCGTGTAAAAAGAAGCATTGTCCGTCCCGCTCCCTCCTCTATCAATCAGCATGAGCGTGCGGCCATGGAGACAACGAGACTGAGATGCTCCATCCTCGGTGCTTGTGAAGCTACTTCGACCGAGGTATCGATGCGCTGATAGGTTCTACGCGGCGTCGCCTGCTGTGCCGCTGGATGCATCGATGGTGTGCGGATATGGAGAGATCTACCACGCGATCAGAACCATCGGAGGATCTCCCACGCAATCGGAGCCCCTTGATAGCCAACCGTTGGCTCGGGCAATTATATCCTGACACTCTCTTCCGCCTGGTGGCGCGCTAATTCCAATAGTCTTGATGCTCAACCCCTCGGAGTGGATGTCAAATTGAGAAAGGCGTTTAGAGGGCGAATGCTTGCGTGATACAAGAAAAGCAAGGACATTGCCTCCCTTCTAGAAGACATATAGCCGGCTTGCTCGCATGTCGGTGTATTGACTGGATGGTAGTTATGTCTTCTTCCTGTACCACATTCTCAAAAAGAGATCATAGAAAATGCGCTTTCTACCGGTATTAGCGTTGGCCTCGACGGTCCTGGCATCACCGGTTGTCATTTCACAGTTGGCGGCTAGAGGACAAGAAGAAGTTCCTCAATGTGCCGTATGAGTCCTTGAACCCTTTTTCTTGGTGGACATGTTAGCTAACGTCTGGACCGGATAGATTGATTGTCAACATCAACTGCTTGCCAACTCTACGACACAATGTTCATCAACCGATGTACCTTGTCTCTGTGCAGACGAGACCTTCCAAGCCGAAATGGGTAAATGTGCAATGGCACACTGCACTGGAAGCGAGGCGCTGAGTACGTTTGCCCATTATAATCCACGCCAGAATTGCTTCAGCGTCTAATACCATACTACCGAGTATAGTGGCCAAATACCTCGGATCTCGCCAATGCAACATTCCTATCGAACCGCTATATACCGAAGTAGACGCCGGCACACTCATTCCATTTATTGCTGCCACCTTCTTTTTCACGATCAGGATATCCTCCAAACTAATGCGTCTAGGTGGTGGCTGGGGCGCTGATGATTATACTATAATCGTGGCATATGTAAGGTTAATGGATATCCTTCTATTTGACCCTTCCACTCACCCGACTTTAGATACTTGCTGTTGTGGTGTATTCCTTGCACGTTTCAAGTAAGTTCCAAGCCCTTATCGATGACGATAACTTTCTAACCTTTTAAAGTGATCCACTATGGCTTCGGTAGAAATATCTGGGATATTGTTCCGCAGGAGGACATAACAATAGCCTTCAAGGTTTGTTGCCTTGATATCCTAAAGATAAAAAGGGACAGGCTAACCCGGTGTCCATTTAGGTCTTTTATGCATATGTCCTGTCATACAAAGCCCTTATATCCCTTGCGAAGATATCAGTTGGCCTTTTCCTGCTACGGATTTTCCAGGCACCGGTCTTCCGTTATACCACGTACGCCATAATAGCCGTCAACGCTGCTATTGCGATCACATGGATACTAGTCGATGCCTTTCACTGTATCCCCGTCCATTTGGCCTGGACCGCATGGAAAATGGACGAGACTGGAAAGTGTATCGACTTTATAACCGCAACCTACGTTAACGGGTTTGTCAATATTACGGTCGATACTATCATGGTGTCTATGCCTATATACGAGGTGTTAAAGTTAAAATTGTCACACCGCAGAAAGATAGGCGTTGCTCTTATGTTTGGAATGGGCCTCCTGTAAGTGCATCGATCCGAGAAGTCGGGGTTTCATCATGCTAATCTAGATTTGCCGGTAGATTGACCGCTGTCGGAGTTGTGCGAGTGATCATTCTGTTTCAGCATGACGTTACGAAAAATCCTACATGTGAGTACTCTTCTACGCCCCTTTACAAGATTACCACCCTGGACTCATTGCTAACCATCATCTGTGAACAGATGAGATGGCGCCACTCAACTACTGGTCCATGATCGAGTGTCAGATGGCCATTGTATGCGCTTGCTTACCTGCCACTCGGGCGATACTCATTCACTTCCTTCCTGGAATCGCCGGCCAAGCGACGGAGAATACATATAACAAACGCTTGGGTATCTCTTCAAGCGGCCCGTCAAAGGGGGATTCTACTTCTAATTCCACCATGCTGGATAGTGAATGTGGCGGCTTCATTTCTAAAACGGTCACCTACTCCGTGGACACTTCTGTTAACTCCCAGATGGATTCTTCAGAACCTTGCATAAATCTCGTTGAAATCGACAAGAGAAGGGTATAATGTATTATTTGGGCGTTTTATATTATAAATAATTTTATAGGGATTGGGCTGCATATATCGAATATTGGAAAGTTTGACCATACTTCATGCACGACTATAAAGTGACTACCAGATATCCAAAACGATACCTTAAACCTCCAAGTCATGGAGAAAGCCGCCAGAAGCTAAGTTAGGAGTATGAACTTTTACCCGCGTTTGGCTGAACCCTATCTCGAGCCAGGTAACCTTAAATACGAGCTTGTTTAGTGGAGTATTTGAGACTACAAAATGCATCGCCATGACACTCCTTGATATAAATTCCAAACCAACTTCTATGTTCAGTTGAATAGCTCTAATCCATGCAGGGGGTGCGGCGAGGCTCACGTGTCTTGACCTGCTGCTGTCTCGTTCACTAACTTAGTTAACTAACTAATCGCAACGTCGAGTATACAACAACCAGCGACCACATCAAGCCCAGAGCCATCGACTATACTACGTTAACTGAACACGATGACCTGCTGGGCAGACTTACCTCCTGAAGTTATCTACGAGATTCTTTCTAGTAACTCCTTATGCACCAGTGACTTGGTCCAGCTCTCTCTCGTGAGCAAAACACTGTCGAGATGTGCTCGCACTTTCTTGTACAGAGACATCGACCTCGCGACATCGCCATCAAGCACTTATGGCCGCAAATCACTAAAGCTATTCATCCGCTCCATCTCCGAGAATCCTGGCCTAGCTCTTTTGCCCCGCAGTGCTGATCTATATTGCAGGTTTGAAAGCGAGGAAGAAGTCGCTAGCTTCAGACGACATATAGCGAGTCTGGAATTGCTAGAGACGCTGAAACTATGCATTTGTTTCAAGTCCCCTAATTCCTCTGAGCTGAATCTTGTTGTTCTTGAAGATAATACCCTCCCGCGCCTGAGACACCTCAACGTACAACACTACCGAGTCGGATCAGACCCGTTGCATCTGCCCAGATTTTGTCCTCTCACATGGGCTGAAGCTGTGCAGTACGCGCGACTTCCAGGTTTGGAGTCATTGGTATTGGGCATATTTGCTCGGACTGGGGCTGACACCGATATTGGAGTTGTGAGACAGCAGGCTGGGGACAAGGATCGGGCTGGATCCACGCTTAGATCACTCACAGTCAATATCACAACACAACCTATCACCGACCTTGACATAATTCTCTCCTACCATCCCAACCTTGAGAACGTGGATTGCGGAATTTCGAGTGGTGGTATTAATCTCATATGCCTGGAGAGTCTATCTCGTATCCTAACCCGTCGACTTCATACGTCATTAACCGCTCTGCGGCTATGGAATACCGGTCCCGCAGGATTTGACAATAATCCCGTCGATTTAAGCGCATTGGCAAATGTCAGGAAACTTGATATTGAGGTTGAGTTTTTGTACTCCAAGGACGCTAGGCGTAATCCTTCGATGAGAAGTGGCCTATGTGCTCGTCTTCCTCCAGCCTTGGTGGAGTTAAGGGTAGGCGATTTATCTACTTTCTAGTCTTTTTAGTCTTGCCTCGAGAGAAGGGAGGAATAGGTGACCAAAGGATACTACTTAAAACGAAGGGCTGATACATCATCTTCACTTAACAGATAACCTATTACTGGAAAGAGGGAATGGTAATTCCGCCCCGCGAACAGCGAGTCTTGGATTTGAACTGGCTTCTCGAAATTGCAGAGCATAAGCCTACTTTTCTACCATGTCTGTCGAACTTATATGTGACGGAGCTTCAGGTTCCCCCACATGGCGATGAGTTTAAGCCGTATGTGCCATCTGTACTGCATCCCGTGCCAGATACGGTTAATAAGGTGTTTAGAGAGAAGGGGATAGACTTTGAGCTACAATTACTAAATCTAGCAGAGATTACGCGGATGTATAAACGGCGTTGAACCTCTCCCCTTGCTATTCCCTTTTCTTCCTGCTGTCCTTTTTTGTTTTCTTTATATTTTCTATATTTTCTTATATTTCCTCAAAACCTCATGGTTTAGCACTCCATGGCAACAAAGGCGACAGTCACAAACCCGTGTCGCGAAGTAGTTTACTCCTAACACATCATAGCAAGAGACCACTTAAAGGACTAGAGAGATATTTGGCTGAGATGGTCCATGGGGCCATTGGGTAGATCGAATATGTATCCAGCAGATTTTCTTCAGATTCGAAAGAAGTATAAAACTGGCATCAATCTGAAACCAGGATACTGCCGTTGACTGGGTGTCTTCGACGAACTGAAGCAACAACTCTTTGAAGGCTTTATTGATACTCAATTACACCATCCCTGCTCGTGTCGGAGCGCGTAAACGACCAGCCGGTGAGAATTCGAGGCTCATGTTCACTGTTGGTGGCTGGTTATGAAGATTCTTGTTAGGGGATAGGTTACTTATCGCCTGAAAAGAGGATATACTATCCATCCAAATTGCACAGAAGACGAATATGATGAATACGTCGTATGGCAGTATGTATTTAGCGGATTATGTGGAATTTATAGCATGGCTAGGAAGAGTTGCTAGAGTACTATGAACGGCTGCCTTGAAAACTCGAGGTTCTGAGATAGCTGTTAATTATAGTTAGGTTGTTGTAAGAGTAACAACATCTTTCATTCTTTATGACATCTGTCTATAGTCCGTCTAGTCCGAATGCTAGGCGAGCTGCTTCTGAATGGCGATAATCTGGCGTCTATCTTTCTTTTATGGCTGGTATTTGAGTACTGGCCTTAAATCAATGGTATACTCGATGGCTCGGAGAGATGGTATACCAACCAGGACCATGCGTTGATCCTCGCATCGAGACCAGGCAGAAGGAATCTCTGATGGAAACTTCACAAGGCCTGCATGTTCCTCCACGATCTGCCCAAGTCGATGAAACATGGCTTGAAACCTACAGGAAAAGAAGCTGCCTGGCGATGTCCCCGGTGCTGGCTCTGCAGCTCCCACCATTCAGGGGAGGAAGAATAAGCCATCCATGATGAAATATCGCATGAGCCCAGTACAAACTAAGCTAGAGAAGCCCTTTTCTGATGTGTTTTCCCTCTCGTATTCGACCGGGGCATGAGGCTGAAGAACAAGGCTTACTCATCGGGGACTTTGGTTGCCTGCGACTGCGGACGGTTGAAGTCAACAGTTTTACTTAAAAGGACGCCATGGAGGACTTTGGAAATGCAGGCCTGGTGTTTATAACAAGTCGAGCCTGAGAAGGATACGCGACCCAATCGCCAGTCGCCAGTCGCTGACGTGGAGATATCTCTCTTTGCCAGCCATACAGAGTGCTTGCCGAGGAGGTTGTCGACTGCTGGCTGCTATCTCGATGAGCTCCAGCGGAGCGACACTGCAACGGATATACCTTGTTTGATACCCGATATCTCTAGAGAAGCTGATATCCTTGAGGAAAACATCATGGCATCACAAGATCAGTCGTACGAGCACAGCCTCGCTCAAGCCCAGGCCGGTGGTGGCGTCTCTGTCCGCAGCAGAGCATCCAGCATCGTCTCTACGCGGACCGGGGTTACTATTGCAACACTACAGGATGACGCCAGGAGCGTTCGAAGCATGGAGCTGATTGTTGGACGCAGGATATTCAGTATCAATCGAGACGGGTCGAGGATCACCGAACATGCTGGCCTTCCGCCGTACTCCTTTGCGCCGCCGGCGTACTCCAGCCTGGACGGCGTTGCTGGGGATGCATCAGAGTCTCTACCCAGCCCAAATATCCCAAACTACCAGGAGGTAGTATCGCCGCCCGAGGAGTCCGAATATAATACGGCATCGCAGTCTGACCTGTACGTCGATCAAACGATATGGCCGAGACACGAGAGTCACGAAAGGGAGCCATTGACCTTCCCGTCGATAGAACAGTTTAGGGAAGACTTATCGTTGGCGTTTGCCCAGTCTACTCAAGGAACTCAAGGAGCTCAAGGAGCCCAAGGAGAGAGGCGAGGCTCCGGCTCCGTCTTTCGAACACATTCCTTCGTCCCCGGACCCGAAAAGATCTCGGTGGTAGCCAAAAGACGCTCCGTGTCAGAAAGCAACATCCAGACCAACTTTCTCCCCAATAACGCCAACGTCAATCCCACTCACAACCGGCTGCGTCGCAGGAACGGTGTCCGACTGCCCCAGCTCGACACAGGAGCCTCCTTCGGAAACTGGTGGAGCAATCTAAACAACAGAGCTGACAACTCCCCAAGCGCACGCATGACCCATTCCGCCGGCCCCAGCATAGGAGGCGGCATCAACCACGAATTACAGACCGGAGACTTCCACTATGCCGCGAACTACGATGGCAGCGGCAACGGCAACGCATCTCGCGGCCGCTCACCACCCACCACCCCTCGAGCTACCAGAAGCCCTGCCCTGGCTGTCCCCCAGGGCCCACCGACCGTCGAAGAAGGCTATGCAGACATGGAGGTACCGCCTACCATGGACACAGAGAACGAAATAAGCATCCACTTCTCCCGCATGATCCGCAGCATCGATCGCGAACACCGCAAGATCCTGCATCAGAAGTGCCGCGAACTGGCGGACCTGCGTGAACGGCTAAATGAGGTCGACCAGGTATATCGCAAGGAGCTGAAGACGCGGGACTTTACGATCGACGAGCTGCGGAGACAGGTCAACATGATGGAGTCTCAGATGGAAGAAAGGGTCGAGAGGGCCAGGAACGAGGTGGAGGATACCTGGGAGAAGCGCTGGAAGGAGCAGGAGAAGTTGCTGCTCAACATGCAGCGGAAGAAGACCCAGGCTGACCTTAGCCGGATGATAGGCCGGAGATGGGTGGCAGGGAGTCCCCTTTCACTCGCACCACCTCGAGGCGCCGCAGAAGGGGACGAGGGCGAGGAGGGAGAAACGCATTAATGGGTATTTGGGGGTTCATCTTTACAACCATGAGCGACGGGGTTCTGTGTCTGGAGTTGAATAAAAGCAGGCTGAGATGGTCTGGCCGGCCCAGGTCTTATCTCGCCCATGCTGTTCATTTTCATTTTCTTTTTCTCCCGATCTACTTTCTTGTTTCGATGTATTTTTTTTGGTATACGAGATAGCATCATGTACTTGCATACATCTAGCTACATAATTGGACTTGGTGAATTTCGTGCTATGGAACACTCCTTGCATGGATGCATGCATAGAGCCGTCATATGCCAAACAATCATAGTGTCCCGAGTAACATCTATGCATAGAGTCCAGAGTTATTGGCCTGTTTTGTTTTTTTCGTCTCTTATTTATTTGCCTTCTTCGGCTGTGGAAAATTTGCTTTCACATCGTTATGACGCTTCATAGTTACATGGACACTGATATACACAGATATATACGCGGCTATACATCCATTAAGGCTCTCCTTGTCCGACGTTCCCACAGGATATAGTTGGCGCTGTGTCTCACCTGCAAGCGAAAGGAAAAAGAGAAGAACAAGGAGCGGAACGGGATAAATAGCTGTGTCGGCCATCCCCCGCCAACAACTTCGTCCGGATACACCCAACAAGGAGAAGAAACGATCCGTATCGACGTGGATTCTCATCGTCGCAGCCCGTATACGCATTCCTCCCTTCAATCCCTCCCTTCAACCCGCCCGCGAGGCTTCAACGCCGGATCAACGCTGCGATCAACAGCCAGCGTCATACCGTTGCGTCCTTGACAGACAGCCAACCCCCAACCCTCCATGGTTGCAGGGCCATCTCTTCGCAGGACAGTCGCTGTCTAACCGTCGTCTACTCGCCGGCACCGTTAATTGATTGCTAGGTGCTAGGATATTCACCATGGCGTCGGGGAAGGAGGAATACCGGCCTATGGTCACTTGGATGTACGATCTGATCCTATGGTTCCTATCTCTGCTCGTCGACCTCTTCTTCCGCGAAGTGCATCCTCGCGGGTCATGGAAGGTCCCCAAGAGAGGGCCGGTCATTCTCGTTGCTGCTCCGCATGCGAACCAGGTACGTCTATACCATCTGTCGTTTGAAGCTGTTTTTACTAACGGCTACACCAGTTCGTGGACTCCTTGATCCTGATGCGCGTTATGCGCATGGAACTTCATCGTCGAATCGCCTTCCTGATCGCCCAGAAATCGTTCAAACGTCGATTCGTCGGCCTGCTTGCTCGCTTCACTGGCTCGGTGCCCGTCACACGAGCAATGGACAACCTGAAGCCAGGTAAAGGCACAATCTACCTTCCCGATCCCGTAAACAATCCTACTCTCCTCCGCGGGCACGGTACGGACTTTACATCCTCCGCTTTTGAGGTTGGCGGCACAATCTCCCTGCCGTCTGTGGGTGGTCGGTCGAGCAGTACGGATATAGGCGAGATCAAGGGGCCGGAGGAGCTTATTTTGAAGAAACCATATAAGACGCAAGAGGCGCTGCAGCAACTGACTGGCAGAGACGACGTTACGGCCGATTGCACCTTTATAGGAGGCACAAACGTCCAGAGTCCGCCGGATTTCAAGGGATCGAGATTCAAGGTTGCCCCGCACGTTGACCAAACGCAGGTTTATAATGCTGTTTTTGAGACGCTGAATCATGGAGGCTGTATTGGTATCTTCCCTGAGGGTGGGAGTCACGATCGTCCGGATTTGTTGCCGTTGAAAGGTGTGTACTTGTTACATTTGATATCAGCTTGGGATATTTACTAATGATTTATAGCTGGTGTTGCGTTGATGGCACTTGGAGCCGTGGCAGCCAACCCCGATTGCGACGTGACCATCATTCCCTGTGGAATGAACTATTTCCATGCACACAAGTTCCGGTCTCGAGCAGTCATCGAATTCGGAAACCCCGTCAAGGTACCTCCGGAGCTTGTCAAGATGTATAAAGAGGGCCAGAAGCGAGAGTCTGTAGGAACACTGTTGGATACCATATACCAGGCCCTTGTCACCGTTACCGTAACTTCTCCCGACTACGAATCTTTGATGGTATGTTGGTTCTGATTCTTAAAAGTACCATCATCTTGGCTAATAAAGACACAGGTCATACAAGCAGCTAGACGACTCTACAACCCTACAGGGAAGAAACTGCCTCTTCCAATGGTCGTTGAACTCAACCGCCGCCTGGCCAAGGGTTATGCTCATTATAAAGACGACCCTAGAATAATCAGGCTAAAGAAGTCAGTCCTGGACTATAACAAGGATCTCCGCATCCTAGGCATCCGAGACCACCAGGTCGAATATGCCAAATTCTCCATATTCAAAGTTGTCACTACCCTGATCTACCGACTGGGCAAGCTGGTAGTCATGGCCATCGGAACCCTTCCAGGACTCATCCTCTTCCTTCCAGTCTTCATCGCAACGAAACTCATCTCTATCAAGAAATCCCGTGAAGCACTGGCCGCATCGAGCGTTAAGATTCAAGGCCGCGACGTGATGGCAACTTGGAAACTGCTCGTTGCTCTGGCTTTCGCTCCACTCCTATATACCTTCTACACTGCCCTACTTACTTACTGGACCTACAGTCATCGTGTCTGGGGATACGTGCCCAACTGGGTGCCCCTCTGGACAATCATACCGCTGGGCTTCTGGATCTTCCCATCCATCACCTTTGCCGCTCTACGAATCGGGGAGATAGGAATGGACATTCTCAAATCGCTTCGTCCTCTGGTTCTATCACTTAACCCCAGCTCAGCAAACTCGCTGGTCAAACTACGTGAACGACGGGCAGAGCTATCCCTCCAAGTCACCGATCTAATCAACACGCTGGGCCCAGAGATGTTCCCCGACTTCGACTCATCCAGAGTCGTCGCTAATCCGTTCAAGGATACCATCTTCCGCGAAAACCAGCCCGCAAAAGCACTCGATTCGCCCGATGACGGTGAAGCCAGGCTGCCCTTCGACGATGACGGCCGCCCTCGCATCATCCACCGCTCCCACACCGAGTCGTCCATGCAAGACCAACTCCCGCGCAACGAATCCTTCCACGACCTCGCCAGCTTCGGCTTCTTCTCTACCCGCCCACCAAGTCGAAGCAGAAGCCGCAGCAGCTCCAACGGCGGTCTCGTAGGCTCCTCCGGCTTCCCACTAAAGGAGTTCAGCACCCTGGACTCCAAGGAGAGTTTCAAAGAGGTAAGTAAGCGTATCCGAGGCGCCATGCGCGAACGAGGACGACAGCGACGCCGAAAGAGCGAAGACTCGAATATGTGGGAGGCCGCCTCGGATTCCGAGTCTCCATCTCCGGAGGACAAGAAGGATATTTAACCTGCTTGTTTCTTCTTGTTTCTTTCTCTCTTCTTCTTTTCTTCTTTTCTAGCGATATATATACGTACATATGAGCGAAGCAGCAAATCAAACAGGCGGAGGGCCAACGTGTCATCTTGTTGTAGGGGAGGACAAATACGAAAAAAGGAGGCCGGATGTAAAAGCAAAAGCAGGAAAAGGAGTATCAACGATTGGTGATTTAAGGCTTAGTTTCAGGTCCAGCAGGCGTTCTTGTTCATGTATTATCTAGCGTTAATCTCTATACTATCTTGATATATCTTGACCTATATCTTGTATACTATATTGGCCAGGGGCAAACTGTCCTCTAGCTCGGCCTTTCCACAGCTTCCCGAGAAAACAAACAAAAAACCAAGGCAAAAAGGCAAACGCAAAGCCACGAATGCTGAGTCCGCGCCTACGTCACTATTATTATTTCTCTCCGGCTTTTACGACGATATCTTTTCTCGACCTCTCCCCTACGAGCTACCTTGGATAATCGTCTCGCGATCTGACCTGTGACGGAGACTTTCTTTAATTTTGTCGACCTTCCATCGCGGCCGAGATACTCCGTCATAGCACACAACGACATTTCTATACCTTCGCTTCTCACACTATGGCGTCGTCAATGCACCTTTCGAGGATACGGAAATGGCTGGCATCGTCTCCCCCGGTCGAAGGGGCTATATACTACATCCGACAGCTGTTGATCGGCGCATTAAGACAGGGCCCTATTCCACAGCATGTTGCCTTCGTTATGGATGGGAACAGGCGGTTCGCTCGGGATAAGGGCATAGAGCGAGTAGAGGGACATAACTTGGGGTTCGAGGCACTGGCGAAGGTGTGTTTTTATTTCCAGATGCAAAAGCATACTGTTATGTGCGTTCTGACTCGGGTGTTTTGTACAGGTCCTGGAGGTATGCTATAGCTCCGGCATCAAGGTGGTGACGATATACGCATTCAGCATCGAGAACTTCAAGCGGTCAAAATATGAAGTGGACGCGTTGATGGAGATGGCCAAGCTGAAGCTAGAGCAGCTATCGCAACACGGGGAATTTCTAGAGAGATACGGCGCGAGTGTGCGAGTGTTGGGCCGCAGAGATCAGATCCGGCCAGACGTGTTGGAAGCAGTTGATCGGACGGTCGAGTTGACGAGTCGAAACGGCGACGCTATACTCAACATCTGCTTCCCGTATACCTCGAGAGACGAGATTACGTCTGCCATCCGGAACACGGTTATCGACTATAGCACACCGCTGGACCGGAGCCAGCTGCCACCCACGGCAAACCCGCCACGTCGACCGTTTTCTGAGAAGCGGATTGTCGAGAACATCCGTGAACATACGCCCAGCGCTGATCCAAGGGAGGCGTTGCCCAGCGGAGAAAACACGAATGGCACCGGCACTCCTAATACTACGAACGACACGGCGTATGATTCCACCTCCTCCCTCTCCTCGGCCACCACGCTGCATCACCAAGTGAGCCCTGAGTCGATAGGGAAACACTCCACCACTTCGCCAGAGCTATACACCTCCTATCCTCCCAACAGCGACCAGCTTCTCTTCCACTCGCCCGAAACAATCAGCACGCAGACGATAGACGACCATATGCTCACCGCAGGCTGTCCACCGCTCGACATCCTCATCCGCACCTCTGGCGTCGAACGGCTGAGTGACTTTATGCTCTGGCAGTGCCACCAGGACACGCAGATTGTCTTCCTAGAAACGCTATGGCCGGCCTTTAGCCTGTGGGAGTTTCTGCCTGTGATCTGGGACTGGCAGCGGAGGCTGAGGAAGACAAGTCTCAAGAGAGAGCTCCAGTTCGAGTTTCCCAGCACCTACAACTCTGATGCTGAGCCGAGAGGGAAAATTTCAGAGGACAGCCCCTGGTTCTCTGAGGAAGATGGGACGCATATAAAAGTTAAGAGCCTGTAGATGTATCTCCATACACTTCTTCTTTCCCCTATTCTTTATTCACCTACCTATGCTATACTTACCTCTGTCGCCATCTCTATATAGATGTATAATTATCATCACTTCAGCTCTCCGTCTTCGTAGAGTTCGTATAGCCCACAGATGCAGTGCAGGGGTCCAGCACACGACCTGCCTCATCCCAGCACCCAGACGAGCACCACGGCCATCCTCGTAGTCATAGAAACTTGTATCAAATGCCGTTGGGCAGCGATCTCCGTGTTCTCACTGCCTTAACTCCAGCTAAACGAGCAAGATCAGTGCTGACTAACCGCCGCTTCTTATCCACAGGAGGGGGACAGAAAGCAGGAAGCAGAAAAAGAGACAACGCATTCTCTCTCTTCTTCACCACATCTACACTCGAGGATACCATATCGACCGCTCACTGAACTTGTTAAAGACAGATATAACCAAGATAGCCAGCATGCCATCCTCAATTGAAGGTCGTAAAGTGCTTTTGTACGCTTCACCCCTCCTCCGTTATCGGTGTGGTTACTGACTCATGTATATACAGGCTCGGAAGTGGCTTCGGTTTGTCTACAGCCCATGAAGAGAGAAGGAGAGAGACTGGAGAGATCAATTGGCTAATGCTTTGCTGTGCCGATAGTCACCAAGCCTACTATCGACGAGCTGACCAAGGCTGGTGTCCAGCTCACTGTTGGTGCGTATCACAGCCAGCTACGGGCAGCATCAGTATGAAGTACAGGACTGACGCGTGATATAGCCTGTCGTACTCTCGAGAGCGCCCAGCAGCTCTGCAAGGGCATCAAGAACACTACCGCCGTCTCTCTCGACGTCAACGACTCTGCTGCCCTTGACGCCGAGCTGAACAAGGTCGAGCTGGTCATCTCTCTCATCCCGTACATCCACCATGCTACCGTCATCAAGGGGGCTATTCGCACCAAGAAGAATGTCGTCACTACCTCTTACGTCTCTCCAGCCATGATGGAGCTGCAGGAAGATGCTAAGAAGGCCGGAATCACAGTCATGAACGAGATTGGCCTCGATCCAGTATGTATATCTTTAGGCATGGGGAAACAAGTATTAACAGGCCATTAGGGTATCGATCATCTATACGCTGTCAAGACCATATCTGAGGTACGTCTCCCAGGAATATCATGTATGTCTAGTCTGACGGAGTATAGGTCCACGAAGCCGGCGGCAAGGTTACCTCTTTCCTGTCCTACTGTGGTGGTCTCCCAGCCCCCGAGTCGTCTGACAACCCATTGGGCTACAAATTCTCCTGGTCCAGCAGAGGTATGCTTCTTGCCCTCCGCAACGACGCCAAGTACTATGAAGGAGGCAAGGTCGTCTCCATTCCCGGCCCCGAGCTCATGGGCACCGCAAAGCCATACTTCATCTACCCTGGCTTCGCCTTCGTTGCCTACGCCAACCGTGACTCGACCCCTTACAAGGAACGCTATGAGATGCCAGAGGCCGAGACCGTTATCCGCGGTACCCTCCGATTCCAGGGTTTCCCTCAGATGATCCGCACCCTTGTCGATCTAGGTTTCCTCAAGGAAGACGAGAAGGAGTTCATGAAGACCGCCATCCCATGGAAAGAAGCCATGAAGCAGCTTCTCGGCGCCACCTCGTCAGACGAGAAGGACCTTCAGTGGGCTATCTCATCCAAGACCAAGTTCGCTGACAATGAGGAGAAGGCTCGTATCATGGCTGCGCTTCGATGGATGGGACTGTTCTCCAACGAAAACATCACCCCACGTAACAACCCACTTGACACCCTCTGTGCAACTCTTGAGCAGAAAATGCAGTACGGCCCTGGCGAGCGAGACATGGTCATGCTCCAGCACAGATTCGAGATTGAGAACAAGGACGGTAGCAAGGAGACCCGTACCAGCACCCTGTGTGACTATGGTGAACCAAACGGCTACTCTGCCATGGCCAAGTTGGTGGGTATCCCATGTGCTGTTGCCGTCAGACAGGTTCTCGACGGCACTCTCAGCGAGAAGGTAAGAAAACGAAGCATGTCCTATTACGGTGGTTGAGGTAGATTACTAACGATCGTCTTAGGGTATCCTTGCACCTATGAACATGAAGATCTGTGGTCCTCTGATCAAGGCCTTGAAGGAGGAGTACGGAATTGAGATGATCGAGAAGACTCTCTAGATTCCCTTTGTTTCGGGTTGGAGGAAAAAAAAATGTTTGCCCTAGAAATGGGGGCTGAAAAGTACTATTGATAATCTCCTTCTCAAGCTCATAACTTGAAGCATTAAAGGGTAATGCGAAGAAGGATTAGAGAAGTAAAATACACCAACACATCATAACTCATTAGGAGATCAATCATGAAACTTCCAATCATCACCAGGCCATCCACTTCCATGTCTTCGTCATCGTAAGTCTAGCTATCAAGAGTCCAGCGGACTTCAGTATCATCTTCAGGCAGAGCTATCTGATCCTAATTATCCACTGCCGTCATCGAGTTATGACCCTTCAACAAGCTCAACTGTAAATCCTTGAGTATTAAACCCCCGAGTATCACTTCCTGTGGATGCCTTGCACTGTATCAACCACTCCTCCATCTCATACCCGATCGAATCCAACCATGTAACTGTCCATCTCTTAGCTTATTGAGTCCAACCAGGTAACCTCCCTTCACCTTGCACATCCCCCTTATTCCGTCACTGCCTCCCATGTCCAAGCCATAACACATCTTCCACCATCTCAGTCAACATCTCCCATCATATCTTCCACCATTTCAATAACCCGAGCCAGATCACCACTGGTCGACAGGCATCAACAACTTAACGGGCATCCAGACTCTCAACATCACCTTCCTCCTTGCCCTTTGCACATCTCCCTTCCACTCGATACCATAATTCCCATCATCAACAACCCCCTTGCATATCAACCCCACAGCCATGTCATAGCCCATCAACGGGTATCAAGTACTCTGAACAGGCATCAACAAACTCCACGGGTATCCAGACTCTCAACATCACTTCTCTCCTTGACCTCCCTCCACCCTCCACCCTCATAATCTTCCCAGGTTCCCCGGTTGGACTATCCTCCTGCACGTCTTCCTCCGCCCTGCCGCCGTCCCCGACATACCACACCCCCTCGACTCTCCTCAGCAGACCTTCAACACCACTTTCCCCTTTGCATGTCTTCCCTCCACCTTGTCCGTAGCCTCCTGGAACCCCTCGAGCGGGAACACGCTATCCAACAAGGGAGTACACTTTCCCTGCTCGACCAACCCGGTAATCCTCTGCAACTGGTCCCCCTTTGGTTCCATGATGAAGAAGTGACTCTTGACATCCTTCACCTCCAGCCCAGCCGGCTTCGCGTCCTCAGGGGACCCGACCATGCTAACAAGCACACCACCATCCTTGACACAACCCCAGGCATCGGTCAGACTCTTACCACCAAAGCAGTCAATCACCAGGTCCACCTTTCGACCCTCCTTCTCGGCCGCCCACTCCGTCAGAGACTTCTTCCTGTAGTTCACAATCTCCGTAGCGCCCTTGGAGAGCACAAACTCTTCGTTTCCGTCTCCACACGTCCCAACGATCGCCTCGAACCCAGCAACCTTCGCTATCTGACAAACCCACATCCCAACTGACCCGGACGCGGCGGTGACAGCAACCCTCTTCCCTTTCACCCTCGCGTCCTCTGGCCCAGTCCACACGCCGGACTGCTCAAATAGCGCCTGCCAGGCCGTAAGGGCCGACAGAGGTACAGTAGCGGCCTCCTCCCAGCTCAGATTCGCTGGCTTCCGCGCCAACTCGCTCGTCAACGCGATGGTGTAGTCGCGAGCAGCTCCGGGGCGAGAATATGGGATGCGAGCGTAGACTTGGTCGCCTGGCTTGAAGGGCGAGGAAGGAGGCGCTGAAACCACGGTTCCTGCCATGTCAGGCCCGGGGACGGTTTCCTCTTTCTTGAAAGTGACGTAGGTGTGCCATATAAGTTCTCCGGCGCAGAGAGCGGTCGTGTGGACGCGGATGAGATGCTCGCCCGCGTCGAAGTTGGGCACTGGCGTAGGACGCGTCTGGAGCGTCAGAGTGGGCGCGGGCACATCCTGGTTAACAGACCGAATAGTTGCTGGAATAGATGAAGCCATATTGATGTTATTTTCTTCTCTTTCTCTTCTCTCTTAAGAATGGGTATACTTAAGAATGGGTATAGTAAGTGTGATCTTGAAGCTGTCGAGTTAGTTCCTAGTCAATGTATAAAACTACGGGATTGGGGGGGAACGAAGCTGTCTTAAATAATGTCAGTAGCCAGACTACTCATCGTGTCTTCTCGCTGAGAAATACGAGGTCTGGACCTCTTGTCGCGGGTTGTTATAGGCATCTCGGAATGTTGTATAGACGTGGTGGAGTTTCGATGTTGACTTCTCGGTCGATCGGCGATTACATCATAGGCGTAGTTATCTAGATGGATATTACATAATCCCGACACGGAGACACGGAGCTTCAGCTCGACGGATATCGGGCATTCGGGCGATTACAATAGTATATATAGCTTAGTATTTTAATATAGTGTTTGTTTTATGGTTATGATTTGAGCAGAGCCACGTGAAGGTACATAGGCGTTATCAGGCTACTCCGTATGTACGGAGTATAGTTATAGGATGTAGTTATAGGATGAATATCCGAATATTCGAGTAAAAGGCTATGTGCAGTGAGGTATACAGCTCATCTCCAAGTATCCCTCTTAATCGCGCCGGATATGCCGCAGCTCTGCGGCACCGTGTACTTCCGATTGGGGTCTTGTTCCCACACGATATTCCCTCCCGTCTTGCGGATGAACTTATACTCGAATGCCACGCTGGTTGGCAGGTCGATATCAACATACCACTGGTGACACTCGGCTCCGTATATATCCGATTTAAGAGGCACAGCCTTGTTGACGTCCCACGAGCCCAGCTCCTTGATCGATCCGGCAATGAAGAGGTTTTCACCGAATTGCGTCGTGGCGAGCAGCCTGAAGCGGACGTTGTTTCTCGTTGGGAGAGTCGTGGGACACGGTGTGGGCTCTGCGGTGGGCGTGAGATTTGGGGGCCAATAGGTTATTGTTGCTGTTTGGTAAGGCCCCGTTGCTGAAGAAGCCGCGCATGTCGAAGGGAGGTCTCTGGCGCCCTTTTCACCCCATGAAGAAGGCATTACTGAGTTGCGTCGGGCCATGACGGTCAAGTAAGAGGCGTAAGACCATGTGAGGTCTGCAACAGACAACGGAAGCCCGTTATCCCTTGAAAACTGCTCTGACAGCATACCGGTACATGGTGTGTATTTTTTCTTCACAGGAGAATAGTTAGTACAAATACACCTGGCCTGATTAAAGGGAGCTTACCGTAACTTCGATATATCCTTCCGCATAAGCCTTCACTGCGGCGATGATCTTCTCAAACTCTGCGCTGGACGACTCGTACGTGCCAGTCTGCGCTTGCGGGTATATGTCTTTGAAGAACGGCAATGAAACATCCGTCACTGTGACTTTACCTATCCTATTCCACTGGTGCATAGCATCATACAGCTGCTCTGCTGCTGCATATGTCGATACATACCATGGATTTCCATTGAAATATACGTCTTCGGGGTATCTGCCAATTGCCACGGCCTGGCCCTGTTTGATGCCACCGTTGATCTTGTAGATGGACCGGAAGGAATCAGTGACTGCCTTGTGATTTGCCAATGCTCGTGAAGAGCAGGGCTGGAATGTAGTATCGTCACAGTCTCCTTCTGGGTCGAAGGTGAGTATAGAGCCGAGGAGAGAGGCTGCGTCGAGACCAGAGCGGCCTTGGCCGTAGTTGGATCGAACGGCACTCCCGGTCCAGTATGACTGCAGATAACAGAGTGCCTGAGGCGCTTGTGACTCGCAGTGAGGGCAGCTCTCACCAAGTTCGCGGGCCATATTAATGCCTTCTACAAGGGCACGGTGTTGCACTATCGTGGTGAAAAAGGAGGGACCATGGACCTCCTCCCATAGATCTAGAAAGTAAATTGAGTTTCATTAATATATTTAACCTCGAGGTGATAGAAGCTGGAAATCGCTTACCGAACGCTGAGCTATTCCAGTGCTCGCTGACGTAGGAAAGGTCGTTTTTAACAACAGGCCACACGATCGACTTGGCGACGTCGTAGTAATTATTTGCCTATATGGTTGCAAAGGTGAGAAACGTGGTGGCTACCCACACCGAAAAAAATGTCTTTATATGCTTACAAGAAGCCATCTTGCATATTCGATCATGGCGGTAGCTCTGAGAGCCGGACCATCTGCCTGAGGACGACCCCAATCCTCATTATACGCCGTTTCATCCACATGATATTTCGGTTCACCCAATCCGCCACTGGACAGGCCACCAGAGCGAGTGTTCAACAATTGGAGACGTGCTTGGGACGAAATGTACTCTTGAATCTTGCTCTGAAGGCCAGTGTTTCCCGCAGCAAACGCATCGGCAATACACTTGAACACTATCGCCGAGTCTCTAGTCCAGGTAAAGTAGTCTAGATGTAAAAAGTCAGTGTATTGTACCAGTTGAAAATAAGGCCACGGCCAATGGCACCGATTCCTTACAGTCTGGATCTCTCCTGCTCGGGCTTGCTATAACCAGGCCGGGACTCGTATCCCACGCATTCGAGCCGTTTAAGCCGATATTATCGAGCATACTCTGGAGTGTGCCATCGTCCACTGTATCGGCAAAGCCATCGACGGGCGTCGCAAGCTTGGCCTGAAATGCTACGACAACGGGCAAAACGAGAAACGCAGAACATAACCGATTAGTTAAACGCATTGTGAAAACGACAAGCGAATCAATATCTCTGCCTCTTGACCGACAAACACTAAACCCCGAGGTTAACAAGCTGTTTAAATAGGTCCTCCTACGGCCCCCGCAGAGAAATCGACAAAGAAAGGGGAAAAAAAGATGTAGAGAGAGAATGGCGGGGAGTATAGCCGGGTTCGTGCAAGGTCAGGCCTGCCTTGCACGGCGTTCTAAAGACGTATCCGCCAACGAGGGCTGTGAAGAACGCCTGTAACCTGCAACCTGTAACCTGTAACCTGCGACGTATGATTCTGGCGGCCCGGATTCAAAGCTCGGTGGCGGCCGGTTGGTGTATACGGGTATAGAGCGACAGCATCAACATCAACACTCGGCCTCCATTGCACAGGGGCACGCGAGCCTGGGGCTGGAGACACGGGACGAAGATAGACCCCGATGGGTTGCCACTATGCGATACCATGCAGGATATGGAGCGCTTGGTTCGTTAGACGGGATGGATATGGAGCAAAATCAGCTCGGTCTTCGAAAAAAACAAGGTTGAGTCCATGAAGTTGTATTTCATGCAGTGGAACGCTCCTTGCATATAGCAGTCGGAGTTGTATAGGCGGAGTCTTGACGGGTTTTTCCAGGTAAACGAGGTTATCAGGAGTTATATTGTCTCTGCTTGCTGTTATGCTGCTATGCTGGCCTGATGCCGCCTGTATGTTGTAGAGGTGAAGTTGTTTGGACGTTCAATCTGGAAGTTGACAAGAAGTTGGAGATGGTACTCTGAGGTACTTAGAGGTACTTCGGGATACTTCGAGGTACTTTATCCTGGCCTGTTGTGACTGCCAAGAGCAAGTATATTTATGAGGCCACATGTACAGCATCACGTGGTGACTGTCACCAAGGTTGACGGCATCCTTGATATTAATGAAGTTGATAGATGGACTGTCGGCTATAATTATTACGTGAACGATATAGGAACGTCTAGAAATAGATTAATGCATATTTTCTGTGTTTTACCTTTCTACATAACTCGGTTGAACGGATAATTCCACCCTCCATGGACGATCGACCCCTTCACCATATGCAACTAGTTCCCGGGCCTGAAAATCACCGCGCCATTATGAAGACGAAAATAGAATAAAAAAAGGTGATAATCAACAAGGGCTTTTTGACACCGGTTCAAGGGACCTTGGCTCCCCCTATTGATATCTGGCATCAGCTTCGGAGACTCGTGAGCAACATGACAATCAGATATTAAGACTTTGGACAAGCAGCCGATCATAGGATGGTACCGAACCTGGTGAAGAAATTAGTACCATCTCGAGTTCAACGGTGTAGAATCATGGGATATCTGTCACATACCCGAAAGTCTGCTTGATGCTTCGGACGTAGTATCCGTCCCAGTTGTGCTTCACGACATCTTCCTGGCCAATTGGTACTCCGTCCCATCTCACGTTCAAGACAGTCACACCGTCGACATCGTTCTGGACAAACTTGATCTCCTGGGTGCTGTAGTGTCCCTCAGGCCATTGGGCCAGTCGCCATTTCTGGACGATGAGGCCGGGTTTGTCAAGAGTGATATATTCACCGTCCACGTTTCCGTCGAATATGTTAAATTGTCCGCCAACCTTGGCGCCGTCGAACCGGCGGGGAGCCCCGCGAGTGAACGCTGCAAGCCGTTGGGGATCGGTGAAGGTGGTAAATAGCTCTTCAGCGGTGGTGCGGAACTCGTCAGAGGCGTTGACGGAAGTTGTGTTAACGGACGATTTGCCGGTGGTGGTAGTTGTGGTGGCTGCTGCGGCCTTTGCGGCGGGCTGTGGAGTGGAGGATTTGAGGGTCACTGGCGTCGAGAAGCCGCTGGACGGGTTGGAGCCGGGCGCATGCTGGATGTCCTTTCCATGCTCTCCAATCAGAGCAGGGGCGAGTTTGGCGAGTGCCGTGCGCAATTGAGGAACTATCTTCGAGCGAACCAGGTCTTTCACTGGCTGCTTCGAGGCCGTCTCGGAATATATGCTCGTATCAAACTGTGAGGATCGGTTGGTTACAAATTTGCTACCCTATTATGGTCCGTACAAGGGAGGAGAGGTGAGGTTCGTCCAAGGGATAACATACTACGTACTCATCTTCCTCGGTGTCATGAGCAACCTCGGGGATTTTAATCGAACCAGTGACATCCTCCTCCTCACTCGTGGTTCCTGAAGAAAGAAAAGATAAATGCTTAGCCAGAGCTCAACCATGGCAAACGCCGTAAGGTGTGTATGTATTGCTATCTGGAAGAGCAAATGTGGGTAGGTATATCCACAAACCTTCATAGTCTAGCTGTAATTTCACATCGAAGAGGGTTATGACCTTTCCTTTCCGCTGGCTGACATCCACGTCGCCATCCATGCTGACAAGTTTATTTATTTTAGCAGTCACACCATTTTCCTCGGCGGAGATGCCAACAAGGCTCTCCTCTAGGTAGGTCTTCGCCCAGCCAGAGACATCCTTATTCACCCAATGCCAGTTATTTGGGTTGTGGAGAACCATCTTGTGAAAATAAATTGAGCCGAAGAAACGACGCGGACGCTGTAGATGTTAGTCTGAGAGAAGCACAGGTTCCAAGATGTCTGCTTAAAGTTCTTTATCTGCGAGGGAGACTGAGAATTAGCCTCACGGTCCAATGACATAGAGACGACTTGCTGAGATGAAGGATTGGACACGTTTTCAGATGGGCGTTTTAGCCCGGTTAAGCATTCCGCAACAAACAGAGTACAAATCTTGCTAGGACTGGTGCCAGCTCATGGGTATCATCATAAAACGAGGTATGAATGGTGGGTAAAAATATCAAGCGAGGGGCTGGTACTCACATCAAGACGATATGCCTAGAGTAACAGGCGCTGTGGCAAGTAGTGGTCAGCTAGCTCAAGGACTGAAGAGCGAGAGAGAGAGGGAAAAGGAGCGAGATGTAACTACGTTGGAGAGCGAGAGAGTGGAGGAGCAAGAAGTATTTAGTTTCTGCATTCACTTTCTTCCTTGCGGCTTTGGAAAGCTCTAGAAGAAAATCTGGTCGGAAATTCGAGATTTTAAAGGACAGTTTGGGTCACGTGATATCGCTTGACCGACCCCGTCAGAGCAACGATATATCATCATCATCTATATCTCTTTGAATAAATTGACAGGTTTATATTTAAACTGACATGTATAAAGTAACTATTTCCATGCAAACTGTAGCTCCTAACTAGACGTCCTCGGGCCAGTTCAAACTACATCAAAAACACCCTCCTACCCCCACCATCTGCGCCTATCATCGTACATTACGGAATAGAAATGTCACTGGTGGCGATGCTCAAGTTACGCTCCTGGAGCAGGCGAAAAAGCCTTGTCATATCCCACGTTAACTCCATATATCAGGTAGCAAGCAGCGTCGCAGTAAAACGAGACAGCCTAGTACGACAAACACAAACTCAGCTGGCAAGATATAAGGAAATCGGGAGCACCTGTTACTCGAGAGTTATTCATTCAAATCGAATCTAGAGACGCATCATGTCAAGGTCAAGGTACCAGGCAAAAAAACCCTTATATCCGCTGGTTCAAAGCTGATATTGACCAACGCAGGTTGAACTGTGCAGTGTCTTCTCGTTTCTTATTTCAGGTTGTTGAAGCCTTTGATATCTATCACGTGTTTTTATCTCACAATCACGTGTATCTTGGCTTCGAGAAAAGTCTAGGCTCCACTTTATGCATATTTGCCCCACTCGGCACCAACCCAATTCGGAACTATAACTGGGCGTATAAAACTACACCTCGCCGACTTCTCTTTTCTCACAGTTGATATACGAATTAATATACTAAAATGAGTGTCCTCCTTACTCAATCTTTATATAATTTCAATAAGATGGCACCGCTGACGCTACAAGGCTCGGGCAATCTTGGATGGGTAGATAAAAGGTAGATTGATATAGACATGGACTCCCACCTCTAAGTGGTCAGAGCAACTACATAGTACACAACTAAGGCTCACCAGACTAATTTACAGCGAATCCATCTCGAGCTGGTGGCTGGTCTACGCCTTTGCACTGAATAGCCTCGCTTTGTGCTTTGACAATAACACGTAGCTATAAATATACAAGGTAACAAACGAGTAAAATCAGGTTAAACGGAATTTTTCATTGTAGGTGTTTGGTATGTCTTACTTCGTGCAAACGAAATATGCGTAGCTAGTAACTAGTTCCGACTGTGGAGCTATATATATGCAGGGAGGGTCAAATTGGGTGCTGAATTCAACAACTAACACCGATCTTTGGTGTAAAAAACGTTCCAAAAGTCATCAAAATTATTCTTGTACTCATAAGTATCCGCTTCAAACAAAATAATTACTTCGAAACCACAGAAAAATAAATACAAACGAACGTAAATGGGTATCAAGTATTATTAGCATAAAAACACATGTAGTTGAAGAAGTGACAAAGGTCAAACAAAAACAAAGACACGGAAACACATCGCATCTGGATGCATACCGCATTTAGTATAGCGTACCGGGAAGAGATGAAAACTTTTCTCAACTCTGCTCCATCTGCTCCATTTCCTCCCATCCACCTTCACTGGCAAGACGGTGACGGACACGCTCCTTGACGCTGTCTAACTGCTGGCCTAAGGCTTCGGTCCACTGTTCCTCGACCATGCCCACTTTCTCCTTGAGGTCTAGAGTCAAGATCCGTTCTTCCTCCGAGCGTGACTCTTGCATCTCGCGGTGCACGTTTTCCTCATCTTCACCAGATATTATCCGCTGTACTTCCATGAACTTGCAGTTGGCGTTCATCAGCCCAAATTTGATTTCATGAAGCAGGCAGAGGAGGTTTGTCTGGGATTCGATGAATTGGTATGTTGATTTTCCGGCATGTGTGACTAGCGAGTACAGGTATTGCAGAGGAAATTGATAATAGCTTGGGTTCTCGTCATATTCCTTCTGAGGGATGCGGACAGAAAATCCTTCCAGGCTGTGTGGAATCTGTTGAAGAATGTTGACGATGGAAGGAGCAATATCCCAAAACGCAGAGAGTTGGGTCTCAACGCCTCGACTAACGTTTGCCTCGATTACGTCCATGAAGCCTTCGAATCGTTTAAGCGTTTCAGCTACGAAGGCTAGTTTCCGATCTTGCGCGTCGCGAATGAAGAAGTTGTGCGTTTCAGCGAGTTTTTCGGCATTCTTGGCTTGACGGTATGGAAGAGATACCACAGCTCTGAACTGTTCGTTGCGTTCGCTAAGAATGTCGTACTCTTCGCGGAACAAGTTCTCACGGCCATCAAAGAGCCATTTGAGCTGTGTCAACTTCTCTACTAGTTCTGGCTCCTCGTCACCTTCCTCCTGGGTTTGGTCTGGCGTTTGATGCTGTGCTGAATCGAAGAGCTTTCCTCGCAACTCGTCAATGCAGGCCGTAGCGATTTTAATCCTATCTTTCAAAATACTCTGCATCGGCTCTAGAACGTCAACCTGATACGAATCGAACTCGGTCTGCACCATCTCACGCTCCTTTTCATTTGCCTGTGCCTGTCGACTAGCTTCTGCATCAGCTGCTTCGGCGTAGGATATCGTGCCACTTTCGATCCCATGGTTCATCCGTGCTCTGAACCCACGAAGAGCTTCTTGAGATTCCTTCTGGTACTGTTCACGAAGGGTTTTTATTTTCTTTTCATAGCTCGCCTTGGTGGTGTGAACCTCGGACAAATCGCTAATCGACCGAACCGTCGTTCGATAGAATGCCATGTCCGGGTGATTGTTATTGACACCTGGATAATGTCTTGGGTACGGGGGAGGCAAAGTAACTAATCTTGAGATATCTAACTTTCGTGCCTCACGGTTGATTGCTGACATTGTACGTGACGGCCCCGGGGGTTGAGGTGTCTCAGGATCATGCCAGCTTACTTTCTCCGGCGGATATTCGTCAGGCCCATAGTTTGCAAAAGAATTCTGCTCGTTAGAGTACTGCTGGTCATAAGCGGCCTGTGTCGGAGTCAAATGGTCCATCTGCATTGCTTCGCGCATTTCTCGTGGTAACCCCATATATTTCGTTTCCCGCTTAGTGCGCGACAATTTCCCACTGGCATCCCCGCTGTCGCTACCAGTCTGAGATTCCCACCAGCGACTTGCAGCTCGACCTCGGGAGCTTTCCTCATTGCTCATGCTCATGCTTGCGATGGGCGATAAGGCTGGCTTATATCCATTCCCAATGCCAGATTCAATTATAGAGGGTCGCCTTTTGGGGACACTTCTTTCAGGGGTCTGCGGGGGCTCCTGTGGGCCAACAGATCTGTCCCTGGCTGCAGCCTTCAACGGGTTACTCTTGAGGTCGAATAGCTTATCACCAATAGCCTTAGGGTCAAAAGTTAAGTTATTCCATTCTGACCCATATTGCTGGCGACGGACGCCAGATTCAGTCACAATAAATTCACAAAACGCCTGTAATGCATCAGGAGCATTGGTTGCTGATGACTCTTTCGAAAGGTACTCACGATACCTCCGTTCTGCGTCTTGGATGAATTTCTCGTCGACTGGCGCGTAAGGGACAGCCTTGGGCGAGGGGCGCCGAGAAAGGAGCCTATTCGGAACAAGGGGTTGTGCTTCCAATGGTGAAACGTCAACAGGAAGATGTAAAAGGTGCGAGATGGGTCGGTCTGAACCAGCACTCCGCGGTTCCAATCCAAGCAAGCTCGCGTCCTGCTGCTGTGCTGGAGGTGGAGTTGGCAGAGCCTTGGGCGGTAAATGCAGCGACTCGGGCCCCAGGGTTGGTGATTTTTGCTCTCTCCCAGGGGAAAACGGAGGAGTTTGACCACGGTTTGTCAGCTGCTCATGGGGAAAAGATTGTAGTCTGGGAGTGGCAGAGTATGGGGAGCTGATGGTGTTCATCTTGTTGCTGAAGGGTGAGCTGGCCGATCTCGCGCTGTGTAGAGGCTCCTCTCCGGGGTTGCTACGGGCACTGCGCGGGGTGGACTTGGTGAGGGTACGGCGGCGAACAAGCCCAGAGCCCGACGCTGGAGAATTAAGGACCAAATCGGTTGGCCATGACATGTCATGGTTTTCATCTTTAGCTTCCTGTCCGGGAGCGCCGCTTTCAGTTCTGTTATGCCTGCTTTGTATACGGCGCTCGCGGATTCCTTTTTGACTCTGGGCTCTGGTGGAAGATGGCGCGCGCTGTGGTGGTCCATCACGATGGAGGTTCGGTACTGAGTTAGACATGCTTGGAGAGGCAGGGACCGACCTTTGATGTTCATGGGGGCTCGCAGATGTTCGTCTGGGCGTAGCTGGAGGGTTAACATGGTCAGGCGTCCATCCAAGAGGTGTTGCGGGAATGGTGGGAAGACTGGGCTCTAGTGACGATGATCCGGATCCTGAGCGCAGCCTATCTCCTCCATTATGCGATATGCTGTTTCGTTCTACCGCAGACTGAGACGAAAAAGACGTTCTTCTTGGAGCGCCCGCCGGCGGAGGACCGGGAGGGGGAGGCGGAAGTGGCATTCCAGGCTCCCACCTACCACCTCTTGGAGACGAGTGGCTATCGGCTTGGGTACTGGTCCTATTTGGTCCTCTACCATGTGGTATGTCACCCGTGGACACGGCTCTTCTTGACGCTGGGGGTACAGATTGTAAAACGGCCTGGGACGAATCAGCATTTGATCCTGACGACGATGGTTCTGCACGTCCGACCACAGGGCCGGAGCCATAATGGCTCTGCAATCGAGACGAACTGTCATTTACTGGAGCTTGTGAGTGGACATTGACTGATGAACGAGCCGGCATAAAGGTTGTTCGATGATCAGAGCGCACCGATTCCCGCTGCTCGTGAGTAGCCACTGGTGATGGACCAGGCCGGGAAACAGGATAGTGATATCCCGAAGACTCTCTCTGTCGTGACTGTGAAGCAGCTGTATTTTGTTGAATAGGCGCTGCAATAGGACTTGGGCTGCTAGATAAGGGGAACCCAACTTGTGGAGATTGAGCTCGCTGCCCCCGGAAAGTTGTTCGTGGAGGTGAGTACGGAGGGGGCGGGGGCGAGGCTATACATTCGATTCCCATGTTAATATCAAGATTCAAGTCGGCTCATACACGAGATAATATACCTGTCACTGATGCTGAGGACGGCGGCGGCGGTTGATGAACCATCCCCGTCGCCGCAACGGGTGATGTACCACCGGATATTGGTCCCCATTCCTGTGGGTTATACCGCGAGTTAAACGACCGTGGTCGTGCGGAAACGGACATCGGCGACGTAGTAGCTGTCACACCGCTCAGCATGCCGGACGACAGGTACGGCGAAGTCATTGATATCGGAGTGAACGAGAGACCACCGGCGGAAGGTAAGCCAGGCGGACCTGGAAATTGAGGCCCACTCAACGACGTAGTGAGGGCAGGAGGCTGGACAACATTCTCTCGACGACGCGGCGGGTGTATAGGCAGCGACAGAGGAGCTGAGTGTGGTGCTGCCTGTATGCGATGGTGGGAAGACGATGTCTCCAGGCTATCCGGCGTCCGATCCAACGGGCTAATTACCAACGCGACGAAGGCGACTAGGTCAGCCGATGATGCTCCAAGCTAATGAGCAACAGGGAGGCAGAGTCCAGGCGTCTAAAGGGCGCGGATGATGGAATAAAAAAATACAACCCCCAGTCCGCAATTCCACAGGAGAGACGACGGGAGAGAAAAAGGAAGTAAACGGGGAAGAGGGCACTGGATGTATTATTAAATGAGGGATTTGCCACACCTGTTCATCTTATACCAAATGCTCTTGATCAGACCAGGTCAAAGATGCGGTTACAGCACCGTGGTGGGCCAACAAGCACCAGGGTGTGCGGTGCGTTGCCTCGCTGTGCGCGGCACCGTATCTGGTTTAAACAGCCTAAAAGAGACAAATCACACCAACAAAAGCGACGTGGATGCCACCAGCACGCAGACGGTTTGCCGGGAATGAATGCATTGGCTAACTGGAAAGGCGCCCGTGTCTGAGACGGCTAGGTAAGCGGGAGCTATGATTTTTCTTTGGGGGCCAGGACGAACTTTTGGAGATAGACTATGGTCGTTCAGGACGAGCGAATGAACTTTGCCAAATGGCTGCTGGCTGGGCTCTGCAAGTTATTTTTAAATGCTTAAGAGCCTGGGGAGCGAGGTACATCCCCGGCCCCTGTCGAGCAATGCTGTGCTTTGTACACGACAGAATGCAGCTAGTGATAATAATAGAAACTTAATTAACGCTAGGAACGTTAATTAATCACGGTGACAGGAATGCAGAGCAAGAAAAAGCAAGAAAAATAGAGTAATTTACTCATATTCTTTGCTGGCTCGAATATGAGAGACTTCTTCCCGCATCTCTAGCTCTGGATGAGGCTGGGCCAACATTCCGGTTCCGCATGGAATTCGTTACCCTCGACCATCATCGGGAGGGATCATTTCGATCTTCGAGCATGGTCTGTAAGTATCGGCCGGCGATGCCAACCACGAACTCCCGGATCCTCGATACGCCGTGTGTAATACTGCTAGTAAACTTAGCATGTATTGGCATGAGTGTGCGTGCATTAAGACCTTGCCTCTCCTGCAAGGCGGGCGGTTAACCCATTCCTCCATTCGTCGATGGAATGGAGAAAGGCAGTGTGAGGCTCTCACTGGTTGCCGTCGATGTGCGTGACCAGGGTAACCCTGGATGCCCAAGGCCTTAACTCCAATAAGATGGGCAGCTAAGAATTTGGCGTATTACTGATACAGAGGCATATTTTGGAGGGCAGAGTAGGACGTCGTAGGACATGGTAGGGCAGAGGGTGAAACTGATGAGTCATCTTATTGCTTGCTGCACACGGAGTCAGTCTATCGTGATATATATAGGGATTAGAGGGAATATCAAACCTGGAGGTCGTGAAGTTGAGGTTGAAGTTGAGGTGGAACTTTTGTATGGTCGAGAAATCCCCAATCCGGTGGTCATGTGACTACCCAGGATGGCGGGGGCGAACTTGCTCACAAAATGCGTTCACAAGAAAGAAACTATTTACTGATAACTCGCGAGAGATAGTTTGTTTATAATATTGTTTCATTTTATTGACTTGTATCCTGTAGGTGCAGAAAGCTATTGAACAGGTTGAATATATGACCAACCGTCTCGTATTGCTACATCGAACTAACGATTTGCATATTGGATTACCGTTCACATCCCAACGATCCCATGTAGACCTTGGATACCCCTTCAGCCCCAGGATGAATGTCCCGAGTAAGAGTGGTGTTGCACCGTACCACTCAAGGTAGGACATGGGAAACAATCGAACGGGAAACCTATGCGGCATTGAAATTAGTACAATGCCTCGGCCGTGTCAAGGAACGTATAAAAGTAACAACGGATAGTGAAATGTGTAGTGTCAGATTAATGCCCTGTCACAGGCTGTGGTCATCAATGTATAGACTATGTTGACCGTCGTGATAAAAAATAAATCATCATGTAAAGCGGCTGGGAGGGAGGATGAAATAAAAGAAAATATGTGAGTGTAAACGTACCATTTGCATATATTGGCCCATAGGGCTCATACTGAGGCAACTACATGTGTCTATGGCATCGGTTAGCCCCCCCGTCGCTATGCGCTGCTGACTTGTACAGACTTGAGAACAGGTGTTCAGGAAGGTTGACATTCTCGTCTTTGCTAGCGAAGCTAGCTTGGACATATGCTTGTCTTGTGTCGTATTGTCTCATCATGTGAAAGCGTGCTGAATTGACCAACGGATACTAACGTACCATTATGTAGAGTGACAGCCTGTGATGAGCTCAAGTCAGTATGCTATGAGCCATGCAATGCATTGTGTGTGTGTTAGATAAATAAGGGCAATACATGTTCAGTTTGGCATGAATGGTTATTGAAATGTTGTGTCTGCATCGAGAATTCGAATAAGACTCGTCATCAAGCTTTCATCACGATGTCGGGATGCTGGGCTAATAGTGGAAGTGGGAACTAACCATTGTTGAAGCTATATAGGGTAGTAATGTAATAATATCAAGTAACTCTGCCATTCGTCCCGTTAGCAAGGGAGAAATTTAAACCATGATAGATAACATGATTGTATTGGCCACGAATCAGTGGGCGAGGTTTTCTAGGCCTGCCACAAAAGGGCATATCCGTCATGACCGGCGATGCCGTCGGAGCCCAGTGCCATTCATCCTTCTGTGTCCTTGAAAGAAATGTTGAAAAGACAGTGATGTCTTACATGGAAGTACCTATATCTGGAAAGGTATGTGGTTGAGGGTAAGTCTATTAATCCTGTTTAACAGTTAGCTTGACATTCAATCGAGTAGTGTACGTGTCAACAAGAGTGAGATGAAGCCAAATCAGAAACAGCCATTTATAGTAACGTCAACGACCCGAAGGTCTCAGTCGGTATTTCCAGCGTATATTATAAAAAAAGAATCATCATGTAAGGCAGGGCGGAGGGGTTAGAATATTGAGCAGGTAGCTTACCATTTCATTTATTAGAGTGCTACATGGTAGCAGACATGGTCACTGTATCTGAGAGGCCCAACGTTAGCATCATATGTTAAAGAACGCGTACGCGAGATCTTCAGCTCGTCGACATGTAGTCGATACATTTCAGACTGACGTGTGCAATTATGGAGTTTCATGTCTTCCGAAGAAGATCAAAGACTCTAGTTTAGCGGTTATACAAATCATCACCGAAGGACAGAACACGAAACAAAAAAGAAAAGAAACAAGCAATTGCTATCAAGTCAAGCTTACCTGGAAGAACAGCCATGGGCGCAAGTCCATTAGCTAGAGATGTTAGTCAAACGCGGCATTGTGATGGAAAGATGTTTTGCTGGTGAAGCACGGCAAGCTTGTGTTGATATTCGCACAGTGAAAGCGAGAGAAAATTCAAGCTGCGAAGTTGAGCTTTTCTAGTTAGGGCTTCGCCAAGCCCCTTACCATAACAGGCTATATTCTCCGTCCTTGCAGCCACAGTTATTCCGACCGGATAATCCCCTGCTGAGTCATCACACTGATCGACCTCGCATCGGAACCTTTGACCTTTGTGCCTGGAGCATCTTTCTCATCTTCAACGGCTATTCCATCTCGTCTCTCTGCTACTGTGTAGAGACCTCCGGATGGCTCCCGCGCGATCTGCCATGTCCCTTTGCCCCTGAGCCTGCGACAGAGTTCCGCCCCATGTGATAAAAGGGGAGCGAGGTCACGTTGCCCGAAGAAACCTCGCGAAAATAAGCCGGAGAGGGGCATCCTGGAGGGGCAGAGATGGAGTACCCAGTACTTGTCTGACAGGCGTATCTCTAGTGCACATGGAAGTACCAGTGACCTGCGACAGGCGGCTGTTCACGGGAAACTCCCGCGGTTGTTCCCTCTGCTGGGTCCAGTGACTTGCCCAGGGGGTGACGTCGTTTTCTTCTATCTCGGGCGTTTGGCCAGGCGTTGAGGAAGCAAATATTAACCCCTCCACTGCTCTCGAATTCCCCTGCGTCAATCCAGCTCGAGTGCTTGACTGTCCCGCCTGTTCATTTGTCTATCTCACTCACCCTTCCACCACCTACACATTTACTCAAGATGGCTGATGCCAACGGCAATGGCAGCGGTGCCGTTGGACACGAGAACATCAACACCGATATCATCACTCTCACCCGGTTCCTGACCGAGGAGCAGACCAAGCACCCCGAAGCCACTGGTGACTTCACGTATGTACCCTTCTCCCAACTCAATTGGAGTCCAATGGCCTGGTATAGATATGCTAACATGTCCTCGCAGACTCCTTTGCCATGCCCTCCAATTCTCCTTCAAATCTATTGCCTACTACATTCGTCGTGCCACCCTGATCAACCTTACCGGTCTAGCTGGCTCCTCCAACACCACTGGTGATGACCAAAAGAAACTCGACGTGATTGGCAATGATGTTTTCGTCGCTGCCATGCGCGGCTCGGGAAAATGCCGTCTCCTCGTCTCTGAAGAAGAGGACCAAGCCATCCTCTTCAACGAGAGCCCTAATGCTCGCTACGCCGTTGTCTGCGATCCCATTGATGGCTCCTCTAACCTCGACGCCGGTGTCTCCGTCGGCACCATCTTCGGCATCTTCCACCTCCCCGACGAAGTCCTCGGAGCTGACAAGACGGTCTCGGCCCAGGACATCCTCCTCCCAGGAACCCAGCAGGTCGCATCTGGATTCACCATGTACGGCGCCTCAGCACAGCTTGTCATTACCGTGAAGACAGGAACGGTCAATGGCTTCACTCTCGACAACGCTCTAGGTGAATTCATCCTCACCCATCCTAACATGCGCATCCCACCTAGCCGCTCAATCTACTCCGTCAACGAAGGAAACTCGATGTACTGGCCTGATTGGGTCAAGAAGTACTTTGAGGAACTCAAATATCCTACCAAGGAAGGTGGAAAGCCATACAGCTCGCGATATATCGGTAGCATGGTTGCTGACGCATACCGAACGCTGTTGTACGGTGGTATCTTTGCGTACCCGGCTGACTCGAAGAGCCCCAAGGGTAAGCTGCGTATTCTGTACGAGTGTGCACCCATGGGTCTCATCTTTGAGAACGCAGGTGGTCTCGCTATCAACTCTAAGATGGAGAGGTTGTTGGATGTGGTGCCAGAACATATCCATGACAGGAGTGGAATCTTCATGGGCAGTAAGAATGAAGTTGAGAAGGTCATGGATGTGCACAAGCGATTCGAATCTGCTGGTTCCAGCTAAATGTTGAGCATAGTATGAAATGTATGTATGTGAATGAAATTAAATACGTTACAGCGAAGAAACTATTACAAACAATCCAAACGTGTCATCAGCCATTGCGATAGATTTATTATTCTTATTAGTATTCACTGATGCTGCCCTATCTACTGTGCTGTTCCATGTCCTAACTCCGAGATATCCCCGACAAGCAAACCAAACACCATGCATATGCACCACATAAAACGAAAAAGCCAACCATAACACCATACAATCATCCAAGTACCACAGCGTTATATCATCCGATAAGCTGCCGTTGCAGGTCGAACAGCCGCAAAACTAGGGGACACAACATTCACGCTACCCCGCGCCATAGACTCCCGTATCACTGGCATTGTCGGCTTCTTGGGTGGTAGCAATGTTGTTGTGATCGGTCTAACCGGCCTAGTGTATGAGGATGAGGCCGTTCGATGAGTAGAGTTTGATCGAATAGCTTGTGTTCGCTGAGAATTCGGTCGAGTGTGTAGTCGGGAAAGAAGATATTTATACTGGAGCTGTGCACTCTCAGATTGAAATGGCTCGGGAGGAGTAAGAGCTGGCTTGTTGGTGGGATTCGCAGTGGCACTGGGTTTGGTGATGGTAGATGTGAGCACTGGAGGTGGTGATGTGGTGGTAGAAGTGTTGACGTTGGTGTTTATCCTCAATGCTGGATGGAGTAGTAGTTCCTTGCTGGAATCTGCTGGCGAGGGTGCAGGTGTAGGTGATGGTGTAGTTGTAGTAGGGACTGGAGATGCTTCTATATAGATATGTTACTTCGTGGTTCTTGTTCTTCTACTTTTGTATAACATACCTATATCTCTTGGAGCTGCTTCTTTCTTCTCCTTGTATCGAACGACAAGCATACGATATAGAATAACTAGCAAGGCGAGTAGAACCAAGAACGACAATACCTCGGCCACTATAACCAGCAACACGGTGGTCTGTTGTGAAAGCATCGTGGATACCAAGTAATGTATAGATGGATAGTCGAGAAGGGCTTTAGATTGATGGTAGGCCTGCAATTCAAGTTCGATGTAAACTACCTACCACATCAATGGGGAACGGTACTTACTTATCTACACATTCGTACTTCCTAGCTCATGGAGATGAGCCCCCTCGAGCTTCTATCAATAACCTACCTGCCCATGGTCACGTCTCTAGCTACAGAAGATACGCCCCCGTGCATTTGCATCGATCAGGGATTGACAACCCCCTCCCCCTCCTAAACAAGTGAGGAACCGGATAAACAGCCCACCCTGCTGCATTATTCACATCGCATACGCCGGGGTGTACAGCCAGTGACAGCGTAGCCTGCGTCTACGGCGTGCATGGGATGTGCCTATTTTTACCTTTCGGCCCATGCCGCTGCGGGTGGCAGTGCGACCAAACACAGGGGACGGGCGTTCTATTTTAGCTGTTGGCCCCTTAACCCTGGACACATCTCCATGTCTGCAGGGCATCTCCAGCGACCTTAGCTACCCGGAGTAACTCACTAGACTTAAGACCGTTATCAGTCCACCATCCTTGAAGATGGGACTTGAGACTTCGAGCTCGCTGTTCTTCCCCGCTTAGTCAGGAAACGGCCAAGCCAAGCCATCAAGTTCAAGACGACATCTATCAACATGACGACACTCTCGCTGCTTCACACGGGCAACGTTATGCACTTCATTCCAGAGGAGTATTTGTACGACTGGGACTGGCCCAGATGACGCTCAGCGCATTGAGAAAATGATATCCAGTGCCGCAGCTGCAAAGCCATGCCACAACTGCCGGCGTCGAAGACTCAGATGCGATCGTTCCCAGCCAACCTGTCAAAAATGCCGTAAGACAGGCGAAGAATGCCTCGGGTATGGCAAGATCCTTCTTTGGGACCAAGGTGTGGCAAGCCGTGGAAAGATGATGGGTAAATCTTTCGACGTGCCTCAAGAACGGACTGTGGCTTCAGCGGCACCTGGAAGCCAGACACAGCGCCCTTCTCGGAGGTACCGCTTTGTCCAGAGCAATATACATAATACCAATATTGCTAGGAGAGACGACACGGCCATGTCCATTAATCCGTACTTGGTAGACCCGTTATTCCAGGACCTGGACCATACATCTCGATTCTACATTTCGCACTGTAAACAATATCCTGACATCTTGCTTATTATCTCTGCAGAGTCACTGACTTCTCTTTTAGTTGCAGACCAATTATGTCGAGATCTTGTGACCTATGATGTTCCAAGGCATAATCCTTATCGTGACATTGTTCCGCTGATAAGTGGCCATGCACTTCTGTGCCACATCGTAATTGCAAATTCTGCAATTCATATATCGAACATGTTATCCAAAGGATCAGCTCTGCCGAATGGGATATCTGCCCAGTTGTCCCGTGGCCATGCACTGGCGGCAAAACAGAAAACCCTCCAACTTCTCAACCAGTCATTGAGTGATATAGACAATGTAGACCCTGAGGTTATACTCACGGCTATCCTGCTATCTATTAACTACGAGCTCGTAAGCTCTGGAAAAGACGACTGGAAGGTGCATGTGGAGGGTGCCCAGAAACTTATAGATTATTTTGGCCTGTCGAGGCACTCTGATCTAGGCACTCACTCTGCAATGGGTGCGTTACGCGACCACGTTGTTTCAGATTGCCTGATGTAAGTTTGGAAACCCCCAAAGGCTTTTTATTATTATGCCCTGATAAAAGGCAGCATGCTGAAGTATGCATAACTAGCTATTACATACTCGGCTCAACCTTCTCCCCCAAGCTACCCAGGACGGGAGCCATCCATTATCCTCCGCTAGACGCGCTACCGATGCTGGAGCGGGCAGAGGCAAACAGCTACATGTCCTGCCCAGCGTTTTTACTTCAAATAATGCTTTCGGCGTCACATCTGTCCAGCCTAGACAAGGTGACAACACTCGAGGAAGAACAGGCTTTCTACCTGATGAAGAGAGCTCAGTCCTTTGGCATCCATGCATGGGCGGCATCTGTGCAAGGTATTTCGTCATACAACGACTTTGATAGCCGCGTACATGTGGCAACCGCACATAAATCCGCGGTATGCCTCTACATTCACCGAGCTGTCCCATCTGCAAGCCTGCTAGATAAAAGCAGCATAAAAGCCACGATCAATGACATCATATGGCACCTTTCCTTCATACTTCCTGGAAATCTACTACTCAAGGGTACTTCTTGGCCAACATTCATAGCAGGCGCCGAGAGTCATGATCCGGAACAGCGAGCATGGGTTGTAGCCCGTCTTCACGCGTTATGGGAGATCCTGCCATGGGGCTATGTCCATACAGCGATTGAGATGCTGAGAACAACATGGGCAGCCGAGGATCTTGCCACTGAATTGACTGGCGGGTGGCTCCAGAGGCTGAAAGCGTTGGGAAACGACTGGATTGTTGTTTGATATCCCTCTCGATCTCCCATGCGAATATCAAGTTCAAGTTCAATGTCCAGGTATCCACAACAAAGGATGAAGTTTCCTCCTTGGCAAGATTACCCAAAGAGGAAGCTTGGCGACAGGTTATGCATTCGTCATAACCTTATTCTTAAAGTCTGTTTGGGCAGGAAACTCAATATGGAGAATCGGCTTTTCTATATAAACTGGCAATCGCTGTCAACCCGGCGAATGGAGATACGTCACCTTCATCCTCCCTTGTTCGCCGTATCGAAAATGGGAGAGACCCGGCTTTCAAACCAGGCCTCGAGACAGTCCCAGTGGCCACTGTCGCGGCCCGCCCATGGTCTCCAATATGAGACTGTTATTGAGGAGATAAGATCCGATCCAAAGAACGGTCTGACTGCTTCAGAGGCCCAGTACCGTCTGGAACAGTATGGGCGAAATGACCTGGGAAATATCGACTCTGGTCATCCAGCAAAAATTTTGCTCCGGCAGATTGCAAACGCCATGACTTTGGTAAGGCCGCCTACCATCCACAAATTTAAGATGAACTACTAGCTAACCCGAAAAATAGATACTCATGATGGCTATGGCAGTGAGCTTTGGCATCAAAGCTTGGATTGAGGGAGGGGTGCTAGCAGCGGTTATTCTCCTCAATATCGGCATAGGTTTTGTCCAGGAATTCCAAGCAGAAAAAACCATGGATTCGCTTCGGTCCCTGAGCTCCCCGACAGCCTGCTCAATACGTGACGGGACACAAATAACTATCCCAACGGCAGAGATAGTACCCGGTGATATAGTGGAAATGAAGACTGGCGACACCGTCCCTGCAGATATTAGGTAATGGACTTACCATGCCCAGTATCGACCTTCTAGCATATGCTAACTTTACAAAGGCTTATAGAGGCTATCAACTTTGAAACCGACGAGGCTTTACTTACAGGCGAATCTGTGCCTGTTCGCAAAGAAGCCAATGCCGTTTTTGACGACGATACCGGACCTGGTGACCGTCTTAATATATGCTACAGCTCTTCTATTGTGACCAAAGGAAGAGCTAGGGGAATTGTCGTTTCCACAGGTGTATATACGGAAATCGGCTCTATCGCGGCAGCATTTCGAGAAAAAGGAGCATATCGACGCGTAAAACGCAAGCCAGACGGCTCCGCAGGACCCCATCGTTACCTTGAATGGGGGATTTTAACCATTTCTGATGCCCTTGGTGATATTTTGGGCCTTAACGTTGGCACGCCGTTACAGAGAAAACTTTCTAAACTTGCGCTGGTCCTTCTTGGGACTGCCGTTATTTGTGCGATTGTTGTTCTCGCAGCAAATAAATTCAGCAATCACCAGGAGGTCATCGTTTATGCTGTGGCAACTGGCTTGAGTATGATACCGTCGTCTTTGGTGGTAGTTTTAACTATTACTATGACAGTTGGTACAAAGCGGATGGTCAAGAGGCATGTCATTGTACGCAATTTGAATTCATTGGAGGCTCTCGGGGCAATTACAGGTAAGACCATCTTTACAAACTTGATGCACGCTGAAGCTGATATCTGGAAGATATTTGTTCGGACAAGACAGGTACACTTACTCAGGGGAAAATGGTTGCTCACAAAGCCTGGGTTCCTGCGAAAGGGACCTACTCGGTAGGAGAGTCGAGCCAACCATTTAATCCCACGCTTGGAAAGCTATACTTTGAGGCTCGGCAACCGTGCGAAATTGATTTTAAGGACGAAGAAGGTGGCCTTGGAGCCGAGTATAGCCAGCCTAACAGCGACCATCACCTTGATGAGTTCCTTAAGGTTGCGTCCCTAGCAAATCTTGCTGTTGTTCACGAGACTAGTGATGGAGACTGGGAAGCCCGTGGTGATCCAACAGAAATTGCCATCCAGGTCTTTGCATCACGCTTCAATTGGAACCGTTCTAGGCTGGCTACTGGAGACAATCCTGCATGGAAGCAAATAGCTGAATTCCCATTCGACTCGGATATCAAGAAAATGTCCGTCATTTTCGAGTCAGCTTCGGGAGGGATGTACGCCTTCACCAAAGGTGCCGTGGAAAGGGTTATAGGATCATGTTCCTTAATACAAATGAAAGATGGTTCAGAGCCTGAGGCAATCGCACCTGATGTTCGGGATAAGATTCTAGCTAACTTAGAGGCATTTGCGGCCCAAGGTCTTCGTGTCCTTGCTCTGGCCAGCAAACCAGTCGCTGAATTTGACCAAAATAGCGGAGAGCTGGACCGCAACAACATCGAACAAGACTTGACCTTTCGTGGTCTCATTGGGCTTTACGACCCTCCTCGCCCTGAATCCGCACCTTCGGTGCGGCGTTGCCATGAAGCTGGTATTTCTGTCCACATGTTGACGGGCGACCACCCTAGCACTGCGCGAGCCATTGCAACCGATGTTGGCATCCTTCCTGCTCATATGGACGGATTAAGCAAAAATACCACAGATTCCATGGTTATGACAGCTCACCAGTTTGATAAACTCACGGATAGTCAGATAGATGCTCTCCCTGCTCTCCCCTTGGTTGTAGCACGATGTGCACCCAACACGAAGGTTCGGATGATTGAGGCGATGCATAGACGCAGGAGATTTGCAGCTATGGTAAGATACGCACCTCGCATTCCCATTGTCCCAGCGCACCAATACTGATAATTCTAGACTGGAGACGGAGTTAACGATTCGCCCTCGCTCAAAAATGCTGATGTTGGCATTGCCATGGGCATGGCTGGTTCCGATGTCGCGAAGGACGCATCAGATATAATCCTGACAGATGACAATTTTGCCTCAATCCTTAATGCTATAGAGGAAGGTCGGCGAATATTTGATAATATTCAAAAATTCATATTACACGTCCTATCTCAGAACTTTGCACAAGCCATAGTTCTCCTGGTAGGTCTTGTATTCAAAGATAAAAATAACTTGTCAGTCTTCCCACTTAGCCCGGTTGAGATTATCTGGCTTGTGATGATCACGTCAGGGCTCCCGGATATGGGCTTAGGATTTGAGCAGGCGACGGCGGATATCATGCAGCGCCCTCCGCAGAGAGTGAGTATCTCGCCCGGCCTACTGTCCAGTTGATAATAATTACCTCCACAGGCCTTCTAAGTTCAATGTACTGACGCATTTTGTGATTTAAGGGCGGTATCTTCACTACGGAAGTAATGGTCGACATGCTTGTTTACGGTACCTGGGTCGCTGCTTTGTGTCTTGGTGCTTTCACGCTGGTGATTTATGGTTTCGGTGACGGCTCACTGGGAACCAACTGCAACAAAATGTACGAAGGCTGCGAGCTGGTCTTCAGGGCTCGAGCCACAACTTTTGCCTGTCTGACATGGTTTGTCCTCTTCCTAGCCTGGGAGATGGTCGATATGCGCCGTTCCTTCTTCAATATGCGACCTGCTTCTCCACCGTCACCCATTATTCCCAGATGGTGCCGCGATATCTGGAAGAATCAGTTTTTGTTCTGGGCAAATATGTCTGGATTTACCATTGTGTTTCCCCTAATATATATTCCTGTTATAAATAGGAAGGTCTTCCGTCATACGGGCATCTCATGGGAGTGGGTGATTGTCCTTGTCGGTACAATTTTGTTCTTCGCAGGTGCAGAGACGTGGAAATGGATAAAGAGGGCATACTTTAGAAGAAAGGCAAGTTCGGTGTCTGGGGGTGTTGGGGGCAAATTTGATTTGGAAAACAGAAAAGGACGCCGGGGGACTGGGCAGTATGGTACATGGAGTGTCCAAGGTTCTGGCACAAAGTCTTTCAACTAAAATTAGAAGAAATAGATTTTAAGAATGATGATATTTAGAACTCTCATAATCTAATTCCTTTCTCTCTAGGTGGTCTATTACTATTATTATCACCTATATCAATCAGCCCCTATTTTCCACCTATTCAAAGGAGCAACGGCTGTTATAATAAACATGGTCAAGTGCTTTCAAGAGCCCGACAAAGTGTATAGCCATCCCTACGGCGACGATAGTATGGAAGATAGTGTGAGAGTGACCCCATATATCGAATCTGCCAGGGTACCATCGTTCAGGTATTTGTCGCTATTTCCCCCGATTAGTATAAGATGCGATGGAAAATAGCAAAAGGTTAATTTCTAAAATGTCTTACCTCGTAAATATATGCTGAGATAGCTATGATAAGACCCTCAGCGAGATAATAAGGCAAACCGACCTTCCGGCTACCTTCGAACCCGAAGAGCAATACTGCATGTGTAATGGGTGCAAACGCAGATAAACCAGTGCAAACGAACGTGGCTACCCGAAATGCTCGCCATTTGGGGTCTTGGAGTTGAGGTGACAACATGATACTCGCGGTCAATGAACCAAGGACAACAATCTAAGTATTATTTCTTGTTAGTGGAGGTATGCCCTGGTATCTCTACTCCGTACATAAAACTAGAATATCAAACACACCATGGTCCAATATAAACGCTGAAGATACGGTTCACAGTAAAACCCAAAATATATCCCGCTGATAAAACAGCCCAGGATAAGGGTAATGATGCCCATGTAATCGCATAATAGCCAACGCCTAGCTATTGGCGCGGAATGGTTTAGAAACGTATGGTACAGAGCCGAGCCTCCCAGACATACGATGACCGTAGATAGATAAAGAAAGAAGATGAGCTCATCGCCTTGGCTGAGTGATCTATATCTGGTTGGGAAGTAGTAGTTGAACAGATACCACTGAACGGCAACACATAGAACAGCGAGTAGAAGGTGGGAGTATATGTTGCAGGATTCATTATGGAGATAAGTCCAGCTTTGCAGTGAACGAATCGCTGATCGAGACTCATGGCGATAACCCGTTAGAATAAACCGATTTCCCTCGAACCAGCTCGGCGTCTCTTCAAATTTAAGAAGGCGACCATATTGGAACGGTGACTCGAGCCGTGGCGGCGGTGTTGGAGGAGCAGACTCCGTCGACCTCTTTCGCGGCATCAGGAACAAGACAAATCAACACGAGTACGGAGTATATGCTTCAACCTGAGGTTTAACGCGCGTTATACCAAAGCTTTTCAATATCTCCGTACCCACGCTTGTATTTTGGACTTTATTAAACGATAAAGCAACATGCAGCCCGATCGACTCACCAGCCATCTTCAAAAAGGGGTTTAAACAGCGGCTAATCGGTACAGTCACAAGCGCTGCACTAAACACGCGCGTGACGTGCATGGCGCTGCACCTAGTACGCCGGCATACACTGGACTCGAATTAGTTAATATTAGTGCAGGACATCTTCGTATTTTGGTGACCCCTCAGTTGGTTTAACGGCTTAAACGTGGATGAAAAGAGTGGAAAGATGCATGGTGCATAGTTATCGATTCTGAACCTCACTTCATCGAAGGGTTCCATCTTTGAACTTCTTGCTCAGCTGCAAGAGAAGACTATGAACTCAGGCAGGACAAGCCTAACGATCTCCCATGACGTGCCCTTGCCATCTGCATCGTGCTGGAAACTAGAGTCTCTGGTTGCATGCCACCCCGCACATCAGCAGTTCCAAGCTAATGGTGCAGTGTCGATGAAACAAGCGCCCCAAGCCTTGACTTTGGCAAAGGGGTTGGTTGATGTCGTTAAAAAGGGGCAAAAGATCAGTTATTAAAGCAGGTTGCAATGGTGATAAGAAATAGTTATGTCACGTGTAATACTCTATTTTTTATTGGCTTGCGAGTGGATAATCTCCACTAATCTGCCTATATATCCGCAATATCTGATTAGCAAAGCAATCGACGTTTTCTTAGAGCGTCAGAGAATACGAGCACTTTTATTAAATTCTAGGAGTCTTCATTTATTATATTATTCATTTGTTGGGCCTCATGGACTGTTAAAACCAAAAACCTGACGATGCTGAGTTGGCCTGTCAGCAAACCTTCACCCCACAAAATCTTATAGCCTGTCCGGGGTAAGGGGTTTAACGAAGCCGGAGGAAGAACCGAGAGCCAGGGAGATGCTCCGGCTTTAGAGGCTGGCTTCTTATAAGAAATAAGAATCCGTACCACTCAGGCTCACCCGTCTGGAGCAGTTATCAACCATTGAGCACTTGATTGAGATATTTTGCCCCCAGCACGAATGCTCTGAGATCTCGCAGCAATATCTACAACCCTTGATAACTTGAAGAAAGGACACCATAGATTTCTCAACCTCAAAGCCTTTATTTTACTTCATTCTTGTCCGAATTCATAAGCTTTACACACTGCCTGCGTTTTGAAGACGTCAGGAAGCTCAAAGTCGGCGATGGAGACAGCGTCAGAAGTTGAGGAATTGGATACCCATCCTAAATTGGAGGCAAGTCGGCCTACAGCTCGAGATAGTGATATATTCCAGTGTAAGTGAGAGAGTGGTGGTTGACTCGACACACAATTACAAAGAAAAGTAGCTGACTGTCGATCTTCCAGCCGAATCCAAGCTTGCAAGATACATACCAGGGGGATACTCTCCATCAAGATGCATAAAATTACGCGGTATGCCGATGGTTTACGCAATCTTCGCATTTGCTGGTTGTGCAATTATGTTTTTTGGATATGACACCGCCGTCATGTCCCAAGTCAATATCAATCCGGATTACCTTCGCATAATGGGAGTTGCCAGTGGCTCTGACCGGGATGCTGCAGCAATTGGGGGTTTAGTGAGTCTGTGGTTTGGTGGCTTTGCAATTGGTATGTCCTATCTCATATAAGCTGATGCTTATCATTTATGCTTATTTAAGTGCTAATGGTCCATTTACTGGTTAAGGGGCAATGCTGGTTGGATATACAGCGGACAGAATAGGACGACTAAAAACCATACAGATCGGGTGTGTTTGGGGGATACTTGGAGCTATTCTCCTTGCAACAGCTCAGAATATTGCATGGTTTGCGTTTGCACGAGTTATCAGCGGCATCGGATGTGGCTATTTGAACACAATTGTTCCAGTCTGGACCTCTGAGCTGGCTCCAGCTAATATGCGAGGAGCATTCGTGGCAGTCCAATTCACCCTTGCAATGGTCGGATCCGCCATGTAAGAACCCTCTCTCGCCTCTATTTTGTAACCTCTATTAACGGAATTAGGGTGTACTGGGCGGAGTATGCATGTGTCAAAACCCAATCTCTTTCCTTCGCCTGGAGATTCCCTAACGCTTTTCAAGTCGTATTCCTCATCGCTCTGCTCATTTTCGGACCCTTTTATCCAGAGTCCCCCAGATACCTGGCTAAAATTGGAAAAGTCGACCAAGCAAAAGCGATTCTGGAACAATGTCGAACTACATCAGACCCAGCGATGATACAAACAGAAATGGACGAGATTCTTGATGCAATCCAAATTGAGTCAACTGTCTCCAATGCAAGCTTCTACAGCATGCTCTTCACAAATGATAAACTGCATACTCGCCGCCGAGTGTTTTTAGGCGCCGGGGTCCAAATAATGCAGAAATTCACAGGTATCGACTTCATTGCTGTATATGCTCCGAATATCTTTGCCTTCTCTGGGTTTAAAGGAGATACCCCTGCTCTGCTCGCAGGTGGGAACTGGTTTGGCTATATTCTAGCACTGGCCTTGTCAATATATTTATGTGACCATGTTGGTCGCCGGAAGATGATGTTGGTTGGCTGTACTCTCATGGGGGTTTTTCTCATAATAGGAGGGATTTTATCTCGTGAGACGCTGAAGTGCGCCGAAGTAGACCAAGAGAGTGCTAATAAATATGGTGCTGGGGTTGCCGCGATTTTATACATATACACCTTCATCTATGGTTCAACCTGGTTGACCACTTGGTAAGTCTACACCCTCTCCGTGCTCAGGAAGCCTAGCAACATCTTACTAAAGAATATATACCACAGTTGGGTATACCCTACGGAAGTATTTCCATTAGCAACTAGAAGCAAAGGCACGGCGCTTGCGACATTTGCTTTCTCTGTCGCCGGAGGCACCATTAATATGATCATCCCCTACTTGATCAACGCAATTGGCTTCTGGGTTTTTATTTTATTCGCCCTTATAAACTTAGTGATGTTAATACCCATCTATTTATTTTACATTGGTACGTTCTTAGCTTAAACACGCTTCCGTGTAGGTGCTATGGCATATGCTAACATGATACACAGAGACAGCAAACCGGCATTTGGAAGACCTCGACCTATTATTTGCAAGTAAAAGCAATCTCGTTTGGCGTGCAGAGAAAGAGTTCGCTGAAGCAAAAGCTTCTTAGGCCGTAATACAACCAATAGACAAGGTCAAGTCGAATTAAAGCCCGTAATTAGAATATGTTTTCCATGGGTGGTGTTTGGTGTATAAGGGGGTGATTAAGGAGGGAGGTCCATGTAAATAATATAGAATAGTAATTAATGCCATAACGAATGTTAAACGTTAATGTCATGCGAGATCAACGACCACAGTATCCGCCATCAACCTTCCATACTAGTTAGCCCATGTATTATCTCTGTATATCATGGATAGGAGCTTTCATTACCGTTAACAGTTCCCCATTGACGTAAGCGCTGGCCGCGCTCGCAAGGAAGACAGCAGGTCCTTTCATATCATTGGGTGTTCCCCAACGCCCAGCAGGGATTCTCGACGTTATAACTTTCAGATTCTGCTCCTCTTCTCCCCCAGAGCGGAGGCCCTGGGTCAAGTCGGTTGCAATATACCTAGGAAGCTGTTCAGTAAATGATAATAAAAAAGGTTGACCTTCCAATATATACCCAGGAGCAATAACATTCACGTTAATGCCCTTTGATGCCCATTCGTTGCTTAGAGCTTTTGTCAATTGACCAATGCCGCCCTTGCTGATGGAGTAGGCTGGTACTCTAACACTCCCGAAATAAGTACAAACACTGGCGATGTTGATGATCTTGCCAGGCATATCGTTCTTTATCCAATATTTACCCATTTCCCTGCATAGCGTGAAAGTAGCACCGAGGTTGACCTGGATCACTTCATCGTAGTCCTGATCTGTGACATCAACAGCATCACTGCGTCGTATCATCCCCGCCGCGTTTACGAGGATGTCTATCCTCGGATGTTCTCCCGCTATTCTTGGGATAAGCTTAGCGACAGCAGATTTATCGCCCAGATCACATTGATAACTGAAACATTTCCGGCCTAGTTTGGGTATATTGTCGAGCATTTCAGCATCAGAGGAAAAGCCCTAAGTCATCCAGAAACCGGTTTCAAGGTAGACAGACGTTAGTTATTCGTTTTTATACATCATATGGTGTATTCGGGATATACTATTCACCTTGACGATGATTATATCTGCCCCCGCCTCCGCCAGGCCGATAGCGATGGCACGACCAATTCCACGCGTGCCTCCAGTCACCACGGCTGTCTTGCCGGACAGGTCAAATAATGAGGATGCCATTTTCAAGTATGATCTATAAACGTAAATGGTTAAACGGCTTGGTTGTTTCTCGAGACGGGGGTATTGAAGGCGCCTTTTATCAAGTTGTGCTACTACGGCCTTAACACCGACGTCTAAACATCGTGTTCGACCCGATACTTTAAGGCTTGCATCTCGTCTGACCGAGGTTCTAAGTATCACTATATTGGACGTTTGGGAGTTAAGCACAGCTATGGATAACTTCAACAAGTTGATATATGTTTATCTGGGAGATATGAATATGACGTGTATATATTGTACATCGCACTGTAGAGATAACAAAGAAAATTATCGTTTCTCCAAGGAACGAAGTTATTATAGATAATTGGCAACGTGTAAAGACAGAAAACCGGAAATAGGGTACGGAAAAAAAGCAACTAGTCCACTGGGTCCTCTTGCAGTATAGCCTCAAAGCTGAAGGGAGTAAATGGTATACCGTCACCAATGAAATGTTTACTCATCGCTTCGACCCAATGGAGACGAAGCGAATGAAGCATAGCACTGGTTCCTTCCATTACGCAGAGAATCGAGATAGTGAGGACGAACCAGAGATAGAATGTGATGACGGTCATAATAACTCGGAGAGTGGGAGAAGTCTGGAGGAATGCATTGCCGATGGTCATGCTCCACAGAACGGAGGAAAGCTGTTGATGAGCAAGGGAGAGAGCCCAAAGTCGGAGGTAGGACGCGGTATGTGATACACAGTTGAGACAGAATTCTAGTAGTCAGGCAAATTAGCTAAGTTCTTGTGGCATCTTTTCAAGGGGTAAGCAAAAATTATTAGGAGGAAAGTGGCATACCGATAGTGTGAATAACTTGATGGATCATTTCTTCAGAAAATTCGAACTCATGGTGCTCTTCGCCTTCACCCATATCTTGGGTGACCATACCAATGCCATCGGTGTCGTCCATGCTATCACGCTGTCCGGAAATCAAGTTTTCACGTTCATCGTCGTCATCTACTGCACTGGTGTGAGCAGCTTCGTTCAGGCCCCTGTAACCAAGGGCGCGTGCACGGTTGTTCTCCCAGCGAATATACAGCGGTTTGAGGAGTAGAAGTATTGGGACCTGAATAAGCGCCAGGAAAAGTAGAATCTTTTGAACGGTTGCTTGACCAGGGTAGAGCTCGTCATCGACACGGCCAGGTGAGAGGAACATGAAAATAAGCATGTTCAGGAGGCCGGGTGGTGGTAGGCCGAGCCCGTTCCAATCGACGGACCATTTGTAGATGATGGTAAAGACGAGATATCCAAAGATAGACTGGAAAAAGATCATTCCTGGAACGAAATTTCCCCAAATCTCGATGGGCTTCTTGAAGTGGCGGGCGTTTACAAAGGACATACATAGGGAGTAAGTCATCTAATAATAGCGTTAGTAATCCAAGTCGTTATGTAGGGAGCAGATGACAAGAACACTTACATGTGTCCAACCTAGAATGATACTAAGCTTCATCTTGTAACTGTTGGTGAAAAGCAAGTTGTTGTCAGCTCCGTGCCATCCCCAGTCTAAACCAAATGGATATCTGTATGATCCCTTTAGTTCCGCAAAGACGGTTTCGTTTTCGCCGAATTCTTCTGGCCAAGCCCAGGCACTCTGGAAGATGTCCATAGACTTCGAGAAGATATCGTTGTAAATTAATCCGGTGTACATAGCGAAGATTCCCATCATCAGCATGATATATCGACCGGAGAACGCCATGGAGCTCAGCTCATCCAGCTTTGACTTGCCGAGTTTTCTTTCGAATAGAATCAGGGTAACGGCTAGCATGGTCATAAGCAGAGCATGTCCAAAATCACCAAACATGACTGCGAAGAAGAATGGGAAAGTGACAATTGTCGGAAGACCTGGGTTGACTTCTTGGTATTTGGAGGTACCATAAGCATCAACGATAAGTTGGAAGGACTGAGTAAATTTGTTCGTCTTCATATATGTAGGCGGAGTCTTGTTCGTTCGAATCTGATTGACAATCGTAGGAACCGAGAGACCAGCTCTGTCGTTAACATCCTGTAGGGTCGACTTGATGACAGCAAGAGAGTTTGTGGGGCACCATGCCTCTGCAATCAACGTCTTTCTAGCTTGGTCGTAGGAAAACTTGTTAAGAGCATGGTAAACAGCCTTCTCTTTCTTGATAATGATCATCCAGGCGGCAAGGGAGCGAGCAATTTGGCTCAACTCCGCGTCGAGTGCATTCTTCGTGTTGCGCAGAACATTGCCCACGTCAGTCAAACGAGTGTTGACATCATGAATTTGGTCCCTTCGAAGCTCGCTATTTTCGTCCACAGTGTGCAGGTTGGCGCCTAGAGACTCAGAAATCTTTCGAATTTTCGCAATGATTTCCCTTCCGTGAGCGAATATAACGAACACGTTCTTGTGGATTTCCTCGTTCGTGGCCGGGTCAACAATTGGGTCGGGGATCTCGGACTGGTTCATGTAAAGGTTGCCGCGGAGGGTTCTCCATAGGATTCGCTCAAACGCTCCGATTCGATCCCTGGGAATAACACCGGAAACAAATCCAATGTCCATGACGAAGAAGGATGGTTGCTGGGCATCTCCATTTTGAGCCCTTGCTGGTGGTTGCTGTTCAACATCCCGCAAAAGTGGAGCTTCGTCATTATCAAAGGACTGTCTGATTTCATCAGTTTGACCGTGAGCCTGGGAGAGACGTTAGTATTGAACAAATAGGGTCAAGATGTAGTCCATGTAAATATAGATATACCCGGTCGAAAAAGCCGCCAGCTTCCCTCAGCACCCAACGTCGCTCTATGAGTTCAACCTCGCGCCTCTTCAAGGCCTCATAGCTCTCATTCAATGACGAAACACGCTGTTCGAGACTCTCGCTTCGCTCGGCAAGCTCGTCAATCTCCGAAGCCATCGGCGCAGCAAGGTTGTTGGAGAATTCTTCCGAAGGCCGCATCTCGATATCGGCCTTCTCCATCTGGGAGTGGAAGTAGCCTATTTGGTTGACACAGTTAGAGACAAGGTACGTCTATTTCGCTGGTCATCCCATAAAGGTCACACATACGAAGCTGCCTTTCCACATTGTCCAATCGTCGAATCTCGCTCGTAAACGTCTTCTGGAAAGCGGTGGTCTCTTCATTCAGCTGTCCGTGAAGCGTCATGTCAGCATTCGTGTCATCAACGCATACAACCAAAACAAAGTATTTTCATCCTCACATCTCTGAACTGGACCTGCCCAAGCTCACCAAGAGCACTGACGACCTCGCGTCCGATTTCGTTCGCGATATAGAGCTGGGTCAGGCTCATATCCGCCGAGCGGAAGAGGGTGTCCTGTGTCGGGCCCATCATTGCGAGTAGAGGTGGGCTCTACGCCCAATCCAGTGGATAGCCCTGAGAGTAAACCGTACAATATGCCAAAGCAGAACAGGGAATAGAAAAGGAGCGCCGCCGTGCAATATGGATGCTTGAACAACCAGCTTGTCGCTATGGCTGGTGAGCTTAACGTTCTGCCTACCCGATATGGCTGGTCACGTGTATAATGACTAAGCTATGCTTACATAAAACTATCTTCTCCCCTGAACTTCCAATCGGAACTTTGGATGTCGATTTATACGGGCATATTTGGGCTTGGGCACCAGACAGACGCATCATCCTCTGGCGCGGATAATTGTTCAGCATAATGAGGGGTAGCATGTCTCGCACGATCCCAGGGATCCCTCCCTAGACTACAGTCTCTCACAAGGCCAGCCAAGCCAGCAAAACGCCTCGACGCCATACTTAAAAGGAAGACATCAATAACTACTTCATCATGTCTGTTGTCAGCGTCTCGCTCTCAGGGAGCCATGATTTTTCCAAGACCCCCGCATCGACTATAACTCTGGTCCCAAACTTGGGAGTGAAGGGTGATGCCCACTTCGGAGAGACTGTACAGCATCGCTCCAGACTACACATCAAGCCGCCGCCCGTAAACCTGCGTCAGGTCCATCTTATGCCCAATGAGGCTCTGACAGGCGTTGCTCTTAAGCCTGGCCAGCTGGGTGAAAACGTCACTACGGCGGGGATAGACCTTCTATCTTTAAGCAAGGGAGCAAAGCTTCGTTTCGTGGATCGGAATGCAGATACAGCTGATGGTCCGGTAGTGGCTGTGACTGGACTGAGGAACCCTTGCCCTCAGATAGACAAGTTCAGGAGCGGGCTAAAGGAACACTTTGTAGTTCGAGATGCTGATCGGGCTATCGTTGATCGTAAGGCTGGGATCATGGGGATTGTGGAGGTCGGGGGTGACATTCGAGCCGGAATGAAGATTGTGGTGGAGGAACCAGCGGTCTTTGAACGCATGGAGTGCGTCTGAGAAGGACCCCTTTTGATACCATGAAGCAGGGTATGAATCTACTGGGTATACCAGGTAGCACTGGCCCTGTAAACGCTGACATTCTCCATGCCTTAGGGGTCAATTGTCTTCCTACTGCTGGCCTACGTGAAACACATATCGTCCGTCTCCTATTCGATATGCGCAACTGTAACTGTTGAGATCGGCTGGGCCCCTAAGTGGAATTGTAAAAGGGGACAATATGAATTTATTTTTAATATTTTCATTGTTCGTTCCGCTGCATACGTAAAATTAGCCAAACAGGTGCGGAATTATCTTATAAAAAGGGCTTTCAAGTTGCAACAAGATAAGCCAGTAATCTCCTCATTTAGAAAAAGGCCATGTTTAGCGAGCTTGATATCGATGATTAACAACAGCACTGATTAGCATGATAACACGTCACAGCCCAGGTTGTCTTTTAACCTACAGCTGTAAGGCAATTAAAATATTATGATAGCACCCAATGGTATACCTAGACTCCGAACTCTCCAAATCCATGGTACAAGTGGGCCATAATGCAGGGAAGCAGGTAGTAAACATAACGGTCAAAAGGGCTTTTCCATACGGCCATTTCGGGAACCAGGGAGATTTCAATAAGAATAATCCAGGATTCTCATCCAAAAGAGCGAGACCTTCCTTAAGGCGGTGCTTAAGCAAAGTAACTCTTCCACAACACTCCAGCTAAGTCTTCAATCTGATCTGGTTTGAAGGCCTGGGAATCAATTGATATTAGTTGGGGATCTTACGTTAACAGCGGTATCAGGTATGAGCTCACCTTGACATCTATGTGCCATGTATCTTGCCTGGTCTTCTTGAAATCACTGATAATAGACTTCACACTCTGGCCAACCACACCTGGATCTCCGCCAGCCTTTGTGCTGAGTGTTGTCAGTGCATCAGGCATCCAGCTTGGTGGGGGGCTAGTGTACGGGAATGCTTGAATGAGGGCTCCTAGGCCGAGAACAGCGGCGTGGCGTGTAATAATAAGCCGAGAGTGTTCTGGTGTAGGCGTGCTTGCACCAGTGGATGTGGCGGACGAGAATCCGGATGAAATAACTCTACGCTTCTTGGGCAAGGGGTGCTGGGCAAGGGAAGTTGTGAATCTATCGAGCAACTTTAGGACCATATCCTGTCGTAGAGCCACGGGCGAACATCGGATCATCCCAGAAAGAGTGGCAGATGCACCTGCTCTGACCTCATGTTGCTGATCCCCCAACATGCCGGCGACACATTCGAATAGCTTCTCACGATCAACAGCGGACAAAAGGAATAACCTGCGGAAATAGATAATTTGCATATTAATCATGACGCGAAGACGTTGATGCCAGGAAGGGGAGGTACGGCCAATTCGGATAAGAGAGTTGATAAAATCAGAATCTTCACCACCAGGGTGTGGGATGTTGGGAAGATGACGGAAAACGTGGTAAGCTAGAGATTGTAGCTCAGGATCCTCTTTGACATCCATCATATGTAAGAGCTGTTCTGTAAATAGGGTAGGGAAAAACTGTAAAAGCTGGGTACATTCAAATGAGGATAGCGTCGAATCAAGCCAGAGTAACACGGTTTTACTCCCGGAAGTATACGCAGATGGTGTTTGTTGGCCTGGCTTTCTTTCGTGTCGCCACTTTTCTATTCTATTGAACACTTCCGTGATCATGGTGATGAATTCCTCGCTGGGCTGATAGGCTCGATTGCCAACTGATGACGTTTTCTTCTGGGCTTGAATCAGTTGATCAACACTGGCATACGATTCGTGGTATCTTGTTCGGTAGATAGAAGCAAGCGTATGTCCCATAGCTTCACGAACTCCTTTATATGGGTGGTCGAGATGCATTAGGAAATCCTCAACGATGGGCTTTTCGAGCTGGAAGTGCCAACCGGAGTCCAAAATGCATCGATGGAGTAAAGTGATTTTAGAGCTCTCCTTGAAAGCGGCATTGGAAGTCATATCTAGACGGAAACTAGATAACCAGTCCACCAATGGCCATGACCGACGAGGATCCCTACATTGCAAGGTCAGATGAAGGAACTGAGACCAGTATCCTGAATTCTCAGGCGTGAGACCATCAGAGAATATCCTTCGAATAATCGGAAAGGCGTATTCCCATACAGCGGTGCGCTTCTCAACACTAATATCGGCCACGGAGCTTATAAGACCACCGAGAATCTCAGCGGTAGCGCGATGTTGGTGTTTGTCGCTCCCATCTTCATAGACAAGTTCAATCTCTTCTTTAACCTCATCGAAAGTTACGACAGTAAGCTCGTCACGTAATAAAAGCTGGAATACATAAACCAGCATGGTGGCAATAGACATCCGGAATTTATCAGCAGATGCATCCCTTGGCTCTTGCTTCAAATAGTTGAAGAATTCCGAAAGCCACTTGCGAGTCATCAATTTTCCCATATATTTGCGGGTATTCCATTCGAGGGAATCATAAACAACATCTCGTTCAACATTCGCCTTGTATGCTGGCATGGTTTTATCCCAAACAAGGAACCCGGGGTGATCATGGTCGATATAGTACTCTGCTTCGGGGTGGGCAAAGCTTTCTAGGTAGGAGCTTGTCCAATTAGGGTCTTGAGGGTTTGTTGTGACTTGTATTTTTGATGGGACGAAATGATTTCCGAGGATGTAGTCCTTGTAGTTATGGTGGCACACTGCCCTGACATCGATCATAGTAAAGAGTGCAACCAGAGTCTGAGAATACATCCATCTTAGGCCAGGATGAGAGTCGATGGAACCTGTAATGATAAGATCGATCAAATTCTCACTGGCTACGTGGTCAAAACGCATCCCCATTGCAATAACAATTGCCGACGTCCGAATGGTTTTCTTCCAGTGAGATGCTCTCGCCAAGTTGACAAGCTCATCTGCCATCTCTGCCTTCTTCTCTTCAATAGATATCCGCTTCTTTTGAATAGATTCCCGCTTCATTTCAATCTTCGCGGCAACGCTTTCGTCAAAGGGTGCAATGGATTTTATGATATCCTGGTTAAGAATAGCCATTCTGTCAGCAGCGCGTCCATAATCTATAACTTGATACAAGGTGCCGCTGCAAAGCTTTTGGATCGAAGGTTTGTCAACTGTAGTGGCCTCAATGAACGCCCTAATGAGCGCCGGCGTGTACTTCCAGTGACGACCGAGTGGTTTGGCCAAACTGCTATACATAAGAGAATAGATTGCGCCCTTAATACGAGGATGTTCATTCGCTTTTAGGGCTTTCTGGAGAGCTTTGATCAATGGGCGAATAACAAGTAGACGCGAGCCCCAAATAGACCGAAGTGCAGATTCCCCAGCCGACTGAGCGTTTCGTCTGATATCAGTATATAGCGATACACTAGACTCGGCTAAGTCAAGTAAAAGGGTCGCATCAAGCTTTGAACGTGGTCGGGGGGCTGCATTATGACGGAGTCGTTGCAAGTGATACACGTATGCTCGACGTACAAGTAATGGGCGAGGATAATCTTTTCTCACGCCACTCATCTTATATGGGTGGACATCTGCACCATATAGCTTTGAAACGCGGTCCAGTAAATGAGCAGACCGTTCGATACCGACATCGACAAACCAGCAGCGGTAGGCCGTGTATAGCGACGAGAAGCAGGATACATCATCTTCCTGTTTGTCAACCAGAAACCTATGAACATTGTGTAGAACGTGTCCGACTCGTTCCCTGATTTCATGGATGGCGATGTATAGAGGGTCGTCCTCCGTCAGCGGGTATCCTGCAGGATATTGAAAGGTGGGTCTGAGGGTAGACTCCTCAGATATATCCAGGGGAGAATCAGTATCGTCCATCTCAGCTTCTTCGTCGGCTGAGGTGTTTGCTCCCCCAGAAACGTAGGCGCCGCCCTGATTAGGGGCTTCCTCTTCGCGACATTTCGAAGCCGCTCTATTGTCAAATAGCGCAGAGATGCCTGCGATGATCAACCTGAGAAGCACGATGTTCCTCGTCACTTCATCTGACCAGTCCTTGCCACTTCCATCGCGTTTGATGTTGGGTGTATCGCTCGTCAGCGAGGTCAATGAATTCAACGCAGCCTCCACCTGAGATGTAAACAGCTCAACGGCAAACTCTATTTCTTCTCTTTGTGGGACGTGCCAGTTGATGGTAAGTTCTTTTGGGTCTTGTTTCTGACCCCATTGTTCAACCTGAATGCCCTTGAGGTATAGGTGAGGTTCATACATCGAGTGGTCGACAATGGTGGTCATGGTAAGGTTAAGTAGAAGATGGTGAATAAAGTTCGAAATATGTATGGTAGGGATACCCTTGCACTTTCGCTGCATGTACAATGCAATATCGATGAGGTCTTGTTTATACTTCAAGACCGTTCCTCCGACATGGACTACACACATACTCAGCAAACTGATATTCCATACCAGCCCACGATCGCGAGGCAAAACGTCACTGCCTGTTGTTCTGGTAGAAGCTGCGCCGTTTTCATCGATCTCAGTGCGAATATTTCGAATTAGCAATGGAATGAAGCGCTTCAACGCCTTTTCAGGGTTAACCTTGCAGAGAGCATTGCAGATAAAAGCCATGGCATCTCTTGCTTGATGGATAACACGGTCGGAAACAAAATCCACAATTTTATTCAAGGCCAAGTCATATAACTCTGGAGAAAGGGTGGATAAAAGAGGTAGGAAAGTTGCAGGTAGGGTGTTCAGGACATTCTCTTCAGGTGAGCCACTACGCACTCGCGCAGCATCAGGTAGGTTCTCCAAAAGAGTAAAAACCCTTCCTAGGAACGAGATCAAGAACTCTCCAAACTCCGTGGTGGATGAACGTAATATTTTTTCTTCATCCTCGTCAGAGAGTTCCGTGTCGTAGTTCATCTCGACAGAGGCCCCTTGCTCTTCCATTCGCTCAAGCTCTCCAGTAACCCATTCCACGGCAATCATGTTACCATTGACATCATCGCGGCCTTTTGTAAGATCTTCAAAAGGTATGTTATAACACACAGCTTGAATAAACGCAAGAGAATGCAATGATTTCCCCAGGTCATTGGCATCAATCCCGGGTAGAGCCAGGCCGAGTAGTGTGGTAATATGGCAACGGAAGCCTTTAGTTCGTACCATGATTCTTGACAGGACTTGTAAGGATCGGAGGGACGAGGCAGTTCTATGGACCTCTACCAACCCCTGCATCGACGGGTAGATTCGTTGCAAAGCTCCGGGAAGAATCAGGTTCGGCTCCAGATATGCCAGGGACTGAAGTGTCGAGAGGAAGAAGTTCATTGCAGTTCCACTCTTAGCGTAGATGCCCATGAATGTCACGTCTCGTAGACACAATACAAATCGGCGTTTAATCGCATCAGTCAGTCTCCTCTCTGGAGGTACCTCCATTTCCCCATTGCGTTCCCGGTTCCATCGCATGACAAAAAAGTCTGCTAGGTAGTTAACTAGCTCCGAGAGAGTCTTTGTCCATGATCCCGAGTTTGAAGGGTGAAAGAAAGTCTCGACAGCTTGAATCAGCCCCTCTAACCTGCTAAGAAGCGAGTCTTTGGAGTCTGCGCAGTCTGGTGAAAGAGACATCACCGTCCACCTAGCAATGTCATGCGTGACTGGATGATTTCTCGAATCACGGTCAAGCATTATGGCCAACCCAGCAGACATATCAACTATATCACTGTATGAAGACGTCGCCTGTCCCACTGGAATCTCAAGCAATCTCAGGATAGCGGTGAAAATAAGCGAAGTTTGTTCCTCGGTGAAGATTCCGAATTCAGAAAATGGAATATGTTTAGCAGGGAGAGAATCGCGAGCTAACCGCGACAGAATATCTAGGAAATTCATATCAAACGTCCTGGAGCGGTTTACCAACGACCAGAGATGGAAGTATGTTGGGAGGTAATGTTGGGGGATTAAATCGAGTCTTTCTGGGGGTGCTGGTGCTGTGGACACGAACAAGTTCATAAGGCCAACTACAATAAAGGCCCCTTCAGTGAACGAAGTTGTGAAATGGGGAAGAAACTCTTGTAGCATATTAGGAAGCTCAAGGGGATCAAAATAGAACTGTGCAAAGGAACAAAGTTTTATCAAAGTTTTGATATTGCGTTTGTTGCTTATCGAGTGTACGAGTTCTGCCTCTGATGGAAGAACGAACACTTTTAACTCTCTGTACAGCGGTCTCCAGTCAAGAACTATATCCTTGATCGGCCGAAGGTAATGTTTCCGCCTTGTATACGAGTCAGCACGAGAATAATTGGCAACATGGGCAAAGGTATCGGATATAGCACATACTTGGTAAGAACCATAAACATGCTCGAGAACCGCTCTGCCACCACGGGATCGATACCAGGAGCAAGGGCAAGCTCATAATAGAGCCGTACCAGCTTCGACCGCTGTTCTCTCGTAGGATCGAACTTTAGAGACAGCCAGGCTCGGAGCTCTCGAGTCCAGTGCACCGCACCGGGGGTAAAGTCTCCTGATTCAATAGCCATGTACAGGTGTTTGAGGATCTCCTCAAAGTTGTGCTGCCGCAATTCATCATCTTCAAGTTCGTAGGGAGGGTATTCGAGATAGGGATACGTCCGCGGTCGGCTTCGAGCCTTTTTCGAACGGTCCTCAAGCACGGTGCCGTTAAGCTGGGCCGACTCTCCGCCGGGAGAGGTAGCCCGGGAGACCTCATTGCCACCGACAACCAAGTTGGCCGTCAGCACATCTGGAAAACGATCGATATTCATTGTTTGAGAGCGTATCGAGCTGGCATGTAGGGAAGAGTATGGGCGATATAGTGCTACCTAGGCTGCAAAGCTGTCAGAAATTCAAATCGAGCCTTCTAGTTTGGAAATTTGTAGAATAGCAAAGGAGATGTTTTTTCTCCAGGGTCTGCGAGCGGAACTCTTACTGCTTCTTTGATTGATTACCGGCCTATTCACAGTTTGATATCTCGATTTCGTTTTCTAGGACATTGGCGTATGCTCTTGTGCCCGAGTTACAGGTATCAAGGTCGTGTGCAGCTAGCGTGACAACAACACAGGTCACAGAGACAGTGGTTCGTCAAGGCGGCAACGTAGAGCAGCAAATATCACCTGTAGAACGAAGCCAGCGACCTAAAACCCGAAGCTCATTCACCTCGCAAATACCTGTGGCGATAGATGTCGTTTGAAGCTCCGGAAGAACACTTTTGAGCTCCGTCTTTTGTTGTTTGAGCGCGCCAAGGCACGTGAACTAGTCAAGATGACATAATAGCTTCTTCACTGACAGGATAGATGTAGATAGATGAGATATAGGAATGAGAGGATGGATACTGTTTGGTAGAAGTGAGAGCTTGTTATATACTGGCAGGTATTAGTAATGAATGGATAATCGCTAATCCTGACGCCGGCTCAGGCAGATCAACGTCTACGCAATTAACGAACAGCTACAAAGGTAGAGATACGGCCTTCGTCAGCCTAGCTAGTTGCCTGGGTCTTGTGCCTATGCTGGAGGGAGAAACGAGGCGAACAGACACGCCTGGACGAGCCCATACATCACGGTCACACGCAGGATTACGTGAGAACTCAGCCAGCGCGGCAAGGTCGTGGAATTTCTTTTCTCGCTCACCAGGCAGGACGCCAGAAACCAGTACCAGAGCGGATAGCCTGACGAGATTCGGTTCACGATCTGGATGTGGTAGTTTGTGACTGCCAGGAGCGCGAGCACTACTTGAGGTAATGCAAGTCTGGCCTGGTATCTGAGGCTGTAGCTCGAGTCAGAGTCGGCTTTGGTTTCTCCTCCGTCCTTCTGCCCTGGCTCAGCAAGCATCGGTAGCAGGGTCGCCCATACTCGTATACCGGAATACACGAGTATACATATCGCCGGAGCCGCTATACAGAATAGAGGGAGATTCGAAAAGGTCCAATATCTCAAAAAGCCCACATTCCTTTGATCGGAGCTGTTAGCATCCATGTTAAACGCGCAAATAGGCTTGGAAACTCACCAGTAATATGCCTGAACCCAAGTGTAGATACTTGGTAACAGGCGACTGCACCACGGCCGCGAAACTTCCGCCAGACAGAACTCTTTATATGCCACATATTGCGGCCCAACGATCCCTATCAGAATCAGACTACCACCTGCGCCTATCATGGCCAGGCGTCGTAGTACATGCCATGACAGGCCATGCGTAAATAGCTGGTGCAGTCCAAACACAGCGTCATAGACGAACAACAGGCCACTAAGCAGCCCGTTACTCCGTACGGCCGTTGCAACGGCGAACAACGCACCGGCAGAGAGAAATTTAGCATCTCGCAGGTAGAAGCTCCCTCGACGTTCATCGTTGAGCGCGGTAATGAACATATAATAACCCGAGAAATTGAGAAACGAAAACGGCGCCTCCATGTAAGGTGCAGAAAGAAAGGCGCCTGCAGGACTGACGATGTGCAGTGCCGATGCTAGGAATGGCAATGCATCGGACTTTTGTCCATCACTCTTGAATATGGCCCGAGATAGCCTGTAAAGCACCAGGACTGATAGATAATGGCATAGATGCGAAAGGACGACACCAGCCACGGCAAGGTTCTGCAGGCTCCTCAGGGATGCTAAATAACATGTTAACAATCACATCATTTATCAAACATGTCATCTAGAAGATGGAACAAGACGCGACTTCACTAACCAGGGAGTATAAATGATAGAAGCCTCGTATACCCATACCCAAACGCCCATTCCTGCTCAAACACATAACCTCTCTGCGCGATCTTCAGGAAGTAAATCGAATCCCACCTCGCTACCTTATGCGCAACATGCGATATCAGCCATTCCACCGTCCCGGCAGAGTTACGAGCATGTTCCTCTTCGGGCGAGAGAAGCAGTGCTGTTGACGTGTCGTACCCTGGTCCCGGGCTGGCGAGCACAATCAGGAGCAAAACTATCTTCCACAGGCAGAAGCATTTCGTTAATGTGTATATTGGCTGATTTAGAATGCCGATGTTGTCAATTGTCGTCCGCGTCACCGTCGTCCGCGTTGAAGACATTCGTTCGATGACAAGCTACAAGCTCTGGATTGGACGGAGCAAGCTAATCCTCAACGTTATTCGTATTTAGCCGAGTAAATGTAAATAGCTATAAACGTTAGGAGGCTTAGACTGAGCCATCGACCAATGTTGCTGCTTTGACTACAACCGGTAACATTTCGTTCCTTCGAAGCAACGGTCAACGGAGTTAACTAGTTAATATATTTGATTTAACGGATCGCCATTGGCTGAACACGAGCCCCAGAGCTTCTTAACTGATTTTATTCGTGATGAGTTCAAGACGGGCATGATGGAAGTACGGAGTAAGTAATCAGGCGGATATAAATATCATTCAACGCAACAGTTACTCTATACAGTTAGCTTCGCGGTAGGAAATCCATCAGATGCATCCGAAGTGGCATCCCTACGCAAGTCAACGTCTGGCCACGAGACAACTAGGGCTCGCAGGCAACGACATTTCCGCAAGGCAGGAATTCACGTCAACGTACTCCCATCCGGCTGCTTCTAACCGGTGCTGCCGTAGCCTCTCACCCAAGATTTCTCGCCCGGATGCGTGTCGCACAGCAAATGGGGTCGACGGGCTATACCGCCATAACACCCTGGTAATATTTCTCAACCGGACATAAGGGTTCCCTGCAATGACACCCAGCAGCAAAAGGCTCAATATTTGTATTTTTCATTCCATTTCGCGGCCATTCGCAGCTATTTCGTAGCTATCGCAGCTATTTCGTAGCTATCGTCGCCCTGCTTGTCGTTCTAGCAGGGCATCTGACTAGCCGAACTCCGGTAGCCTGGAACGGAGGTTTTGGATCAATGGTTCCGACAACCTTTGGCGGATTCTTTTGGTCCAGATGATCTGGTGGAGCAGGAACGAGAGAACTGCCGAGATGATGTGTTGTGCAGGCCTATGACCGCCTGCATATTTCAAGAGGTTAAGCCCCAGGTCATTGGTACCTCGATCCATCTTGGCTGATTGGGCTTGTAGCTTCTGGCTGCCGTCAGCCCTCCAGCTGAAGAACAACAGTCGGTCAACAGGCCAGAGACTGGGTGTTCCCAGGTCTATGCATCGTGAAGATATTAGAGATGAGTTATATACCGCATCCTACCGGCAACACATCGCGTGTTGAAGACACCCACATGGCCGCCGCATTCATGATCAGCAAAGACCAAGGACCGAGGAACTCTCGCAGGGATGCGGCGGGGGCGTCTTCATTGGCCTAAAAGGCACAGGGTGAGAAAAACGAGGAAACCAAGCTTAGAGTGGCTAACCAACGTGAGCAAGGCCGGAGAACGGATGGTCTTTATACCAACTTGCTGTCAAATCTGAGCCACCGCGAACTCTAAGAAGGCATGGCTCGTATAACTCGCGCGCATAACTTCAAGAGGCTAATCGGAGAGAGGGCGTTGCGGACGAAGGACGGGGAGACATGGAGTGGAAGAAGTCGCAAACTAGGTGGATGCTCGATGGATGCACCGGCCCGTGAGGCCCTGCTCTGTATGTTTCAGCCTTTTTCGACAGAGATATATATATATGCAGCAAAGATACGCCCTTGGTTCAGGGTAGGATCAGTGCGTGCATCCTTCTTGTGTCTCCTTTAATTCTTAAAACATCGTTGCCTCCCCCGTAACCCTGGACCCGATCACCACGGGCGGGCAGATCTCATATAAGACCAGACACTCGCCCGGTTTCGCCAAAAGAAAAGCCATCGTTCGTTGTACGAAGTGCAGGTTCGCAACGGGGTACAATACTCTCCGTCTCCATGTGGACAGTCTGAAACAACGGATCTTTGTTAAAGCCTGCTCTCTTTTTAACTCCAACAGTACGGGAGCATCGCAGTTGGTTTTTGGTCCGCCTAAAATCATCCGTTAGTATACACGATTATATATAGCACCACGGTGTGGCCAGGGAAATACATATCGTCTGCTGTTCCGGCTTCTTCTGCTATCTTGACCAAGCATCTTGCGATTTGAGATTTTGCGCGTGGTCTATACACCAGAGGCACGCGATCTCATACACCTTTCCTCAGAAACTCAATGGGATATTCACACGCCAGACCCAGACTGATACAACTTGAATCCTGGACATTCCTGGCCGGTTGAGATAGAAAGGCTTCACAGGACCTATGACTATCTCATCAAGCTATGCAGCTCAACCTAGGGATAACCGCTGACGCTGCTGCTGCGCATCGACACGAGTACTCGGCCTCCCCAGATGCACAATCGGGAGCCTCTGCTTTCTTTCCATCCGCACGATCGATATTGTCTCTAGGATTTGCTTCCCTGACGAAGCAGGGAGGGACTCCCTTTTCAAGCTCTGAAAGTTCGACACCTATGGCGCAGAATAACACATATCACAGCATTGTACCATCATCATCAGTGATATTTCAGGAGCCCGTTTCCACCGAAGAGACCGCCGGACATGTTGAATCAGACTCGGACAGTCCTGGCACCAGTGGGAATATCAGCCCCCCTTCCAGTCCTTCTAAAAAGCAGTCACCTCGTTCTAGGACTGTCCTTCGTTTTGCCCATCCTCCACCAACTACTCGACATAAAAGGCTGAGGATTCGTCCCCGGCTACTACTCCAACTCCAACAGGTCTCAAATACTACCCGCCCTATCTCAACTCTTGATGTCATTCCATCTTCTCTCTTCAAGGCCCGTTCTCCACGCAAACTACCTGGCGCCTTTGCAGGTCGAGACCGTGCTTGCACGGCTGATCTTATCATCGTTCCAAGCGATACATACGAGCCATCCTATACTGGTGATGACGACAAGAGCATACGGAACGAATCATCAAACGAGCTCCGGGAGCCAATTGCCACGATATCCCAGCTTCGCAAAGAGGATGCGAAGTCTAAGAGCAATGTCGAAATCTACTTGACCAATGGCCTACGCTGGACATCAGAGTTTCTGCCCAAGGGCGGCTACGGATTTACTGCTACAGATGAGCATGGAATTAAATTGTGCGTGCGCTGGGTCGTTCGCGGTCGAAGGAACCGTAGCTCCTCTATTCAAGGGGGCGGTCGACAGTCGCCCAGCCCAGACGACGGGAAACGACTTACCTTTAGCATTATTGATCCGCAAACTCGTCGTCATCCGATTATAGGTTGGATATGTCGTACTGGAATTGAAGTACTAGATCAAGAATCCCTCTTATCTATATACGCCAATCGCAAACCCGACATTCCAGGCTCTCCCCCAGGCGAACCCATACCGAAACATAGCCCTGTCGAAATCAACGATAAAATCCAGCGACTAATCACCATCACCGGGATCTGGGTCGCGTTTCAGGAAGGATGGGCTGGAAACCCACACGTTACATATAGTGAACCCTCCACTAATAGCCACAACACCAGCCCACTCCCGTCTCCAAGTGCTGTGGTATCCGCAGAACGCTCTCCAGACGCTGGCGTTGGAGATATACAGACAGACGACCTTCCCGATCGCAACAATAATCGCCAGTCTTTAAAATCACGCATCCGCCAGAAGGGACGGCGCTCTACGGCTCCCCATCCCCGCCCGTCATCACAGAAACCTCCCACACGTAGGAGCTGCTCTGATGATGGCGTCGGTAAAGAGAGCTACCCTTCAACTCCTATACATGCAAGGTCATGTAGCATGCTTTGCACAGGGGCCCAAGAATCATCACCCCCAAATCACCCCCACCGACCAGTTGCGTTCCAGGATCTAACCGACCATGAAACGTCCGACGAGACAAACTATCATGATGATAATGAATCTCATTCTCTCCCAGGGCCGGCCCCAGGACACAGCAATAGAAACTCAACTCATACAGCTACCAGCCCGATATCCGGCTCTAGCGCTTCTCGCCGAGACCTAACACCGACTCCAGATCAATCAGTCACCTCTTCGGCAGGGAGCAAAGATAGAAGAAGGCGGTGGAAGTTCGGAGACCTGCTTGATGGGGTCCGGGTTAAAAAAGGTGTCAAAACCGCAAACCAATAAGACAGTTCTTATAATGATACCCTCTCCTCTTTTCATTAGTGTATATAGCATAGCGCCGCATCCCTATGGTTATCTTTTTATATCTCCGAAAGAATCATCCTACTCTGATGCATAACGCCATCTCCTATGCTTGCATATAATCCGCCATCGTAAGACATATTTCTCTCCCAGGTCTAAGATCTATCCCACTTCTATAGATTGTCCAGAAGAACCTCGGCTCGTATTAAAGCGTATCGGATATCAGGAATTCCGATACCCGAACATACGTCACAACAGGCTGCTATTCGTTATCCTCTGTATTTGTTGTAATATTGTGTATAGAACCTAGTCATTAGATGAGTAAGCTGTATAATTCCTAACGTAATCCACATGCGAGCCGGCCACCCAAGCGAGCCGGCCACCAAATTCAAACGCGTACACTTTTCAACTAATTAACAACTTCTATATGCGATAATGCCACCAATTTGTAACAAAAATAATAGAAACTCTATAGAGATAGAGGGAAAGATTAAACTTATAATTCTTGCTTTAAAAAATAAAGAAATTACCTCTATTTATAAAGCTATATATTAATTTAATATACTAAGGTTAACTCTTATAGATGTTACAGACCACCTGCGGCGCAGCCCCAGGATATACACTCATTGGACAACAAGATTCCGGGACGGAATAACTACACATCACGTGACCATAAGGACAGGTCCCAGATGCCAAGACCAGGGACAGGTCCCTATGGGACCGGGACATCAGGTCCACGACGGGACCTGAGAAGAATCAGGAGGAAGGGACCAGATATACCATGTATATAAAGACACTCATTTCCTTAGGATCAAGAGTCTTATACTCGCGATTAAACCAGCTATAGTTTTACTATATTACTTAATATAAAGCACCATTCTAGTTATCTTATACTATATTTACTAAATACCCCTTTGCCCATTAACATAGGTCAACTTTATCTTTACTACTTATAAGGACCTTTAGCCTTTATCCAACCCAGGCACTGACTAAAGCCACACTTAGAACTAAGGGATAGTCTTACTATAGTATTCTATCTTACCCTAGTACCAAGCTATCTCCTATAATAACTCACTTTTAACCCAAGCTTTCCTTAAGACCTTTATACCTTCTGTCTTATAGTAGGTATGAACCTCTAATTACCTTTAAGTAATCAAGGAGCGCCGTCAGCTTGTGATATTGATCGCCCCAACTTCACAGTTATAAAAAGGTATAATTAATTTCGACTTGATAGAGCCCCGACTTCATAGTTATAAAGAGGTAAAAGTAATTCTAACTTACTAGAGCTATCATACTATTATAGATACTCCGACCTAAGTGACTTATGATTATATATTAAGAAGGACAAAACTAGGTATGTATCACCCTACCCCTGAGAGCATACTAACTATAGGAATATACTAAAGCAAGACGAGTCAATATGTCATTAGTAAGTGGACTAACTGTCACAAGCTGACGGCGCTCCTTGATTACCTAAAGGTGATCAGAGGTTCACACCTGCCGTAAGACAGAAGGTACGAAGGTCTTAGGGAAAGCTTGGGTTGGAGGTGAGTCGTTGTAGGAGACGGCTCGGTACCGGGGCGAGATAGAATACTATAGCGAGACTATCCCTCAGTTCCAAGTGTGGCTTCAGTCAGTGCCTTGGTCGGATGAAGGCTGAAGGTCCTTGTGAGCAGTGAAGACAAAGTTGACCTGCGTCAATGGGCAAAGGGATATTCGGTGAATATAGTATAAGACAACTGGAATAGTGCTTTGTATTGAGCAGTATGGTAAAACTGTAGCTGGTTTGATCGCGAGTATAAGACTCTTGATCCTAAGGTAATGAGCGTCCTTATATACAAGTCCTTGTATATCCTACTCTCCCGAGTCGCTTGGTCGCGCCGTCGACTTCGTCGACCTGGCGGCTTATACTGGCTCTCCCTGCTCTCTCAGTCGCTCTAGTGAGTCGGGCGACTGGGCGAGTGGGACGTGGTTATTCCGTTCCGTCTTGTCCGTCCAATGAGCGTATACTCTGGGGCTGCGCCGCAGGTGGTCTGTAACATCATCCCCTCCTTTCTTATCGAGTCGTCTCGACGAGTGCATAAATATCCGTGAGTGTCCTCCCTTCGTGTTTTTAGTGTCTTCCTTCCTTTTCAGCGCCTCTCGTCATGTACTAATCATGTCGTCCAAATCCAGTGATTCTTCTCTTAACAGGCATCGTCTTGCCGAACGTATCGAACGCTCTGGTGTCGTCATGGCCTCTCGTTGTTCTCGTTGTGCTCGCCTTCAAAAGGAGTGCGTCGTTTCTCCCGAGTCGAAGAAGTGCAGCGAGTGTACTCGTTCTGGCAAACGGTGTAACGCTGGTGACTTAACGTCGGATCTGGATTGGAACAAGCTCGTTCAAGCTACTGATCGCTTGGAGCGTGAAGAAGAGGAGACTCGTGCTCGGGTGTCGGAACTGTTCGGTCGTCTTTCCCGCATCGAAAAACAACGGAAATTGCTTCGCTCCCGTGCTGGCGAGTTTCTTCGCTCCGATGTGAAGACTGTGGAGGATCTGGAAGCCTTGGACGCTGAGAGGGAGCAGGCCTTGGCTGCTCAGGTTTCTCTGTCCGATGACCAGGCTTTCCTTCAGCAAGAGGCTCAGGATCTCTTCGCCCTGACTTTCGGTGCCCCTTCCTCCGGTGATTATTCTATTGATCAACTTCTTGAGGGCCTTCCTTCTCCTGGTTCTTTACCCGTTGGTAGAAATTCTTCACCAGGCGCTGCGAATGCTTCAGGTGCCTAGCGGGTTCGTAAGTGTTTTCTGAGAAGTCATATCCTTTCCATTTAACCAAGTAGTGAGTTCGTCCGCTGATCACTTTCTTGTCTAGGATTTTCTCGACTTCGTATTCTTTTTCTTGATTTTCTGGTTGTATTTCTGGTTCGTATGGTTTGGCGTTCTGGGGTGCTTTTTCGAGTAATGAGACGTGAAACGTTGGGTATATTTGCATGTGGTCTGGAAGTTGGAGTTTGTAATTGAGTTGTCCAATCTTTTCCAAAATCTTGAATGGTCCCAGTTTCTTGTGGTCCAATTTGTCGCTTGGTCTCAATGTCTTGATGTTTCGTCGAAGTAGGAATACTTTTTCCCCCTTCTTAAAGTCTGGCGCTTCCACGTGCCGTTGGTCGTAGTAGTGTTTCATTCTGTAGTTCAAGAATTCGAGATCCAACTGTAAGTGTTTGTGGAGTTCGCGCATCTGTTCTGCCGAAACCTCTGCTTCTAAGGCGTGCGTCTTGCCTTCTTTTGGTGTTTTTATCGTTTCCGTTTCTCTTCCGTAGTTTGCAAAGAAAGGTGTCATGCCTGTCGAGGCGTTCTTCGCTCCGTTGTAGGCGAGCTGTGCCATTGGTAGTAGTGAAACCCAGTTATCCTGTTCGTAGTTGATATAACATCTCAGGTACTGTTCCACTGTTTGGTTCATCCTTTCGCTTTGTCCGTCTGTCTGTGGGTGATATGCCGTCGAGGCTTTCTGTTCAATCCCCATTCTTTCAGTGAGTGTCGTCCAGAATTTACACATGAATCTTGTGTCTCTGTCTGATATAATTTCGTCCGGTAATCCTTTGTCTGCGAAGACATGTCGTAATAGGATGTATGCTGTCTCCGGTGATGTGGTCTTTTCGATAAATGGTATGAAATAAGTATACTTCGTCAGTCTGTCCGTGACTGTAAGTATCGAATCGTATTGAATGCCCGTTCGTGGCTCTGTTGACTTCGGTAGCTTGACTATAAAGTCCATCGCTATTGATTTCCATGCTGTTTCCTTGTATGGTATAGGCTGTAGGAGTCCATATGGCGCGTGTCGTTCTGATTTGTTTCGTTGGCAAACTTCACACTCCTGGATGTATCGTCTGATCTCTCTCCACATTCCTGGCCAATAGTAGTTTTGCGTAATCCGGTCCATGGTTTTTTCAATTCCGAAATGTCCTGCAACTTTTGCGTCGTGGTTGTCTCTTAGTATTCGTGGTCGTACTTCTCTGGGTATGTATATCAATCCTTGATATAGAAGTATTCCGTTTTCCTTTTTGTATTTTTCGTCGTTGTCCTTGATTCGTTCGAATAAGGGATCTTTTATTATTGCTTTTCGTATTTCGTTCGTCAGAGTGTCTTCCTCGGTCGTGACCGTTCGAGTAGCTCTCAATGCTTGCTGATCTAAGATCATACCCTTGGTATCTGGATCTAGATGCAATATTGCTCTGGATTCTCTTTTCTTCGTCATTAAATCTGGTCTTCTGCTCAACGCGTCCGCGAAGGCATTCTCTGTTCCTTTGCAGTGTTGTATTTTGAAGTTGTAGTAGGCTAGCACCTCGGTATACCATCTTGACTGTCGACGTGTGAGTTCCTTAGTCGTCGTAAAGTATGTCAGGTTCTGGTGGTCGCTGATAACTGTGGTCAGATGCCTTGCTCCTTGGAGCTCTTGCTTCCATCTCTTAAATGCTGCAACAATTGCTAGTAATTCTTTGTCATGGATATCATAATTCTGTTCTGCAGGGGTCATGGTTCTTGCGTAGCATGCAACCAATCTTAGTTTTCCTGTGTCGTCTTTTTGTTGTAACCGTGCTCCGATCGCACAGTCTGATGCGTCTGTATCGAGATAACTCTCTTTGTTCGGGTCGAAGTGTATTCGCATGTCTCCTTGACTAAACTTTTCCTTAAGTTCTTTGAATGCTTGTTCTTCATTGGTTCCCCAAATAAACTCTTTTGCCTTCCTGAATAGGTCCGTCAGGGGTTTCGCTGTTGCTGAGAATTTGTGTATGTATTGTCGATAATAATTCGCTAGTCCGTGGAACTGTTGTACTTCTTTGACTGTTGTCGGCGTAGGCCAATCGATAATGGCTTTGATCTTGTCCGGGTCCATCTGGATTCCTTCTGTTGACACGATATGTCCTAGGAACTTGACTGATTGTTTGTAGAATTCACACTTTGATGCTTTGAGGTAAAGCTCGTACTCTTCAAGTTTCTTGAGTACTTG